GAGTTAGCCGCAAAGAGAGGGAACTATAGAGACTCTTATATTCGAAATCGATTCTTATTCTGACATTGATATAATTTCTAATCCTATATATCGAAATGACTGGAGCTGAGCCGAACTGGGATGTAGTGTTATGGGAATTATAGTTGATCAAAACTCTGCGTTGCTATATCCCTAAATCTGGCAATATGTAAGGGAACATAATTATATGACATCAAAATCATAAGCAATAACTAATAGCCCAGTCTCTATTGTAGTATACGCTCCGTTAAGATGCCAACTATCTAGGAGCTAATGATGTTTCTCTGTATATTGAAAATTCTCTCCCCGATGTTTCCATAAATTCACGACCCTGTAGCCTCATATATATACCCTAGCTTTTGAAGCCCTAATCTCCTTAATCAATTTTCTGCCACTTAGCCCAAATCTGAATTATTGGATGAATGAGATGCCACTTCCCACAAAGTCTCCTTAGTTTCCTTATCTGTTATATTATAACCGTACTCCTTTTCAATGATTTGCTTCCATGAGTTAAGTCCTCCTGACATAGACTTATGCGAGAGTAAATTGTAAGCTAAAATATCTCTCTTGGTAATGAATACATTTTTACTTCCTTCTCGCGAATCTCGGGGATCATTGGCGATTTGAAGCTATTGGTCGGGGGCTAAAAGAAGTCGAGCTCGGTATTGCTTGTTCCCTCCAAAGAACTTAAAATGGCGATCAGTAGTGAGGAAGTGATGATCGTGGGTAAATTCTTGTCTCGTTTTAGCCTCGGCTCGATATTGGGGGTCTTTTAGACAAGCCATTAATGACTCGTGATTAGATCGGAACGAGGGGTTGGCAATAAGCTGCTCCTTTTGGGCAGTGGACCAATTCTGGTAAAATGGATGTATATCCAAAAACTCTTCAATAGTACTAGCTACCTCGATGTTTTGCTCGTCCTCCAAGGAGAGTGTTTTTATAGCAGGCTTTAGGGTCTTCTTTAGTCCATAAGTTAATAGGTTTAGGCGATTATGAGCTCCTGTCACATGGAATAGTCGGTACTTTTCATAGGATGCACGTAAAGCGTCTATAGATAGCCTTGTTACTAAATTCCTAGTTGTAGAGTTTTGACACGACATTATGGTCGAGGCATTCTTCCATAAATTTCATCAAAGTGGGTGGTAATTGAAATTGACAAGATATAATAGGATTCATAAAGGAAAGGGGAGGCGGTGTTTATAGTGGATATTTTGAGCTTGGAGGCCTTCATTGGCTCTAAATATCTGAAAATACTATAGATTAGTTTTGTGTCCTTTAAGTTGGCGTTTTCCAGTCTGCACCGCTAGATGCCATCGAGGCGTCCTATTTTAGGAGTTACATTTTTATTAGTTAGGCGAAAAAGGAGATCCAACATCCTACTCTTTTATCTCCGAGAGATGGAATAGGCTAGAGCAATGAAGGTGTGATTGTGAAGTGTAGAAAATGCTGCTGTGTTTCGTTCTGTTATTAGGCCTAACCTCCTCAGGCACAATATCTAGGTACTACATTCTTTCTTTTGAGGTTAAGACATTTCTAGTATTCTTAATAAAGGCAAAAGCCCTGTCTAGCCTGATAAGCACCTGAAGGCCCATCCCCGTTTATTTGGTTTGGAGTTGTTCCTAATCTATATATCGCCTGTGTAGGGCTAGTATATGCGTTTCTGACGTCCTGGCTCACTTGACCCAGATTATTACCGCTAGAGAGAACATCTAACGAAAAAAGAGACTAAATAAGCTTAGGTAAAGGGGCTTTCAAAGGGAATAGACATACTATAGTTGACCTGTTCGCATAAAGATAGAGGAAATATCAACGATGAAGGATATATACGCAAAGAAGAGCCCTAGATATACCAAGGTTTAAAGGCAAGCCCGACCTGTAAGAGTTCCGTACTTAATAGGCGAAGGTTGAGGAGTTATAAGGAGGCTAGTATTTCTTGATCTATTGGTAAGCCGCACCACGGTCGTTTGTAGTCCTAACGAACCCTTTCTCCTTTCCCTGATATATTGCGCCTCTGATTCACTAGGCTTTTGAAAACCGAGTGAGTATCACCGCGAGATTTATTCTTTCCCGTTTCACTGGAGCGTCTTAGGAAAGGACTGGTATTCGCCTGACGCTTATGGACGATGTGCCGTACTATTTCTTTTCTATCTTTCCTATCTTTCCCATCTCCACTATATCTCACTTCGTCTGTAACCATAGAGCGGCGAATTTCCAATGGAGACATAATGTGCTCTTGCCTTTGTCCCTTCGATTGTAGTAGCTCTATGGTGAGTAGTGACGGCGATTATGAAATTAACTTAGGGGCTCTGCGTTCAAAAGATTCTGGCTCGGGGTTTGTGTCGGTGTCTTCCTCATCCTTAATAGCGTAATATGTAGTATCTTCTTGCTTAGGCTCGGAGATTGAGGCCATAATTTCCTTCTTTTTTCCGTTTTATAGGCTGCGTTATCCTGAGATATGTGCCCTAGGAGACTTTAGTAGATAGAGAAAGATAGAAGACCAACACAAATACCTAAAAGAAAGATTGTCACTTTATAGCTCCTCGCTTAACGAGTAAAGGGTCGCGATATTCAGTGTCCAAGGGTATAGGCTATGCGTAAGGAATGGTTAGTTGGACGCTAAGGGTTGTGATAGGGATTTTCCTACCTCGTCTCCACAAGACCACACTATATATGGTATAAATGATTAGAACAAACCAGAATATTAACAACAAAATAAGTAATGTTCCCTGACTATCTATATATATTCCGCTTGAATGAAGCTAGGATACTATTATTGTCGCGGTTATAGGTAGAACGTGGGGGGTGGGATGAGCAGATACAAATAGATTTTATTAAGGCATTACTTATAATTTATCTTTTCTAGGTATTTATTAAATTTTCCGATTTTAGGTATAGATAACCGAAGCGGGAGACATATTGATTGCTTCTTAGCAATGCCTTTAAATAATGACCTTCGCCACAAGGGCTCCTGCCAGCTGAAGTCTAAGCCATTTTAGACCATATCTTACTACTAAGTGGAACTGGTAGAGCTATGTCTATTTCGCACTCATTGATATAAGGAGGAGCGATACAGAAACATACATACGTGGAATAGGAGCTTTTTCGAATATAGCTACACCTAACGGAAACTAATAGAGTGATATAGAGAATTAAATTAAGCCACTGAAGATATTGTATAGAACGGGCCATTATTAATGAATTCACTTAGCCGCAACTTAGTCTAAGTACATCCTAAGTAATCAGTAGGCATTGGACGAGGATTTGAGAAGATCTGAATGAGGTAGAAAAGTGATCCAGTCACTAATATCACATAGAAATTTTCAAGGCAAAACCTAGCTTGCCATTGGACTAGACCGGACCTTTCATCATAAGTGGGGTCAATACCATCCAAAATTGCAGAACAGATTGGGGAATGGTCTTCTATAGGGAGAAGTTGCCGCATATAGTAATGGACGTAAACTTCCTATTTTAAAGCAAGCGCAATCTAGGTGAAACAGCCTTGCTCGGAGGTTGCGAACTAATAATCCGATATTCTACTCTATAAAGCGTGGTATAATTTCCGGCCTAGCAGCCGCCCATAAACCCAAAGCGGATATAGTTCTATTATCACCACATATATCTGGTTAGGCGGAAATGATCTTATCGCAGGAGATAGGCGAAATTTTCTTTGATATACGACTACAATGTCTTCTTAAAGGGGAGATATATATATAAAAGATGTCTCATCAACGCTGACCACTATTATAGTAGTTAATAACACCTTTAGGCAAAAATGACTAATTGACTCACGGTTTTCGAAACCGGTGAAGTGAGGTCGTAGATCCAGCGGATCCATCCTACTCTGAAAGAAAAGATAGCTCGGTGCTCCGATTTTCATATACTTTAAGATACTCTACAGTAAACAAGAATCATAGTGCTTTTTATGTATCTTTAGCCTCTCGCGAAGTAAGCCTTGCTAGAGTTCTAGTAAGCGTCATTTGTGCCTAAGGTAGACCGACTTGTGCAGGGGGGCATTTATAGAATCAACCGCTACCGTGGCCTATAGTGTAAAGTATAGCTGTTTCTTCCGTCTGCTAATGGTTAGCTGCAGGCTTCAAGATAGACTACAGTCCCTACCAACAAGTATTTGACCCCTCCCCCTTAATTACCTAATATTCTGCCAGCAAAAAAATCAGACTGATATTCCTGCGCGAGTGGCAGTTTTGGGTGGTAATAAAGGAGCTGTTGGGTTTCTAAGTGGATGATAGAGTATGAAGCGGGAGTAAAACTGGGTTTATAATACCTATAGAAGTCCTCACTACCATGTATTTAGAGCCTTATAGGTCAAACTCTCTTTCGATTACGCCTCACTCCTCCGTCGTGGCACTTGCCAATGTAAATAATTTTGCTACCTAGATGTATTAACTCGCCGACCTTTCGAGACCATAGCAATTTTAGTTTTCTGCTGGTTGTGAAAGCCGGTGCGGAAATATACGTAACTTTTGAATAAGCATTCGGCTTATATATATAGTTCGAGATAGCTATTGTGGGGCCCAATTGAAGTTACTCGATTATGTATAGGCAGAAGCAGGCTATATTTGTATTCTGGGGAAACCTATTGTTCTGTTTACACTAAATGAATGCATCGTTATATATCTGAATGGCACTTTTAGCTACATTGACTAGTGAAACTATTAGAGTGAGGCAGTTATTCAAACTGGGTCCTGTAAGTCCGGAACATTTACTTCGAAAGGCATGCCATTTGGTCCTATTCACGCAGGTATCTAATCCTATGTAAATAAACTGATTCCAGCGTCATTTTGGTGTGGGTCTCTCTTGCACGTGATACGTTATTGACAGAGTTCTGATCACATGATTATTCGTTTCGACTTTCGGGCACATCTGTAGATCTCGACCCCTCCTCCATTTGCTTGCCTAATTCTTGCAATTTTATAAGAAGTGCAAATCCAACCACAGTCGGGTTTCACCGACGAGCTATCGAAATGCGTCTCGAAAAAATATTAGAAGATTCGAAGCAGATTCTTAATACGATGAGGACGCTCATCGAAAAAGGAGAGACGGAGCGCTTAAAAGAGAATAAAAGCGAGTGGCTTTACGGGGGACAAACATTCACCGAAATGGTTACTTCGCTGGAGCAAGGCATAAAGGAAGAACTCAAGTCTCAAAATATCTATGTCAGTTCCCACTGTGCTACTTTTATGCATAATTTCTAATAGACTATCTTTATAGGTCGACGGCTGCTCTATGCGACATTTTTCCAAGGCAGTTAAGATTACCCTATCTAATCCCGCGGCACGACTATTAATCATTCCTATTAACGGAACTTCGACCCTTTTCCCCGGCGGCGAACTACCAACCGATACCTCTTGCTATATCGATGAGTAGCCGACACTGTCTGGTGAAGATATTGACGTTGTTTTTGTCGGGTTTAGAATAAGTGAAAATATATAGCACTGTTCAGTAAAAGGGAGAATGACAAATTTGTATTTTAATGAACAGCCTAAGGGAATGACGTATTAACTAGAGGCGAAGAAACTATATACATACGTCCCTGCGGAATAGTGTGGGCGAGTCTATCTTGCCTAGCGCTAGCTAACGTTTCCTTTGCGGTGCTATTATTGTTGATATATATCGTCTTATTATTTTTAGTATCCTTCGTTGTTTGTATATATTAAATCTCGTGTCCTGGGGAAAAGGTGAAGTCTTGCAGTGGATCGAAGTTTTGTAGTGGATCGAAGTCTTGTAGGGGATCGAAGTTTTGCAGGGGATCGAAGTCTTGTAGGGGGTCGAAGTCTTGCAGAGGATCGAAGTCTTGTAGGGTACCAAAGTCTTGTAGAGGATCGAAGTATTAGATTGCGCTAAAGTCTCGCTGCAGGCTTTCATTATTTATGGATAATCGCCTGTCACCATCCTAGTCTATACCTGGACTCTGAGGTAGGTCCACGGCTTCGTATGTCGTTTGGTTTATCAAAATATTGTCTAAGCTCGAATTAGCGAGGACGTCCGCTATTGCGCTTGCCTCACTTGTAATCGTAGGTAAAGTCTTTCTCCCTCGCTTGCACCGGCCCTGCTTAGGCGATCCTTCAGACCTAAGCGAATGCTTTTGGCTATGTTTCTATTTATATAGCACTATGTATTTATAAGTATGAGGATCTCGACGCGAGTTGGTATGATGACTAACTATAGTCTTTATAGTAACTTAACTGGCACTTAGATAACCACCTCGCTTTTTGTTCAGCAAGACTAGACTATTCTGGGGTCTGACGGATCGCCTCTGCCAGCAAAGGAAAATATCGGTAAGAAAGATTCCGAAATATAGTGAATACTTGGCAAAGTATCGCGGAGACACTAGGATTCCTATAGATATGCTCGAATGCGTGGTATCTTAATCCGTACTATATCGCTCTGCGATATTTTGCGGTTTTCCGGTGAATCGCAGTCAAATATTTATTGAGTCGTCCTTTACCACGATTATCTATATCTTTCGAATCTAGAATTAAAAATGCAGTGCGGGGATGAGAAGAGGTTTTCTCTGCCCATTTTAAGTAATTCTCAGCATGCTAGTATCTGCCTAGCCAACCTCGGAATTTTTGAGATGGGGTGACACGTTTCTCCGACAATTCAATATTAATTATAAAGATATCGTCCCTAGTCTAATTATTGTCCTTGGCAATCGCACACTCTTCGCTCTGATTCAAGAAATCATGGATTTCTTTGGACCGGGATTGTAGCCTTTGCATGAAGAGAAATATTTCATCGTCCTGCTCTTTTTGCGGATGTATTAATGGATTTGTAGCTTCAGCGTATCCATCCTGTTCCTGGATGGACATCGACTCCGGGGAGACCTTAGAAGGTATAGTTGAACACGGTTCTAGCTAGTGAAGTGTCGGAGGTACTGAGGGCAGGATATCTCGGGCCTCTTGTCCGCAATTTGGGATGATTCGGCATAAGTGAGTTTCGTAATAATTCGAAGATGGAGACGGTTGAAATTGTCGTGAGACTGGTGATCCTAGTACCCTCTCTAAACTGTCAAACGCAAGCTGTAATTCTTGTCGGTGATATAGTAGCAAATCTTGCGTGTTAGTGTTGTCTAGATTTTCCGTTAAAAAAGTAGCTGCCTTCAAAATCTCCGTGGCTAGGCACATTGTAGGCGACCACTATGAGGCAAATAGGTGGGTGGGCCCTTACAATGAAATACTCTTTAGGGGAACCCTGCGTCTTGGCATTAACATTGGTGTCAATGCCAAGACGTAGGGTTCCCCTCAATGAACACGTCAGCTGAATGTGTGCTTTAAAACTCTCGTACAGTTTTGGCCCCTCTCTTGCTATATATCTATTACGTCGGAAACATAGGGATAGGTTATAAATACTGTAATGATAGGTGCTTAACGCTCGTGGAAATCCTCTAGCTGCGGAGTGATTATGAACAGTTAGTAGGAAGTGTGCGATCCTATTTGGGGTAATGATCATCTTGATTCGTGTAGCTTGCTAAGGTCCTATATAGATGTCTTAAGCTAGCCTATATAGACATTTCATGGCTACTAGGAATCGTTTGGCAGGGGGTCTTGCTGGGGTTGAAGAGCGCGCGTAGATACAGTGCGTTACACGGCGAAGGGTGCTTCCTATCTAGTTGTATATCGCTAGGGCAGAAGGGGTGACGCTATTTTGCTTGGCGGTAAATGATTGGTCAGTCTTGATCGCAATTACACCACATAATATATACCCTAATATTTGGCCGACCTTAAACGTGAAAGTCAACACTGGCGTGAAGCATCAAACGCTTAACGAACCTATCTCTTATCTCCTTTGACAACAGCTAGCTTTAATTTATGCTATGTTTGCGTGCATCTTCAAATTCGACTTATTGAACTAAACAATTGACATGAACTCCTACGTATTAGCCCCACGTACCCTCTGCCAACTTGTTACGCACCCTCTAACCTATTTTCAACTGGCCGTTCCGCCCCCTTCCTAGCTTGCCAATAAAGATAGTTTAGATTGGATGATCCTCTATATATATTTGAGCTCTATTCTGGTTCGCAACCTTAATGGTAATCATAGTTCCCTGGCCAGGAAGACTCCGATTTCCAGGCACATGATATGTTCTGATGACTGGATTGAGTCCCAATTATCGAAGAGATAAGATCATTATCTCTAGTTGATCAGGCAAAGCTATAGCTCCTTGGAACCAAGCATAAGCGACAGCCATATCCGCTAAAGGAAAGTACGCTCTGTTTTGTTGATATAGAGTAGCCACTCGACCCATTATATAGCGAGCGTTGTTATCGCTGGCGAATGGGTTAGGCGATGGTTGCAAGGGTTGTGGAGGAATATAAGCAAGAATGGCACCGTGTGCGGATGTTATGATAACGACGGAGCACGATCTAAGGCCCCTGGTACTAATAGCCGCCATTTATTGGAAAGAAAGAAATTGGACGTCGCCTATTAGGACCACAAGAACAGCACGAGAGGCCTGCCATTGAGCGAGAATACCCAATCCAGACATTATAGGAGATATTGTAGAAAATAACAGGATATATTTTTGCTTAGATGAATTTACAGCGCTTGTCTATCAAGAGTGGTTTCCTGCTACTTATAGTCTTTTAAAGAAGCTGCTATATATAAGGATATGACAATGTCTTTCACGTCCCTAACTACTCTGTTAATTCTAACCAATGGATTGCTTGTACTGCACCTTTTTTTCCCAAGCTAGCCACCTAACCTAAAACATATAGTAAATTCAAGTCTCCAACAAGTGGCATTACAAGCCCCACTATACTACGGTGATGCGACGCACGCGCTAGATGTCGAGGAAAGTGGAGCCATTGCTTATAGGAGTAGTTGATTAGTTATACACTGGAATTCTGGATAGATTTGGTAACCCTAGTTACTAGGGACATTTCAACTTGCCCTTAGTCGCACAGACCTTTCTGCCCTTTTCTTTAATCAATCAATCCTTCCCACGAAGTTAGATCCGTCTCTTATCTAACTTGCAGCCTTGCATACTAGCTAATACTGTATTAGGTTTCTCTGGCACTAGGCTTTTCCTCCCCGTTGGTACTAACCGAAATATAGCATTTCGTTATGAAACACACCGCCTATTTTCTATAGCTTCTAATTGGATAACCTAGTTGAAGGGAATGCGCATCCGGCGTCTGATGACTTAAGAAATAACTTAAATACCTCTCCCTCGCCGCCTGTTGCTGGGTATATATCTCCCGTTTCACTAAAGCCCCTAAGTAAGTTTGACAGTGAGTTTCTAGAACATCCTGCTCGCTATAGACGTCCTGCCTCCTCTAGACTACCCTTTGGTCTAGCTAAGCGAATATCCTCAAATTCCAACTCGAACGCCACCAGCGACTCTCGAGAAATTGTATGCTTCTTGCGTTAGTGGTGATATCTAAAAATTTCGGGAGATTCTTGACTCACAAAGTTCTTCATCGGAGGGCTTTAACATATGTGACTTATATGCGATGATGATCGAAGCCATCAAACTAGATAATATAGAGTTCATCAAAGAGCTTCTTGATCGCGGCTTGCCTATGGATCCTCTCTACGCGTTGGAAGCCGTCAAGGTGAAGGGAAAGGGTGCTCTAGAAGTTTTTCTTTAGCATAGATAGAATATCAATCAGCCCACGAGCGAGCTTAATCCTCCCGTACTTGGGTGAGACTCCTCCCAGTAATCGTGATTATATATTGGATAACATTATAATATTTATTCAGTGATACTATTATAGATAAAGAGATAGTAACTTAGCTCCTTGATTATGGAGCTGATCCTAATCGACAATGTGTTATTGATCTTACCCCACTTTCCCTTGCTATCGAGGGCGCCCTAATATCAGTTATCTAGCTGATGATTAATCGTGGCGGGGATGTCAGAAAAGGCTAACTACTCCATCACGCAGTTGATCGGCATTCGGATAATATTGCGGTCTTAAGACTTCTTATCGGAAAAGGAGCACCTATCAATTTAACTATATACGAGGACCATTATCCTTCTTAGGCATTATTCTCCTTTATGCCTCTTGGAACGCCTCTACACAAAGCAGTTGAGTTCGGCAAGGCAGATATGGTTCGCTACTTGGTCAGCGAAGGAGCCAACTTAAGTATTATGGATGCAAAAGGTCGCATAGCTCTGGAGTATGCGTAAATGTTAAATTAGCGGGAAGTCATCTAGGCATTCGAGAAAAGGAAGTAGCTTATCTTTTCCTTATTCATGGCACGTGCAATCGTGTTTCTGTTGGATAGCCTGGCCTATAAATTCAAAGTGTCTTCCCGTTTAAGTTAACTGCCGAGTTACCTTTCGCCAACTTTCAGAATCAGAGTTATCTATGCGCGGTTTACTGTATTCTCTTGTCTTTAAAAAAAAATGGCTTGCGAAAGCTAGATTATGCCGATACTGATTGTATATCTAACGGCAAAATGAAAGTACTAACCGAGTGTTCACCTTCCGCAACCACCGCTTCTTTTCCCATAGAGGTTCACCTAAACGCTTCCTTAGTCCGAGTCTTAGTATCCTGGATCTAGGGTCATATAGAATATTGGGAGAGAAGGAGCTAAGGTGTGATAGAGGCGAGTAGATCTATCTAGGCTATCTACCAAACATGGTTAGGTGACCATCCTGAGACCAAATCTACGAACACTACGAAGTATGGAGTATACGTATATATTAAGCCAATGGGAAGTCGCGGAGGCATTGAGAAAGGGTTGTAGCTCGTCTGTTCTAGATTCATATTACCAGTACCTGCCTTCCCAGGCTTATAAATGAACTAGTCTATATACTTATTGTAGTCCGTTTTGCATTAATGTGCCACGTTACCAAAATTAAGAACTGTAATGTTAATCATCGTTGCCTAAGCGTAGCTATATATAATAATGAATATCTCTTGATATAGTACGTATGTTTCCTTGAGGCCCAGAATGCGATAGCTAGGAGGTTAATCATAGTGATTTCTGTGATATCTGTGTCTATACTAGAGCTATCCGAAGGCGTTTTCGTTCTTGACGCTGGGGCTCGAACGAGTTCCGCTTTGTTCCTCTCCACTGCCTCCTTTTGAAATCAGGCCTCAGTGCCACGTTATGGAAGTCAATGATAAGAATCCGCTTTAACTCTAAATTCTATAGGAGATTTCCGTCAGTTAGATCGCTATACACTACACCGAGCGAGAGAATTTCCTTCCTAGATCGTCGAAGCTCACGATCTAGCTTCACAGGAAGCTCCAATCCGCTTATATTCTCGCCGCCCTAAGCCATAAGTAGCATATGTCGAATCTTTCCCGCCCCGTGGAGGAAATAAGTCGTAGCTAGGTCGATTGTTCCTAGGAAAACTGGTACTGTAGATCCTTGCGCTTTTCGGAGTATACGATATACCACTACTTTATTGGACATCTCTTTCTAAAGTTGATTGGTTGTCCCCTTTCCAATGATCGTGTAGCTATATCGCGCACTAATAATCTTGAAAGGCGCTCTAGACGTCCACGCTCCACATTCACCTAAAGGGGTGCAATAATGGCCAAGGTCTTTATTTAGTTGCTGATTCAGCTACTGGACCAAGCCCTCCGCTGTAATGGGATGCCGCTCACCACTTCTATATTGTCTGTGCAAGTCCACGTTTAGGCAATTATCATCTATAATGCCGTTCTGTTGAAGCCTAAGTAAGCAATGCTAAGTGCAAAAAAATTGCGTCGTATATTGTCGATAAGGACCACTTCGATCACTACCGAACCCTCTTAGCCTTAGTGATTGATTAGGAGGGGAAGATGTGACCTAGCTGAGATTCCGTTTTCGCCTAGCCTTAGGCGCTGTTTGATTTGAATCCGAGTCGTCGGAAGACTAGTCTAGATAAAGAATCGATGAAGAGGGAGCATAACTAGATCGAGGCTGTGCACGGCCTTGTGGCGTAGGCGATGGCATAGGTGACGACGGCATCCACTTAGAACTAGTGCCTTTAGTACTATTATCTAGGGAACTAGTATATTCCGAGCTAGGTAGGACTTGCTGTAACTCATCATTAGGTATTCGCGACCGTACGAGGTTAAAGCTCGTCGCCTAAGAGTTTAGCTGACTTATTGCGTTTGTCCGCTAAGTATAGTCGCGGACCGTAGAAAGAGAACTTATTAAAGAAAGACAAAGCACCTAAGCGATAGCTATTCTTGGTTGCCGATAGTTCTCGTTATTATTCTTATCAATTTCCATATTCGGCTCGCAAAGAAAGTAGAGCAGCGTGCCTGGGTTATTTTGAGGTATGCGAAGAAGGACTAGAGCAAGGCTAATAGTTACATAGGAGATCTTAAGGCCTTCCCAGATCATAACGTGATATTCCTAAGTGAGAACTGATCCAACAATCTGTTCTGTATTATATTTTAGCTTCTTAGCTTCGTCTGTTGGTACCTTTTTGCGTTGTACCACGTCATTCCAGAAATCTATCCTTGGTTGAAGGCCCGCACGCAGATTTTCAACAGTCATTTTATGAGGGGGTTTGTACTCCACAGTCATTAATAGAGAATTTTTGTCGTTAGCTCGATGGATATAGAACTAATTGGGCCTTGGTTGGCATCGTGCTAACGATTAGCCTTTATTGTTGCGAGTGCCATTATCCTACGCTGCATTATCCTCTAAGCTATTGGTATGGCTCTCAAACTAGACGCCATCGCTAAGACGAAATTGTTCCCGGGCTTTGGGAATTTTGCAGAGTTCAGAAACAATATCTCGCATATGATTTTTAACGGCAAGTCTCTTATAAGTTTCAAGGTCCCGTTCACTGCTTAGCGGACGATCTAAAGAGTCGGCGAGACCTTTAAGGCGCGCAATCGTCGAGAATAATTGAGGTGGGTGGTCACTTGTTGCTTGAAGGTAGCCATAGACTGAATCGTAGATTTCCTGCTGCGTAGTAGCGCAATCCGTCTATGGAAGCAGGCGAGTGGGGCAAAATTTCCCTTGAGGGGCCGGAATCTTCCCTTTCGTAGAGCGAGACGGGGTTCTCACGCGTAAAGGCCTAGAGAGCAAGTTGTGGCAGGTTCGTAGATATTCTAGCAAAGAAGTCTTGCGAGTGAAATGTTTGTTTTGTTCTTTAGCCTGCCGTCTCTCTTCCTTAGCCTGCCGTCTCTCTTCCTTAGCCTATCTTCGTAGCCTAGTTTCTCTCTCAAAAAGTTCTTTATAATCCGGTGAGCTGATTTGATCTATAGAGCATTTTAAACAAAACATATTAGAGCGAGGTTGTTTTTGGCTCGATCTCAACACCACCGTTCGTGTTGGGGAAGGGATAGGATAGAGAAGAGTTCGGGGGTCGGACAAATTGAAAGACCGAGTAGTGCCTTAGGCCGTTCTTAGCTTCGGAATATCTATCACCTTTTCATAGATCACATATAGCCCGCTAGCCCAATACCGTTGTTGAGGTCTACTAGGCGTCTCGCTATATTAAAATCCTTAGCGACTATGCTGATTAGGAGAGGTATAATCCACTGAAAGCAGCGTTTTAATGGGGGAACCTCGGTGGGCCCCCAACGCGACGGCAGCCAACCACATAGCGCGTAGGGTGGCAGAACGGCACGGGAGCAGCGTAGCAAAAACCCTTAGGCGACATACATATATATGATATAAGATATTCGTTGGGCTATGGGGACCCTTCAATTATGTTTATTTACATCGGAGCGAGCCATTCGTTTCTATACCAAGTCTTTGGTCAGAATCTTCACTACGTTCTTGGAGAGGATATAGCCAAGACCAGACTAGAGGGTTGTGATGGCCACGGTGAATATATTTTCCGTGACCAGCCCCAACCAGGTTCAGGTTTAGACCACCGGGAAGGCAAAAGCAAAGATGGGAGGCAAGGATACGAGCGGGAAGGAGGGTAAGGGAAAGTTTAGCCGAGGAGCCACGTCACCACTTTAGGGGGTCTTCAGGGCGATCGGGCGAAGAATAGAGGGCCTTCAGGGCATTCAGGTGAAGCGGCCTGAAGGGGCTGAAGGGTAAAGCGGCAAGGGCAAGTATCCCAACGAATTACAAAAAGTGGGTGAGCACCGACATACAACAGCAGGGATTCGCTGGTGGTCACCCACCCAACTACTAACCTGCCGGCGTGTGGCTTAAGTACGGCTGAGCGGACGGGAAGCCCTGTTCTCCACACCCTATGGTCGTATGTACTGGAGTCAAGAGGACAATATAATATATACTGCTTCAAGGGAGAAAGTCTGTGTGAAATAAGGTGCGCGCCGCTTTAGCGTTGCGCGACCGGGGTTGCGAAAGGTGAGTGCGCAATAGACAGGGTTAGAAGGAGGCGAGAGACACTCCCCGATGCGCTACCGCTGCACTGACTCTCAAGACTGCACCGCTGCGGGGAGTCATTGGATGATACATACCACAGCGGAAATGGGCCGTTTGCGCTTTCCCCCACCGGTCTAAATGGAGCATATGGCTACTTGAGCAGTAGCTTAAGGCTTGCGGCTTAGGTACGGCTTAGGTACGGCTTAGCGGACGGGAAGCTCTATACTCCTCATCTTATAGTCGTATGTGAAAACCTGACAACTTCTAAATCTATAATGGTGGTAGATAATAGGGCTGCCGTCCGGGCAAGAAGAAGGATGAGTGTCATATTGCATGTAATCAGAAGAGATCGGGGGTGAGCGTCACCTGAAGTCGTGCTATCGCTGCACTGCCCGTAAAAGTGGCCAGGGATGTGGTGTGGAGATGACCTGTCACTCATTCCGGTGCCCGGAGTACGTAATTTCTCAACCGGTAGATTCCATTGATTAATTTCACTCACTTGGCATTCGATCTATTCACGACCTTTCTCCCACTGCGCCCGTTTATCCGCTAAAAGCTGTGCCGGTGTTTTACCTGCCATGTTGGGCTGGTCCATCGAGGCCCCAGCTTGCAATATCGAAATGATCTCATCCTGCGCCTGGATCTTCTCTGAAAGTGCCGGCCCTTCAAGTGACCCGTCTTCCATTCGCCTCCCGATAAGCCTTCCTCCTACCGCCTCATGGAGAGGCGTGTTTCCCTTTTTATTGATCACGCTGGGATCTGCACCTCGACTGACCAGCAAACGAGACGCTTTGATTTGCCGCAAGTTTCTCGCCATAAAATGCAGCGCTGTCCAGCCGTTCGCGTCGGCCTGGTTGATATCGACAAATGGAATGAGCGCTTCCAGTAGATCAGGGCAGACTGGTTCGTTGTATGTAGGACTAGAGGCCAGCTTGTGTAGCACCGTCTGACCATGATTATTGTGGAGACCTTTGTCGGCTCCGTGTGCAAGGAGAAGGTCAACCAGTGGCATAAAATACCCCTTATGACTCCAACTGCAGCCCTCGTGGTGTTTCAGAACGTGGAGTAGAGCTGTGTCACCCGACTGATAGCGAACATTCAGGGTGCTAGCGTGTGGATTGGTGTCTAAAAGCAGCTTCACGAATATTAGACTCCCAGGACCGTCAACCATGCCTGCCACGGCGAAATTAAAAGCCGCTCCACGGTGGCCCCGCATATTGACGGTATCTGGGTTGGCCTCAAGTAACAGCTTTACGATCTTAAACCCCTTGGAGATCGTCTCTTACTCTGATCTTTGGTCAAATGAGCCCCGGAGGCTAAGCAGGGCCCAGTGGAGTGGGAGCCGTCCCTTACTGTCAGCCACAGTAACCGCTTCGGCAAGCTCACCATCGCCATAGTTTTCAACCAGCGCTTGAATAAACTCAAGATTCCAGGATCCGCTGGCTATGTGCAGGGCGGTGACCTTTTCAACGTCACCTTCACCTAGCTCATACCATTCCTGCTGGGCGTGAATATCGGCTCCTTCGGCAATGAGGCGAGAGGCTAGTTTATAACTTGCATGGGGAGCCGCCACTCCGAGCACGGTCTCAAGTAAGTCTTTCGGTGAAGATTGTTGATCGGGTTGATCTTTATTGGCGTAACGATTGGGTTGACAAACCGAAGCGCCTCTGCCCAATAGTCGATAGACGAAGTTTTCGATGTCGGATTTCTCGATATCACGCCCTAATTTTCCCCTGGTAAATCCGAGCGCTGCTACTGAGGACAGAAGAGGTGAATTGGTGAATTCCTGATCGTTCAATTTGCCCCCCAAGGGAGGACCGCAGCTTAGGAGATATTCCGCCGCCTCGAACCGGGCATAGAGACACGCGACGCTCAGTAAGTGAATGTTCTTGCGCCTAAGTCGAGCTTCAAGTGGCTCCGTTTGACTAGGATCGGACTGGTAGATTTCCGCAAGTGCACGAAGCGCATCGATGTTGCCATTTTCTGCAGCAAGTAGGAAAGGGTCCCATTCATCGGGGTTCCAATCGTGCACCTCAGCTCCAGGACTGAAGAAACGTGTACCACGGACTTTCGCGTAGCGATGTAAGTTTGCGACATCATCGGCTTCGATGATAGATTTCACAAGGCTACCACAGCCATCGTCGTACATAGCACTCCCGTCCGAGGCCGAAATCACAGGCCTCATTGTAGGATTACTAAGATATGCAAACACCGGGATCTTCGGGGAGCATCTTCACTCTACTTCCATAGATGTCACTTTAACTCTATCTGACTCGAACCTTCGGAAGGCCCAATCATGTAGTTGGATCCGGGTCAAATCTCCATGATGCAAACACTCACGAATTCAAGACTCACGTTATTCGTCACTCAATGTTTGCACCTCATTAGCGTGAGGCTGTCGTGGATCTGGTTCGTCGCTCGTGTTTGAACCGTGGCTGATTTGACGGTTAAATCAAACAAACCAAGCAAACGAGCCTAGAACGCCGTAGCCTCATTGATGACTCGGGCGACATCGTTGCAAAACAGGACTCGGGCGATATCCTTGCAAACCATGCAAATACTATGGCTTGTTAGGAATATTTGGAATACATACCTATAAAAGCCAAGGTTGAGACAGTTATGATGTTAATCTACATCCACCCTCTTCTAAGACTCTAGGGCTCCTTCACATCTCTATTTAATTACCAAACATAAACAGCATCATGAAGGCCATTGTTATTGACAAGTTCGGAGGCCCCGAATCTCTCATCATCAAAGAGGTCCCTGAACCTCAACCAAAAATCGGCGAAGTTGTGATCCAAGTCAAGGCCTTTGGCATCAACCATGCCGAGATGCACATGCGCAAGGGTGAATGGGCCGAGTGGATGCCCATCAGCGGAATCGAGTGCGTTGGCATCGTAGCCAACTGTCCGGGAAAAGAGTTTGAAGAAGGCACTCCAGTCGCGAGTCTCATGGGTGGCTTAGGACGCACAATCGATGGCAGCTATGCCCAGTATACACGTGCTAAAGTCTCCAACGTCGTTCCTCTCGGACCGGCTGCGGCGCACCTTCCCTGGGACCAACTAGCTGCCCTTCCTGAATCATATGCCACGGCATGGACATGTCTTTTTCGCAATCTTGAGGTTTCGAAGAATCAACGGCTGTTGATTCGTGGTGGCACTTCTTCCTTCGGCAGGGCCGCTATTAATCTCGCAGTGGAGGCTGGCGTTCATGTTACGGCGACCACTCGCAATGAATCTCGCGTCAATCAATTAGAAGCTCTAGGCGTCCGCAAGGTGATAATTGAAGGTCCGGAACTTTCGCAACGAGTTTCAGAGAAATTCGACGCCGTGCTAGAGCTCATCGGCAACAGCACGGTCCTTGATTCGCTGAAAATGGTACACAGAGGCGGCAGAGTCTGTCTAGCAGGCTTCCTGGGTGGCCTTGACCCGGTACCTGAATTCAACCCTCTCCTCCAGATGGCAAGTGGCGTGCATTTTAGCTTCTTTGGAAGTTTCGTGTTTGGGACTCCAGAGTTCCCACTGTCAGATGTCCCTCTGCAGGAAATTGTCACTATGGCTGCGCAGTCACGGATCAGCGCTAGACCATGGAAAACATTCAAGTTCGAAGAGATTCAAGAAGCACATCGGTTGATGGAAAACGGTGAAGCACATGGGAAAATGGTCGTGGTTGTGGATTGAAACTTGATCTGTTTTACTCTAGTCGTGTATAACTAGTGAAGAAGTCTTGACTGGTTCTTTATTTTCTGTTATTGGAATATTTACATGGAATAAAATGTATCGAGCTTATTCTCCCCTCACGAGCATGGACACGGTTGCTATGTAGTGATATCATCACCTTGCCACAGAGTATTCAGTATCTTGTGATTTGATTGAAAATTGCAATTGGAGCCGAAAGCGCCTCTGTATCTCCTGTATCTGACTCGCTCTGCCATTAGATTGCAGTTCGGGAAGGACGGTGTCGACCTCCTCGAGATTAATTGCCAATGGTCGGCCCAACGTGATGCTGACCACTCTAGCTAACAAGCAATCCAAGACAAGTATGCATGATGTTAATGACAACACCTCATGGACTCCGAGTGGGACAACAAGCGTTGCCCCACTCCGGCAACCTCGTACCTGGCGTTCTGCAAAGAGCTCCATCAACCAAGTGCTTATTGGAGGACAAAGTAGCCAACTCAGGCTGAAACGGATGGCCCCGACCCGCCAATAACCTTTAATGACCATCTTCCGAGGTTTAGGAATAGCTTCCTTCAGCGACTCTCGGCTCTTGCCCCCTCCGAACACGCCGTCGGGATATTTGTGGATCAACTCGGACCACCGCCGAATAGGGGGATAGACTAGCCCCCTTAACATGGCGGTGACGCGCGCTATGGAGACCTTTCAGGGCTTCGACTAGTTTTACCGAAGTATAATGGGACCCAGTGGTCCCGATAGGGGTTTTGATTGAAGGAACAATAGTCATTCAACTGTTTCATGTCGCTTCCGCTAATTTTGGACCTTCTTATATAGCGAGGTTGTGCCATGTAGTTGATTGTTTTCTTCGAGTCAATCCATTCTTTACTATTCATTCTTTTTTTCTCTTTTATTCGAGCTAGGCTCTCTCTATTCGCCCTCATTTACTTGTCCGTTGACCGGACAAAACTTCAAAATGCGTTCCTCTGTTGTTTCGATGCTGGCTTTGGGCGCAGCCATCGTATCTGCTTTCCCGACTGCTTCTCGCGCCTCAAGTCAGGTTAAGAGATCCACCTCCTGCACCTTCTCTTCGGCTGCCAAGGCCAGCGAGAGTCAGAAGTCGTGCACCACTATTATGCTTGACAACATCGAGGTGCCTGCTGGTGAGACGCTGGATCTTTCCGACCTCGAGGATGGGACCAAGGTAGGATTCCAGACCATTGTAATGCGGTACGGCGTCTAACCCTAACAATAGGTCATCTTCAACGGCGAAACCACCTTCGGATACAAGGAGTGGAAAGGCCCTCTCATCCGTATCGCCGGATCGAACATTATCGTCAGCGGAACATCCAACCACACCATCAACGGCGGCGGTGCACGCTGGTGGGACGGCAAGGGCACCAACGGTGGTAAAACCAAGCCCAAGTTCTTCTATGCCCACAGCCTGGACGACTCGACCATTACCGGCCTCAATGTCAAGAACACGCCCGTGCAGGCCTTTAGCGTCCAGTCCGATAACGTCGTCCTGAATCGTATCACTGTTGACAACTCGGCCGGTGATCATAACGGCGGCCACAATACCGATGCCTTTGATGTTGGCGAGAGTAGCGGTGTGACCATCCGAGACGCTGTTGTCAAGAACCAGGACGACTGCCTGGCCATTAACTCGGGCTCTGTGCGTACCCCATAGTCCTTTTTATTTCTCTTAAAAGGTCTTCGATATAACACAAAGCAGTGATTACTGATATTCTATAGAACATCATCTTTACTGGCGGCACCTGTTCCGGTGGCCACGGCCTGTCTATCGGCTCCGTGGGCAACCGCGATGATAACACCGTCAAGAACGTGACCATCTCGGACTCAACAGTGACCAACTCGGCGAACGGCATCCGCATCAAGACAATCGCCGGTGCAACCGGCTCCGTCTCGGGCGTGACCTTCTCTGACATCACGCTCTCCGGAATCACCGACTACGGCATTGTCTTTGAGCAGGACTACGAGAACGGCAGCCCCACCGGCGACCCGACCACAGGCGTGCCCATCACTGACTTGACCGTGGAGAAGATTACTGGTTCCGTGGAGACCGACGCGACCAAGGTCTATATTCTCTGCGGTGCTGGTAGCTGCTCAGACTGGACTTGGTCGGGTGTCTCAATCACCGGTGGCGATTCCAGCAGCAAGTGTGAGAATGTGCCTTCTGGTGCGTCTTGCTAAATTGCTGTATAATTGACCTTGGCCTATCTTGTGAACAATAAGACTATATTTATACCGAGGAGAGGTCATCTGCAAAGCTTAAAAAACTTTAACATCGTATGTTCTGGGTTGATGGTTCAATTAGAAATCGGATGAACGTACGATGACGACATAGTCCGAGTGTGCGCATGAGCTGAACATCCTACTGAAACGCTTAATTTCTCTCTGGAAACACCTCTGATCATTTACACACACCACAGTTCACAATGCAAGTTCTTCTGCTTGGTGGCCATGGCAAAGTGGCCCTCCATATGACCCCCCTCCTGCTCAACCGGGCCTGGAATGTCACCAGCGTCGTGCGCAACCCCGCTCACGAGAGCGAGATCCTGGAGCTAGGCAAGGGTCGCAAGGGCAAGGTAAACGTGCTGATTTCCAGCCTGGACGAAGTGAAGAGCCCCGCAGATGCGAGGAAGATCCTCGACTCTGTGACTCCAGACTATGTGGTCTGGTCGGCTGGTACGCTTGTGCCCCTCCCCACCCACTAAAGTTCCGTGGTACCGGACTTGGAGATATATTGCACATCCCCTTCGCCAATATATTTTATTAAAGCTCGCAAAATGCCTTTACTAATTTAACCATTTCAGGTGCCGGCGGCAAAGGCGGCCCAGCTAGGACGATCGCCATCGACCAAGAAGCCGCAAAGCACTTCATGACCGCCTCCTTCGCCTCGCCCAGCGTAAGCAAATTCCTCATGGTCTCATACATCGGCAGCCGCAAGAAGCAGCCCCGCTGGATGCCCGACGACCAATGGGCCGGGATCATGCACACAAACACCGAAGCGCTGCCCACCTATGCCAAAGCCAAACAAGAAGCAGACGAGTACATGACCGCGCTGGCAGTGCGACGCAAGCAGGATACCTCTGCGGCTCCGTTCCAGGCGATTAACCTGCGTCCGGGCTTTTTGAAGGATGGGCCTGCTACGCGGAAAGTCGAGCTTGGTATCACGCCGAAGGGTCATGGGAGTGTTACGCGTGAAGATGTTGCCATTGTTGCGGATCTGTTGCTTGCAAGGGATGATACGGAGGGATGGATTGATCTTGTCAATGGGGATGTCCCTGTTGAGGAGGCGGTTGAGAAGGTTGCTAAGGAGAAGATTGATTCTGTTGAGGGGGAGGATGTTGAGGGGATGGTTAAGAGATTCTTCCCTTGAGGGAAAGGAGGTGAGAACAAAAGTACATCATTTTTTCGGGTTACTTTAACAATTGAATATGGGTTTAGGCAGTAAGTTCCAAATATTTCAGGTTTATTTACAAAAAAAAAATATCTAAAGCTTGGCCTTGGGGCGTTGAGCCTCGTCCTTGAACTTCTGCTTCAACATGCGGCGCAAGATCTTTCCACTGGGGTTCTTGGGGATCTCATCCACGAAGCGCACACCACCGCGCAGACGCTTGTGATGGGCGACCTTGCTATCCAACCACTGCACGATCTTCGCGGCTTCCTGTTCCTCGCTGGTGCCAGAAGACTTGCTCTTGGCGCTTCGGACAACACACGCCAGCGGCACTTCTGAGCCGTGAGCCTCGCTCTCGATGCCAATAACAGCGACATCGTCGATAGCCTCATTGTCCACCAGGATACCCTCAAGCTCGGCAGGAGGAACCTGGAATCCCTTGTACTTGATGAGCTCCTTCACACGATCCGTGATGAAGAAATTCCCCTTGACATCTTGGTATCCCACATCACCAGTACGGAACCAGCCGTCGGATGACAGACACTCCTTGGTAGCTTCCGGGTTTTTGTGGTAGCCCAAGAAGACGTTGGGGCCACGCAGATAGAGCTCACCGACCTCGCCAGACTTTACTTCCTGAGGCTCGGAGCCGTCTTCTGGCATAGTCATGTACCGGGCTTCCATATTAGGCATCATACGGCCGACGGAGCCGATGTGGTCGCGCCAATCCTCCCACCGCTGGGAGTGCGTGGTGGGGCTGGTCTCACTGAGACCGTATCCTTGCTTGATACCAACCTTGATACGGGAGTAGACATTCTCCACTAGCTCTTGCGTGAGGGGCGCTGCGCCCGAGTTCATCATGCGCAGGCTGGACAAGTCGTACTTATCGACCACGGGGTGCTTGCCAAGCAGAAGTACCACCGGAGGAACGATGTAACTGAAGGTAACGTGATAGTTTTGCACGTGGGCACACCACTTCTCAATATCAAACTTGGACATGACAACAAGGTGGTAACCCTTGTAGAGGGCCTGGGTGATCAAACAGGTCAATCCTAGAAAGCTACTGTTAACATTGTACCAAACGATATGGATGATACGTTGGACATACCGTAGATATGGTAGAAAGGTAAAAATGCCAGAACACGGTCACCCTGACCATCAGGGCCTCCCTTCCAGCTAAGATTCCCACCCTCGGCGACAACCTGTTGCATAATATTGGCGACGATATTCCTGTGCGACAGCATCACACCCTTGGGAACACCAGTAGTTCCTGACGAGTAAACCAAAAACGCCAAATCGGACTCGGGAGTAATCTTCTGCTTGCGGTACCGGGTAGCACCAGAGATATTGCGGACGGAAGTGAAATGCTTATAGCGGGCATTCGGATCCCGCTGGTCGCCGAGCAGGATGATGCGGTCCTCGGGGATTCCGACCTTTTTCGCGGCCTCGACGGCAACGGACAGCACGGAAACCTGTGTTGCAAGTGCCTTGGCACCGGAGTTCTTCAGCTGGAAGGCCAGCTCGTCGACTGTATATGCTGGGTTGGCTGGGGAGATAATGCCGCCTGCCCAGAGGGTTCCCCACATCAGCACCGGGGTGTCGATGGAGTTCGGGGTGAAGAGGCCGAGCACATCGCCCTTGCGCCACTCGTAGAGGGCCTTCAGACCCTTTCCGAAATCTAAGGATGCCTCCTTCAGGCCCTTGTAGGTGTAGTGTCGCTTAGTGTCGGCATCCTGGTAGAGGACTGGGATGCGTTAGTAAATGGTCTATTGCGAGGCAAAACAAGTACTATGTGGCTCTCATCTACTCACTCTTGTCATCGGGGAAAGGCCTGTCCTTGCGCTCGAACAGGAAAGACCAGAGGTCGACGTTGGGGATGTCGACCGGGGGGTAATTGGAGGAGACGGGCATATTGCGGGGAAGAGCCAAGTGCCGATCCGGGGGAGGTAGGGGAGGGATGAATCGGCAAGCCGTATGTCAGATGTGAATCACAAAGGGCAGTGATGGAGATTATAAGAAAGCAATTCGGACGGGGTCTTTCGCGGTTCTCGGTTCCTGGGGATCGGTTGCCTCGGCCCATTGTTACATCGAAGGTTTCTTTCGTTTGGCCAATACCCGAACCGCCGTCCACCGTCGGACATAAGCCCGCTTCGCTTCGCTGTCTTGCGGTTGGCATGTTCGCAGCTTAGCGAATCTAAGCGCTGATTGACACTTTGACTATATTATAAATATTCTAATAGCATTGGCATTGTCATGCCGTTCACGCCATTCACCGTTTGCCGCCCACGCCGTCATCAGCCCGCTCGGTGCTCCTCGGCGCTTTTAGTTCCAAGTGGACCCTCCATGTTGTCATGACCCCAACTTGCCCATAGACTTCGGAGTTAAGACCATTACCACCATGTAAATGGGCGACGATCGACGTTTGGGGGGCAGAAACAACCATAGCTCATACCATGAGACCAAAGCTAAGGTGAGGTTGAATGCCTCGGGGTGTCAAGGACTAGAGTATAGCCATACTGCACACTGCCATCGAATCTTGCCCAGGCAGACCAAAAGCCAAAGCGATACGTCAATCTAGAAACAAATATAGGAACCAGCAAACTATACACAAGGCATCGTTCACTGAAGCAAGATGCGCAGTCCGATGTTTGGCTTCGTCACAGTATGCTACGAGGTACGAGATGAAAGTTGTCATATCGTAAATTGAAACTCCATTCCCCAGTAACGAAAAACGAAACCGGGGGTAGGATACCTTTTAACTCCGCCAGATCGACGAAGACTTGATACAAGATCCCCGGTGATTTTTATGCCGACAAAATCTTTAAATTGAGACGGAAACAGCTGACCCGCTCTGGAAATACAAGCTGAATAAAGAAGCCCAGTTGAGGACTGCGCTGGCTTCCATTTTTCCTTTCCCAAAACCTTCTCCACCACACGCCACTCCAAGGGGAATCGTTTGAAGTCGTTTACTTGAGGGGAATGAAACGGGAAGAGTGGGTGGCACCGATACCGGGACGACCGTGCTTGACGGGCTTGCTGGAGGGTTGTTAGCGCTGGAGGGAGAAACTGTAGTTAGGTGGAACGTACTAAGAGATGGAGAACTCAGCAAGGTAGTGGCCAACCATCTCAGGCTTGATCTCAACCTGGTTGAACTCCTTGCCGGAGTAGATACCGATGACGGAGCCGATCATCTCGGGGACAACGATCATGTCACGGAGGTGGGTCTTGACGAGGTCGGGCTTCTCGTTGGGCTTGGCCTCCTGCTTGGCCTTGCGAAGCTTCTTGATCAGACCCATGGGCTTGCGCTTGAGACCGCGGTTGAAGCGTCTGCGGGCACGAGCGTGGACAACATCGCGGAGCTGCTCGGAGGAGAGGTCGAGAAGCCTGGTGTATTCAGTTAGATTCATGTTGGACGAAAAATTTTCATTGCCAATTCCCATCACGACACCACGTCTGGTACAAATGCGATTCAAAACCCATGATAACACTGAAGGTTACATAGACGGTTGCCCTTGAATCGCATGGGCACCAGGCGTAGGTTGTGAATGGTTTTATTGGGTGGATTGGGTGGCGAGGGGATGGCGAGCAAACGTACTGGTCGAGGTCAATGCCGCGGTAGGAAAACTTGCGGAACTGTCTTCTCTTCTTGATCTCTGTGGAACGAAAGCGCTGTCAGCGATTTGGTTCTCATTGTTCATCGTGTGTGTCCATCCTCCTGGGCCAAAGTCGAATTTGTCCCCGCGCCAAATTTCCATCAAATTCATCATCGTGGTTCGTTTCTCCCAGGCGTTTCATTCGTTTCCAAGACTTGACACGGGTGACTCTCTTCGGGGGATGGGTGGGATAGAGGTTGGATTTAATAACGTACCGGCAGCCTCCTCGGCGTTCTAAAGGTAATTGTTAGCATCAAAGTCGAGGACTGTATGTGGACGAGATAGAAAACTCACGTATTCGGTGTCAGCCATTTTAGCGGTGGTTTCCTTTGAGCTCGCTTTTCGAACGGGATCTCGAAAAGCGAAGGAAGATGGGTTGTCGGGATTGTCGTGTCGCTAAACGGAGCGTCTGGGCGCACCACAACTGGCGAGGTGGGCAGGGCTCGTCTAAGCGATTTCCGAGGGTTAGCCCTAACACACTAGTCCCTTTCGGGGGCCAAGTATGTATCATGTTACGAACCGTAATTTATTGATGAAAGTTCGTGGATGGTACCGGACTACCCCACTTTGAACGTGCGAGGCTTCTCGTACCCATGGTTCATTACGAGGGTGTATTTCCATTACACTATGGCTATCCCTACATTCACTTCCATTTTGATATCAAAAGTCGCGACCTCGACATGTCCCTTGGCTAGTTCATCGTCGCTTACTGAAGGACAGGCATACGCAAAATGGTGTTGACGGCCTTGGAACAAATCCTCCAGGGCTTGACATGCCATAAAACTACATCCTACGCAAAACACAGCGGTGGAGGACAGATGAATCTGTATTGGCTAAGAGCTCTTTCAAGCTCACATATGAAGAATCCGTAACTGCATTAGAACAGTCTGAACAATGCACATTTGAAACCCCAGTCGGCGAAGACACCTCCCGAACTGGAAGCACCATCCAGATGTCTGTCCCCCCAAGTCGTCATTTTTGAGGTTCCAGAGAGCAAGGCATTTAGTCGAAAAGACCGAAGCCCATGTCCTCATCGGACTCCTCCTTCTCCTCCTCCTTCTCCTCAGCGGCGGGAGCGTCAGCAGCACCACCGGCAGCGGCGGCAGGGGCGGCAGCACCGCCAGCACCACCGGAGGGAACGGAGGCGAGCTTGGTGGAACCCTCAGCGATCAACTGTAACCACGTAGTTAGTATGTTATGTTCGGATGATTCAAAGGTCGTGGTTGTAACTAACCTCCTGGAGGTTCTTGCCCTTGAGCTCAGAGATGAGCTTGTCGAGGCGCTCGGAGTCGGCATCGATACCGACGGAGGAGAGGACACCCTTGATGTCGGCGGCAGAGGGAGACTCGTTGCCAGCCAGGGACAGGAGGAGGTAAGCGGCGAGGTACTTCATTTTGATAGACTATCGCAAAAACTTGTTGTCAGCCTCAAGAGTCGAGTATTGAAGTTTGCGAACAGTGCGCCGGTACTGAGGTTGATGCATGCAGGCAGCGAGACACATACCTTTTTGTTTTTCGTCTAGAACAGGAGAAACAATCGATTTAACCGCGAATTGGGCGGAGACTGCAACGTCGAGTTCGGAGGGTGGTTGAGAAACTGAACAGAGCGGGCTGTGAAAATCGAGGGAAAAGTGCGATGCGGATGGTTGTGGCTGTGCCACCGCCCGGCAGAAAGTAATAAGCGAGTGTGGCGCGAAGCCACGTGACCAGTTGGCATCTCGAAAGTTCAAGGCTGTTGTTCTTTCGATCCCCCTCATTCACTGCCTGCTTTGTCTTTAAATAGCAGAGAAGATCGACTGGGGACCCGTTTCTCATCCCGCCATTTCCTTTGTCCTCCTCCCAAGTCTAAGGTCGCAGATCGTCCGACCAGACATCGTTATATATGGTTTCACGTTGGGAGTCATGAAGCTGCCTAGTCGAACTAATCATCGACGATAAACGGTACTTCTACTCTTTATCGCATCCCAGATACCGCCAACGCATATATTTCCGCTTTCTAAAGCCAAAAATGAGTGTACGGCTATCATTTCTTTCCATCTGACCGTCCCTTATCTAACGTCTCGACTAGTTTCTCGACTCCGTTCTCACGTCTCTTCAGACGGGGAAGCCGGCTCAAGCCCCACTTTCTCAACCACCGGCGCCGCCAGCTACATCCACGACCGTTAAAAACGTCGATCGCAAGCCAGGAATTCCTACACCGCGGCCAGCAGCAAGCGGAAATGCCAGTGGAGGAATAAAGCGCAAGGCCGAGGACCAGCTTTCCCGTCCATCGCGGCCTGAAGGTCCAAAGTCCGGTACTTCAACCAGCAACAGGCCTTCGGTACCATCTGGAACGCCTAGAGTTGTGCCCAAGCCAATCTCTGCTACCAACCTGAAGCCTTCATCACCCAGACCTGCCCCCAGGAATGGCTCCGGGGCAGCCACCAAAGCTGCACCTGCAAAGATTGCACCTGCGAAGGCTGCACCTCCAAAGCCGGCAGCTGCACCATCAAAGCCACCGCCAAAAGGCTCCTTTGCTGAGATCATGGCTCGGGCCAAGGCGTTGCAAGATCAAGCCCCGGCACAGGTGGGCATGCTACGTCATCAGGCTGTTCCCAAGGAGAGACTCAGCAAGGTCGAGCGCAAGCGCCGAATGATGGAAGCTCAGGCGCAGGAAAAAGCTGCTCGCCGTCCAGGCCAGAAGCCTGCACCTGGTGCCCAGCCAATCAAGGGTAAAATGCCCGCAAAGAAGCCATCGCCTGAAGTGCCCTCGTATAAAGGCACAGCCAAGCCACCACCGAAGGCGCTCGAAGCTTCCTCATACCGTGGCACGGCTGGACTTCCAGGCCGCGGTGGCAATGACCGCCGGACAAACGGAAAGCGTCGCATGGACGAGTACCTCGGAACAGACGAGGAAGACGAGGGCGACTACAATGGCTACGACGACTACTACTCTGACGCATCCTCCGACATGGAGGCTGGCTTTGATGATGTAGAGGGAGAAGAAGATGCAGCACTGAGGTCTGCACGGAGAGAAGATGAAAAAGAGTTGGCAATGGAGATGGCGGCGAAGAGGGAGAAGCTGGAGCGCCAGAAGAAACTGGCCGCTCTGGCATCCCGAACCAAGCGTTGATCTGTTCGGGGTTGTCAAAATGCATTGTAAGCTTTCATTTATAATTTCTTTTGTTTTGGGAGGGTCTTTTTTGCTGAGCATTATGAGCGATTTTTGTTGCCCTTGGGTAAACACTCGATTTTTGCGAACATTATCCATAGCGGGCGTCATACCAATACCAAATCTGCTTTGTTTCGGGCTTTTAACCTATCTTAAATTGCACCGGGGCTATCCGTTGTAAATGTCATCTTTGTACTTCATAGTGATCACGGGCAAGTGAGAATCAAGTTAACTTGAGAAGTGTACAGTATAAACCTGTCGGGCCCCACTTCGCGGTGACATCACCCGTTGGGGATTACTCGCCTTCAGATCATCTCTACATTTCCTACCTAAGTTCCTTCATTCTATTCCTCATTCATATTCACAATGGAGTCCGTTCACCATGTAACGACCTCGTCGAAGGTCCTCTTCACCAGGGTGCGCAAGATGGTGCCCCCCATGCTCGAAAAGTTCCACAAAGGTCTGTTGTCATCGAGCGCCCTAGATTTACAGTAATCAATGGCTCGGTCAGTGTCAATCATAAAACTAGATCCTAATAAAGCTCTTTTAGGTCAATTGGGACGTATAGCAGTCATTGGAGGATGTGCTGAGTATGTCCCTCAAGTTCCCGGCTGGGACGTTAAGCTGACCCCGCCGAAGCTACACCGGAGCCCCATACTTCTCGGCCGCTGCTTCAGCCAAATTAGGTACGTATCGAGACCTTGTCCGAGAATCCAGGAACAGTCGTTGACCTTAGGATATCATAGGATGTGATATGGTACGTGGGCAGATTGCTGGTTGCGAATCTGCGGTGCTAACAATCTCCAGAGCCATGTCGTCTGTGAACGTTCAGCGGCCCCAGTATGTTCAATCCTTTGATGGAGCACCGGTATGGTTGACTGATAAGCCTCTAGGTTGTCAAGAGTTACTCTCCAAACCTAATGGTGCATCCGCTATTGCCGAGCACGGAATCTGTTAAAGACCCCAACTCGATTGATGCCTCCGCTCTCGCGGGCCCCATCATCGGCATGCTTTCTCGTCTTCATGCACTTGTGATCGGACCAGGACTTGGTCGCGACGGGGTCACGCTCAAGGTAGTGGCCGAAGTGATCAAAGAAGCACGCTCACGATCTATCCCATTTGTGCTGGATGCCGACGGACTTATGATTGTGACAGAAGACCCCAACCTCATCAAAGGTTACAAGGAGTGCATTCTGACCCCAAACGTCGTCGAGTTCGGGCGTCTCGCCAAGGCCTTGGGTGTCAAAGTGGCCAGTCAGGCGGAAATCACCCAAGAAGGAAACGGCGACAAGACCAGCAAGGAATCAGCTGCTTGCGAAGAGCTGTCCAAAGCCCTCGGGGGCGTGACAATCCTTCAAAAAGGACCTCACGACGTGATCTCTAACGGAGTCACGAGCATCGTATCCGATATCAAGGGAGGACTGAAGCGCAGCGGCGGTCAGGGAGATACCCTGACGGGCTCGCTAGGCACCCTGCTCGCCTGGCGAATGGCTTACCACGACAAGCTGTGGGACTCGGGTGAGCAAGATAATGCGAAGGAGGCCCAGACCAGGGATGAAGTTCAGGCTGAGCTCGAGTCCGACAAGCGGATGTCCTCGACGACGACGCTGCTTCTTGCTGCATGGGCTGGAAGCAGTCTTACTAGAGAGTGCTCGCGGAAGGCCTTTGAGACCAAAGGGCGCAGCCTGCAGGCTAGTGACCTGACCGATGAGGTGCACGGGGCTTTCCTGAGGCTGATTGGAGAGCCGGAATCGAAGACGCATCTCTAGGTTGGCACCTGGTGGCTGATCGCTGGTCAGGGAGGATGTACGGACCTCACACCCTGGCCCTAGTATTCATGTCTCACCATCATCTCTTTTTATTTTCGCGCTGAATCAATAAAGATCATTAAATGCTCTCTGTTTCTCGCCCTGTTTGGCGTAAGCTTTGACAGTAGAGGTCAAAGCTGACAGTAGCCGATTTACTACGACACTACCGACTCGCATGTAGACAACGTCATATGTCTCTACATATACGGGCGTAAACAAGGAAGAAAGTTCACCAAGGCGGCATAGTCCCTGGATCAGATCTCGTTCCTTGAGGCAAGAATAGCACACGAGAACATCAGCGTGTACCTCCGCGATTGGCTCGCATACTGCGCACATAGCAGTGGATACATTATGCCTCACATAATAGCCACGGATGAACTCTACATTCAGGCGTCCTATTGTCTGCCTAAATTGCCGAGAAGCAAGCACTGCATCTCGCCAGCCCAAGTTGTAGTAGTTCGTGTCGATCACGATGCCACGCCATGGCTGCATTGTATTACTTGGGCGGCGGGGTCTATGCAGATGTTTAGGTCGATGAATTTAAAACAGGACCAACACCGTGTACGAACATGCCATGTGGGAAATAGATTCCCAATTTGAAAACGTAAGACGAAGTGCCGACGACCCCACATCCCCACCGGTAGTTTAATTGGGTGAAATTTCTTTTATTGAGGCGTTTTTGGTGATCCCTGTCATACCCCGGAATGCTCGATCTCGGGACTCCAGCCTGACGGGGAACAAAATAATATTGAAAGAATGAGAATTGCCATTCAATAATCAAAGCACTACAATGCGCTTCGGAGCGGTGTGACACAACTGCAGCGACAGGTCAACCCCTTCCCCACATCCTGTATAAGGGACTCGGGGAAAGTCAGGATCGCGATCCGGGTCGAGTTAGGGCTAAGGAAAATGAGACATCCACCCCGCGCTCACCCCGACACCTCTATTTCTAGAACGGCAGTAGCAGCACTCGACCCCGGCATTGAGCTGGCGAGCCATCGATCTCAGCCTCGTGGACAGGCATTGGTGGTGTCTCGAGATCCTGATCCAGATCTCGTATTCGCGGCTCGCCCAATCCCGGCCCCGTCTGCATCTCCGGCCTATCCGAGCGCGGGGAGCAGTACTGCAGGACATACCCGAGGCTGAACAGAGGTAATGACAACCATATGCTACCACTACCAAGTAGCCAAAGTTCAAGACAGCAAGGCCGTGCTGATGACCTCGTGATGAGCTGGTAGGCTCAGAGGCCGAGTTGCCACCCAAAACCGGAACCCGATCTATACGGGGTCTGCAGACGGCAAGTATAAAAAGAAGCTCGGTTGCCATCAAGCCACCATATCACACCATACCAAACCATACCAGACCTCTTCACACAATGCAATTCACCCTCCTGGCAGTCCTGACCGCGGCCACTCTGGCCTTGGCCAACCCAACTCCGCCCAAGTGCGGCACCTGCAACCCTATTTCGGGCCAGAACAGCTGTGACATCACCACCTCGTGCATCAACACGGGCTCGACCTTCCACTGCGCCTGCCGTGCCGGTTACAAGGCTTCCGAGGCCAACAATAATATCCACTCGCAGTTCCGTCTGCCCATGCCCAACTACGAGTTCCTCGTCTTTGTCCCGGAGAACACCGTGTGCAATACGCTCTGTGATAACCCTTATGCTACTCCCTCGGAGCTGTGCAATGAGGTGCACCTGTATGAGAACTGTGCTGTTTAAGATGGTTGGGTTGGAGAGCGGGTGGCTCGCGTATTGAGATGCTAGGTTGGGGGAAGTGGTGGGCGTTCAGACCATGTAGTATGGCATGTCACTCCTTGAGAATAAAATTAGTTTTGCAGACTACATCAAAATGCTAAGTGACGGTATATTGGACCCCGAAAACAACTACTTTTGACGCCATTTTTTGCGCGGCTCTTGAACCTCCCCAACTAGGCTTAGGCTCGCCTTGTCTTAACTTTATCCTGATTCGCACCACCTCAAGCTTCTAGCTTTGACTTATTTTAGAAATCTACTTAGCACCTATTCTAATCTTCGTTTTATCTTTTCTAATGTCCTAAATAATGTCCTAAAAACGTCTTTAACAACGTCTTTCATAATGTCTTTCATAATGTCTTTCATAATGTCTTTCATAATGTCTTTTATCCTTTCGACACCTATTTTATCACTTATATTCCCCATAAAGATATCTCGTGCCCCTTCTATAGCGGGAGTATAAACCACCTCTGAAAGCTCTCCTCTATAGATTATCACTCTTAAGGGAAGGTTTGACATAATAGAGTCTGTCCTTAAAAAACTTCCGCCTCCTCATCAATGATCGTGAGTGTGACCAGAGAAAGGGTCTCTAGCTGTTTCTCTTATTTTATCAGATCTAGCGAACGAAGATTTTGGAGAAGCCCAATAAGGGTAAGTACCACCATCACCAGAAACTTCTGGTTGCCGTCGCTTACCCCGCAAACGCCTGGTATACAGAGGTCGTTCTGTGTATGGCTCTGATTGGGGCAAAAACATTCCACCTCGTTTATCGCTTGAGGCCCAAACCAATCTTATTCAAAAATCCAATGATCCAAAAAGTGACCTTCAAGTTTTGATCATGACTTACGAAATCGTCCTTTGACCAGTTCCGCGGTTATGTGCTAGCGAAGAAGGCTAGTCTCCAGCTGGCCATCAATGCGTAAGTTCCTGCCATCGCTAATCCTATGGTCCGGCTATTGAACCGTCTGCAGATCCACCTTGATGCCATTCATAACATTCTCGAAGAAGAACTAGAAGCCATGCGAAAAAAGGCCAAAACAGGCGTGGGAAAACAGATATTGAGTCTTGTCTTTTAACTCGTCTTTTTAACTTATCTTTTTAACTTATCTTTTTAACTTATCTTTCAAACTTGTCTTCCAACTTGGCTTTCAACTCGTCCTTTTCACCTATCTTCTAACTTATCTTCTAACTTATCTTTTTCACTTGTCTGTCATCTTATCTTTCATCCTCCAGACACCTGCTTTATCACTCTCGCATTCCCTACATCAATTTCTCGCGCCCCTTCTATGGCGGGAGTATGAACCGCCTCTTAGAGGTCTCTAGAAGAAGAGTATGTAGCTTGTTGAAGAGGAATTCGGGCTTAGATTACTATTTGATTAGCTATAAAGGGAACTTGGACGAAGAAAATAGCTAATATCATATCAGGGCTTTTTGATCAACTTTCAAGATTGTGAATCAAATAGATTTCGCAGACTACAATTCCAAGGCACCAAGATTCGGCAAATTAAAGTAGATTGGGAATAAAATCTTTTGATTGGCCAAACAAATCACAAGAGCCGGCTTCCTGCCCCGTGAATACACCTAAACACCTATTGCCTAAAGACTTCCAAGACTTCCACTGAATGCATTGTATCATACGCAAAGCCCAGTCAACCTCGAAAAGAAAAAAAAGGAAAAAAGAAACATCTCATTAGCCTTGCATCTCATCATCACCACCTTCGATAAACATAAGACGCGAGCCATTGCCAATAGTTTGCCAGACCTGTGAAGGAAGTCAGTGATGTGTTCGAATAAATGAGGGGTAGATTGAAAACTTACGCCCAACTCGGTGTATTCATAGAGAGCAGTGGTAAGCTGGTCCTCGGTGAAGCCCTTGGCCAACACACGCTCACGGATGCGCCGTACGCTAAGCTCGTTGTCATCACCGTCACCAACAGCCGCAGCACCACTCTCCCGCAGATTGCGGATCATGGTGTAGATCTTGCTGCTAGGGGTGTGGTCGGCAGAGGCATCGCCGTCGTTGTACAGGGAAGCCTTGCTAACTTCAATGAGACGCAACGCCTCATCAACATCCTCACGGACAACTTCTTCAGCGAAGCGAAGACGAGCCAGAGCCTGCGAGAGACGGACAATACCCAGCAGGGTACGGGGTGTGACATGAGAGAACTGTTGGCGGCGAGCCTCGTCCTTCTTTTGTCTCTTGCGCATAGCGACGTATGCACCAACCATGTAATCAGAGACGGTGGTAGGGACGACAGGGCGGAAGGTGCGAGCCTTGGCGACGTACTGACGGACCTCGTGGGGAGTGAACATAATACCAGAATCCTCGGATTCGGGGTGCTTATTGTGCATGTGGACATAAGTAACGTGGCTTGCCAGCTCCTCATCACCTTCCCGCGTGGGTGTATCCAGCAGCAGGAACATGACATCGAAACGGGAAAGCAGAGCGGCGGGGAGGTTGATATTCTCCACAGGGGACAAACGTGGGTTGTAGCGGCCATACAGGGGGTTGGCCGCGGCCAGGATCGAAGTGCGAGCGTTCAAGGTGGTATTAATACCGGCCTTCGAGATAGAAATGGTCTGCTGTTCCATCACCTCGTGAATGGCGGTACGATCTCCGTCTTCCATCTTGTCGAACTCATCAATACAGCAGATGCCATTGTCGGCAAGGACCAGTGCACCCCCCTCCAACATCATCTCATCAGTAACGGGATCTCTCATGACGGCAGCAGTCAGACCGACACCACTGCTACCCCGGCCAGTAGTGTAAACACCACGGGGAGCAACCTTGGTAATGTATCGAAGCAGTTGGGATTTGGCCACACCGGGGTCACCCATCAGGCAAATGTTGATGTCACCACGAATGTGCATACCGTCACCCATTTCCTTCGTCACACCACCGATCAAAAGCAGGAGCAAAGCCTTCTTCACATCAAGATGTCCGTAGATCTCGGGGGCGATCGATCGCGAGAGGTACTCGTACATGTTGCCGGAGTTTTGGTGCTGTTCAATCTTGCGCAGGGTTCGGCTGTCCATGCCCATATCGTTGTAGGACTTCTTGTGCTGGGTGATGTGTTGGGCCTCCAGGTAGGTGTCGGTCAGGAGACCGGCACGAATGGCGCGGAAACCAGTGTAGGGGGTAGGGAGGAAGATGCCTGCGATATCAACCACATCACCGGGGTTCAGCTGTCGGGTCTGAGCACCGTGGCAATGGACAGTGAGGGTACGGGGAATGTGGCCCACGGGCACCTGGTCTGCCATTTCCTGAATCTTAACCTCCTGGAAGGGCACAAACTTCGAGGCACGGGTAGAAAGGAAGAGCTGTCCCTTGGAGTTGTTCTTCTTGCACTCCTCAGACAAGCACTCGGAAAGAGGAAGGAATTGTTTGGTAACGATGGGCTGGAAGACTTCGCATCCGCATCGGTCGCAAGTGTAGGCGTTGATCTGGACAGCCGGCTTCACATCCGAGACACGGGTGGTAATACCGCGGACAGTAATCAAGCTACCCAGGTGTTCTCCGCGCACATTACGGACGGCGAATGCCTTACCCGCACGGTCGCTGCTCGATCCGGAGGGTGTGAGCGGCTTGAAGTTGAGGGTGTACCGGCGGGTGAGCTCCGGGGGGAACATGGACGCAGCAGGTGTAGCATCCATATCAGCCTCCGCGGCCATCTCCATGGTCTCGTTGCGCTTCTCACGCTGAGACATGATGACATCCAGGACATCGTCCTTGAACCTGTGCCAAGTTAGCTCGGCGAATGCAATTGTGCCGCTATCCATTGACGTACGTGATATCCTTAGTCTCCTTGGGCATGACCGCATCCACCGCCTGTGAGAAAACATCGATATAGCGCTTGGTGTTCTTTTGGATCGAGCCGACCAGGTTCAGGTTCTGCTGCTCCTCCGGCAGGGCTTTCTCGAACTGTAGTCCAAAGCTTGTGAGCAATTGCAGTCACTGAGATCGATATTTGAGCAGACTTACGATTTCCAAATCGTCAAGCTCAATCACAATATTGGAGCTATCCCGGTTGGCAAGGTCTTGCAGAATCTGCATGTACTTGAGTTTCGGCTCTTTGCGCCTCCTTGCTCCCGCCCCCTCATCCTCAATATCATCCATGAAATCATACTCATCACTGGTGCGGTTGCCGTCAATGTTCAAGTCCTCCAACGCCTCGGTCGCAGCGGCTTCCGAGGACGACTGAAGAGTCTTGAAGTGCTTCAGGAAGTCCTTGAAGGCATCCAGTTGGGCGGCATAGTCAACCGGGGCCTGATATTGGTTCAAAGCCATGGTGGGATGAGATGCGCTCAATTATCAAGCTTGGATGACAAGCTTGTTGCAAGGAGAACACAAAGTGGTGGAAAGTGGGTTCCCGAGAAGAAAGGCCCGACGCAGCCCCTTCGCCGCGTGAGAACGTGAGAACGTGAGACGCGAACGCGAAAAGACGCGTCAGGGAATGCGCGCTAGGCCGTATCGGGACTAGTCCAGGTACATCGGATTAACCAATTTATCCGTGTCCAGTCACGTGGACCGTACCGGGCCGAGGCAATGAGCCAATACTCCGTGAGCGGCTGTGTGGAGGAGCTAATCCGGGGCTTTGCGATCAGACATCCCACTCCTTCATCCTTCCTGTGTGAGCGACAGCACCTCTGCGCCTTGACCATGGCGCCCAAAAAGCCCTCTACCACGGCGGAAGTCGCTCTCGTACCGTTGAAGAACTGTCTCGTGAACCTACCGCCGTCGCTAGTTGCCTTGCTGGTCAATGCCAACACGGTCAGTTAGCCAGCTCACCGAATGCCTCCTTTCCAGCTAATTTGAAGTTTCCCAGATTCCTCAAAATGTGATCATTGAATTGCAGTACAAGTCCACCTCCGGAAAGGCCAATGGGGCGCCCCCGCAGCGATCATGCTTCTTGGGCTGGACGGGCATGCCGAGCAAGCGCAAGCCCGCGCCCGTCGTCGGCCGAGATGGCATCAGCAGTGGCTACTCCAGGGAGCAAGAGGCCTCCAGTGTGGAATTAGATACTACGTTCGGAAGGCTTCTTGGTCTCACCGAAGGGCAGAAGGTATGTTCTCCGCACCGTATATTATGTCGCACGTGGGGTATTGACTCAGCGCCTTACAGGTTGGACTACTCGTACATCTTGACCCGCCTATCGCGCATACAATCAATATTGAACCATTGACCCCTGAGGATTGGGAAAGTATGTCTATGCCTTTATCCGCCACATTTGAACTTCGGGCTAATTGCCGTCGCTGCAGTCATCGAGCTTCATGCCACATTCCTGGAACTTAATCTCCTTTCGCAGATCCGTGCGCTTCCAAATCCTACATACAATACAACAGAAGGCGAGCATATGCATCCGCTCGCTCTGCACCTTTCCCCGACATCTACCGCGAACATCGTCGTTACCTCGCTTACACCTTCCCCACCAAATACATCCCCGTTCGCGAAAATCTCGCCCGATGCAGAGGTCATCGTGGCACCGAAGACCCGTGCGAAGACCGCGAAGTCGCCCCGGAGTACTGCAGGGAGCAGCAGGAAGAGCAATGGGGGCCGAAGTTCGGGGAGTACAGTTCGCCCGAAGAGCCGGTCTGACTCGAGGGGCGCTCTCTACTTGAGAGGCGTGGATCGCCTAGTGGCTGATCAATCGTTTGATCCAGAGATCGAAGAGGATGAAAATGACGGTCTACGTGTTTGGGTTGACCCGGAATTGTTGGCATCCAACGAACTCCGGGGCGCGACCTGGGCGTGCGTATCAATTGTGCAGCCCGCTGGCCTCAAGCCTCCAGTGGATCCCCAACAGCAACTTGCTCAGCAGGAGCAAAAATCCAGTGAGGCCGGATCTCCGACCAACAAGCTCGTAGCGAAGCTGCTGCCGTGGGAGGAAGCCCCGGACAGTCGGCATGCGGCGATGTCCACTCTGCTGTGCACGGCCCTTGGCGCCGAACATATAGTGGGGGGAATCGTGCGGGTGGAGGCCGCACCACCCCAACTACATCGGTCCGCGGTCAAGACACTCAAAGTGTATCCGTTTACGGGCGATGCGTCCAAGAAAAAGGATGGTTTGAAATTCGGAGCTGATACCGCGGCCTCTCGGGATGCCTTGGCCGAGCGCCTCAAGGTTATCTATGGCAGCACTGGTTCCGATATTGGTCTTTTCGCCGGCCCATTGACCGATGGAATGATTCTACCAAAGGTTGAGAGCCATCCGTCGGTTTCTGCCTTTGATGGCGCTATTATTCGATTTGACCCTCCCCTGAAGGGTAGCCCCGATGAGTCTAAGCCGATGTTTGGGTGGCTTCTGGGATCTGAAGCGAAACTCAACTTTGAAGTGCAAGCCGAAATCCCGAAGCCGTCTGATTCGAACTCCTCTGCTCTACCAAGCGATGATCCTCTGCCGAATATCGTTCCTCAGATGGTTGGAATTGATTCGATCATCTCTCAATCGCTCACCAACTTAACCAAATCTTCATCGGTCTTGTTGACTGGTGGCCTTGGAGCTGGAAAGACAGCACTCGCTCAACTCCTGGGTCATCGCCTACGGAAAGAACATCTCTTCAACGTCAAGTACTTCTCTTGCCGCAAACTCGTCACAGATGAGACTCGGATCTCCAACATCAAAGAAGTCTTGAACCGCCTGTTCATGTCTGCTTCTTGGTGTTCCCGTCTCGGCGGTCAAGCTGTAGTAATTCTTGACGACCTTGATAAGCTCTGCCCTGCGGAGACGGAACTGCAAGTTGGTGGAGACAATGGTCGCAGTCGCCAAAACAGTGAAGTCATTTGCTCCATGGTTCGAGAGTACTGTTCCATGAACTCGTCCGTCGTGCTGCTGGCCACCGCTCAAGCTAAAGAGTCTTTGAACAATGTTATCATTGGCGGGCATGTCGCCCGTGAGATCATCAACTTGCGGGCCCCAGACAAGGAGGGACGACGAAAGGTTTTGGAGAAGCTTACTAGCCAAGACAGAGCCACCGAGCAACTCAATGGCCACATTCGACCGCAGAGCTCTTCTACTCAAAACACACAAGATTCATGGCTCGACCCTTCAAATCCTGGCAGCCGGCCAAGCTCTTCTGGCGGTGATGGATTTGTGTTGAGTCGGGACGTGGACTTCCTCGAGCTGGCTGGAAAGACCGATGGATACATGCCCGGCGATCTTGTGCTGCTGGTTGCTCGCGCGCGCAACGAAGCACTTATTCGCTCTGTTCAAGATTTGTCGGCTGAGTCTAAGATGATCAACTTTGGATTCGAGGACTTTGAGAGTGCCCTGAAGGGCTTTACTCCAGCATCCCTCCGCAATGTCACCCTCACTTCGTCTACGACCACATTTTCTGCTATCGGTGGTCTCTTCGAGACTCGCCAGACCCTGCTTGAGACCTTGCAGTATCCGACCAAGTATGCACCGATTTTCGCACAGTGCCCGCTGCGACTGCGGTCTGGTCTGCTCCTGTACGGTTTCCCCGGTTGTGGCAAGACAATGTTGGCCAGCGCCGTGGCAGGTGAATGCGGCTTGAACTTCATCAGTGTCAAGGGTCCTGAGATTCTGAATAAGTATATTGGTGCCAGTGAAAAGAGCGTTCGCGATCTTTTCGAGCGAGCGCAGGCGGCCCGCCCTTGTATTCTCTTTTTCGACGAATTCGACAGTATCGCGCCGAAGCGTGGCCACGACTCCACGGGTGTCACTGATCGTGTGGTCAACCAGCTTCTAACACAGATGGATGGTGCCGAGGGTCTCTCGGGTGTGTATGTTCTTGCTGCAACATCTCGTCCTGACTTGATTGATCCGGCTCTGTTGCGTCCTGGTCGTCTTGACAAGTCCCTGCTTTGTGACATGCCTTCCCACGCAGACCGCGTCGACATCGTCAAGGCAGTAAGTGAGAAGCTGAAGATGAACGACGAGGTTGCGTCTCGTCTGAGTGAGATTGCCGATCAGACAGAGGGCTTCTCTGGCGCTGATCTTCAGGCGGTTGTGTACAATGCTCATTTAGAGGCAGTGCACGACGCGCTGGGCGACCACACTACCGGAAACGAAAAGCCTGGCTCCAAATCCAGCGCCACGAAGAACTCCGCCAGTGCCTCTACTAGATCCTTCATCCAATTCCTCTACTCGTCCTCGGAGGAAGCATCTGGCTCAGTTTCGATGCCACCTCCAGCCGTGGTCGCAGCAAAGCTCGAAGCTATCAAGAACTCTCGCCGTCGTCAACGCCAGCTCGAGAACGGCACAGCCAATACCGGCTCTGGTGCTACCGCTGCCCCGGCTACCAACGGTGCTGATACATCTGCCGACGAGCTGCGAGATGAGATTATCGTCCGGTGGGAGCATGTTGAGCGTGCTCTCGCTACCACGCGTTCTTCCCTCAGCCCGGCCGAGCGCCGACGCTTGAATGGCATCTACCGAGAGTTTGTTGCAGGCCGGAATGGCGAGATGCCCAACGGAGAACCCTCAAATGAGATTGGTGGCCGGTCGAGTCTGATGTGATCTGACTTTGCCATTTCGCTGCCTGGTAGATATTTCACCTTGTATATATACATTTGCATGTTGCTTTTACGCTCCCATTGTGTACCTATTGTTTACTGGCATGAATCATACCAGCATTTAGAGCATCCATGATCTCCCACAACTATGTAGTTTTCGAAACAGTCGATCGCGGATGGTGTAATATGTGCTCCAATGGCAGAGGTTCTCATTCCCTATCCAAGGCATACTGAACAAGCCTCTCCAGCTTCCTCCACTCAGCACTCACAACAGCCTTCTGAGTGCTCGGATCAATACCGTGCGACTTGAACTCGTTGTGCACCTGAGCAAAATTGGCCCCAACAAGTTTCTTAAAGCTCGGCACGGTACAGCTCTCCGGCTGTCTACTAGCTAGATCAGCAAGGATATACCACAAGATATAGTGAAAATTAATCCCAAAGTCCTGCAACTGGATCGGGTCTCTGGGGCTAGGCTCGCCTCCTTGGGAGATATAGATAGCAAGCTTTGCGAGGATCCAAGCGTGGATATGTCTTATCGGATGCGCCGGACTATACAACTCCGGGTCGACACGAAGGTACCGAATCGCAGCCTGGATGAATGCTTTATGGAACTTATCCCCCGCTAGAAGGGAAACGATGAGCTGGTCGCGGATAGAGGCGTAGGGTTGGCGAGTTAGCGGCCAAACGGAGCTTTTATGGAGGGCGTGCAGTGCGGATTCGAGGCATGCGATTGTTTCGTCTGGCTTCGCGTCGGAGGCGGAGGCGGACTGCATGAGTTCTAGTGCCTGACGCTCGGCTTCTTCCAGGACCGATGTGTCTTCTACCGGCTTAGAGAAACGGTCTTCTGGGGTGTCTTTGCCTTTGGCGCATTTCGGGCATTGGCAGTCGAAGAAGTAGCGCTCGATTAGTTCTTTCCGCCGGACTTCGTTTGGGGTTGTAGTGTCGATGTAGGAGACAAAGATTTGCTCGTTCTTTTTGATAGGTCGAATGGCTTTGACGAAGATTTCTTCGCCGTCGAATCCGACTGTAGCATTGTAGTCGCAGCTGTGGTTGATCAAGGAGGCGTACGGATGCAAGTACAATCCGATTCGATCATAGAGTGCAGTGGTAAGGTTGAATGAGTTGAGATCCAACTGAGAGTTTCCTATTAGCCATGTATATTTAAGAATAGTGGAACACTTACTCTAGCGGCATAGGCCGCGATGTCGTCGTGGGTCATATCAGACTGGGAGTACTCCTTGACAGCCTTAGCTGTCAAATTGACGCGATCAAATTGCGCTTGGATTTCTTGGATCTGGCTCATATGAGTCTCCAGACCATTGAAAATTTCCAGCTCCCGTGGGCTGTATTTGCCGCGTCCGGTGCGCAGAACCATCCGCAGAAGAGCTCGGGCATTGTTCGGGAGCACCATGGGTTTGAGCTTCTGGAAAATGGGGCATTCCATAGAGTGTGCAAATTTCCAATCTTTTGATTGACAAGGCTGTTTCCATTTTTCTTAGCATAATTCCTAATATAAACTCCGAGGCCAACCAAGAGGAGAGAGAAAAAAGCCGATTTGAGGGGAGACAAAACAGTCAAACTAAACCATCAACAGATACGAATTGAAAACTCACCCTATCACAGTACTTGACCACACGGCATCCCGTACATGCCTTCAAATCGGCTCCTCCCTCCATCTGCTTCTTCCCAAAGCAGCCGGAACAGGTATCCTCCAGACGCGGTGAGTCGAGCACCGCGACGAAGGGCACTGCGGCATGCACTACATCTTCGCCAACTTTAATATCTGATGTTGCGAACAACCCATTGCCCATGCCATCGGGGGCAGAGCGGGGCTCTGTCCTCGTCGTCACGGAAGGCAAAGACGTTGACATCCTTGCGTAGTTGAACAGTTTATATCATCTGAAGCTTCTAACTGCGGTGTCGTTGGGTGTTAGTCAGCATATTTTTCATCAGCGCCTCAGGCTGAAAGTGGGATGATAGTTTACCCAAGTAGTTAAAAGAAGAGTTTTACGTGAATGATGTGAAGATTGGCGAATAGAATACACCATGAAATAAATATATAGGAAACCTTGAAACGTTCTTTTGTCGCTGAAACACAAAACCAACTACAATAACAAAAAACCCGGAAAACAGGCACAAACCCAATTCGTCAGATATAGAACCACCAGGGCGCTGGGAGCAGCCTCTGCATCTTTCCACGCCCTTGTCTCGCCGCGTGGAAAAGGCCGGAAATAGAAATCGACAATTTGGGTAACCCAGCACACTCAAAACGAAGAGGAAAATGCACGCCGTCTATCAACAGGTACCATACCACAACACCGTACGGAAAAGCCGGGTATACTCTCGATCCGAAGGGCCAAGAAGTGCCGCTAGGCGCTGGGGCTTCTTTTGTCTTTTTGTGCAAGGGATTTCATCATTTACAGCAGCTTGCCGCCAACGAAGTCGGACCAGCTGCGGACCTCGGTGGGGATGCCCTCGGCGCGGGGGAGCTTCTCGTTCATGCACTGAGCGAAGAGCTGGGCGGTCTATTGAGGTAGTTAGAATCTGGTACGATGATACATGATATGAAAGGAAAGGAACATACCTTGGGCTCCATGAAGAGGGGAACGCCGAAGTCGACCGCGTTACGGCGCATAACGTAGTCCTCATCAAGCTGGGTCTTGCCACGGGTCTTGGCCAGGTTGAAGACACCACGGACGTCGTACTTCTGGAAGACCTCACGGAGAGCACGCTTGTCCTTCTTGGGGAACTCGATGACCTGGACGGAGACGTTGTCCTTGCAGGTCTTCTCGAGGTGGTTCTTGACCTCGGGGTTGGCGGCGAAGAACTTGTAGCCGAGGGGGTGCAGGTAATCGACGACGGCAGCCAGGGCGGGCTGGTTGATGTCACCGCCAAGGAGGATACCCTCACCAGGCTCGGGCATGCGGAAGTTCATGGTGGACTGGAGCGAGGCCCAGTAGGCCTCGACCAGGTCCTTACCGAAGCAGGCAATCTCACCGGTGGAAGACATCTCGACGCCCAGGAAGGGGTCGGCACCGGCTAGACGGGTCCAGGAGAACTGGGGAACCTTGGTGGCGAGGTAGTCACGCTTCTCGCTCATGAGATCAACGGGCTTGGGGACATCACGGCCTACAAGAGCCTTGGTGGCAACGTCAATGAAGTTGGTACCCAGGACCTTGCTGACGAAGGGGAAGGAGCGCGAGGCACGGAGGTTGCACTCGATGACCTTGAGCTGGGGCTCAGCACCCTCCTGGTCGGCCTTGATGATCTGCATGTTGAAGGGACCGGTGATCTTCCAGGCCTTGGCGACCTTCTGGGCGATCTCCTTGACGCGGGCCATGATAGACTCAGGCAGGTTGACCGGGGGAAGGACGAGAGTGGCATCTCCAGAGTGGACACCAGCAGGCTCAATGTGCTCGGAGACGGCGTGGAGGAGCAGCTCACCGTTGGAAGCGACAGCGTCGACGTCGATCTCCTCGGCACCCTCAATGAACTTGGTGATGACGACAGGATGGTCAGGAGAGACAGCACTGGCATTGAGGAGCTTCTCTTTCAACTCATCGACACCGTAGATGACGTTCATGGCAGCACCAGACAGAACGTAACTGGGGCGGACCAGGACGGGGTATCCAACACTCTCGGCGAACTGCTCCGCCTCGGAGACGGAGGTCAGCTCCTTCCAGGCGGGCTGGTCAACACCAATGCTGTCCAGGATCTGAGAGAACTTGTGACGGTCCTCAGCCTTGTCAATGTCCTGAGGATCGGTACCCAGAATCTTGGCACCACCAGTCTCCTGCAAACGCAGAGCAATGTTCTGGGGCAGCTGGCCACCGACAGAGACGACGACACCGGTAGCGCTCTCGAGCTCGTAGATATCCATCACACGCTCGTAGCTCAGCTCCTCGAAGTACAGCTTGTCAGCGGTATCGAAGTCAGTCGAGTAGGTCTCGGGGTTGTAGTTGATCATGACAGTCTTCTTGCCCATGCTGCGCAGAGACAGTGTGGCGTTCACAGCGCACCAGTCGAACTCGACGGAGCTACCAATACGGTACACACCGCTACCCAGGATGAGAGTGCCGTGGTCATCGAAAGTGACATCGTGGGAGGAGGCGTTGTAGGTGGTGTACAGGTAGTTGGTGTCCGCAGGGAACTCAGCAGCCAGGGTATCGATCTTCTTAACCCAGGGGGTGATACCGAAGGACTTGCGGCGAGCGCGAACCTCGTCTTCGGAGCAGCCAACCAGGAGAGAGATCTGCTTGTCGGAGAAGCCGAGCTTCTTAGCCTTCAGCATGGTCTCTTGCTTGATGCCGAACAGGCTGCCGATCTCCTTGAGCTCGTTGTTGCAGTCAACGATGTTCTGGATCTTATACAAGAACCACTTGTCGATCTTGCTCAGCTCGTGAACCTGGTCAACGGTGTAACCCTCGTGAAGCATAGCCTGGCCAACGGCCAACCAGCGGCGGTCGGTGGGGTTCTTCAGAACGTCATCGAGGTTCTCGAAGTGGTCACCCTGGAGACCAAGGTACTTAGGGTCGACCTGGCGAATGGCCTTCTGGAGGGACTCCTCGAAGGTACGGCCAATGGCCATGACCTCACCAACAGACTTCATGGCACTGCCAATGTCGCGATTGACGTGCTGGAACTTGCTCAAATCCCAACGGGGGATCTTGGTGACAATGTAGTCCAGGGAAGGCTCGAAGTTGGCGGTGGTGGTCTTTGTGACAGCGTTGGGAAGCTCGGGCAGAGTGTGGCCGAGACCGATCTTGGCAGCAGTGTAGGCCAGGGGGTAACCGGTAGCCTTGGAGGCCAGAGCAGACGAACGAGAGAGACGAGCATTGACCTCAATGACACGGTAGTCGAGACCATCGGGCTGAAGAGCGTACTGGACGTTACACTCGCCAACGACGCCCAAATGGCGGACGATTTTGATGGCAGCGGTACGGAGCATGTGGTACTCCTCGTCGGACAGAGTCTGACTAGGAGCAACGACGATACTGTCACCAGTGTGGATACCGAGAGGGTCGAAGTTCTCCATGTTGCAGACGGTGATACAGTTGTTGGCGGCGTCGCGGACGACTTCGTACTCGACCTCCTTCCAGCCCTTAAGAGACTTCTCAACCAGAATCTGGGGAGCAAGAGACAGAGAGCGCGAGGACAGGTTGCGCAGCTCCTCGGGGTTGGCAGCGAAACCGGAGCCCAGACCACCGAGAGCATAAGCGGAACGGACGATAATGGGGTAGCCGACCTCCTCGGCGGCCTTGAGGGCGTCGTCGACGGTTCCAACAGCAATAGACTCGGCAATGGGAATGTTGATCTCGTTAAGAGCCTGGGAGAAGAGCTCACGATCCTCACTGGTCTCCAGGGTCTTGATGCTGGTACCCAGAACACGGACACCGTAGCGCTCGAAGATACCCATGCGGTTCATCTGCACACCCAAGTTCAGGGCAGTCTGACCACCGAAAGCGAGCATGATACCATCGGGCTGCTCGCGCTCGATGACGTGGGTGACATATTCGGGGGTGACCGGGAGATAGTAGACCTCGTCGGCCAGCTTGTGGTCGGTCTGGATAGTCGCAATGTTCGGGTTAATCAGGACCGATTGGATGTTGGCCTCCTTGAGAGCCTTCAGAGCCTGGGAGCCTGTATTGATGCAGTTAAACGTTAGCCACATTTGTCGTCTGAAGATTGGAGAAAGTCGCAAGCTCCATTCCCTGCGGGGAGTTGGTCGTGTGCCTCGATCCGCAAGGGTCTTCCACAAAAGCCCGGGGCTTCAACTCATCTATCTCGACGTACCGGAGTAATCGAATTCACCAGCCTGACCAATGCTCAGACCACCACTACCAATGACCAGGACCTTCTTGACATCGACGAGGTTGCTGCTGGGCTTGAGCACACCGCTGGCGAGATAAGACTCGGCGGAGGGCTTCTGCTCGGCCAGGCGGCTCAGAGCGCTGGAGAAAGCGCGCAGCTGCTGAGAACGAGCCGGGGAGGCGAGCTTCTGCAGGCGCAGGGTGGTGGCCGGGGAGCGGACGGTGTTGGAGAAAGCGCGCAGAGAGAGGGCCGGGCGAGCCTCGACGAGGCATCGCTGGCGCAGCAGAGACGCCGCCTGCCCGCAACGAGCAGCAAGAACCATTGCGCCGCTTGTAGCGGAAAAGATAGCAGTTCAATTGCTGAAAGTGGGAGATTTGGTGAGAGAAGATGAGTCTCCGTCTCGGAGGCCCTTTTTTACCCCCGGTATCGCTAATTGGCTCGGGCCCTTCACCGTAAAGGTTCCACCTTTTTTTCTCAAAGACGAAAGAAACCTCAAGCAATCGAGTACAGTAGAAAATGAGGGTGTAGAGAGGTATGAGAGAGCACGATTAAAAGAAAAGGTACGAGTCATAGCGGAGACGACTTTATTCCCTTTTTTTTTTTTTTTTTAACTACGATGAGTCAATCAACAAGTCCCAATTCAGCCGGCTCGATAGACTGCCTCAGTAGTGGAGTGGGTAAACTGGGGCTCCCAAATATTACATAGTTCAGGTTTAAAGTCTCCCATGAGTCAGAGTGTCAATTAAGATACGAGTTAACATCGAGGCATATAACCTCGACAGTGTAGGGCAGAGTATAGCACACTGCGAGACGAATGTGTGCTGGTCGTGCTGGTGGCCGATGCCGGAACGGAAGCCGGTTGCACTGGAGACCCGCCGGCTCTTATCTGCAAAAGATCTACATTCGGCATTCACCGTGCGAGATAATTTTATGATGTGCGCCCACCGGCCCTCGATGGTCTGCAAAAAGTTCTCCGTATGACGTAGTATATCGGTAGTGAAACAGTGAAGAACATCTAACCACCTATAATTACCGATCTATCTCAATTGAGTATGATACTCTGTATCCTAGTGGATCGAGTGCGCACGGCACGGATGATAGAGCTTGGCTCATCATTCCACTCCAACCCGCCCATTTAGTCCCGACCAAGGGCCTCTCGGACGCTTCTCTATCCGGGTTCCACTAGATTTGTTGAACCCTCGCGTTGAGCGAGCCTCGGAGGCCCAAATATCTGCCGTTTCCACCTCGTGTTCCGCTTCTTCGCCAATGATCTCATTCAGGTCTTGATTGAGAATGCCATAGACATCCTCTAGTGTCTTTCGCGCATCCTGTGCCACCTCATTGCCCAGCGCAACTTTTTGCTGCACGTAGTCTCGCTCATTTGCCCCTGCTGCGTGCGAGGCAAAGGACCATGCTTCCGCAAGGCTCAACACTTCGTCTGATTGGTTCCGCTCGGACTGCGGTGGACTGCGAGGATTGAGGGAGGCAACAACATGTTTGAAGCGCGGCTGTCGCGCAAGAATTGGGTACTCGGGGAGAAGATGACTTTCATCGTTCAAACGGCGCAGGGCCCGAAGTGTTGTAGATTTCTCCTTTGCAAGCAATCCAGACAGATAAGACTTCTGCAGAGCCAGAGCCTTCTGGCTCTTGGAGAGCGGTACAAGAGTCTCGGTTGCGTACGACATCACGTCCAGTGCATTGGGTGGTTGTACTTCTTCGGCAGCGGCTTCGATTCTGTGCGTTGGCCGAGCTGGAGGTTTCGAGGTCACGGTCACGGATTGACAGGCTCTGGAGGCGGCGTCAAGAAGATCTCGTCGAGCTTGTAAGTACGCAGTGTACTGCTCGGTGATTTGCATCTTTTGATGCTCCAGTAGACGCTGGGCCTCCTCGATTTCTTCGGGGGGAAGGTCCTGCACTAGACTCTGGTCCGGGTCTCCTTCGACGACCAGCCGTTCTTCAACCCATTGAACCAGTTCATCCCGCGTGCGTTGTAATGCCTGGGCTTTGACGGCTGGAGGGATCTCGCCCGATCCACTCCTCCTCGAACCATACTGAGCCTTGGTTTTCTCGAACAACTGCTTCTCCCGATCCAATTGTGTCTGGGCGCGCAGCACTGCTCTTTCAAGTTTGTGCACCAATCCCTCTAGATCTGTATCGGTCTCGTTGCGACCAGGCACATCTGCATCGAAGCCCTCGGGCAATACCAGGTGCGGGCTCCGATCCTCCGAAGCACCGATGTCTTCCAACCCGACCCCTTCTTTACCTTCAAGCTGTTCCAGGTAATGCTGAAACACCTGTAATTTGGCATGACGCCGCCGATCGCGCAGGAGCTGGAGATAATCTCGCAGGTCGGTACCCGGGTCCTGCGGATCGGCGAATTCAGCAGGATGGGTAGGGGCCGTTCGCTGGCGTCTTAGGGAGGCAACGTCCTCAGACGCGGCACGAAGCGCCTTTCGCGCTGCGACATTGGCCTGAAGCGCCTTCAGATATTCCTTGCGCAGTCCCGTGAGATCGGCAAGGATGGGGTTGACGTCCGCGACGGCATCAGAGGGTGCGCAGAGGGCGAGGTGGGACTGGGCGTGGTTCGGAAGATTTGCATCGTCAAAAACGATAAGCGAGCGCAGGTACGACGTCAATGCCTGGCGGATGCGGAGGGCTTCCTGTCGGGGTTTGACGTAAGGAGCGAGCGGTTTCACAAAAGGTGGAATGTGGGTATGAGGTTCGTAGGGCCGAGTCATGTTGTCATTGGCAGAGAGGGGAAAGGAGAAGTGGTTCCTGAAGCTCGAATAGAGTGAGGTCACTCCCGAGGTTTGCTGGATTGTAAATAATCGACTCCGCGATGTTCCCCGTTGTTGTTTTGCCGTTTCGGGCGATTACCTAATGTATCATGACGATGAAACAGAGCTTAATGAGCTTATTTGATTGATTTTTCTGATATTGTATATGTTTATTGCTTTACCGTGAGGAGCTGACGTGTACTTGTCAAGTTGATGTGTATTGATTCTCCCACAGTTGAGACATCGACTTCCCTTTCCCTTGGTGCCTGAGAGGCCCGAGCACTTTGATGAGCTACGTTCTACGTGTTGATCGACGTGGCAAATTCGAAGCATCGTCATGGATTACGATTGTAATATGCGTGATCGTTACGAAGCTTATCGTGTATGTTGCTTGTGAGCTTCAGGAAATCGCACATGTTCCATGGTTATCTCCCCAGATATACAAAGTAGTTACACATCGGGCTTAGGCAGCTATATGCATATTGCACGGCCCAATAATACCGTCATCTTGTGTTATCAGGGGACATCGGGACGATCGTTATCCCTTCACCGCGGAAAGACTCCCCTGCGTCAGATGAGCTCATCCCACGAAAGTTGACTGGAATGTTCACCATTCCGATCCAGGGGTTTCCAAGGTTATTGTTTTGAAACAGAGCCACGCCTACCCGGCACTGAAACGAAACAAATATAGTTCGCTGGCCGCTGCTTCTTTGACATCCTCAAATGCCTTCTGCAGGTCCAGAGGAGCTTGCCTTTCATTAAATCCATTCACGACCATGGCCACCGACCTCAGCGCCGCCTCCATCCCTTGCCGGCCTCGTGCTGCTACTTCTGTGTTGCCGGCGATGGTGCCACCTTTGCCCTCCGGTCCAACTCGAGGCGCCAGTATGGCTTCTGCTAGCCCCTCTCATTACTCGACAAGTCCGCCGCTCGGATTTAGTGAACCCGGTATCACCAGCACTGCCCAGGGTATGTTACGATGTTGCTGGGGCTTGGCCTTGACGCCCATGTTGACCGATGCAGGGCCGTTGCGACACCCGAAACCTCTTACACCCTCAGATCTTCATTTGGTACTGGAGAAGGAGCAGGAGGCAATGGTGAGATGTGATTCTATACAATACTGGAAATATGGAAAGACTAACAGTTCCAACTATAGGTCAACCGGTTAACTAGAGAGCTCTCCCTTCTCCGCCAACAGACTGCATCCGTAACATCAACAACATCCTCTGCCTCAAACTTCACCGAGCCGGATGGGATACACGCGTCCCCGTCGCTGAGCAGCTCAACCAATTCCCAAGTTTCCCGGCGACATCGATCCTCTTCCAGTCTCAGTTCTTATACCCCCGCAGCCCAAGGTGCGCAAGCCGCTAGCGTGACGGGGATTGCCCCGTCTCGCGACGCCAGCCATCCGTCGCGACCAACTGATCACCCTCTCCCTCGCACGATGCGGAGTCGCGAGACGTCTTTGACCTCTCGTCGCCCCTCCGTCGGGTCTCTATCTTCCTTCTCACAACATCCCCATGGCGATCAGCTATCCCATTACGGCAGCCCATCGATCTACCCCCATCGAAACTCTATTTCACAAACCCATCTCGGGTTGTCGAGCAACGCTGTCTCCATGGCACGCTACGAGGAGGCTACCACACATAGATCGGAGCTGGAATCCGTGAAGCGGGAGAATGAGCAGTTACGGAAGCGTGTGCGGGAGCTGGAGCATACACTGAAGAAGCAGAAGGAGGCGGAGTCATCGCCTGTAGAGTGAACGGAAGGCAACCTTATTTCTTATTTGCCGGGGTGGCTCATTTCATTTTTCACGTGTTATTGGATGATGGTTTGCAGGCAGACATTTCATAACATTGGAGCTTTTCCCAACCAAGTTTATAGTAACACGCGGCGGTGCAGGCCCCGCCCTACGTCACACGTGGCGCAGTTGTCGACAGGATAAATAGTTGACCTCACCAACTCTCCTTCTTCTTTCCCCCCTAAACACACATTATTTTACCGTAATATTTGTGCTCCTCTTCCATCCATAATGTCTAACCACACCACTGTTCACGTCTCGGGCATCGCGCCTGCAACCTCCGAGAAGGAGGTCCGCGACTTCTTCAGCTTCTGGTATGACCAGCTCCCCGCTACAAGCCAAGACCTCACTAACAACTTATTTCAACAGCGGAAAGATCGTGTCTCTGTCCGTGACCCCGGCCTCGTCCGAGGCTGACTCCCAAAAGTCCGCCAGCGTCACCTTCGAGAAGGAAGCGTAAGCTACCCCGCACCGCGTTTCATAATGCCGCTGCCCCTCAATCGCATGACACTGGCAAATGTCACACCATAGCTAACACCGTACTTGCATAATACAGCGCAGCCAAAACCGCACTGCTCCTCGACCAGACCCAACTGGGCAGCTCCTCCGTGCACGTCGAGTCCGCCTCCACCATCGACGACCTCGCCGGTGAGAAGGCTACTGCCCCCGGTACCGAGAAGGAAGATCAGGACGACATCACCCAGGAGGACAAGCCTCGCTCGCGCATTATCGCCGAGTACCTGGCTCACGGATACGTGGTCAGCGACAACGCGATCCAGCAGGCTATCGCCCTGGACCAGAAGCACGGCTTCTCCAGCCGCTTTACCTCCGCTCTGACCAACTTCGACAAGAAGTTCAACGCTACCGAGCGCGCCAAGGGGATCGACGAGAGCTACCAGATCTCCAACAAGGCTCTTGAAGGCTGGGGTAGCCTGAGCTCGTACTTCGAAAAGGCCCTCGAGCACCCCTCCGGCCAGAAGCTGCGTGATTTTTACTCCCAGACCGATAAGCAGGTCCGTGATATCCACAACGAGGCCCGCCGTCTGGCCGACCTGAAGCAGGGTAAGGGTGGTGAATCTGCTGCTGCTGGCGAGGCATCTGCGACTGCCCCTGCCACTGAGGCCGCGGGTGTCGCTGCCCCTGCCGAGCCCAAGGCATAAGGGATTCGCGCTGGCTCGCTTCCTTCGCGTCTATGCTTCCTACCTGCTGTTTCTCTGATTACCTTGCGTTGTCGATACCTGCTTCGCGAAGTGGATTTGCCGCTTTTATTTTGCTGTGACGAGGTTATGCTTAACGACGTGATTCCGACTCCTGCCTGTTTACATGGTACTTACTTAAAACGCAAGCGAGCAAATGAAAATAAGAATGTCATGTCAACGGTTCATACAATAGCGTTTTGGTGGTAGAAAGAAGTGTAAAATTCAAAAATCATTCGTATCATTATTTGATGTTATCCCAATGAGTCCCCATTCCATTTTACATTTCTCTCGTATTGTCACAAACGGACCCAATTATTTAGTTCCCTGTCCCCTTCCTGAACTTGGCTGCCTCAACCTTCTCCAGCGGGTGCTCGGGGTTGCTCTGTAGGCCATGGGCCTTGTGCTGGTCCGACTCGTTCTGTCCAAAATCCGACTCGGGGCGGACAGATGGGTTGCCGATCTTGCCACTGGCGGGAGGGTCGCTCTGCTGAGCACCGGACTGGCGCTCGGGGGATGGGGATTGGCGGCCGGGGTAGGGGGCAGACATGATGGTTGTAGGTGTAGGTGCGAGTTTTGATGTGGTTGATGTAGCTGGGTTGTGTTAGGTATAGATAAAGTATCGGTGTGACGAGGTATACTCACCAACTAGACGAATTGGCTCAGTTAGATGGTATGGTAGATTGGGGTTGATCTCTTGGAATTAAATGAAGGATGAAATTGAACGAAAGCTCTTATTTAAGAATGCGATCTCCAAGCTGACGTGACCAGGCCTTAAACCGGACAGTTTGGATGATTCATCATGATGACGTTTCAAACCATGCACCATTGCAGCTGGTTTCCCAATTCGGTACAACCCGAGAGATCTGTGGAGTCAGCCTCCACAGGATCTAATTTCTTGTTGACTTGGCTTTCAATTCGATCGGTCAAAGCCTGTCACTTCGATATGACATCATTCTATATAGGTCACGTGAAACCTACATCCCTGCCAACGCGTGGGCCAATAATCCGAGAAGAGCAATTGACGATGCTATTAGTAGAAACACGGCATTCTACGACTGGAAGACAAGACATGAAATCAAGATTGTTTGCGTGGCTGGTGTACTATATCATGAGGCGACTAGGTCTTGGGGAATCTGTGCAGTGAGGCGGATTAGAAGGGAGGGGCATAGGGAGGAGACTTTTTGGAGCACATCGGGGGGGATATGACAAGGAAAAGAGTAAAAAAGATGAGAAAAAAATCATGAACAGATATAAACGAGAAATCGGGCATGATCTAGACAAGATGGAAAGACATGAAATGGGCATATGTCTCGTGAGGATGAAAAGATGAGAATCCCAAAAGACCAGACTTGATGACAATGACATCCTGTTCAATGCGATGCCGCATCAAACTGGTCTATTGGTTGCCGTTTGTCGGAATGCCTGCTGCAGCGGCAGCCTCCGCATTGGCGGCGGCCACCAAGGCCTTGGCGTCGGCTTCGTGGAAGACGGACTCGATGATCTGCTGCTCCTCGGGACCGAGGACCTTGGTCAGGCTGTCGTAGAGCCGAGGCTGTTCTTGCTGGAGGCCTGAAGGGGGTATTAGATGGGATTTACTCAATAAAGGGTAATGGGGACTTACTCAGGAAGACATGCTTGAACATGCCGTACGGCTCAACCTTGTCCAGAGGAGTCTCTAGGAGACTCTCCTCGTCCATCTCGTCGTCGTCATCATCGGCAAAGGAGCCGAATTTCTGGGCCTCCTTGTTCAGGAACTCGAGATAGGCAGCGCTCTCGTCGGGGACATCGCCTTCGAGGGCCCCCTCAACCTCTTCCTCGTTCCACTCAACCTCGCCATCCCAGTCGTTCTCCTCGTCATCATCATCAACATCGTCATCGAGAGTGAAGTCGGACTCCTTGGTAGCATCCTCACGCACTGCAAAATTGATTAGTAGGGTACCATTAATTCTATAAGAGAGGAAACTCACTCTTGATAGCAGCAGGCAGGGTCTGGAAGAGTCTTGTCACACCCTGCAACAATCTCGGCCATCCCTGCTGAACACTGTGGGGGACGGTCTCCGCCTTCATGGTGAGAAGCGAGCTGATCGCAGCGATCGACAGCTTCTTGTCGTGGACACGGCGGAAGCTGTCAATGCTGGAGAACCAGGAGCTGAAGAACTTGTTGGTCCAGCCCTTAGCTTCCAAGACCTGGAGACTGAGAAGGGGATTGTAGTAGATGGCGTTGATGATCATCTCCATCAGGTGAATGCGGTAAGACTTGGTGCGTGCCTCACCGGCATCAATGACGGCCATGGCCAACTCAATGAAGAGCGGGATGTACTGGTCAATGTGGCCGCGAAGGTTGAGCATGAGGGTCTCCGCGAGCTTGCAGCCACAGATACGGTCAACACCGCCAACCTTGTCGTCACGGAAGATGTCCTCCACCATACCAACGACGGCACCGAGGTAGGCCGGGTTCTGGACCAGCATCTCAGAGCCGTAGGAGACGTAGTTGTCGAGAGCGGGCAGCATGTCCTCTAGGTACAGCTCAGCGCCAGCCTTGAAGGTCTTGTGGATCAGCTCAAAGGCCTGCCACATGGTAGGCGAGATAGACTTGGATGCGAAGGTGCAGCTGTCAATGATCTCGAAAATCTCGTTGTACAGGTCGTAGAGCTTGTTCTCCAAAGTGATGCTGATGACGGGCATCAGGACAGTCTCAAGGTGCAGGAGCACGTCTGGAGTACTCTCAAGGGTGAGAATCAAAGTTCCAATGGTCTGCAAAACACCCAAAGCGGTAATGCTCTTGTCATCGAGGAAGTCCCCATATCCATCATCGTCACCACCCTTGGTGGCGTTGCGTTCCAAAAGCTCGCCAACGATACGCATGTAAGTATCACGCAGCTGCTCGCTCAATGCGACAGCGAAGGGAGTAAGCTCGGCAGAGAAGACCTCAACGAAATCCTCCATGACGTTGGCCAGAGCATCAACGTCGACCTCGTTGGCAAGCTTGAGAAGCTGCTGCATGATCTGCGGGATGTTCTGCTGCATAGAAGTGCGGATGACATCGTGGCGGATCAGCGGCTGAAGAGCAAGGGCGGCCTCAACCCGGACGGGCAGCTCAGGGTCGGTCATGGACTCCAGAATGTTCCGGTAAATCACCATCAGGTTATTCGGGTCCTGGAAGTCAAGCTGCTCGAACTTCTCAAGGGTATCGCAAGCACGGGCACGGAGGAAACCGTGGGGACTGCGGAACTCGGGGAAAACGTGGCGAACGAAGAAGTACTCGACCTGGTCGGCAATGGGGCTCTTCTTGCCCAGAATGACGGAGGCAAGCGAACCAATCATGCGGAGGGCACCCTCCTTCTCGCGGGGCTGCTTCTGGTCATCGGGCGCGGACTCGTACTTGCTGACAACTGAGTTGACGAAAGTGAGAATCGAGAAGGTCTGCTTCTTGCGGTTCTTGGTGAGAGAGACCAGGAAGTTCGTAGCAGCGACATCGGGAGCGGAAACCTCCTCGTAGAAGTTCAACTTGCGGTGAAGATATTCCGATGGATCCTCCTCGAACAGCTCAATGTCCTCATCCGACTGACAAAGGATAGGGAATACGAAGTGGGCGATAAGGTTATCCATGTGAGGCTTGAGGTGGTCCCACATCGCCTTGGGCTTGACACACTCCTCCATGAAGACCAGAGTATAAGAAAGGGACGGGTTGCTGAGCCATTGGGACTTGGACACCCATTTGTCGATCTCCTGCAGATATCCCTTGAGAATTTCCGGGGCGAAAGTGGTGATAAAGGTCTTCGCGTACGGGGTATAATCGGGCGTGGAAGATTTCGTGATCGTAGTGGGGTTTCCGTATCTGGCGAGGGTCAGAAAATCGAGTTTAAACGGGAGAAACCGATATGACGCAGGGTTATAAGTGGTGCCTTACCTGATAAAAAGGCGGTTCAAGTTGGCATAGGACCACTTCTTGCACTTCCACCAGTGGTTCATTTCTCGCTCCTCCTTGGACTCACCCATGGCGTTGGCCGGAGGAGTCTTGGAAATGATCCGCAGGAACAATGTGCACCAGTCTACAGTAGCCTGATGGGTCTGAAGAGCTGGTGAGAGCTCGAACTAGAGATAACGTTAGCCAGTCCTTCTCACATGCCCCATCTATAGACCACGGGCGCTCACGTAAATAGCGTGCTTATACGACTTGACGACGATACGGAGCATCTCCGCAGCCTCCAGGCTCTCCTCGTCGACCAGCTTCTGACCAATGCTGAGCAGTTGCGGGAACGAATGTTCCACGATCTTGTCGAACTCCTCACGCTTCTCGCCAGCCTTGAATCGGTACACACGGCAAATAGCCAGCAGACACTGGAGACCGGCGTATACATGGTTCGCATCGTTGGTACCGAGGAGTTGAAGGGTGAGATCCAGGAAGCCGGGCCACTGTTCGGGGAAGTCGTTCTGTAGGATCTTTTGGAGGAGGGGGGACCAGCTGGGCGCGGACATTGGGAGGAGCCGACGCCAGGGCGGGGATGAGTCGCTCGCGGAAACCAGGCTTCTCGGACTCGGGAATAGGGGCACGCGAAGGGCTATCATCGATTGGGGCCCATCCGCGGCTGATGCGGTTCTTCAGGTAGACACCGGCTAGAGGGGGCGGGGTTGATTAGAAACACAACGCCATGAGGAAATCAGGGACACGACACGACACGACACCTACCGGACAGCTGAACGGCATTGTTCTGCTCGCCTTGCAAAATGTCCAGCAGCGCATTGATGAATCCGGGCTGACTTTCGGCCTAGATATGGGGGGGGTCAGGACCCCCGGAGTGTAAGTTTCGTGATGCATTCGCCTCCCATGCCACAACGTACATATTTAAGATCCAACTCGGCTTGTTGGCGAGTACTTGTATTCGCATCCAGAGTTGACTGGACACGGTCTCGGAGAACCGTGACGTCCATCTTGAACCACCTAGGCACCCCGCCAGGAACAGAAGCAGAAAAAGAAAAGAAAACTCCTCGCAAGGAACCCCCGGGGAAGACGGACCGGGGCCGATAGAGGAGGAGGAGGAGAGTGAGCAAGGACGAAGTCCGGGGGAAAGTTGGTGGGTTAAAAAAAAGTGTACGAGGGGAACGCAAATTGAAATTCTTGGGATTTTCGCGGGCGGTCGCCCCGCAGCTAATCAGCGGCCGCACAGTGATTTCGGACGTACGTCTGTTTATTGTTTATTGTTTTGTTCCAACTTGGACTTGTTCTCGTCTTGACCTTGATTATGGATGTTGAATGATAAATATCAACTTTCATGGTATTCATATGTCGCTTTGCGCCATGCTAGCATATATCATGGATTTCTAAGGGAGATGCCCGATGGGCGAGAGTAGCCCGATGTGGCCCACGCTCAACGTTTAGCCCTCACATGTACAATGATGCTGCAAAAATTACGTCGCGCTTGATCAGCTCCTGGGCCTGCTGCATCTTGGCATGCAGAGTTGGATCTCCAACCAGCTTGGCCGCATTCTTCACCTCCCGACATGTCTCGTCGAGTCGAGAGATGGTCCGAACAATAGTTCCCTCCATCACGTCGGTAAGATCGGTGATGCGGTTGAAGGACATGCCCTTGGCCCATTCGTAAACCACCTCTGCCAGACCGAACCGGGGCTCACTGGCAAAGTCATTGGAGTCCTCGCTAGACTGGATGACCTGGTGCAGGACCTGGAATTCATTGACCTTCTCCGAGATTCGGATAATGGCCTGTTGACCTTTCTCCAGACGTGGGGTGAGTGTCGGGACACTCTCGGTCTTCTCCTGGAAGACAAATGCAGAAAGAAGTGCAACGATTTCTTCGGGTTCGTATTCGGCGAGGACGTTCTCCAGCACCAACTCGGTCAGAACCAGCTCGTCGGCGGAGTGGATCTCGCATGCCACCTTGCCCTTCAACTGTACGCGGGCTTGATCGTCAACGAAACCTAGCTCTTTCAGAACCTGGATGCGCTGTTCGTAGTCTGGCAGCAATTGTAGGTTTTGATCTGACATCAGCTGCTTCAACTGTGAGATGTTCTCCTTGACCTGCCACTCGTCATGTTGCATCTCGAACTGTAGATGATCAGTAACCAAAACCCAGGATAAAGTAAAATTCACTCACATGTTTCAAGAAGTTCGGGCACTGCAAACAGTGGCATGACTGGGCAATCTTTGCCTGGGCGTTCCGCTTGTCGAGGATATCGCGCACTTGTAGTTCCTTAATCCGCGACCAGTCCATTTCGTCCCACGCATTGTGGGTCCAGGAGAGGTACTTGGTTAGTTCCTTGTCGGCGAACTTGGCGGCCTCTGCATTGGGTTGTGAGCATAACTTGATGAATTTGATAAGACTAATTTCAATGGGTTGTCAGTACCTTTCCTAATATTCAAATACCAGATTGGCCCTCCGGCTTTGACTTGCATGTTCGTGACACATTCGAGGTCCGACAGCGGGATCTTGCACACTTTGAGGTGCATCGATGCAGCCTTATCAGGCAACTGCTGGAAGAATGGTCTGAACTTGGGCAGGAAGGGGAGAATATCACTGGGGTGACGCTTGTTGCTGATTCTGCCAATTTCGAGCACTTGGATGCATGGCATAGGTCCACTCGAGACTCCTTCCCTAGTGAGGACCCCGGCTGTGCGTAATCCATCCTAGACTAGAGTCAGCAATCTACCAAATGTAAAGGAAATGACGTAAGCATCCTCATACCTTCCGGTACACTACCAGCCTCTTGCAGGTGAAAAGTCGCTTGCCTACGGGCGACGACAGTAAACCCGCATGCAACTCATTTGTAAGTTTTTCGTACTCCATAGCAGCTTCGTGACAGGCTGCCAGATCCAAATCGCAAATCTCACAAGGCTCCCGCTTGATCTTGGCCAAACTAGCCTCGGACAGCTGGACTTGCTTCTCATGTTCGGGAAGAAGGGCTTGGGTGGCATTCTCCGAGAAACTTCTCTTGATCATCTCCTCAATCTTCAGAGCTTCCACTCGCAGAAGGTTCAGAATCATGTTATACGTGAGTCTGAACTGGGATCTGAGCTTGGTGGGATCTCCGAGAATCATTTTCTTCAGAGCACCGGCTGGTGGGGCCTCGTCTCGTCCAGAGGTTGTGATGATCACATAACCCACCTTGTCGAGACCTCGTCGTCCTGCACGTCCTGCCATCTGAGTGTACTCACCCGGCAACAGATCGCGGAAACTTTTACCGTCGTGCTTGCGGAACCCGGAGAACACAACCGTCCGGGTCGGCAGATTGAGACCCATGGCAAAGGTCTCGGTAGCGAAGAGACACTTGACCAACGACTTTGCAAAGAGAATCTCAACAATTTCCTTCATGATAGGCAGGAGACCACCATGGTGCACAGCGATACCCCTGCTGAGGAGTTCACGGAGCCGAAGAATTTGTGGAAGTGCCCTATCCTCAGGCTTAAGTCGGGTGAGCGACTTCTCGATGAACATGTGAATCAGGCTCTTTTCCGAAGCGTTGCAGAAGTCTTGCCTGGCTAGGGCATCCGCGTTCAGCTCACATCGCTTCTTGGAGAAGACGAAGATACATGCCGGCAGCAGATCTTCTTTACGAAGGTGTGAGACCAGATGGACCCAAAGATTCTGATCCTGCTGAGCACTCGTTCGACCTCCTCCACGCCCAGTGCGAGCAATATTTCCTTGGCCGCGATTGGAAGGAGCTCCTCGTCCTCTCTGTGGAGCGCCGCCACGCTGTCCACCGCCGCGGGGACCGCCTCTGCCTCGGTCCTGACCTCGTCCTCGTCCTTGAGGTCCGCCGCGTTGGGACTGAGCTTGCGCTGCGGCTTCAGCTTCCTTTTTGGACTTCGCATCCTTGCCCGACATGATATCGTTCGCTTTCTTCCATCCACCCTCGAGGAAATGCTTGGTATTGTCGACAATCTTGAACTTCTCTTTTCCGGCCCAAAGATAATGCTCCAAAGGTACAGGTCGCTTCAGGGTCGAGATCACGTAGATATCCTTCTTCTTCGTGCGGCCAACCCAGGATGCAAATTCTTGGGTGTTGGGCACAGTAGCGGACAGCAGGATCAGAGTGACATGCTCCGGAAGCATAATGATGACTTCCTCCCAAACAACACCTCTCTCAAGGTCATTGACATAGTGAACCTCGTCGAAAATGACGAATTCAACATCTCGAATGAGATCTGCACCTCGGTATAGCATACTTCGTAAGATCTCCGTCGTCATAATCAGACAGCTGGCCTCGGGGTTGATTTGAACATCACCTGTGAGGATTCCCACGTCGTCGAACTCGTTGCGGAAATCACGATATTTCTGGTTGCTCAGTGCTTTGATGGGAGACGTGTAGATGGCTTTCGTCATGTGCTTAGATGCTAAGGCAATGGCATATTCGGCCACGACAGTCTTGCCTGCCGACGTATGCGCAGCAACAAACACCGAGTCCCCATTCTCGAGATGGTAAACAGCTTCCTTTTGGAAGGTGTCCAGTTCAAAGGGCCATTCTCTGGCCATATCCGGAACCAAATCATGGAAATTGGTGATCTCCTTGTTGACATCAACCACATGGGCCCACTCCTTACCCTTCTGCTGCTGAATACCCGCGAGCAATGGATTGCGCGGTTCGAGTGCAGGGAATTCAACTGGCAACAAAGCATCGATGTCTTCATCATCCTCATCACTAACCTCGTCATCTTCCTCGGCCTGTGTTTGCGGATTGGATTCGGGTGTTTGTTCGGGTTGCTCGGTCTTGAGCTCGCTCTCCTCCTGAAGAAGGGCATGCTCTACTTCTTGATCTTCCTCAGCCGCCTCTTTGGATTTCGCCTCTGCAAATTCGAGGCCACGGCTGAAGCCAGGGGGTATTGTGAGAAGTCCTCCCTCGGATCCAAAGTTGATGATACGGTCCAGGCCCGCTTGCTTTCCACCACTTCGTGATTGGTCCGCAGTCTCGGGGTCTGCCTCCATTTCAGCGATGGCCTGGACACCTTCCAGACCACCAGGCGCAAAAGGAAAGAACCCGGCAGCACCACGAACAAAATCTGCACGGCCTGCAGGCCGGCGAAGAAGCGATGTCGAGTTTTTGGCATTAATGCTTGCAGCTGGAATTGTCACTTCGTGGTGTCCGGTAACTCTTCCTTCCAGTCCTTCTCGCGTAAATCGAGTCACTGTTCGTGTCTGGGTGTGTGCAATCTCAAATAGATCGGTAGAGTCGGTTGATACATCCCATCGCCTGCAATTATTCGTCAGCTACACTCGACTTGTCTGTCATGACTCAACCGAGCTGGACGGGAAAGATCCAACTTACTTCTGTAGCTGGTTTAACCATTTTGGACTGAACTGAGATGATGGGGCCAGAAAATCATTTTCAAGTTCCGCCAGAAGGTCCTCTGTATTCTTTCGAGCTTGTTTGCGAGGCCCGGTGTTCTGGAATGTACCATTTTCTTCCTCCGCAAGTAGGGTCGCGATCAATTCTGGGTCTGCATTCTTAGCGCTGAGGCTCAGTTGCTCCATCGCCGAGCTCAGATTCTCTGCCATTGTAGTAATGAACGTGCAATCAGTCGTTGATCGACTCGCAAGATTTATCGGCGTTCAGTTCGTCAAGTGCACCACCCCACGTCGGTATGTGGCTGGCTCTGACGGCGCAACCACTGGGATTCGCGTAACTTCACACGTCAGTAGGTGTTGTATATAAAATTTCAAGGGTGATTACCTTGTCTGGGGAGCACGGAAGAAGGCTCACAGAAGAAAGCTAGACTAGAAGTTGACATGGACTCGCTTGTCGGAGCTTGGTGGAGGGCGGTGTGTATGGGCAGAATCGGGGATTGACGTCGTGTGGGGCTTTCCTTCTGGAATCGTCGCGGATCACAAAGTGAGAGATGTCGAGCTTCTAACTGCATGTGACGGCCATAACAATGACTTTATACGCACTACTCTCTCTAATTGTCTACCCCTGTAATTTGTATATGGTAAATATGGTCTGAATTGAAAAGATCCCATATTTCTTGTTAAAACATACCTTGTCAACAATCAAAGTGACTAAAGTTCGGCCGACGTGCCTATGGCACTTTTTAGTACTAGTGATACTTCCTTCCAACTCTCCTACCTGAATAATTGTCCAGTCACGTCTCACAGAGAGATAAAACTTTACCATATAGTGGAAGCAGCGATAAATTGTATATTGATAGTTTGTACATACGAAATCTTCTATCAACTCACCGAAGCCGGCCAGTAAATTCATTGACCATATAGGAACGTCCAAACCGACTGGGGCATTTCTCCTTGGGGCTTGTATGCTCTACTCTATCCTTCCCCTTGGTATGATCTTTGCTTCTAATGGGTGTCCGCTTAGTACATTGGAGACAATGGCAGTCTGAAACAGCCCGGTTCAAGCGGACGAAGATCGGATGAGCGTAACGAACAACACGTTGTCCTTCCTCGTCAATCACATTCCTGTTCTTCCAGTCAAATTGGTTCGATCCAATCTTGCGTTCCATGATTTGAGGAAGGGAATCGACACTGCTATTTCCGTCTAGAGTCAATCTGCCAAAGTGTGTAGCAAACATCTCTATTATTAGCGAGCCCAGGAGCGGTGGCAGTGACTTACTGGCGAGTCCTTGACTCAATTTCTGCATCTCCTCCTTGAGCATGTCGCATCGGACTGGGAAGCATCGAGGAACATCTCGCTTATCCACATGCTTTTCTAGCTCCGCCAGTTTCTTTACCTGGTCAAACTCCGATGCCACTTTGGCTAGATACTGTGCGACTGATTTGTAGTTTTCTGGCTGTTGGTTGATGAGGCGGCTCTGGTGCATCAGCGAGTTGAAAAGATTCTCGCGATCCTGTTCGAAGGTGGGTGTACTGCAAGGCTTAGAGCTGGATGGGTTCGAGCTTCTGAATGGCATGGTGGAAGGAATCTGGTTGGTCTTGCAATTTGATGGTGCTCAAACCTTGGAAAGCCAGTAAGAGTAAACTCTGCAACCTTGGGACTGGATGGTATTTCGAAGCCAGAGCAGGATCTCACTGCCTTTTGTATTCGAGTATGCCTGGCTGTCTTAAAATTCACGGCGGCTTATTCCCTTTCATTATGTCTCATAATCTTCCCGAGTCAAGTATTCTGATTCAAATGATTCTTTGTTAGGTAGGAGGCAAAACAGGCTTGAGGCTCTTTGTATAAAGATGAGTGAAAGAGAATGGCAATCAAGAACCCGGAAGACAAAGCTCTTCCCTACGAAGAATTCCAATGCCGAAAAATTTAGTTACCTAACCCTGCTTGGATAATGCCAGGTCTTTATTCTCCTAGCTCTCTTTCATACACATTCCAACGGCATTCCTTCCCCTTTTCTACATGAAAACCATCTCGGAAGCTGAAACACCGAGGGGAAACACAATAAATCTCCCGAAGGCTGAACCAGAGGCTTAACATGCAGCCTTGGCTCTACTTCGGAGAGGTCAAAGCAGGGCGGCCTTTACCAGACCGAGTTGACAAGGTCAACAACAAGTTGTAGCTTGCGAGACATTCGCTTTGTACTTAAAAAGATTTCAATTCCGTGGGTGCATTAAAAAATATCATAGTTAGCCGAGCTTTTGTACCATGATCAGCCATTCGAGAAGAAAATGTGCATGAAACGTTGGGACGTAGAACAGAATGGCCGATGATATGTACGCCGGAGCGCCCCGAATCATATGCAAAGAAGAAACGACGCCAACATTCAGACTGTGAAAACATCTGGACAGAAAGACCAATGAAGTTCAACAAGAAAGCCACGAAATAGAAAGCACGAATGTGTCCCTGCTTTTCAAACTTCCCTGTCCAGTATAATCATTTTCAACGGAGCCTGTAGATTATCAGGAAGTAGGTGGACGAGACATTCAGCGGTACGAGAATACCGGGAAAGTTTTTCGATCATGAACGTTGAGTTGGAACTCAAATATTCCCTCCAGGGTCGCAATGTACCTACAAAAAAGTCAGTCAAAATAATGCGGTTCAGTGGGTTGTCAGCTTACAGTGTTCTGCCATCAGCGCCAAAGCCGACGCCTGCGGTGGCATCAGGCTCTTCGGCGCCAGGGCCGTGGATAAGGCTTCGGTCCGGGAGGTCGTTGATGATGTTCCGGATCCATCGGGGAGAATGGGTCTGTTCAAAACCAAGAAGCTGTTGGCGATGCCGTTGTTCCCGTTCAAAGGAGCGGTTATGTACCTCATTGGCAATCTGACGCTGGCGTCGAAGACGCTCCGCCGCAACATTAGCTCTGATCTCGTAATTGGAGAGACGGGATGTGTCATAGCGCCTCTCTGCACCGGGATGCGGTGGCTCGTGCCGTCGGGGAGTAGATCTGGATCTTGCTAGAATGCGCATTGCCTCTGGGGAAAGACCGAGATCAAAGGCTGGCACTGGGGGTGAGGGCGATGCTCTCATCTCGGGGAGCATGCCAGTTTCATGGATGGCAGGATCTGGATCGGCGTGCTGAGATGTGGCGTCCGAGGTAGATCGGAGCTCGGAAGGCGACGTAGTGTAGGTGAGAGTGAGACCGGGCTGGCGATCGTGATTGGAGCTTCCCGCTTCAGATGATCGGCTTCCCTGAGACAGCACCACCGAGCTTTGACGTCTGGGATGGTGTGTACGTCCCAGATGACTGCTCCGAGATAAATCAGAAGATTCATGAAGATATGGGGGAGAAGTAGGACGGGGTGATCGAGTGGACCCATCCGTGGAACCATGATGTCGCGGACGTGCTGCAGGGGGAGGATGTAGAGTGGCTCTGGGTGGCCTTTCTGGTCGCTCCGTCAGCCCCTCTTCGACTCTTGAGGTCCATCGAGCCGTGTTCAGGAACTCCATGATCAGTCTCTCGCGCTCTGTGAGATTTGAAATCAAAGTCTCGCGGAGCGAAGACCGTTCCGTTTCGGGCCTATCCCGCTCGTTTGGAGAATCATCGACATCAAGCCCTACTCGCGGTGTGAATTCTAGATCGTCTTCTTCCATCTGCGGACTATCATATCCGTCTGTCTTGGGACTTAGGCGGACCTGCTGAAGCTGCGAGTCGTCGGCGTCCAAGTGTAGTATCTGCCGGCGCAAGAAAGCCTGACGAACATCTGCAATTCCAGCTCTCCCATGGCTTTCCAACCATACCAAAAGATCCCACGGCTCAGGTGAGAATGTCATGCAGCGCACAGCGCCTCCTTCGGGGCAGGACCGGGAGGCCGGAAATTGGCAAATCACAGGCATATCGGTTGCCTCATCACCGGCGGTATTGTGAATCATCTCAACGTTCAGAACTGTGATGATACCAGACTGGGATCCGATAGCACATAAGTGACTCGAGGGTGAAAAGGCGATGGTAAAGCAACACGCGTCATCCGCCCGCAGGCCAATGTCCATTTCAACACACTGAGCCAAATCCCACCCCCATCCTGCGAGCTTCTCACCGGAATCCGTTGTCATCAGCGCCTCAAGATCGCGGGTGATCTCATAGAAATAAGCGCGGTTCTCGTCTCCTACTGCGGCAAGTAGCCTATGATCGGGGGATATAGCGGCATAGTTCATACAGGTCGGATGGTGAAGAACCTTCAGAACCTTCGAGCGGGTGAGCGAATACACCGTAACGGTTCGGTCGTTGTTACTTTGCAAGATTGTCAGTCATATACCACCGAGGGCCAGGTGGTTTAGTTTAAGTACCTGAATACTACAACATCTTCATCGGAGACCCCCTGTCCATTTCCTGGGAAGCGATGGATGGTCACGGAATTGACGATGCTGCCTCCAAACTTGTGAAGCTCGAATTCCGGCAAGAGCCTCCGACCGGGACGTCGAGTTGCTGGCGCCGAGCCGCCGTGTGAAGTCCCGGGCGACGACAGCCCGGACGGCGGCTCAAGGTCGAGTGGAAGTGCACTGTCCACATCGGCGGGTTGATGAGAGGTTGCCTCGCCATGGACCTGTAGCCCGCTCTCACCGATCTTAATGAAGGCGCATTCTCCATTCTCGGGACCCCCCACCGCGATCCACCCAAAGCCAGCCGCCAAGCATCGCGGCTCGAACGGAATGACAGCTATGTTCTCCGAGCACTGCGTGGAGATGTGAATGGCCCACACGATTCTCTCGACAACTACATAGATGCGATCGGGATCGGCGGTGCTGATGTAGTGGCGGAGCTGGGTGTGACTGTTCACAATAGTATGTCAGTGCGGGCCACCCCACGAGGGGAAGCGGAGATACAGACAAGTTCGGGATTTTGAAGGGAATGAAGCGTCGCTTGTTCGGTAGGATGAGAGACTCGGTCGGTCGATATCTAAGACAATGAAAGTGTGAGAAGCCCCGAAACACGCAATGTACGGGGGGAGGCGAGGCTAAAAGAGCGACTCACAAAGACGAGTCCGAGGTCATGGTGAACTAGCTCAGCCTGAACATTGTCCAAGCGCAAGATAGCATAAGACACCAGGGTACAAAGCGCCCCGAAAGACCCGAAGAGCAAAACCTGAGAGCAAAAAAGAACCAAGGTTGCTGTCACAGATAGGATGCGCTTTGCAAACGGATGACGTAAGACTTTCCTGGAGCTCAAAGCCGGGGAACCAACGAATGCGGTGGACGAAGGGTCCGGATGCGATACGAGGCGACGTCGTGCTTTTTAGTTGGTTTTCGAGCATAGATCGGTTGGAAACTGACTCTAGAACTGGTTGGTAATTTCGAAGATAAGGTTAATTCGCAGAGGGGTAATAGCTTGACTGAATAGCTGGGTACGGGCGGAAATATAAAGCAGCTCCTCGGGCCCCAACTACAACCCCAGCTCCGATCCTCAAAGCCCCGTGAGCCTTATAGTCCATCTGGACATGTTGAGCAGCCATGAATTCAACCCAGTCAGAGAGCTTTGATACCGCCGCCACCTATATTCGGACCGAGTATCGTCCTCTTCCCAATTGCCGTCGAGGGTTCGAACACAGTTCAGGTCACACGACACACAGTCCCGGTTGATCCCCAGCTCCCCAAGCTCAAAATGATAGGAGACACGAATCCATTGAGCTGGGCAAGCAATCCCAAACAGGCCAGGCGTTCCAGTGAAAGGTTCGGGGACGCCTGCCGGTTGCCCGAGGCTATTTGCCCGAGGTAAGTAAGTGTATGATTGTACTGCTGGTGGGATATAGGTGGTGGCAGATCACTTTTGAATGCGGAGGAGGAGACAATCAATTAAGTGTACTAGATGAATTGTGCTAGCTAGTTTGTAATAGAATGCAAAACACAACAGGCCACCCCTTCAATGGGAGATGGATCACCGAATGACGGCATCGTCTTCACTGACTTTGTGTACACTCCTTAATTTATTGCCGAGCGGTGAGATATCTGGCCCGCTCATTGGCCACACGGAACGGTTCTACCGGCTTCGACCGGTCGCTCGAAGCTCCCCGACAATTTCTTCCCGTTCTTCCTCCCTTCTTCCTCTTCTCTTTCTCCATCTCCATCTCCATCCTTTCCTCCCTTTTCCCTCATCACTCAGCGATTGAGTCGTCGAGTGTGATACCCCTTTTTATTTCTGTTTAAAATAATATTCCACAATGCTTTCTTCCCGCATTTCTCGCGCGGTAAGTCTTTCCCGAGGAAACGAAAAATTTGTCACGCGTCGCAACAGTCCAACTGACTCGGTTCGCAACAGCTCCCCCGCGCTGCTTTCGCTCGCACCACCCCTACCTCCAGAATTCCCGGCGCTGCTTTCCGGCGATGGAACTCCACAGAGGGTGGCGAGGAGAAGGTGAAGGGCCAGGTCATCGGTATTGATCTGGGTAAGTACTATCTCACGACAATGTCATTCATCCACCAGGATCCTAACATTGATGACTATAGGTACCACCAACTCTGCCGTCGCTGTTATGGAGGGCAAGTCCCCCAAGATTATTGAAAACGCTGAGGGTAAGTCAGGAAAAAATTTCTCGCCGGCCAAGTGGCCAAAGCTCTAGATTTGATTCTGGAGACTATGGCGCGAGACCATCAAAAAAAATTCGAAGAACTGGATCGTTAATTCGATTTCCGAACAGGTGCCCGTACTACTCCCTCCGTTGTTGGGTTCGCCCAGGATGGTGAGCGTCTCGTCGGTATTGCCGCCAAGCGTCAGGCCGTCGTCAACCCCGAGAACACCCTGTTCGCCACAAAGCGTTTGATCGGCCGCAAGTTCACCGACGCTGAGGTCCAGCGTGACATTAAGGAGGTCCCCTACAAGATTGTCCAGCACACCAACGGTGACGCCTGGGTTGAGGCCCGTGGCCAGAAGTACTCTCCCTCGCAGATCGGTGGTTTCGTTCTGAACAAGATGAAGGAGACCGCTGAGGCCTACATGAGCAAGCCCGTTAAGAACGCCGTCGTTACTGTCCCCGCCTACTTCAACGACTCTCAGCGTCAGGCTACCAAGGATGCCGGTCAGATCGCCGGTCTCAACGTCCTCCGTGTCGTTAACGAGCCTACTGCCGCCGCCCTTGCCTACGGTATGGAGAAGGAGAACGACCGCGTCGTCGCCGTCTACGATCTTGGTGGTGGTACCTTCGATATCTCCGTTCTTGAGATCCAGAAGGGTGTGTTCGAGGTCAAGTCCACCAACGGTGACACCCACCTTGGTGGCGAGGACTTCGACATTCACCTCGTCCGCTTCATCGTTGAACAGTTCAAGAAGGAGTCTGGTGTTGACCTGTCTGGTGACCGCATGGCCATCCAGCGTGTCCGTGAGGCCGCCGAGAAGGCCAAGATCGAGCTGTCCTCCTCTCTCCAGACCGAGATCTCCCTTCCCTTCATCAGCGCTGGCCCCAGCGGTGCTCTGCACATCAACCAGAAGATGACCCGTGCCCAGCTTGAGTCTCTGGTTGAGCCCCTGATCAGCCGCACCACCGAGCCCGTCCGCAAGGCCCTCAAGGACGCCAACCTCCAGTCCTCCGACATCCAGGACATCATCCTGGTCGGTGGTATGACCCGTATGCCCAAGGTCACCGAGTCCGTCAAGTCCATGTTCGGCCGTGACCCCGCCAAGTCGGTTAACCCCGACGAGGCTGTCGCCATTGGTGCCGCTATTCAGGGTGCCGTCCTGGCTGGTGAGGTTACCGACGTTCTCCTGCTCGATGTCACTCCCCTTTCCCTCGGTATCGAGACCCTCGGCGGTGTCTTCACCCGTCTGATCAACCGCAACACCACCATCCCTACCAAGAAGTCCCAGACCTTCTCCACCGCTGCTGACATGCAGACTGCTGTCGAGATCAAGGTCTTCCAGGGTGAGCGTGAGCTTGTCAAGGACAACAAGCTCCTCGGTAACTTCCAGCTTGTTGGCATCCCCCCTGCCCACCGTGGTGTCCCCCAGATCGAGGTTACTTTCGACATTGACGCCGACTCCATTGTCCACGTCAACGCCAAGGACAAGTCCACCAACAAGGACCAGTCCATCACCATCGCCTCCGGCTCCGGTCTCTCCGACTCCGAGATCCAGTCCATGGTTGAGGATGCTGAGAAGTACGGCGAGGCTGACAAGGAGCGCAAGGCCGCCATCGAGGCTGCCAACCGTGCCGACAGCGTCCTGAACGACACCGAGAAGGCCCTCAAGGACTTCGAGGACCGCCTCGACAAGACCGAGGCTGAGACCATCAAGGAGAAGATCGCCACTCTCCGTGAGTTCGTTGTCAAGAACCAGTCTGGCGAGGGCACTGCCACCGCCGAGGATCTCAAGGCCAAGACCGACGAGCTCCAGACCGCTTCCCTTACCCTCTTCGACAAGATGCACAAGGCTCAGTCCGAGCAGCAGCAGCAGCAGCAGGGTGGTGAGCAGCAGGGTGAGAACAAGCAGTAAGCAGCTTCTCACCTGACTGTTTCGCCTTTGGCCACCCGCAGTGGCTAGTGTATTTTTTCTTCTCTTTTCCTATATTCTTTTTTCTTTGTGTTAAGAGACTCCCTGATTTCCTTCGCATGTTTTTTTCCTTTACGCATCAACTGTACACATATTCTCAAGGCCCTTTTTACCCCTTCTATGTTTCTGGTGTCTCGGTGTTTGATTACCAACCTGTATGATCTATTTACCCCATTTTCTTCCCTTCGTCTTTTTGCCTGCACTTTGCGCCTCGGCCTCGAGCCTGGCCCAGAGAATAAGCCGGGATTGTCTACCACTGTATCTAATGACTCTACGGCAAGGGGCCACAAAAAAGGATGCTGGGATTTGGCTATTTGGGTGGCATGTGACAATAGAAATCGGAACATTCTCCTCTCTTTTTACACTTGATCCAAATGTAGAGCCGTTGTGGCGTAACCTGGCTCAGCTTATGTACTGTGTACATTTTGCAGGAGCGCGGGTGATTAATTGCCAACGAATTACTTCATGTTGCGCTCAGGAGGCGAAGATTCCTGTTACGCCGACAAATTCCCGGCGAATGACAAATAAGGGTTTTACTCGGCTGCTTGCTCTTCTCATCCGGCCTGCAAGCGTCCAAGGTGTCCACTCTGACACCGACCTCTCACCTTCCAGCTCCAGTCTAACAGGAAAATTCAAAATCCCCACCGAAAGCTAATATCGCGGCGGTGAGCTAAACGATAGGCCGGAAACATGCCTAACGGCTTGGTCCCGATGATTTGATCCCCAGGTGCTTGGGCCCTTGGCTTGACACTAGCTGTCATGGAGTGTCCAATCTCGTCAAATAATCTACTGGAACGTCATGTTTAGTTGGTGTCGCACTCAGATACTTTTATTAACAGTCAAAATGTCTCCCGAAACCGGCCTTGAAACGCCCTAATTCATGCACAATCAAGCCACATAACCCTTTCCTTGGGAGGTTTGAGACAATAGTAGTGTGACCCGAGGTACTGTATTTTACGAGACATCCAAGAGCGCATGACCCCCTGTTTGCTTTTCATATTGCAGAAATCACATCGTTGAGCCCTTCAGGCGAGCTTCCATTACAACTAGGACTTGGTCAGCGAAGGAAATTAACCTCAATGATAGAAGTTCTTTGTGATCGTCTACTTAATAAGCTCGGGCTCTATCCAGATGTGACAGCCGTCTTCTCATAGGACGAATTGCGAATGTTTACAATCAGCGCTAAGTACAAGGAGAGCCCTCGCCAGCCGCCAGCTAAAGTTAGTACAGAAAGACAGCTCGACCGAAAGCTCAGGAGCAGAGCAAGCTCCAGACAGACTGAGAAGTGATCGTCACTAATTCTAAAACGTGGATCATTGACTAAGTGGGCAAATCTCCGATCGTCCGCGAACCCCTGTAAAATCGATCTTAAACTCAACTGTTTGTTTTTATTGCTTCAAGAAGTAGACATGTCAAGTTCTTCAAAAGAATCGACTAGACTCCTCGGAGATTTGTAGGGCCATGTTGACGTCTACGAAAGCATCACTTTCCCCTCTCCAGAACGCTGGGTAATAGTGTGATCCTCTAGCGCCGCGAGGCAGTCCACTCTGCCACTAGTACGGAGAACTACTCGCCACTTATGTAAAGAGTTTTGCGAGGATGTGCGTACTGCACTAGTATATGTATCGGGCACGGGCATTTCAGCCCTTGAAGGGGTCTGACATGGTTGTCTTTTTGGCCCAAGGGAAAGAGTTCTGCGCCCGCGAATTCCCCTTTACAACTAGCGTCTTCGTCTTCGCCAGTCGAAGGAAGCGTCAAGAAGCGGGCAAATACTTCTATACGGTATTCCAAAATTTGTTTGAGAATATACGCAATCGTTGCGCCAAGCCCGCAGTCTATTGAAGTCCTCATGAATCTCTATCCGCATGTCGAATTTTCATAGAGGATCTATGGGTCTGAGCGCACATCTTGTACCCTTATCAGCAGATCGATCGAACAGGAAGTAGATGGTTGGTTCTTATCATTCATTAGAACAGGAATTCGATTGATGGATCCTTTTGTTGATTGTGGACTTGGGGCCCGTGACGATCGACCACGCGGCGTAGATGGAAGACCAGAGCTGGATCAACGTGACAGGAGGGGAAATGGGTGGGACTGGCAACCTGGCAAGATCGACGCGAGATCGGTGAATGTTCGATCAACATGAATCTTTATAGGAAGTTGGGACTTGTGCTACCAAAGATTATCTGTAAGTCAACTTTTGTCCGTACTAATTCCGCCACCTGTTTCTCAACGTGCTCACCGGAGCATTGATGTGGACGGTCAATATCAATGCTATATTAAATCTCAGTCATATAAGTGCCATAGATCCCATGACTTTGATAATCTAGGCTATCAAGGGAAAATGCTGCCGAGGTCATTGCCAAAACGCTCACGCAGTCGGAGACCCACACTCTCCGTGTTTCAACAAGTATTGACTGGCCACGATAGCCTGGACGTGCCTTGAAATAGTTGGAGCTCACTACTGCCAAGTTGGGTTTCCAAATTGGCTGCTGATATCCGCATCCCGATCTACTAGCATCTGCGCAAAGATCAGAGAAGAAAGATAGAGAGACGGAGAGGAAAGCCTAAGTCGCATGTGTACTATATTGATACTATATGACTAGTCCCGTGAGAGCATTCACAAAGGAAAATAAAGCCGAAGAAGGGTCTCAGTTGCGTGGGCAGTGAGAACTTGCTCCTGTTCTGAAATGCCACGTGACCATTTCTTGGGCTGTTACAAGATACGTTTTCAACGAATCGTAATGATTAACAATGACTTGATGTAGAATGTCCGTTGGTATACAAGTAAGCACGAGTGTTGACAAATTAGATTGAAGACTTTAAATAGGATTCAGGAAAAATTTCATGTGAACGGGGAAAGCTGTTTTCGCCCCGTATGGACCAAGATGCATGGACCGAAACTTGGTAGACTAGTGCAGCTAGTTCAGATAGGCCAATCGCCTCTATAGTCTTCGAATCCTTGCATGGAAATCCACAGCCAGACAGAGCAATTTAATCTAAACCATGCCTAGAGGGTATTCCACTCTTGGTCGCGACATGCTGAAGGGATACAAAGAAATGTCCTATACGTCGGGGTCCAGATCGAGGTCATTGCGTTATCTTCCTGTTCTGATTCTATTATTTACAGGGATGGCCACGAGCGCGACGCACTTCACCGGCCAATCTGAAGTCTAGCCGCCGGTGACAGCGAAGCGGTCGTGCAGGCTTCCCTGCAGCGGCGCGCAGAGCAGCAAATCGTCGTCGTACACACCAGTCGGGCTTCAAAGTGGGTCAATGATGTTTGTTAATTTCGAGGCCCGAGATCCTGGCAGGAGGGTAGTGGATGGATCATGTTTAGCTTGAAAACGGAGTCACCTCAAAATCGTAAGAAAAAAATTCAAACACCCACATCACTTCGGCTTCCATCATTCGTCGATCACTTTCAGACTTGTGAGACCGTCCACCTTAGCGCGCCCCTAGTGCTGCAGCGTATGATTATTCCCTTTCGTCTCCACTTTTTCCTCCGTTAGATTTCCACTTTATTTTTTTTTCCATTTTCCTTACCCTACGCCCTGGCATCTCCAGACTTTTGTACTTTGGCCGGACTGTATACGAGGAAGGTCTCGTACGGGGCACCATTGCTCCATAATCGGGGTCTGAGGTTGGGCGAAAGGGGGAATAGTTGGGGCCGCCGCACACTTTGGGCCATGGCAATTTCCCAACGTCGTAAAGATTCCTCATTTCTCATCTTCATCGCCTATTCGGTCGTTTAGTTCAAAGTTATCCTTGCCTAGCCCTCCCCCTCGATTGCCTAACTGGAGCATCGAATCCAATAAACCGATGTCGCCGGACAATGATCTCAATAATCAAAATACTCGGGAGCAATGTATCGATGACCACGATCGGTAATCGAAATTGTATGGCCATGCCACGTCGCACCGATGTACCCTGTACACGGCCGCGTAACCTCTTCCCGTAGCTCTCTACCACCTGCAGGCTTATCGTAGGCCATACTCCGTACTCCGACTGAACCCCGAGACAGGAAATTATTTTCTCGCAGCTTCGAATCCCATGGAACCAGCCTCCGCCGTGTTACATAATGATCTCCCGCAATGACCGCGCCGCGGCTTGGCGTTCATGACGGTAGATCTAGGCCGTTTCATTGGTGGTTTGAGGCCGGAGCAAGCTTCAAGCTTGCCCATTGCCCACTGGATTTGATTCGGCTGTTCCAGACTGGGTTTCCGAGTTCGCGCCCGCACTAGAGAAGTGACGGATCATCGTGGACCTACGCCTGCTTTCTCCGGAGTCTGTCCAGCGCCCTCCCTGGAGCCCTACCCTCAAGGCCGGGTCATTCATTCGAATCCACGAGAGTCAGACAACCACAGGCAAAGCATATTTGGGTTGTTTGAGACCAGTCGCTTGGTCGGTTGGTCCCTTGGCCCGAGCAAAAAGTAACCCCTGACGAACCACACAAGGAGAATCTTTGGTACCAGGGTATACAGTGTGCGCAGAGTGGGACCTCCGGGTACCTTTTTTCTCATCCCATGGGATAGGGCAGCGAAACCTTACCCACAGAAAATGGTCAAGGTCAAATGACTCGATCCATCCGCCTAGAGTCGAAAGAAGCTAGCGGCACAGATTGTCGTAATACCAATCTCGAGCAGATCTTCAGAACAGGAATTGTGATTGTTGTGATTTGATTACATCGAGTCACTAGCGCGGCGCCAATCCATGGAAGTCTTCGCCCACTGACCACATCCACCAAACTGGTTTTGCTTCATGCTAAACGTACCGGGTGGGCCACAAAGTATGATGATACGGCTGTCACGGCCAGAGGCCCGGTATGACTGGCTCATGATCTAATTGAGATCCTTGTCTTCCCCCCTTAATTACCTAGCTCGACCTAGCTGATCCCCTTACTGCGCCGTTACGGGAAATTTCAAGATAACGGGGGTGCAGCCCAAGGGTCACGCTAGTGGATTTTGTCATTTCTTATTTCGATTTTTTTGGCTATTATTATAATAGATGGGTTCTATGGGGACGTCTGAATGTCAATCCTTTCCTAACCACCCATAGATCGGGAATGGGGCTTTTTCTCGATTCTTGTCTCATTGCCCACCCTCATTTTCGCTTCCCTTTTTTCCCTTCCCTCTATCCTCTGATACTTACCTCTCTTGAGAGCGTCCCTTCATAGCTCTTGAGGTTCGATCTGCCCAGGGTTTGGCCTTGACTTCGTCATGGCTACTGCGCCCCCGGTATCTCACCCGGTCCCCGACAACGCTATGAATGGCCATGGCCTTCACGGTATCCCGCGCTATCATCCCATCGCCATGAATCCTAATCCCCCACCTCATCCATCAATGCCTCCTCCGGAGCAGATGATCCAAAATCACCATTTCCGCCACTTTGCACCGCCGCCGTTGCACGATCCTCACGCGCATCCCGGTCCCCCGTCGGTGCCGCAACCGCCGAGTCCGAGTTCATTGGAACAGATTGAAGTTCGCCTACGGCAGCTGGAGCATGAGGAGATGAACCGGATGGCTACCCGCCACCACATTCTTGCAATGCGTAAGCGTGAGGATGAAGAGTTCCGCAGATTGACAGAAAGTGCCGAAGCCGAAGAAGAGGTAGATATCCTTTTTTTTTTTTTTTTTTTTCTTCTTACAATAGAACCCCTATAGGAATCGTCAATTTCTGACATGCAACAGGACCTGCGACGGCAACGCAAGAGGATTAAGAGAGAATCGATGGGCTTGGGCCATAATTCTAATGTCGACTCGCCGCCATCGCGGCCCACCCCACCGCGCCGTCTGTCAGAGACCAGCGCGGCGACAACGCTCGCTTTCTTTAAACAACAGAGCCCACCAGAGCCTCGTCAAACTCCTCTTCCTGTATCGCAACCTCCACCTCCACCTCCACCTTCTATGCCCCCGCTGGCTCATCTGCACCCTCAGCCTCATCAACCCCATCAACCTCATCAACCGCATCATCCTCCTCCGCCTCCGCCATCTCAGCACCCTATTGTTCCTCATGACCCTTCTGCTGGCCTTGGTTCGATCCGTCGGAAGCAAAAGTACACCATCAAGAATGTTGAGGCCTGGGGCGAGCGCCACGGCCGTCCTGCCGCGCATGATCCATCCGGCCGAGCTTTATGGAAGCGGCCATCTGATGGAAGCCTAGTCTACCTCACATGCCCAATCCAAGGCTGCGGGAAATCGGACTTTGTCACCCTCCACGGTTTCATGTGCCACTTGACCAAGAAACACAAGGACCGCACATTAGGCAGCCAGTCACGAGCTCTTGAAATTTGCGGTATCGTTTACGACCCGAATGCTCCACTCCCACCAGTTAGAGCCAGCAACCGCGCATCCACAGAGGAGAGCCCGGCAGCAATAGACCATGACGGCGAACATCCAAATGAAGAGCTCGATTCCGAAGACGAAGAGATGGAAATGGAAGAAGCCCGGGAAGATTCATATCGCGTTAAAACCGAAGTTACGGAACGCTCGATTCCAGACGCAGAAGACACACCTCTAGCCCGTGATGCCTCTACGCCTCCCAAGCCCGTCCTCAATGGATCGATCAAGCAGTCCATCTCATCGATAATCGACCGCACCCCGGAAACCGAGCGCGAAGCCCTTGCGTCCCTGCCGCCTTCAGAAAGTATCTCGCAAGGACCAACGCCACACCCCGAGCAGACCGTCCCTGCCAAGCGGAAATACGAGTTCTCACCAGAGAAAGAGAACGCCGAGCCGAAGGAGGGATCCATGGCCGAATAGGTCCCATCATCTATCATCCGACTTGCCTGCATCTCGACATGACAACCACGGCTCCCGGTATGAAAAACAAAAGTCCGACCTGAACATGTTTTACCTCCCATGTTTTCTTCTCTCAATACCCTAATTTATTTGTAATTTGGGCGGCTTGTTGTTTTGTCATGGCCTGGTTGTTGCTTGAGGTCTTGTTAATTTGGCGGATATCGCTATTGTCTATACTTAAATTTGCATCAAGCATGTTCATACTCATCCACCAGGTTGGTGGTCCGTGATTAATACACAAAGATGGTTATTCCCCTGGTCATACCGGGGTCCTTTGATCTGGAATTTGAGTTGAGGGCGTAAGCGAGAGTACGTGCCTTGCTGTCATTTTTATGACCTGTAGATCTATTTAGGCTTTCTGTGGAGTTGTTGTGCGCATATTTTAGGCGGATATCAAGCTTTATGTCTGCAAGGGATCGGACTGGACGCTTCATAATCCTAGCTCCTTTCAATAGTTAAACCCAATGGATCACTATTCGGCAATAGTAGCTCTCTTTGTAGTCATGTGTCTATTGTCTATTTGTAACCGGGTATTGCTCGAACAAGCATCTATCTGGGCCTTAACTCTTCTCCCTCGCCAAGAGCAAATGTACCAAGTACCCCGTACCACTCTTCAATCCATCTCCGAGAACCTCGTCACTTAATCTCCAAACCCGGAATTCTCGTAGCGTCTCCCGCAGCCAGGTCTCGAAGACATCCGGCGCGCGCTGTTGCTGCGCAATAATGCAGACCGTCGGCCGGCCAACGTGAGGCTCTGATTCATCGGAGGGCTCATATGCAGGGCGCAGGCGACAAATCTCCGAACAGGTGCGCACAAACGGGGCGACGAGAGCTTCGTTATAGATACAATCACAAGATAGTAGAAGATCGAAGCCTAGATCTTCCTCTTTATCATCGTCGTTTCTATGAGGCGCATCACGGCCACCACCAGCCTCAGACTCGATACAACTCTTCAGCAAGCCAGGTTGATCGGTTTCCCAGTCCAATGTAGTAAATGTGACATTGGCAACCGTCGGGTTTCCGCCGGGCTGCAGCTTTTTAGTTGCAGACTTGCCTTTGCTCTTAGTGCCTTTTTGTTTGCATGAGGGCGCATTCACGGCCGCATTGGCGTCAAGGTTAGCGCGAAAGAGACGCCGTACATACTCCTGGTCCGTGCCGATGTAGTGCTGTACGGTGGGGGCCAGGGCCAAGGCGACTAGGGCCGAGATGCCGCAGCCGAGCTCCGCAACCACGGAGTCCGAGGAGAGGAAGGAGTGTATCCAGAGAGGGTTGGAGGGGGAGGAGATCCATTCCGCGAAGAGGGGAGTGATTTTCCAGAGAACTTGGGAGAGTCACGAGGTTAGTCGAGGCCAACTGATGATTTTTGCTGTTAACAGAAGTATAATGAAGCCAAGTATGTAGAAAGGCCGCGGATATCATTCCGGACACGGGATGTTTCAAATGAATGGGTCCAGACCGAAGCCGAGGCTGAACATGTCCCCGGGACCCTTCGGAGGATTAAGACAAACTGCGGGGACTGTCCGTGCATGGGCCTGGAGTACAGGCTGGAGGAGGTGCAGATCATAGGAACTTACCGGCACCCGTGGTACCTCCTGCACGAGAGGATGAGAGCAACGTTGGAGACTGGTGGATCGAGTACTCGTTGCCACGGATCGTCACGTCGAGGGAGGTGGCGCGTGAGTCGATGAACCCCAGGTTGCCAGTTGGGATCTCTTGACTAAAGAGGAGGAAGGCTTCTGGAGACACTTTTTGAGCGGGCTATCATAACTCGATTGAGAAAGGCATAGCATACCCTCTTCAGGATCCGTGACCTCCTCGCCAATGGCGAGAAGCTCGGCGAGGTGGGAGTTCATGATGGGTGTTAAAAGAAAAGGTTTTTTCCCGAGTAACTAACTACGTGATCACGGGACCCGGTCACGGATCACCACGAATTATCGACTTCATGCCTTAAGCCCGTCGCAGTCGAGTCGATATGCCAGTGTAGTACAGTACAGTAGGAACTTCCCCACCCAGGCGTTGGGGCTCCCGCCCAACAGAAAACAAAAAGGGACTGATCTACCCGCGGATAAACACAAACTCTAAGGAGCGCTAGAGACCTCGCACCTCCTCGACGGAGTATGCATTAATGCCCTGATGCACCAATGCCCTGATGCATTGATGCACTGGACCGCGGCTCGTACAAGTGTGAACTGACCAGCTATCGTGAAACTAGAAAAGCAAAAGTCCCGTAAAAGTGGCCCTCGACGCCAGAAACACCGTGCGTCATGCTGCCGCCCAGCCACATCGCGAACGGACTTCCCTGTACCTAAAGAACCTAAGGTACTCCGTAGCTTCCCTGCCCAGCTTCGCTCTCCTCTTTCTTCTTTCTTCCCACGCCCTCCCTTCTCTCTTCTCCAAGCTGTAGTTCCCTTACTGCTTTGGTATCGGGTAAGTTTTGATGCTCTATCTCCTTGTTTCCTCCGTTGCCGCCCCCAGGATCCGAACTCCACTAACGTCACACTTAGCGGACTTTTCCAAGCCAGGGATCCCGCTGCTAGTCGAGCTACCTTAACCTCCCCTTTTTCATTCCTCCCAGCGCTACTGCCAAGATGTCGAAGCGCGACCTCCATATCCAGCCGCGCATGACCAAGAGGGGCCCCTTCTCGGTCGAGGCGCCCGGCTACGAGCCCGTTGAGGGAGAGACCATCCCCCGGCGGCACCCGTCCGCGAAGGACGGTCTGATCCTGCGCCCTTCTGAAGATGTCGCGACCACCTATGACAACTTTCGCCGTTCCGCTCGCCTGTACGGAAACAACAGGGCTGTCGGCACCCGCAAGCTGATCAAGACCCACACGGAGAACAAGAAGGTCAAGAAGATGGTAGATGGCGTTGAGCAGGAGGTGGATAAACAGTGGACCTACTTTGAGAAGAGCGGGTACACCTACAAGACCTTCCTCGAGTACGAGCAGCTCTGCTTGCAGCTCGGCAGCGGCCTGCGCAAGCTCGGCCTCGAGAAGGACAGCAGGGTTCACCTCTACGGCGCGACGAGTGCAAACTGGCTGGCTATGTCACACGGCGCTGCATCTCAATCCGTCACTATCGTCACTGCCTATGATACCCTGGGTGAGGACGGCTTGAAGCACTCCCTTAAGCAGACCTCTAGCACTGCCATCTTCCTCGACCCCGGTCTGATCAAGTCTCTGACCAACGTCCTGAGTGAGGTGCCCTCTATCAAGTTCGTTATCTACAACACCGATGACGAGGTGACGCAGGCAGACCTGGAGAAGCTCAAGACCGACTTCCCCAACGTCTCGGCGCTCAGCCTCGAGGATCTGCGCAAGAGCGGCGAGGAGAACCCCGTGGACCCCGTGCCGCCCAAGCCCGAAGACCTTTGCTGCATCATGTACACCTCTGGCTCGACCGGCCCGCCCAAGGGTGTCTCTTTGACCCAGGCCAACGTGATTGCCGCTACCGCCGGTGTCAACGAGATTGTCGGCCCGTACATCGGCCCCAAGGACTCGCTGCTCACATACTTGCCCCAAGCGCATATCTTGGAGTTCATGTTCGAGAATCTGTGCCTGTTCTGGGGTGGCTGCATGGGCTACGGTAACCCGCGTACTCTGTCGGATGCCTCTATGCGTAACTGCAAGGGTGACATTCGCGAGCTCCAGCCCACTATCCTGGTTGGTGTTCCGGCCGTCTGGGAGTCGGTGAAGAAGGGTGTCTTGAACAACCTAAACAAGAATAGCATCATCATCAAGAGCATGTTCTGGGGTGCTATGGCTGCTAAGAACTTCCTGCTCAACAACGGCTTCCCTGGTGCGGGCGTCGGTGCTTCAATCCTCGACGCTGTCGTCTTCAAGAAGCTCAAGGAGGCCACCGGCGGCCATCTCCGCATTATGATGAATGGCGGTGGTCCCATCTCCAAGGACACTCAGCGTTTCCTGTCGATGGCCATTGCTCCCATGATCAGTGGTTACGGTTTGACCGAGACCTCCGCCATGGGTGCTCTCAACGACCCCATGGCGTGGAACCCCAACGCCCTGGGTGAGATTCCCGCGTCGGTGGAGATCAAGCTCGTCGACTTCCCCGATGCCGGATACCTCACCAAGAACACCCCTCCTCAGGGTGAGATCTTCATTCGCGGTGGCAGTGTCACCTCGGGTTACTTTGACAACGAGGAGGAGACCAAGAGCGCGTTGACCGAGGACGGGTGGTTCATGACTGGCGATATTGGCGAGTTCGACTCGAACGGCCACCTGCGCATCATCGACCGCAAGAAGAACCTGGTCAAGACTTTGAACGGCGAATACATTGCTCTTGAGAAGCTCGAGTCTGTCTACCGCTCGTGCCCCGTGGTTGGCAACATTTGTGTCTACGCTGCCGAGGACCAGGACAAGCCCATCGCCATTATTGTGCCCGTGGAAGTGGCCCTGAAGAAGATCGCTAGCGAGAATGGCATCGAGGGTGACACCCTTGAGACTCTCGTGCACAATGAGAAGCTCCAGCGCCTGGTTTTGCAGCAGCTCCAGAGCTCCGGCCGCGCCGGTGGCCTACGTGGCATCGAGATTATCAACGGCGTTGTTCTGTCTGACGAGGAGTGGACTCCGCAAAACGTAAGTGGCTACCAAATATAAAGAATGAGAGGCTTCACAGCTAACACTATCTCCAGGGTTACATGACCGCGGCCCAGAAGCTCCAGCGCAAGAAGATCGTCAACACATACAGGGCCGAGATTGACAAGGCCTACAGGAAGAAATAAAAAAAGTGACGATGCGCGACCGATCTTTGTTCGAGTATTCTGTTTGTTGTTTTCTTTTCTATTTCTCCGCTCCGTTACCCTCTACCGCGATTGCTTTTGCCGATGTGATCTCCCCAAGCCTTGCAATATATGACTTTGACTTTTCCTGTGGATGGCCCTTAGCCACGATGTAGAACGAGATAGTGATGAATGCGGACATGACATTGCGACGGATTTGCTTTTAGCATAGCTGATACTCCTAGGCCAATACTTCTATATCTCCAGGACTTCTGCACCTCGTAGAAGCGTAGAACTTGAAGTGAAAGTACATCTCCACCCAGTATACTTCCGCCACGGTTACACCACTACCCAGCACTCACACCAGATCGACCTGCACGCGTTGTACAAGAACCTGGCAGGTACCTTATCAACGCCTTACACTGTCGGCAAGGTACTTCTGTAGTAGTCGAGGTTCGCGAGAGCCTCGGGCCCAAACCTGAAATGGCTAGCCTCATGACACGTGACCGCTAACATCCAAAGCTCAACGTCTGTTTTCCATCAAAGCTAACACAACCCTCGAACCAGCAAAATGTCTCTGTGGAGGTATGTCGGATGAATAGCACCGGATCCATTGTCTAGTCTCAGAACTGACATTTCACTCCAGCACCTACCGATCCCTCACCCCCAAAACCCGAGCCCTGTTCGGCGTCGGCGTCATGGCCTGGGCCTCCATTGGGCTGTGGACCACGCCGCAAGTCGAGGACGCGCTGGGCATGACCTCTACGAAGGAGGAACAGGAGGCGCTGGATAAGCAGCTTGCGGTGCGGATTTCGCGGGTTGGAGGAGACGAGAAGGACGGCGGAGTGAATTAATTCGAACCGTCGAAATCCTCGACGGAATACTGTCTGAACGTTTCAGTCATTGCGAGAAACCATGTGCGAACAATTGAGCACAGGATGGACCTGCTGGGCTATGAAAAGCCCCCCGAACACTCAACGATAGACCCAACCCAGACATGCTCAACCCCGGGACCACAATTGCACCCACATCCGAAGCCCACAATACCCTCGAGATGTCCCTTCGGATCGGGGTTTAGAAGCAGACCTGCTCGTCACGATTTACCTCAACATAACAACGAGGTCAAGGCCCCAAGCTGCCTCAGCGGAGTCACGCGGAAACGCAAACCAAGCCGGACCAGATTCCTCGCTGTTGTCCGTGAGCCCGAGTGTTCATGCTGAAGCTGGATAGCACCCTGGAAAATGGCATGATCCTCAGGGCGACACAATGTCGCTGCTAGGGCCGGCCTGCGCGCCGGGAAAAGTCCTGGCGGCTGAAGCAGGTGACTTCTCCGGTCCAGATCGTGACTCTTGTTAGGCCGGGCGGCGATGGACCAATCGTGGACTAGTTTATTCTCCGGCTTGGATGTCGGAAGGGATTTTGCGAGGGTCGGTTTTGGTTGAATGGGCATGGTTATGTTGGTGTTTGGGGTGACCCGGGTTGGGCCTCGGATCCTGTTTCTCTGTGGGTTGGGTCTCTTGCATGGCTCTCCCTGGTCGATTGTATTGGCGGTGTTCCATACTGTGATGGGCAGTTAATGGCTGTTTACGTCTGGAATGCAACTAGATAACCAAGGTTGACTTGAATCCATTGCTCGGGATAATGCCTATACCGGGCTACAACATAACTTTGGAATTAACATCTGATCATGTGTATCTATATCCCTGGCCTTTCTCTAAGTTTTCCCTAGGGCGAGACAGAGGCCCCGCTCTATAACGCCCTCCAGGGCAAGCACCTTGTAAACAGTAATTCCGAGGCCATACCAAGCCTAGAACACTCGTTCCAATCTCAGGCCCCATCCCCAACCCCAACCCCAGCTCATCAGCCCATCCTTGAACACACCTCACGTGCCCCAAGGCAGGATCTCTACCGCACGGTGAGACAGAAGCCGTTGACGTGGACCAACGGAGAAACCATGCCCTCCACGCTGGCTGGCTGTTGGCATCGCCCAGTATCCCAATAAACCAGGGGCCGTGCATCGGACAGTTTCGAATCCTGATCTGCAGCGCCCGAGCCCGGCTTGTCCAAACATGGCCAAACATTAGGGCTGCCTTGCGCTGATATGTGTGGTATGTTTTGGCATTTGGGTATCCGTAGGATTAGGGTAGGTGAAGATTTGCTGATCGAGCGGGAAGACGTTGGAGTATGGGATTGTGAATGCTGTACTCTGGGGAAAGTAGCTGCCTGCGATGGGGACGTAATTAGCCCCGGGATTGTCTCATTGGGCTGGAGATACACGCGAGACGGGATCCCCGTCTCGCATGGTTGTCTGGAAAGGTTACGCAGAAGTTAGACTCGTTGCACCGACAACCCGGGGTCTAATCCAAGTCTGCCCGCGGGCAGGTAATGTGCATGTGCGTCGAGCCAGGATCAATAAGGTATTTCAGTAAAGTTTAATTCTGACAGTCAACGAGTATCTGAACATATTGTCTCCTGACAATGCCATAGAATGAGGAATAAATACCTTTTAGAAGGCAGCATTGTCTGGATCTCGGAATATCTAGGCATCTCCCATCTGCTGTGCAACCTATTCAGAGTCAGGACTCGATTCCGTCTACAGATAGAGCGAAGTCAGGCGATATGTCGGGATTTGGAAATTTCTATCTATGTTTCAAAGAAACTAGTTAGCAGAAGTAGTAGCAGAAACATACATGTTCTGACATCATCATGCATGCATATAGAGAGTTACGTGTTGAACCCATGGATTGCCCTTTCGGCCGATAGCCCCTGTACGACGTGCAGATAGTTAGGAGCAACCGGCACTGGACGATTCCGACGCAACATGGGATATCGGGTGATCCTGTGAATTACACTCGACCAGAAATAACGATGCTGGAAATACCCAATACCACTGTAGGATGCATCGCCAAAGGTCTAGTCCCGGGCCGGGTGAGGTTCCTACTAACTCGCAGCACGCGACTAGGATCCCGGTCCTTAATCGGGACACGTACAGACAGTAATGAATGGCTTGCTGAGACGCATGAGAGAATGATCATGTTATTGCACGGGAGCCAATACATCAAGGATGGAAGGTAGGTAGCGTGACAAGTGTAAGCCCCCCCCTGTGGGAGGCTTATACTTCCAGTGACACCCCGAATAGGAAACTCTATCCTTTGGGAATCTAGGTTGATTTACACCCTGGATAAGAACGCCCATAGGCAGTGCTTTGACAGGCCAAAGTACCCTGCATCTTGTAGCCGCATGTGAGCTGAATACAGTAAAACAGTAAATTACACGCGCACGCACCGGCGTTCGGCCACCGGGATCAGCGACCTGCATATTCCGTACGTCGGCACTTGTGAAGAACACCACCCTTGCTTTCTGTACCTGTACATCATCCTGGTTTCAGAGTATTATTAGACGGGAAAAATACTCCTGCTGAAAGAGGCTGCTGCTGTTGATCTGTGATTGGCTCTGATGCTGCATCTTGCCATCTGCCAGACAAGGATCCGTCAATCTCCTTTGATGGCCTGTGCCAAGTATTCCAAAAGCAAATAACCGGCATTAGGTAAGGGAAACCGCAAAACTGACATCCAAACACCTTGCGCCACTGACAGTTCCTTTAATTTTGCCCGCTGCAACCCCCTATTATGTGCTTACTCGGGGGCACAGCCAACGCAGATCCACCGGGCGCACCCCGTTATCCTCTTTTGGTCCGGGTCGTTGGTGCAGGAAGTAAACCAATAGAATTCTGGTAGATGAGGCGTCGCATTTGCCATTCGAACTGAAACTGGGCTGCACTCTGCAAACACCCTGGGCACATCAAATGCTGGACCAGGACTGCAGCAAATAACGGTTCCCGGCGAACACTGCGAATCGGGGAATTACGCCTTTTGCATGGGTTGCGGCTAGTTCTCAGATACCTGGGTAGAGTGGTGTGAAGTGGATTCAGGAGGGGAATAGAAAGCTCGTAATGACATTGAGTGCCATGCTGTATGGTCTCCTTTTTCTGGGGTAAGAGAAACATGGCCAAAGAAGCAGGGGGATTCTTGCCAACTTTGTTTGAGTTTGAGGCCCGGGAGCGTGCGTTCTCTGCAGCTCATATCAACCTATTGGCCCGGTTCTTCCAGAGAACCGAAGAAGAAATTAAAAAGGGAAACAAAAAGGGAGATTTCCAAGAAAAGGCATGAGAAATAAAACCGAATCTCATGGAAAAGAATAATCACATAAAGAAATCCAAAGGGCCATGATTCATTCGTTCCCTGCGCCGTCCGTCCTGCACCAGTCCGTAATCGCATTTCCCAGTCTGCCTTCTGCAGTAAAGTTTCCTTCAAAAGCTAAGTCACATCAAGAATGGAAGAGAAAACAAGATTCAAGAAAGGGATTGAGCACCTAGGTGCACAGGCTATGTGGGTTCTGAATTGGGTCGTAACGGCCGTAGGTCGAGTAAATCGGGTCATATCCGCCCGTGCTTGAGCGATGTTGGTTAGGCATCCCTGTGAATACTGGATCCTGATACTGATCTAGAGTGGAAGCTGTTTTGATTGTATCCATCGGGTCCATGGTGTCGTTCATCATGGAATAATCAAAGCCCGATGACGACGATGACGAGATGAGTGGACTGTCGCTCAAAGGAGAGTGCTCTGCGGTGGGAATCTGGCGGTAGTCCTGTCGCCCGTATGGTAAACTACCCCGATGGCCAGAATCGTACATCAGCAGATGCGAGAGCGCATTCTGGCCAATTCCGTGGGGGAGCCCTCCAGAGCCATCCCCGCTGCTTCCATCGGGACCCATGCTCGCGGTGCTGTCACGACGCCCATCCTTGTAATGACCGGGTGAGCGTCCTCGAACGACCATTTGGTGAGAGTGTTTCCGGGCAATCAGAACCCACTGTGGATCGTTGCCCATGGATCCAGCAACCTCGGCATGAAGCTCAACCACTAGATTGTAGAACTGCTGTTGAGCGCGACGTTTGCCGTTGTTCGCAGTCGCCTTCTGGAACTGAATTCGCTCGAACATATGGGAGGTGGCAGGCTGCGCACAAGGCTGAGGGACTCCCGTAAATGGCGCGCCATAGTCCAAGGGCTGCGAACCAAGTGGGAAGCCGGCATGACCGTGACTGCCAGGTGATCCTCCAAGGGATGGAGGTGGAGAGGGCTGGAGCGGGATTCGGCTTGGCTTCCGCTCTGACTGCTTGTCCCGTTTGGGTGTGTGCTGCACAAGCTCTCGAGTATCCCCATACTGTCCGTTCACAATGGCGGAAATGGACATGGCAAACCCTCGAATGGGCTCGAGGGTCTGATCGGGATGTCGAATGTAAAGTGGGACGGTGGAGGGCCACGGATGAAGACTGAAGCTGCAGGTCACGGCAAAATAGTTTCGTCGGTAGCAGGTCCATTTTCCATCAGATGAAAAGAAGCCTCGTCCAATCTTAGCTTGAACTTCCGGCTTCACAGTTTGCTGAGTGCCTCCAACCTCCGCCACGATCGATTCGAGAATGCTCGTCTCTTCAAAAGGCGGCGCTTCCACTTGAGTCTGGGAACGCTGGGGAGATTCTACCATCGGCTGCTGGAAGACGGGGGTCTGGTTTCGATCCAACATACCTTCCACGACTCGAGGGGTTCCCGAGTATTGATGACCGCGGGAGACATCGTTCACACCTGTCAGTGGCATTCCCATGCCCCGATACAGAGCGTACGTCGATGAGTATGCGTTGCTGCGCCCCATCAAAGCCGGAATAGAGCTCATAGCGTGAGAAGGTGTCTGCATGCCGGTGGACATGCCAGTAGGAGGTTGACTGGAGAAAGAAAAAGCAACACCCATCAGTACTAGGTAGGTATTTAAATCAGAACGCCAATGCTTACAGAGCCGGGACCCTTCGAAACTCTGCCATCCTATCGAATGGATGCTGATGCTGATTCAAGTGCGGGAAGATAGGGCCAGAAGTTGGGGAAAAGGAATCTATTTGAAAATCAACCCCGGTCAACTAGGAATATTGTCAATATCCATCAGAGAAAATCACATACCGGAGCAGGAATCTGGGGGAGTCATGGCGAGGGAATTTGATCCGGGGTAACTATGGAAAAGCAAAGAGTTTAGTGCGTCACATCACCACCAGAATTGTTGAAGCGATCTCCAAGGCAGGCGCACTGAGAAGAACGATCATAGGAACCCGAGGCCAGCGCGGAAACCATGATGTGTAAGAAGGGACCGAGCCGGGCGTTTCGATACGGCAACAGGCCACCAAAACACAGACACGAGTTCAGATAAAAAAAGGGAAACATCGGGATAAACGTATGCAGGTAGCGGATCAGTATGGAAGGTACCGAAACCGGCTGGACTAGAGTCCAAGCTGCCCGGACCCGGAGGAAGCGCAGCGACAAGGGGGGTTTCGAGAGGCCCGGACGGTCCGGATTGAAAGCGAGCAGAAAATAACTTACTGTAAGTCCTGCATCGCAGGCTGTTGTGCATGGTACCGCACGCCGTTGGTGACAGGCATAGAGGCGAGCGCTCCGACTCGCTGGCTCTCGTCGTCGTCGGTCGGGAATCCTGTCACATGGGAGCTGATATAGTCCCCTTCTGTGGTGACGGGGCAGTCCATGGTAAACGATTCGGGTAGAAGAGTAGCTAGACCGTGCAGATTAGCATCTGTTACATGAATGCCACGGAAGCAAAAGCAAGCCAAGATGTCCGCGATCTCATACCAACCGCATGACGGTGAAAAATGCAAAGAATCAGATGGTGACCTACAGGGATTCATCTTGCTCGTACTGATGCCCGGTGCCTCGAGGACCCTTAAGTATGCCCAGTTGAGGTGACACCGGCGAGACGCCCAAGCCGTCGCCTGGCCCTTGATGTCTGAGGGGTGGCGAGGGAATACTGTCTAGAACAGTGGCCGCGTTAGTTACCCGGTCCAGGATCGGCTGTCAACTCATTCTGCTCACGCGTGAATTTAGTAGCCCGCAGTTTGAAGGGGATGTCGACAGGCAGAAAGAGTGTATGGGTGAACGTTGTTAGGGTACAGTTCCCAAAGCACAAGTCAAAATGAGGTAAGAACTGAAACAGTTGGAAAATAAAGAAAGAAGATGGAAATTTAAAGTGCACAGACAAAGCGAGCCAAGCAAGAGAGAAGGAGAACATGCGGGTGAAGATGAGAATGAGAACATGCTTTACAGGCAGCAAAAGTGTCTTATTATCGATTTTGGAGCGGAACGCAGAAATCGCCGTCAGAAACTCGGCCACCGAAAGCGGTGCGTCACCGGTTGATAGACAGCTGGAAGCCTTCCTATTCGAGGCCTGTTCACATCCAGTCATGAGGTCTCCCCTGTTGAGTAAACCGATCAAGATCCTGAACCTCGAACTGGAAGACCAACGGCTTGCGCGGCTGAGATGAGGAACAATGACCGTGAAATACAAGAGAAAACCATGGCTTGTAAGGAAAAGAAACGGGAAAAAGAAAAAAGGAAACTTACTGACGCAATTCGGTGCAACTGCCTTACAAATCGACCAGCGCGAAGGACCTTGAATGGACCAAAAGGTAGATACTTCGGAGGTCTGCAGCCCTAAGCAGGGAGGATTGGCGTAGGTCCCAAGATAAAAAGTGCCGGCACCAAAGCGATGAAATCTTAACCTTCCTCCCGGGACCTGGAGCGGTTTGAATAATTTCTTTTGGTGGGATGTCGGTGGTTTTGTGGCTGGGCTGGAAAGACTGGGGAAATAAGGGCCTTGGCGAGGCATGCAATTGATATTTGTTTCCCGATGATGATACCGGGGGTCTCTGAACCCCGGTAAACTCGTAGAGAGACACCACAAAATAACCTCAGACCATCACGATCCCAGGATAAATTATCGCCACGAGTCCCTGTGAAAAGGGTCTGTCAGGGGCGGCGAAATACCGTTGTATTCGGCAAGGCGACAGTGGGTGGCAGCAGCCATTTTCCATTAGGGGTCCAACCATCATCAGCATCCGCTAAGGATTTCCGTAATTTGGAAAGATCTGGGCTTCTGAATTTGAAATTCTTTTTTTTTTTTCGAAATTCTTTTTTTTTTGTGATCCCTGTTCCGGTAGATGGAGACTGGCCGAATGGAGTATAGAATGGGTATGGGGTGCGAGCCTCCCAAGGAAACAGTAGCATCGAATCATTGACCCAAGCTCCAGACAGTTTGATTGTTCAAGGAGCAGGGCATTGGTCGAAACCTCCATGTTACGTGCCCTGGGACCCGAACCTGCACGGACAGTGGCCGACCTGGGCTCGAGGTGGGTATGGCCCTAGCGGGTCAATAACAGGGAGGATGTATTTTCCATTACAGCCCTAGAGTCAGATGTCCCAGCGCGGACACTCGGCAAGCAGGTCGCTGCAGGAAAACCAAATAAGATGAAACTAGACAGGATAGAGGAGATGATCATCCCCCAGGATACCCGTGCAGACTTCCCTCCCCCAGCCGCATGACAGTGGTTGACGTATCAGACTTTGGAGATCTGCAGGCCAATAGAAGTGCCGTTACAGTAAATGGATAATTATTCGTCCGTGGCAAGAAAAAACAAGAAAATAGATGCCCTGGGTCGGTGATGCCCAGGCGGACTCGGGCGGGCTTTTCTCCATCTTGATTCGAATTATTCTCGTTTCTTTGTCTAAGTTTCCGTATTGATTAAAAGGAAAACGAAGCGATCGGCACTTTTCATTCAACCAGGTGCATTGTGCAAGTTGGCAATTGCCTCACCGACAGATGTCTGGGGCGAAATGTCAAGCAGCACCCAGACAGCGTCGAGACTCTTTGGACCAATTCGGTTGCGCTCCCGAGAGGTGCTTCGGACGCGTGCTGGGTGGCCATCACACACCCCTATCTGGGAATGATGGCTCCACAGGGATGCCTAAAGTAGGCGCAGCGGGAGGAGTGGGTGTGCGGTCCGTACCCGACAGCGTCTTCCAGAATGGCGGTCCCGCACTATTCAGGCTGCCAAAACCGCTAATCCAAGGAAGCCCAGTGGCTTGGCTAAGATCTGGTAAAGTGAAATTTAGATCCGAAGATCCTGGTTCGTTTACGTGGACCCTAGGCCCGGTTAGCCCTGATTCGTCCTGATCGTGTTGACGGAAGCGCATTGGTGGCTGGGAGATCGGCCATCCCACAGGGGGCTAGCTGGTTCAGATGGCAAATTGCAAAGAGCGACAGAGAAGCACCCGGCAGTGTTTGATTGGATAGATCCGATCGGGGATCTGATCAACGGGCCAGTCATTGGTAGTGGAGGGTATGTTGTGCAGGGCGGCTCCCCTCACGGGCCATTCTGTTCATGAGACGGTGCCAAACGCGGTACTGGGTGCAGGGGATGACAGTCATCACAGGTGACCGAATCAATGATGAAATAGGAAGGGATATTGGGTATTTGACTTTCGGCGGACCTCATCCGCCCCCCCATGAGCAGCACGTGCCGGGGCGGTAAACAAGTTCCTGTCCTTTGATGCTGTAAATGACGTACCGACCTCCACTTTTCAGCATAGAAAGCATCTAGTTTACATACTATTAGTCCAGTGTGAACGCTCGGGTAACCCTGTTGTTCTGCAGGGCCCCTAGTCGTGTTGAATTGAGGCTACGGTAGCCGATATCCTCCTAGTAGATCGATCCACGCTCCGTACCGTGCCGGGGGTCCACTCCGTCGTTCCCCACCATTTCTCATCTATCACAGGCAGAACGGGTCGAGTACATGGCACTATATTATGAGGTACATGATAGTGCGCACCTGAAAATGTCCGATCCTGGCTCGTGTATGCGGAGAGTCAGGAATTTCCTATCCACTGCAGGTACTGCCCCCATCCCAAAGTGTAATTTGTGTGTGCTAAGAATGGATCAAGATTTGAGTTTTTTTTTAACTGAAAGAAGTGGTCCTAGGGTGCAATACTGCACAAACTCATCAATCGAACCATGGATCCACGCTCCGGGCCAGGCAAATCATCCGGGGGAGAGTTTATGAGGCTGTTCAGGGTTGCATATTCTCCTGAGACATTTTCTGTTCCCGCATTTGCAGCGGTCCAGGGATGGGGGCACGTGCCACTACCTTGCATGCTCGTTATGAACTGGAAGACAATTGGTGTTTGGACGCGAAAGGAATCAGTCTGTACGACTCTTCGTCATTTCATTTTGACCATTTCCCGGGCTGCATCCAGCCGTGCTTAGGTTCTGACAGGGAAGACAAAGGACTATCAGCCGAGGAGAGCGTCGGGACTGGGGTTTTCTCATTACATGGGCCGTTTCACTTTTCGGGCGCAGACAATGATTATTCATTGGCCAGAGACAAGCAGCGTGGTATACCGAGAGGGGCAGCCGATAATATTCTGGACTGCCCGGCCCCTGTTCCGTGACCCCGGCTCTTTATGCCCGTTGGTCTAGGATCTTGGATCCCACTGTGGATCCTATCCTGGACCCCAACTACACCTTCAAATGATCGCATCTAACAGGCCGGGCTTTGTGTCAGCATCACCTAGCTCCTGAGCTCGGCTCCCTGGGCAATGCCGGGAGAGTCGTCGAAACCGCCCCACGAACCCCTTACGCGGCTTACCTAGATACCTGGTTAGGTAGATTGTTGACTTCTACCCTATCCATCGGGATCCATGGCACCGAGTGCTGTCTCCTACATTTAAGTTCGAGACAGCTATTGATCATGCCGGATATTCGCTTCTCCACCAGTGGGGCCTAAAATAGACAGAGCGGAACTTGAACTCAGGTACCATGACAGAAATCGGTAATTCCGTGCGAGACCCATATTTTGACAGAAAGGTACGGAGTGCTGATCCTCGAGGCTAGTAACTTAAGGGGAAACTAACGGTTCTATGGTTGCAGTTTGCTCCATCTCCGCGAAACTCAATCCCGACTCTCAATCCAACGTCTGGACACAAAGTTTGGCGATCATTGAAGGGTTACTTGGGGCGACAGTCGACCTGATTCCCGGTAGCTCACTGCAGATATTCCGTTGCCCCATCGATCGATCATCTCGTTGCTAATGCCAGTGGGACTTCACCGGAATGCCACAACGCTCACATTGGGCAGTATGCCAGTCTAGTCATCGCAAACCTTGATCACCCTGGACCTCCAACTCTCGATGGCGATGAAAGTGCTGGCAATAGAACCAGGGGGAAATGCAGTACGCGAATGTCTTTCGGGCAAGGATTGAACATGACAGCACAAAAATATTCATCCGACCAAGGATCATATGGCTCTTTGCGAGACCTAATTTGTCCGCTATCGCCTGGAGGCTCGCCACGAAACTTGTCGGGAGCTCAATATACTTTGGATGGCGTCGACTACAGACCGGTTGAAGCGCCTCCAACGTCTGTACAGTACTGAAAATCCGTCTTTGCTCAACATCGTAGCAATCGGTCTTAGCCATTACCAGCCATCCCTGGGCAACGGCAGCCAACCCGAGGACGACGCCTGGTAACACGGGAGAAGGACCTAGATAAAACTTGCTCAACGGGACGAAGCCGACAGGGTGGCTTCACGAAGAACTGCCCTTCTCGTCGATTGCTTCGGGATCGTCTCACAACGGCCTCTAGAGAGACCAGGGTCTTCCGCAATGTTACTGGGACTTCGGAACGTCGTGAACGCCTTTCACATGTGTTCTCCTGTCATACTGCATGCCGCAGTGGCGGCGCAGTCAAAATCTGGCGGCCTAGTGATGTTGTGGAGTTGCAGGAGAGGGCCAAAAAAGGACAATGCATGCTCTTCCCTGCTAACGTGAACTCTTCCTAACGGGTCAACTAAGGGGCCAAATGCCGAGAACCCAGGTAAACTTTTCCAAGTCTCTTTCCTGATTTGAATCACGGATACGACGTGATGCAACCCCAATTTGCCTTCGGGAAATTACGTCGGTCTGATTTGAACGGAAATATGCTCATGGAGATCTAGATAGATCTACGCCGTTGCAATTGAGTGCCGGATCTGGGATCCGAGCGCAAATAGCCTCGAACGTGCGTTTGGAGGCGCAACCTTCTCATTGCTTCGGCGAAGCGGTCACCTGCGGCCTTGACAGGAGGAAAAGTTAGTTCTGTGCTCCCGACTATCCTGGCACTGCCCGGGTACCCCGAGGCTTGTCGTGAAGGCGCTTCTTACGCGGATTACGTCCCGGCAGATGACAGGATCACCTGAATGTTGATATGGAGGATTGTCATTCGTGTGCAGCACCTGGCTTTGCCTCTCCCCATTCATAAGCGGACGTCCCAAGTTACTGACATCCTTGTCCGCGGACAGCGAGAGAGTTAGTCGCAACGAGGCTACGGAGAATTGTTTGACGATCTGGGGTAAGGCTTTGATAGCCCCCTTGCGAAGTATTAGGCCCCAAGGCTGGAATGAGTGGCAAGTAAACAAAGCAAAGCAGTAACCATGATTGTATTGGAGTATGCCGGAACCGGGTACGCAACCCATTCTCTATCAATGAAACGGATCACGCAAAAATCTCTCAACCATTGCTTTTGTATAGACTGACGAATGCAAATAAATGACATGGTGTCTTTTGAGGAATCATCATTATCAATCAATCATAGTACAAAAGGAAAAGAGCTTCGCCCAAGTGGTAGGTAGGCCCGCCTGAAAAGAAAAAGAAAACGGAGCGAGAAATGTCGTAAAAAAGGCGAAAAACAGATCAAGTGCGCTTCGCGAACTCCACACGCAAGATAAGGTGGCGGTAACCGACTGCAAACAATGTGTGTTAGTGCCTGGGACTCCGGGAAAGAGTGGGAAGGGGGAGATCATACAGCCGTCCATTTTGTCGCAAGCAAGCTGTGCGTCCGCCCGATCGGCGTAGGAGATGAAAGCGAAACCCTTGGCCCTCTGGGTCTCTCTGTCCCGGGCAAGGAAAACTCTGGTGACACGACCGAACCGCTCGAAGAGATCCCGCATCTCTTGTTCCTCTGCCAACTCGCTGACCTGTTGAGAGCAAAAGAAAAAAGTTAGAAAATGCACCAAATAGCATCTCCAAGGTGTAAACACGTACATTTGTGACACGCAGAGTCGCAAGATCGTCCTTCTCGAAACGACCACCCATCTTCTCGCCAGCAGCAGCACCGCCCTTCCGCAGGTGAGGCGGCACGTAGCCTCCAGAGCCAGTACCGAGCGAGCCGGCCTTGTCTTCCTCAGTAACGCCCTCGCCACCAGCAGTGGGCTCCTCGACAGGTGCCATGGTGTCCTTGAAGGGACAGCGAGCTGTGAAATGCTCTCCGGAACAAATACGACACTTAACCTTCTTGTCCTTGAGCTGATCCTTCATGCTGCCCTTCTCACCGCCATCCTTCTCGGCCTCCTTGGCCTGAGCCTTCCAGTTGATGCTGGGGCGGAAGACAATGTTCTCGCCGACGGAGGTAGTATCGAATGTAGGACCGGGAGGGTGGCCCTTCTCGAGACCGAACTTGGGCCACGAGCGGCGCTCGGCGACCTGAGGGTTGACGTGTTCGCGGACCACGGAGGTCTTGATGCGGCGGGTAACCTTCACTTTCTTGTTGTCATCGTTGAAGCGGTAGGAGATGACGGTCTTGGTGCCATCTTTGTTGCTGATCACTTGTTGCGCGGGGAGCGCGGAGGGGTCATCGAATTCCTCGTCATCGGCCCAGTCGGCACGGCTGTAAATTTTGAGAGAAATGGTTAGAGTAGAGAATCGGAAGAATTTCGGGGAGTCAGCACTCACTTCCCGAGTTTAGACATGGTGTGTGGTCGTGTCAAGCGGTAACAGCTGAATTTCTAGGATTTCTTTCAAAGGCGAATCCGTTGTGGATTTCGATTCGCGGCGATTTTGCTGTGGCGCACGCCGTGGCTGGTGTGCCCGGAGTCATGTGATCGCATAGTGCCCCGGTTTTCGGGTGTCTATATTCTTCTACCATTGAACAATCGACACAGACATCGTGTTAATCATCTGGTAAAGGGCATGCAGCTGTGAAGCTGAACCTATCGTGCTAAAAAAAATTCATGTGCCAAATCTCATCGAATCCCTGGCCTTTTATTCATCCATGCTCCTTTCAACTTTCGCAAAACTCATTGCAGTATAGAGTCACAACGGAAAAAATTCCACTTCCTTGGACCATGAAAGCCTTGCCATCTTTCACCTGGGAAGGAAGTTTGAAACAGCTTCATGATGAGGCTTTAGACGTAGTCAACTTCGACTGTGCCTAGGGGCAAGCTCTACAGAGCCGAGGATTTCTCATCATGTTTCTGCTTCTTAGATATTATACACGTTCCTAAAAGCTCACAATCTTTCGAAATACCTCCAAGGCTCAATGGCATGCCTTGCCATATTTCCGTAGACGCAGATAATTATATGGCAACGGAGCCAGATACCCAGCCCCTACCGATAGAGCCGCCGCCAGCCAGAACTTTGGATCACCCAACGTCACAACTCCCCCTGTAAGGTGATAATCAACCGCATTCTCTACTATTTCCATGGCCAGCATAGATACCAAGCTCATTCCCATGGCGGTCCGCGCAGCCATCATCCAGGAGAGCTGATCAGCGCCGCGCCTAAGTAGAACTGTTTCGAGGGCTATGGAAGTCGTGATACCAGAGGCCACTGGCACGGTTCTTGTCAACTTTGATCATACGACTTGCGTGGAAAGGAAAAACTCACTAGAAGCAACCATGATACTGCTCGTTCCGAGCTCCGAGTAATACGATTGTAATAACCACATAGCAGAGAAGTCACCGGCGGTGCAGCCAACGAGGCAGCGCAGGGTATTTATCCCTGCTCGGTTCCATGTAGAGTGACAAGTCCAAAATGGAAATTGAAGTGGCGAGAGAGACTGAGATGGAAGCTTGGGCTTGGTTGACTTCTCGTCATGGCAGGTACTTTTGCGGCGCGCGGAAGACCTTTGCTGGGTTGCATGGCATGTGCGTACAATAGAGATAGAACGTATATCGATCCCAGCCCTTCGAAGACCGGACAGCGATAATGGACGATTCATGGTACAAAATTGAAGTGCATATTGTAAGAAAGAGTCCAGGTGAATGCTTTTAAGCCAGTCTCCGCGACGGTAATGATTTGTAAGATCCGTATTATTACGGAGTGCCAAGCCCCGTGGCACAAATACCTCACCCGGACTAAACTACATACATTTAGAACATACATTAAGTAGTGTGGCTCTTGACCATTAGCATTAGGATGAAATTTTACAGTCTTCACCATTCTAACTTTTCCCGCCAAAATCAACCTCCGTCGGCGCCTCCCAATTTGTTTTATACACCATTCTAGACACTACTTTGTATTGTGAATGACCTTGGACTTCGCTGGCCTGCTGTCTTATAAGAACCCCATTATTACATTGCTTCATCACATGAAGAAGAAGAAAATACATCTTTACTATCACAGCAGCGCGACTGACTCGTCACATACTACAAGCTAACATGACATTCTCCATGTATAATCCCATGGCCTTCCACGATGAAATATATTTCTCTACTAAACCTGGGCCTACAGGACCACTTCCCCACAATTTGCTGTCGTCTTAGTCGTGTCTAGTATCAAACCACCACATGACATTCGGAAGAAATGCTGGTCGAAGAACTCCGGCAAGCGCCTGCCGGGTTTGTCGTTGATTGAAGCCGAGGAATTCTGGACTCGTTTAACCCATGAATCAAAATAAAAGATGCCGTCTCGCGGGACGTTAAGAAGCTAGGCTAGAATATTCACCATTTTCTGCCACGGTTGCCTGGACGGATTCTCGATATGGTACATCGAATAGGGCGTCGTGTTAGAAATCAATAATTCGCAAAATATCGCGGCAAGGTGTTCGATCGGACACCGGGAGAGGCTACGATCAAAGGCCGGAAGCGCTTTTAACGTCTGCGTTGATTAAAACAGGAATGCGAAATGCTCGACTGGATTCCAGTGCCCGTTGTTTGTTGAACCAGTAGTTAGGGCGATTTTTACAGCCATTAGTCGGAACATATCTGGATACCGATGCAGCATCTACACGTATTGTACTCTAAGCTTTTGAAGAATTTAGGTTGACCTACGTGATGGTCTCGGCGAACTATGAGCCGATTTAGAAGAACCAAAACGGGAAGTTGATATTGAACCATCCTAGCGAAATGTGTCTCTCTCTGCTTACAAGACAGCATGCTTCAAGACTCTTTGTGGTTTCGCATATCCAATTCGTAAGGATTATTCCGAAGTACCGTTTCAAGTCATTCACTTGTAAGTGTAGATCGCAAAGTTGTTGCTCTCACTATCCTCGAAATACTGGAACAGCCCCTTGTTGCCTTCGGGAATAATCTCGCTCGCCTTCTTGCCGCCATTCTTTTCAATAGCCTGTCATTCATTAGCCGATCACACTCTCTCGTGTCAATCCATAAGCCACCTACCTCCATGGCAGCACCAATGTCATCCACGTAGAGGTATAATTTGGTAGCGCCCGTGCCGGCTGGGATTTCTTCCTCCAGGCGCATGGCACCTCCGAGGGGGAAAATGCCGCCTGGGACTTCGAAGGTTTGAAGCTTGTGCGCGGGAAAACCCAGAGTTGAGGTAGCAAAAGTCCAGTTGAAGACCGTCTTGTAAAATGCAGCTCCTACGAGGCCGACGTTTTAGCTTATGCTGTCGGATAAACATAAATGTATAGAAACGGGACGACTTACCGCGATCCACGTCCTTGGCAGGGATCTCGAGCCCTACAGGTGTGCCAGTAAGAGGAATAACAGACATAATGCCGAGTTTTGAGGGCCGTGAGGATCGGTGTGTTGTTTGAAAGATGACTGTAGTGATGACCGAGTCAAATCCGTTCATTTGAAGCAGCTTTATATACCCCAGTTTTCCCAACCGACCTCTTTATCCTCCACGCTCTGTGCTATCGTAATCATTGGCGTACCCAGTTGTTTCCATGATGGACGAACCTATCAAACGGCACCATTTCCAAGAGCGACTTTGTTTCTTTGTTCCGTTCAGGCCAGAGTTTGTCCGAGTCGTGGTGTCGGAGTATCTTGCTCGGATCCCTTTTATTCCGAATCCTTCATGATCTAGACATTACCTAAGCATCTTATTCTCCGAAACGTAAGTATTTCATCTCCATAGCCCAGGCGATACTGTCGAGGTCTTCCAGACGGAATACTCCATGGTTTCTGTTGAAAAAAAATTCTGAGACAATCTACGACCCCTGCACATGTGGGCATTTCGTCTAGTGGGACTTCTCCAACAGTTTCCAGCAATAAACACGACCCATGCACCGTAATCAGCTCTATATAAAAGACACGGAAAACATGCATGTCATGCCACTGACAATCCACGTCACATTGCAACACAACGAGCATGATGGCTTTTCCACAGTATGGTCTTTCAGGCTATGCTCTCCTCTCCTACGCGGCCTGTGCGCTGGGGCATTCAGACTGATTCGGTATACTGTTTTTACTCAATCTCTAGTTAGGGATAGGTCAGAAAGTTTATAATGCCGCGCTTGGTGGGCGCTTGGTGGAGACTTGAAAGCCGTGGACACAGCGATTTACAGAAGGTACAGAGCGAGAGGAACACGGGCTGGTGGCGTGCGCCACTACATACCCTGGTAGAATCAAACCTCGGCTTCAAGTGGCGTTCTTAGCTTGTTGAGGCGCAATTAGTCTTCAATTTACTAGAGGTCCACGGAGATGCTCGGGTTCAAGGCGCAATGAGCTTGACGTTTTCCTGTTTCTCTTCGTTTTTCTTGACCTAAAAGTCTCCCAATAGAGAGCATTCCAGCCAAAGTTGGTTTCTTTGTAGTATCAGAGGTGGTGAGTGTTCCCGAGTGCGGATTCTTATCTACCTAGAGATGTCTGTGTAGCGGACATTTCCTGAAGATAGGCCTGCTCACCCTTTTGCTCACTGAGCCTTAGCAACAGGTCGAAGTGTTCCTGACAGTAGGTCTGGAGGGTCGCTAGGTTTACCGAACTGCATATGATTTGGAACCCCTACCTCCTGGTATTGGTTGGCTCTTGCCAGCCTATCGTTTGCTGAACAGCCCCACGGGTAGTTGGCTGTTGTACGGGTCATAATAGGGTATTTTATAGATCCTGTTCCTATAATTTGAGCTCTTGGGACAGAGAGATACAGTCGACAAGATGTAGGCTGTCACTTATCACTCTAAAAATTCGAGCATCTGGGCAACGGCCCACCTTACGTGGGCCGTACCAGCTGTGGGTAGACGCCCAAGAATGAATAGAAGCGATGATAGGGATCAAGGGTCGTGGGAAGCATAAACGAGAACCAATATTAGCCCCTACCGGAGTTGGTTTTCTACGGCAGTAGTACAGCTATCGTCATATAAGAGGTAGATGAAGACGAAGACAACGCGGAAAGGAAGAAAAGGGGTGGGCGTGGGTCAAGCCAAATTACCAGACCTATACGGGCCGAGAAACAAAGCGTGAGTATCGGGAGGGTAAACTGTTTTCGATTTCTACTGTATCCAAGAAGCTACTTCCATGCGAGCATTTCACACTGCAGCGCCGCATACCACGCATCCTCCGTCTCGGCCCATTTTCTTGAGGCGAGCAGCGTCTCCTGTATCTCATCCTCAGTGATGCCAGCCTCCAGCCAGCTCCGGTGTAAGGGGTCGCCGGGCTGTAACTGGCTCTCAGCCCGATTAGCTAGCCACTGTCGAGTGTTTGCCCCCGAGAACACTGTGCTTCCAGTACCGATATGAACCCTACCCCCGTCAGCATCAAAACCCGCCCGACGGAACAGAGCGGGCATAACAGGCGGCGAAAGGTCTGCTTCAGGATCCCCTTTAAGTACCGCTCGGCGGAAATTCCCCACCCAGAGACGGTCGAGGTCCATACTCCGCGGGTAAAAGTGCTGTTCGATGGTATCGCGCGTGGCCAGGATTCCTCCGGGCTTCAATAATCGTCGCATCTCGGTAAGTGCCTTAAGTGGCATGTCCGGTGGTGGCATATACCCGAAGGTATGAGCGCAGAATACGACGTCGAACGTATTGTCAGGGTAGGCGAGCCCTTCTAGGATATTGCCTTCTTCGAAGCCAATGGAGCCTGGTTCTTCTTTAGGAATCCTGGCCTCGTTGGCCGCTGTCTTAGCTCTGCCTAAGACATTCGCCGAAATATCGATACCGACCGTTTTCCCTTCACTAGCGTATTTGACAAAGCCTAGGGTAATGGTACCAGGCCCGCAGCCGACATCGAGAATATAGTCTGTCTTCTTGATGTATGGGAGTAGAAAAGCAGCCTCCGACTCAGCTGTGCGAGTTTGCTGGGTTGCGACAGTCTGGCTGGAATATCCCTGCTTGTAATTGTTCATTTGACCGGTGCTTGCCATAGTTCTGACAGGTAGGTACATAGTAGTTAGCATACTGCCCTATGACCCAGATTGCATACAAGTCACACAAACCTAGTTAATTCTTGCAGTTCTAAAAATATATGCTTGGTGTGAAATGGACGGGACATTCAATCAGTGTCGCGTTCTTCAGCTTTAAGCTGATAAGGATGCCGGTTTCGCGATCTAGCACTACGGATAATCCAATCAAAGCGGGCTGACCGGGCCTGCACCGGGATTAAAAGTAATAGCGGCAAAGGGGGACTTTGGCGCCAAATGGCTTTGCGCCGAGCTTCTGCGGGGTTCACATCGACTAGCTACAGTGGGATTAGCGTAGACCGGACCATCGCTGTGCAGTGAGCTTGGCCTAGACTGAGGAATCAGCAATTGACTCAGATTATCTTTGCATTATTCGGGTAAGCCAATGCGCCCGCTTCAGAGTTTCGGGAAACATCCCGCTGACTTCTCAGAACAGGTTAGCGACTACTTTTGTATCATATCACTAATCAGGCGCTATATTGCGCAGAGATTCTAGCGGTTCTCGGATAGTGCTGCTAAGGAGGATGGGTGTCAGGTTATGAAGAGGTAGTGAGGTAGAAGTGTTGATACTTCCGTACCGAAAATCAAACCCCATCTTAGTACATACAGTGGTGTAACATAAGTATTTGACCTCGAGTACTTTAGGATCCACTTTTAGCCTGACCGCTTTATTATACCGCCTACTTTATTAGTACACCACACCTCGCGTTTCAACGCGCTTGCTAACATATACGCTACAGTTAACGCGTTATAGCAGTCTTTCTTACCTTATTATGCCTCCTATACGTGGGAAGAGAGGCCCAGAGCTTAACTGCCTTACTAGGGCCAAGATCTGCGAATTACACGCTACAAATGGCTGGGGTGCAACAACCATTAAGAAGATGCGCTTTCCCGATATTCCACGCTCAACAATTCAATATACCCTTACCCAAGAGGCAAAGCGTCAAAAATAAGAAAGCCTTCCACGCTTAGGCGCTCCAAGGAAGCTTACTGAAGAGGATCGTGACTATATCTACGACACTATACAAGAAAAGCCATCGATATTAATTAAAGATCTACTTAGAGAGGTCGATTTTAAGGTCCATCGCCAGTCAATTTAGCGTCTAACCCACGAAATGGGTCTTCGAAAATGGAGGAAAATGCAGCGTCCGGCACTTACGCCTGAACATGCTACGAAACGGCTTCAATAGGCACTCGAATACCAACACTTCACTCCTGAAGACTAGGCCCACGTCTACTGGTCAGACGAATGTACAGTTGAACGTGGAATAGGCCAGCGGCAAGAATGGACGTTTACACGTCTAAAAGACCAGCTTTTTCAGCATTCAAAAGAAGGCTCTCAGGTTCAGATGGTTCCGGCGCGAGGGAAGCAAATTAAGTAGATATTTTGGGCTGCTTTCTCTGGCTTACCGCGTCGATCAGGCCTAATTCCATTATTCGGAGATCCTACGTCTAGAAGAGGTGGTGTTTCTTCACGTACGATTGAAGAGCTCTATCGGCGTATCTTACCTACGCTACTTAATAGTATTGATAATAATGCTATTTTTCAGCAAGATAACGCGCCCGTTCATACTGCATATATTGTACGGGAAGCTCTTAATGAGCTTAACTGCGAGATTATGGAATGGCCTCCTTATTCACCTGATTTAAACCCGATCGAGAACCTCTGGGCGCTGCTAAAAGCCGAAATTCTTAAGCGTTATCCTGAGCTAATGCGCCTACCGAACAACGAATCTACGTTAGATCTATTGCTAAAAGCTGCACAGGAAGCCTGGGAAGGCCTAGATATTGAATTATTCAAGCATCTATCAGAAACTATGCCTCACAGGGTAGCTGATGTTATTAAGTATGAGGGGTGGCATACTAGCTATTAGACTGAATTGAATTTCAGAGGTTTCTGCCTGGCAGTATTAGAAAAGTGGGTCCTAGGCCGAAGTACTCGAGGTCAAATACTTACGTTACACCACTGTACACTAAAGCTGGTGTCAATACGAATACCGCGGTGGACCGGAGATATAATTATCCTTCCATGTTTATTACTTATGTAATCTAGAATCCCCCTAACGTAATTCCCGGCCGACCTGGCCACCCGCCCGTCCCGGCCACCCACCCCCATTAGAAGATTTTAAATCGGCATATCTCAACCAAAACGGATTAATTGATATAAAACTAGTGATTATTACAACGATTGATCTTATGCCCAATCACCCCGCACCCGCTACACCTTGGCGGAGCCCTTTTGGCTGGCTGATCTGGCTAATTAGGCAGATCGCCCTGCGCATGCGATGCTAACCTAATACCTTCAACTGGTTGGTTTAGCTGCTGAGCTAGCTGTAGGCCCTCTTCGACCCATAGGCCATCTTCACAGGGTATCTGCCTAGTTGACCGATTGCGTTTTTGTCGTTTCTTCTCGTTCGCTGCGCGTAGATTCGCATTTTCTTGCGCTAGTAGCGCAGTGTTGTGTAGCGATATGTAGTGGCCTTTGATAATCTGATCTAGTATAGTTTTTGATGGGCTCGGAGGGCTAGTTGACCGTTGCTTTAGTAGATCCTTAAGCATCGAAGCTTGCTTTTGGAGCTGAATAACAGTTTTTGGCGTTTTTGGGGTGAATTGGCTCGATCTGCTGCTTAGTCGACTACCCGGTGGTGTAGGCGTTCGGAGTGAGATATTAAGTTTTGAAAGCACCCTTTCTGGATCGATTGGCACTAGACTAGTAGCTACGAAGCTATTTCGAATAGTATTTGGTTGAAAGGCTTCTAGCCGCGCGCGTTGGTAATCGTCCAAGAAATCAAACTTGTCGATATGGTTATAGCCTACACGCGCAAGATCGCTTACGAAGCGACCGTACGCGCGTTTAAGTATAGCAAAACACCCAACATTAAGCGGTTGTAGAAGATGCGAAGAATGCGCAGGCATACAAAGCGATATAATATCGTTTTCTGCGCAGATTCGGTCGAATTGGGGTGTAAGATGGCTTCCGTGGCCATCAAGAATCAATAGACGATATTTGCCTCGCGTATGGGTAGTAGTCGCTGGAATAAAGAGTTTTTGTAGCCACCGTAGGCCAATCTTATCGGTAGTCCAGCCGTTATTTGAGACCTCGATTCGCCAGTCTCTTGGTAGGTTATCAAACCAACCCGTAATAGCAACTTGGCCCTTAAAGATCACGCATAGCGGTAGCGAATAACCATCCGCGTAGATTGCTTCGATAGCAGTAACCCATTCGCGATTTCCTGGCTGCAGAATAGATCGCCGACCGTAGTATTCTGCCCGCGTAACCACCTTCTGCGCTGAAATAAGACCCATTGCAAATCCTGTCTCATCAAAGTTGTAGATATCCTCCGATTGTATACCGTTCTCATCGATAACGCGTTGTACAGTCGCAAACCACTGTCGTAGCGATTTCGGGTCTTCGTTTAGGGCGCGCTGGTAGTCATATCTTCTTGAGAAGCGTGTGCGAAGCTCATCGCGCCGTTGAATAAAGGTTGATGGCCAATTTTTGCCTACACTAGGCGGAGGGGTCTCGCCGCGCGCAGTAAGTAGGATATTAGCCATATCTCGCACAGTAGATGGCCTAGGCGCTGCTCCACGCGTATCCATAGAGATAATCCACCTAGTAAGCGAATCCTCTTCGTATTGGGTCAATTTATGACCAGATGGGCGTTTCTCAGCGCGTGAGGTTTGGCCGTGGGCGCGCGTTTGTAGTGTTGAACGCGGTATTGCGTATAGCTTCGCTACTGCGCGGAGAGATTTGATGCGGCCATTTTTAATATCATTAAGGGCTAATAAGATCTTGCCCTCCTGATTGGCTAATTTCTGCGAAGATTCAGAGCGTTTTGGTGGCATAATAGGTGGTTGAAGTAGGTAGGTAGGTAGGAAGACGCGGTTTTGGATGGGGTGGCCAGGACGGCCGGGTGGCCAGGTCGGCCGGGAATTACGTTAGTTATAAAATTGGCAGACTCAGAGATAATTGTCCAGCCAGAGTATTGATGATGATACCGTATACGATAATAATAAAGGATTTAGCTCTGGATTTCAGGACACGAGGTCTCTGGTATGAGAATCCCCTCCCCCGCAGCCCTATCATCTAGCACAAACACCAACAAATAAAACACAATTTCTGGGGGACCCTCCCAGGGTAAGCATACGGATGCCTTGGCGTGGCTAGTGTATTCAGCGGGCGCGGCCTAAAATAAAATGGAAACCGCGACCCCGATCGGTGAGGAATTATTCTATTTCTCCAATATGGCATTCCTGTCCCTCCCTCTCGAGATACAAGCTATGGTTATTCCCCGTGTATCATCGATTGGTGATCTGGCCGCTCTATCGCGGTCATGTCGGTCAATACATCGCCTGTGCGATATGAAAACACGCGAGCGGTGCTACCAGATCCGTGTCGAACCGAAAGACTACAGCATTAACAAGACTTTTGACCTCGTGATGGAGATACTTAAGAAACCTCAGCTGGGAAACTATGTACGGGAGATCGTGCAGACTAGGGAGCCCAGCATGGAGCACCACTATGTCCAGACGGCAGAGCAGCGCGAGCTCAGTGCGGGCGACAGGGGTCTCCTCCGCGCGGCTGTGCAGAAGGCGGGTTTTGCCGGCTCCCAAGAAAGCGCGGTGTTCAATATGCTCATGCAAAACATCACGAAGCCTCCTGGTGAAATCACGGAGCCTTTCAGGTTCCCAATTACTGCTTATGGATACGAGTAAGAAAGTCAACTCCTAGTTAGTTGCTTAGCTGCGCGCTCACTAGACGAACAGCCATGGTGAGATTCACGGCACCTTCATTGCACAGGCATTGGCCGCGATTCTCATCTCAGTGTCACCCAATCTGGAGTCCCTAGTGATGACACAGCCTTTCAGTGTGTTCTCTGGATTCTACAGCGGTTTCGAGAGGCCCCAAGACGACGGTGTTCAGTTTCCCCTCCATCGACTTCTCAGTCGGGCCAATGCGAACCCGGCTAGTATTGCGTATCTTCAAAATCTTCGCAAGGTGTACATGATAGTCGACGATAGGAACTCGGATTACCGTTTCTACATGGCCCTCGACTTCTTGGAATGCGCAACGCTTTTCGACCGCCTCCCGTCTATCGAATCCATTAGCACCGATGCCCTCTGTGACGACGAAAATGCCGAGGCGCGCGTAGTGCTGGAGCCCAGATCGTCCAATATTAGCAGAATCCATATCCGCCACTCTGCCCTCCCAACAACCTTTCTCGTCTCTCTTATTCAGTCCTGCAAAGTACTGCGAGAATTCCAGTACACCATTGGTGGCCGGTGCGTTTTAGGAGGTTGGTATGTGCCATTCAAGGCCAGGACCTTCATCAAATCAATTTGCCCGCACAAAGACACACTGGAGGTCCTGGATATCGACGCCGAGAACAACATGCACTATTTCCAACCCTCTTATTTCGAGGAGGGTCGGGTTGATCAGGGAATCGATCAAAGTACGCCCGAAAGTGACAATGACGATGATGATGAACGCCAAATGCTCCGGTCCTTCTCGAGTAACAGCGGGTCACTGAAAGAGTTCCGGGCCTTGAAGCGACTGAGTGTGGGCATCGGGTTTTTGGTATATTTTGCCATGGGTGTCAGGAAAAATAACGAGCCAAGACAACCATTTCTGCTGCCGGAGGCTCTCCCCGAGAGTCTGGAATATCTTTGCATTCGGGGGTACGAGAAAGGGAAGTGCAAGAAGTGGGATGCACATATTGATGCCTTGGTCGCGTCCTTTGTCTCAGGCTCATCGGGGATCAAGGAAATCGTAGGAATTGAGGAAATAATTCCCAATTCCGAGGATGTGGAGGATCCAGACAATAACGAAGATTTGTTGTGGATTCCGATGTATAGTGTTGACGACTAGGCCAAGGTCTATTCTGACTCAAAGAATCTTCCAAACTTGTTTTGAATACAAGATTTGTCTAAAAGCTACCCAAATATTTCTAAAACTTGTATCTATGTACCGGAGAACCTCTGCCTGGTGGGTCTGATCAGGGCAGATTATGCTCTTGCTCACTGAGCATGATCGTGGATTCTCTTTTCCTCGATACCTGGGGATGCCGGAGTACAAGGTGTTGCACGTTATCTGATGACAGATAAATTGGTTGGGTGTCGCTGCCCCGTCGTTAGTTGAGGCCCCCATATGTGATTGGTGACTAGCATGCCCGTAATACCTGTACATAGACGAGGTGGTGAGACTTGAAGTCTGAGATAAAGTGATTGTATTCGTCCCGAACGTCAAGGTTATGTTCTCGGGCTTTCACCCTGCTAGACTTTTTTGACCCGCCTTTAGACTGAAGGGCACGGCTGATGCTCGATTTCGTTGCTTGTAAAGCGAACTCGTCCCACAGAAAAATCGCCATCTCGTCGAAATACAAGGCAGGCGTTTCAAGCAAATGGTTGCATAAAGCCTCGAGCATAACCGGTGTGATGCTAAGGGGTCGTCAGCCTTTATTTAGCGGTGCTTTAACGCTGCTAAACATCCGTAGATCGGAGGTATGATAGTACTCCTATTACAACCAGCAGCTTGTGTTACCTCAATTATAGATAGCTCGCCACTATGGATCATGCCATAGATAACCTCATATTGAGAAGGAGCTAGGTTTGGCGCCATCTTTAGTTTAACCGCATATGATTGATTGTAAAGATGTGCCTCCCGACGATAGCTGTGTTGGAGGAGGGGTACGGAGGTGTCAGATCTATTGAAATTACAAGTGAACACATGATTGTAGTAACTAATTCGTAATCTCAGTTAGAAATGCCCTGAAACGAACGTAGTGAGAGGAAGGGTTTTAATCAACACGGATGTACGTGCGCACGAGACGTTGCCCTGAAACGAACGAAGTGAGAGAAAGGGTTTACCTTCGCCCGCAGGGAAGACCCTTGTGCAAAAAGTGGTTGGCTTAACTACGTATGGACTGTTCTGCCACGCACGCTTCCCATTCGCCTTCGCAGCGCCGGGTACCTGCCTTATTTTCGCCTTCTTCGGATTAGATCGTCTTGGCTTAGGGTTGTAGGGTTATTTGCACATATTCATGCAGGTTGCTCTACTTTGATTGCTTCATCATATGCTTGTCACCCTCCATTTTATTGCAACGCTCTGTACTTTATTGCCATTATGGTATCTTCACCTGGTTTATCCTCCCTTTGCCACTCCTCTTTGGTTTTGGTGTCCCTAATCGCCTTTGCTCTGGTTGTAAATATTGCATAGGTCTGGCGACGGCTATCCAATGACCAAGATGTCCCACTCCTTAAATTGAATTTCGTTGCTCCCTTATGAAGCAGGATGTTCATTGCTTTGTAGGGGGTGTCAGGTGATCTATCACCAGCCTATTACATGCACCTTGTCATTGGGCAGCAATAAGCTCATTTCTGCCTGGTATTATGATTAGATAAGATTTATTTAAACTTTCGGCTCTCTATGCCGTCCGTTCAAGCGGCAGATTTCTGGAGAGCGATTCAGCATTCGATATCTTACTCGTCGACTTTCTCCATCTTCTTACAACACATGTGTGCTCTCACATTCCATTCTAAAATTACAGTCCTTCGTTTCAGGGCTGATGCGCGCGACGCGCGCGTCTTCCAGTAGTTAATACACGTCCAATTGACAGGGGTACTCCGGAAAAGCTCCCAAACTAGACTAGTGCCTCTTGGCCTAGGGACTGGAAAGTCAATCGAAGAGTGTAGGCAGTTTCGGGACACACTGTACAGGTACGAGACACCGGATCTCATTATAAGGCTTTAACGTTCTCCGGGTATTAATGTGGAATTCAAGTGGTTTTCATTTTCTAATATTCAAAAAAAGTCATTTTCAAGGATCACATCTTTGTTCTTTACGTATAGATCACGTCAGGACGGCTGTTCTGCTTGATAGGTTGAAATCTCCCATATCGGTGTCGAACTCCTTGTTATTCACCCACGAAAAAATTAATTCCGAGTTTGTCTGTAAATCTGACAAGTGGCCTTCGACTCATTTCCAGAAGATCTCCTGATCCACATGGGCGTAATGGCGCAGCCTGCAACAGCTGAGTCACAAGGTTACACCAAGATTGCCGCCTACGATTTAAGGAATAACGCTAAAACTTCAAGTCGCTCTTTTAGCTCGATCACGTTCCCCCTTCACAGACAGATAGAGGCCCTCATCATACCTAATACTTGGGAATTCCTGCGTGATATTGCCACTTATGTTCAAATTATCTCGTGTCCAACGGCTAAGCGCCGTGATTGGGTTTTCCTTATGTTTCTTTGTAGCAGAGATTTCCGGTGAGCTTGCACACAGCGAATGATACTCAAATACTACGGATCGAAGCTAACTTGTCTTTCTGTAGTCGGTTTCTATACTCATTCACTCGCATTGGTGGCAGATGCCTTTCACTATGTATGTTGATTGATGGACCCTTTGTTGCCAAGTCTGACAGGATTCAGCTCAATGACATCGTCGGTTTCATGATTGCCCTTGCCGCAGCGGTCGTAAGTCGTACTCCAAATCTCCCCTTGAATGAGCCTTAGCCTGATCACATACAGGTCGCCGATAAAAACACTCACCCGAAAGCTCTTACGTTTGGTTGGCAACGAGTACAGCTACTAGGCGCTTTCTTCAACGGGGTTCTGCTGTTCGGTCTTGCAATTAGCGTCTTCCTACAGTCTATCGAGCGCTTTGTCTCTATGCAGCGTGCGTCTCTCACATCCTTACCGTATAGTCAATACTAACCGCTGTGATTCCAGGGGTTGAACAGCCAAAACTGGTTCTGATCATGGGATGTGTGGGACTCGGTCTGAACATACTCAGTGTGATTTTCCTACATGGCAAGTCTCTGCAACAATCGTCGTTGCGAGAACCACTTCTAACAGCTCCCATAGATCACGACCATGGCCATGATCATAACGGCAGCGATGGCCACTCGCACGACTCGCCAAATGAGGACTCGGCCTCTATCAGTCTAGTTAGTGAGAGAGTGAGTACTACCTAGCTTTCCGTTTCTTTCCCGGGCTGACAAGAGTAGCACGTCCACCACAAACACCACACAAATGCATCAGACAACGCCTCCCGCGGATCCAACCGAGATCTCGCCATGATGGGCGTTCTTATCCATGTGCTGGGCGACTGTGCCAACAACGTCGGAGTCATTATTGCCGCTGCTGTGATTTGGTTTGCGCACTATGAAGGAAGGTACTATGCCGATCCGGCTGTGAGTATGGGGATTGCGGTTATGATCTTCCTCTCCTCTATTCCTCTTAGTATGTTTCATTTCGACTACCCATGTCAATGCACACGACTAACTACAAGACAGTCCGACGAGCCGGTCTCATTCTCCTTCAAAGTGCCCCACAGGGAGTCGACCACGACGACGTGAAGCACGACCTCGAAGAGATCCCAGGTGTTCTCTCCATTCACGAACTGCATATCTGGCGATTGAATCAGACCAAGTCTCTTGCATCGGCGCATGTTGTTCTGGACGATGATAATACGCTTGATTTCGATAATCTTGCCAAGACCATTCGCGAGTGTTTCCATGCTTATGGAATCCATTCGCTAACACTTCAGCCTGAAATACTAGCGCAGCGGGTCACTACTAGAACCGATACGGAGGATAGAGGTGGGGCCAGACGACGCACGCGACAGAGCTCGGAGGAGCAGTGCAAGTTTGCGTGCGGAAGCCTATGTCAAGGCCTCGCGTGTTGTCAATGATTTACTACTCATTGGGCTGGAAGGTTTAAATGGAAGAATAGTCAATGCAAATGCAAAGTTCAATTATAAACAGGCCCACGCAAGGACCGATGCACAAATATTACATGCTACCCAATCCGCTATGTACAAGAAATAAAAGCTCCAGGCTTACCGACCGAAATAACGAAGCTCAAACGGTCTCAAAGCACAATACGTGACGAACGAAAAGGCAAAGCCCAGCTCAAAGCCAACATCACCGCCATAGGGCGCCGCGCCCGCGTGTTTCGCGATCGGGCCGACAAACCACGTTTGGCTCATACCGGTGATCATACCGGCGATACCGAAGCAGAAGGCGATCGACGCGGCAATCCCCAGGGGCAGCTTCTCGGGCTTGTCGTAGATCTCGGGTTTATAACCGCCGAACCCACGCTTGAAGATGAAGTGGTCGGCGACGGCGATTCCAGAGTAGATGGCCAGCCAGTAGGCAATGAAGTTCATGAAGTTCTCCAAGACGGTTTCGAAGTGGGAGTAGCCGGGGATGGCGATGGCGAGGGACACGCATGAAGCGAGGAAGGTCCAAATGAAGCGGGGCACGCGCTGCGAGAAGCGGCTCAGGACTTGTAGGGTCAGGGAGACGGAGTAGATGTTGGGGCAGTTGTTGGCGATGATGGACAGGGCCAGGATCACCAGGCAAAACTTGCCGAATCCGCCGAGAGGCTCGAGGACGGCGGCCAACAGACCACCGTTACCAGAAGCTTGGTAGCCGGCGGCGTACTTGTTGTTACCACCGTTCAGGTCGGTGGCAGTGAAGACGGCGATACCCAGCATCTCGGTGAAAAGCAGGGGAATGATCAGACCGAGCCAGGTGGCACCGAAAACCTTGCGACGGCTGCGGGTAGCCGGCTGGTACACGGTGTAGTCGGCGGCGTAACTAGTCCAGCCAGTTGCAAACCCGTAGATGGTCGAGCCGAAGGACAGGACGCCGCCTAGCTCGGATGTGCCGGTATCCATGGGAAGGTTGAGGAAAGCTCCCGAGTGGGCGAAGCAGCCCAGCACGATGAAGAAAACGATGCAGGTGGGGATCCAGCTCCAGTATTCGTAGGCGTGAACGACCTTGTATCCGGCGAAGGTGATGAAGAGGGTGCAGAAGGTAATGATGAGAATACCGGCGAAACCAGGGACATCGCTGTTGACCGCATTGAGGAGCTGGGCACCGACGATGGCGTTGGCGGCAGACCAACCGACACAGGCAATGACGTTCAGGATAGCAACTAGTAGAGAACGGACACGTTAGCAATGCCGATCATCCGGTACAGTTCATACTGCGCAACTTACCGAACTTCACGGGCCACCATCCGAACCAGAAACGAGAAAGCACCATCTGGCGCAATCCGAAAGCGGGACCGAAGCAAGAGAAGAAGCAGACCGTCAAGACTCCAAGCAAGTTGAAGAAAATACAGACGAGGATAGCATCGACGAAGCCCAAATAGAAGAGGGATTTGCCGAGCACACCAATGGCGAAAGAGCTCACGACCATGTTTGCGGCCAGCCACTAGGTCCGGTCAGTGGGAAGCCCATCGGGCCATCAAGAGTTGCAGGAACACACCATGCTGCCGATGTTGAAGTAGGACGTATCCGTTTGCTCCTCCGCCGGCACGCGCTCGATGCCTCGCTGCTCGACGTGGAATTTCCCGGCGAGGCGCTGGGCCTTTGCGTAGAGGGAATTGCCATACTCGAAGCTCTCGCCGGGGACGGCGTTTTCTCTGCCCTCGTAGCTCTCGGAAGTTTCGTTGCTGCGGCTTTCGCAGGCATTGTCGACCTCAGGAGCCTTCTCAAGGTCGACATCGCGTGACCCGAACCCGATCATGGTGGATAAAGTGGAAGGCAGCTACCTGTATAGACTGCAAGGGGGTGAAGAGCGAGGCTCAGCTCTACAACCCAAAGGAACTAGGTAGGTAAGGAAAGGAAGAAGACAGTCACATTCTTTTTTTTTTTTCGAGATCCACCGGCACCAAGCATGCTATATAGTCGCGACCAAAATTCTTTACAGTGCGCGTAGCCCCACAGCGCGGGCGTGTGGCGAAGAACAAGATAGCGGTCCTGTCGCGTGGGACCCCGGTAAAAAATTCTGGAAAGAAGCAAATGACAAGCCCGTCGTCCCCACATCCTTGGCCCAACCACCCAATAAAATAGACCAGCTCACGGGCTAGCTTATCAGCAGTCCGAGGTTTCACAGTTTCATTGCCCTCGCTTCCAATAACACGCGACCGTTGGTTGGTGGGTCGATCAGACCTTCCGATAGCAGCCGTGCGTTGATACGTCGGTGATAGCTGGCGCTGACATTCAGTATCTCGCATACTTTTCCAACCTATCTCGCTATTGGCAATCACCCCCTCGTTCCATGCCTAGCTGGTTTCCATGCTTGTCATTGAGTAAACTTTCTATACCGAGTGAGACGGGAGCCGCCGATGTGCGTCGAACGTTCCCTTGCTGTATCGAACGCTCTGCCCTACCCTCACCCTAGTTCGTGCGGGGAACTTGCATCCCCCTCTAACTCAATTTCGCCCGTGACGTGTGGCTCTCTTTCCTTCCGAGCGTTCCTATGGAGCAGTCTTTCTCGACGCTAGGGAAGGCGACGGCGACCCTCCACGAGGTTAACCGTGCTTCCGGGTCTGGATCCAGTAGGTTGAGCCGGGCCGATCTCGTCTATCGTTCTCGTGCAGGACTAGGCCCTTGTTGTGCATATCACCCATGTCGTCTCGAATCGAATCTACAATTCGTGACCCATGGATCCTGGGGCCCCATGGCCATGTGGTCGCGACAGCGGAGATCACCGTTGGAACTACCCTTGGCGCAATTCGGGAGCATCCCCGGATTTCCTGAAAGACCCTCTCGTGTAATTGTGCAGACCGCTAGCTCCGGTGCATATCCACTTCCGGTAGATCCTCTCGTTTACGTATTGATGCCAAATTGACTTCTTATCCCGGTCGTGACTTGCCTTTTTGCCTTTTTCGCGTTTTCTGGTTATACTCGTGGCTGCATAGTCTGCTAATTCTGATGTATACTGACATTGCTTTTCTTCGGAATCCCCCGAAATTTCGTTGCCTCGCTATCAAGGATTGTGATTCTGGATCGCTCTCGATCTGCGGACTTGTCGGTCTGCTCGGAATCCCGGTTGGTGGCAATTGCACGCGACCCGGAATAAATGAATTGGCCATGTCATATCACAGAAAAGACCCGAACATGATTCATGTGCCATGAAGCGACCGGACTCTCGCTGAACGCTCGTTCCCATGTCTCTGCTCTTCGAGAACTGCTTGCAAATCTACGCCGAGGTCTTGGCCAGCCGGTGTAATGGCTACTTCACTTTATAGAAGCTTTTCTCTCTTCTACCACATGGCAACTCTCTCTATATCAACCCGTCTTTGAATACCGAGATCGTTAATCTCGTTGGGGCATCCATGCGGACCCAGTGTTTTGATTTGGTCAGTCCGCCTGTGGAATGGGGGCGATGAGCCTGCCCGGTCTTTTCGTACCCCCCGGGGTTCGGGTGGATGGCCACTTGGGAGCGAGGCTTGTTGGACTGTGCACGTCTGTGATTCATAGGAATTCCAAATCACCGAGGTCTCTCAGTGGCGGCGCCCGAGACCGGAGTTCTTGGAGTATCTAGGGGCCCAAACTTCGATACCCAAATCCATGACGGAGATGTCCATGATGAAGAGGCTTGGGAGACTCTCTGGCACTCCGTTTTGTCCCGACTTTCGAAGCCTTGCAGACCGCCAGGATTGTTGTGGTGTTGTGGAACGTTCGGATCCCAAGTTTCACGAGTACGCCTGGATATCTGAATGAGACTCGACGGAGCTTTCCTTCGCTATCTGATGACAGCCGCCTAAGGAGTTCGAATAAATTGATAAGAGCATGTTGATAGAGATAAGAAAGATTTTATCTCAAGTTTGAAGCCCGTTGGCCGATGAGCCAAGTCTTAAGGGGGGGGAACGCGGTGGAGTTGCATCAACTCACCCACTTTCCTCCATCTCCCTCATTTTGAGTAGTAACTCCGTAGAAATCCTTCTCTGGGCAATCTCTAACGGATCTTCATCTTTGTAGAGCCCGTACAAGCAAATTATGCGGCGGAATATTCATTTGAATCGCAGTATGACTCTCCAGAGGGCATAGATGAAAGCTGATCTGGATACTTCGTTCAAAGCCATTGAGTCTTGTTGAATCCTCTTCTCGGTCTCACTAACAAGGCCCTGGAATCAGCATCAAACGGCTCTTCTCCATCTCCAGGTTGACCTCTATGCCGTTCGAAACCTCTGCCTTCCGTCTTCGGATTCGTGCTCGCTCTTTGCCCTCGTCGTGAACACCACACCGTCTTGCCATCGCCCATCAAATATACACCCCCTGAGAACTTATTCATCCCTCTCCTTATCCAAATGGAATACTTGCTATCAAAGGATGGAATATCGGGAAATATCTGAGAGTTGTCAAGATGAAAATGCTACATTATCTAAATGGCCTCTTCCTAGGGTTCTCAGTCCGGTCGGCCTTGTAGTCGTCATGCGGTCCTCAGGGGCTGACCCGCCATATCGAACTTGTGAAGATACCCTTATGTGCTAAGGAACTTCCGTCATAGCCCGGGTGTTGTTTACAATCTATGGACAGCGTCTGACGAGAGAGGCTAGCTTAACGATGCAAAGGTGAAGTATCCGGGAGAGTTTTGGGTTGCTTCTCGGACTCGGGGAACAAATAATGACATCGAAAAAATGCGTTGCATATGCGTGTAGTACATGTTACACGGTGGCCCCTTGGCAGATATGCTTCACCTCGCTGTTCTGATTCTGCGTTGTTCTTATTCTCGAGCGTCAATGGCTGACTCGATATTGAAGCAGCTTCCAACATCATACCTCTATCCTATTTTACCCAGTGGTTGGGATTATCGATGCACACGGATCGCCGAGAGACATCGCCATACCAAAACGACTATCTTGCGTGTCATGACGGAGGGTTACGACCCTTGCACTTGAAGTTGGCTACAACCCCGATCATGAGAACGCACCTGGGGCTTTTAGGGTTGGATTATCCCGTATCTGTCCGGTCATATACTTTGTCTGTCTCAGTCGGATATGCACAAAGATTCTATCTTCTCCTTGACTCCAGCTGATATTGTTCTTCATAGAGCCCACCAAACCTCATACTTCGAAGTGCATTCCAGCGGGGGGCCTCTTTTGGTTTGCTCATTGTTTTTGGACGACTTCAAGCGCGATAACTATGGGAATGTGAATATCGGGACGGTGTTGGCCTCGCAAGTGAACCTTGCGAGAACACGGCGTCTTGTCCAAGCTTTAATACCTACCTACTCAAAGAAACGGATTCTTGCAAGAGCACCAAAAAGAATTATGTCTTGGTTTGAGAAAAAGTCTTGAGGCAGACTACCCGGTACACATATCAGTGGACAGGAGACTCACAAACAGCAAACCTTCGCCCGTAATCCAACAATTGCCGTTGTCTTCAAAATGTCCAAAAATGAGGCTTTGTCGTCCCCGTGGCTGATAGATTGGATGCCGATAATGTCAAAGCTATCTATACGAACCCAAAATCGTAGTCCGGTAACTCTTCTGCCCACTTGATCTCAGCGCGAGACCGAGGTTCGCTTTCAAACTTATAGGCCCTACCCGACGTTAGAACTTTCTCTATACCATGGACATATAAGACTTATTCCTCACATCCAATGGCTATCCCAGCATCTCATTAGCACTCCCATTCATAGGAGCAGAGTCCCCAAACAAAGGTCTCGCAGATGACACCGCCTTCGTGCAAAGCGAGATCGAGAAGCTCTCCAATGAAGGCCAGAGTATCATGGTTGTCTTTCATTCCTAAAGGTAGCATGGTAGGCGCCGGTTCTGTCAAGTGGCTGGTATCTACGGAGAGGCAGCAGGCTGGCAAGAACGGCAGTTTTTGATGCTCGTGTATATTGCCGCCGTCGTTGCTAAGAGGGGTACTATTATGTTGAACATGCTTACAGAGAGATATTTGCTGTTGATAAAGGTTGGGGTGAGCGGTTTCTGCTTCCATATCGAAGTGTTTCGGTTTATTGACTATCTCCACCCGGCTAACCACTGCAGATCATCTAATGAAGAACACGTCCTCTACATACTATGATATCTCTCCGCATGACCAAAAAAAATGGATTTCTAAGCTCACCCATACTTCGCGCGCTGTATTCAAGGTTACCATTTCTCACAACCCCTGGCACGACGTTTCCTAAATGTACATATTCTGCGAGGACGGCCGAGCACCTTTGTTCTTCATCCGAGAAGCTATGGCTGCTTTCTCGGGTAATTGCAGTCACCTCCGGTCAAAGACCTCTTTATTCCCCGGTTTTGAGCAAGCCTGAGAGGGCGGTTGAAGGCGTGTGGGCTGGCAGGCAAGATTGCCTTGGAAATACGTGGGGTATGGTCCGCATGTGGGTGAGCTTTCTCATCAGTAATCCAAAATTCACCGGCTATCGCTATATTGGACCTCGGGAGAATGGTAATGATTTACATTGTTGTTCTTTCAACTATATAGTGCTTCGAGTTTTCTTCACAGCCTTTGAAATAGGGATAGCAAGTGACCAATGTCGCAACGGTAATATTCAACAAGTCACACTGGACCAAGTTATGAAGGAGAAAGAAGAAAAGATCCTTATTTACAGCTTAGAGATCATCTGGTTGCCCTTCTTGAGGAGAGCAGCAGCGTCTTGAACGAGCTCATCGACGATAGCCTTGGCAGGCTTCTTCTCCTCAACGACAGCAGCCACCTTACCCATCAGGAAGGGACGGGCGTTGTCCATGTAATCGTCGTCCACGTCATCGGGCATGTTCTCCATGTCATGCTCGACGGGGATGACACCCTTGGAAGTGAGCTGCTTGATCTCTTCGGCGCGGTTCTCCTCCCAGTTCAAGATGTAAGGGTTCTTGCGGACACGGAGGGGACGGCCCTGAACATGTTAGCAAATACATCGCATTAGAGCCAGGTTTGGGTAAAACTTACAGTGAAGATGATGGTACGGATGTTGTCCTCGAAGCCAGCGGTGCGGACAGCCTCCTGGTGAGCCTTGGGAGCACCAGCCTCATCAGCCAGAATGAAGCGGGTACCGATCCAGACAGCCGAAGCGCCGAGCATGAGGGCGGCGGCAACGGAGTTGCCGTTGTACAGACCACCGGCAGCGATGACCTGGACGGGCTGACCGGTCAGAGGGCTCTTGTGGCCCTGGACCAGCTTAGCAACAGCAGGGATAAGGATGGTGGTGGGGACATCGCCGGTGTGGCCACCACCCTCGCCACCCTGGGCGCAGATGATATCAACGCCAACCTCAAGGCACTTCTTGACGTGCTTGGGGTGACCGATCATGTTCATAGTGAGGATACCGGCGCCGTGCAGACGCTCGACGACAGCCTTGGGGGGAACACCGACGGCGGAGACGAAGAGCTTCGCGCCGCTCTCGATGATGATGTCGACGAGCTCGTTAAGCTTGCCCTTGGTATAGTCGTAGCTAGCGGCGAGGGACATAATTAGTGGCGAGACTCGCGACTGTTGTTTTGGTATAGACTTACTTGGTCTTGCGGGCAGAGCCACCAACTTGGGGAAGCAACAAGTCAACACCGAAGGGAGCGTTCTTGTCGGTCAGGTAGCTCTTGAGCTCGGCGATCTGCTCCTTGAGCATATCGGGGGTGTAACCAACACCACCGATGACACCCAGACCACCGGCGTTGGTGACAGCAGCCGCCAGCTTGGGGCCGGCGGCCACGTTCATACCAGCCAGCAGAACTGGGTGATTGATCTTGAGCAGATCAGTGATGGGGGTACGGATAACCTCTGGATATATTTAGCAGCCGTGACGGTCAAAGTAGAGACCAACTTACGAGGAGAAGCCATGATGAAGTGAAGAATGAGAAATTAAGATCCGGGGAAACCTGACACCCTTTAAAAGGGAGGGCAGGTTACTCGGCAGAATCACAATGAGCCGAGGCCCATCTGTCTGCGGGGCGCCCCATAGCCGTCGCATGATTGTTTCACGCCTCGTGTCAGGCACCGAGGCATAAAGGCACCAAGGCACCAAGGCACAACTTTCACCTGACGTCTACGCGACGTACCTTCGCCTCGATCTTATCTACAACCTCGATACAAGAATGAGCTCGAGGGCCGGTAGCTGCCTAGGGGCTCCTGCATGGACTTTCATTCGCAACGTTTCATATTCGTGGCATGCATTGAGATCGGCCAAGAGGTTTCCGACCTTGCCGAACGCTCCGACCGCGTCGCATTGGCATCGGCCTTCCGATGGAACATGGGCGAAGAGGCAAGTCCCTGATGATCAAATGATTAGATTTCGACTAACATAGAAATATAGAATCAATTCGTTCGTGAGCTTGAGTAGGTGCTCCTCCATTTCCGTAAAGGGCTTATCGGTCATGTATCTCTATCGTCAAAAAAATTGCGGGACTTGCATTTCTTACATCTTGCCTTCTACACGGATTTCATTAAGGCCCAGAAACTAAACTCGATTAGGGTACTATTCCATGGGGAAGCGCGAGATCTCACCCTCACGCCCTGAAAATGGCCGAATTAGGCGTTCAACCCCGCTGTCAGACTCGAATGCTCACGCGAGGAGATTTTCTTGTGGGCAAGGGACGCGCTTGGACTCCACGATGAATCCAGTACAGAGCAGTTCAGTCCCACACCGGGTATTTATTGCGCTAGGTAGTAATGTGGGAGATCGCATTGAAATGATCGAAAAGGCTTGTCTTGAGCTGGACCGAGCCAATATCAAGGTTAAAAGGACTAGCTCGCTCTTTGAGACAGAACCCATGTATGTGCTGGACCAAGCACCATTCATGAACGGGGTCTGTGAGGTAAAATATCTTATCCAGAATATTATACATCAAATATTAACAGCTATCAGGTGGAAACAACCCTTGGGCCAATGCAGCTTTTGGATGCCCTTCAATCCATTGAGATTGAGTTGGGAAGAAAGAAGCTTATCGACAAGGGCCCACGCTCAATCGATCTGGACATTTTATTGTATGATCAAGAGATCTTCTCTCACGAGCGTCTAAGTCTTCCGCATAACCTGATGCTGGAACGAGACTTCGTTCTCCGGCCCCTCTGCCAGTATGTCCAGGCTCATACACAACTCCAAAAAACAGAGCCCTAAACAATTACCCAGATTAATCCCCCACGAACGACCACCTCAACCGGAAAAGAGCGCACATACATATAGTGAATACCTCCGGTCTCTCCCACCACCATCGCCAACCCCGTTCTCAACAACCCCAATCTCATTAACCTTCCCAACGCTGCACGCAACAGACCCCAAGCGCCGCACTCATGTCATGGCCATCCTCAATCTAACCCCAGATTCCTTCTCCGACGGAGGCAAACACTCCCCCCATGACATGACCTACATCACCGAAACAGTTCGCGCATTCATCACCCAAGGCGCAACGATCATTGACGTCGGCGGCGAGAGCACACGCCCCGGCTCAACTCCGGTCGGCGCAGATGAAGAAATCGCCCGCGTAGTCCCAGCAATCCAACACATCCGCACCAACATCCCCGAAGCCGCACACATCGCCATCAGCATCGACACGTACCGCGCGCGTGTCGCCGAAGCAGCCTGTGCCGCTGGTGCAGACATCATCAACGATGTCTCGGCCGGAACCCTCGATCCCGATATGCTGAGCACAGCTGCACGGATTAACAAATCCATCATCCTCATGCACATGCGCGGAACCCCGCAAACAATGACCCAGCTAGCGGCTTACCCGGACGGCGTCATTCCCGAGGTAGCCTCCGAGCTACGCGAACGCATCGCCGCAGCCGAAGAAGCGGGTATCCGACGCTGGCGCATCATCCTCGACCCCGGACTAGGCTTTGCGAAGAACCAGCCTGAAGATCTAGAGATCCTGCGTGATCTGCCGCGACTACGTGCAGCTGAAGGGCTGGAATATCTTCCTTGGTTGATGGGACCGAGTCGGAAGAGATTTATTGGACATATCACGGGGGTGAAGACTGCTCGGGAGCGTGTTTGGGGGACTGCTGCTACTGTGACTGCTAGTGTTGCTGGGGGTGCAGATATTGTAAGGGTCCATGATGTGCATGAGATGTGGCAGGCTGCCAAGGTGGCGGATGCTATTTATCGTGTTTGAGTGAGTAGTTGTATATTTGGCTTTTGTTTTCAACATTGTGAGTCGGGCATTATTTTTTTCTTCATTCATCATGGAGTTTGCAGTTGGTTTGGGCTATAGATGTACAGTTGTGATTGGCGGATGGATTATAATATCACGAAACGAAACTTCGTTTTGACCGAGGCCGAGGCTATTTATACTTTCGTATAATCAAGCTTGTTCAGAGTTCATGAAATCTTGGCATTCGTGTACAACCACCATGCTTTTGTCTATGAAGATACAGAAAAACGATATCAGAAACATAGTTATTCATAGATTTTCTTCATTAACTCAAATCCTACCAAGGAAACAAACAAAAGAAAAAGACTCATTCATGCGTTGCTGTGGAAAGTGCGTCCACCATGCAAGGCTGCAATTTCACCCAATTTTGTTGCCCAACTGCCACTCATCGACGCAGAAGGGCATACAGAAAAGGAAGTTGGAATAATATGATGGTGAGGTTCAAAACAAGATATCCGTGACGTACCACGGGAAGGGATCAATGGGCTTGCTAAATATCGAGACGATAGACATGAGATCCGGGGGTATGCCAAATTTAGTTGTTCAGGTAGTTGCGGATAGCACCTGGGAATTCGTTAGCTAGATACATATGATAGAGAAGAAGACATCTTACCTTGTAGCTTTGTGGCTCCTTCGCCGACGAGATGAGACAGATTCTCAAGATCGTCACCGGCAGTGATACCAAATCGGCGGACAAAGTCCTTGGCTGCAGCCTCCATGTCTCCGTAACCATCATCCATCGCGGAAAGCTCATCCTCGGGCCGGCCGAAGTAGGCATTGCTGGAGATCGAGGTTGCGCCGTCGAAGTTTTGGAGACGAGACTTGGCTTCAGCCTGGGCGGCGGGATCGAAGCGCTCACGACCGAAGAACTCATCGGAGGAGATACCCTTCTGAGTACCGAATCGCGACTTGGCCTGGGCAAGTTCCTCATCTGTCATAAAGTTAGAATACTGGACGATGATTTGGAAAACAGAAAACATTACCATCAGCAGCGGACTTGGCAGGAGCAACAGCGCCGAAGCCAAGCTTCTTAGGGGCCGGAGGCTTGGACACCTGGCCGAACCCGAGTCTTCCCATTCCCATGCCCAAACGCTCGACATCACTCGAGTTCCGTTCATGGCTAGTAGAACCGAATCCGCCGCGGCTCGGGCTGATCGGAGTGGGAGCACTGATCGTGGTGGTGGAAGCAGCGGCGGTCTTGGCCTTAGCATCGGCCTCAGCCTTCTCGGCCTCGGGGTCGTATCCTAGTTTTTCGATGCGCACCGCCTCTTCCTTGGCCTTGCGTTCCGCCTCATCGAAATCGATATCTGCCGTGGTCACCTTCTTCGCGCCGAACTTAGGCACCTTCTTGGCTCCCAGCACACTACCCTTCTTTGCAGCACCGCTAGCGGCGGAGGTCTTCCGAGCAGCAGATGAGGGACGAATGGCGGCGGGGGCAGGAGATTGGGCCTTCTCCTCAGACGCAGACAGAGGCGACTTCGATCGTGACCCATTTGCATTGCCGGCATTCAAGAAAGGGGAGCCTGTTCGGCTCACGACGGGTGGCGTTCCAGTGCGGGACGGAGGGTTGCTGGGGCGCTTGATCGAAGGCTTGTCCCACGAGGAGAAGAAATCATCATCTTCGCCAGCGGGGGTGTTAGAGCTGTCCGACGGGGTGCCACCAGGGATATCGGTAATGACAACCTCCTCGGGGTACCTATGTTATGACTTGTCAACATCCGAAAACAAACAACCCGGTAGGAGGATAACTGACTGTTGCGCGTCCGCCGCAGCCCGCCTTTTGAGCTCGTCCTTATACTTGACGGCCGCATTGGATGTATATTTGACTTTGACGTCCTTGCTAGCCAGCGCCGCGGATCCTCCATGTGATTGGAAATATTTGATCGCAGACTCATTCCCACCAACCTTCATCACCCGCAGTTGTTCCCATTGCCACTCTGTCAGAATAGCGTCAGCCTCCGTTCTCCGATCCACAAGATCATCCGTAGGATTGCGCCAGGGGGTACATACGATCGAGATTCGTGGAGCGAACAAAGGAGATGTGGACACCGAGGTTGCGATGATTGGCAGAGCAATCAAGGCACAGGTAGATACCGAAAGGCACGGACGACCAGGTCGGGTTCTTAGATTTGCAGTCGAAGCATACCTGCGAGCGAGGGAGGCGTCAGCGAACAATGGCCAAAACACAGCATGGCAGTCGGGGGCGGGGTGGCTATTGGGTAGTGGTGGGTAGTGCGCACCTTGTTTGCGGGCTTCAGTTTCAGCTTCTCAAAGATCTTTTGAGACTGCGCCTTGGAGGCACTCATGATTGGCGAGATCGAGGTAAGTCAGGGGAAGAGAGTGTAGGAGAGAAAGAGGATATCGGGAACGGCGAACGTGGACTCTGTCCCTGTAATTTACATTCTGCGGCGATCCCAACCCGGCGGTGGCACTGCAAATATACCGAGTACCGTACCGTAACTTTGCCCGCACGTGAGCGCCTATCGTTATCGACTCTGCATCGACAGTCGATCTGGGGTCAACTGAACTCGCATCCTGTCGTCATGAATCGTCAAGCGCTGCGTGCTCTGCCTCGAGCCTCGGCCAGCACAACGGCCTCCCTCCGAGCTTTTCCCGCTGAGATTACCCGACTGTACGCCACTCAGGACAACTTGGGCGGCGGGCTCAAGCCCAAGAGAAGGAACGTTACCGTCCTGTCGGACGATGGACGATATACGTGGGGTGAACTGAATGGGAAAGAGAAGGTCGCGCGGGCGACGCAGCAGTCTTTTAACTTTGTTATCGTGATCGCAGGTGTTGTACTCACAGTACGTCCCAGTCTCCACCCACACAGATCTTGACCGTGAGAATGGATCCCTAACTATATGGACTACAGGGAGGTGTCTTCACACTTCTATACCAAGAGGTCTTTTCGCCGAATAGCGGGACATGGCAGTTCGAAAAAGCAGTCAAGCGCATCAAGGAGGATCCCCGGTGTACAAAGCTTCTCGGTGATCGGAGGCAGATCAAGGCATACGGTGAAAAGACCAACAGCCGATGGGCCCGAAGCCGACCCATTGCGTACGTTTTCTGTTTGGGACAAGTGTTATGGAACCGATTACTAACAAGCGAATGCAGGACTTCCGTTGAGAAAGATCGATTAGGCCGCGAGCACCTTCGGATGCACTTCCACGTACGTCCATTTCGAAACCTTCGCCGACGAGATGCATACTGACTATTGATTAGGTCGAGGGACCTCTTAACTCGGGAGTTGTCCACCTGCATATGATCAAGTCTTTGGAAAAGAACGAATTGGAGTACCAGCTCCTCGCTCTGGATGTCAAGGGCCACTCTCGTATCATTCTTGAGAAAGCCTCGGAGAAGCCCAGCGTGGCCAGCTCCTTGAAGCTTTTCGGTATTCAATGGCGATGAACTGCACCCAGTTGCACTTGACATTATGCTTGTCAAAATCCATTTGCATCGCTTGCTATGTCTCCATTTGCGAGGCGCCCAGAGACGGAAGTTCCCGCGAAATTGCGTGATATGAGATTCCATGAAGTTTCCCAGCGGCAACGTTTATTGTACTTCTAGGGCTACATACTGCCTACGTGATCAAGGCGTTAGCCTGTTCTATGTACCATAGCTTTAACTGCACGGACACCCGTGCCGTTTGCCTGAAATACGGCACCAAATACCCAATTGAAAAATATGAACAAAGTCTGAATATTTTTTGGAACAGCTATACACATGAATAACATAAATACACATAGAAGTTTAAACCACTCGAGGTCCGTCGATAATGGTCTTAGCCTCCTCAGACTGCCACCAACTCTTACCCTTCTCACCAGGGAACGCAAAGGCATCCATACTCTCCGCCTTCATCTCAACGCTGTAGCCGGGCTCCATGGGGGTAACATAGTATCCATCCTTGACACTAGACGGGTGAACAAAGTGCTCATGCAGGTGGTCCACATACTCCAGAACACTCTTCTTCCCGCTGACAACAACGTAATCAATTGTGCTGAGATGCTGCGTGTACTCGGGCAGACCAACACCGCCAGAGTGAGGAACGATCGGGACACCAAACTTGCGCGCCAGCAGCAGAATAGCCAGAACCTCATTCACACCACCGACACGGCATGCATCGGCCTGCAGCACGGTCAGAGCACCGGCTTGCAGAAGCTGCTTAAAGATAACGCGGTTCTGGCACATCTCGCCGGTGGCGACACCCACCGTGCCATAGGGTGTGTTTTCGAGGGCCTTCTTGATGGCGGCGTGGCCGAGGATGTCGTCGGGGGAGGTGGGCTCCTCGATGAACCAGGGTTTGAACTGGGCCAGCTCATTCATCCAGGTAATAGCCTCGGGGACCGACCAAACCTGTGGCGTATCCATGTTAGAGTGCCACTCCGTGCAATGCCTTTGCGTGAACATACCTGGTTCGCATCCACCATGAGGATATTACCCCGGTCATAGCCAATAGCCTCACGCGCGATCCTCAACCGAGTCTTATCATCCTCGAGGTTTCCACCAACCTTCAACTTGAAATGCCTATATCCCTGCTCCACACTCTCCTTCAACAGCCGCTTCAACTTATCCTCACCATACCCCAACCAACCCGCACTAGTAGTGTACGCCGGCACAGCCTGGCTAGCTTCCGCCTCCTTAATTCGCTGCTGCTTACCACCCTCAACCTCCTTAAGCAACTTAATCGCCTCTTCGGGGGTAATAGCGTCGGTGATATAGCGGAAGTCAACGCAGCGAACGAACTCCTCCGGGCTCATATCGGCAACGATACGCCACACAGGCTTACCCAGAGACTTCGCCCAGAGGTCCCACAGAGCATTGACGACAGCACCCAGAGCGAGGTGGATAACACCCTTCTCAGGACCGATCCAGCGCAACTGGCTGTCAGAGACGAGGTAGCGCCAGGTCTTGCCCCAGTCTGCGGTCAGCTCGTCGAGCTCCTTGCCGACGATGAGAGGAGCCACGAGGGAGATAGCAGCGCAGACGATTTCATTGCCGCGGCCGATGGTGAATGTCTAAAATGGGTTAATTACGGCTGGATGACATGAGCTGGGCAACGTACCATGCCGTGTCCGGTGTGGTCGGAGTCTGTGTAGATAATGCAGTAGGCGGAGGAGTAGTCGCCCGCCGCGTTCATGGCATCAGAGCCGGTCTTGTCGAGCGAGGTCTGTCTTCGTTAGCTATGCGGCGACTTGCGAGTAGGAGCAATGACGTACCGGAAACCTCACGTCCCGCGTGGTGAAGCCAGTGATTTTGACCATGGTGAATGGTAATGCGATGCGATGCGATGCGATTCTTTTTCTGTATCCAATTGCGCACGTTGAGTGTTTCCACTCAGATTCAATGGCAGATAACGCAGTGGTGACGGTTGCGGGGTTGAATCTCCGGAGTCAACAGAGTATTTGCGCGGGGAGATTGTACCACCTGGGGAAGGAGGAAAATGGGTGTATACGCAGAGGAGGATGCGAGGAAAATGACAAACGGAGAATCTGGGAAAATGCGCAGTAGGCCCCGTATATAGACAGCAAGTAGCCACCCCACGTCGCCTCAACTTGTCTTCCGCCCCTCACTCCGCGTTGCAATCGTGCAGTCTCATTGGTGGATAATTGGACGGGCCTGGAAAATCCGGGCTTCCACCAATAAAAGCACTACGAGGGATCGGAGTAGCTCCGCGTTTCTGGGGTTCGCGGAGCCCTAATTTAGATTGAAATGTGTTGGGGGTGAGTTTACTGAAGAAATGGTGGCATAAAGCATGGGTATGCAATTCAATGTGAAATATCCTATGCACTTTTAGACCCTTGGGTATAGCAAATCATCCCCGGGTCAACATGTTGCGTCTGCATATGCAGATGCATCTATGTCGACAGCCCGCGCTTCTCACTCTCCGAGAAGAAGATGATCATCCGCCACAGCTTCCGAACCAGCACCTCGGCCTCTTCGTCCAGCGCCTGTAGAAAATATAGTTAGTAAATTATCGCAAGATATAGCGAAGGGCGGAACCAAAACTCACTTCTGCCAGCTGCTCGACCAGTTCCTGAGGGCCGCCGCGCTGCCGAACGTGCTCCTCCACCAAGTCGACCAGCATCTGCTCCTGTATACCCAGATACTCGACAATCTTCTTTTCCACAAAGGGCTTGATCTGGTCGCTGATGACGGCCCCGTCCACAAACTCCCACTTGATATCCCACTTCCACAGGCCTTCCTTGTCGGTAGGGATCTCGGCTGCCAGCTGGCGAGCCGCCTGGGCTCGTTCTTCGTCGGATAGTCCGGCCGCTTCAGCAGCGGTGTCGAATTTGATTGGGATGAGAGGGCGGCGTGTTGTACTGGCGGGCTCTTCCTCGTCCTCCAGCAGACCTTCGACTTCGGCCACGGTGCGGCGGGTAGTCGCAGCCTGAGCCTTCTGGGCAGCGGCACCCAGGGACAGCTTGAAGCGCTTAGGTTCTTCGCGAGGTTCTGGGACGCGGGTCTCCAGCTCCTGTGCCTGGCGAGCGAGGAAGTCGTCGGCCATACCGCGTGCCTGCTCCTGTTGCTTGGCGGACTGCACACGCTCCCTCTCCTCAGCGGCGCGATCGGCCTCATCCAGGTTGGCCTCACGAGCACGGAAAGCCGCACGACTACGCAGCCAAGCACCACGATCTGCGTAATACTCAACAGCCTTTCGGCTTGCTTCAATATCATCATTCCATTCCTTGAGTCGTTCTTCCATCTCATCGTGAGCAGCCTGCAACTTGCCGTCCTCCTCCTTGTCTCGCTTCTTCTCTCGCTCCAGGGCAGCCGTTCGGCTTCGCTCGCGATTGAGCCATCGGCGCTCCTGGTCGAGGAATTGCTTTTCCTGCTCTGCGTCACGCTTGGCCTGGCGACGGCGTTCAAGCTCCTCGTCACTTGCGTCGGATTCTTCTTCTTCACGGTCGTAGTAGGCCGGTGCTCCATTGATCGAGCCACCGTTCACAAACGACACACCCTTTTGATAATCCTTAGGGATCTGTACGCCAAATCCCTTGGGGCCAGACGGGGCACCACGCGGACCCAGTGGGATATTATTGGTGCCGCCAGCTGGGCCACTGGGAGCCGAGGTCGGGGGAGAAGCAAGACGATTCGTCCGCCCACCAGCATTGCGGGCGCGCTCCATTGACTCAATCTCCTCCTCGCGCCTCATCCGCTCGATATCTCGACGGTTGCTTCGCTCACGGAATGCGGCAATTTCCTTTGCGACATTTTCCCGCATCTCTTGAGGGATATCCGCCAGCTCGTCTTCAATTGTGATAGGGATCGTGACCACCTCTCCATCCTTATTGGGAGTATCGCCATCTCTCATCTCACTGTCGCCTTCCCGATCAACGGCAGAGGTATCCTCCTTCTGGATAGGGCTAGCCGGGTTGCAAAGATCCGACAGGACGCGCATCAGGGTGTTGTTGGCAGCCGTAAAGCGAGCCTGCAGCTCCTCCGGGTCTCGTTCACCCCGATTGGCCTCAAACTGCTCAAGATAATTCAAGGTGCTCTCATCCACCACAATCTATAATGTTGTCAGTGATCTATATCAAGCGTGGAGAAGGAGACAGACATACCAAAAGGGTACTCTTCTCCACTTCCTGCTCCTCATCGCCCTCCTTCCGTGGGACCTGTCGCTTCACAGGCACCTCAACCTCCTTGAAGATTTCGACCGCAATCTCCAAGCTCTCGGGATCTTCAAACTCGGCGAAGCCAAATCGGCAAGGCTTCTCGTCAGCATCCGTGGCACGAATCCAGCGTCGCAAGTTGCCTGCAGACCGCAGGATTCTCTCGATACCATCGTCACCTCCAACGCCTTCCGTGATGCCTCCGACAAAGAGTGTGCGCACAATCTCATCCCGAGTGGGCGGCTGGAGCTGCATCATGGCATCCCGAGCGTTGTGGCGCTGGCTGTCCATACCCGTCGACCCCAGTCCTGCCCGTCGGCCAGGGCCATCTGATCCGCGCTCGCGGCCGGCATCCGGTCCTGCAGGCTTTGCCGGGCCCGAGGTGCCCAGTCGAATCACGGGCGCGGAAAAGTTGATGTTGGGCATATTCGGGGGCGGTTGGAAGTTTGCCGGGAAGCCGCCGGGGCGACCAGGCTGCTGGGCATTGGCCTGTTGCATACCAGGAGGAGGAGCGGTACCGGGGGCAGCCATGCCTGGAGGAGGAGCTACAGCTGGTCAGTCATGATTGGTATCACTTGGGGTTGAGGCATCGGTTCCAAACATACCCATACCCGGAGGCGCACCGTACGCGGCATAGTCGGGCTGCCCATACATGCCCGGAGCTAAAAAGAGAGTCAGATCATGGTCAAGCTCGAATCCAAGTGTCCCGACGGCGTGCGCTGATGGGTGATGCCCGGGGGGCGAAGACTCACGTTGGTAAGGATTGTACATATTGCAGGCGCTCTCACCGGCTCAGAGTCAAGGTACTCTTCAGTTTATATTCAAAGAGTGAGCACCGACTCTCTTATGGCCAGGATATTGAATAAAGGTGACCTCGCAAGCTCCGTGTTGAGATGGGCGCGCAAAGAAAGAAAGTTGCGATGTTGCGCTTTTTGATGGTCCGTGCGTCGATCTTGGCAGCCGAGTGACGGCTCACGCGCTTTCTACAGCAGTTTAGTTAGGATTGACTTAGATTGTCAAAGGATTGATTTACATTGCATAAATACGCTAAGTAGGAACATTGATTTTGGACAAATAGATCTGGAGTCCGATCGGATATAGTCCGGGATAGAACTATCCGGCTTCCCGGTAGGTTCGTGAAAGCTTTATAGACACGGGCCATAGTGATCGCATTCAATTGGTCATATGGACTCGAGCAAGATGACGCCAGGAGCAAAGGCGAAGGATGTTCCGAAGGATGTTCATATCAGGGCTGCGTAGATGAGTAAATAGGTAGGTAGGTAGGGACACCGTCAATCTATTTCCGGTACCAGGAGAATACCGGATGAATCAATGGAAACTGAACTGACTATGTAGATAGCTATGTATTGAAGGTCCGCAGTGGCTCATGAGGTAAAAATGGGCAACGGTCGGTGCAGATTAGAAAACAGGCGCGCTCCAGACAGGGCAGTACGAATGCGGCAATGATGATGCCAGCCCCACGGCCCCTCCACCGGACCCCAACACGCCGACACTTGACGCCATCTGGGTTTTACTTCTCTTTCCAAGCTTTTCCCCTTCTTTCTTCATCTCAATCAGTGATACCCCTTTCCCCCGTACACCCTGTAAGCTCCATCCCATCTTTGCAGCACTTCCATCGTCTTCCGGTGCCCCGCGCTAACCCGATCCCATAGCACTACTATCGTCATCATGCCGGGTTTCTCGCAAGCTTCCGATCTCAATGCCTGGAAGGAGCTCCAGGAGCACCACACCACCCTGGGCCGTAACATTGTCTTGAAGGAGTACTTCCAGAAGGACCCCCAGCGCTTCCAGAAGTTCAGCCGCACCTTTTCCAACACCGTGGATGGCTCCGACATCCTCTTTGACTTCTCCAAGAACTTCCTCACCGAGGAGACTGTGTCCCTCCTGGTCAAGCTGGCCAAGGAGGCAAATGTCGAGGGTCTGCGCGATGAGATGTTCAAGGGTGAGCACATCAACTTCACTGAGGACCGTGCTGTCTACCACGCCGCTCTGCGCAATGTCACCAACGAGCCCATGCAGGTGGATGGCAAGAGCGTCGTCGAGGAGGTCAACTCCGTGCTCGAGCACATGAAGGAGTTCTCGGAGCAGGTCCGCAGCGGTGAGTGGAAGGGCTACACCGGCAAGAAGATCAATACCATCGTCAACATTGGTATCGGTGGCTCAGACCTGTAAGTTTCAATTGATCCCGAACGTAGACGCGCAAACTGACCTCTTATCAGTGGCCCCGTCATGGTCACCGAGGCCTTGAAGCCCTATGGTCACCCCGACTTGAAGCTCCACTTCGTTTCTAACATCGACGGCACTCACATCGCCGAGGCCCTCAAGCACTCCGACCCGGAGACTACCCTCTTCCTGATTGCTTCCAAGACCTTCACTACCGCCGAGACCTGCACCAACGCCAACACAGCTAAGAGCTGGTTCCTCGAGACTGCCAAGGATGAGTCCCAGATCGCCAAGCACTTCGTTGCCCTTTCCACCAACGAGGCCGAGGTCACCAAGTTCGGCATTGACAAGAAGAACATGTTCGGCTTCGAGTCGTGGGTTGGTGGCCGTTACTCCGTGTGGAGCGCCATCGGTCTCTCCGTGGCTCTGTACATTGGCTATGACAACTTCCACCAGTTCCTGGCTGGTGCCCACGCTATGGACAAGCACTTCCGCGAGGCTCCCCTGGAGCAGAACATCCCCGCCCTCGGTGGTCTACTGAGCGTCTGGTACAGCGACTTCTTCGGCGCCCAGACTCACCTGGTTGCTCCCTTCGACCAGTACCTGCACCGTTTCCCCGCCTACCTGCAACAGTTGTCCATGGAGAGCAACGGCAAGGCCATCACCCGCACCGGCGAGTACGTCAAGTACACCACCGGCCCCGTCCTGTTCGGTGAGCCCGCCACCAACGCCCAGCACAGCTTCTTCCAGCTGCTGCACCAGGGCACCAAGCTGATCCCGGCCGACTTCATCATGGCCGCCGAGTCGCACAACCCCATTGAGGGCGGCAAGCACCAGCGCATGTTGGCTTCCAACTTCCTGGCCCAGTCCGAGGCCCTAATGGTCGGTAAGACCCCCGAGCAGGTCAAGGCCGAGGGTGCCCCCGACCATCTGGTCTCGCACAAGACCTTCCTGGGCAACCGTCCCACCACCTCCATCCTGGCCCAGAAGATCACTCCCTCGACCCTGGGTGCTCTGATTACCTATTACGAGCACGTCACCTTCACCGAGGGTGCCGTCTGGAACATCAACTCCTTCGACCAGTGGGGTGTCGAGCTCGGCAAGGTCTTGGCCAAGAAGATCCAGGCTGAGTTGGAGACCTCCGGTGGCGGTGCTGATCACGACAGCTCGACCAGCGGTCTGCTGTTCGCTTTCAAGCAGAAGGCCAACTTGGCGTAAATTTAGCCCGATCATGATTAAGCACTTCGGTGGGCGATGCAGTTTTGATGAGCAATGAATAAATACTTGACACGATGCCTTTTTTGTTAAAATTGAATGGAATTAATTTCCCTGGAGTCAAAAGTGGATGCAAGTAGCTATGGGGGGAGCATCTTAGGCTCTACCTGCAGGCTATTCGACTTTGCCTTTGCAGTAATTAATTTTTCGATAATTAAGTAGTAGGGATGGTCAAACCCGAAGCTATGCCTAAGCTCGCTGCTCTTGTATAGTGAACAGTAGTGGTTTGGCAGGAACATTGATAGCGGGTGTCGATCATGGAGAAAGCCTCCAACTCCGCGGACCACAAACACCTCCGTGTCTTCTCCGCGTTTTCCCCTTCCAACAACCCAACGCGGGGGAATTACTCTTCGCCATGAATCCCGCGAACATGTCTCCTCCGCGCTCAATGACTCGGTTCCCTGCCACAGCGACGCTACTCTCCCTCGCATGCGCGCTGTGGGCGACAGGATCGGTTGCGGAAAGGAGCAGTGGCAACAACGGGGTGGGATACAGTCTTGGAGAAGAAATCCCTGTCTCCTGTCTCAATCGGACAACGTGAGTTTGTCCTATTTCGCCTTTCATAGCCATTGTTAACCAAAGACCGTTGTACAGGGAAGGAGAACATGTATGCGCCTCAAACTCCTGAACCCCGCGACTCCTCGTGTACACGCTTGATTAACAAAACAAAATAGATAACAGATGACATGGGCAAACTGCAATACATCCCCTTTGCAACATGTAATGAGACCTCGCGCCCACTCGCCCTCCACTACGGCGTCTCCGAAACAATCACCTGCACGATCCCCTCCCTCTCCGACTCGCTCTACCACCTCTACGAATTCTACGTGCACTCCGACGTCCCAATGACTTGCCGCGTACCAACAGCACCACTCTCCTCCAGCAACACACCCACAGACAAAGAGTCCGAGTCCGGGGAAGTCGACTCGCTGGCCGCGCTGAATGAGAACGGCCCGCCCTTCACGCCGCTCACCATCGCGCTGCAGGGTACCCTACAGCTCAGCCACTTGCACATCTGGACTGATATGAACATGATCATGCATAACATGGCCTCTGACGCCGCGGCGCAAGAGCTGAAGCCGAAGAGTGCCCAGACCGGTCAGCCTGGGTATGCGGTTGCTGGAACCGCGTACTCGACGCCCGAGTTTGAGGCTGCTGTCAAGGGCCTTGCGCTCGACAATGATGAGGAGGCTGTTGCTCTTGCGCAGGCTGCGCGCGAGCCCTGGACTTCTGGGCATGGCACGAAGGTCGTACGCAGCGAACCGCTGACCTTTTCTTTCCATATTGCCTGGGTTGAAGGTGGTGCTGGCATTGGGTGGCCGGAGCGGCCTAAGTCGGGCTCGTTCTTGGGCGCTGGTGCTGCTGGAGCGGCGCAGGGCTCCCGTGTTGGCTCGCTCTTTTCGAACTTGTTTTTCTTCGTCATGGCCGCTTCTGTTGGTGCTCTTGCGGCACTCTACTGGGAGCGCAATGGTGATCGTTGGCGAGGTCGCTCAGGCTGGCAGGGTGATGGCATCTTGGGCGTGCCCTCTGCTCGGGGGAAGGGGACCGGTGTGACCTTTGGAAACGGTGGACGCATCAATGGCTACGGAGGGTACTCTGCGTCTGCTAATGGTGCAGGAACTGGTGGCGGGGGATATGGATTCCCCACTGGGAAGAGGGACTGATTAAATTGATTAGAGCTGTGTATATCAGTCGTGTATAGTTTATGTGGACATCCCTGTCATTCCAAATTGGAGTCAAGAATAGATCTGATGCATTTCATATCTAATGCAAGAACAAGGTCAAAAGTAGTTTCACAAATAGTTGTACAAGCCAGACAAAACCGCCCGATCATTTATGGGCAAATGCGAAATCATCCAGTCCGCAGTATATACATCCACCATAATAATCACCATCCCTGCGCCTGCATCCGCTGGATCTTCTTCACAGTCTCCTGGAACGAGAAGCGGAAAAGCTTCCTCCACCGTGTCCGCCGCTGCTGCTTGCGCACCATACCCTTGCGCACGTGGAACTTCTGCTCGAATGACTGAGCCTTGATCTTGTTCTGGTTGACCGTAATCTGCAGGTTGCGAATAGCAGCAGCGAGGTCGACGCCACGCTCCGGCTCAACGTGCACCTGGCGACCCAGCGTCGGACCCAGCTTCAGTTCCGTCTTTCGGCTTGCCAGCTGTGCGGACTGGTCTTTCCAGGCTTGGGAGCCGACGCTGCCGGCCACGGTGCGTGACACGGAGTCGGGAGCACCGCGTCTGCGGCTGCCACCGGCTGGGGTCTCTGATTTGGGTTGGTTTCGGCTTCCGAGGTTGAGTTGGTTGAGGATGTCGTCAAAGTCGGAGCCCGCGGTGGTGTTTGATTTGGGAGCGGGTTGCTCGGCGTTGGAGGGCGTGGCAGGGGCAACTGCTTCTGTGGGTTTTTGATTCGAGGGATTTTGTGATGAGGAGTCTGAGGAGTTGTATCGGATTGTGCTGGGGAAGAAGCGTTGAGGTTGCTGGCGCGAGCTGAGCAGCCTTGGAGTAGGCGTGGCACGGAGGCCACGGGCAAGGAGGCGGGCATCCATTATTCACGGAGCAATCAGCTCAGCCTTGGGAGTCCAATTGAGGAGATTGGACAGTCGCTCCACGGCAGAAAGTGGTGAGGGATGGAATTGTTCGTAGACCTCGAAAGTGAGCGACGGCAAAATCAAGTGAAATTGTAGATCACGTGATCTCGCGCAGGTTGACCCATCAGCAGACTTACTTTGCTCCTTCTCTTTCTTCTCGTTTTTCCCTTACGCAAATACTCGCAAGACAAGCATTGGAAACCATCTCAGCGTGCATCCACACAATGTCGTCTATTTCAATCGCAACGCTGCAGCGCATGAGCCGCGACACTCTTGCCGCTCTACTCTCCGCCAGCACACCCACCACCAAACTCGCAATCATTGACGTCCGTGACTCCGGTGCGTACAAAGTCATGCCAGAGGATCCACAAAAATTATTAATTACTAACTCTTTTTTCAGACCACGTCGGCGGCCACATCCACTCTTCAACCTGGGTCCCCAGCTCCAGCCTGGATGTCCGCATGCCTGAGCTTGTCCGCACTCTCAAAGACACTGAGAAAGTCGTTTTCCACTGCGCACTGAGCCAGCAGCGCGGTCCCTCTGCAGCACTGCGATATGCGCGCGAGCGCGAACAAACCTACGGCCCCGAGGAAAGCCAGAAGCAGGAGGTTTATGTTCTGGACGGCGGTTTTGTGAAGTGGCAGGAGAAATATGGGCGAGACAAGAAGCTGACTGAGGCTTACGCTGCTGATATCTGGCGTGAGGATTAGATGGACTTGCGGAGGACCTTTCAGCGTGGTGCGTTGTGCCATGACTGCCACGCTTTATGAGATATGAACGATGAGATACCACATAGATAGACATTGAATTACTCTTCTCTTATTGGCATTGCAAGTGTAAAATTCATGGGGTATTTTGAAAATCCTTTCAGTTTTGATAACTTGCTTTGAAGTTGACATCTTTGAAATGGGCCCTCGTGTCTCTAGGTACATATTTATTTGTAGAATTTTAACATCCTGGTAGACTGGCTGCAACTAATTGCTCCACAATGGAGCCTGCGACTCGGCCGCCAAATCAGCACTGCCGTTCTATTCTAGATGCTCCTGGGAATACAATGTCTACTGGCCCCACAATTCCCTAATCAAGCTGTGGAGGACTGTTGATGCCAGTAAAATTGGACGAGTCTACTCGGAGATTTACAATGTATTCTGGAAGAGAGACTACCAGAGTACAGTCGTCAGAATATGGTGGCAAAGAAAATAAGCGCATGCATCAAGAGACTTCTATGAGCAATCGTCATTTCTTCTGCGCTGAACAAGTTGCGAAAGGATACGAATTACCAGGTTCCTAGGAATCCAAACCATCTACCCCAAGCCCTGAGATAAGTGATGTCAGTACAGACACTAGACAATCTTGAAGTCCAGCATCATAGTGTTAGGACTGAACAGATGTCTAGACACTAATATGACCCGCCTATATCACCAAACCATCCGAAGTTTCTACCACTGAATTAACAGAATCGGAACATCGCGAAACCTCAATAAACATCACGATGCTCCCGAACCATCATATAGCTATGCCGCATATAATCCCCATCCTGCATGTGCCGCCAGATATCCCAAAGACTATGCAACGAGCATTTCATCCACCCCGGAAACAGCGAATCGCGATCCTGATCCTGCCACGCCTCTACAAGCTTCACATAATAGGCAACCAAGTGCTCCATCCCTCCCGGACACTCCGCGGGGATCGAGGCAGTCTGCAAGGTCTCAAAACTCTCTTCATCGACCACAATAAACATGCGGTAGCTAGGGAATCGATCGGCCATATCCCGCTCCTCTGCCCAGACCTCAAACCGAGCGCGGAGCTGGTCTATCGATGCTCCGTCAACCTGGGCAGCATCGTCCATAACACGTGGCTTGTGTGCGGCCCATAATTCATCGAAGACGGCCTCGTTGGCTTGATCCGCTGTGCGAGGATTCTCGCGGAGGGATTGGTACTGCTCGTAGAATCCGTCTTTTAGGTATGCTGTGATGAGGTCGACCATTGCGGGAAAGGCAGCGTCAGACTGCGCAGTGTAGGTTGTGCGGTATATAGTGTAGCCCCAGGATGGTTCGTATATCTTGAGCCAGTCGTAGAGGCTGCGTACAGAATTTGGAAGCCAGGGATACAGCCTTCCGGCTGTCATAAATCTTGACATGATGCTCCGGTGGAGATAGTGGTGCGATGGTTGATAGTAAGACCTTAATTCGGTAGGAGAGGAATAACGCTAGTTGAGAAGTAACGATCCGGGGGTTTTTAGATGGCCGCCAAGGTTTCATCAATCGCGCCCAGAAATATAAATCACATTTAGTTTCTTGGTGTTCCTCTATCAATCATGATATTACTCACTGAGCCTGAGCCTCAGCCTGAGCACCCTCGTAAAAGCGACGGCAGCCGAAACAGGAAAGCCCCACCTGGCAGACCTTATCCTGTCTATATAGGTGCATTTAGAATGGGAATGAGATTATATCCAATCTGCACCGACATGCCATAGTGGATTGAGGATATCACCATGTAAACGTACGGAACAAACATGCCCCCTGCAAAAGTCAGTTTGCGAAATTAATCAGAGAAGGGTGAGCGAAGGTGACTTACAATACATAAAGAAGCTGACGATGCACAAGAGCAGGAAGTTACATTCCCGCAACGGGCTCAGATAGCTACTAAGCTTGAACTCCTTGGGGGTGTGTGTGACATTTGACGAAATCAACGTGCAGGTGATGAACAGCAGACCGAGGATTAGAAATGCGCAGGCACGCATGGTCCAGGCAAATCCAATTGCGGATAGCAGGTGGTTCACCATGAATGGGAAAATGACACCACCCAAAGAGGAACCGGCGATGGCGAATCCACCAGCCAGCGCTCGGCGATCGTGGAAGTAGGTCGTCGGCTGCAAAATAATGCTTTCATAAGTTTTCTGCCTGGTAGAGAGTGGCAGCGACCAAGGGGCGGGTGGTACGGCACTTACGGTGGTCATGGCTGGAGTGATGATCAACGACGATCCAAACCAAGAACACACAGACTGACTCAAGATGAGTTGATAGTATTTGGTTGATAGACTAGTCATCATGAGGCCGAAGACGTGCAAAAAGCTGCCGATCATGATCGGAAGACGCGGTCCATAGCCATCATACAGTCGTCCAGCTAAGGGTGACACTCCGAGCATGAAGAAAACTACATTGGAGATGTCAGTTCACCGTCTGGTCAAACACGCTACTCGTTGATACTGAAGGAAAAACATACAGAGCACTGAGGATATCCATCCCACCTGGGAACTCGAATAATCCCGGAGTTGGTTCATCTGATATTCGGCCTGGAATATGGCAACGCAGTTGACCCAGCCAAAGGAAGCAAACATGCCCAAGAAACCGCCAGCTAACGCCAACCAAGCTTTGGTACCCTGCTTCTTGGGGGCCGAGGTGATAGCCGGACTCGCATCTTCCGTCGTGGATTTGTTTCCGAGTCATCTCGATCAGAAGGCTGGGTGCCCTTCTCAAGGCTGGACTCGCTATAGGAAGATGGGTCGCGTGTTTCCGACATTTTCTTGGGTAAATTGGGATGTCTTCAAAATTGCCGAATTGAGGACGACGAGGATACTTTCTATAGGAATTTCTCCGAGTCCTAACCCTAATTCATGTCCCTGTCCCACTAATGACTCCGACGCTGACTGCGGGCCGAGTCCGTTCGGACTCACCACCACATAGCGGACATGGAGATCTATAATCTTTCCATGCAACATTTAGAGGTTGAAAGGGGTGAGTGGGGGGTGGCTGGTTATGTACAGTAGGTGGGCGAGCGGAGTTCGAGCGGCGTTCGTCGAAATGCCGCTTCCGATCCCTGTCCCTCTTCCTGTTCCAGTTCCGGTTCCCTGCCCCCGTTTTGTCTTCCTCTTCCACTCGGCTGAGATCACTAAGGAGATGATCGGCCAGGATGGAATCCACCGTGCACTTGCCTCTGCCTTATGGAAATGCCTGTGGCACCTGTGCTCGTGCCAAGTGTCGTTGCGTTCCCCGGAGTGGTGGTGGCGGCCGCTGTGAAAGGTGAGTGGACCAACACCGTGCGGAGGAAGACTATCCACGCAGTGGGATGGGAACTCGTTGGGGAATGTATTATAGTCTAATATTATTCACAGATGTCATCGTTTGAACAAGGAATGCCGCGTTCCTCAGGGACGTCGCAAGGCCCAGCCCCAGACCTTGTCCAGGTCGGTTCAGCTGGAACGGAAAATGGATGGCTTGATGTCGCTGCTGACCTCCTCCTCCGGCGGTCGGACAGATCTGCCAACGCCGGTTCAGGGACAAGCTGAGGTGCAGGGGATGGGGCAAGCTGAGGTCGAATCAGAAAGAGAAGACGAAGAAACATTAGCAAGTGAAGAAGAGTCTCTGCGCACTTTTCGAACTCAGCGGCTGCAGTTCCTCCCTCTGATCCACATACCAGCCACAACAACCGCTCGTGATCTAAAACGACAGTCACCATTTCTGTGGCGTTGCATTACTGCTGTGGAAAGTAAGCATACAGTACGTCAAGCAGCCTTGTGTGTAAGGATCCGGGAGCTGGCGGGGAAGCGGCTGCTGGTTGACTGCGATAAGTCCCTGGATCTATTGCAGGGAGTGTTGGTCTATCTTGCATGGTATGGTGTGCTCACCTCCCATTGTGGTTGAATGACATGGGGTTTGCTGAGGTTCTCTCCCTTCCTCGCTTACTATCGACCAGGGTCACGTTGCACAGCCAGCCGCAAAAGTCATCGCTCTGTATTTATTCCCAAATGGCGATCGGGCTAGTCTTTGAGCTGGGCCTCAACAAGCCCGCGCCTCCGGATCTTAGCATGACAGTCTCGAACTCCAATGCCGTGGGCCATATTCCGGGTTTGAAAGCATCGATTTCAACTCTGCGCACGTTGAATGAGCGCCGGGCAGTATTGAGCTGCTTTGTGCTGACTTCGATGTAAGAGCCCATATCTGGCAAAGGGATTGAGCATCGAATTGACAGACCTGGTACAGAATCGCGCAGTTCCTGGGTCGAATGGATCCACTGCGATGGACCCCGCATATGAAGGAATGTCTTGATATCTTAGCGCACAGTGAAGAATCGTCTGGTGATGGGGTGCTAGTCCAGTTTACGCGCACCCGACTTCTCGTGGACCAGATTCTTCAAGGTCCCTGGAGTGAGGGCCTGTATGGCCTCAATGCGGCGCAAACCCTAGCCGTCTTCCATCTCAAGGCACTCCAGTCACGGTTGGAGACGATCAAGGCTGAGATCCCCATTCAACTGGCTGACAACAGTATGCAGATCCCCTGGCAATTGAAGATAACTCGCTTACAGCTACTTACTTAACCTGTCTTAGAACCCATTCTCTTTCATTTGTACGACACTGAGCTTAGTCTTTATGAAGTCGCCCTAGTAAAGCCCTGTGCAGACGAGGAATTCAGCCCCCAGCGACTTGATCACCTCTACGCCTGTCTCCACGTGGTGAAACAGTTTTTTGATCTTTTTTTCACAATTCCTCCAGCTGGATACACGTCCCTGGCGCTCCCTTATCTTACACAGGTGTCGCACTGCTTGGTGACCCTCTTCCGCCTATCGACCTTGGACTACCCGGGATGGGACAAGAGCGCGGTGAAAGGCACGGTGGACATACTTCTCATTGCAGAGCTGATTGCCACGCGCATGGGACAAGTGGCGGATGCCGTTGGGATGCGCAGCGAAGGGGCGTATGGCGATCCGTTCAGTAAATTGGGGATGATGATACAGAAGCTTCGGAGTGAGTGGGCAGTACGTTTACCAGAGTGCCCGGAGGTGGTAGCCGACCAAAGCTCAGGCGAACCATTCTTGTCGAGCATGGAGATGGGTGATCTGGATAGCTTTATGAACTGGTCAGAGATGGGGTGGGTGATAGAAGGGGTTGGGACCGGGGGGTTCATATAATGACAGTGCTCGTCGATGTTTTGTAGCTCTTCACTCATATGGATCCGCTCCAATGCCAGTGGATATCAAATCATACCTATCTAAGTGCAAAAGGTTGGGACTCGGGATATTTCGAGGGCCGACAAACATGATAAATATAGAAAGGTCTATAGTTGCACAAGTTATGCTACTTTTGACTGTAATTTTAGGTATTTGATACATAGCTAGATTCTTTAGAATAGATTATTATGATTAGGGAAAGCGTATTAAAAATATTAAATAATTACTTTAAATTCATGCTATTTTATACTATTTCTAGGGCTAGATACTATAAAATCAACTCTTATATCCTTCTAAAAACCTTAAGCGCTTTCGAACTCTTCCTAGATGCCGAAGTTATATATTTAGGAAATTAGGCTTACCCTCTTCTTTAGACATTGACATACCCATGGGTATTCCCATATGGGTAGGTCCCGTCCCGCCCATGGGTACAGACCCCAGCTTAATGCATTTGAAGCAATTCATTAACATTGAATACGTCTACAAATTGAAACCACCCACCTGGGCAATTACCTCGGTGGATATTGCTTCAAATTTAAACAAATATTCAATTGAACTCGTCTTACAAATCCGAATTAAATGAAATCAAATATCATTCTTTGTCCAACCGGCGAGTTGGCACGGGAGGTACGGCGTTCAAACGGGGATGGAACGGGAAGAGCGGCGTTCGGGGATGGCAGCAACCAACGCCGTGTTCCCTTTCCCATACTTAAACAATTCAAAGTTCACCTTCTTCAGCCAGTCTACAGCGTTCAATGCAATACAAATTGAAAATCGAACGGAATTTCAGCAAATATTAGGAGGGAAAACAGCCACCCAAGCTCCATCACGCCGCCAACATGAGCGAAGACAGCCAGCCACGTCTTCTGAAATCCGACCCCAACCCGTGGGACCATGATCTGAATGCAGAGAACTCCAATCAAAGCGACGAGTACGAGCCAGAATGGGTGGAGGGAAGGACACTGGTAATGGTGATTGCAGGTATCACGCTTGTCGTGTTTTTGATGCTGTTGGATATGTCGATTGTTTCGACGGTATGACCACCATTCAAATGTTGGAGAGATGAAATTTTGGGCTGACGTGGACAGGCCATTCCAAAAATCACCAATCAATTTAACTCACTCGATGATGTTGCATGGTATGGGAGTGCGTATACAATCTCCAGGTATGGTGGAATGCAATGCAATCTAAAGAAATGCAAAATTAAAATGGCTAACGAGAGCTATCACTCACTCACTCTCTAGTGCCGCTCTCCAGCCGCTGACCGGGAAATTCTACACTTACTTCTCATCGAAGTGGACATTCCTCTCTTTTTTCAGTATATTCGAAGTAGGCTCCTTGATTTGTGGGGTAGCAAACTCTTCCAAAATGCTCATCGTCGGCCGCGCGATAGCAGGAATGGGATCATCGGGCATGATGAACGGGGCGTTGAATATCCTGGCCGGTGCAGTGCCGATCAAGAAGAGACCGGCGATGATTGGGATCATCATGGGGGGTAAGGTGCTCGCCAAAAATTGATCTTTCCGCAGGGCTGACATTTCTCGCAGTTGGCCAACTGGGCTTAGTTGGAGGGCCACTAGTTGGTGGTGCTTTTACGACTTACTCGACTTGGCGATGGTGTAAGTGTTCGCAACCTATGATGATATTATCCCGTCAAAAAGGCACTGCTGACCCCGTTTTAGGCTTCTATATGAACCTCCCCATCGGGGCATTAGTTGGTGCCCTGCTCCTCTTCACACGCATCCCAGACCAAAAGCCAAAACAACCCGCCCGCGAGATCCTGCGTTCAGTATTCCTGCAGAAATTCGACTTAATTGGGTTTGTGCTGTTCGCGCCGGCCTCGATCATGCTTCTTCTGGCGCTACAGTATGGTGGGAATGGCTACTCGTGGGACAGTGCGACAGTCATTGGCTTGTTCTGTGGGTCAGTCGCGACTTTCGTGGCCTTTGCTTTGTGGGAACGGCATATGGGCATCGAGGCAATGATTCCGGGTCATTTAGTCTGCGATAAGATTGTCTTATCCAGCAGTCTACTATCAATGATGATCTTTGGGTTTACGATGACTCTCTCATACTACCTGCCCATCTACTTCCAGTCCGTTCGGGAAAAGTCCGCCTTGGTAAGCGGTGTCAACTTGTTGCCAAACATTCTATGCCAGTTGGTCATGGCCGTGGCATCCGGGGTGCTGAGTGAGTGTCTTCCATTTTCTCTTGTCTTCCTTGATAAAGCTCATTAGTTTTGATAGCCTCAAAGATAGGTTACTATCTTCCTTGGGGAGTTCTTGGAGCTATTCTAAATGCCGTGGGAAACGGCCTGCTCTCCACCTTGTCACCCACTACCTCGGTGCCCACCTGGGCCGGCTACGAATCACTGGTAGGATTCGGTCGAGGTGCCATCTCCCAAGTAGTGAGTTTTGCATTCCTCGTCCTCCTTCTTCTTCAATATACTAATACCTATCCAGCCCATGATCGCCATCCAAAACGCGGTCAAAGGCGATGACGTCTCCACTGCCATGGCCATGATGACCTGTGCCCAGACCTTTGGCGGTTCCATCTTCCTGGCCGTGGCGGAAGTTATATTCGCCCAGGCCCTTAGGAAGAAGATCCCCGAGTACGCCCCCTCTGTGAATGCCGAAGCAGTCATTCAGGCCGGGGCGACCGGATTCCGCCAAGTTGTGTCGGCGCAGAACCTGCCGGCAGTGTTGGTGGCGTACGCGAAGAGTATAGACCAGGTTTTCTATTTGAATGTCGCACTATCCTGTGCACAGTTTGTCTTCGCATGGGGAGTTGGATGGAGGAGTGTGAAGAAGGGGAAGGAGGAGGAGAAGGAGGTGTCAGAGCAGGCGTGATCTCACGTTGGATCAGATTATATTGTTCACTAGAACTCTCTCCTCTCTAAATATAAATGTACGAATTGACTGGCCGTTATTCTTCCAAATAGTGTGTGCAACACTTAAAACAAAGAACAAGCTGGCTCCAAACACTCATACAGAATTTATTACCTTGTGTATAATGACTCGGTCATTCGTTCCTTTGAAGTTGATCACTGGCACTAATTGGACAGACTTGCGGGTCTTCCCCTAAATTGAATGTTTGGACTCCACAAAGAGAGATGTTAATGGAATGTACCTGGAGAATGTAATTCTTTTCGAAGCGTTCAACCTATTTTGAAAAAGTTCATAACCTCAAGGACCCGTTAGTCCCCCGGGGGACCATATTGGCTTTGGTGACCATAGCCTCTGTTGTATCCCGGACTCTTTTCGACAGGTCAGAATGCACAAGCTCAAATACCTTATACACTCTTTTTCTGATTATGTTGTCTGTCTGGGAGAGGGAATTTGCCAGGTTGAAGATCATCTTCTCCTGCCAGCCCTCATACTCAGGCTCCTCCAAATGCGTCCAGAATGTCCGGGGGAACTTGTAATCCAGTTCATCGATAGCAGAGAATGATTGGTTAATAACCGAGTCGAGGCGATCATCCCGCTTAGGTTCAGCTGGTAGAGCATCTCGAAAGGACATTGCGTTGTCACTGGAGATATACCCTGCTCGTGCTCCGTAATTACCGTCGACGACAGCCAGGCCATCCCGCAGTAGAGGGTTGAAAGGGCACAGGGGCCGATTTACCGGAATCTGTTGATAGTTGACGCCGAGGCGATGTCGCTGAGCGTCTGGGTATGCAAACATACGTGCTTGGAGTATGGGATCCTCAGAGGGAGCAATACCAGGAACTAAATGAGACGGGGAGAACGCCAGTTGCTCCACCTCTGCAAAGAAATTTTCCGGATTGCGGTTGAGGGTAAGCTTCCCAAAGGGCCGCGCAGGAACTGTTCCTAAGTCCTTAGGATACGTACCCATATCCCAGTGTTTCGTGAGATCCAGAATGTTGTACCCAAACTTGGGGACATCTTCGGGCTCTATTACTTGGACATAAGCCGTCCAAGTTGGGTAATTTCCGGTCTTGATTGCATGGAACAGATCTCTCGTGGCATGATCCGGGTCAATGCCGCTGGTGTTTTGCATTTGTGAATGTGTTGCAAACTCGTAACCAGCATCAGCCTGAAGATACATGTGCACGTATCGGTATGACCCATCAGGCATTACCCATTTATGCGCATGGCCCATGTAACTGTTCATGTTGCGATAGGTGTTGAACGTTCCATACTCGCTGTAGAGCCACATTATCATGTGTAGAGACTCATGGTTCCTGGTCACCCAGTCCCAGAACATATTGGGATTGGGCATGTTTGTTTGGGGATCTCTTTTTTGGGCATGCATCAACCCAGGGAACTTGATCGGGTCTCGGATGAAAAAGAACGGGACATTAAGGTACACCCAGTCCCAGTTACCTTGGTTGGTGAAAAACTTGGTAGCCATGCCTCGGGGATCACGAACGGCATCCGCGGTGCCTCGTTCGCCTCCGGTGGTAGAGAAACGTGTCACACACTGCGTCTTTTTGCCCACTCCAAGAAGCATGTCGATACTGCAGATATCAGATATGTCGTCTGTCACCTTTTTGCTTATATTAGCATGTTGCAAGACGCTAATACATGTTGAATACGAACCTCAAACTCCCCGTAGGCACCAGCCCCTTTTGCATGAACAACCCTTTCAGGGATCCGCTCGCGGTTGAAGTGAGAAAGCATTTCAATCAAGTGCGAATCTCTTAATACGAGATTACTCCCAACTTTGACTGACTGTTCTGGTCTCGCTGCTGGGCAGCCATTGGATAAGGTGTACATTGGACTTTTGGCGGCATTTCCCACAGAATTCGTCATTTTTTTTTTATTAAAAAAAGAAAAGGAAGAAAGAAAGAAAAGAGGTCACCTATGAGGAGAGGGTTTAGAGAAGCTTGTGGATGAATTGAACTGAGCCCACAAGATATTAAATTATACTTAGATGACATTTGCAAAAATGAGCTTAAGTATCGGTGAAGACATATTCTAGACACCGAATGAGACCGATCATATGGCGGTGTGACAAGGAACAGGCATGCGTCTCAGTTTGCGGTCGACTAAGATCAATTGGAACGATAACCTATCAATCATCGATCGAAATGGAAGCACGCTCTGTCGTGCATATTGTCATTGCATGGCCTGCATACTCTGGATTCGGTGTAGATCGGCGCAAGGTGGATATTTTACCCACTGTGATGAGTTTTGTCTCAAACCTATTCCAAATCCCTACACGCACGCATGCTCGGGGAAGGCAGCCACAGTAGCACAGCGTCAAATAGCCGTGGTGGCAGTAAAGAGCTATCATATGTGCCTGATGGGGCCTCACTTGGGCTCCACTTTCGTGGCTGGCTGAGGTAGATGGGATCTTCTTTGCATCGCGACGGGGTTCTGCATTGCAGATCTTGTTTGTTTCGGAGTCTCGGCCGATCTAGAAATCGATCACAATCCTTTTCAGGAACGACTTGGAAATGGGTTCAAAGGGGCCCAAATGCGCTGTCCTAGAATTAAATATTCGTAAGACAATCGTCCACTACAACAAGCACTGGTCGGCAGATCCATTGAACAGGCTAGCTATCATGACAATCCAAACCTACGAGATTGAGAGAAAGGCTCAAACTCGTACACACCTTGAAGCAGAGCTGACGAAAAGCCTGTCAGCGGACGAACGCCATCTACCTTCTCTCTGTCTGTGGGATCAGCAGGGCTTGCAGCTGTTTGAAGATATTACCCATTCGGAAGATTATTATCCTTTCGCTGCCGAGGTCAGCCTTTTACGTGGAAATGTCGACAACCTATTGGATCATATCAGCGAAGGAGGTGCGATATTGGAGCTAGGAAGCGGGTATGTACTCCTTCTAGCAACATCAATTTGTTTGACGTCGATTTGATTCCTTGACCATCGAAGTTCTCTCGAAAAAACCGATATTCTTCTCCAAGGTCTAAGCCATCTCCAACGCCACGTGGACTACTATGCACTGGATGTCTCACCATCGGAGCTCTATCGCACGTTGAATGCCATAGAGGACAAGCTGGGCGACAATAGCACGGTGAAATGCCATCCGCTCGTCTGCACCTATGAGGAAAGTCTAGTATGGCTGAAACAAAACCCAGTACTTGATGGGCGGGATGTTATTGTGCTTTGGCTGGGCAGCAGCATGGCGAATGAAACACCGGAAACGATACAACGACTCCTGCGATCATTCAAAGCTGCCAGTGAATCATCCCAGATTGGAAAATTGACCTTTCTTATCGGAATAGACGGCTGCAAAGACATTACCCGTATCAGTCGAGCCTACGACCTCAGCAATGGCTTGTCTCGTCGGTTTGCGATGAATGGAATTGCGAACATAAACTCTATTATGGGGTACAACGTGTTCGACCCGAAGGATTGGGTGTTTCGGGGGTTATGGAATAGCAAGCAATCCCGGTACGAGACATGTCTCTCACCCGTACGTGATATTGCGCTACAAATTGGACGACAGGCCATCCATTTGAAGAGCAGCGAGCTTGTGCGTCTGATCTACAGTCAGAAGTGGGATCGCGGAGACATGGAACGTATCTTGGAGGGCACAGGATTTGGGATTACAAAGTGCTGGAAGAACCCAGAGGGTGGCTACGGTACGTCTTTGAGTACAGCACAAGTTCTGCAACACACTCATATTCCTGGTTTAGTACTGTATCAACTTGAATAAATGGAGCCCCAACTTCCCGAACCAGAGACAACCACCACCAAACAAGGTCGAAGGGCATTATAAGTTTAGGTTGATATGTGGGAAGTGGGGTTTAAATCAGCAAAATATTTTAGAATCTGTCACTTTTTTCTTGACTGGAGGTTGAGTACTGCTAGCATTTTAGAAATCCTTTCAGTCGAGGTTGAAAAACTTTAAGTGCGTAGACTCAAGGGCCGCCGCTCAGATAGGTAGTAACTTATCAGCCTTTGTTATAGAAAACACCGCGTTGATACCCCATTAGTTGCCAGTAATCAAGATAGGACCGATGGACCTTTGAGATTCCAGGGAAGCACACGGTCCCTCGTCGATAGGGACTGCGGAGCCAAATAATTCTGGCACTCCACTTTTTCGATGCATCACCAGGGCCCACAGCACGCTCCAGCTGAAGAATGGCGAATTTAGCCAATAATGGACTGATCGTCGACCAATCGCCAACCCCAAACCAGCGGTGTGATCACAACAAAGTCTTACATCGGCCAAATAGCAAAATTGACTTTCAAGCACAATTAATAGCACGCCGATAATGTAGATTTAGATCAACGAACGATAACTAGAGATCCGCTATCTCCAACTAGCTCCGGTTAGAATGGCTATATAGGTCTCGCTGTCTTACCACTCGAAGAACAGCCTTACCGCTCCCAAACCACTCTCCAGCGCAGCAAAATGGATATCCTCGCGTTCACTTGTACCCTTTCGTTGCTGGTATTGTTTTTGATATTTTCAGACTACTATTTCAACTGGAAGAAGAAAAGAGCCCTTGGAGACATTCCTCTAATCCTCCCAAACAATCCGATTCATCTGTGGGTAGGAGGAAAATCTACCTCCAACTACGACGAAGAGATGACGCGCGCATATGAACAGGTAGGCTTCCCAAAGAGGCTTGTGAGCTCTCTAAGGACTTATACCTTCTATGCTACTGGCAGTATACGAAAAAGGGCAAACTTTTTGCTCATCCCAATATGAATGGTTCGGGCACGGTAGTGGTGTTCCCGCCACAGCTCAGCAAAGAGTGGTGCAATATACCGACGGATCACTTAAATTGGCCTATACGTATTACTGAGGTAGGGCAGTCGCCGTTCGGAGAGGCTATAAGCTCATCATCTAATCGCTGTTGTGGACTAGGAATACTTGTTGAAGGACATTGGATTAGATCTCAACTGGAAGATCACTTCGCGGACCGTTCTGATATGCAATCGCAGCGCTTGTATAAGTGAGTACTCCCATATATGCTTCAAGATCACTTGGATTGATAGAATTCTATTCCAGAGCAGATTCAGGGCCATGTTATTAGTGAAGTGGATGCTTTTCTTCTTGACAAGTTTGCTACCCCCCACAAAGGCAGTGAGTAATAGCAGGCCAAGATTAACTTGGTACAGCTTGCATACTAACGGAATCCAGCTGGGTCGAAGTTTTCTGTGGTAGATTCAATGATGCTGCTTTCTTCGGAGATCACCCTCCTGCTTGTATTCCATCCTGGATTCAGCAAAGGCACGGCACTCGCCCAACATCTCGTCTCGTATGCCATAGAGCTCGAGGAAAGAGTGTTCATACAGCGGAGCTATCCCATGTTTTTAAGGCCCCTTATACGCCGATGCTCATATAAAACCCATTCCCTCAAGTCCACCATCGCGGCAATGAAGCAGATAATTATCCCCGAGATTCGCCGCCGCATTGAGCAAAAGAAAATAAGCGAGAAGCAAGATCAGGACATCTTCTACCTGGATGTCATGATCGAGCTGGCTATGAAAGATGGGTATTTGAGTCGCGACAACCAAGACATCGACGAGCATTTCCTGGACAAGATCGCAAACCATCTGCTCTTTATTTGCCATGAAATGATTTCGCCATTCTGGATGGTCGCAAGCATGCTACTGTTCGAGCTCTGGTCGCGCCCAGAATACGCGACTCCCCTCAGGAAAGAGCTCGAATCCGCTCTGGAACTGACAGGGGGTCAATGGAGTTTTGACTTGTTCAAACAAACGCCCAAGTTCGAGAGCTTTACAAAAGAGACTCTGCGCCTCAATCCCCCTTCTGCCCGTCAGTTGATCCATTTCACACCCCCTTGTGTTTGATATATAAGTAGTGGTACTGACGATGAGTTGCCTAGTCACAAGTGGTCGGCAGCTCCTGAAACCTTTGACTCTTCAATCATTCGCCCACACATTTAACCCTGGGGCTAAGATAGGCTTTATGCCTGCGCGATGGGCCCAGCGAGATCCGGACAACTATCGAGACCCCAACACCTTTGATGGCTATCGCTTTGTGGATCCCGCGACGGGGACCTGCGATATAAGCGGAACGATCACACCCACCGAAAAGTGGCTGCCATTTGCCATCGGAGCCTCGACATGCCCCGGACGTCTCGCTGGAACAAGAATAACCCAGGTCATGTTCGCCAAGATCCTCTATGGCTACGATGCGAATTTGGACGGTATCGATGCAGCATTCTTTCTGCATTACGACGGGGTGACTTGGCCGAACCCGGAAATCACAGTGCTGGTCAGAACGCGCCAGGCCGATGAAAACGACGGGCCTTTATGTCCGTAAAGAGGCTGGTTGTGTATGTGTGGGGCTTCTAGGAGCTTGACTTGGGAAGCTACCGTGAGAGCTGAAACGAGCTATTGAAGCTCTACTGGCCACTGGTAACAGACTACCATACTTGTACTAGAACCAAGAAGCCTATCAGGGTTTGCTTCTAAGACTGAACTCTTCCTGAAGGATCGGACCACACAAACAATGATTACACATGATATATGGTCCAAGTTGATTGAAGATCTCTTTAATTCCTTTTATAAATTGGGGAGTGACCATCACAAGCTGTCGAGGGTAGCAACATCAGTTTCGGCCACCACCTACCACAAAAGCGAAGGCTCTACTTCTACCATATTTAGATTAGCGTGTTTCGCCAACCCTATCTAGTTAACCTGAACGCCCCCTCCAAACCCAACAGGGCGTCTTTTACCACCATTCTCGGGGACAATGGCCAAAACCTTATAGATCTGGCCCATGGAACCACCACCCTTCTCAACCAGCCGCTTCCACCCAGTCTCCAAGGTCTTCTTGCTCTCATCGTCCTTGGCGGCACGGATAAGTTGTTCCATGCGTTCAGTAATGCCCATTGCCGTGAGGAAATCACCTTGTTCAACAGGTCCATGAACCTCAACACCATCACTACCCTCAATGGCCGCTTCAGCCAGCGAGGTAAAGTCGACGTCTGCACTGACGTCAACCTGGCCAGGTGCCGAAAGCGCAGGCACGATCTTATGGTTTTGGATACCGCGCAGGGAGTTGATGGGGATGGTTGACATAGTCCCGTAGTCCATGATCAAGGCCGCGCCAGAAGGTGTCGTCTTGTTAGGTTTGGGGGGAGGGGTAGAAGGAGTTTTCTTTGAAGGCGTTGCAGAAGCGGAATCACCACCGATTCGGCGGGCAAAATCGGCGGCGTAGATCCGGCTCTCGGGGCTCACTTCGATGGTCGAGCCAGGCTGATTCTTCAATGCGCGGTAGCGCTGCGAGATCTCCGGGATCACGAGTGAGGAGGGGGTCGAGGCATTGGCCTTTGTAAGTTGAAATTCCGGCTCCCCTTCGATGTTCTCATCGATGGCCTTGGGATTCAAGGTGACGAGAAGCTCGCGCCATTGCGGAGTGTTGGCGGGCTTAAGCGGGACGTGCAGTTTTTGAGGTCCCGTAGGAGTCATGATCTCCTTCGGCTGGTCTGGCACTTCGTTCTCGGGTGAAGGAGGAACACATTCGAAGGCGTGAATTGGTAGTGCGTCGAAGAACTCATGTGCGAAGATAAATGGTGTCTTTCCTTCCTCTGTAGATCATGCTATTAACAGAGATTCCATGATATTACTCGGTTCTGGGCTATAACTTACCATGTGGCAGCAAACGAATATCCTCGACCCAAACGACTGGCACATCAAAATACTTGCATGTACTTCGGTGCCCAATATCAGTCTCCTCCAAAGCCGCCTCCTCCCCGCAAAGAAGACGCTTTTGCACCTCTCTTAGCGTAGCGCTAGCCTCAACGAGGTAAATTGCCTCAACACTTGAAGAAAACATTTTGAAGTTCCGGAATATCTGTTTCATCACGAGCCCGATTAGCCCGAGCGCTTGAACCGTTAAAACACGACTTACCCTCAGCATATCATCCATCAATGTTCCTTTACCCGGTCCAACCTCCATAAGCTGCACACCACTCCTCTTCCGGCCCTGGGACATCCACTCCGCAATAGTCCAGATGCCAACCAGCTCACCAAAGACCTGGGAGATTTCGGGCGAGGTCACAAAGTCACCGTGTTTGCCGAAGACGTTGGTTCGAGAGGTATAGTATCCGTCTTCCGGGGCAGTCAAGACTTGGCGCATGAAGGCGGCGATTGGCACGGGGCCTGTGACCTGGATATTCACAGGGACGTTAGTAGCTGACTCGATATGATGCTGATACATTGTGTACCTTCATCGCACTGGCCAATGTGCGGGCTAATGGTGTGGACCATTTCCTCTGGTCAAATGCGTCTGTCGATGACGAGTTCCATCGCCGAGAGTATGTGAAGAATATCGAGTTGCGAGACCTCCGGACGGTATGCGACGCCGCGCGCCGCGCCGCGTTCATCTTCGCGCGTGAGCTCTGGCTACCCGGAGCGTAGTATCTCTGGGGATCGGATTATTAAAGAGGCCGAAAAGTAGAATTTGGAGATTACACTTGATCTCCGAGACAAGACACGGTCGAGAGTTGTTCCTCCAAATCTGTGGACCTACGCAAAAGCTCCGCTACACGTGATCTTATCCTTATCAACAATTGAAGCGCTTCCAAGCTCGGATTACTCGATATTCGTACATGTCATGAGATTGGATACACTGGAAAGCAGCATAAAGTACATGGGTTCTGCCCCGTCGACATTTCACTTTTGGATATCATTCTTGGGCAATTTCCAGTTACCGCTGGCGTCTCCGTCCCTGCTGGTTCTTCTGTGCCGGAGCATCCACCACCATCTTGTCGCTATAGAACCCTGGACTCTGTGTGGTATTGCGAAGCACATCTCCCTGTTCATTGAATCCGTAGCTACCATCCTGCACGTTTGGCTCTGCATGGCGAGTTCGTCGTTGGCGATCTGCCCGCTCTCGGAGTTGGCTGTAGGAATTCGCTTGGGCTTTCCCATTGGTTCCAGCTCCAATAGGCTTGAGTGTCATGGAAAGAACCCTACCATCAGCCTGAAAACTGTGTTAGTGCGCTCATTTAGGTCATCGACTGGGTTGCAGTCTTACTCGCTGATTGTGGAAGTTTGCGACCACGTTCTCCGCTGTCCACTTGTCTTGGAAGGCAAACTCGGCGGTGACACTTGGACTGTGCCCAATGACCCGGCAACTGAGCATCGGTCCTGAAGTGGGTTCAAGGGCAGATTGGATGTCTGCGGCTGTCGTTCCTGGGGCAAAGTTGCTCCCCACCACCACAAACGGACCGGAGGCACCCTTAATGGAGAGGCCGCCGCTGGGCTCTCGAATAGTCGCCTGGGCATTTCCAGACTCTAGTGCACTCAGGAGGCGTTCAGCATTATGCTGCTTCTTATTTGCGGGTTTTGTTCGTGTGCGTGCTGATGGGGCTGTGGCGGGTGCCGGGATTGGCTTCGGCTTATTGGTCTGGTTCGGTCGGAAAGAGGCTGAGGCGGAGCGCTAAATGACAATGAAGAAGAAGACGTCGTCAGAGATGTTCCATGTGTTTGTAGAATGTAGAATATGAGGTGGTGGGCGTGATATACCTTGGGCACGCCGATCCTGCTGGCCAAGCTCCCGGGTTTCGCGGTCGGCGCCTTGCTCACTGATCCCGGCCCTGGTGCACTGGCGCGGCGGTCCTTCTTGTTCCTGTTCTTCCCAAGGAGCTGACTAGCAAGCTGCTCATGCTGCTTCTTCTGGCGATCTGAGGGCGCAAAAGGGTTAGATTCCGCATGGGGGACGGATTGGGGCGGCATTACCAGACTTGATGATGTCGTCGAACGAAATAGATGGTTTGGTCTTTGCCATTGTGCAAGGACAGGAAAGAAAGCAGTATCTAAAAGGAAAGTTGAGGTGAGATTGGATGGAAGTCAGGACTGAAGGGAGGCGGAGAAAAGAGCTCAGCCCAGCTCCAAGTGGAGCCGTGATCAGCGCGGCTGTCGCGCGCCACATGTTCTACACTTCAACAACTTAACGTCCCTTAGGTCTAGTCACTGTCATTGTATTTTACACGAATTTATTGGTCTACTAGTCCACTGATTTGCCTCGGCTTATGTCTGAATACATTAGAGCCCCATACTAAGTAGTTCGCATTCACTATGTAATGTATCCGTAGATGTTTGGAGACAAGGCGGCACTTGCCATCTTAGGACACAACATGTACTCTTCTGTTCTTTTCTGCTCTGCTTCCTTCTTGTCCTGTACCTTTTCGCTTCGGACTCTTGTATCCGTATCCTGCATCTCCTTCCATACTACGAAGTGCATTCTTTTTCGCCTATTGATTCCATCTACATCAACTTCTGCACGGTAGTAAATTGCAGATCAAATGGATCCAGACAAGGCCCATCAAGAGACATTACTGTCCAGTGGCAAATCTGTACAAGACTCTGCACGACGCAGGTCAAACTTTTCTCTGTCTTTTGCCCTTCGTTCACCCAGAAACAGAGCCAGGTAAGTGAACAATGGTATATCACAGGCATTTGCTAACAGGTAAACACAGTGTACTCAACATTGATACACCAGAGCCACAATGCCAGGAGAGACTTCACTATCCCATCTACAACCCACAAGATCCTCGCCACAATCCTTCAAGTGGACACCGTCATGATTCCCAAAATTCTTCGTCAGACTCCCAAAAACAAGCACGTTGGGTTCATGGCCTCCAAAAACGTTCCATTCACAAGGTGCGATCGGGAATTGTTGCTTTGAGAGAAGGGTTCCTGCGCCTGTCGAGCTGGAACAATGACGACATTGACGATACTGATACTGGCTCTGTGCTCGAGGGTCCCCGAAACAAAAAGAGCGAAAATAAGAAACGAGATCATGGCTTCTCAGGTATCTCTGATACCAGCACTCAGGAGGATATGAACTTTGGTGTTGGGATATATCGCACGAATTCGCCATGGCCCTCGGCCTCCCGCGAGCCAAGTTCGACTCGCCTCGCCTCTTCTCTCGTATTAACAGATGTGTCGGTGCCAGAAGTGCAGGCACGCGGCGAAAATTTGCACCATCCAGAGCCTGGATTATTCCACCACGCGAATTTTTTGACTGACGAGCTACCTCCGTACACTGAGAGCTACGACAAACCCTTCATCGATTACCTCGTAAACACGGATGCAAATGAGGAGAACCCGGTCTTTGACACAGAAAGGAGCATTGACGAACATGTCACTGAGCATTTAGATCAGTCTGATGCATCTGATTGGGAGACGATTGCATCTGGGAAGGAGAGTGCTAGTTCTGTGAATGGAGATGTCTCCAAGGCTCGTGGACCGTGTGACACCGACAACACTCCTGCAGAACAGCGACAACCAGCCCAGGGAGCCTTTTCGGATATTCCAACAGCTACAAAACGGTCCAAAACTCCAGGCCTGCGTCGCAAGGGGACAAGAAAAGCCGACTGCCCGATGTATGAACAAGAGACAACGAATAGATCCACGGATTCGTTCAAGCTGTCAGATCCCGATGCGCCAAGTAATTACGATTCAAGCAAGCAAGTTCACCCAATTGCTACAATAAGAGATTCGGAAGCCCTGGTGACACAGGAGCCCCTGCGGATTCATCGTGAAATGAAAAGTGCGGAGGCCGCTATGTCTTCCATTTCCATGTCGAGCAAGTGTCCGGCTAACGTCAAGATTGCCTTTCCTGGCCTTTACCACGCTTTGGTCGAGCAGTGGGAGAGTCACAACAACCTCATCGTGGACAGCGCTGGGTTTGAAAATAATTCACCTCCTTCTCAGGTCTCGTCCGACGCTGTTGTGTCAGGGCAGCCTCAACCGCAACATCTCATCTATCATGAGTTGCCTTGGAGCTGTGAAAATCGCACTCACGGACTAGCAACCAACACATCTGGCGGCCACAAAACTGTGGGCTCATCTCAGGTGCTTTCATCTGGCGAACACAGCTTGATAAGTAACGACGATATTTGGGCCCAAGCCGGCCGCTCTTCACGCTTCAGAACTACCAACTCAACACGCAGCTCGTCAACGGCGCACTCTCATCCCCCAGCAGAGATGTCGGCTTCCGAGGGACGCCACTCTTTTGGCCTTCACATCGCCCAGAGAATTGTGGGTGCTCCCAAGCTATCCCCAGATATGAAACGTGACTGACAGCTCTCAGGAATCTGGCTTGGAGACCACGTCAAATGAGTCAAGCCAGCAAGCCATTCCAGAACATTTCTTCAACCAACAGACATTTGCAGGTAACCAATATGCTTCTCTCTCTGCCCTCGCCACAGGCGGCCCTTTGGGATCACCTTTCGACCTATCGGACTGTTCATCGAACTGGACCAATGCCAGCTCCATTTCCCCGGGTGCCACATCCAGAACACCCATGTCAAACATCCCATGGTCTCCAATCGACTCTCCTGTCGACGAGGAAGTTCTGTTTTCCAATAAAATTTGGCGAAATGAGTATTACATGGCCGATGGCAAGACAAACAGTTTCTACCCTGATCGAGGAGATCAGCCGGTTAAAAGAATATGGAGGCAGCGTATCGATGATGACGGCAGCATCCACAGTGGGCCTGGTCTGGACCGGACTCCTTCCAGCAGACTCCATGTATCCGAGCTGATGGCTCCAATGACTCTGCCACGTTCAACCCTCCCACATTTATCACAGTCGAACAGACCACGTCTGGAAAGGGAGGGCTTTCAACCACCAGAGGATTATACCCCCGGGCAGCCCACACCTGCAAGACGCCTCGGATGAGGATTTGCAGCTGCATGCACTCTAATCCCACTCTTTTGAAAATCCCCACGGCTGGGGAATGGTGATAATCAATGGAAAAAAAGTTCGGTCTTTCGCTATCGATGCACTATTTCATTGCTAGCTGTGTATCTTTTAGGAACTGCGGAGATGTTCCAATATCTCCGCGTCAGCCATTCATTTGTTCTTCTGAATCAAACTCCCGCTAAAACGTGATGGTATATGTTGTCTCGTTCATTTTCAAAGGCTTCATCTGTCAACCTATCCCAGACGTAGTGCGAAGCCAGCGCCTGTCTCGCCCGTGTCTCCCACCGTGGCACCTCCAAACACACTCGCAAAGTCCAGCTCGGGTGCTTCCTGTCCCCGCTTCGGAGCTTCGGGGGTGTGGTGGCGTCTTCTCTTCTCCATCCCAGCCTTGGAAGGGTAGGTTGGGAACATCTCCTTTGGCTTGGGGCGTGGATCTTCTTTGAAATAGGCGTGTGAGAGACATTGCTGTGCAGTTGGGCGCACGGCCGGGTTCAGCGCCAGTAAACTAGACAACAGGCTCAAGCCTGCATTTGTCAAGTAAGGGAATCGTGTGCGAGGCAAGAGAGGAGGATTCCCGGCCGATGAAGCAGATGTCGGTGGTATCTTCAAGGATTTGGCATTTGGCAGAGAGCGGAAGCCCGGCCAGATCTGCTGATTAGGAGGTCCTGTCAAGGCAAAGATCTTGGAGACCTGATCGACCTCATTCTTGCCCTGCAGTAGAGGCTCCTTGGTGAGAAGTTCACCAAAGATACACCCAATACTCCACATGTCAATCTCTGGTCCGTACTTGTCGGCGCCCAGCAATAACTCCGGTGACCGGTACCATAGAGTCACCACGAGCTGGGTCAGCTTGGGAGGAGGGTCACCGTAGTACCGTGCCATGCCGAAATCAGCGAGCTTGATCTCGCCGCGGTTGTTCATGAGGAGGTTGGAGGTTTTGAGGTCGCGATGCATGATCCATTGCGAATGGAGGAATTCGAGCCCTCCTACGACTTGGAGGAGCAGGGTCTTGATCTCTGAAGGGAGGAAGGGCTCGCGCATCTCGTCGAGGAGAGTTTTGAGGTCGTGTTCGAGGAAATCCATTACTAGGTATACACTGCCGAATGGGTTAGTTAGCTGTCTGCTTCATCCAATGCGTCCATCGAAAAAACTCACTCATCCATCTTGTTACCCATGACCACTTCTCGTAGATGAACAACATTCGGATGCCGGGCCTCCAGGAGCGTTTGAATCTCCCGCAGTCCGGTAACCGGGAACCCGTCCGGCGTGTTCTCGATCTTCAATTTCTTCAGCGCGACCACCTCGCCCGTTGTGATATCCTTGGCCCGGGATACCCATCCATATGAGCCCTCCTCAATGTGATTCAATCGCTCGAAGTTGTCCACGTGCCTGCAAGTCCCCCATTCGCGCACAGGGAACCGCAGCAAGCTCGAACGCTTCTTCTGCCCCTGCTGTCCATCGTTCTGCGGGACCCTTGCGGTAGAATCGGATGCATCGAGGTCATTGGAAAGTCTGCGGCGCTTTTTCGGAGGTTCTGATTCCCCATTGGGTCCCTGGGCACCGTCGGCAGACTGTGCTGGAGGTTGAGCTTTGCTGGCCTCGAGCTGGCGCTGCTTCTCAAGCTTGGCGCGTTTTTTCTCCTCCTTTTCGCGCTTGCGTTGCGCGATAATGGCCTCTGTTTCTGGGTCGTCGTCTGCCCAGCGCGACTTTGCGGCAGACATCGTGGCTCGCGGAGTGGCGGATAAAGGGTGAAGTGCCGAATGACGTTTGGCTTCGGGGTTTGGGGAACGAGCGGGCGGAAAGTGCAGCTCCGATTTGAAATCCAACTGGGCCCCGCCGGTTCCTGGACCATGCAACTCGTGGAATGATCTTATAACATAGCGCCAGGTTTTCCCTCTGGCTCTCGTCTTTTGCATCTTTTATCATTCTTCCCGCCTGATACGTTGATACCTGCGTCTCCTGCCGGCATCGATCTACCCCCGCCATGATTGAACCATTCCAGGTCGGTTGCTCGGGCTCAGCTCTGTCTTCTGAGTAATGCCTACTGACATTCTATGGGTCTTTAGACTACTTTCGCGGTCCCGATGACCTGCGAAGGATGCGTCAAAGACATTTCCAGCTCCCTATACAAGCTTGACGGTACCGCCATCCTCTCGGATGCGATCGCGTCGCATCTGGCTACAACAACGTTCTGACAGCGCATCATCTCGATATAGGTATTAAGAAGGTGGACGCCAATCTCAAGGACCAACTCCTCTTCATCGAAGGCACTGCGCCACCGAGCTCCATCGTGTCCGCCATCCAGGACACCGGCCGAGACGCGATTCTGCGCGGAAGTGGCACTACGAACAGTCCGTCTTGTCTTCCATACTACTGCCCACTCTGCCCACAGCATTCATTCTAACTGATTTCATTTTCAGGCTCTGCCGTCTGCATTCTCGAAACCCACTGCTCCACCGTCTCCAACAAGATTCGCGGTCTTGCCCGCATGGTCCAGGTCTCCCCGAACATGACCCTAGTCGACCTGACCGTCAATGGTATGGCCCCAGGGAAGTACTGGGCCACCGTCCGTGAAGCGGGCGATATCTCACAGGGTGCTGCTTCGGCAGGCGGCATCTGGGAGTCGTTGAAGAACAAGGTCCTGGGCTCGGATGGCGCCCCGCCGGCAGAGAAGGAGCCGCGGGGCATCTTTGGATCGGTGGATGTGGATGAGAAGGGCCGAGGCAATGTGTTCTTGGACCGACCCGTTGCTATTTGGGAGTTGATCGGGCGGAGTATGGTGCTCTCGAAGACGAAGGAGGGACCTTTCAAGCGCGACGATGAACATACCCTTGTTGGTGTTATTGCGCGCAGTGCGGGCGTGTGGGATAATGATAAGATGGTTTGCTCGTGCTCCGGTAAGAACGTGTGGCAGGAGCGACAGGAGCAGGTGAGTCAGGGTATGGCTTGAACGATACCCTCCATGAACTATGTGACGGGTGGTGTTTGGGGGTGAGATTGTTGCGTGCTTTAAATACCCATCATCATGCAGTGTATGAACAACTGGCAGGAAAGTCCGAGTGGCAGAGTATAAGAATGGCTTTTGGAGACCAACAGATATCTTTGGCTTGGATTTCGAAACTTGAGCATTGCTGCCCGTCTGAAGCACAAAAGCTACTTTATTTTGTCTGAACATTGGACCGCCTTCAAGACTATAGGATAAGCCAAGGTCTGTTTCATTAAAGTATATCAAAGTGACGGTGACGGGTACTTTGAGGAACACCTTAATCAGATCAACGGTAGAAACAACGGCTCCCTTCTACCGAGGGGAACACCGCATGATGCAGTGCTAGGTGATCGGCACAGGGAGCAGCGGGCGAATGAACCTGAGGCTGTGGGGCTCGATCTGCCGACATGTTCAACTCGCCCATTCGTGGGTCTTTTGTCTCTGCCCGGTATTAAAATCGTGCTTCTGTCGGACATTTTGCGTTTGGGCCGTCACTCTATGACGAGATGAAATGGGAGTATACGAGAATTTCACTTTCATAGTTGCATATTCTCTCTGAAGATCCGGTCTAGATCAGTGACTAAGAGGATCACGTGGGTGCGCCTGAAAGCATTTCATTTCCCCGCGACTTCCATAACTTCCAACTATCGTTGGACTTGGGTCCTTGACGATACTAACTACAATGCTAGCCCCGAATCTCCAACTGAACCCTCCATTGCCGCCGAACCCACCCGTAGAGAAGACAACCACATATCGCGCGGAAGAAGCCCCCTCCTGCGGAGGTCATGGGACCTTTGAGATTCTCGAGGTAACTCGCTTCCTGGAACATCATGGGATCGAGTGCTGCCTCGTCGGTGTTTCCGCGTTGATCTTCTATGGTGCCGGACGTGTCCGCAATGTAAGATATCCTTCAATCATGAATCTGGCCGGATTGCAAAGCTGACGGGCTGCAGGATTGGGAACTTTGTATCCCCACCGAAAAAGTCAGCGAGGCTGTCTCATTACTCAAATCCGGCTCTCTGGCCGACAAAATACATCCTATGGCTCCTCATCCGATCCCTCAGCCTTCATCATTACACCACACATACCATCGATTCAAAGGGAGGGGCATTCACTTCTACTTCCTTATTGTTCCTTCTCATGATGCCCACATCCCTTGCGCTCCATTTCGCATCCGACGAAGCTTAAATGGACTTCCTTATCCGACATTACCGGTCTTGCTGCAGAGTTTCCTGGACATGAACAACGACGTGGCGCTATGCGACTGTATCGACGGGTCAAACGTTTCAGAGCGGTGGGGCTTCGAGAATCTAGATCTTGACGGGTCCAACGATCTAGAGTGGACGAAGAGGATGAACGACAAAGCTGCACAAGCTGCTAGGGGGAAAGGGTGGCTATTCATCCAATACTTTCCGACACAGACCATCAGCCGACGGGAGAAGTGGCAAAACAGAGTCCGGAGCAAGAAAGGACGACTTGGATGGACCACGCCAGAAGATCTTTTCGAAACTCGCTTCCGTTTGAAAGGCTCCCCGGATCCGTGGACTCAAAAACTCATATCATGTTAAGTCATGGCTCATGCATGTTCAATATTTACATTCCATTCACGATTAGATGTTTTATGAATATACGTCAAACACCAAGCAGTGTCTTCATATTTTCCACCTGCTCTGGGAAGGCCATGTATGTCGTGGCATAATGTCTCCAAAAGTACCTCCGCTGCTCCAAATCGTAATAGTCTCGTAGACTGGGTATCTGTGTCGCATATGTCGAGAATAAGAATTCCAGGTCTAGGAAGTCGTTGCTGCCTTCTCCGCCACGTTTGGAGAATGCGTCGAGCTTCGCGTAGATCTGGAAGAAGAGTCCAAGCACCAAGACAGGCGAGCCCTGAGGCGTGGGCCAAACAGGCCTGATGGATTCACGCGAGGATCCGAGATCAACAGGCGTTCCCAGGTTCCCTTGTTCTAGGTAATTAGCATTTATCGCCGCCCTTGCAGCTACACAAAACTCACCACTAATCACCACGTCCATACTAACCGCCAGGTCGGGAATATGGGGGAAGTCCGTGTCAAAGCTATGCCCGACATCAATGAATATCTGGACTGAGGTTCGGCCGTGTACCGCCGGGAAATGTATTCTGATGCACGTTAAAAACTGCCCGTTTCTTTTCCTACCTAGGGTAGGCGAATGGCGGATTCGAGTGAGAAAAAAAAAACAAGTACCGGGGTTGTGCCATTAGGATCTCCCTCAGATGGTCCATGGTGGTCGTTACGGAGATATCGATATCGCGAGTCGTACGGCTTCCGCCCCTTAAGTAGACAGCCCACCCTCCAATGAATGCATACGTGATCTGGCGCTCTTCAAAAAGAGTCGCTATGAATCTACCAGCGAGACCGAGCTGCATGATTTCGGCCATGTTGGACGGGTAATAGAGCTCCGCGAAGCGGTCAGTATTATAGATTTCGGCCATCGTGGGCGATCAAATGGAGGGGAAACCATTTGCGATTGCCGAATGGAAGATTCCGTTGATGCCAGCAGGTTGGTGAAGATGGTGAAGATAGGGAGGGGGTTGTCGTGCTCGGACGTCAAGGAGGGGGAAGCGACTACATAATCCCGGCCTTGCTTTCGTGCTTGGCGACATCCCTGTCGCTCAGACCGACTGTCTATATCGCTGTGATTGAATTTTTAACCCGCACGCAATGATGTCAATAGATTCCTCAATGGCATATTCTGCATTTGAGGGTTGGCTTGCGCTCCTTTTGACGACAATAATATATCTACCAACCTGATTTGCTCTTCAGTTGAGGATTCCATTCAACGCTCAGCCATCACACGACTGTCATTCACGGATTACAAAAAAAAAAAAAAAAGAGGATCAGCCATCATCGACCTTCCCTTGGCACAGGAAGATATATCAATATCAAATGCGACCGCTGTAAGAGAGTGTTCTAGAAGTGTAGGTATATCTCAATTTGAATTCCCGTAAATCTCGTATGTCGGTGCCAACAGTAATTCGGAGGGTGAACCTTGTGAAGTCTGCCATTGATGGCTCAAAACCCCTGGTAACCCACGAGGACCATTTCTATGTATGTTTCTACCACTTTTCCTCACTTGTTGCCCCGATGGGGAAAGCTAGCCCCGAGAAAGATCAATGCGAGAGCGCCAACCCCAATGCCAATCCTACTCTCAGCTTTTGCTTTATTAGACAAGCCTCCTTCGCCCGAACTTGTCTTGTCTGTAGCGCTTTGCGTGGCCGTGGACGAATTTTGGGAGGAGACGGCTGTGGCTATAGATGTGGATGTGGATGTGGATCCAACAATCCCATATATGACCATAGTGAAACACAATCCAGCCTTTCATCCAGCCCCATATGTTTTCAAGGATTAAGGCCGGGCGAGTAGGGTGGCCGTCGCATGTAGGAAACATCACAGTTGCTTGGTATAACCGCGTTTCGCCACAGACAGGAAGATCGAGATCGTGTACGATCTCGTCGTGGCTTTTGGCCCGAACATTAGAATCAGAGCCGATATAATCGATAGCATCCGACACTTGCTGGTCTGATAACTTTGGCTTTCGACCTGATTTATGCTTCGGTGTAGCCTGCTGGCTAACTGCGCAGGTATGGTGAGCCTGGCTCCATGATATCCCTAAACGGCGCGAGATAGCACTATAGGACCAGCCATCCTCTCGGTATTTCAGCACAATCAAGCGCTGGTCCCGGCTAAGATAGGGCCTGTGTTTGGTAGGGGTGCGCGGCTGCGATGCAGGAATTAGAGGGAATCCCTGGTTGGTAGTGGTAGGCATAATTGGTAGATTTTGGTAGATAGATTTTCAAGGGTTAGAAGAGCAGGACTACTTTGGCAGGATGTACATGTTGAGCTGTGTCTACAGCTATGACGAATGTTTTGATGACGCTATAGGTGCCCGTCTAGGTAAGTAGGCGGTCAGATAGGTGGCAGGAGGTTGGTCGTGGTGGGCCTCTATCATTTCCTTGGTCCGGTTGTAGTTCATCGGGTGGATCTGCGACGAACGTGTCTTCAACGGGGTCAGAGCAGGTGCGCTCTCTCTTCCATTTCGTCCCGCAGCATGTCCATGTGACGTTGACATATACGATGTCTGGATATATTTCGTTCCCTGGTTCCTAAGGTCAGTAGGGGCTTGGCTGAGTTTGAAGATGCTGAACAGCTGCAGGGTAATTTTTGAGATCACGATATACTCACCCAGAGGATTCCCGCAACTAACATCGGAAGTATTCGTGGTACCCCAAGGTAAGGCAGATACATCAACTCGTCCACAATGTACAAGTTCACATCTCACATCCAGTGCTGGTCTCCATCACACCATGCGTCGCACCCCAACATCAATACGCCGAGGTCCCCGGAAGTATCACATCAAGATTCTCGTTGACGGGATTTCATGTCCAATCGCATGACCTGCGGTACACACGCACGGACAATGCCTCATTTAAGAAACTCTTGTCTGTCTGTAAGGCCCACGGGATAAAATGTCGATCTCCGTGATTGGCGCTGTTCACGCCGATTAAGGAAATGATGGTCATCATGAGAATAGACAATATGCTCATTTGGGAGAATCCGTGTAAATACACACAATTGCTACTTAGTATATCCCCGCATATCGTGAACTCTCTCACGGAGATCCTTGTGGCAGCCCGTCCAGGGATATACATTCACCCCGCTCTGTGTCGCTATCGATCATCAAAGCTCATGCCCATCCGTGTACCCGTTCGAGCCGTATAACCAACGACGCCAGTGGTGAACTAAATAAAGCACTGCAGGCGCCGTGGCAGGAGGAACAGCCAATTGCAAGCGCCAGATGGACAGGGCCGATTGAGGACCCCAAGCACAGTTCTTTTTTCTCCGACTCCACGTGCCTTGGCCTGCACCCAAGGTGGACATTAAGGTCGACTTCCCCCGCACGGCATCCCATGTTGGTCGGTACCATGGATCCTCCCCGCGGCCCGTTCGTCGAACCAACCAGCAACCATGTCGATAACGTCCGTTCCCTTGTAACGGGTCTGACGGTGCCCTCCCCTCGGAGAATGACATGTATGCAGGGATGAACGGCCTGCCAATCTGCTGCCCGCCCAAGTCTTGACGTTCGAGCGCCGTGACGGGGGAACTCCGATTTGGAGAAGAGAGGTTGAAGAGCGTTCAGGAGTATGAGCACGGCATTGATCAGTCATGGCTGACACTCGCGAGAAAAGCGCCCACTCACAGGCGCGGCCGAGCGAAATCGGTGATGCGGCGTTCTGATTGATCGCATCGTGCATAAATGCTGCAGGTGCAACGCAAGTTATTTTTGGCCCGTCACCCCCTCGGCGCTTCCCAGTGGGCTGTTGTATTTTCCAGTTGACTCGGGCACCCCCTGCCCCTCCGGGCTCCTCTGCAGCCTCCGAATCTTGGCCTGCACTTCATTCCTCCTCCCCTTTTTCTTTCCCTGCAAACTGTCTGGGCTCGACCAGGATCGCATCCTAGTCTCGGCGTTTGCACCTTGAGCCCTCGAGCCGTGATCGGAGATTGGGCCACTCTCTCGATGGGCGGACCTCGTTCCTTAGATTCCGTCAGCCACCGGTTTTTAAAGAGCTGATATCGCATGATTCTATAAATACATTTCGAACCGATCGATTACCCCCTCAGGCGGCACGGGCTTGATCGATTGTATCTTTTCATCCATTCCCGTCACTTCACTCTAGTATTTTCGTATCGCGAAGTCAGGCCCCGCCACCAACACGCCCCCGCCTTGAACTCAGTTCCTCCCTTGGCAGAGCCCGGTTCGGGACTACCCACCGCATGGAATCCTGTGCAATTGCTGCCGACGCCTATAATACCGTCGACATTCCCGAATAAGATCGCCGCGTGACTTTCCGACTTTCCCCACGGTTGGCAGCCTGGAATCATCCTTGTGCCCTTTGGGTGAGCTGAGTGGAAGGTGTCTTGAATAACTTCTTTTCGGTTAGCCCACTAGGCAAAGGGGATACCATCAAAGTGATTGCATGGGGTGCGATGTCGCTCAAGCAAGTAAGATATAACGGGCAGGCTTCAGAATCTCACGCTGATTCCTTATAGGAAATCGAAACATGGGTTCAGGCCCTAATGGCTTATGACAACCAGGAGTTTGAGGAGGCGCTACGGAATTTCGACCAGATCGCCGATACGTCGAAGATTCTATTCAATTGCGGCGTGATATACGCAACACTCGGCCAGCACGATAAAGCAGTAAGTCAGCTACTAAGACCTAATTAGCGGATCATCTCAAGTTACTAACGTCGATTCAGGTGGAATGCTATCAACGAGCCGTCGGCTTGGATCGGTACCTCGCCATTGCATATTTCCAGCAGGGCGTTTCCAACTTCCTGTTGGGTGACTTTGAAGAAGCATTGGCCAATTTCAACGATACTTTGTTGTATCTGCGAGGAAATACATCGATTGACTATGAGCAGCTCGGACTTAAGTTTCGTCTGTATTCGTGCGAGGTGTTGTTTAATCGTGGCCTCTGCTATGTCTACCTCCGACAGATGGGTCCTGGAATGCAAGACCTGGAGTACGCGGGAAAGGAGAAGGTCACTACAGACCACGATGTGATCGATGATGCGATACGTGAGAATGCAGAGGTATATCTTGGAATCTACTGTTTGACAATCCCTTGCTAATCAGAAACAGGGGTACACCGTGTTCTCCATTCCCGTGGGTGTTTTGTATCGCCCCAATGCCGCCAAAGTCAAGAACCTCAAAACCAAGGATTATCTGGGCAAGTCTCGACTTGTTGCAGCATCCGATCGAAACCAAGGATCAGACCATCAATGGAAACCCATGGTAATAGACAAAACGGCCCTCGAAGAGCGCGAGGGTGTGTCTTTTGCTGCTACCAACTTGGTCCATAAGAACTTGAGCAGTCGCACTCGTCAGCAATCAGAACCACCATTGAACCGCAATGTATTTCCACCAACACCGCCGCCGGATGACCGATCAACCAACGGATCCACGGGAGGATCTACACATCACCGATCATCGTCTCTTCGAGCAGCCCGACCGCCCCGACTAGACCTGGCAGCGACAGGAGCGGGCTTGGATCGTCGGCCAGGAGCACAAGCAATCGGACCCCAGGTTCCAGAGAAACCGCGAATCGGTACGACACGCACTGCCTCAGAGCCCCGTGGACCGACATCACGGCAGCAAAATATGCGAGGCTTCGTCCAAGACTCCAGTCGAGGAGCCTGGCCCCGCGACCCGGGAGGGCACCGACGAAACCTCAGCGACACCAGCTTCCCGACAGACCCAAATTACACACAGATAGATCAATACAGCACGTACTCAAGTCCCCAAAACCTATCCAGTGCAGGCTGGGGCCGCGGAAGCCGACACCAGCCACCGCAATTCATCAACGAGGAGGACGAGTACGGCAGCGACGAATGTGACGGCGAACCCTTAAACGATGGAGGCTTCGAGATAGTAGGAACTGCCCCCAGCGGGTCCGGAGCATCTCCTCTACAGCAACGGCGGACGAGATCACCAGCACGGTTCTCGCGACGCGCAAACTCACGAAGACCGGAGGTTCGACGGTTCCGCACGAAGGTGCATGCTCCAGACGATATTCGGTATATCATGATCGGGCCCACAGTTGAGTTTGCCGAATTTGAGAGTCGAATTCGAGAGAAATTCGGCTTTCAGTGTCCGTTGAAGATGAGGGTGCAGGATGATGGCGATATGATTACCATGGTGGACCAGGAGGATCTGGATTTGCTGCTCAGCTCGGCCCGGGAGGTTGCCCGTCGGGAGGGTAGTGAGATGGGCAAAATGGAGGTGAGTTTGATCTGCTCTCTGTTTGAACATGTGTACTAATTGGCTGTAGGTCTGGGTGGAAGAGCGGTCCATGATCTAGTTGGTCTTCAGGGTATTGAGTTTGGCTTGGGCATTGTGGATAGCGTTTTTGGATTTGTCTATACCCTTTGGATTAGCGTGGAATTACGCAGTGAATATAATCTATAGACCGGAAGCAAGTACATTCATGGATATAGTATATAGTTCAGGGTGCAGCGGTGGAAACCAACCAATGGAGCGCGGTGACGTTTACTGTTGACGGCTCCACTTCAACTCCAACTCCGCTTGTACACCTTACCACCTTCCCACCTTCACACCTTTCATCCCCCTCCATGACGCCCTCACAATGACCGACCTCACTCCCACCCTCAATCAACTCCTCTCCGCCAAAAATGGCCCCTCTATACCCAACAAATCCCGCCCGTCGCCAGAGACAGCCGACGAGTTCTTAAAGGAGGCATATCGAATCGTCAGTCCGCCCGCACCACCAAAGCAAGACTCAGACTAACACACGAAAAGAACTCACACATCCACTCCCTCCTAAAATACCTGCAAACGATCCGCCATGCCTACCTCTCAACAACAGCCCCCCAACGCCGCAACCCCAACACGAGCACGCGCAAAGACTCCAACCCAACACCGCCCTCCAAAACCCAATCCCACCTAACCGACCCAGAACGCGACGCCGTTGACTCCTCAACAGCCCTCCTCCTCCGCGACCTCGCCGCCTCAATCTCAAACCTCGCCTCCGCCGAAACCCTCCGCCAAGAAACAGAGTCCAGCATCCTGCGCAAGAAATACGGCCACAGCGCAGCAGGCCAATTACTCTGGCGCTGGGCCGGAGGCGCAGGCATCGGCGAAGAAGACGAGGGTAAATCGGAGGAACAAGTTCGCGCAGAGGAGAGCGCGAAGACGACTCGCACTGTGCGCGAGGGTGTGCTCTGGTTTCTGAGGACGGGCCTCGAGGGCGCGGCGAGCGTGCAGCGGGAAATGGTCGAGAAGCGCATCGAGCGCGTGCGCGAGAAGGAGAAGAGTGTCTTGTATAAGAATGCCGTGCCTGGCGCGAAGGTGCCCCCGGCTGCGTCGGAGTACGGTGCTGGGTCCAAGTCTGCGCCACCTGTGCCGACGCCTGATGCCGTGGTGTTGAGTGAGGCGGACTCGGCGCGGATCGAGGCGCAGCTTTCACCGGAGCAGTTGCAGCTTTTTGCAGAGGAGAATGATTCTATGCTTAGGCATTATGAGGATACGCTTGGGAAAGTACAGTATGTTTTGTCCTTTTTCTCTCTCTCTCTTTTTGTTTGGCCTTCCGATCTGGAGATGAGTTTACTTATGTGTCACTACAGGAACGCTGAGAAATCGCTCATCGAAATCTCCTCTCTCCAAGAAACCCTTGTCACCCATCTCTCTACGCAAGAAGAGTACATCTCACAGCTCGTCAGCGACGTCGACACGACTCAGACGAACGTCGGACGAGGTAACCGCGAGCTCAAGCGCGCGACCGAGCGCCGGAGTACGGCACAGGCAGTATTCTGGGGGACGATCGGGTTATGTACGTGGCTCGTGGTGTGGGATTTGGTCTTTTGATCCGCATTCAAAGCGCATGCATTATAGGTTAATAGGTGTTGACTTGAGCATTGGCCGTGGTGTATATCAAAGCATACCCATTTTCACCCTTACTTTTCCCTTTTACGTGTGCCCTCAAGACGAGGCAGTCTTGGCTACACCGGGTAATGTTAAGAATCAAAACCGAAAAAATAGTTTTTACCAATTGAAATCCCTAAATATTCAATCTGGTATTCCAAGCCCATAGATCTACATGATGCATAACCTCGGACCCACCGAGGGAAAGATAGTCGAACAGGGAGAGAATGGGTCAATCCAAGCCGAGTGAAAATGTTAAAATAAAGATAGAGATAAGGAAACGCCGGCCCGGAGTTGTTTGTATGATGACACATTAGCCTTCGCGGACGACGCTGTCGACTGCCTCGGCGAAGTAGTCGATGTTATTTGTGTTCAAACCGGCCATGGAGATACGGCCGTTCTTGGTCTGTATTTGTGTTAGCAATCGTCCTCTTATTCTGTATAGTGTCGAATAATGGAACTCACCATGTAAACGTGCCACTTCTCCCGTAGCGTCATTACCTGCGCCTCGGACAGGCCAGTAAAGCTGAACATGCCAATCTGGCTGGTAATATGATCCCAGTTACCGGGGGTACCCTTGGCAACCAGACGCTCACGCAGACCACGGCGCATCTCCTGGATACGACCGCTCATAGTGCGGAGATCCTCCTCCCACTGCGCAAAGAGAGCAGGGTCATTGAGGACCTTGCTAGCAATGCGGGCGCCATAGGCAGGCGGGTTCGAGATCTCAGAGCGCTGCAGGATCGCCAGCTGGCTAGCGATGTTGGAGTTGGCAGTGGAGGCATCGGCGCCGGGTGCGGAGACGAAGTGGAAAGCACCAGTACGCTCACCGTAGAGACCGAAGTTCTTGGCGAAGGACTGGGCAACGCACAGCTCGAAGCCTTGCTCGACGAAGTAGCGGATGGCCCATGCGTCACGGGTCAGGTCGCCGGACGCGAAGCCCTGGTACGCGGTGTCGAAGAAGGGGAAGTGGCTGCGCTCGCGCATGACGGAGGCGATCTGCTTCCACTGGTCCTGGGTTGGGTCGACACCGGTGGGGTTATGGGCACAGGCGTGCAGCAGGATGATGGAGCCTGCCGGCGCCGCCCGCAGCGCCTGCAGCATGCCGTCGAAGTCAAGGCCCTTGGTCGTCGGCGAGAAGTAGGGATAGTTGGCGAGCTTCAGGCCGACGTTGGTGAAGATCTGGTTGTGATTGGCCCATGTCGGGTTGGAGAGGTAAATGGAGGGCTTCTGGGGGTGGAACTTGGAGAGGAAGAGACCACCCAGATGGACAGCGCCGGTTCCCGAAATGGTTTGCAGGGAACAGATCTGAGAGCGGGTGAGATGTTAGTATTTGGGGCGCCTTTATCCTATTTGGGAAGGGCCGAAGGTCTCGGGTCGACATACCCGTTTCTCGCGAATCGCGGGGCTATCGCCGCCGACGACGAGCTTCTGTGCTGCTAGGGTGAACCCTGGCAAACCGCCGATGGAGAGGTACTCGTGGTTGAGGGCAGGGTCGTTGTGAATGGCGTCATCAGCCTGGAACTATTAGCGGGCGCTATTGATGGGGTGATGAGAAAGTAAGTACCTTCTTGACGACGGGCAGGATCCAGGGCTTCGCATTGTTGTCGCGATAGGCACCGATGCCCAGGTCGACCTTCTTATCGGAAGGGTCTTCGCGGTAGGCTTTCATTAAACCGAAGAGAGGATCTTCGGGAGCGGCAGCCACGGTGGCCGCGGTGAAAACAGAGGGATTGGAAGCGCCCATGATGTGATGATTGAGGGAGGAAAGACGGTCGCGCGCAGAGGAGGGGGAAAGGGAGTTTTGAGGTTGACGGGTCATGTTGTCCACGGGCAGTTTTCTGACACACGGTTTCCTGTGTTTCCCCGGAATCTGGCGACCGAAACCTTGCTTGCTGCTTGCGTTCACCGGATGAGGAGGAATGAGGGGGTGGAGACGAGCGGTTAAATCAGGGCGCAGCGATTGTCAGCGTGTACTTTGAGTATTGTATAGACTCGCGGCCGGTAAGGTACTAGCTATCGATTATATACGACGTGAGTTCCTCGGAAGCTGTCAACGAGCCGAGGAACAATCCGCAAACTCTTCGTCGCATGACGAGTGGAGTTCACATGCTTCATATCGAGCCAACATGTGCAATCCACTTCTTGTTTGAGGTACAAATTCCTGGGAATACCCAAGTTACCAGTATCTCATTACCTACAACAAAAAAAATAAAACCGAAAGCCACTGGCCACACGGCCCGCTGAAGCTTCCGACAGGCCACGTCCGCCGCAAAGCGTGTGTCATACAACGCCGAGCCAAAAAAGGCGCAAAGTGGACCCTTCTGGAATGGTCTGATTCCATCACTAACTAGGAGTATGGATACTCCTACATACTGTGCTTTTATCACTCGCACCGTGTCATGCGGAGCCGCGTGTTCCTCTCTCTAGGAGTCTCCTCAGGTTAGGGCTCATTCCCCCCCCCCCCCCCCCCACACACATGAGGAGAAACATCGTCAACCCCTACCCCAACTCCAGCTCCAACTCCAACTCCAACTCCAGCTCTGCCCCTAAAGCCTATCTACTTAACATTAGAATAACTCCAGTAGCAGTCCCCGGACCTGCAAAAGGGGCCAGGATCAAGACGATCTCGGGACTCCGCAGCGAGATTGCCGGACATCCTCCGATATCCGCTCCCCCCGGGCTTTTACCCCGAGTTTTCACGATGATGTCAAGGCCTCGGGCTCACGCGGCGCTCCGGGTATTGGACCGTCGCCTTTGGTCTTGGGCACCGCGCGTTCTCCACTCTGGGAAAATGCACCCGGCCGTCGCCCTACTTTCCCCCACGGCTGCCAAGATGATGATCATTGCCGGGGTGCCCGGGAGCGTGGATATAGGGAATTTCGTTCCGACGACACCAGTTGCCCTATAGTCTAAGAATGGAATCTTCGGTATGTGTTTACATTGAGACATTGAGTCATATCTTGGAGGCTGCCTTCAATTGGGTTTGCAAGGGATGCGATTCAGCATATTTCGTGAATACTTTATCTCGAGCGTCTGTATACCCTCCCTATTTAGTCCAAGGTCACATGGTTTGCGAGAAATAGCAGCGCACTTTTTCAATCACTTTTCAGTATCCATATATTCCGATTGACAATGGGATGTACAAAAACTCTCTCTCAAATATACATGCCGTATATGCAAGAATGAAGAAGACGATCACATCGAAAGAAAAAAAAAAAGGATTGGATCTTTCCCACCCCGAGTCTCACGAACGCCTGTTGTGCCATAATTCCTTCTTCCCAAATCGTCTCAAATGTCAACGCCGAAAGCGAAAAAAGCTAAAATCCAGAAATAATCACAAAAAAATTCATCTCGCAAATTCCAGATTCACGATAAGGAGTGTCATAAATCATGCGGAGGACTCCGGCGCTGTGTGCGCCGGGGCCGGGACGGTCGGAGTGGAAGTGCCGCTCTGGCCGGGGGTAGTGCTTTCGACGCCGTGGGCGCGCGTGCGGATACGGAAACGTTCACGGAGTCGTGCGGTGAGGCGGTTGCGGCTGGGACGAGAGGCTTCTTCGGCGGCCTGATCCTGGTTTGCTTCACGGACACGGCGCAGTGCGGCGAGGCGTTCTTCGACGCTGGCATTGTGCATGCGACGGACGTTCAGGTAGTTCGTCAGCCGGTGACCGTGGCGGCCTTGGGCTGCGTCGCCGGTCGCGGTAGCGGTGCCATCTGCTACAGTCTCTTCTGCGTTCTCGGCGTTTTCACCTTCTTGCTGTTCACCACTTTCACCCTCCTTGGGGGGGTTGAGATCGATACGGCTGGAGACAGGGTTAGTATGGGGAAAAGATTGGCATTCCTTCAAGAAACGGGAACGTACCAAAGAGGACATGTGCCCGACACGTTCATCAACCAGGGGTCAATGCACTCCGGGTGGAATTGATGGTTACAAGGTAAAACACGCAGGTCCTGACCCTTGACGAAGTCGTCGGTACAAATGGGACACGAGAAGTTGCCTGCGTCGGGCGCTGCGTCGGTCTTCGCTTCGGGAGCCGGGGTCGGGCGATCGTCTCCCTGCTCGGTAGTCGGCATTTCGGACTCACGTGGAGTCGTTTGGCCATCGACGTGCTCTTGAGAACCGTTGGGTGAGGACTCATGATGAGCGCCGTCGGTGCTGGCCATCTCGACGTCCCGCTTGGCGGCGTCCACGCCATCATTCTCATTGAACTTGACGATGGGTATCGTCTCGAGCATGGCACGTGCAATTCCTCTCGCTCGACTTTGCCGCGGACGACCGATGACTCGTCGAGGACCGTACCGCTCAGGGTGGCGATGGGCACGGACAGCGCCCGTAATGATGATGCCCAGGAACAGTGCGGTGATGATACCCGTTATGCTATAGAGAATGATCATGGCTGTGACATCATGTCAGTAATTATCCGTACGGATTACATCAAGCGAGTACGGACCGGTATTGGGGCTGCCACCGGTGGTCCCACCGTCACCGCTGGTGATGCTGGGATTGATGGTCGACATGGGGATGATGTTAACAGTCTCGTTGGGAGAATTGAAGGTCTGTTGTAGAGCAGTGACAGCAGACGAATTTTGCCCAACCAGTGTGAAGATGTAGCTATAAGACTCCGCTTGGGCATCGGTTGTGAGATTGCAATGGGTAGCCGAGTCACTGTAAAGGATGACGGCGGCTGGAGTCTGGCCGATAACGTAGTCGAGGGTCTCGCCAGCGTCTAAATTCCCAGCGGAGTAAAAGGAAGGATCGCACGGAATGCAGGCAATCTGCGAACTCTGCAACGAGAACGGATTGTCGGCCGTCACTTCCTTGACCGCACCGGAGATGTCAAAGTCCTACGGACCGATTAGCGAGTGTGTCAGACCGGGTATGTCCATGGAGGCAAACCTTTTGCTGGCTGTCGGACAGATGGAGGAGAGATTGGGTAAGCGGGGCAAGCAGCTGGCCGTTGAGGTGGCTAGGACCCCAAATGCGGAAGTAGGAAGACGAGCCGGAGAGGTCGTAGGAACTGTTAGATGGCTGTAGCACAACTCCCTGAGCCTGAACAGCGACGAGGAAGATGGAGAGTGAGAGAAGCCCCATAGCCGCTGATTACGGGAACCGGCGGATGTGCGTGGGGTGGACGCACATTAGTCAGTCCGATACAGAAAGATGGGAAGAAAGGAAGACGGGGGGGGAGCGTGGAGCGTGGAGGTGGAGCTGCATAAGAAGACCCGGAAAACAAGGAAAAGAGGGGAGAGCTAAGCCCGATCGTAGTATGGATCCCCGTGGAGATGAGCAGATCCAAGCGATCATGACGATGGGTCTTCACGTCTCCGATGGGGAAGGGGGAGCCATGGACCCCGGGCGACTGGACAATCGCATTACCTCTTCTGGGACAACGGGCCTAATCAAATTGCCCCGGTGCGTTCATGAAACCCATCACTTGACCCGTGGATGGTTTTGAACCGGGGATCCACCGCCCGAGGTCCGTGGTGGTTGGTCTCACTCGCTCTCGTATCGACGACCGTCTACCGTCTACGGTCTACGGTCTACGGAGTACCGCTCTTGGTTCTTCACAGCCCCGATAAGCCGGGGCTGGGGTGATGCCTCGATGCCTCGATGCCTCGGTGGCTCTTGTAGGAAGCCTTCCTGTGGGTTGATCACGACGTGATATCCCCCTCCTAGTCCATCCTAGTTCCCTACGACAACAGCCGAACTCTTTCCGCCGATCGTCAGCCCCGCAGGAACAGTGAAAACTTTGACACAATGGATCGACATCACAGCGGGCGCCGTCAGCGCCTGCAAAAAGCCCCGGGATGCGCGACGAGGGTATATGAGTACATGATGGTGATGGTTTCCCGTGAAAGAATTGCATTTACTCCAACTGGACTGCCGCCAAACCTTATCCCTCTCGACTCGGCATACCTGTCCATCTATACCTCCCCTAACCCCTAGGGAATCAAACCCTCCCCACCTCCCCTTCCGTTCGCACCACCCCATGCCCTACCTACTAAGTAGGTACCTACGAGGTACCGGACTCCCAGCTAGGGTCACTCGGGAGGATAAAGTACACAACGGGAATATCTTCCTGGCCAAGTAGGGCCCAGGCCACGTACGGTTGGGCACGCACTGTGATTTGCGGAGCGGTCGGTGGAGGGGGGTCGAGGCTCTCATCGACCGGCGTACAAGTGAAAAGAATGTCCTGACCTTTTCCACTACCTGTTCGTGTATTAATAGTACCTTTTTTTTCAGAGTTGCTTTAGGGAGCGGCTGCACCCGCTCTCCGGTCCTTTTCAACTTTCCCCTAAGATCCTTCCTTTCCTCCTTCCTTTCCCCCCTTCAGATCGGCACTCCACTCATAACGATCCACCCGGTCATGACAACCTGAACTTCCTTTCCCTCCCCCCTTCGTAGACTCTCGATCCGGGGGTGCCTGTTCAGGGCCCGATGCGTCGCAGCATGCCCTCCGAGTTGCCTGATGCCCTGATCGCCCAGGACTGGAAACCCGTCTCCTCGTAAGTGCGGGTCTCGGAGATAGATGAAAATTCAATCTAACAAGGTTCCGAAAGAAATCCTGCCATCGCCGACCTCGACGTCGAACATACCGAACTCGCCCAGACTTGGAGGTCCTTTGTCCGTCATCTGCTGCCCGAAGATACCGTCGAGTGGGAGGAACGTCCCCAGACACCCCAGGATGTCCAGGCCCTGGTGCGCAATCTCCAGACCTGGTGGGCATCCCGTCCACGCCGTCGGGTCTTTCGTTTCGCCTCGTCTCTCTGCGACCGATTCCTCCCCACCGTTGAAACACACGCGACCCTCCTGGCCACCTTGCCGGAGTCGGATACCTATCATGGCCCCCTTTTCTACGGCGTGCTCCAGTCGGTGCTCAAGGTGGGTTCGATGCACTCACTCCCTGGCTCTGTGACGGCCGGCTGATCGTGGTACCTTCGTTTTAGGCATCGGCCAATTACCCCAGAGTGATGGAAGGTCTGGTCACGGCCCTACTTAATATACATAGTGCGCTTGCCCCACTGGCCAACCCCGTCTCTACCGTCAGCGTGGAGTCCGTCGCAAAATTATACGCCCTGGTCTTTTTCTTCCTGACCGAGTTCATGGATTGGTATGTGCGGAGATTCACGTGCCAGCTCCTTCCGAGCCACAGCCAGGATCCGTATACCGAATTTCACCACCTGGTCAGTTGTATCCAACGCCAGGCCAAAGCCCTCGCTGGGTCGTTCAACTCCATGGAACTGGACGATGATTCCGATTCGGCATATAGTCCTCGCGTTCTCTGGGAAGACTCTCAACTGAGTCAGGTGGGACGGCAAGGGACAGAGCGTCGGATTGCGGCCCAGAATACGATAACCCGACGCTTGATTTGGGAAATCCAACAAGATGCGGAGGAGCGGACTCGCATTCGAGAAACGCGAGATCAGCTGCTGGTGCAGATGATCAATGCTGTCAGCCAGCAACTGCGTCCTGTCAGTGAGCAGGGCAGCGGCATCGTCTGCTTGACGACCGCGGCCCCAGATCTAGGTAGGCGGATGTCCATGGACTTGCTGTCGAGCGACCCACTAATTGACTATGTACCAGTCACGTCCTCGTTCGAATGGTCTCGAGGATCCAAACGACGTCTCGCCCGCCTCGAGCTCCAGAGTGCATCCAAACACCTCCAGGCATTCTTCGACAGCGACGACCAGATAGCCGACATGCCCGAAGAGGTTCATGCTGAAGGCAGTGTGGTCACGTCTCTGCAGAAATGGGCCAAGAACCCACGGTCTCAGGCCCTCGCGGTAGGAGGGTCTCAGTCGACGGCCACCCCAAGCCCCGTGACTCTGATCTCAGCCTGCTATAATTTCTTCGCCCGACGAGCGCAGCTGCCGGTTATCTCCCATTTTTGTTCTCTCCCGGCCCACGAAATGCAGGGTATAACACGTCACCAACGAGGGCTGATTGCCCTTACCTATAGCTTAATCCGGCAGTTGATCGATTCCCTTCCGAGTGTGGTCGATAGCGATGCTTTGTTAGACCTCAGCGCAGAGCGCTTCCGCATGCTGGATGGAACGATGTCTAGCTGGAAACCTGCATTGGCCCTCGTTGACACTCTCCTCCACTTCCTCCCGCCTTTACTCCTCTTAATCATCGACGGCGTCGACATTATTCACGATACTTCCACGGACACCGAACTGCGCGACTTGATCCGCGTTTTGCTCACTCACACCCGGCACCAGCCCCAATCCGCTTCCAGCGGTGGCACGGGCCCCATGTTCCTGTTCAAGGTTCTCTTCACCGTTGCCGGGAGACCCAGCGCCCTGGTGGAAACCATGTCAGAGAACCAGCTGGTCCTCAGCGATTCGAGCCCGGTCGACGAGCCCACCTCGCCCGATGCGGTTCTGGCATCAGACCTCGGTGCAGTCATGATGAATGCATGAGCCGCCTTCTCCCCCTTGACGAATTTCCTTTTCTCCTCAAAAAGAAACCTTTCGATTCCAACATAGATCTGCACGCCAAGGTTGGGCTACGAGGTTCATTACGACGCATGAGGTACACGAAGCAACGGCGACAACTTGTGCAATTTTGTTGTTATTTTATCGCTACTTGCATGGGATTGGACTGGTGATACTCTTGGATTGACGTTTTCTGTTGGTGTTATGATATTGCTATTGCTCTTCTGGCGTCCGGCATCGGGACATATCTATAGGCTCCATGGCTTTAATGCCTTTTGCTTTCTGCCTTTTCTGCTTTTCTGCCATTCAGCGACTTGTGGTAGACCGCTGTACTATACTGCTTGCTCGCTGTGATACCCTCTAGAACTAATGTTGCTATTCACTCGGAAACCGAATTCCGACTTGCATCACACATTTCCATCACGACCGAGTTCGGCCTTTTTGGCGACGTCAAATAGTGGGTCTGATCCAAGTGAGCGGGAAAAAGTAGGAAATGCGGGGGGGGTGCAACGGAGATTCAATCCCGCCCACAGGATACTTAAGCACCGTAGGTCCATATCTTATAATTTGATGGGTTGATCCTCTACAATGAATGGCAACGCTACCTTCCCTTCGAGGCTGTACCAGGCCGAGTCGCTCCACCTCGACGACTTCAAGCAGACCTGCTTGCGCTCCGTTGATACATCCACCTACCCGCTGGCTTGTGCCGTTGAGTGCAATGTCCCCATCTATGATCTCGCCGCGCTCGAGATGCAAACAGTAACGGCCGAGACCCTCTCGCGCCTACAGGATGAATGGCATCACATCCTGCACACCGGGCCCGGTATCTTCGTACTGCGAGATATGTATGCACCCTCCCGGTACGGCGGCATCCTGTCCGCCACCAACGCGGCCTTTGACCGAATCATCGCCAAAGAGCGCGCCTCCAATGTATCAAAGGGTGACCACTTCGCCGCCGGCGGCAGCAATGACCGCATCTGGAACGCCTTTCAGAAACACGGCGAAGAAGACCCCGCCTCATTCCTTGACTACTATGCCAACCCATGGCTGGCCTCTGCCTGCAACGCATGGCTCGGTCCGGGCTACCGCGTCACTGCACAGGTGAATGCAGTCCATCCGGGCGGCGCGGCCCAGGAATCCCACCGCGACTACCATCTGGGCTTCATGGAGCCGGACACCTGCGTGCGCTACCCGATCCCAACGCAGTTAGCTTCCCAGTTCCTGACACTGCAGGGTGCTGTCGCCCACAGTGAGATGCCCGCCGACAGTGGTCCAACACGCTTCCTACCCTTCAGCCAGACCTACGCCCCAGGGTATCTAGCCTGGAAACGACCAGAGTTCCGTGCCTTCTTCGAAGAGAACTACGTCGCACTCCCACTCAAGCTAGGCGACGGAGTCTTCTTCAACCCAGCCCTATTCCACGCCGCCGGCGCAAACATAATGGACCCATCCAACGGAGGTTTCCGCCGCGTCGCAAACCTCCTCCAGATAAGCAGCGCTTTCGGCAAACCGATGGAAACAGTCGACTCCCTCCGCCTCATTGACGGAACCTGGGACCTACTAGCAAAGCGATACGCGGCTGCAGGGATCGCAGATGCGGAGCTGGACCCTGGCCGGCACTCGCTTGCGCAGCGCGAGATCAAGGCGTTCGTGCAGGCCGTTGCGGAAGGGTACCCTTTCCCCACAAATCTGGACCGCCGGCCACCTGCGCCGAGTGGTATGGCACCGGAGAGCGAGCAGGATCTTCTGGTGCGGGGGTTGGAGGCGGGTTGGTCCCGTGCGCAGGTTGTCGCCTCACTTGAGCAGATGCGTCGGGATGAGAGGGCTTAGACCGGGGTCCATGGGTGAAGCAGCCAATTGTTTTTCTTAGCGATGTTGTACATACATTTTATATACATGGACTTATGTTGCATGACTTTTCATCCACGGATGGCATAGGGCGTGCGTCCTGGGGTAGATTGACACGACTGGGCGCTGTTGGATTGCACGCTCTAGCCTGTTTTGGTTGACTGGTTCTTTTGTAGGAGTACGTATGTGGTGTCCGAGGTTGAGATTGTAAATCAAATATCAACAAGCCAATGGACCCGTCAGGTTATCTATTTACCTCCCACTTGTGTAGAGAGAGAGGTATGGTACATATCTAGACCAACCTGTGAACGTAGGAATAATACGCATCGGGTCAATTTTCCGCGGACGCAAGGGAGAACCACCCGGTATATGCCTATGTCCGAGAGTATACGAATATGGTAGGTTCTCTGGCAATCTTGAAGTAAAACCCAAGTGGAGCCCTCTGAGTGTACCGTAGACACTGAAATCAAGGCTAATAACCTTTTCGATTAAGTTTCTACCACTATGGGGACCCCGAGGTCTCTATTTTGGGGCGTGCCTGGTCTTTATTCAGGGGTCCACGCGACACGTCCAATCTGCCCCGAATCCCACGAGTACTTTTGCACGAGATCGGAGACTAAGCCAGACTAAGCAGAATAGAGATGTCTCCATCAGCCGAGTCGAGCCCTTTGCCATCGGGACCCTAAGATCGGGACTATTCCGCAGGTACTATGTAACGCGCCGTGATTTGCCGATCACCTGTAAGCCCGGTGGAGATGGGTGGATCTGCACCGTTTTGGACTCGAAGGCTGTGGCAATTCCAGGAACTTCCCGCTCAGGTACGCGTACATGGATCTCGTCTAACTATAGATATTTGGGTCTGTCATGCATACTAGTACGATCCACTTAAGTGCTAGTCTAGAAAATGAAAACTGGAATCGCGGCTCCAATTTCGTAGAATAAACGCATCGCTGGAATGCGGACTGTCATAGTGGGCCTCCACCGCGAAGAATGGCTGTCTCACATTTTTGGCTTTTCCCCCGGCAATGGTGAAACATGGCTTTTGTTTTTGCCCTTACACGCGTGTCTGCCTTAATTTCTAGAGCTGAACGCATCTGAGACTGTCACTGTCAGTTCTCTCTTGAATCTCATTGAACCTCGGCCATTGCCGATCTCCTCTCCACCGTGCAGCCCTCGCGCCATTGTGGGTGATCGACTCCAACCGAAGGACAAGACTGGTCCGACACGCACAATCTTGCGAGACAGGCAGTCAACGGCGCGAATTCTGGGTCTTCCAACACGACGTGAGGGGAGGACTGTCCGCGGAACGACCAGTAAATTTTTCTCGCTCGCTCTGGCCCTTCTCCACCGCGGGCCCCATCGAGCCAACCAGTTTCAAGGATCGATCTACACTTTCAAAAGGCCTTTTGCTTTAAAAGGGCGCTTCTTCCCCCAACTTGGCCTTCAAGATGAGAGGTCGCTTGGGGATTAATGCCAGCAGGTTGTCGACTCACCGGTTCGAGCAGATTCCTGATCTGCCTAATGACAAGATGGCCAACCCTAACGACGCGACCATCGACATTCCTTTAACGGAAACCCTGAGCAGGGGCCAGAATGGCACCCGCAAATGGGGATCCAATTCTAACACTACCGCGGCTGAGCATGAAGGTGAAAAGGCCGTCCTGCGCGGTCCTGGCAGACGTCGCCAAACTGCCCCGGATATCACCGATGCCACCGGTAAGCCGGCCGAGTCGCCCGAGGACGGTACCGTCAACCGTCTGGGTCGCATCTATCAGGCCATTTACAATTTCTCCATCGTCACTCGTTATATGATCTACGTTATTCCTATCGGTGCTCTGATTGCCATTCCCATTATTGTGGGTGCCACGGTTGCGCAGGATGCTTATATCGGTGGCGTCCACATCTACTGGTTCTTCACCTGGATTGAGGTTGTCTGGGTCAGTCTATGGGTGTGCAAGATCTTTGCCAAGTTCATTCCCTACGTATTCCAAACACTATGCGGCTTTGTCAGCTCCGGCACTCGCAAGTATGCTCTTATTCTGCGTGCTCTGGAGCTCCCCATCACCATCGTCATTTGGTGTGTCATCTCGCTGGTGACTTTCCTTCCGGTTAGTTTCTCACTGTCCCTGGAGCTTCTTACCAAATCAAAACGGTACTGATTCAAACCTGTAGATCATGCGGTATGGTGCCGATAACACCTCCGACGTCTCGTCCTGGGAGAAGAGCGTCAAGAACATTCTGTTCGCGCTGCTTGTCTGCAGTTTGATCTTCCTCGGCGAAAAGGCTCTCGTCCAGCTCATCTCTATCAGCTACCACCGCAAGCAGTTCGACGCCAAGATCAAGGAGTCCAAACGCAATGTCTACCTCGTCGGTCTCCTCTTCGAGGCTTCGCGCAACATGTTCCCCATGTACTGCCCCGAGTTTGCCGATGAGGACACCACCATTCTCGATCCGCTCCTGGGCCAGGTCAGCAGCGGCCGCAACAGCAAACGCACCTCGCTTACCCCCCTGCGCTTAATCAAGGATGTCGGCCGTCAGGTCGGACAGAACGTTGGCCGTATCGGTGACAAGGTCACTGCTGCCTTTGGCAACGTCGCTTCCGAACTCACCGGCAAACAGGTGTTCAACCCGGAAGCTACCCACTCCATTATGGTGCAGGCCCTTGAGCGCAAGCGTTGTGCTGCTGCGTTGGCTCGCCGTATTTGGATGTCTTTCGTCGTCGAGGGCCGCGAGTCTTTGTTGTTGGAGGATATCATCGAGGTGCTTGGACCTGAGCATGAGGCCGATGCCGAAGAGTGCTTTGCAGCCCTGGACAAGGATGGAAATGGCGATATCTCCTTGGACGAGATGATCCTGACCATCACTGAGTTTGGTCGCATGCGCAAGTCTCTCAACAGCAGCATGCACGATGTCGACCAGGCTATCCGTGTCCTGGACAACCTGCTGCTTTCTGTTGCCTTTGTTGTTGGTGTCTTGGTCTTCGTTTCTTTCGTCACCACTGGATTCGGTACTGTCATTGCCGCTGGTGCTACTTCGCTGCTGTCCCTGAGTTTTGTCTTTTCGACCACTGCCCAAGAAGTGTTGGGCTCCTGCATTTTCTTGTTTGTCAAGCACCCCTTCGACATTGGCGACCGTATTGATATCCTCAACAAGTCATACGTCGTGGAGCGTATCTCTCTGCTGTTCAGTGTCTTCCGCACCGTTGGTGACCACCGTATGACTCAGGTTCCCAACAACATCCTGAACAGTCTGTGGGTCGACAACTTTACTCGTGCCAACGCCATGCACGAGCAGCTCACTGTCCCTGTCAGCTTCGATACCTCCTTTGCTGAGATCCAGGCTCTGCGAGAGGAGATGGAGATCTTCGTCCGGGATAAGGATAACAGCCGTGACTTCCAGCAGGATATCGACATTGAGGTTATTGGTGTCGGTGATATGGACAAGCTCGAGCTACGTGTCGATATCCGTCACAAGTCCAACTGGTCCAACGAGACTGTCCGTGCCGCTCGCCGATCCAAGTTCATGTGTGCTCTGGTTCTCGCTATGCGCAAGGTTCCTATTCGCGCCCCTGGTGTTGCTGCTCCTGAGGAAGAGAGCAAGGGGGGTGGTGATGATGATGACAAGGGCGACGATGCGGATCCTGACTTTACTGCTGGCGACCGCAAGTCGTCGCAGACTGCTGGTGCCACGATGAACTACTCGCTGTCTCCGAACACCGCCCAGGCGACTGGCGTCGACCAGGGCCGCTCTTCTGGTACCGTCTCCCACCGCGGATCCAACGCCCTCCAGCGTGAGGCCGCCATCGCCGACCGCCTTAACGCCCGCTCTCCTGCAGCCGATATCAGCCGTGAAGATCAATTAGAAGGCCTCTACCGCACGACGACCGGTGCCTCCAGCCAGGGCCGACAGAGCCTGTACGGCACCGTTCCCAGCAATGCTCCAAGCCGCGGGCTCTCGACCGGCCACCGCAAGGCCGGTCTCCGCGCATCCTACAACGATGAAGATGTCCCGATGCCCCCACCCCTTTCCCCTGTGCATGCAGGCATGACCCCATCAACCAGCAACGTGCCCATCCTCGGCGAACCCGCGCCTCCAGGCTCCCGCGGCAGCGTCCGCTACGACCCCCCTAACCAGGCCTCCACACTCCCTATCATCGGCTCCCCCGAGCCGGATCACTACCACCCCTACTACAACCAAGAAACCGACTACGAGCCCACAGCCGTCAGCGGCGACGGGCACCCCTTGTCTGGCATGACTGAATCATCATCCCATTACGAGGTTCAAAGTCGCTACGACCCCGTCTCTCCTCCCTCCATCTACTCGCCACAGCCTTCCCAGCCTGCTACATTCACGCCGATTACGCAGCCGCAGGAAAACACGAACCAGCGTTCCTCGTTCATCTCGCGGACGCTGAAGCGTGGCAAGGGCCCGAAGTCGCAGGGCGAAGGTGAAGCTTGATGTGTGACGTTTTGATGTTGATAGATTTTCGTTGATTTCTGCGCCTATTTCTTTGCCAAAATTTTCTTTTCCGGTTCATTCTTCTGTCTGCCTTTTTGATGTATGAATATGAGCCTACGGGCCGTTAGAGGTGTGAAATGGACATGCATGTCCCTGGACTATTTCGACACTGAAAACTTGGTACGATCAGCTAGCTACAATAAAAAAAAGCCTGCGATTTGATTAGCTGGGAGACGTTGTCCCGCTAGATTTTATAACCTCTTCTGTGTTTCTTTCGAAGCTACAACCCTATTTGATTCATCCTTTGCTCCTGGCTTGACCTTATGCTGGTCTAGCCTAGTATTGTTTAAACCGGGCGTGTGGATGGCTTATGGGTCTATCGAACAGTCCCAAAACAATCAGTCAAAGGAGGAATTCAGTCCGCGGGTACAGATAGCGAGGCAGCATTGCATGGGTGACAATTGCGATGAAATACCCATGTGACTAGAACAGAGTGGTTCCTAAGGGTCTGTCAAAAAAAGGCGCCATGAAGATGAGGACCGTGGAAGTGTTGTTGCTAGAGCATTAGGCAGAGCCAACTGTATTTTCCTTAGTATGGTGGATAATGGGAATAGAATTTGACATATGGATTGCAACGAATAGCTCTCCTGCACATGTCCTTGAATCGAGTAGAGATGTAGGCATCATTTCAACGGGGCAGAACGTAGCCCAAAATTAACATAAGAAAACGGTATATTATAAAGGCAGTCGAATATATCCTCTACCCCCCAGAAAACCATCTATTTACTCTCCTTCCACGGGTACGCAACATCATCACCCTTCCGAATCCAGATCTTCGACTTCCTCTTATTCACCACGTGCTCTACAAACACCTCACGCGTATACTTCGCCTTGAACTTGCGGATATACCGCGGATCCCACAGTTCACTGGCGATTCCCAGATCCTTGCAGCAGCGCACAAGCGCATTGGAGCGACAGCCCTCCGTCGCGGTGGGGATACCATCCGGCGAGAAGTAGTCCTGTTCACCACGGGCTACAGAGACGAGTCTATGATCCAGTCATTAGTATTGATCGTCTTACATGCACGTAGGGAACTCACCGGCCGTTACAAACAAGCGCATACTCCCTCGTCACCGACTTCGGTGTCACGATACTTTCACCTCGCGGCGCAAGACCCCACCCGCCAGGTCCAAATGCCCTGTTGAGGATTCGCCGGTACTTGATCTCGGGCAGGTAGAGGATTCCATCCGGCTTGATTTCCACTTCCTCGGGGTCTGGTTCGGCCATGAGGATGTCCGCCGCTTCCTTGGGAAATGGTGCGGCGGAGAGGCCGTGGAAAGAGCGCGTCCAGTCGATTCTGTCTTCTGTGGCGTTTTCGAGCTCCAAAGGTTGATCGGAGAGTCCGCTCTTGGAGATGTTATCTGTCGTTGCACGGTTGGGTGTCGGCCCCGGAGTGCGGGTTGCTGCAGCGGTCTGAGGGGGCTGAGCTGGGGTGACGGTCGTGGTGCGCGGTGTTTGGGCTGGTGGTGTTGGCTTTGCGGTGTTGCTTTGGGAGACTTGGGGGCGCGTTGAGCTGGAGCTGATTGCGCGCTTGGTAATGGGGTTGGACAGGGCTTGGGTGGTTATTTGGACGCGAGGAGCTTGAGCAGCTGCTCCTGCATGCTGGAGAGGTTCCAGTGCCCGCCAAAGGCGGTAGCGTAGAGCAGACATGGTGAGATGGGACGATGCAGGATAGCTGGAGCTGCAGCTGCAGTGACTTGGATATGGAAATCACGTGATAGATAAAGGGCGAAATTGAATCTACGAGCGCGTGGGAATGAAGTAGATGAGCGATGATTGTATATAGAACAAGATGAAAATAGAGTACAAAGATTCAGTAAATGTAGAATATCACGCATCTCGAGTCTGCGTTCGTTGGTCGTTGCCCTGGCGCTTCCAACACTCGCGGAAAGCTTCCATCTGCATTGAGAGTCAGTGGGATGGAAACGGACACAGTGAGAAATAAAGACTTATGTGATAAGCAGGAATTGATTGAGAATAGGGAGGGGCCATCATGGCCATGAATGGCTTGGCTGGAATAGGATGCATAGAAGATAAAGAGGAAATGACAGATATCAGCCTACCTCTTTCTTGCATTCACGCCAGTCTTTCTTTGCAAAGTAGCAGTCGTTCATTTTGTCCTGCTCGGCTACTTACTTTCAGCAATTGATAGATAAAAGAAGCTGGCTAGTAACTTACTATGGCAACCTGTACTGAAGATGCGCTTGTCCCTGCGTCAAGCTATCAGCATCCTCGATTCGTTTTACAAAACACAAGACATATCAATTACCACTCATCAGGCTCGTCATCATCCTGAGGGACATCTTGCGGCTCCGCGTTGTTCGACATGGTCACAATAGATGGAAAGAGGAAGAGCTCGGAATCGGCTGGCAACGGCTTCATCCTTATCACTTATCGCCGCCAGCCCACGATTTTCTCCCTACAATCAACAATGGCGACGCCCACAGGCAACGATGCCAATCTGACCGGTAAAAGGCTCAATGTCCTTGTATACTCCGGTTCGCTCACCCATTCCGCCTGGCAACTGAGCCGCTTTCTGACCGACAATGGCCCGACAGGAACCGGAACCACCGTTGACTCAGTCCGCCACACCCTCTACACCCTGCGCCGCCTGCTTGCTCCCCATTATGCTGTTACCCCCGTCACTGGGGATATGCTCCTCAAGGAGCCGTGGACGGCTACATGTGCCCTACTGGTGATTCCCGGTGGCGCCGATCTGGGCTACGGCCGCACGCTCAATGGCCCGGGCAACCGTCGCATCACGCAGTTCGTGCGCCGGGGTGGGAAATATCTCGGTCTGTGTGCGGGTGGTTACTACGGTTGCAAAAAGTGCGAGTTCGAGGTCGGTGATAAGACTATGGAGGTCATCGGAGACCGGGAGCTTGCTTTCTTCCCTGGTACATGTCGTGGCGGAGCGTTCCCCGGGTTTGTCTACCACAGCGAGGCGGGCGCACGGGCAGCGCAGTTGGATGTCTCGAAAGAAGCATTGAGCATTGGAAATGTGCCGGCCAAGTTCCGTTCATACTATAATGGTGGTGGTGTCTTTGTGGATGCGCCACGGTTCAAGGACCAGGGTGTTGAGGTGCTAGCCAACTACTCGGAGAAGCTCAATGTTGATCCTGGAGAGGGCGCGGCTGCTATCGTCTACTGTAAAGTGGGTGACGGAGCAGCCATCTTGACAGGACCGCACCCGGAGTATGTTGTCTACGTGTACTTGACCAATTGATTTACTGACACTACTCTAGGTTTGCAGCTGTGAACCTGGACCCCAATGCTAATGGACCCGAGTTCAAAGACATCGTCGACGCTATTACCGCCGACGACAAGGAGCGTACAGGCTTCTTGAAGGCTTGCCTATCCAAACTTGGACTACAAGTTGCGCAAGACACCGCACATGTGCCTTCCCTGTCGTCGTTGCACGTTTCTGGTCTTGATGCAGACGAGACTATGGAGATTTTGTCGAGCCTCGTGCCAGCGTTGACCAGCGAAGGTCAGAATGAATACTTGAAAGACGAGTATGACACATTCCGCATTGAGCGTCCCGGCACATGGAACCTGGGCGACTTGGAGGAGTCGCTCCCCGACGAGTCCGCTACGTCTGGTGATGGTATTATTGATTACCAAAAGATTGTAAAGAGACTTGTGATCCATGATGATCTACCATCCTCGAAGCTCACTCCTTACTTCAACCACCATGCATTCTACGCCAACCTTCGCCAGTATCAATCCGAATCGAAAGAAGGCGCTTCGAAGTTTGGGTCTAACCTCATGTATGGTGAAGTGGTGACAAGTACAAACACGATCTTGGAGAAGTAAGATGTCCGTCCCTTGGAAACATGGCAAAGCCTGACTAGTCTTAGGAATGCACAGCTTCTTCGCCGTTTACCACAGGGCTTTACTGCCACAGCCACCGTTCAGGTCGCCGGACGTGGACGAGGTTCCAATGTCTGGATCTCACCAGCAGGCGCCCTGATCTTCTCCACAGTAGTCCGGCATCCGATCGAGAAGATTCAGTCGGCCCCCGTGGTGTTCCTGCAGTACCTCGCGGCTATGGCCGTCGTTAAGGGCATCAAGAGCTACGCTAAAGGATATGAGAAGATTCCTGTCAAAATGAAGTGGCCCAATGACATTTGTAAGTGGATCTTGATCTCAGCGCAGAAAATCTAAACCAGTCACTAACCTTCCACAGATGCCCTCGACCCTGAGGACCCTGAGCAAAAGCGATACACCAAGATTTGCGGTATCCTAATCAACTCTCATTTCATGTCAAACGAATACATCTCTGTCGTTGGCATCGGCGTCAACGCCACAAATGCATCCCCGACCACAGCCCTGACGTCGCTAGCAGCGCGCTACGCTTCTCCCGGCGCTGCCGATGCCTCGCCCGTCACACTCGAGAAACTTCTAGCGCGGATCTTGACAACCTTCGAAGACCTATATACCCGTTTCCTGCGCGTCGGGTTTGACCGCGGCTTTGAGGCAATGTATTACGAAGACTGGCTGCACATGCACCAGATCGTCACACTTGAAGAGGAAGGTGGTGCTCGTGCCCGCATCCAGGGTATCACTCGAGACTACGGTCTTTTGCTTGCCGAGGAGCTAGGTTGGAATGACCGACCGACCGGGCGGGTGTGGCAGCTGCAGAGTGACAGCAATAGTTTTGATTTCTTCCGCGGGCTGCTGAAGCGGAAGGTGTAAAGTGGGTTTCTAAACCTAGTGATCAGGAATGGAGATATACAGTCATAATTGATCAAGCATCCAGGCGGCTTTTCTTTCTACGGTGGTCTCCGCAACCAGGAGTCATTCGCATTAAGGCTTCTCACAAATATTTATAAATTACTACCCCGGGCTCTTCCCCAGGTTTCTCGTTTTCCGAATTACGTGCCTGATCGCGAATCTGGGGTATCCGACGTGGTGATGATTCTCGGAGTTGCCTGCCATTATCGGAGTCGATTTCCCTCTGGAGGGGAGTAGCCTGTGGAAAACATTCAGAATGGAATGACAGAAAATATTATTTTCTTCCTTTGTGATCTTTGTGGTATCTCAGACGTTTATTATAAGGTCTAATCTATTTATGTACACACTTTCAATCCCTACAACTTGGTGCCCATGTTGACGTGTACAGCCTTGATCTGGCTATAAGCGTCCAAGCCAGCCTCCCCAAGCTCTCGGCCAATTCCACTCTGCTTGACACCACCAAATGGCACACGAGGATCACAGTCCTGACTGCTGTTCACCCACACCATGCCAGACTCAATTTCCGCGGCCACACGGTGAGCACGCTCCAGATCCTTCGTGAAGACAGCCGCACCTAGGCCGTACTCTGTATCATTAGCGCGACGAATGGCCTCTTCCTCTGTGTCGAAAGGCGAGATTACTACCACCGGACCGAAGACTTCCTCGCGGACAATGCGCATCGAGTCGGTGACATCGGTAATAATAGTAGGCTGAACAAAGTATCCGTTCTTGTGTTCAACGTTTGCAGGAGTATAGGAAGCACCGCCAGTCAGGATGGTCGCTCCCTCGCTCTTGGCAATTTCGAAGTAAGAGAGAATACGCTCGTACTGAGCGCGCGTCACCTGCGGACCCTGGAATGTCGATGCATCCCACTGGTCGCCGATCTTGACGCTCTCCACGGCCTCCTTGAACTTGGGCAGGAAGGTCGGCAGGACATCCCGGTGCACGAAGATCCGCGAAGTCGCAGTACAAATCTGGCCCTGGTTCGACATGATACCGAAGTGCGACCACTTGACCGCCTGGTCCATATCGGCGTCAGGGAATACCAGCAACGGCGACTTGCCACCCGTTTCGAGGGTGATGTTCTTTAATGACCCGGCGGCCATCTTCATGATCTCACGAGCCGTGCCCGTGGATCCAGTGAATGCCACCTTGTCCACAAGCGGGTGAGAAGAGAGTGCCGCGCCGGCCTCGCGACCATAGCCGTTGACGATGTTGACGACACCAGGAGGGAAGCCAGCCTCGGCGATAAGCTTGCCGAAGACCAGGACGCTAAGCGGGGTCTGCTCCGCGGGCTTCAACACGACGGTGTTACCGCATGCCAGAGCAGGGCCTAATTTCCAGGTTGCCATGGACAATGGGTAATTCCATGGAATAATTTGACCAACAACGCCGATAGGCTGACGGATAGTGTATGCGAACTTTTGTGAGGTGGTGTTGATTGTCTGTCCGAATGTCTTGTCGGCCCAGCCGCTGTAGTAACGAATGGTGGTGATGGCCTCGGTGAGGTCCTCCTCGAACGCAACGTGATAAGGTTTACCGTTATCCCATGCATCAATGGAAGCAAGAAGCTCTCTGTTCTTTTCCATCAGATCAGCCAGTCGGGCCATCAGCTGGCCGCGTTCGGTGGCAGGGAGAAGCTTCCATGAGGGGTGCGCCAGTGCTGATTTGGCGGCTTTAACCGCACGATCGACATCGTCGGCACCTGCAGCATGTACGGTAGCAATGGGCTTGTCGGTACTGTTGTATTTAGCAGCCGATCATGAACGTGACGATTGACAAAAACATACGCAGGGTCGATCGAAGTGATAGTCTGCCCGCTCGATGCAACAAATTCGTTGTTGATGAAGAGACCGGTGGGCTGCTGATAGCTGTGCCCGTTGGGCGTGATGATATCCACGGATAGAGACATTATTGAGCGGATTCAAAGCATAATTGAGCAGTGTGATGCCAGACCCGGCGAAGATATATGAGGGGCATGTCCGGGGCACGGCGTATCAAGTGGGTCGCCCCTCACCAAGGCAGGCGATTCCGATAGCGATATACGGAGCTAGGCTGTGTACGTTAGGTCCAGCCGCCGAATGTTGCGGAGAGCCCTTGGTAGCGACTATCGTCGTACCCATTATTCCCGTTTCATGCTAGCATTGTAGTATCCGTTGAAAATATCAGTGGACAACACAGATTGCACAGAAACATGTGCATGTCTAGGTCTCCTCGGCGCTGGATTGCCGCTTGGCAACACGAAGGTTGTAAGGAAAGTCTCTCACAATAAATTGTCTCAGTCGGACTAGGGCTCAGGTAATTGAATAATTTGAATTATCAACTCCTCAATGTCTTAGAACTAAGCTAGCGTGACTAGCTAAGTTGAGATAGCTATCCGAAGTTCAGAGTCACTTTTCCTACTGGCCACCGCCGATCTCCTTACTTCAACCTCTTACTTCGAATTAGACATTGACATGGGACTCCCATGGGACTAAGGTCCGTCCCATGTCCCACCCATAGGTACCCATAGACACCTGATTCTGCCTGAATTGGCCTCAATTGGCCTGAATTGGCCTGAGTTGGCCTGAATTTTATACATAAAATCACTGACTAATCTTCGTTATTTACGTCTGTTTTTAGACCTGGCACTCACCCGTAGTAGTTTTATAAGTAACCTAACAGGAGAGAGAAGGCGATATAGAAGGCGGTAATATAGCACCTAAAATTTTAGGCAAACTTAGGCAAAACCAGACCAAAATCAGGAAGGGGGGGGGGGGGGGGGCGTCTCCTAAAGGAATCGCGTCCTCGTTTCCCTCGATTGGGTTAACCTTTTAGGTAGGCGATTCCACCACGATACACTTCCCGTTCAACCCCCACTTCGCAAGATACGAATCTCGGTTCCAATCGAATAAGAAGGCATTTCCGTTCCAGTCGACTATATTACACCCTCAAGTCTGCAGCAGCCAAGATGCAACTCAATATCCTCCATGACAAAACCGCCTACCCTCAACCCTATCTCCAAACCCCAATCAACACACCAACAAATGACGGACCTCGGCGGTATCATGGTGGCCTTGATCACCACATTCACAGACGATAAGACCAAAATCGATAAGTTCCGCCTACAAGCGCACATCGAGCACCTCATCAATGCGGGCGTGCACGGCCTCGTCCCCGGTGGCAGCACCGGTGAGTTCACCACAATGTCCACAGCCGAGCGCAAACAGCTCACAGAGCTGTGCGTGAAGTTCGCCGCTGGCCGTGTGCCGGAACGGGTAGCACCTCATCGGCCGAGGCTGTCGAGCTCTCCGTCCACGCCGCGAAGGTCGGCGCTGCAGCAGTGATGGTCGTTCCTCCGTTTTACGACCCCGTCAACCTCGAGCAGCTGCACGAGATCATGTCCGAAATTCACACTGCATCGAAGCTGCCTATTATGTTCTATAACATTCCATTCGCCACGGGATTGAACCTGTCACCCGCCGAAATTGCAGGCCTGTCCAAGGTTGGCGTGAAATATCTCAAGGATACATCTGGCAACGCGCCCGCCCTGACGGAGTTGATTTTCAGTCTGTCGGATCAAATCACACCTTTCAATGGTTGGGATACTTTGACTTTCTACGGTCTTGCTGCTGGCGCTCCCGGTGGTGTGTGGGGTGCTGCGAACATTATTCCCGAGTTGGCGGTGGAGTTGTGGGATGCTGTTAGTGTCAAGGGGGATTTGAAGCGTGGACGGGAGATTTGGACCAAGTTGTGGCCCGTGTGCAAGTTTTTAGAGTCACATAATTATGCTGCGGCTGTCAAGACTGGCGTTGAGTTGACTGGGCAGGCGACTGGGGGCTTGCGAAAACCGTTTGCTTTGCTTAATCCTGAGCTGACAGCGGAGTTGAAGCAGCTTCTGCGGAATGCTGGCGTGAAGACTGTCTAAAATGCATATATATATGAATATGAAGTTTTATGATGCTATTAGAAGAAATAAATGGCTTGACTTTTTATAGAGCGTATTCCAAATGTTGTTACTGGCTTTTATGCTGGTTGATCTAGTTGTATCCGTGACTCATTTAAGGATCACCTACGCCCATAAAAAACCTATAAACAACTTTGGGTAAGAGAAGGGCAAATTCAATAGTACATTGAGCCATTCAACAGAAAAGAGGCCATATCTGATCCTGCTTCACAACGTCAATCCACGAGGGCATCGGGTCACCTCGACTTGTTGATAAATGCTCATCCTGCCTGCACCACACCTTGGTCAAAATATCACGGGCAGTTACGTACGAAGTATACCCAGAAATTGAGCTTTCATGGTCCAGCCAACGCATAATTGCTCCTCTTCTATGAGACGTAATGGCCTCACATCCAGCAATGAAGGCTGGCCAGGCCGTACCGGGACCTGTTGAGTCATTTTGCGACATGGAAGCACTGCATTCTTCCAGTGCCATGATGACGCTGTCAACATGCCCTTGTACGACAACTGGGTGGGCATCGCGGATTCGGCGGTAGAAGAATATTAGAAGGGCTCCATTCAGTGCATCCAGAATGTAGGCGTGAGGCTTGGAAACAGCCTGTAGATCCATCTGAGCGCCCCTTGTAAGGCCTAGATTAAACGAACAGATCATATTTTCTAACCTATAGGCGCGGCGTTGAAGTGTTTCCCACGCTTCGAGGCTTACCTTCTTCCCTGCTTTGCGTGCAACTGCGAAGGTCGCGATGACGTTGGCCAGCCTTGTAGTCTGCGATACAAGACTTAACCATGTTTCGGGAATGCCGTAAATCTGTTTGTACAGAGTCTCGGGAAAGCTACGAGAGTCATGCAAGTGAATATCGTGGAACCCTTTCCCGCGATCTTTTGTTTCGTCGATGTTGAGATCATTGTCTGAGTTTTGGCTTTCTAGCCGGAGGAAGTCGTCAAGGTGATGATTTGGTTCAACCGGAACTACCGCATTCGAGGTACTCTCTCTGGATGCATGGGATCTTGAGGACTGGCCAAGCGGCTCGAGGCATGGATAAGAGAGACTGTAGTCATGCAAGACAAATGTACTCTCACCTACAATCCGTAGCCATGTGTATACGTGGTGCAAAAGACGGGCTTTCTTTGAGATCCGTCTTTTAGAGAGCCCTCGCAACCGTAGAAGTCGTTCTGCATCTATCAGAAAACATCTTGCGTGTTGCTGTTGCCCTGACAGAATCTGCGACTATTAGAATCTATCCCCTTTGAGAAGTTAATGAATGGCGTTCTTACCGTATATTGTGTCAGGATGTTGACAGCCATCAGCTGATCTTTGTATTTAGCCTTGTTTGGGCCATGGGTTTCTTGTTGGAGAGATAGTTGAATATGCTCCTTCGCCAACTGATATGTTTGGTTGGCAAGTCGGCGCCAACATTCCACGGATTCCACCATCTCGGTGGGTGGTTTCAAAGCCAGGTCAATGGCGGAACAGGCTAGAATTCCGTACAGATTGGCAAGTCTAGCATGACTGACGTCGCCAGTGCGAAGGAAAGTCGTGTCGCCAAATGCCATGACAGCCGCCGGCAGGTTCAAAATCTTCCAGGGAGATTTCTGTCCGAACGGAATCGCCATAATCTGAGGAATGACAACGTCTTGGAAATGCTTCAATAGGAATTGTGCATCTTTCGACACATCTTGTGTTGTAGAGGCCAGCTCCTCTGATGCTTTTTGTGAACTCAAGATCACCGTGGGCTCTTCTTGGACATTTTGGGGGTCTCGGAACAGTCCCATCTCGTTACTTAAGTCGAAAGAGAAATCATTTGGCATGCTGAGCGTCGGGTATGTTGTTAAACCTGCGTTGTCTGGACTGAAACTCAAAAGATCCGACCAGTGTAGGAAGTCATCCATCTGTGATAGAGAGTCAATTATCGACACCGGGGTGGGATTCGGTATTTGTTCCGCGACGATTGAGCCCGCCGGCTCCGCGGCAGGCAGTGCCTCAGTTGAAGTCAACTCATCTTCCCGAGACATGACTACCTCAGACACGGCCAGAGGCTGGGGCGCAGTGAAAGTAAAGTCGAGGACCGCAAAAGGACCGATGACGATATCGCCATCTGGTTGGCGATCTGGGTCTCGCGACCTGAGATCAATTTCTGCAAGAGATGCATCAATGGATCCTGAGAGCAAATTGGTCCCAATTGCGGTGCTCATGGATAGTCGATATTGCTCTAGATGATCAGTCAAAACGTGGAGTCATCCTGGATGATGTTGGCGAAAGTACCTGTATAGAGATGACGACGCGTTCCACGGCGCCCACCATCAACTACCTCGCTATTATCACCACGCATCCACAAAACCTGATTGGAAACCCCTTCGCACGGCACTCCAAGGGCTCGGCAGGTACCGCAGGCGGGTTGTTTCTGGTCGCATTTGACGTGGCGCCGCCTGCAGGTGCTGCATCCGCCTAGGACATGGGATCGGCGAGTGCGCGCTCGCTTCGAGCCCGCCATTCAGATAAACGACGTGTTCAACGGGAAATAGATTAAATAAAATCGACTTCATCTCATTCCTGTCTCTGTCTTGGGGTATGGGAATCCGGGGAATGTCACCCCGCAAAAGAGTGTACGGAGTCACCTTCCTAAAAGACGCTGATCTTTTATCTTTAGGTTTCCCCTCACCTAATTCACACACCTCCTTCCAATTGTGTCATCGTCCACATCTACAGCTTTCCCAATCGAGTTGCCTCCGCTTTCACTGTCAGCGGAACCTCTTGCTCAATTGAACGGCCTTGTGGAACCCATCCCAGCTGGCGAGCGCGTTGCGAGTTCTGACGTGCATTCGTACCCAAGAGCACGCTGGCGGGAGCCCACAACGCGTCCGCTTCGCTAGCACTGACGGTCTTGACAGCCGCCGAGTCTATCAGACCGAGCTTGTGAGCTGCGTCAGCGACAAGCTGTGAAATCTTTCCAAAGCTCTGCTCGGATTAGCCGCCATTCGCGAGGGGCTTGTGATCCACTTACCAACATGCCGTTACTGACGAAGTAGAGACCGTTTTGGCCCCAGAAGTCCCCCTCGCTACCCTCAATCGCCTTCTCAACAAGCTTGACAAAAACATCGGTGACATCTGCGATGTGCACATTACTCCAGGTGCTTTCTCCCTTGCCCACTTGGACAGTCTTGCGTGTTTCAATAGCAACCCTTGAAAGCTCCGGGATTTGCACACTGCGCTGATTGACCGGGCCTCTTCCCTGGCCATAGATAATCGGTGGAAATACAAGAGCAGTATTGATCCCGGAGACTTTGTTCAGAACATAGTCGTCCGCAACACGCTTGGCGGCGTTCTGCTTGATAATATCGCGGACCTCGCTGGCGTCGTCGACATCGCTGTAGACTCTGTCGGATCCTTCTCCGAAGCGACCGCCGACGATATCCGAGATTGAAAGCACACTCGCACCAGAGACTTGGATCCAGTGGCCTGGGATTTCTCAATTAGCTCACACCCTTCCACACCCTTCCACAATGAATTCTTTGGCCTACCGGGCTTGGGACCAGCATGCTTGGCCAGACCACGGGCAGTTGCCTCGGCACTTTTGATGTGACTGCTGCTGCCAGCATCTATACACTGGGTTAGTCTGGCTCAACTTTTAGACATGAGGACCACTCACGCACAACCACGTCGGCCTTGGCTGCCTCCTCCTCGATCAATGCGACATTATCCAGATCACCAAGGATTATTCGAACATCGGGATATGCCTTGGAGACTGCATCGGCTTTGGCACTATCGCGCAGGAGAACACTGCATTGATATTCAGGGTGGGTTGACTTGAGGACGTGAAGAACATCCCCGCCAATGTAACCCGATGCGCCAGTTCTGCGGGACGGTCAGCAGAGAATCAGTTGGATCAGGCCACGATAGCATCTACAGAAAAATCCGAGCCATTCTTATCAAATCGAATTGACTTGCTGTGATGACAGTAAGATGTTTGTGGAAGTGTCGCACATGCGCGAGTGCTTTAAAGCAGTAATACCACTGCGGGGCCGCCCCCAACCAGGAAGGCGATTCCGAGCCTCGTGCGGCGAGCAGTCAACTTAATCTACGGATGTGGAAGGTCTTTGGACCCTGTCTAAATTGGGATAGCAAATGCCTCCGAGACCAATTCGCTCCTGATAGAGCGATACTTATTTGCGTCGCCATTCGCTTTGATTTCTTTTTTCCTTCTTGATACACCCGTGGGAATCTATACAATCTACATTCACCTGGACATCACTGGGAATGTCGCACCGCGGGGAGACTCTTCACAAAGATGTGTGCTGCATCGCCGATTTGAAGGATTTGGGGAGCCAGCGGCTCTCTCCTATGGTCCGAGGTGAGATTCCTCCCTGTATGCGCCCCCGCGTGCCCAATGCCACAATGCTAATACGGATATACAGATTATTATAATGAAGGTGCCATGGATATGGTTACGTGCGATCCTCTCTAAACCAACTCTCATTCCAGCTTCACTGACTAGAAATTTTACAGCTTGCGTGAAAATGAAACTGCTTTCGATCGCTATAAAATCCGACCGCGAGTCTTGGTCAATGTCGACAACATCGATACAAGTACAGAGATTCTAGACACCAAGGTCCGTTCTTTCCAAATGTGAATTCTTTCATATTTCGGGTTCTAACTACCGAGCAGGTCTCTCTCCCCTTCGGCTTCAGCCCCGCCGCCTCCCACAAGCTAGCACACCAGGACGGAGAGCTAGCGACATCTCGCGCCGCCGCCAAATTTGGCATTTGCATGGGCTTGTCATCCTATGCGACATACTCTCTGGAGGACGTGGCTGCCCAAGGCTTGGGCAATCCGTATGTCATGCAGATGTGTGTGCTGAAGGATCGCTCAATCACATTGCAGTTGCTAGAGCGCGCAGAAAGTAGGTGGTCCACTTCAATGCCTTTTGATTCAACTTGACTTATGGTTTTTGCAGAGGCTGGGTATAAGGCCCTTTTCCTATCGGTGGATGTGCCCGTGCTGGGTAAGCGGCTGAACGAATATCGCAATGAGTTCTGCATCCCCGAGGATATGGAATATCCCAACATTCTCAGCAGTGGCTCCGATGTCTCCGATCGCACTAATTACGGTCAGTTCTCTTTCTGACTGCTTTTGGAATACAACTGACTTTTATAGACCCTAGTCTCGACTGGGAGAGTGCGATCTCCTGGCTCAGGGAGCATACATCGATGAAGATTTGGCTCAAAGGAGGTGAGCTTTACCCATCTATCGGATATTCAAGCTCATTTTATTGACATGCCCAACAGTGTCTTCCCCCGAAGATGTCGAGCTTGCAATTCAGTATGGCATTGACGGCATCGTCATTTCTAATCACGGCGGCCGCCAACTCGACGGCATCCCTTCTACACTTGATGCGCTGAGAGTATGCGCTCCTGTCGCAAAGGGACGATTACCAATCACTATCGATGGGGGAATTCGTCGCGGATCAGATATCTTCAAAGCGCTAGCTCTCGGGGCAAGCTACTGTTTCCTAGGAAGAATTCCCATTTGGGGCTTGGCTGTACGTTTCCTTGTCCTCAATAGTAGTATCTTACTCACTCACTTAGTGTGATGGACAAGAAGGAGTCGAGCTGGCGATCAAGATATTACGCCAAGAACTCAAGATCACAATGGCGCTAGCTGGGTGAGTGAGTTCCCTATCTACGGTATTACCCGCCAGGTATAGACCCGGACACTCAGTCATCGACAGGTGCCGCACCATCGGTGAAATCCAAAAATGCTATCTGTCTGTACTGCGCCCCGACGGCATTCTTGCCAAGCTGTAATGTCAGCAACATCCTTGAAACGCCGTGTGAGCCGAACACCCGATCAACCCGCGCGACTCGCAAGCAAGTGGGCTGCCAAGATCTTGGCACTCCGCCCGTTCGGTTAGGGCTGATGCGTCTACCACACTTTTCCACTTTTCCCGTGTCATCAAAGACTTGTATCCAGCAGGGCAAACGGATCGGAGGGTCAAATATGGCTGAGTGGGAGCGTTGTCTGTAAATACCCGGACTACGAATCCACAGCCCTGAATATAGAACCAAGTATGTACGTTTGAGGCTTCTCCGGTGGCGGTGCTTGCACCGGCCCTGAGTCGCAGTAGGCAGCACTATTCCGACTAGTCCGGCGCTATATTAAGCACCTTCATGCATGGTTGGAATGCGCTCGTCCGCACCTGTGGACCCGTACACGAGATTAGGGGGGTTGTCGCAGAACAGTTGGAACGCCAACCGATTTATTGGGAGCCGATCCTCCACATCACAGGCTGAACTAGTCTCATTTTTTCGTTGACCCTGCTGATCTCTCCCGACCCGTTTTATTTAAACTGATTCCTGCGCCCGCCAATTCCGTTCTCTTTCAATCGTCATCCTTTGTACCCTGTTCACCATGTTCAACTTCAACTTCTTCAAGTCTGCCCCTGCGGCTGAAACTGCCAACGAGAACGGCTGGAACTCCAATACGGTTGCTATGCAGCAGCCCTCCAGCCCTGCCGCTCCTTCGGCGAGCCAGATTGTCTCCGAGCAACCGGTACGCTATCCCTTTCGATTTGTATGTGGGAACGAGTCTAATGAATGTCTTCAGGCTGGTCAGGAGCAGATGCAGCTGCGCGGTGGTGGTGGCGGCGGCTTGTGCTGCGGAATGTAAGTTTGCGGTACTTAGAGATATGCGGTGTGGATGCTAAACCTGTCATAGTTGCGCCGGTCTTGCCTGCTTCGAGTGCTGCGAGATTTGCTGCTAGAGCACCCACTACGGTTCGAGTGGAAATGGAAGAAGTACACTAAGATTGCGTTTGAATATCGGGCTTGGTGCGAGGCATCTTTGGACTAGACTCGTGATTTTCCCGTCAAATCAGACGTCTTATACGATATACCCAATGACAAATTATGCAGTTATGGATTGTAGTCTTTGTTTTGATTCAGATCATTTTCATTCCGGTCATTTTCATATCTCATGGCTTCGTAGTTTTTCAAGTTGGCAGCCAAGCTCAAGTAAACGGCCGTTTGTGGATAGCCGTCCGCAGGGCCGCATCCACGTCCCACAACCGAAATCCAGGGGCGCGGCCGAGGATACGGAGATTGGCCAGGAGCACTGTATCGGAAGTTAGCGTGTGCAAAGCTTAATAAGGGGTGTCCACTCACGATCAAAAAAGCACTCAACGTCCAGAACATAAGTCGAGTGGCTCGAGTATTCAGTCCCACCCATGTCAACTGGCAACGGGTCTTCAGAAGACATGCAATACTGAAACGCCGATCCGTCAGGGGAGAACCCATACAGAACACCGACTGCAGTAGCTGGAACCTCCAGCCATAATGACGAACCATCTAACACGACCCCATGGTGTTCAAGATACCCTTGGACATCATGGCAGTCAAACCACTCGCCCTCCAGGTCAAGAGAGCGGAGACGCTCCTCATCGCTCATCGCCCTCTCTTTCCTGCCGATTTCATCTTGCAGATCCGGCTCCGCATCCCCACTCCAGTCTTCATCCCAATCCTGGATCCCGCCGCGACGCAAGATCCTCGCCATCCGTCGAAGAATCTTGCCAGGCCGTCGAAAGTTATCGGGGTACACGGGTTGTCCATCTGCTCCAATGCGTGGGTAGTGCGTACCAGCACCGCCAAGCTTGTAGAACGGCATTTTATTAGTCTCGAGGGAGCCGCCAATCTCGACGTGTAAGGTCCGCCGCATGTGACGCTGGATTCCTGGCATATCTTGAATGCATGGCAGAAGCCCAAATACCCGGGTTATGCGGTCGGGGTGGGAATGTGGGTCTGTAAGCCAGCGGTATGTATGTTCTAGACAGAAGCGCTGGAGACGTCTGGAGACGTCTGATTCTTGATAAGTGTAGGTGTAGATGGTTGTTGACGGGAAGAGGCGGTTGAGGAGAGGTGAAGGTGATCTAGGATGGAGATGTGTTTGGTGGAGTGAGTTTGTATTGTCATGTTGATTCGTGTTTGTGTCTTCGATATTTCTTCGGTGCGAGACCTGATATCCAAAGGTATCATGAAGACTTTCTATACTGCGACCGATCTGCTGGGTATGTTCCCCAGAAAAAGATCGCGTCTTGTCAATCTCCGCTAGCACTAGCTGTCTGGCGCGAGCAAGGCCGTCAGGTTGCGTTCCAATAGTACCGAGAGCGTGGACCTCTTCTTGGTCGCCGGCGCCTAGTATATCCGAAACATTCTGCAGGGTTTGCTCAAGAACTTCAACACGAGCCTTGAGTTCCTGAATGGTAGCCTCTTTTTTCTGTCGATAAGTGCGCTGCGCACGGCGGATCTGCAAGCGCCGTTCCTGATGCTCGTGTCAGCGCAAGCTTTGGCCGGATCGGCGACCGTTACAGTACCTCGATGGCAGCAGCATCCTTAGCAGTCTCTAGCCTCGGACGGCCTCGTTTGCGCGCCAGGCGCTCCACTGGATGCGGGTCCGTGATCTCGTGTGCCGTCTCGGGCTTCTCCGGTCCCTTCGCTTTCTTCAGGGATGTCCGTTTCGTGCGGGATTGTAAGCGCGGGCCCGAGTTGCCCTTGTCCTCGAGCTCGATCGGCTCCCCCAGGGCAAAATAATCATTGCTTTGCGGAGGGGTAATTTGGGACTGGGCGTGGTACCCCTGCGCTAGCTCCAGATAAGATCGTGCGGACAAGGTGCCCGATAGCGCATAGTCGGATCGCGAATCGTCAGATCCTGGCATTAGTTCAGATTGTAAGTGAGGCTGGGACGGTTTCAGGATAGGTCCTGGCTCGATAGAATGAAGTTGATGAGCATCTACGTCGAGGTTGGGGTGAAATTTACCAAGTTATGGATGTTGAATAATCGCGTTAATGGAGACCTCGGCAACCCCGTTGCCTCTCATCCCCACTCTACAGGGGGTTGGGCCCAATCGTCACCCTGCAAGCGATCGTGCATAGTGCGACTAATGGCAGTTGTCTACCTTTAATTCTCCTTGGCCCCCGTAGACGCTAACTGGTAGTAGCTACAGATCCATGCAGAAAAGGGGCTGACTGTGGACACTTTTATCACCAGTTCTCCCCGGGATGCCTTTTTATTCATACATACAATGCACTACGCCGTATTCACATCGGCAATCTATCCTAGATCGTGCATGAAACGGAGATTAAAAAGGTGGATCCCGCTAAGGAGAAAGAAGCCTTCGGCGACTCCGTGTTGCCAAACGTCACCCAATACGGCATCGGCATATCCACCCCGAGTTGAGGCGAGGTCGATCAGATCGGGAGAGGAGTTGCAAACAGAGCGAAGTCCGACGCATGATCGAATATGACATCCGCTACAGTTCCCATTGGCCGCCCGTCAAGGATGATCCTGCTCGACCACAGCTCCCCCCACATCCTAGCACAGGCCTCGGCCCCCGAGGGCAACTTCGTTTAAATATCGGTTGTTCCCACAATCATGGCGATAAGCATCTTCGCACCGCGACCATGACCACTAACTTCATCTTGGGTTTCGCGGCGGCGGCCGTTGTCCTGCAGATCATTCGCCTCGTGCTCGCCTCATGGCAGCACTCTCGCAAGGCCAAGAGCCTGGGATGTGGCAACTTGCCGCTGTATCCTTCCAAGGATCCCCTCGGTATTGATAATCTGAAGCAGTCTATTGCGGCAAACAATAAAAACGTGTTGCCTCAGCTCGCCGAGAAGCGCGTCCAGATTATCAGCGACCAGGAAAACCGTTATGTCGAGACTTTCATCCTGCGTAATCTCGGTCGCAATAACATCTTTACCGTCGATCCCAAGAATATTCAGGCCATTCTGGCTACCCAGTTCAAGGACTTTGAGCTCGGACAGGCTCGCCGTTCCAGTATTCATCCCTTGCTGGGGACCGGTATCGTAAGTCGCGTGCTTGGAGGTTCTGTTCGGTTGGATTTCAGGTGCTGACCCCGTGTAGTTCACCGCTGATGGCGAGGAATGGGCGCGGTCTCGTGGATTGCTGCGCCCGCAGTTTACTCGTGAGCAGATCAGTCAGTTGGATTTGGAGGAAGCCCATGTGCAGAAGGCCATGCAGGCTCTGCCCATTACGGCCAACGGTTGGACCGCTGCAACGGATATCCAGTCTATTTTCTTCCGTTTGACAATCGACTCGGCAACACAATTCTTGTTTGGTGAGAGTGTGGAAAGCCAGTTGGGTGCTATCAAGGGCCTGCGACGCCCTGAGGATTCGTTCGCCGCCTATTTCGACAACTCCCAACGGGTCTGCGCTCAGCGCGCTCGTTTTGAGAAGCTGGGTTTCCTCGTTGACAACAAAGAGACTCGTCACTCGGATAAGCAGGTTCACGATTTCGTCGACAAGTTCGTCTACAAGGCTTTGCAGTCCGTGAACAGCGAAAAGCCTGCCGACGAGGAGAAAGCCAACTACGTCTTCCTGGATGCCCTGGTGGCTGCAACCCGCGACCCGATCGAGCTACGCTCGCAGCTGTTGAACATCCTGCTGGCCGGTCGTGATACCACCGCCTCACTGCTCAGCTGGACGACTCTGCTATTGGCCCGCAACCCAGAGGTATTCCGCAAGCTGCGCGAGACTATCATCTTCGAATTCGGCACCTATTCTTCGCCCCGCAACATCTCGTTCGCTTCACTCAAGTCCTGCCAGTATTTGCAGTACTGCATGAACGAATCTCTACGCCTATACCCCGTGGTCCCTTTCAACCGCCGTAACGCCTCCCGCGACACGACCCTTCCACGTGGCGGTGGCGCGGACGGCCAGTCTCCCGTGTACATCAAGAAAGGACAGTCCATCCTCTATAGTACCCACGTCATGCACCGCCGTAAGGACTTCTGGGGCCCTGACGCCGACTCCTTCAAGCCGGAGCGCTGGGCCAGCCGCAAAGCCGGCTGGGAGTACATTCCGTTCAATGGAGGGCCGCGCATCTGCATTGGTCAGCAGTTCGCTCTCACCGAGGCTGGCTACGTTCTTGTGCGTCTGCTCCAACGCTTCGATCAAATGGAGGATGTCAACCCGGATCAGGAGACCCGCTGGGGCTTGACCTTGACCAGCGCTCCAGCGGATCGGGTGACTGTCCGTATGCACCAGGCCGATGAGGTTTAACGAGACATTGTTTGAGGTGGTAAAGATTTGATATTTTCTAGGACGTGGTAATGGCAGCGATTTGGATTGACTTTGGTATTTGATTGTGGGCCTGTGGACCTGGCACGGTGTCTCAATTTGGCCGGTCTGCATGCATTAGAATGGCTATTGGGCCCATTATACGACGATACGATCTATTTATGAATATACCTCTATTTTATGCATTCATTTTAAGAAAACAAGGAAAATAAGATGGATAATTGATATAATAATTTCTTGATTCATCGAATTTGGTGTATAGTTTCGAGCAAGCAGGGTTTGGTAGGGTACGTCGCATGAATTCTCATCCACGCCCTTCAAAACGGTCCCTGGGCCTAAAGTATGGCTTCATGCTGCCAGAGATACTGCTGCGAACAATTCGCTAGGTCAGATTGGCCAATCGAATGGAAACAGCCATTGAACCCGGTGTTAGCCAGTTCCAAGGATTCCACGGGAGGTTGGTCTTTCGGGATCATGTTAAGGTCCTGGGCAATTCGCTGTTGAAAGCGACATCGGAGTTCCTGTTTATCGGAGGCTTGCACATATTCGCCATCACGTACATCTGTATAGCAGTTCGCTGGATTGAGGCCTATATACTAAATTACAACCTATCAATCAATATCCCGCCTTCTCGTTTATAGGAGCTTCACTCTAATCTGACATTCTTTTCACGTATTTCTCACTTTCTCATAGTGCGAATGAGTGGCAAAAGAGTATGATTTTGGATGTAAATGTAAATAGTAGAATCGAAGTAAAAATATACAAGTGAGGACCCAGTCCCGAAGAACTATCAATCAATCCGTTCAAGTCTCCGCCTAAGCTCTCCAATACCCCAAGCTAGTCCACGTGAAATCGACTAATCCATTCAAAGACACTGGGAGTAGTAGGGATTCTGCTCAACGCAGGTGTAGGGGCTCTCGCAAGTACTCGCACCAGTCCAGTTCATTCCACCGCACTGATAATAGTGCTGAGCGACACCTCCGCTAGCAGAGGGGCTGCTAGTGGCGGGGTGGACGGGGGAGGCAGAGACTATAGGAGAGGGAGACTGGACGCTAACAAGGGTTGTCGGGGCAGATGTGGGAACGTTGACCGAGATGGATGACGGGCTGAAAGATGGTTCACTGATGGGCCCAACCGAGGCAGCAGGGATGGTAGCGGAAGAAGTGGCGGACTCGGTAGGAGGGCTAGACACCTGGGCCTGGCTGTTGGGTGTGGCGGTAGTGGTGGTCCCAACAGTGCTGGAGGTGGAGGTCTCAACTTCGCTGGAAGTAGAGGCATATGAGGAGCCGCTCACGAAGTACTTCTCTAGGATAGGCAGGTAAGTCGAGTACGCAGGGCCATCAGTAGGCTCCAGGCTATACATGTACGTCCCCCACCTATTAAAGCGTCAGTATAAACAAACATCCCAAACGCAGAACATAAGAGAAAACCAGGACGGTCTACCGAGGGTGGTTCGTCGGACATACCATGGCCCTGCGCTGAACCACTCTACACCAGTCCAGACATCACTGTTATCCGACATGTAGGAGAGCATGCCCTCGACGGCGCTCTCACAGACCGAGTTGACACCACCGGCAAACTCGCCAATGAAACCCTTCTTGTTGTTGTTTTTCAACCATGAAGTGGCTGACTCCAGGCGCTCCTGGCCAATGGAAGAGCTAACGCAGGTCTCGGAAGTCCCAGAGCTATCAGAGTCGAGGTACTGGTGCATCTCATAGACGATTTTATCCTCGGAGTCAGTGAGGCCTTTCAGGTTGTCGTTGTTGTCGGTCCAGGACCAGGCACCGGACCAGGCATTTCCCTCAACGAATATAAACTGACTGGTAGCGCCAGCAGCACGGATACCGTTAATAGCGGCTTGGTTCAGATTCAGGACAAGAGTCTGGTCCATGTCGTGGTACTCGTTGTTGGTGTCGAAGATGACCTTCTCGTTAGAGGCGAACTCTGTAGCGACGGTCTTCCAGAAGGTTTTGAAGTTGTCGGTGGAAGAGATGACAGTGCCATAGTATCTCCCATAGTTGTGGGGGTCAAGAACTGCATAGGCACCGCTGTCGGTGATGAAGTTGACAGTCTTCTTGAGATCGGTCAGGTAGGTCGCGTCGGGAGTGCTGGTCATGCTCTCGGGCACCAGACGCTCCATCAAGAAGGCAACACGGAAGACGTTCATGCCCTTGTTGCGCAGGACCTGGATCTTGGAGGTGTCGGGCCAGGTGTAGTCTTTGCCTAAGGTTCCAGGGATATTCGATGGATCAAACTCGGCACCGGATTCGTTAACACCAACCCCTATGTCCTGTTAGTCTGTCGCCCTGTGCATCCATTGACATGTCCTCATATATAACACCTACAAGTGAAACCGGTGGCTGACAGCTCAGCAGCGGCGCTACGCTTGGCGGGAATGACCTCTCTTCCCTTGGGATAGGCGCAGGTCATACTGGCGGCGCTGGTAGCGAGGACAACATTGGTGAACTTCATCTTGATTGATGGGAAAGAGAATGACTGTCGAGCTTGTCGAGCGATAAAAGAATGAAAAGTAGGAAGGAAGGAAAGATCAAGAAACCGGTCTTGATGATAAGAAAGTAGGATTGCCAATAGAAAGGAAGTTCCAAGAGGAGCTCTGAGGCCTCTCTATTATATAGTAGACTCTGCACGGGGGCGTCAATTGGTGCCATCGTGTGGACTCAGACTCGGGCTAACAAGCATCTGACACACGGAGTGCTTTCGTCGTTCCAGGCCTTTGAAAGAATAGGATCATCGTACAGTTCCTCGACCTAACCTGCCACGGCCTCAGTCCCGGTGGACGCTGACTGCGAAGCCATATTGCAGTCAAATCCGAATGGATCCGTCTCGCGTTAGAGGATGAACGAGGGTGTCTATCCCCAGGGACCACTGAGCCACTGGGACCGGCACGGGGCTGGATCGGTCATGTTCTGCCCATAGGTTAATCTAAATTCCTTCCTTTTCTTGCGGCGGCGGATAAATAGGTAATTCAGGCAGTTGGTGGTTGGTTACAAGGCGAGTTCTGATGGGGCGAAGAGTGGAGCTGTTGACGCAGGGCTCTCAGGGGTTGCAGTGTCATTTCCCTCATTTCCGTTGGAGATGCCAACTCAGATCAAAATCCATAAGTGGAAAAAAGAGTGGAAATTATTCCGGCGCATCGAGTACGTGAGTGGACTTGGCCATTCCCTCTTGGGGCCGTGGTCGAGGCCAAAAGCGCCGAGTAGATGGTTCTGCTCAAGGTGAAACACCGGGGAGCGTTTCACGAGGCAGCCGGTAAATACTGGCGCACTTGGCCCAAATTGACTCGGGGATTCCTTTGCAAACGGGTGCAGATGAATAAGAAAATGATATGTGGTATTGATGTCAGTCACACCGCTTGGGACAGTGTCCATGATCTGAACTAGGCTCAAACTGCCGGAGAAAAAGTACATGACCCCTCGCCAATACCTATATGCCGTGCAGATCGTCACATCATAGCGCATCATGTCTACCTACTTTCATTAACGCCTCGTCACTGTCTATTGAGGTTCACCTTCTCGGGTGAAACGGTAAATTCGAAGCACTTGTCGCCTTGACCGATAGGAACGGCCTTGGCCTGGTTGTCGTATAGTGTCCGCTCAAAGTACCGTATTCGCCCATCCGGTCGTGCAAGGAGAACGGTCTGCTTCTGCGTGCCATACAGTCCACTGAAATACCTCTGATCCATAAGCCCGTTCGATTGCGACTTCTTGGTTTCATCGTCGGCGCATGCTGCAGCCGCTTTTTCGGTCCTGAGAACAGGAACGAAGATGCTCTTCGTTATATATGTAATGTAATCATCGAGATTATTGTTCTCTTCCGGCAATCGAGGCAGAGTATCTGTACTTAGCACCTGAAGGAGACGCTCAACGAGAGCATCCTCATCCTCCTGCGCCTGGGCGTGTTCTTTGATGGCAGTCTCCGTCAGCCTCTCGCCATCCACGATCTTCAGCCAGGTTCGGTCATCCACGCTGGTGTTGCTGAGCCCTCGCGTCTGGTCCTTCTCGGATGCTACCCAAGTTATCTGATCCATATCGTGGGAACGGTTGGAAACGATGGCCAAGGGCTCGTTGATGTGACCGCACACGAGACTGAACCCACCCACCTGCTTGGCTTCGGGGCTGGCAACCATGGCCTGCACGAAGTCACGGGTGGTCTGCTGTTCAGATGGAGGGCTCGTCAACCAGCTATTGACGATTTTGCCACGACTTTTCCAACCGACAGCTTCGGCAGACTTGTTCTCACGGTAGTTGGTGAGCACTGCAATTTTCCCTTGCTTGGTGACGCCCATCCAAGTTCCGTTCTCGGCTCGGGCTAAGTCGCGTGAGCCGAGGACAAAAGAGGACGGCTCCGGCCACCAGTCCAGCGACGAGGTCGGCCGACGGAGATATTCCTGGAGAGTGTCAGCCGGTGCCCAAGGTGGAGTAGATATCGACACATACATCTCTATTGTCGATGATGATTAATGAGTAGAGAGGGTGAGCGGTTGAGATCACCGCAATACACATTGTCGAGAGGTGATCAAGTAAGGAGTATGCGGAGATGCGGGGAAGAGGGGCGCGGCCCAGAGGTTCAGGATCAGGTAGTTTGGAATGTAATGCGAATGTTCATCGAAGTAAAACTGGTCATGAACGAGAAATGGCCGGTTATTATAGGTTGTCTCGGGCAGCCGATGGGTTGGTCGGGTTGGTCGGGTCGATCAGGTCGCACGACACTCCCATTCTTCCAGATCGTTAGACGGAGGAAGCGACGCGAAGCAAGGTGTCTGTACAGGTCCAAAAATAAATAGCCACGGTAATATAAGCCGCAAGCGTTTAAAGTCGCGTGACGTCAAGACGAGCCGTTGATCTAAGGCGGGATGTGGGTTCCCTCTGCTCGGTTTCCAGCTGATATCACCCACTTGACCTTTTCCTTGCCCCTCCCTCCCTTCCGCCTCCGTCCGTCTTCTTTCTCCCTCTGAGACTAGGGATTCGGTTTTGAGTTTCCTCTGTGAAAGACGTGTCGGAGCTCTGCAGCCCATCAGTGCTGGATGGCTGGGTGGGAGCTATTCCTGTCTGCCTGATCCGATCTCCACCGCCGTTTCGTGAGTCCCAAGTTTGATCTCTTGACTTCCACGCCCTCCGCCACCATGTTTGGAATTATCGCGGACTTGATGTCGTAAGTTTGAAGGAGACTAGAGCTCTTACTGCGCTGCTTGGGCGTCCAGAGCTAACTTGCCACAGCTCCGTTATTACCATCCTCTTCCCGATCTTCGCTTCCTACAAAGCTCTCTGCTCCTCCGACCCCTCCCAACTTGCGCCATGGCTGATGTACTGGGTGGTGCTGTCGGTCATTCTGCTGGCAGAATCCTGGACCGTGTTTATTATCGGATGGTACGGACCGACCATTTCTCGAGGTCCTTGGGCCAGCTAACCGCGATATGTTTTAGGTTCCCCTTCTACAGCTGGATCCGCCTCTTTTTCATGTGCTATCTCGTCCTTCCCCAGACCCAAGGAGCGCGTTTGCTCTATCAAGACTATGTGGATCCGTTTCTGACGCACCATGAGCGGGAGATCGAGGAGATCATCGGTCGCACCCACGAGCGAGCCAAATCTCTCGGCTTGCAATATTTCTACAAGGCTTTTGATCTGGTCCGAGAGAAACTGCTGGGTCTCCCTGCACAGAGTCAGGCGCCTCCGCCGGCATCGGGGCCCGCTGCCTACGCCCAATCACTCCTGTCACGATTCAATCTTCCCTCTGCCGGAGCCGCCGTGACCTCCAACGACTGGTACTCGGCTCTCGGCTCAGTGCTGGGCTCGGTCACCTCGACGGGCAAGTCTCGTGAGGCACGTGAGGAAGAACTGTCGGCCAGTGGCACTCTCCTCCAGCGAAAGCTGAACACCATGACTGGAACGGAGAAAGCTCAGTATATAAGCAACCAACGCGAGGTACTTGATTTCCTGCGCTCGACTCTGGCGCGAGAAGAAACAGCGATGGACCGAGATGATCCCGACTCGGACGACTTGGCCTACGGAGCTCCGCTGCGAAAGAACCGCAGCGATAACAGCTTCGACGTGGTCGATGACGAAGATTTGGGAAATCGCGCCTCACGTAAAGCCAGCGGCCGATGGGCCGGCTGGCTGGGCAACGAGCATGACTCGTCGGGCTCGTCAGGCACCGACCACGCAGCTCGGACGACAGGATACGATCGCTATTATGGAGGAGAATGAATGTTTGGGTCGAGAATGAAAGAAGACAAAAGCCCTAGAAGCTGGCTCTTTACATGTACCTTGACAACGGAGTTAACGGGAATGGATTCTTGAAGAAGACCGCATTAGCGTACCCGGTACTTTGACCAAACATGTACGAGATGTACAGCTAGGATCTGACAGGTTTCGGATGAAGATCCCCGATTCCGTCCGTCCATCCGGGAGGATTTCGCCTGCAGCAGAAGGTTCTGCAAGGCGCGGAACGGAGCAGATCGCGAGAATGCATATCCCTTGTGTTAATGAGTTCCTGATATTCCGGAAACGGGAACATCCCTAGAGTCCTCGACGGGTATCGAGTACCTTACCAGTTAAGGTAGTCGTGACTCGACGTGACCATATCACCGCAGTGAATAGCTCCAGTGAACTTTGGTGGCAAACGGGAAACCGTGCGGGATGAGTGGATTCGTGGATGGACCTCGATCCACACGGACTCGCATGGTTCTCTTTGATGTTTCGAGGCGAAGTGATCACGGCGGCCATGGCAGTACGGAGGAGACGAACTAGACAAATAGAAACCGGTCTTGAATGAAAGCGCACATCGAAGCGCACATCTCTCACTCGTCATGGGTGGCGGAGCTAAGAATCTTTCTCTCTGTAGATAGAAACACCCCCTTCATCCTTCCCCTGTCTCTTTTTCCTTTTATTTCCCCTCCTTTCAACCCTTTCCACCCGTGTAATCCATCTCGTTGGGTTACTCTGATTCGATTTGGTGAGTTGGGCTCGAGAACGTTGTTGCGCCGTTCCTCCACAAACCCCGAATTTTTCCCACCGAAACAACTTTTTTTCCTCGCTGGATTTTTTCTCCTTCCACACCACCCACAACACCATCCAAATAAAACCCTTGTGGACCACACGCTGCTCTCTTTCGCTGCGTAGCTGGTCCTTGTGTGTCGATTTTCATTTTCGACCACTTTTTTGTTTGAATTTCTTTTAATCGAATCCCCGTGCAGATTCCTGGTTTGGATGCGGCCTTGATTGAGCCTCTTCCAACCCTTGACATCACTGTCACCTCCCTACAAAAAATCCTCTCTGCGCGTACGACGTGGACACCACCTGTCTAATGACATCGAACCCTCCTCAGTCGGGCGTTCAACAAGGACAGAGCACCGCTACCACCTCCCCTTCGCCCGCCGCTTCCTCCCCCCTGGCCGCGACTGCCCCGGCGCCGTCCAGGTCTTACGCCAACGCCACGAAGAAGTCCGCGACGGACTCATCCGCCGCTCCCGTCACCGTGGGTGGCTCGGCGCAACATGGGAAGTCGACTTCCGTGTCTCCTGTGAACGGCAAACCCATGCAAAACCAGCAGCCCCAGCAGGCTGCCTCCGCAGCTTCGGGTGTCACCATCGTCAATGGCGCCCCGACTGCTCCTGCTGCATCCCAGGGCGACCACTCCCGGAAGCCCTCCGTCACCATCACTTCGGCCGGTACCTCGGGCTACATCCCCAACGGTGGCCCCGCCAGCCGTCCCAATAGCCTTCAGTTCGGCTTCGCCAACCAACAGAGCTCGCCCAACATGGGCAACCCGGCGCTTGCATCCAGCCAGTCGCAGTCCGGCCTGGGTGCTCCGTCTGCGAACCCGCGTGTGACTTCGCCTCAAACCTCTCCCTCTCCGATCCCACAACCCGCCTCGAGCGGCGGCCGCCCACCACCGTCGACCTATCAGGCAGGCAACGTGCCCAATTTCGGTAGCTTTGGAGAGGCCGGTGATAACAACGTAAGTCGTGCCTTCCCTGTTTCTTTTCTGTTGGCTCTTTTCGTCGAAATTTGGGTGTGCGCGCGTTGGCGCATCACGCGTGTGTGCGCGAGACGCGACCGCGCGAAAATTCGTCCCAAGACTCCCACGTTTTAACTCGTTACTCACATAGATGCGCCCAACTCCACAGGCTCCTCTCGGTCCCGGTCCTCAGCACCTCCGTCGCGAATCCTCCCAGTCGACCCACAGCGACATGAGCAACCACATGGGTTCTGGCCCCGGACGTGGTGGCTACCCTCACCAGGGCGGCCGTGGCCGCGGATACTCTCAGTCTAACTACCAGGGACAGCCCTACTCGCCCGGCCCCAGCTTCCGACCGGCTCCCAACCAGCCTCGCGGTGGTCCTAACATGGGTCCTCAATTCCACCCGAACCAGGGCCGCCCGATGCCTTTCCCGAACTCGCCGCATCAGGCGAACCGCAGCCCGGCGCTCTCCAACGTCAACCCTACCACTCCTCAGATGAACCCAGTGCCCATGGCCCATCCGCATATGCCACCCCAGGGCTATGGCTATAACCAACCCATGGGTCCCCAAATTGTGAGCCATCAACCCTTTCGTACCCTGAATATGAAACACGCCCGGCGTGGCAACCCCAGAAAGCACGGCGGCCGGGTCTTTTCGACACCCGGGGCCAATGCGCTCCCCAATGGCCATGGTCCCGGCAGTGGTGTCGACAATGACCCCAATTATGCCCCCAGCTATACCCCCAAATATGCTCCCACCCCGAATTTTAATTTTGCTCCCGAGACGGGCGAGTTTGAACGATGTCTAACTTGGATGAAAACCAATCAGGGCTACCCTCCTTACGATCCCAACTACGGCTACGGCTACCCCGGCTACAACATGCAGCAGGGACAGTACATGACCCCTCCCTCGCCTCAGCCCCGTCCCGGCATGCCATACAACCCCGCGGCCCCCGGATTCATGCAGGGCCAGTACCCCGTTCAGCCGCCGCCGCAGTCGACTCCTCTCTCGCGCACTCCATCTCAGGTGTCTGCTGACCGTCCTGGATCGAGCCTTGGTCAACCAGCTCCGGGAACCCCAGGTGCTAGTCACGCTCACACCGGTAGCAGATCGTCCAACAGCCCCGCGCCGAAGCCCAACTTTGTCATCCCCGCCAAGAAGAGTGCCATTGTCATCAAAGATCCTGGCAGCGGTGCTGTCAAGACTTTCGAGAAGACACCCGCTTCCCCGGCTCGCGCTACTCCCTCCCCCGTAAAGATCTCGACGCCGCCCACATCGACGCCGCCTCCCCGTACCGTTAACGCCGCCGATCACTCTCGCACCGAGAGCAAGGCAAGTAGCAACAAGACCGACGAGGAGAAGAAGCAGGAGTTGAAGGACGCAGTTCGTCAGAAGATCCAGGAGGATGAGGCTGCCCAGAAGCGTGAGGCTGAAGAGGCTGCTCGCAAGACCGCCGAGGCTACCAAGGCTGCTGAGCCCAAGAAGGAGGATACTGCCGAGTCTGCCCGTGCTGCTATGGAGGACCTGAGCCTGAAGGAGAAGGCCGCCCCTGCTGAAGAGCCCAAGAAGGAGGCTGCTGCTGCTGCTCCTCCTGCTCCTACAGATGAGGAAGAGATCGACTTCGACGCTATCGAGCGTGAGATGGCCGAGATTGAGGCCAAGGAGCGTGCTGCCGAGGAGGACTATAATCGCAAGAAGCAGGAGAAGAAGGAAGCTGCCGAGCGCAAGGAGCGTGAGGAACGCGAGTTCTATGAGGCCAACATGAAGAAGGCTGAGCAGGAGGCTGAGGAACGTGAGCTTGCCCGTGAGGCTGCTCGTGCCAAGGGCGAGACCACCAACGATGAGTCCAAGGATCTCTTTGCCTCTCTTAAGAAGGGCGGTTTCACTGCTACTGAAGCCTCTACCCCCGACAGTGGTGCTGCCACTCCTGTTTCGTCTGACATGGGTCCGCCTGCTAAGCCCGCCAGCGCCACCGGCAAGAAGCCTGCTGGTCTGAAGCTCGACACCCCCAAGCCCACCGAGCCTCTGCAGCCTAGTGCTGCCATGAAGTCTCTGCAGGGCGCGAAGTTCCTCGAAGACCTCAGCAAAATCACATACCCGTCCTCCATCACCGCCCCTAACGCTGCTTTGAACGCCGCCTCTCCCGTTGGCCGTCAATTCCACTACGACCGTGACTTCTTGCTCCAGTTCCAGGCTATCTTCAAGGACAAGATCTCTATTGACTGGGATGCTCGTGTTCGCGAGACCGTTGGCGACGCCGAGTCCTCATCCCGTCCCCAGTCTGCTCGTACCCCCAGCATGGGTGGCCGCGCTAACTCCCGCAATGCCATCGGAAGCTTCCCTGTCTCCAATATGGGCCAGTTCAACCAGCCGGGAGCGAACCGCCACAGTATGACTGCCGTCAACTCCTCCATGGGTCGCGGCGGTCCTTTCAGTAACTTCCCCGGTGGCCCCTCTCGCATGGGCATGGGTACTCCCTCTATGAGCCGCAATGCCTCCAGCATGGGCCCCATGTCTCCTCGCAACGCTTCCAGCAAGGGCGGCCGTGCTGGTTCCAAGCCTCACAAGCATTCGGCCAAGAAGGAGGAGGAGCACAACAAGTCGATGCCTCTCACTGCTGGTATGGATCTGAAGGCGCTGGAGGTTTCGTCTACTGGCTGGAAGCCCCGCAGCATCGGCGCCCAAGTGAGTGCCGGCCCTGCTCCTGGTGGTGAAGGCTACCTTGCTCCCGATGTCGTGCAGCGGAAGGTCAAGTCTCTGTTGAACAAGATGACACCAGAGAAGTTCGACCGTATCTCAGACCAAATTTTAGAGATCGTTTCTCAATCAAAGGACGAGAGCGATGGCCGCACTCTCCGCCAGTGCATTCAGTTGGTGTTCGAGAAGGCTACTGATGAGGCCCACTGGGCGCCAATGTATGCCAAATTCTGCAAGCGTATGCTTGAGAGCATGAGCATGGATATCAAGGATGAGAATATCCGCGACAAGAATGGAAACGTTGTTGCCGGTGGCAGTCTCTTCCGGAAGTACTTGCTCAACCGTTGCCAGGAAGAGTTCGAACGTGGTTGGAAGGTCAACCTGCCCGAGAAGCCCGAGGGTGTTACTGAGGAGATCGCCATGATGTCCGACGAGTACTACATCGCTGCTGCTGCCAAGCGTCGCGGTCTTGGTCTCGTCAAGTTCATTGGTGAGCTTTACAAGCTGGGCATGCTGACTGAGCGCATCAGTAAGTTTTTATTATTATCTTCCCTATTTGTCATGGGATTGCGTTTTGCTGACTTGTATTTTCAGTGCACGAGTGTGTTAAGAAGCTAGTGGATTATGAGGGCATGCCCGATGAGGCCGAGGTCGAGTCTTTGACCTCTCTCCTGCGCACTATCGGTGCTAGCCTGGATAACTCGGAGCGTGGTCATGCCATGATGGATGCCTACTTCGCTCGTATTAATCTTATGGTTGAAACACCCAATCTGCCCAGCCGTTTGCGTTTCATGCTCTTGGTAAGCCCTCTATTACTTTGAACTACGAGCATTGCTAACCTCAGATTTCTCCAGGATGTCATTGATCTGCGTTCCAGCCGCTGGGCTTCTAAGGATGCCGACAAGGGTCCTAAGACCATCCAACAGATCCGCGAGGAGGCCGCTCGCGCCCAACAAGAGGCTGAGATGGAACGCCAGCGCCAGCAAGCCAACCGTGGTGGCGGTGGTCGTCCCCAAATGGGTCGCGGTGATGCTCGCGGATTTGGCTACGGCCACCAAGCACCCCCTCCCGACTACGCCTCCAGCAAGGTCGGCAGTGACGATCTGCGTCGTCTCCGTGCTACCCGCACCAACCAACCCCCTTCCTTCGGTGCCTCCAGCCTGCTCGGCTCACGCAGCAGCAGCGGTCGCAAGAACCTGGGGCCCGGTGGCAGCCTGGTCCGTGGCAGCGACGATAGTGCCGCCAGTAGCCGCACCGGCACTCCCCCGCCGGCAAGAAGGAGGACAAGGAGGCCTCCTCGTCCATGAACGCTTTCAGCGCCCTCGCCGCCCTGGAAGACCGCGACAACATGGCCACTTCCCCGCCCTCCAACCCCACCTCGCCGGCTCTTACCAAGTCACAGCCCGCCAACGCCGAGCGCCGGCCCTCAAAAACACCATCGAAGGATGGCGAGAACGCAGCATAGATTCCTTAGGAGTAATGATCAACGTTTTCCATTTCTCTTGGTTCAACAAAAGATTTCCCTTTTCTTTCTTGTTTCTGCATGTTCCCGCTTCCATCTTGCTCCCATCACTGCGTCTGTTTAATCCCCTTCCTTGCATCTACCGACTGGTCGGGTTTTCGCCGCGGGGCCTTTTTCTATCCTCTCGTCTTTTTTCCCCGACGATTCATAGTGTACAATCTTCACATCTTTTTTTATTCTTCCATTACCTGTCGTGCCTCTCTGCCCAGGTGGGGTGTGAGAGTGGAGACGCGTTGCGTAGGATTTTTGCTACGAGCCTAGGGATTCTTTGCTGGTGCGACTGGTAGCATTCCTAGTGTTTGCGCGTGGCTTTGTATTAGGATATAGGAGAGGAATAAACGCAGTTGCTGGGGTTGGGTTTTCTGTTCTGGTCCTGTCGTTGATACCCGAGGTCTAAATGGGAATATGATGGATGCTTCTTAAGTCTCTCCGAGTAGAATATAGGTTGACGGCTTGCTCTGTGCTTGTTGCTGCCTTGTAAAGTGTTACGTATTGTAGTGCCAGACGGTCTTTGCATCTACCTTACAGTACACACTAAAGGATGGGAACATCAGGACACAATGATACTGAGAGATAAAAATTAATTTCTAGGCTATAGACGCTCGACTAGGCCGAGATGAATTTGGATGCAAACGAAGGCATTTCGGCATCAATTTCATACGTCCTCACACTCTATGTGTAGACAGAAACAGGGTGACAAGCGTCAAAGGATAGACGGACGTGCAGGGGTATTTTGCGCGCTGATGGGGTATATGGGCCAGAGGTAAGATGCCCTGGCGATGTACAAATGCAATTGCTCGGGTGAAATGACTGGTTGTGTTCACTTGTCCTCTGCCTCGGCTTTCTCGTCGTGGTCGTTCGAGACTTCGATCGTGGGGATCGAGACGGGATTAGCTGGATCTGGTGAGGTTGACTCGGTATCGTCGGATGAGTCTTCACTTGGCTCGTCAAGAGCTGCAGGTGTGAGTGGTCTTTCTGGTGTCTCTGTATTTTCAATGAGAGGCACGCTTTCCTCCGAACTGGCGGGACTGCCGAGGAGGGGGCTTTTCATTACCACTGCGTCGAGCGAGTGCGGAACCGGAGAAGAAGAGTCCGAGTCGTCATGGCTGAGGCTGCTGCGGTCTGAAACAGAAAGAGAGCTGCGCGAGTTGGCACGAGAGTAAGAGGCTGGAAGACCTAGCGCTTCAGCAACAGCGGCCTCTTCGTCGGGGAGTTTAGAAACTCCATCCTCTGTGCTGGAACTAGCGTCGAAAATGCGACTGCCACGCTGCTCGCTCAGATTGAGGATCTGGTTGTAGCTTTTGCGGGTTGGATCTGCACGTCGCTTCTTTTTCTTCTTCTCGCGCTTGGGCGATGGCCGAACCACGATGACCGGAATGGGTGATTGCTGCAGACAGTATTTGGAAACGGAGCCTGGCAAGAGACTGTGAACACCCTTTAGGTTGCGGCCGCGGGTACCGACCACGAGCATGGCAGGCTCGTATATACGGATCTAAATCGTGTCAGATAGATGATCGAATATGGGATAGTGCTCCTGAACTTACCATTCGCTGGATGATGTTCTCCACTTTCCCGACTGCCAGTTCCAGGACCAGGCTGATAGCCTTCTCGTCTTGGCTATTCTTCTGAATCACCTGGTCAAACAGTCTCTTCGCCTCTTGTCGATATTTGCCCTCCTCAATCCCCGCGTCACTGGCCATACGCGAGTCTTTCTCTACCGCACGAAGACAAACTATCTCATCGCCGTCATCAACAAGCTCATCCAGCAGCCACTCGAGTGCGAATTCGGAGTAATCATTCTGGTCCGTGCCCACCAGAAAAGACCGACTTCGGCGGGTGCTCTGATACCCTTTATGCTTGTAGTTGAGCGTCAAGGAAAAGTCTGGAGCATCTCGGTTGTCAAAGGTGTTGAATGAGACGCCCCGCTCATATGTCCTGGTACCAATTAGCATACTCAATCTATCTTGGATCTCTAGAGGAAAACGCACTTTGGCGGCGGTGGGGAGGGACCTCGACCCGCCTGGGCAGACCTCTGGTCTCTTTCCGCCTCCAACTCCTTGGGAGATGTATCTCCGTAGGAAACCCGTTTTTCCAGCGGCCGGCTAGGCAGCTGCGACTCTGCAGCGGCCACTTGGAACTGAATAGATCTCCGTCGGGGGCTGTAGCTCCTCGTTTTGTCCTCAAAAGAGATGTTGCGCTTGTGGTTGGTCTCTGCAGTCTGTGAAATGCTCTGGCTGGATTCCGGGCGCTCCTCGGACTCGAACGAAGGCTTTGGCGAAGGCGGGGCTGACATGGTTGTGCAGTGGGAGAGGTCACGATCGGCTAGATCAGAACCAGCCAAAGCGGCGTGTTTCTCGCAGATTGATGGGATAGGTGTCGCTGGAAAGGTGTCGTGTGATGCGCGGGGTAGTGTCCCTCCGAGCTGGGACTGGTGTTTCTCGTATAACTAAGTTGATCGCGCTTGATGAACAAGAGTCGGGCACGGTGCCAATGCTTCCGCCAAATGGCACGCAACGAGAGTGATTTGCTCAGACACGCATCTTAGCCAAGGTCAAGCTGCTGGTTCCATGAAAGCTCATAGTTTGGGCGTGCGGCTCTCGGTTGTTGAAGAGTGAGCCACCACCCGTGCGGAAGGCGGATTTGACGCTTGCAGCGAGGGGTTGCGCCCAGAAAGAGCAGGCGGTGAAATCTTATCGATAGCATGTTTAAAGGTGTTGATGTTTGTTTTCCATGTCAAGTTTAGGCATTTTGAGTATAGTTTTTGACACGAGGCTGGAGATACGAAAGAAAATTCCAAGGTTTACATGAAATGTTCCAGAAACTCTCGGGTGTCGAGCGTAGTTTACCTCACCCCTCGTATGCCTCCTATCTGCACGCCTTAACTCGGACGATCGCCATGGGCCAAACAGCCCTTTCAGGAAATACGATCCATACCCCATAATCCATAATCCATGAACTGTAGCTACCTAGGTAGAGAATAACCCGGAACGTCTCGAAAGCTTCAAGGAGGGTCAGCTGGATACCTGACTATCGATGGCGCAACAGATAACCAAAAACTAGGTTTGCAGATCCCGGGTTTTCCCTGGTAACGCAATCTCCTTGCCAAGTACCTTAGTTACTACCTAGTTATAGTCCATTGCTAGGCAGTCAACGGAGTGGTTACGCAGGGGACCTATTGATATGCCCAGACTCAATTATTGAAGCTTCCCCTCTCCCTGATACTGATCACATCCCGTGCCCATTCCCCACCAAGCAAACCCTTCACGGCACTAGTCACCCGAAGCGGAGCCCGCTATGCCGACCTAGCCGCGACGATCGGAGACTATCACCCGCTATGGCGTGGATCTATCCACCAGCGGTGAGCATCAGCGCCCAACTACGCTGCCAGTACGCTCTCCTGCAGCCCCGATCGACGTGTCACATGCACCGTTGGAGGTGCGTGGTTGGCAGTGAGTGTTCAATCGGAAGGTGGAGTGCATAGCTACTCCGTACACTGGGGCCTACGGTGCTGCTGGAAGCTGTACAGGGAAAGACAGGCATGGATTTGGGAATTTTGAACTGTTTTTGGTTTGTAATTTGTTGTATTTCTATATACATTTCCCGGTCGGATTTCCAATTTTCCCCGCCTTTTGGTAGTCTCAACCCGTCCACCTGGGAGGGGGAGCGCTACCCGGATAGATCATGAGATGAGATGCAAAACAAAGTGGTGTATAAAGTGCCATCAGGTGCGATCGTATCGCGTAACGCCTGGTATTAAGAAGAAAAACAGAAAGTAGAAAGAGAAGAGGCTATGCGTCGCTCCAATCATCGTTCGTCAAGCGTCAGGGTATCATAAGAGTCAAGAACATTTCGTGGTATACAAGAGAGAATGCAGAAGGGTGGATCGAAGGCAGTCGGGATTAATATGCCTCGATGAGCGTGCTCTCTTGTGTAACATAGAACTCTGACTCGAACAGATTGGGCTGGGACGCCAAGGGGATGGTGGTTGCGGAAGCCTCTTTCTCGTTGAATGTCTCAAGAGTGGGTTGAGGCGGGGAGGGAGGCGTGGCCTCGTCCTCGGAGCTGTCGTCCAAATCGGCGAGCAGCTCGGGTGGTGACTGCCGGGACGGGGAGCGAGTCAAGCCCAGCTCCTCCAGATCCTCGGCGTCGTCATATTCGAAATCAGAGTCGGTGTCATCCTCCTCCTCCTCCTCCAGGAGGGGCTCCGGCGCGGGTGCCACGGGCGATGGTGCCCGGCGGCGAACGGGAGTATTAATGACAAAGTCGGAATCGTCAAAGTCGGAATCGTCTTCCTCGTCGCTGTCACTGAGGTCGGAGTCCAGGTCGGATGAGTCCTCGCGATCCGAGTCCTCCTCGGGCACCTCGACCACGGTCGAGGTAGCGGCCCATTGGATGTGTCGGGGCTCTTCATGGGAGGAGGCCTTGGAGGCACCCCGGACGGTCTGGTTGAACCAATGTTCTTGCTCGCGCTCGGCATCGGCGAGGTCGACCATGAGAGAATCAAGGAGGTTGGCGTGGCCGACGAGCAGGCGAAGATCGTGATCCGCCCGCGAAGCCTCACGAGTGAGCTTCTTGCGGGCGGTGTGAGCGAGGTAGTAGGTTTGAGTGATGCTCATCTTCTTCTGTTGACGCCTCCGGAAGAGCGAGTCGAAGTAGGGGCTGGCGGCGGAAGCGAAGGAGGAATCTTCAGGAAGTGTGGAGGGAATTGGAGAATCCATGGCGTTTGATGTGTTTATGAGCTCAGAGGGGGATGACTCGTTCTGCCAAGGTGGTGACTCAATACTGTGATCATCCAGTCACGGGCGGCTATGGCGAGGCGGTGTACCCAAAGGTTGTTTAGTGTTTGCAGAAGGTCCTCAGGTAGAAACCAGGCGAGTTGGAAGGCTCAAGGTTCGTAGCAGTGTGATGGATATAATACTTGCAGTTGTGCTAGTGATCAGAAAGGTAACACGGGGGGACGCAGCGGATTATAAAATATGATTCTGGCTTATATTTTTTTCATTCCGTATCCGTCTAAAGTCCGGAACCCGATCGGAGCGCGAAGATCCCCACCCGATTTTCTATGTGGATCGACCGAGCCCGACTATCCGCTGAATAATTCTTTTTTTTTTTCCTTTTTCCCCTTTTTTTCCCCCTTACGGACGCTCACCGTACAGCCGGGGATGCCTTGCGCCGCACACCGCTATCTCGCTCGTATCGTAGGTAGCTATGACGACTGTAGACACTCACTGATATTGATATTACCTATCAAGTATCATTATTAGAATCCCTGCTTTGGAAATCCAATTAAATCCTAACTCCTGAGGCCGATGAACCCTTGTCACCGTGAGTCACTTTAACTCCGTTGATTCCGTTTTTCGCTGTTTGAACCCCAAAAAGGCCGGACCCACCCAGATGACCAATTCGTCCGCACGCAACGGCTTCTCTTTACGATCGAGGACTAAAGTTTTCCATCCGATTACTCAACCTTCCTCAGCTTTCCAAGGTCCAACCACTTCCCATCACCTCTTAAGGTTTCCTCCGCCATCCGCACAGCTTTCTTAAATGAGGATTTCCAATCACCGTAGACCTTGGGAAGTCGTTCGTGATGGTATTACCATACCATCGGGTCCTGATGACAATGTTAATGTCCTGATCCTGGAGAGGCTCTCGGACCCTTCATTCCATACGGAGTAATTCTGTAGTACGGTGAGGCTGCAATGTTATCCAAGGTTATCACTCTGCCTAATAGGGTTGGGGCTTGGCCTGCATTCCCCAGAGTCGCGGGCGCATAATCCCCTGCACGTTCTGCGCACAGGTCGACATTAGGCAAAGGCAGCGCAATTTCTCGAGACACGTACACCCCCCTTGGCGCGCCTTACAGCTCGCTGAAACGAGGGTGGATTCAGCACCGCCATTTCTCGAGGGCTGCGCCTCTCTCGCTGTGGAATGTTAGCTCGTGTTTTCAAAGCCTCGTGAAGGCAGCAAGAATGTCGAATGGCATGCCCAGAATGGCAATTCTTGGGAGCCTCGGTGTTCCCTAGTCCCAATGTAGAGCGCAGGTGGTTCGCGGTGGAGTTTGTCTCGCAGCGTATTCCATTTGCAGCCCAACGTCAACTTGGCTTCCCCACCGGAGCCAAAGTTGACTCGGCAGCCCTACGGGGATCACCGAGATGCGACTATCCTTTTCGAGTATCTTGGTGTCCCGGCCGAAAATGGGCCTATCCCTGCACTGCAGATTAAAACAAACACATCTCTGCATCATTTCATCCAGATCGGTCGCCGCCTCATCGACAGGCCCAGATTCAGCCTCGCCCGGGGATAGCTCTCGGAATGACCTCAGAAGCTGGAGTTAGCAATTGCTCGTATCAAACGCCCAACTCAACTCTTCTCCATGGTAAGTCGGGCAACACGGGCCATTCACGGGGTGCACCCAGAGACGCGCTCGGCCTTTGGTGTGCGCCCTCCGAGCCCGATCCACTCCAACTACTCGATGACATCAACCACCGCCCAGCTAGATGATCGCGATATGCGGTCTAGTTCATTGTTTTTACAAATGACGATGGCATTCACGTTAGAGGTCTAAGATGACTGATTCTGATTTCAAATACATCACCCCGGCCCTAGCTTGGTGCGCAGATGGGAGAAACAGTAATCATGCCTTACACCCTCAGGTGTCGACCGTTAGCTAAGCGGAAGACCCTGCCTCCAGGTGACGTCCATCTTCATTGAATAAGCTCATGCACGGTCACCTGGTTTCAAAAGTCCCGAGATATCCATCGATTTCATCCGAGGACCGGACGGACAACATCGGGCGATGGTGAGTCAACGAAAAATCCACCCGGAGCCTCGGCGATCGTCGATCGGCATCTGAAACCTCCGACGCCGGTTCCGTGCACCGAAGGGATCGTGGGTCACCCGCCCATGCACAACTTTATGCCTGGAAATCTCTGATCTACGATTCCACGTGTGGATGTGGATGTGGATGTGCATTTTCATTTTCCTGCCTGTGCATTCCGGGGCTGCATGGGCTTGATGAGCCATGAGCATAACATTACTCGGTGGGGCATGTCATGCGGTGTTCCCTGCTTTGCGAGCGTCGGGAGTCATCGGACTAGAGCCTGCCCTGCTGTGCATCGTTGTGCATTGGTGTTGTGCCTGTGTGGTGGTCACCTCGAGCAATCGAGACTGAGGCGATGGTCCTCGTGTGATGCTAACACTATTCAGACGTTCAAACTACAATTATGTTATGCAAAAATAATCCACGTCGTTTATCCTAAAGGCCGGATCTAATTTATATTTCGAGAGTCTCAATGCAAATGCTACCAAAAGGGCGTGTCTTCAAAATGTTGGTGCTTTCGAAAGACGGTCTTTCCTGATAAGCCCTAACTTCCTCTTGGCCGAGTCTCGCACTTGGGCTCCCACCTGGAGGACGCCGATCACGATATGCTGGACCAATTGCGGATTTGCAAGAGCGAATCTTCATAAAATGGTTGGAACGCTCGAGTGGGTTAGCGATCCCTCTGCTCTGTTAATTAGGTTCACCATTTGAATAGATAATGACATATCAGGAGTTGGAGTAAATTAAGCAGCCTCCGAGGACTTGTAGTGATGCGGCGAGTCCTCCATTTGGAGGCTCGTCAGTTTGTCTTAGTCGGTGTTGATTCTCAATCTCCGCTCATGGTGCAATGCTCAGCATTGTGCTGCAATATTTGGTGTAGTGCAGATAGTGAGACGGGATGCCGGTGCTACTTGAATATCCTCGATCATGCGACCCGATATATATTTATGAAATTTTCAAGCATCGCGTCTTCTCGATCTTCGGCCTGAACGCGGCCGTCAACAATTGGACTATTTCTTAGTGTGACTTGCTGGCAATCTCATGGCAGCAACGCAAATATCGGACCGATTGATTGATGATCCTTCTAGACCAAGCTTTGCAACCTTTTATCTTTCGTCATCCGGGGATAAAGGACGGTCAGACCCTATTGAAGGGGGTAGATACGCCTTGGTTTGGGTGCATCGCTCTTCTCGCCTATCTCGCTTACAGGAAGCTCGCCTTCTATAGTTGCCGTCTTAGCAGCATGGAGTCGTATAATATTTCCGAATTCTAATTTGATCGTAGGGGGAAAGAAGTTCTTTTGACTCTGGTGCACAATTGCATGTTCCGCCTCAAATCAAGGCACTAGCAATCTAGGGCCAACAAAGGGTCCAAGGCACAACACAATCAAGGGTTACGTGAGGGGCAGAAGAATAGAAGGGATTAAGCTCATGTCATTCATTAAAAGGAGCGGAATGCACCTTGTACTAATCCACGACCCTTCCTAGGTCTTTTTCAGCGTCGTGCGCAGGGCCCTGGGAGACACGCTCACTGCATTCCCGCTTTCATCCACGTTAAACTCAAACTCGTCAATTCCCACATTTCCATACACGTGCGAGTCGAGGGTCACCCAGGTAATGCATGATGAAGTAAAGGGGCCGATTCCGGGTGGCAGGGGTGGTGGTGTTACCGCGCGGAAGGAGATCTTGCCCGGGCTCTCGAGGCCGGTTGGGTAGAGGCGGATGCTGAGCTGCGAGGGGTCGTGAATGCCGTTCAGGGCCATGAAGGCAGTGAGCATGCTGAAGGAGTTGTTGATCCAGTTTGTGACGAGTAGTCCTGGTCCATCGTCGGTGGTAAGGGTGATTGAGGAGTTGGTATTGGCCAAAGTGTAGGTTCCGGCGAAACGCTGGTGTGCTTGGTTTTTGGCACTTTGTTCAAGGGCAGGGATCAGGATTGCTGAAACCAGGTCTGAGGCGAGTGCGAGTGATTCGTGGGAGTTGGCACCGGCGCCGAGAATTGTGAAGCCCACGCCGTGGTCTGGAGACAGGGCGAGTACGGATGAGTATACGCCGATGTCTCCAGATTTGGTGTACAGGTCTATAGGGCGCTCGTTGCCGAATGACAGGATTTCCCAAGGTGCCCCGACAGAGTAGTCCAAGGATGACGTGTGGGAGGCAGGTTTCATCCAGCGTCTGGTGAGGTCCGGAGGAAGAAGAGTGCTGCTGAGAATGGCGCGCCCGAAGGTGGCCATATCCTTTGCGGAGGAGTATATTCCGCCGGCACTAGAAAATGTGTGAGTTTTGTGCCTGACACCGATGGAGGACTGAATATACTTACGGTATCTCATCGCCCATTGCAAAGTTCCAGAATTCCAGGCCTCCTGTATTAGGAATGACACCGAGCGAGCTGTTAGGCGTGTTATAGAACGTTCGGCTGAGATTCAGTGGCATTACAAGATCATTTGAAAGAATCTTTTCGACATTATCGCCAGTTATCTCTTCCAAAAGATATCCGAGGATTTGGAAAGCAGCATTGGAATAGATCGGCGTTGACGATGTAGGGACAATAGGATGTTTATGGACCATTCCGTTGAAGAATTCTGTATAGAGCATGCTGTCAACAAGCAATCAGCAGATAGGGATCACTGGGACTTACGCTCCCTATTACAGGGGTTTGGCCTTCCACAAACAGGAATTTGAGGCTTTGGCAGAGGAGGAAACCCTAGTGCCTCAACCATCGAAGCCTGCTCGGTAAGGTCCAGGACGCCATCTAGGGATTTCGTCAGTTAGGGTCGCAAGGGAACCCGAGCAAGGGCCAAAGCAGAACCACTTACAGTCTCTTCCAATTCCAGCCAAATGAGTAGCCAGTTCTCCAACGGTCACTTCATCCCACTTGACAAAGTCAATCCCGTCATCCCATTGTGTGGAATTCCGAACGAGCTCAGTGACAGCCTGGCGCAACTCAGGAATGTACTCTGCAATTGGATCCTGTAGGGGATGGAAACCTTTTTCGATCAGGAGCATGATCATGGTGAAGAGCTTGGATGTGCTGCCAATGCGGAATACAGTGTTCTCATCGACCTCGCTCACGCCGAGAGTGGTGTCGATCTCGGCGGCAGTATAGGACGCGCTGAGCAGCGCACCAGGGTCATTTGCATCGAAGATTTGCAGAGCAATTGAGTCTGATGAGAAGTTCCCAGCATTGATTGCTTGCTGGATTGTCGCGGTGACATCGTGAAGAGCCTCACTGACCACGGGGTCCATGGAGATACCAGTTGGAGCAGGCCAGCTCGGGCCCAGAATAGGGCAGAGACGGATAGCATTGACAACAGAAGGGCACAATAATCCCAGGAATGGGAGTAGCCTGGTAACTGAATTCATGATGAAGAGGGAATTCCTTACTCCCGTGCTGTGGTGACCCGACGTGCTCTTTATGCGCCGCAATGTCACAATGATTAAAGTATTAGATTAGACACACACATGTGGTAGGGCACATGAATGAGTACTATATAAGGTAAAAGAGGACAGACAACAACTAGGAAGCATACCGGACACGGCTGGGGTCCCTGAAGGGTGGCAGGTATACATTCCGATTCGATTCTTACTGATCCTCGCCGGAATGTGGCCCCGTTGTTGCGCTAAATTCAATGCGCTAAAGTCAATGCGCTAAGTATATCAAGGATCTCAAGGACTTCTGAGGTTATTTCATTTATCGGTGCAATAGGGTGGTGTGTGAACATGCTTCCTCTTTCCCCTTCCACCCTTTCCAGGCACAAAGCCGCCGACATTCTTTGTTCTCCCGCATGAACTCGCCTGGAGTGTTATTCTCAGATTAAATCCCTCTAAGTATTTAGCATTGACTAAATCTGGACGAACAAGTTAAACTCGGTTTCACTTCCCATTCTATGGGAGTTGTAACGAACGAGTTGTGACTATAACTCTCCAGCGCCGAGAACCATATCATTTTCCACGGGGAGCAGTCACGGACTCCCCTGGCCCTCGGTAAATAACTAGGCATGAATGGACAAATTAACCTTCTAATGTGTCATAGCCCGAAGGACGAACCACTGCTGATCAGCTGCGCAGACCCGAACCCCCGACAAGGTCGCGACCTCGGCATCTGACGGTGTTCAGATCGGGGCCAAGGCACCGAATCCTATTCCAAAGTTGTATGGAGCCCCCAGACATTGAAATTCCGGGCACCGGGGATTCCAACGGTGGGAGCTTGCTCAGTCACACGATGGCAGAAGCCTCTATTGAATGAACTCCGACGCCGGCGTGTTTTCTATAAAGGGGCTCACCAGAGTTAGATTAGAAGCCATGACCGCTTACCAAAACTCTAATGTTTTCCCAGAACGTTGTAGTTACATCCGCGGTTCTTTCTACGACGAATGATTCGTATGTTAGGGTTGCATTGGAACGGCAAGCATAGTCATGGGTAGCCACGAACAAGTATACTTCCCCTGGACGGGTACAGATAAAGCTCCGACTACAACCAAACAACGATTGAAACATATGTAAATTTCTAATTCATTAACAAAGAAGCTATCATCATCATAACCAGAAATTTCTTTTTGCACCGAAATATCGCTGACATCACAAAACGCACTTCCAGCCAGCCAAATCTAGTGGTGGAACAGACGGACACCCTGCTGGACGAAGGTGATACCCAGCTTCTCGGCGGTCTCGAAGACGGGGGTGTCGTTCTGGCTACCGGTGGGGGCGGCAATGTACTTGACACCGGAGCGGGCGGCGCGGAAGACGTTATCGATAAAGGGGAACTAGAGGCCACGGGTCAGTACAAGTCAACTTGGGAAAACTAATTGGGGGACTCACGAAAGCGTCGGACGACACGGCGACCTCGCCCAGCTTCTGCAGCCAAGCATCGCGCTCCTCCTGGGTGAAGGGAGCGGGGACCTCCTCGAAGACACGCACGTACTCGGCGTTCTCAGCCTCATTGCGTGGGGTCTGGCCAGAGCACAGCAGGTCAATGGCGTTGCTCTTGTCGGCACGCTTGGTGCCCTGCTTCCACTTGATGTTGATGACGCGGTCGTGGAAGCGCATCCACCAGTTGTCGGCCTTGTCACCGGCCAGACGGGTGCAGTGGATACGGCTCTGCTGGCCGGCACCGAGACCGATGACCTGGCCGTTCAGAGCATAGCAGACCGAGTTGGACTGAGTGTACTTCAGGGCGATGGTGGCGACGGTCAGGTCGCGGAGGGCAGCCTCGGGCAGGGCCTTGGCGTCCTTGGGGGTGATGATGGTGTTGAAGGTCTTGCTGGGGGAGATGACGATGTCGTTGCGGTGCTGGGTCAGCTGCACACCGTACACGGTGCGAGTCTCCTCGGGGGCGGGAGTGTAGTCCTCGTCCATCTGGAGGACGAGGTACTTGCCACCCTTCTTCTTGGACAAGATCTCCAGAGCCTCGGGCTCGTAGCCGGCGGCGATGACACCGTCGGACACCTCGCGAGAGATGATCTTGGCGGTAGGGGTGTCGACGATGTCGCTGAGGGCGAGGATGTCACCGAAGCTGGACATGCGGTCGGCACCACGGGCACGGGCGTAGGCCTGAGCCAGGCCGGAGGACTCAATGCCCTTGATGTCGTCAACCATGTACACCTTGCGCTCCTTCTCGTTCAGAGGGACACCGATGGCAGCACCGGCGGGGGAAACGTGCTTGAAGCTGGCGGCGGCGGGGAAGCCGAGGGCCTGCTTAAGCTCCTTGACCAGAGGCCAAGCGTTGAGAGCATCGAGCAGGTTGACGTAGCCCGGGGAGCCGTTGAGCACCTTGAAGGGCAGCTTTCCCTGGGGCATGAAAGCGGAAGCGGGCTTCTGGTGGGGGTTGATGCCGTAGCGCAGAGAGAGCTGCTGCAGGCCATTGCCAGCGTATTCCTTGCGGAAGAAACCCGAGATGGCGGAGTCGTAGTCGGCGGTCTGCTCGAAGGCCTTCAGGGCATACTGCTTGCGGCTAGCCTCGTTGATGTTGCCAGCCTCGAGCTCCTTGAGGAACTCGGGGTAGTCGGTGGGGTCCGATAGAATAGTGACACGCTTGTGGTTCTTGGCCGCAGCGCGGAGCAGAGTGACACCGCCGATATCGATCTCCTCGACGGCCTCGTCGATGGTGACGTTGACCTTGGCGACGGTCTCCTTGAAGGGGTACAGGTTGCAGACGACGAAGTCAACCTTGGTGATGTTCTGCTCGGCGAGGTCCTTCTCGTCGGATTCGATGTCGCGGGCAAGGATACCACCGTGAACAGCGGGGTGGAGGGTCTTGACACGGCCGCCGAGCATCTCGGGAGCGTGGGTGATGGCAGAGACGTCCCTGTTGGACAGTGATTAGCAATGAGTTTCCATGATAGATACATAAAAATATCTAGTTAGATATCACTTTCTCCGCATAGAAAGCAAAAACACTCAATGCAAAAGGAAACTCACTCGACGGGGAAACCGGCCTCGCGGATCATCTTAGCGGTACCACCAGACGCAAGAAGACGGACATCCTGCTTGACAAGGCCCTTGGCCAGGTCTAGCAGACCAGTCTTGTCATAGACAGAGATGATAGCTGGTACGAAACCAACAAAGATTAGTTCAAGTACAAATGAAGCCCCGACCACCGCGTGGTAATCCGGGGAATGGGTATAGGCCAAGAACACCCACCAGACTGTTGAGACATGATGTCGACACTAGTGAGCTATTAGCAGGTGAAAACGCCAATGGAAATTCAATTGACACAATACGCACCTTGAATCCAAGCAACCGTATACAGAGGGGCAGCTCGAAGTGAAGAAAAGAAATATTTCGTCCCGCCGCGGGGTTCACCCTGCCGCAATCGGGGTTACCTTACCGTATGTCATTTACACCACTAACGGGATTTTCGGGCACGTGACTGTATCAGCTAGTGAATCACGTGCCCACACCTTCAAAAGCTGTTTTTCGAGCGGAGTTTTCTCTCTTTTTTTTTTCTCTTCATGAACAACGCAAAAAAATCACGTTCTTCAAAAGCGTTCCTGCGAGGACTTAGTGCCTATGAACCACGGAAATCGTCATAAAGAAACGGAGATCGAGTACAGCTTGACTGTACAGAGTCGATCTTGGGTGCAGTGCCTGCCTGACCTTCGGGTCCTGTGGAAGGAACTGCAATGATTGACACTACAAACATTCGTCTATATTCCCTATGATGTTGATGGGGTACGTAAATTACATCGCTCGAAAGCCAGATCTATTACAATATATGCAATTAAAATCTCTGTCTAAAGTCTTTTACCGGCATAGCAAGCCGTAGCAATCTCTGCACGCTCCGCAAATCATGTCCATTTGAGAAATTGGACTATCTCTGCGTTCCTGCTTATGGCTTCATGGTATTTCTGACGCCGGCTCCGATGGCGAGCTGGCGGCCGATGTTTCCAAAACACACGCAGGCGCAGAAAATGACACTAGCGACCCAGGTCCGGACCGCAATGCTTTCCTGTGTTATGCCCGCTCCCATCGCATTCTCCCATCCAGTTCCATTCAAAAATGTGGTACCCACCGACGGTCCGGTAGATGCGGGAATCATTTCGGGCTTGAACCCGAGGACCGCGCTCATGCCGGTGATGCCAACAGCTGCGGATAGAAGGAAACCGGTCGAAGTGCGATCAATCAGATACCAGAGGACGGGGTTCGCGAGGGCGAGGGTCAATGAAGCTTGGGTTGTAGATTGCCAGGGGAGTCGACGCTGAGTTAAAAAAAAAATTGGGACGTTAGTATTTTTTGCGCTAATTTTTTTCCCCCGAAGAGTGCCAACAACAAAGGGAATTGACTTACCATGGCAAAAGCAATTCCGACAAATGCTCCGATACTGCGAGCAACAGTCACCCATGATGGGGTACGCTCCTGTTCGTCTTCGCTGCCAGCCTTTGTCTGATCATCCTCCTCGCTCTCGCGCAAGCTATCCAGCCAGGGAAGAACATTCCCCAACGCGACACCTGCCAGTCCCCAAGAACCCAAGTATTGCCATGAGTCGTAGTAGTGGATGTTCTCGAGCTTGACAGGAGTAATCCAGTGGTTGTCGTGCAGGTGGACAGTAATCACCCCGTAAACAATTCCGAAGCCAAACAGCAAAGCGCTGCTCACTGCCTGCGGCAAGATGACACCACGGAACATCCCATGGCTAAGCCGCGAGCGAGTCCGTCGGAGGGCATACCGACGCGGCTCAGTTGCAGACTTCTCTGCATCGCGCTGCATGGGCTCTGGGGGGTGCTCGGCCGCGGGAGTGTGGACTTCCGTGCCCCAGGGGCTGTCTTCACCGCGGAAGCCACCGAACGCGGTGGGCTGATAGATTCCGTAGAGGGTCGAGGAGGTCAGGTTCAAGATGGAGCCGGTGCGACTGACGCTGGTCGAGGTCGATTCGGTCTCATGAGTGTTGGGACTCAGCAGATCGGCGCTGGAGGCGTCGGCGGGCGTGGGGGGTCCGGACGACTCATTAGAGGCAGGGGTAATCTCGAACGGGCGCCTGGGGCGTGGCCGCAGGATGCGAGGTTGTTCCGCCATCGTGTACGGGCGGTTGGTCTCCGGTTGTTCAGGTTGACAGGACCGTTGGCTCGGGGCGGACGGGATGCGATGGAGAAAACTAGAGCCTCCGATCGTCGACACGACAAGATCAAGCCGTTTCCCGCGTTTCCACTCGGGGGGGTTCCACGAATGGATCAAGGTCAGGAAGGACAGTCTCGCAGCTGAAAGCTGAAAAATCGGTCGTGCGACGCGTCTGAAGAGGGAAATAGGTGTCCGGGAAGGGTTTCGGAGGGATTCTCGGTAAGGCGGGCCACTAGGGCAACGAAGATGATGATACTATATGGTCGCAGAATGGCCAAGACGATAACGGTATTTCTCTGAGGCTTTGAGGGAATGTAGAAGAGAAGATCACAAGCTCGGCGAAAAAGTGTTGGGAAATACGTCAGACCACAGGCGCCGAGCCTTAGGAATCCGCCCGGTGCTGTTGGCAGAAACCTTGAACTTTGCTGTCCACTTTTGCTGATCTGAGTGGTTTCAGTTCCGTGTCTGAGTGTCTCTGGTGCTCGTGATGGGATTGCAGAATCAAATTGACTTTACATTCGAGAGCAGAGTCCCATGGGAAGCGGAGTAAAAGAGGGGGGTTTCACATGCATCTGAAGTCAGGCCATGCATCTCGTTCTCCGGCGTGCAGTCTGCAGCCTGCATCTGCAGTTTCATGGTAGCACATTGGTGCCCAGGTGGCGTTTCGACACACCCAGACTACGATCGACAACGGCCGTTTGGCTATCCTTGCTCGTATAAGGAGAGCGCGTGACCGACTCTCCGCAACCTACCCTCCATTCATTTACCGCAGCCTTGAAACAGCTCCTTGCCACTCTCTGTACTACTTGCAACTGGATGCGTTCTGTTTGTACCCCATCTCCGCCCGGTGGTTGGCGCGTGTCAAGCGCAGCGTGGATCACTTCCACGGTACCGGGTCCACTTCCCCTGGCGGGGTTGGTGTCCGTACTGGAGAGTCGACTCTTCATGTTCTTTTCTAGCTCACCGAAAACGGTGCGGTCTGGTTGTTGAGACGGGTCCCGAGGTCAAGATGATTGGAATAGGTGGTGTCAATATTCAGTACTCTGAATCCTTTGTATATTATGCCTGCAGTTAATGGTACCATAAAGATATTCAGCGTCAAACTGGCCATAGCTTAGCTGTAAATGTTGCTGTACAGTACTATACTAAGAAAAAATGACCCAGAATGTTCAATGTGCATAGAAAAAGTGTACCGAGGCACCCATGGATGAAGCTTTAAGGTGTGGCGACCGATGATATAGTTCATCCGCTTCCGTCGGCGGATTTCAGCCCGTGGACCCCGAACGTCGATCTTCCCATACAATCATAACATTGCAGACAGCAGTTGAGCAGCCATGCAGAATTGATTCTTAAAGCCCCTAGACTGTTCGCATAATGCTTTCAATCAATATTCCAAAATACACCACCCCCGACAATTACGAGCTGAGCGAAGTCCCCGTTCCAACGGTCGACAACCCCAAAGACATCTTGATCAAGACTCATGCAGTGAGCATCAATCCAATCGATGTCAAGAAAGCCTCTGGTGCATCGAAGCTGGTCTTGAAAGATAGGTTAGTACCTTTCAGATCCCCTACACAGCTCTTTTCCTGACTTGATATCAGTTTCCCATACAAAATCGGCTATGACTGCGCCGGCGTCGTTCAGGAAGTCGGCTCCGATGTAACTCGCTTCAAGCCCGGCGATGAAGTTTTTGCGCGGCTGCCGGAGTGCCATAGAGGTACTTTTTCTCCAGTTTTCCTATCTACAGTAATGGTACTGATGGGTTTACCAAGGAGCATGGAGCGAGTATGCGAAGTCTACGGAAGATTTCGTCGCCCCGAAACCAGCCGGACTCTCCATGGCAGAAGCAGCGTCTATTCCCCTCGCGGCGATGACAGCACTGCAATCCCTTCGGCGGTATCAAGGGAGCCTTGAAGGGAAGACGGTTTTCGTCCCTGCTGGATGCAAGTCCTTATCATTGATTATTCCAGAGTCAACATACTGACATTCTCATAGTAAGTGGCACCGGTCTATTCGCCTGCCAACTCGCAAAAAACGTCTTCAAAGCCGGCAAAGTAATCACAACTGTCTCCACGGCCAAAGTGCCCAAAGTCGACGAACTCCTCGGACATGGCGTCGTAGACGAGAGTAGGCACCCCTTTCCGTTGTCTACCACAATCCAACTTCACTTACTCAGAACCGCAGTAATCGACTACACAAAAACAGACCCGAAAACCAGCATTCCTGAGAAATCCGTCGACTTCATTTTCGACACGACAGCCAGTGCCATGGACTACCTCTCTCTCATGCGCCCGGACACCGGGACAATCGTGACTATCTCAATCCTCACATCTGGAGACACGCTCCAGAATTCAAGCTTGATGCGTCTATCGCCTGATCCCGCAGACAAGGCCGTTGTCCCGTTCCCGCTTCGCTTTGCGTTGAATGTGATGGATCGCATTCGCGTTGTGAGGGCTTCGCGATGGAAGGTTAATTACTTCTCCGTCTTTCTCGAGCCGAATGCGAAGGATCTTGATTTGGTGCGCGGGTGGGTTGAGGAGAGGAAGGTGAGGACTGTTGTTGGGACGAAGGCGCATTATAAAGATGTCGGTGCAGTGCGCGAGGCGTGTCAGAAGGTGTTTGATGGGAAGGGAGCTATTGGGAAGGCGGTTATCTTATTTGACTAGGTGTTTGGAAGATGTAGAAGTACAGGAAGATGTAATGTTGAAGCAAAAATGCCAGAGCAGATGAATTCAATGCCATCACAAGCGTAAGAATAAAAAAGTGTACAGCCCGCAATCCACAGGCCCTATATTATCTTAAAGTCACAGTGTACCCATGAACACCCGGTCCTGGGAACATAAATAAAGCAATCGAGATATAATCATCACAAAATCCTGGGCAACACCCTCAATCCTCCATTGCCTCGTCCCCGCCTTCACGTCGTTCGACTGCTCCAGACGGAACGGGAGATGAGCTTTCGTGTCGTGCATAGCCGTTTGGTCCGTCGTAGGTAGACGAATTCTCGTCATCGTCTGAGGAATCGTCCGAGGAATCACCGTCATCTTGTCCAGCGCGCGGCGGCATGTCATCGTCACCGGATCCCTCGCCGAGCAGCTCGCGGTCCAGGTCGTCTAGTTCACCTTCCATGTACTCATGCCCAGTGCCATGCTCGGGGTCCCAGGATGGTGTGCCCACCCCTGACACACCGGCAAGGCGACTGCGACCACCCTTCGGGCGTGCTGATCCGGGTTGCTTCTTGCCTCCTGGGGTTGCCGCTAGATTGGTGGACTTGCGCTTCGCAGCCCCGCCGCGCGAAGGTCGTGCGCGAGATCGGCTGTTGGCGGCTCGTACATCAGCCTCCAGGGCAGCCTTGGTGCGCTGTCGCTCCTCACGCTCCTGACGACGATCCTTCTTGGGCCCGTTGGCATCTTCGTAGTCCCAACGATCAAGCCGTCGAGATGCCTTGCGGACCACGGAAAGGAAGAAGTTCGCACTCTCGCCGAAATCGTCCTCTTCTTCGGGGTTCGGAACCAGGCCACCCTTGCCCCATGCAGACTCTTCCTCTTCTGTATCGTATCCGTCTGGCAGACCCTGTAGCAGGCGACCGTAGCGGACGAAGGGGATCTCGTTTTCGCGTTTGCCGCGGATTACGCGATATGCGTTGCTCCTCCGCTTCGCGAGTAGATATTCGATGCGTTGCCGGCGGTTCTGCTCGACGGCAATCTGGTGTTGTGTGAGAGGGCGCGGTCGACGGCCAGGCGCCTGGGATAGTGAGGGCTCGGGAATGAAGCGGTTCAGCACTGGGTGGTTCCCGGGAGGGGCGGGAGAAGCGTCGGGGGTGTGATCCATTCTGGTCTTCAAGATGAGACGTTGCTGGCCCACTGCCCGGTTCAGAGAGTCTTCGCGCTTGACTTGCTTGTTGCGTGGTCGAGCCATGCCCGGCGTGAGCTCGCCGTCGTCATCATCCAAGCTTCGCTTCGCAGAAGGATGAAGTGGTGTTGACATGGCGGATCCGCGGCCACCCATGCCAGAGTAGTCGCCTGCAAAGGAGTCTTCGTCGAAGCCGTATTCTAAGTAATTGAAATCAGATTCTGAAAAGGAGTGGTACAAGACGGATCACGACAGCTTACCTTTCTTCGCGCGCTTCGGAACCCGGGGGATTGGCTCATCCTCCTCCAGAATACCTAGCAATCATCAGACACGCTCACAGTTATAAGCAGACGCGGATACCACTCACGCTTGCGTTCAAGCCTCTTCATCTCTCCATACTCCAGTTCCTCGGGTGTATCTACATTCTCCTCGTTGGCCTGTTCTTCCGTTAAGCTCTCAAATGCCGGGACCTTCAAAGGCAATCCCTCGGCACCCTCGCCTTCCAGGCCGGGTCCGAACGGGTTGTTCCTCGCTGCTTCGGCGGTGAAATCGCTCTCCAGGTACCACCACATCAGCCAAAGGAATGCCCGAGCGCGGCTCTTACTGCTGAGTGTAGATCTCATGACCAGATCGAAGAAGTCGCGCGGAGGAAAGAAATGCATTTCCGACACCTTTGGCGCATATTGCGCCAGGACGAAAATGAGGTTGACAGGGTTTGTTCGGGGTGCATCCTGGCGCTTGATTTTGTCCAATGTATTTGGCTGGTCGACATCCTCAGAGGCGCCCTTAAGTATAGACTTGAGACGCGGAGCATCCTGCAGCTGCTTGTAGGCATTGGAATCTTGGTGGGCTTGAAGGGAAGGGATGGAGTGGTAAGTTCGCAACTGGGCACGCATTTCGGGGAAGACTAGAACGTGAAAGACAAAGAAGTTAGTATTGCGAAAAAAAAAAGATAAATGCCATAAGATAGAGGAAGAAAGGGCGTACAGTTCAGCGTGGTGTTCATGCGTCCGAAATTGACTAGCAGACAGACCATCGCCATACTTATGGCCGCGGGCTTATCATTCTGCAACTTGTCCTTGAGGATCTTGCTCGTCTTGCTGCTCCTCGCCATTGCGTCGATGTATATGTCGGCAAAGTCCAGGTTCTTCTGGCCGTCGGGATACCGCGTGAAGACGGGGGTCTTGTCCTCGAAGACGAGCTTGAGGAACTGATACTGAATATCTTTGCGCCACAGGGGGATGCCATCCTCCTTCTTGAGATGCCGGATCTTGTTGCCCGAGTAGACAGAGCCAATGGTGCCGTTGGCCTGGCGTCTCGTGCCGACCGTCGCGCTGGCGGTCATGCCATGATTCTGGTCGTCCGCAGCCTCGGACAGGGCGAAAGATTCGTCCATGGCGGGATTTTCGACCTCAGCCATCTTGGGTGATGATTGCGATCAGGGATGTGCGCTTTGTGCGAAAGCTCCTGAGGATCCGAGATTTTGGAGGGTCGAGGACGGTGATGTCGCCCCCTTAGGAGGCGCGAATAGATCGTGAATGCGCGGGAATCGAGATAGGCGGGAACGTTAAAAGGGTAAGGGTGAAGGGGAAAGGGAAAAGGCGGGGGAAGAAGGAGAGTAGAAGATGCAGGGGGAAGGGAACGGAAGACAGAATATTGCCGAGTAAAGGCCTCGAGACTCCGTTCGTGGATTTAGTGGTGATAGCTACCCGCATTCACCGCGTAACGTCGTCTCTAGTCTCTCCGTACTCGGTACCGCCGGGCACACTACGAAACCAACCCTCCATTCATTCACATGCTCCGATTCAATTTTGATAGCGTATTGCAGATGCTATCTACGATGAAACTACCTAGCTCTGAAAGCTATGTTTCGACAAAGGATACAGAAAGAGCCCAGTCATTGTACAGAGTATACATCTACAGCTACCAAAAAGAGTTGAACTGGAAACACTTTTCAAATTGCATTGAAATAAGGCTTTCCTTCTCGCGGCCTCGCCCAGACCTTCTGCGTCCTCCCGACTCGAACCATGCGAAAAAACATGATACCCGTGAGCGAAACATTCATTCAGCGCCGGCGACATCCCATCCTCCACGGTTCCGAGATGCAAGGAAATGAAGGAACCCATGTGGAAAGCCTCCACGAGAGGACATGTAGTCGTCAAGCCAACGCCATACAGAATGCAAAAAAACCCCCGTAAATCCATGCAAAGCAACGACAGCAACTTACCCACCGAATAAAAGCCGAAGCAAAACTTCAGAAACGGGTATATCGCCCAGTCGGTACATTGCCCACATTAGCCCGGAGAAAGAAAGCGCGAATTTTTGGTTTTCGAATACCGAATTGACCGCAGAACACACGAGGGCATCAACAGAAAGAAGAGTCCGCCATAAGATACCGACGCTGTCACAAGTCTATGCAAAGGCATAACACAGCGCCGAGAAGATGGATGCAGATGTAGTAAAAGCACTTTTCGAGGAGTGTCGAAAGCCGGCATTCTCCGCTCGGCGCACACGCGTCGATTCGAACGTATCCCCCCGTATTGGGGGCGGTTCGAACAAAAGGGGTATCTGATGAGAGCGGACACAAAAGACAACGCATTCTATGATGTTCATGCAGCGCTGATCACCTGGTTGCTCGAAAGAAAAAGGAAATTGTCATGAAAGTCATGACCAGGGAGCAACAAGAAAGAGGTAATCAGAACTGCTCGAACGCCCCGTGTCTAAACAAGGCCAGATTGAGAGCTGTTGAAAACGTGCGAAATGCAAAGCAAGTAAGACAGATACAGGAAAAGGAAGATAAAAAAAATCAGAACGAGCACGGAGATAACAGGGAAAATAACGAGAAACGGCGCATGAATCTAAAAAATAGGAAAGTCGTGGTAGTCGTGACAAAGCCGTCCCTGAGAAACAGCGAGGAGGAAAGAACTCAGGGGCGCGTTCTGATCGTATCCGTCAAACGAGAGACAATAAGGAAAAAAGAAATGGGAGCCAATCAGACCTGACGGCCTCGTCATCAGACCACGACTGATTTACCACCAGGAAGAGGGGCCGGTAGGGCCGGAGGGGTTGCCGTAGCTGCCGCCGCCGCCGCCGCCGCCGCCGTAACCACCACCGTAACCACCGCTGGCACCACCGCTGTAGGAGGGGGCACCACCCATGCTGCCACTGCCACCGTAGGAGGGAGCAGCGCCGTAGGCGCTACCGCTGCCGAAGGTAGAAGCGGCACCACCCATGCCACCACCGAAGCGACGAACATCACGGGTAGCGTTGGAACCACCACGGCCACGACCGCCACGGCCACCACGGCCGCCACCACCACCGTAGCCGCTGCCCTCACGGGCAATACTCTCCAGGAAAGCGGGAACCTCCTGGTGAGCCTCCTTCAGGAGGTCGAGCAGGTCACGAACAACACCACGGTTGCCGCGGTTGAAGAAAGCAGTGGCGATACCAGTGTTACCGGCACGACCGGTACGACCGATACGGTGGACATAGTCATCAATGTCGGTGGGCAGATCGTAGTTGATAACGTGAGTGACGTTGGGGATATCCAGACCACGGGCAGCAACGGCGGTAGCGACCAGGATGGGGCAGCGGCCGTTACGGAACAGCTCCAGAGCACGCTCACGCTCACGCTGGGTGCGGTCGCCGTGAATGGCGGTGGCAGGGAAGCGCTGGTTGATGAGGAAGTCAGACAGCGAGTCGGCCATGCGCTTGGTCTCGACGAAGATCAGAGTGAGACCGGTGGTTCCGTGGGTGTGGAGAATATCCAGCAGGACGGAGCGCTTGTCCATGTCTTCGACGTACTCGACCTTCTGAGTAATGTTCTCCGAGGTAGAACCGACACGGCCAACCGAAAGGAAAATGTAGTCCTTCAGGAAGTCACGGGCCAGCATCTGGATATCACGGGGGAAAGTGGCCGAGAACATGAGAGTCTGGCGCTGGTCAACGGCAGGCATGTCCTCACCCTCGACAATGCGGCGAATCTGGGGCTCGAAACCCATGTCCAGCATGCGATCAGCCTCATCGAGAACGAGGTACTTGATGTTCTGGAGCGAGATACGGCCACGCTCAATCAGGTCGACGAGACGACCGGGGGTAGCAACGAGCAGATCGCAGCCACGCTCGATTTGGCGCAGCTGAGAGCCAATGTCGGCACCACCGTACACGACACAAGGGCGGACCCACGAGCGGTAGGCGAACTTGCGGGCCTCGTCGAAGATCTGAGAGACCAACTCACGAGTGGGAGCCAGAATGAGAGAGGTGGGGTAGGCCTTCCGCTGGCGGCCGTAGCTAAACTGGCCACCGCCCTGGGCAGGAGCAGCGGAGGGGCCATTCTGGAAAGCCTGGGAGAGGATGGGGAAGAGGAAACCACCGGTTTTACCGGAACCGGTCTGAGCGCACGCCATCAGATCGCGGCCGCCCATGACAATAGGGATAGAATACTTCTGGACGGGAGTAGGGGTGACATAGCTGGCGAGACCGATGTTGGTGATAAGGTGGTCATCCAGAGGGGGGTTGGTGAAAGAAGTGACGGGGTCGGGGACATCCTGGCCGGATGCCTCAACGGGGATGTCGTCGTAGTTGGAGAAGTTGATACCGGTGTGCTGCTTGTTCGGGTCGTTGGGGATACCGAAGAGCTCACGCTCAACGCGAGCGTTGACGGGGCCGGGGATGTGCTTGCCGTCGCGCCACTGGCCATCACCAGAGCCACGGGCTTGAGAGCCACCACCAGCACCAGCACCAGCACCAGCACTAGCACCGCCGCTGTAACCTGTGTGACCGGGATATCCGTAAGCATATGGGTCGAATGGCCGGATTTCTCCTTGGGGGATCCAGCTGGGATTACCATTGGCAGGGCCGCGAGGGCTGAAGTCGGGGGCGCTAGCGTTCGCCCAGTTGCCACCGCGAGGACCGCCTCTAGAGAAACAATTTTGGGTTAGTTTAAGACCTCACAAACACAGGGTATTGGACACTGTACCGAGGACCACCGTAGCTAGGGCCAGGAGGAGGGGCAGCGCCGTCCATGTTGCTGGCGCCCATGCTGCGCTGGGAGTTGCGGAGGTGAGGAGGGATGTAGGCGGCACGACCCTGACCCTGAGGGGGGTTCCCCTGGGGCGCGTGCTGGGAGTCGTTGATGGACAGGTTGCCCATTTGGAGACCGTCGGCCATGTTTGCGGTTGTTGCGAAAGTCTACAGGGGGGCAAGATGCTTCGCGTCAGTGACTGGCCGGGGTGACAAAATTTGAGATTTTTGGTGACGAAGGGAAACAGATATGCAAACAGTTTTCTTGGCTTCACCGAGGAGAGATTCGTCGATTCGAAGACACAAGCAACTTTTCAAGCAAAAGAGTCTCTTGCGAAGAGGAAGAAATACCTTTTATGAAACGAGAGAGAGCGAAGAAGACGGAGAAGTTCTCACTTTTTTTTTTTTTTTCCACTCGTACAGCGTCAAGTGGCAAAAGGACAAGAGAATGGTAGGCAGGAGAGAAGGACAAAAATGCAAGTCTCCCCAAATCTAAGAACTCTATGAGCACCGAGAAAAAAAAGAGAAGGAGGGATGAGTTGGAAAAAGGGATGTGAAAGGAAGAAGACGTCGGCAGGTTTTCTGTGGGAGGCGAATCGTGCCCAGGTGTACTTGGTTGACCTTGCACCGCAAGCCCGTACCACTGCGGTATATTTTCCTTACAAGGGACTCGGTACTGTGGTACACCGCGATATGGTTCCGGTATAGGACTAGTGCCATGTACTGACCCAGTAAGAACACCGTATTGATACACAGGTCAGATTTTTTTCTGACTCGCCAGTTGCTGAGTCTATCTGACTAAGGCAGATCAATGAGCGGTGACTGGCCGTTACATCGTATACTGTCAAGTTTACGGTCCTTCGTACTCGATACTTCTACATGGGCACACGGGCTATATAGTATAGACGTATGTCTGTTGTTCCATCTACGTACTTCTCTAAGCGTCAAACTCCTTCTCATTCCGCTGCTGGCCGTTGCGGCGGACAAGGTAGACGCCCACCACGGCAACGATCACCAGCAGGTACCACACCGGTCGCATCGAGTAGAAGGGCATATTGGACTCCTCCGTGGGAACTTCTGTGCTGACTTGCGGTTCGTCGTCATCGTATTCTTGGAGATGCATCGTCAGCCACCGTCAACCAGTAGCGGAGGCGCAGCACGAGGCCGTCGCTGATCTACAGTTCGTCGCGGCTACCTTTGTCCTCGGAGTCCTCCTCCATCTCCAGCTCGCCACTCTTCACGATCTTGACGGTGTCCTTGGGCTTGTCGCCGGGGCCCTTGGCGACGTTCTGGATCTTGTCGACAATGTCGTAGCCCTCGAGGACCTCGCCGAACACGACGTGCCTGCCATCCAGCCACGAGGTGATGGCGGTGGTGATGAAGAACTGGGAGCCGTTGGTGTCCTTGCCGGCGTTGGCCATGCCTGGGTATTCGTTAGCTTCGCCTCATAACAACCAGCACCGGGGTCTTTCGTACTCAGAAGACCCTTGCGGGTGTGGCGGATCTTGAAGTTCTCATCAGCGAACTTGTTGCCGTAGATGGACTTGCCACCGGTGCCTAAACATCCGATTAATGTCACCCAGTATATTTCCCAGGGGACCAGTACGAACCATCGCCCTTGGTGAAGTCACCTCCCTGGATCATAAAGTCCTTGATAACACGGTGGAAGGTCGAGTCCTGGTAGCCAAAGCCCTTCTCGCCGGTAGCCAGAGCACTGGAGGTGCATTAGAATTGACCATAAAGGGGAATTGTGTTCGATGTCATCGTACCGGAAGTTCTCCGCAGTCTAGAAGATTAAAAGTCAGTCATCATCCTCAATTGAACACGAACCCGAGGGAATCTAAACTTACCTCGGGGACAGTCTTGCCGTACAGACCCATCACAATGCGACCGAGAGACTCGTCGCCATGCTGGATGTCGAAGTATACCTAGGGACCACCTATCAGCTTTGCTAGGACACTAGCAATGAGCCCAATTACCTTGCTAGTGATCTTGGGACCACGAGGCTTGGCCTCCTCAGCCTGGACCAAGGCGAAACCGACGGCGAGGACCAGGAAGAGGGAGAGGAAAAGGTTGCGGAAATACATGGTTGCTAATTGCCACTCGAGATTGCAATGGAGAGAGGAAAAGTAGGGAGGAGAGAGGGGAGGCCAGCTTGCGCAATGGCGTGCGGAGAGTACACTCCTGTTGGTAATATTTTCAATACAGAGACGGCCTCTGAAGCGGTGGCAAGGGTTTATTACAATAAATACAGTAACTTGTTTTGCAACTTTGGTACATTATCTGAAAATAATCACCCGGAGAAACATTGTTGCCGGACGATTTCTCTCGCGCTTCCCGGCCTGCGACTCGATCAGATCCCGAATCAATTAACAGGCAGCCAGGCAAGCCAAAATGGTACTGTACTCTCCTGCAGCTTTTATAAATTCATCTCAACTAACACAACCCCTGCAGGTCTTCATCCTCGGCGTCAATTTCCCTGAGCGGAACCTGCTCAAGGTCAGCACACCCTCATCTACACCACACCTCCGACCCCAACACTCCAGAACGCCCAATTGACCAGCCACTAATACAAATGCACATACAGAAATCCCTCGAGACCTTCTTCGGAGTCGGCAACAACACCTCATCCCGCCTCCTGGCCCGTTTCAACATCCACCCGACTTGCCGCGTCGGCGAGCTGGCCAACAAGCAGGTCCTCGACCTGACGGCTGTGCTGTCCGACATGAAGATCGAGAACGACCTGCGCCGAGAGGTTTTGAATGATATCAAGCGCTTGAAGGAGACTGGTACCTACCGTGGTCGCCGTCATGCGCTCGGCTTGCCGGTGCGCGGTCAACGCACACGGACTCAGGTTGGTTCTCTCTTTCGCTTTTTACGCCATGTTATTGGGCGCCTGGGACTATGATTTACCACGCGGTATTGGAAGTGTCAAGTCTCGGCGTTTCAAGGGCATGGGATGAGAGATGCAGGCAATTTTGTCTTATGACATGGCTAACCACTTTGTAATAGATCAAAACCCCTGTCCGGTTGAACCGGATGGAGCGTCGTCTCTGATTCTGGCGGCAGTGTCATCTTTTTTGAAATGGGTTTTTTGGAACAATCTCACGTCTTGTGAGGGGCATGGGAATGGCGTTCTGTTGATTGCTGGCACTCGATATCTTTAGCCAGCTTTGATGTCAATGTACCTACCTAGGTAGAAACATCTGTATTATATCTCCAATGAAATGGAAGCAATAAACTACACCTTGGAATACCTGGGCACTGTTCACCTGGGCAGTCTAGAAAAGAAATTGGTAGATCGAAAGTAGAGTACATTTACACTTTGACATATATCCACATGGGTCTAAGAGAAAGCTGAAATCGAGAACAGACGAGCAGAAACTTTTAACCAAAACCGAATCTCAAACGCCTAGCCAATATGTGCAATCTACTGCTTCGAGGACAGAACACCCTCGCCACGGTTGATCTGGATGCGCTTGTCTTCGCCGGCACTCACGATGCCAACCGCCTTGTCCCAGCACACACTGAACACCTTTACGCCCTCACCCCCGACACGCTTGCTGTCCGCCTTGCCTTCCTCCTCGAGGCTCTTGCGGCCGATCGAGTACACGCTCTCGCCGACAACACCGTCCTTGTCGGTCTTGGTGGAACGGATATCCCAGATTCGGCATGTGCCGTCGTGGCTACCACTGATAAGGCCGTAGGTGCTGTGCGGGTCCCGAGCCAAGCTCACGACAGCGTTTGTATGTCCACGGAGTGTCAAGGCCGCAACAGTTGTGGCAGATGCTCGCGGGTCGATCAGGGTGATGTGTCGGGCAGAGGTACCTGCTGCCAAGAGGTGGTGGTCGGGAAGGTGCTCAAGAGAGAGAAGGGAGTGGGAAGTGGTGCGGGTGTCAACAAGAGAACCGGTCACGAGGTCCCAGGTGCGTAGCGAGTGATCCCACGAGACCGAGTATCCGACAGTGGAATCTCTTGCGTCAAAGATGGCGCCGGAGACGGGAGCGCTGTGGCCCGAGAGAAGTGACAGAGGACCGCGCTGTGCGGTGCTGACGGAAGTGTTCAGCTTGCGTCGCTTCGAAGTTCGGCCAATGCTAGATGGGAGCAGGTTCTCCGGGGCTGCGGGGGCATCTGCCTTCTTCGTGGACCAGAAACCGACGGTGTGGTCGGCCGAGCCCGTGAGCAGACGGTTGGACGGCGCATGCACAGCCAACGATTCAATGGCGGATTTGTGTCCGTAAAGCTCCAGTTGAGGAGTAATCTTGCCAGAAAACTCATCATCTTCAGTGTACTTCCACAAACGAACAGTGCGGTCTAGGCCAGTGGACGCAATCTGGTTGGGAGACACGAACTTGGCGGCCTTGATAGACGCAGTGTGTCCACCCTCCGCGGGAGCAGGCGAGGTCGCAATGATCTCCGACGACATGTTCCATATCCGCAGCAGACCATCGTAGCTTCCAGACAAAATCCTCTCTTGACCCTTGGAGAAGGTGGCGCCGGAGGCCCAAGAGGCGGCGGGCGAAGTTTCAGAGAGCACGTCCGTGGCGCTGACCCAGTCATCATGCTGGAAAGATGCAATGTGAAGCGGCGGAATGAGAGCTCGGACATATTCAATCTCGAGTGTAGTTTCGGCAGAGATACCATTGGCGGTCAGGTATTCATCAATAGAGGTGCGCAAAAATGTTCCGTTGATCAAAAACTCGAACGGGATCGGCTTCTCGCTGCTCAGAAGGTTGTTCACCAGGGTTGACAGAGCATATCGACGCAGACCTAACAGATTTACCCAATTAGCATGATGAAGCCTCTGGGAAATTCCAGCTGAGCTGTAAAAAGTTCTTACCGGTGGGAACAAGGATGGGACCGGTGCTCTCAGGCAGAGCAATATCCTCCTGCTGGCTCGTGAGCTGCACACGAACCTGCCTCTGTGCAGCCTCAGCGGCAGACGAGACCTGTTCTTCACTCATTATGGGTGAAAATGGGGCAAAGTGGCCGTTTCTGAACTTTCCTCTGGTGGCTGTCGCAAAATGAACGAGATTGCGCGGGTGAGGAAAAAATACGGTGACCGGTGCGGCACACTACCGCAAAGCGCGGAGATGGCCCCGCGGTATGTTCGTTGTCTACATGGTACTACTTGCGATAACTGAGGTGTGCTTATGTATAGTATTTATATTGCATATGATTATTATACATGGATTATCCCCGAGGAGCCCGTCGAATCTCGGAAATGGCACGGCGACGATGGTCGGACTCCGCGAACAGTGCTTCGATGAGATCGACGACCTCGTCAACAGAGAACTCTAGACCTAATTCGCCCTCCAGCCACAGGAACTTGATATCGGCTAGGGAGCTCTCCAAGATGTTGACCAGGTATTGGAATCGAAGCCAGTTCGGTACGTACACGGCAGTAACTGGTAGAGCTTCGGCGTCGTCGGTAGTGTCGGGCATGAAGAGATCCTCCAACTTGGACACCTGGTTGCAGAACGACACCAGTTGCTTGGACTGATCTTCAGAAATGTCGCCCAGATCCTCGACATCGATAATGATCTTACTGACCACCGTAGACAGCAGAGATCCAATGGACTGTAGCAGTGCGGAATGCGACAGAATGGGCTGCCACTCTTTGTAGACATCGCGAATTCGGTCAACAGTCGCACTGACAGCGTTCTCACACTCAGATTTGTACGGCTGATCTGAGCATTGGCTAAACCCTTGCGCACCATCGAGAAGGTCTGTCACAATGGTGCTCTGCGTTTGCATATCTTTGCTGTAAGCAAATTTGCCGAACTTCTCAAGAGCTTCCACGTCGGAACCCAGCCTGGAAAGGCCGTGCTCTTCCATCAGCTCCCGAATTAAACCGGCAAGATAGAGGCTGTCGTTGTAAAGATACATCTGCCCCGAGTTGAGCTTCAGTGAATAGAAGGTGGACGAGGTTGCCTTGAACATCGCCAGGATCAGCGTTGGCAATGCCAGCAGACCAGTGCCGGATGAAGAAACGCGAGAATTGAAGTGTCTATATGCCTGTTAGTTTGTAGCCTTCGGCATTTCTCGAGTCCAACACTTACGGTGGCCGGGAAATGTCCTCGGAATCTGCGATCTGCTGCTGAATTATCTTGAGGACAGAATCCGGGATATCGGTAACCGTATAGACCTCCCTCAAAGTGACCTCTCTAGGGCTTGCTCCATTCGCAGGCTTCGATTCTGCGGCGCGCTGTGATGGTTGGGGGTTTACACCCTTCCCATCCTCGTCGTCATCTCCCCAACCCCAGGCGTCATCTGCATCCTCTTCGGTTGGGGCTGGGGCATCTGGCTTGGTCTCCTCCTGACCGTCTTCGTCCAATCCCCATGCATCAAGATGATCATCTTCTTCGGGTTGACCGGCTTTCGTTTGCTCAGCAGGTGATTCTTGCTTCTCGTCATCCCAGCCCGCATCCCAATCGTCGTTCGTGGCATTCTCAAGCAAGGCCCCATCAGCTTGAGAGACCTTCTCAATCTCCACCCGCTCAACTTGCTTTGTAGTTCCTTTGCTGGCCGCAAGGACCTTGCGTACACTGTCAAGTGAGTCAACCCGGCGACGAGTTAGCCACAGTCGAGGGGCTTGGTTAACCCAAGAAACGAGCTCTTCTTGCCCGCTCCACCCCCAAGACTCAAGGGTCTTTGTGAACTGCAAAACCTGGTCCAGGGTAGTCTCGAATTCATCCAGGCCAATGAGATCTGTCGGGATCGCAGATGACAGCCAGCCGACTATCATTTTTGAAGAGACAGCTGAAATAAACGATTGAGACAAAGCAGCTGACATAGAAATGGGAAGGTTCTGTCGCAGGTAGTTCAGAAGTTCCGTCATGCGATTAAGGGTTTCCGTGACAGTTGCCTTTGAAGGCTCGGACTCGACGCGGATACCAGCCTCGGTGACAGCAACAGCATGGCTCGTGCCGTCTTTGCGAGGCAACAAGATTGGATCAATAACTGCCAAGGTGATGTCCTTTTGGAACTGATCACTGGCGGACGTAAAAATATCCAGCCGTGACAGCGCACCAATTGTATTCTCTAGAGAGTCTGCACCCTCCTGCTTGGTGACCTGGAACTCGCCTTTTTGCCGGTCAACCTTCAACTGCTCACTCCAGCGCAGACGTAATGCCTCTTCAATCTCCTGCCTCAATCGCGACACTTCAAGGGACAGTATGCTCATCACATTCGTGTTCGTAAAGAACGAGTCTCCTCCGATGGCTGCATTTGTGGCCTCCAATTGGTCAATCGCGGTGGTTATCTGGCCATTCACAAGGGCAGCGCGCCCGCTCTCCAGCTGTTGACACAGTCGTTGGACTTCCTCCAGGGTTTCTGCGACAGCCTGATTGAAGGCTATTTCCGTCTCGATCAATCCCACTTTCGCACTGGCATCCTCAACCTTGGCTTGTAGAGGTTTGGTGTGCTCATGTTGGGCAACAATCTCCCGTGCGGTCACTCGCGAGCGTTCAATATCGGCGTGGAGTTGTTTGGCCTGGATGATCCAGTCGTCGGCGTCGAAGGTGTTCTCGCTGCTGAGGGAGCTGATCTCATTCTATTGACAGATACACGAGTTAGCAAAGGCAAGAGAAAGGCTGCCACTGGTGTCAACGTACCTCAACTTGCTCGCGGGCCATGGAGATGAGCTCCAATTCCTTCGCGAGAGCCGTCACGGGGAACTCGGCGGAGACAACATTCTCCTCCGGGTAGCTACCCTCGGTGACGAAGTTGAGCACCGGCTGGCACACGGATTCAGATGTCTGCAGCATGCTGGGAATGTAGAGCGCTACCGTCGTAAAGAAGTTGGGAGAGTTCGGAGATGAAGCGGCAAGCTGTCAACAACCCGTGACTTAGGCGTCACCGCCCCACGTGTATGAATACGATTCGAAATTGAAGCTCAAAAAAGAGGTGAAGTTGCAATAGGGCTCGATATAATTTCGCAGTCTGAAAATCTATATAAACACACTTACATACACAAGCAAGAGAAGCTAGAAAACACCGTTCGCTTTGTAAGGAACGGGACCCAACTTTGAGAACCCTGGAACGTCTGGGAAACTCCGCCTGGGCCCAGCACACTCAGGTTCTCCAAACTCCCAAATCCACCGTGTCTCGCTTTTGCCTGCGCGGTCTGAGTCTGGTGAGAACTACTCACTCCTTGTAAGTGAGTCTCTTCCTATCGTGCTTTGCTATGAAATCAATACCGTCCCTCAATCTCTGTCTGCCCTGCCGTCACACACTCGACCCGTATCGATGAATCTCTGCAGGGTACATCGGTCGGTGATCGCCTTTGTGTGTGCTTTGGTTCCAATTTTACTATTCATATCATGGACACGGTGCATATGGCCCCTCGAGAGCCCCGCGTCAAAATAATGTCTTTGGTGGAAGACAATTTGATGCCCCTAACCCATCCGAAAAGTGTATATATTGGAAGAAAATAGCTAACAGACACCAGCTTCACAAGTTTTCGGCGAGATATCTTCTCTGGAAGATCTCCACTGATCAATATGTCACCATCGGTGCGACAGAGTCACTTCAAACTGCTGCAACAGTTCAAGCCTGACTACTCCCCGAGCGAGTTCACTGAGTATGAGTCTCAGCGCACCGGCATGCGGGTGGTCGTCATCGACCAGCCCGGTCCTAAGGTCAATGGCTACTTTGTGCTTGCTACAGAGATCCACGATGATTCAGGAGCTCCCCACACCCTCGAGCATCTCTGTTTCATGGGTTCTCGCAACTACCGCTATAAAGGCTTCCTTGACAAGCTGGCCACCCGAGTGTACTCAAACACCAATGCTTGGACTGCCACAGACCACACAGCGTATACTCTGGACACAGCCGGCTGGGAAGGCTTTGCCCGCATCTTGCCTATTTACCTCGAGCATGTGATTGCTCCCACCCTTACCGACGAAGGCTGCTATACTGAAGTCTTCCACATTGATGGCACTGGAAATGATGCCGGTGTGGTGTATTCTGAGATGCAGGGCGTGCAGAACAACGCCGCTGAGCTGATTGACCTGGCTGCACGACGCCTGACTTACCCCGAGGGCAACGGCTTCCGGTACGAGACTGGAGGTATGATGGAACAACTCCGTGTCTTGACTGCTGAACGAATTCGGGAATTCCATCGTGAGATGTACCAGCCCAAAAATTTGTGCTTGGTCATTACTGGTGAGGTGAACCAGAACAACATGTTGGACATTTTGGACAAGTTTGAAGAAACCATCATGGATGTCATTCCTAGCCCAGACGCACCATTCAAAAGGCCTTGGACCGATTCGAAGCAAGCCCCTGCTTTGCACAATTCAATCATCGAGAGAGTTGAATTTCCCGAAGAGGATGAGTCCTTTGGTGAAATTGAGATCCGCTTCCTAGGTCCAGACTGCACCGACCCCATCCAATGTATGTTAATCCCCCCCCCCCCCTTTTTTTTTTTTTTTTTTTTTTTTTTCTGGATACGGATCCTAACCGTCTATAGCTGGGGCTTTGAATGTGGCCCTCTTGTACTTGGCCGGATCATCTGCGTCTCTGCTGGAGAATGTCATCGTTGAAAAGGAACAGATTGCAAGTGCGGTCTACTATGCTACCGAAGATCACCCAAGCATCGAGATTCGTTTCACCCTGACCAGTGTTGAGACGGAGAATCTCGAGCAGGTGGAGAAGAGATTCTTCGAGATCTTGCAGGACGCTATGAAGAAAGAGTTGGACATGAAGTACCTCAAAGAGTGCATTGACCGCCAGCGCCGTACTTGGAAGTTTTCGACTGAATCTTCTGCCTCATCCTTCGCGGAGTACGTCATTTCGGACTTTTTGTTCGGAAAGCGAGATGGCTCAACCATGCGGGACGTCGCTTCTCTCAAGGAGTACGACGTCCTCGAGAACTGGAAAGAGGATGAGTGGCGTTCATTCATAAAGAAGTGGATCGCTGATGCTCCTCACGTTTCCATCCTGGGCGTCCCATCCCAGAAGCTGTCTGATAAGCTAAAGAATGACGAGGAAGCTCGTGTTGCTGCTCAGAAGGAGCGTCTTGGCGAGAAGGGCTTGAAGGAGCTCGCTGACAAGCTTGAAAAGGCAAAGGCCGAGAACGACAAGGAGATTCCGAAAGAGTTGCTGGCCGCGTTCAAGATTCCCGGCGCAGAATCCATTCACTTCATGGACACTACCACGGCCCTGTCAGGCGCTGCTCTGAAGGCTGGACGCCCCAACCACAAGATCCAAAAGATCATTGATGCCGATGATTCGAGCCTGCCTCTTTTCATTCACTTCGAGCACATTCCCAGCAGTTTCGTGCAGATGTCTGTTCTCATATCTGCTCAGTCTGTTCCCATCCAACTGCGTCCTTTGCTATCCGTGTACACTGAGGCATTCTTCAACATCCCAGTCCAGCGTGACGGCAAGACAATCGACTTCGAGCAAGTGGTTGTGGAGCTTGAGAAGGATACTGTTGGATATTTCATGGAGAATGCTCGGGCTCTTGGAAACTCCGAGATGCTGCGCGTCTCCTTCCAGGTTGAGCGTGAGAAGTACGAGACTGCTATCGCTTGGATTCAGGAGATTACCTGGAATTCCATCTTCGATGTTGAGAGACTCCGGGCTATCACCTCCCGGCTTCTGGCCGATGTTCCTGACTCTAAGCGCAGCGGTGAGGACATGCTTGCCGCCGTGCATGTCATGATTCACTATGCGGAGGAGTCAATCACTCGGGCTCGATCCACCTTGGTCAAGGCACGCTACCTCAAGCGCGTCAAGCGTCTGCTTGCTGAGAAGCCCGAGGAGATCGTCAGCCGCATGGAGGAGATCCGCCAGTCGCTCTTCCAACCCGATAACATTAGAGTCGTCGTGTTTGCCGATCTGGAGAAGCTAACCAACCCTGTCTCGGCTTGGAAGCCTTTCGCTGAGCGTCTGGGCACCAGCGCCGACTTGAAGCCCATTACCAAGCGGCGCAACCTGCTGAGCGATGCTGGCAAGAACCTTGGTGGCAAGTCTTTCATCGTCCCTATGCCTACGGTCGACTCCTCTTTCGCCTACGCTACTGCCCGAGGCCTGGACTCATATGACCACCCCAAGCTGCCCGCAGCGATGGTGGCTATTGCATACATGAATGCAGTTGAAGGTCCCCTCTGGGTCGCAGTCCGCGGCAAGGGCCTGGCATACGGTACCAATTTCGCTTATAACATTGATACCGGCGTTGTCAACTTCGACGTGTACCGGTCTCCCAATGCCCACAAGGCCTTCCAGTCCAGTAAGCAGATCGTTGAGGATCACCTGTCTGGAGCTTCGCCGTTCGACCCTCTCATGCTGGAGGGCGCTATCAGCAGCATTGTGGTCGGCTACGCCAACGAGCAGATGACCGCTGCTATGGCGGCACAGGGTAGCTTCATTCGCCAGGTCGTGCGGAACCTGCCTGCCGATTATAAGGAGAAGATGCTCAAGAAGGTGCGGGATATCAGTGTCGACGAGATCAAGGGTGCTCTCCGCGAGATTCTCCTGCCGCTCTTTGATCCCAAGACGGCTAACCTTGTTGTCACCTGTGGCACTGTTCTGGAAGAGGTAAGTTCACCAATCTGATATATGTGGAGAAAGCAGGTTCTAATATTGTAAGCAGCCTCTTAAGCAAGGCTTCGAGTCCTACGGCTTCACCCCGAAGGTCCAGGCCCTCAAGGAATTCGAGGATGACTACGGGCTGAAGCTCGACGGAGACGAGGAAGAGGATGATGATGACGAAGACGAGGAAGACGAGGAAGACGAAAGCGGCTCCGAGGGGGAGGAAAGCGACGAGGAAATGGACGAGTAACGTGCTACACGGCGTAGACACAGCAGAACTAGGTAGATCACATACAATGGCTACGGAGTTTTGTCGGTATCTCTGCATCTGCATCCTAAAAACTGCTGAAATTGCGTATAATCTCACAAATCCTCAACGAGGATAGATAATATGGTACAAGGCCGGACAAGCCTGAATGTCCCGTCTCGAAGTCAACCTCGAGAACGCTTGCTCTAGATTCCCCTAATGCATCCATGCTCCATCAACTTCCTCTTCTATCAATCAAAACCCCCACCAGATAATCGCTTTACCAGCTCATCGCCTTCCGTCCCTTCAACCGCCGGCGCGTAAGAGTCAGCCGTCCTTTCCTGGCATTGTTCCGGGACAGGAATCCATGACGGCGCTTCTGGACTCGTCGCGACGGCCGGAAAGTGACACGGCGCACGCCCAGCGAGGCAGTTGCCGAGAAAGAGCGGGTCTGGAAAGGCTTCTGTGCGAGCAGTGAAGACACAGACGAGGTAATGGGTGTCGATGTGGTCAACCGAGAGGAGAGGGTCTGCGATGGTTGGAAGCGGGTCGGCGTGGAGAGAATCGAGGAGAAGGGGCGGGAGGAAAGAATTGACGGTGTGTTTGCTGTCTGTGGTGTGAATTGAGAGATTCTATGCCATTGCGTGGACTGTTAGTGGTCTATTCGAGCTGGGTTGTTGTTGCGGAGTTCGGACGTACCTGGTCATTGGGGTCCGCATGCTGGATACGGGGGTCCGGAGGGTGGGCAGAGCCCTGCAGCGGAGGCGTGGCATGGTGGATGGCCTGGGTCTGGGGTGAGCTTGTAGACTCGGGGATTGATGGTTGAACTGGTGGGTTGGGACGTCGCTGGCACTTGAGGCGCGGTGTTCGGAAGTCGAAAGAAAATTAAGCGCGGAGCCGCAGGCACGGACCCGCCTTGTGCAACGAGTCAACGCCTACAATCAAGGTTTTTTGAAAGAATACTAGCTATTACGGACTACGGTAAGAATAAACCAGTACCGTAAGTCCTAATTTGGCAGTAATTGAATATAATCGACTGCAGCTGAGCGCTGCGCAGTCAAAGTCCAGTATGTTACCTGATTGGGGTTAGCGCCAGCGAAACTTTTTTTGTCGCGATGCGCCGAGTGCTGCAACTCTTGACGATTTCCGCAAAGACCCCGGTCTCAATCCCCTACGCTGCGAACGCAAAGCAGTGCCCTATACTACACCCTTCACCTCCCAAAACCTACAAATCATAGTTGGCCATCGCACGCCATCCAGCACCAAGATGACCACCCAAGGCCCGTCTTCCCTCCCGCCGACAATCGTGCACAGCACGAAGACAATCAGCCAATCCGCCGCCCACGACTTTCTGGCCGCCTATCTGGACCGTGCCGCCAATGACCCAGCTCTGCAACCAAATGCCAGCATCAGCGAGCACGGCCCGGTCTCGCGGACGACCGCCGCGGCGCCCAACCTCATCCTCCACAACCTGAAGCGCGTGCAAGCCGGTCTTTCCGGTGAAGTCCTGGGTGCAGATCTGACCGTCGCCAAGCAGAACCCCGGCGAGGAGTACCTGGATATCGCTGCCGGAGCAGTCTCGAACGGTAACCAGAACGAAGGCGAGAATGAGGAGCAGGTCCTTGACCTCAACATGGCTGAGGATGGGTTTGAGACGGAGGCCGGGGCGTTTGAGGAGCAGCAATCTCTTGATAAGGAGGAACGCAAGCGCAAGAAGAAGGAGAGACGCCAGGCCGAGAAGAAGGCCAAGGCCAAGAAGGGAAATGATTCGGAGGGAGATGATGATGAGTGAGGTTTTGTCTTTTGGATTTGTTTGAGCCGTGGGCGTTGTTGCATTGGGACGGAGTTTTCTCTTCATGGTATATTTTTGGGCCTCTATCTGCCACTGGATATGCGCCGATTTGGCTCGGATCTTGATCACCGCATCCATTCTCCTGTTTGGGAAAAAAGTTGTTTTTCATCATAGACGGATTGACTCTATTCAATCGATACATAACGGAAAGTCTGAGCCTATTGCTCTCCTCCGATCTTCATTCTCTATCACCCGTGCTTTTCACCGACATGGAAGTTCGTCATCAATATCAGAAATTAATAAAAGATATCCAAGGCACCATGAATCGATGCAAGTCTACAGCTCGCGATCAGCGGCCTTGACGGGCTTCTCACTGTCCTCGGCCTTGGAGCTGGTGACCTTTCCACCCTTCCAGCCGAGAGCAGCAAGACGCTCGGTAAGGATGGGGTGCGAGTAGTGGTAGCTGGCGTAGATCGGGTCAGCGTCCATGGTGCTCAGGTTCTGGATCTGGAGCTTCAGAAGAGAGGACGCAAGCTCATCAGAGAATCCGAGGCCCTGGGCGAAAGCATCTGCAGAAACAATTATTTTGGCTTCGAAATACTGTAAAGTTGAGATGTGACGTACCGGCCTCAAACTCGAACTTGCGGCTGAGAATGTTCATCAAGAGCTTCACAACGGCGTCCATGGGAGCCAAAGCATCCGAGAACAGAAGGAAACCGACCATGATGGGCTGCTCCTTGATGAAGCCGAAGGACTGGTACAGAGACTTGTTGTTGACGAAGACGGAGAACAGGGCGAAGATGTAGAACATGTGGAACTATAAGGAAGGTTAGCAGGTGTTCAAGGTTGGGCATAGATGTATAGAATCATACCTGAGCTATACCGAAAAGCTTTGTGGTGTGGCTCAAGCTCCAGTGACCAAGCTCGTGGCTCAGCACAGCTACAACCTCTTGCGGCTCGCTCTTTTCGAGCAGGGTATCGTAGATGACAATGTGCTTCTTCCAAGGCAGACCGTAGAAGTAAGCATTGCTGTGAGCACTGCGCTTGCTGCCATCGATGACGTGCAGCTCCGAGAGTGGAAACTCCAGCTTCTTAGCCAGGTTCTCGACACCGGTCTTGATTTCACCAGGCTCCAGAGGAGACAGCTTGTTGAACAGAGGCAGAATAACAATCGGGTAGATGGTAATCGCAAAGATCTGAACGAAGACACCGAACATCCACAGGTAGTAGAAGAACGAGTTGCCAGTCTTCTGAACAATCTTGAGCACAGCGCTGATAATGGGAGTTCCTAGCACAATTCCAAGCATCTGACCCTTGAGCATGTCGGTCACCCAGAGTTTGACCGTCTGTTTGTTGAAACCGAACTTCTCCTCCAGCACGAAAGTCTGGTAGTACGAGATCGGGAGCGAGAGGATAGTGCTAAGAATGTTGAAACCGAAGATGAACACGAGCGTCTGGGTGATTTCACCCTGGAATCGACCGGGAAGATACTGCGCCAGCAGGAGTCCGCTGATGCTCCAAAGCTTGGGGAGTACATCGCCGTAGATGAACGCGAGATTCTGAATTTGACCGTAGAGACCGGAGACGAGACTGAACTTGGCCTTTGCGCGACCATATGCCTGTATTCACAACCTCCCTGTAAGCTTCCTTCTGTCCGCCCTTGGTGTTCTGCGATGCTTCTTACCTGGGACTGATCAAAGACTTTCTGAGTAACCTCACCCTCGAGGACCTTAGGAGCCTTTGTTCGCTGCAGAACCTTGTACTGACGGAGAGAAAGCAGGCCCTCAAGGACGAACTGCCCGAGGGAGAATCCCACGAGCACGTTCTTCCATGGGAAGAGCGGACGGTCGAGAAGACGCGCGAGTTGCTAGAAAAGACACCTGTCAGGACGCGGTTTTCGAGAGAGTATTTCCCAATGGAAGCCACAATAAATGGCCGATGCCTTCATAAGACTTACCTCGAGAATCCACATATTGCAGATGCGCGACAATGTCAAAAGGGAGAGTTGTCAAGAGGCCAAAGAAGCTGCTTTGTGATTCCCGCGCCGCCTTAGTCAGATCTCGCAATCGGGGCCGCCTGCGCATTCGATGAGACACGCAACCTTGGAATACTTTCCGATCTTTTTAAATCCTGTGCTAATTTTAATAATGAGTAGGTTCTTTCTTGGAACTAAGATTATTTATATTTTTCGGATAATCATGCCGATACCATTTCCGACATTTCTTAGGAAACGCAAAGACTGGGTATATTTATCTACGAGTCGAGACGCTACACGCGTCAAACCGGTGGTACCCACGGTATAGTCTACCATACCCTCTGATTAGGGTATTACAGTCTGTTATGCGATCGTCTATCAGGGGCTCACAACATTGTATATACTTTCACTTCTACTGCGCAATTTTACAGTAGTGGAGGGAATCCGGTACGTAGGGCTCCAGAGCTTGATCATGCAGGCGTAGAAAATGGAAACAAGAACCTCTTCAATACAACTCCCTAGAACACAAATATAGAAAGAAGTACACCTCTTCTTCGTCAACGTGACTCGTATCCTAGCTCAGCGTCATCCTCCACCTCATAACCGCTAGCACTCTAGGACTTAAATGTCTCCAGGTATGCTTGAAGCAGGCGATGGAGCAGAGGTGATCGAGTAGAACTTCGATAAACCTCCTCTATCCAGCCGGGGGAATCTGTAAATGTCATGCCTTCACTTTTCCGACTCGTCGTAAGCGTAAAACTTTTCTGCAAATCGCAGTGCGTGAACCCGAGAGCCGGCGGGTTGAAATATGTTGGCGGAATACCTCCCGCTCAACCAGACCTCTCCCCAGACCGACCAACTCGGGACTGGACGTCAAAAAGCAACTTTAGTGCTGAGTAGGCTCCAGAGTGTTACCGCTGTAGTAAAACGTTCGTTAGTCAGGGTCCAAGCCATATCACACGCGGTGAAACTTACGCAACGATGTTGGCCCAACCAATCAGACGCCAGTGCTTCTCAATTCTCCGACTGATGGCAATCTTCTCGCCAACTTCTGTGCAGGCGGGAGAGGTCAAAGACAGCTTGGCGGCATCGGCCTTGACACCCAGGACCTTGGCACCGGTGGCGGTGGAACCAATGTTGACCATCAGAACCTCATTCTTAGCCAGCTTGGAAACCTTAGCCTGCTTGCCGTCGGCAGTCTTGACGCCCAGAAGGCGGCGAAGCAAGAAGTAGTTGACCTCGATCTCGGTGTAGATGGCGGGAAGCTGGCCGCGGTGGCCCAGAACGAAACCGACGAGACGATCAGCACGGCCTGTGAGAATGTTAGCAAGTTCTAGAATATCAAACAAAATGTATGCGTCCTCTCCCCGCCAACGTGGAGTTTATCGTATCTCTCGAGGTTTTCTCATTTGGGGTTGAAGGGGTTGGGAAGCGTTTCATCTGGTACTCACACAAAGTCGGGTCAATACGGGTACCAACACCGATAAGACCACCAGGAACGGCAAACTTGAGCGGGTTGCTCTCGGCGAAGAGGGACTCGACACGGGAGAAAATGGGACGGCACTGGATCTTGCCGTTCTCATCCTTGGTGACCAGACCGGGGCGGATCTCGATCTCATCGTTGACCTTGACGACACCGGTGAGAATGGAACCACCAGCAACACCACCCTTCAGCTCATCAATCTCAGCACCGGGCTTGTTGACATCGAAGGAACGAATGATCATCATGTGCGGCGAGGCGGAGAAGTCACGGATGGGGATAGGGATGTGGGAAACGAGGTGCTCGTTGACGGCATCGATGTTGTACTTGAGTTGGGCGGAGATGGGGATAACTGCCATAATCAGTACAGTTTCGTTTTCAAGATCAAGAACTATTGGTAGTTACCTGGTGAGTTATCGGCGACTGTGCCTCGGATGAATTTGAGAATGGACTGGTAGTGCTGCAGGGCGGCGTCCTCGCGCATAAGGTCGACCTTATTCTGGCAGATAATGATGTGCTGGAGCTTCATGATCTCAATGGCAGCCAAATGCTCGGAGGTCTGAGGCTGAGGGCAGGTTTCGTTTCCTGCGATTAGCAACAACGCAGCGTCCATGACAGCAGCGCCTGAAAGCATGGTACTCATCTAGAATCTGTTAGAACTGGATTTTTCTTTCCAATGTGGAAAACTCACAAGAATATCGTGACCGGGGCAGTCGACGAAAGCTTCAAAGATATCTGTCAGTAATTTACTCGGGAGAAATTCCCACTTGCATTCTTCAACGATATCACTCACAGACGTGGCGAAGAAGTCTATAGCGGCCCTCGCACCCCTCGCGCTCACACGGAGGGTCAACCTCCTTCGAACTGCTGTAACTCTTGAAGCATGTCGGGCGAGGGCAGGCGGGGTTGTCGCACTTGTAGATCTTCGCGTTGGCGTAACCGAGCTTGATAGTAATGTTGCGCTCGAGCTCGTTCTTGAAGCGCACGGTCTGAACCTCCGAAATGGCCTTGACAAGTGTGGACTTTCCGTCTAATTTTTGCGAGGACCAGTTAGCGAATATTCCACCAAAGACCAGGAAGAAAGCGACGCACGAGCGACGTGACCGATTGTGCCGATGTTCTGGGTAGCTTGGCGAGCAATAATCTCGGGCGACAAGGGCGTGAGTTTCGAAAGATCCAGAGTCTCAGGGTTAGGCTGCTCGGGGAGCTCAGGGCGCTTCGGGGCGACAGGGGCCTCAGTATGCTTCATTGCCGACTTGAGGGGCTTCTCGCCCTGGTCGAGGGGCTCCTGGTCGTCGAAGTCCTGGGCATTGTTGGCGTCGAGGACTGGGGATCCGGGCTGCGACTCGTCGGAGAAGTCACCGTTGGTCGCCATGTTGGAAAAATTCAAAGCGAGCCTCGTCCGTCGGATTGGAAAGGTGGAAACAGGGTAGGAGGTGACGGGGGTGGTGGAGGGTGGAGTTGAAGCGTCGGATGAAAATTGCTGGTGGGCGATATGATAATGAAAGAATGGGCGTGGTGGGGGTTTTGTGCAGTGGAGAGCGACCGGGCGGTGTCTGGCTTCTACGCAAAAATGGCTTACGGCTTGCAACACCAGCTATTCAGATTTCTTATAACTATGTTTTATGTTATTTGTAGTTCTCGCTGGATCTTTTCAAGGTACAGATCGTGACCCGTGTGAGTCACGTTGTGTCGGGAAAAATTTGTCGACATCGCGGCCGCACCAACTTCGAGGCCGTGGTCAACAACTCGAACATTTATTTCCTTATTTCCTATATAGGTGGTTATATGGCAGTGAAATTTCACTTCTTAAAATCGCTCTATGCTCACTTTTTATGATCGAATTACATCTCGGTCTAACAGTACAATGGGTATAAAGGTCACATATAGGTCTGGCGAGCGTTTACTCGTCGTCATCACTGGACGACTCTTCTGCCTCCTCTTCCTCATCCTCGTCTATACCGTCTGAATCAAAGAGCGTGGATGGATCTTCCGCCGGAAGCATGACGAAGGATGCCATGCATGTAATGCGGTTTCCAGTCTCGTAGGTAGTCAAGAGGTTGCCGACCTGGCGGATGGTATCCTTATCCTTGGACTGCTTCGCTGGGACAAGATCCTTTCCAGTAATCTTCCAGATGCGAACCACGCCGTCAGAGTTACCGGTCACGACCAAGAAGTCGTCACGAATCTCCTTGGCCTGATCGGCCAGGCTTAAGATCTCAAAATCCTTGATACGACCAGGAAGCTCGACTTGTTTACCGCCAATCTGAGCCAACGGAGAAGCGTAGGGGATTTCAGAATCATCGCCTTCCTCAGCGTCTTTGAGTTCGGCAGTGGAATAAAAGATGACACGGCCGTCTTCTGTGGAAACGGCCAAGATGTCATCTTTCTGATGCTCACCCTCCGGCATAGAGACATATTTCATCTGGTGGACCTTGCTCCGTGGGCTCGGCAAAATCCTGCACTTGGGAGTCGAATCCTGTGTCAAATGATTAGCAAGTGAAACAATGCTCCAGCAATCAGAAGCAACTTACAATGCCAAACACCACGACACCCCATTCAAAAGCAACTGCAAATTCCTCTCCAGCGGGGTTCCATGCGATGCGCCTGCCCTCGCCACTGCTCCATTTTCCTTCCTTCACACTTGATAACAAATCTCGGCTGAAATTCAGGACTCCTGCCTTCTTGCCCGTCACCAGATTCCACAACCGCATACATTTCTCGCCCTTGCCAACACTAACCATCAACTTCATACTTGGGTGGACCGCAAAGTGGTTAACTCCCGACGGCGCAGCTCCTGGAGGAGCAGTGTCACCGCTGGGGCGGCCTTGAACCTTTGGGTTAGGCGCCTTGATGGTTGAAACCACAGTCCAATCACGGGTCTTGGAGACGGAAATAGTATTGTCCTCCGCACCGGCAAGTAGCTTGCTGCGGGAGGGGAAGCTCAAGGAGGAGATACTGGCGGTGTGATGTAACAGGGATCCCAGCTCGCGGTTCTTTGGGTTCTCGAGAATTTTATTTCCGGCCAGTGTTGGCACAGAAGGGTACTCGTCGTTGACGGCAGGAGGGGCAGCGGACAGCGAGTAGAGGTTGATGCGCTCATCGGTGGAGCCACTGGCCATGATGACCTTTTGGGCGTCCGGCGAGTCGGTGGCCTTGGGTAGCGGGGAGAGCGCCAGACAGCGAATTGCAGATCCATGGGCCTCAAACAAGAAGGTATCGACGCATTGAACAGTGTTTGTCGAGCCCTTGGAAGTGTCCTTCATGGTATTGAAGCTGGCAGCAGGAATACCAGCCGTGAAGCCGTGCAACACGCGCTCATACGAGCCGGTCACTACTTGAACCGTGACAGCAGCATCTGGAGCTTGTGACGGGGTGGGAGCGGACTTGACGGTTTTGGCGGGGCTCTCGGTGGACTTGTCCTCCTTAGGAGGATCGTTTCTCTTGCGCTTGGCCATTGTTTTGGGCGATATGGGGGATGGACACAGAGAAGTCAAGGTGAGCTGGAGAGCGGCGGCTTTTTTTTTTGCAGCGTTTTTCTGCGGGTTATCGATAGGAGTGGATACCAATGTGTCTTAGAGCCTGGAGGCCTTGACACCTGAGAATTGTTTGTGCCTGAGGCATAAAGTGTAAGGCACCAAGGCACCAAGGCCGTGATCGCAAGCGGCCTCGTCGGAATGCGAATGCTTACATGTTACTTACGCGTCTCACGGTCGCCAATTGAGGGTGCCGCCACACAGCAGCCAGCACATGAATACAGTGTCAGACAGACCGTAGACTCTACGGACGGATGTAGATACCCCAAATACATCGCCAAACATTATATAGTTGAATATACGAAGGATCTCAAGAAGTTTAAAGAATGCCCACACTTCCAGGAGTTGGTAACATTACAGTACAATACCTCCACCAACTTCTCCCCCCGAACGCTTCCCTTTTTTTCCCGTGCCAACCCGTACAGAAAAGTCCTCCCCTCCCTTCCCTGCTCTCCATCGCTTCACGCGCCATCCACATCCGATTTCATCTCGTACTGCGACTATTTCTGTCTGAATGACCTCGGTCAATCCATTCCCTTTTTTCCCGCGTTAATCGGATGCTGTGTTCCCGAGTTAGACCTCATGCTCCGCGACGAGCTTCTCCGGTCTAAGCACGATGAGATCGCGTGAGTATTAATTCCGGAAAACTCGTTTCCGAGCAGTTTCTGGTGTATTATGATGAACTTATCGCTAATTTCCACCCAGAAACTGTTTGTTGTCGCGCAAGCGAAAACTGACCGAGTTGTATTATGCGACCGTGGGTTTTGAGGGCGCGACCGCCGACGCTCTTTATCAGCAGAAGGAACAGGCTTTTCTCGACGCCAACGACCTTTCCAAGTGAGTCCCTACTACCCATTGCTCTCTCTGACACCTTTCATTGTCATGGAAATTCCCACGCGACATTAATTACGCGATGTCGATGCTCATACTATCCACAGAGGTCGGTACTTCGACGAATCTACTCTGCCATCTCCCACCCATGCGCGCGCGCGTTCTCCCAGCAGAAAACCAGTCGCGTCTGTACTCTCCGACAGCAAGGCTCACCCTGCCGCTGGCATCACGCCGCCACCGACAGTAGATGACACCGCTCTTTCGTTTGCGACCGAAGCCAGTCCGCAGGGAACGCCCGTCGTGTCCAAACCCGGGACCGCAGCCCCCGGTGTCGCATCAACTACAAAGGATGCGCAGGCATCCTTTGCGTCAGTGACCAGCCCAAAGGTCTCTCAGGGCGCGGATTTGTCTGCACCGACTGCGCCATCCAACAAAACCGACGACCAAAAGGCGAGCGCATTGGTGCCACAGACTCCACTCAGCTCCCAAGCCCGCGATGGAGCAGAAGTCAAGGGTTCTCCTGGGGCAGCGAGATCCGCTGCGACGAACGCGACACCATCCCTCGATATCCCTCAATCTCTTCCCCGAAAGAAACACGACTCTCGACCTTCTCTTACTCTAGGCCCATCAAACGCCGAACAACCTCTCTCGCCTGCTTCCTCTATCGATCCCTACTCAAATAACACACCCATTCCAGTTGTCGCCTCACCCGATACGAGCCCCGGCGAGGAAGTGACCGATGTCAGTAAAATCGGTCGCTCGAGTCCTAAACAGACTAGATCTACACACGCGCGTCCAGGCCTGGTCCCTGCGACTCCCGATGAACAATTGCGACTGGAAGAAGCACAATCTATGCAGCAGAAGAGCGGGCAAAGCATGGGCGATGCCGGGTTACCTTCGTCGAACGAAGTCATCCAGGAAAGCGTTGATCCGAGGACTGATAAGGATGAAATGGATGTCGATCAAGAACCCGCTGTCGAGCCTGCCGAGTCTAAACTCCCAGATGGAACGGCTAGCTTATCACCAACTGAGCAGTTTCCCGAAGGAGCTCAGGCTGCTGGCGATGCTCTCGAGACACCTAACAAGAAGCCCGCCAGCATTCCATCTACTCATCCCAGCTCCACACAACCGGAACGCATGACCACTCGAGTATCGTCCGGAGCCATTCGCCATAAGTCTGTTTCCGAAATTCTTGGAGAGACACCGAAAGCCTTCGCACACGACCGAAGCCATGGCGACGAGACGCCCGACAGCGTTGCACGGATGCGCTTCAAGGATCGCAAAGATCGAGAGAAGGAAAGGACCAGGCTCTCGACAGTTGTTTTCCCCAAGCAGACTCCAACCCAGCAAGATAAGGCCGACTCATTGGATCTCATCCACCTTGACTCGAGCCATGCGGTTTCAAAGGTGAATGAGGAGCAGGACTATCTGTTCACTCTATTTTTGAACAGGGCTTATGCTCCTCCTCGAGGTAGCCACCTGAACACTCTCCTTACATCCGCCCACAAGACTTTGTCGACCTCAAATCATTTGCTCGAATACCAGGAGCAAATGGACTGCCGGACTTTGCGTCGCATCTATGCACTTCAGAATGCGAACCGTTGGCCTCTCCGCCAGATGAAGCGGTCTATGGAACCCCCTCGCCAGGGAAGCCACTGGGATGTGCTTCTTGACCATATGAAATGGATGCGAACGGATTTCCGCGAAGAACGAAAATGGAAGATTGCGGCAGCAAAGAGTTGTGCTGATTGGTGCGCGGAGTACGTCAACAGCGACGAGGAGCACAAAGCGCTGCTTCGTGTCAATGCGAAGATTCCTGCACCAAACACCGCAATCCAGGATATCTCCAGGAATGTGGCTTCACCTTCGGAGGACACTGGCGACGAAGCAGTTGCCGCATCTCACCCGACGCCAGACCTCGTCCCATCCGCCGAAGAGGAATCGGTCAGCGATGGCTTTAACGATGAGCCACGCCATGATCTGCATGATACAGTCGCCCCGGCAGCCATCTTTTCTTTGGGTTCTGACGAGTTTAATTTCTCAATCGACATGACCCCTGCTGCCGAGAAATTGCTGGATGAGCTTCCGCTCTACGAACCTGTTCGCATCGCACCCGAGACACAATTGCCAACATTCAAACAACCCCCGGATTCGGTTTGGAAAACAGAGCTTCTTCCCGTGTCGAAGTTTGCCTCTACCAAGATCACTTTCCACGACGACGAGCGTCCTCGCAAACGAAGCCGATACGATTACTCTCAATATACTTCTGATTTGGATCACCGCATCACTGAGATTCCCCCGGAGCAGACTAATGTGGCCCTCTTTCGACCTGAGAACAAGCACATTCGCGACCGTATTCACCCCGGCCATTCCTTCCGGCCTCCCACCGAGCATCCGATGCCGTCTGTTGGGTTCTTCGAATCTCGACAGTCGTCGCAGTGGACCATTGCAGAAGATGATGAACTTCGCCGCCTGGTTAAGGAGTATTCCTACAACTGGTCCCTCATCTCTAGCTGCCTGACTTCGCCGTCGTTATTTACTTCTGGAGCCGAGAGGAGGACACCTTGGGAGTGTTTTGAGCGTTGGGTGGGCCTGGAGGGACTTCCTGCGGATATGTCCAAGACGCAGTACTTCCGAGCTTATCACCAACGTCTTGAGACGGCTCAGCGAACTGTGTTGGCGCAACAGCAGGCTGCTCAACAGCAACAGCAACAAGCCGCCAATAACGGCCAAGTCCAACAGCCTGTTCGCCGACGAACCACTCAGCCTCTGCGCGTGGATCGTCGGAGATCTTCGAGGCATCTTGCGTTGCTTGACGCTATGCGGAAGCTGGCTAAAAAGCGTGAGACAATGCTGCAAAAGCAGCAGCATGCTTCTCACCTTGCCTCTTTGAGGAAGGCTAACGAGGCTAACCAGCCCAAGCCTCCTATTTCGTCACCAGCAGAGTTCAGCCGTCTCAAGCATGAGCGGGAAATGAAATTGCAAGAGCGGCAAGAGGCTTACCGCCAGCAAATGATCACTCAGCAGCGAGCTAACCTCGCCGCTCAACGTGCTGGTCAAATGCCAAACCAACAGCAGCAGCAGCAAATGATGAATGCCCAGGGTCGAACTCCCAACAATCTGCCTCCCAACTCGACCAACGGAGGTATGCCCAATGGGGTGCCTAATGGTATGCAGGCAGGTGTCGCTGTCAATCAAAACCGCACCCAGCCCATGCAAGGCATGCCTGCTGGAACGACACCCGTCAGTGGTCAAATGCAGAATAACGCCATGGCGATGAAAATTATGCCACAGGGTCAAATCCAGCAGGGTGTTGGCGCGAGGCCTGGGGTGCCAATGCAAGCCTCCCCGGATAACGCGCGGGTGATTCGGGAAGCGAATCGGCTGCAGGAGCAGCAGCGTCTTCTGCAATCACGGCAACAACCTCAGCAGATCCCCCAGCAGACAAGCCAGCCTCAGCAAGCGCAGCAACAGTTCCATAACCAGCAGTTTGCACAAGGATCGCACTCTCCGAACCTTAACATGCCGAACGGTCCCAGTAACCCTGCTATGATCGCTGCCATGCAAGCCCAGGGAGGAATGCAGAGCCCGTCGTTCCACGGTGGCACACCACAAGGTGTGTCGACCCCGTCGCCTCGCATGGGTCAATCCAACCCTCTCTCGAGCGGGGTTGTGCCAACCATTAGCAACTATCAAAACCAGATCCAGCGGGCCAACCCGAATCTGCCTCCAGAACAGGTGAACAAACTGGCGACGGACCGTCTCAATCAGTATCAGCAACAGCAGCAGCAGCGCATGTCCCAGCAAGCGGCCATGAACGCAGCTGCAGGTGGCATGGGAAACGTTCAGGCCAACTATCAGGTTCCGCATGATGGCAACTTTCAAACTCCGCCTCAGCCCGGCGTGCCCAATGGCAATCTGGCAATGCAGGTTCCCCAGAACCAAGGCTTCTCTCCAATGATGCGGGTTCCTCAGGCCAACCAGCAGAACCGGGTCAATGTCACCAGCTCGCCGGCCATGAACGGCGCAGTTCCTCAAACCAGTCGCAGCGCGACCCCCCAAACTCAACGCAGCGGCAGCGGCAGCGCCCAAGCTGGCGCGGTGCAGGGCTCTAGCAAGAGCCCACACCCTCCAACAGTGCAGACAGCGACCAGCTAAAGACCCGTCTTTTCGATGGTCCTGTTTTATACCCTTACCTCTTATTACCCTTTTCTACTTCCACTGTATATACCCTTTCACTACCCTCTTACTCCGATTTATTGCCTCGGCCTTTTCCTTTTTATCGGTGGTCCGGGATGGTGGCGCACCTTGCTTTTACTCTTGTTTCCCCTGACGCCTGTGTCTGTCGAGTCTCTCTACGCCTGTGCGAACCAATTACCCAGTTCAGATCAGATATGGCGCTGGCTACCTTCTTACCAGCACTGCGAACTTTTGGATTTGGGCATGTATTATTCATGGGACGGCGAAAACTTCGGGTTCGGTGCAAACCGGGAACTTTACGAACATGAATTGTATGATTAGTTTCCAACCTTGGCCTCTTCCAACCATTCTATCATAGATATCGTAGTCCGAAGTAGCAAAGTGCCTAATCTATACATCCAAATTCCATGTCTTTCGTTGCCTTCGGGCTGGCAGGGTGCATGTCTTCGGCTCCGCTTTTGCCACCGCTTTGGAGCTCTCGTATCAAACCTTCGAACTCTCGTTGCCCCCCAAACATTTTTCATTCTCCAAATCTCTTGCTGTCGCGATGTCCTCATCGCAGGCCCCTGGCGACCGCAACGGTGGCGGCCAGCCTGCTACCAAGTCATTTTCCCTGTCGTCCAGTTCAAACGGACCGCCCGCAAAGAAAACCGCCTTCAACCTTCAATCGAGTCGCGGGCGACCCCCAGCTAGCAAGAGCCACGCTCTCCCGCGCCGGCCGCACCAACTTGGTCATGGTGACGACTCGTCCGACGAAGAAGAAAGCGCCCCCATCCACGAGGAAGTGTCTGGCTTTGATACCCTCACTGGTGGAGCTATTTCTTCCGACGGAAAGGCTCTCAATGATGCGAACGAGCCGCTTGTTATCCCGGTCACGAGCAAAAACAACTGGCGCGATCGAGCAGGTGTCAATGTGAAGAAGGGCAAGAAGAATTTACTGCCACGCGAGGTCCAGGCTTTACAAGAGGCCGAACGAAATGGACAGGTTCCTAGTGGCGGCGCGGTTGAGACGGAGAGGCCGAGTATGGCTTACGGTCTCAGTTTTGCGGATCAGCTCGCAGACCTAGGGAAGACCGGTGCGGCGGACGAAGACCAACCCATGACGGATGTAAAACCCGTTGAAGAGACCAAACCCCTCACGGACGACCAGATTGCTCTGCAGGCATTGATCAGTGAGAGCAAAGGTGAGACGGAGCGGAGGTCGGATCTCATTATTGAGTCATCGAAGCCTCGAGATGACGAGGACGAAGCACCGGGCCGCTACGATGAGACGAGCTCTTTCAGAACAGACGTGTTATCTCGCCCAGAACCTGCCACCTTAGACCAATATAACGCCATCCCGGTCGAGGAATTCGGAGCTGCGCTTCTCCGAGGAATGGGCTGGAAAGACGGCCAATCTATAGGACGGGCCAACTACGGGTCTTCCGCCAATGTGGACCGTGCGAACAAGCCTCGTGTCCCAGAACGACGTCCTGGCTTCCTGGGTATTGGAGCCAAGGACTCAACTGGTGGAAAGGGTGCCGAAGCTGAATTCGGCGCATGGGGAAAAGCAGCCATGCGCAAGGCATCGAGGAAGGCGGGCGAGGAAAATGGAAATGGAAATACCGAAGGTGTATATATGCCAGTTACGATGCGGAACAAGAACACGGGCGAGCATGTCACAGAGGAGGAGCTCGCAGAGCTCAAGAAAGCGTCCAAGTCTGAGCCTGCCAAGGACGACTGGCGTGAACGACGAGACCGCAACTTGGAGAAGAGTGGGCGTGATAGTGATCGGGATCGAGACTATCGCAAGCGTGACTACGACGACGATCGCTCTGATCGGAGGACTGGGTCTTCGCGAAGAGACCGGAGCTCTTCTGGTGGCCGCCATTCGTCCAGGCATTCACGTTATGATGGCGACGATCGACGCAAAGACGACCGGTCCTATCGCGATCGCGACCGGGATCGCGAGCGTGAAAAAGATCGTCGACGGGATCGCGATGATGATAAAGACTCTCGACGGGACAGGGACCGTGACCGCGAGCGACGACACCGCGACGACAAGTACAGCAGCTCAAGGCACTCGTCTCATTCATCTCGACATGACCGAGACCGTGATTCTCGCCGGAGTCGGAGGGACGATTAAAGAATGAATATCATGGCCGATTTGCTGATACAGATCTGATCTAACATGAGAAATGTCCTTGGAAATTTTCGTGCAGATGTACATGTACATCTCATCCAACAGAATTGGCGTCTAGCAGATTCCAAAATAGAGATACCCCGAATAATACTACCAGCTTAGACTGAAATGAAGTGACATAACAGATCAATTCTATGAGAAAGTAGATGCTTTTATCCTTTCCCACAAACCCAATATACTCCAAAAGTACAGAGCGCCGTCAATATACACAAGATACAATGCAGACCTAAGCCTCCAACATAATCACGTCCTTCTCATGCTCTGGCACCTCTCCATTCGTCTTACCCTCCTGCAAACTCATCAGTCCAAGCCCACCGAGGCCTACGCCACCATCCATCTCGTTAAGCACCCACTCCACAAGGAAACTATCATCCGTCAGCTCCTCGACACGGCGGTAGTGGCGCTCAGTATACGAAGCAAGAGCCTGCAGGATATCCTTGAGACCAGCCGCAGCACGGCCATCCTTGCCGCGGACAGACTGGGTGGCCAGCTCGACGAAGGTCGAGGCTGGGTAGGACCGGAACAGAGCGTAGAGAACACGCTGGGCCACGCGTGAGGTGCGTGCGTTGGTGTTCCAGTCGCGCAGGCGGAGGAGGAGAGTGCGCAGGTTCGTAGCGTCGAGAGACTGCAGTACCTCGTCAATGGACGGGTTACCTGTCAAGCTGCCCGCTGCGCGCTCCCGCTCCTCGGCGGGAAGAGTCGGGTCATCGGATGCGTTGATGGCGGCTGTGAAGAGGGAGAGGAGACGGCCTGGGTGGTTGAGCTGGAGGGCCAAGGTGATGGCTTCGCGGTAGGCGCCGGCGCGGATGTAGTTCTGCAGCTGCTGGTCTTGCTCCACGCGCTCGGAATTGGCGTTCACGGCGGCCGTGTAGGTGGCGGATGTGGTGTCGGCCCAGAAGGTAACGGTGGAGTCGGAGGAGCCACTGGCCAGAGCGTAGGGAGTTGAATTGAATCTGGAGGAGGTGGGCTTCACGTCGGAGCGAGAGCCGGAAGGCGTAGGACTCGCTAAGGACCAGACACGGTCTGTGTGGTTGTCGAGGGTGGTTTCGAGCTCACCGGTGTATGGGCTCCAAATCTTGACCAGGCCGTCTGCGGCGGCGGAGGCGATGAGAGGCTTTGTCTGCTCGGCGTTCTTGCTAGCAGAGGTCTCTTCGTCATCGTCATCATCATAGTCATTCTTGGACTTGGAGACCTGGGGAGGTGGAAGCCAGATCACCTTGAGGACACTGTTGGTGTGGCCCTCGAAAGTGAGAAGACAGCTATAATCGGACAAGCTCCAGACCTTGATGGTCTTGTCACCAGAGCCAGTTGCAACAATACCTCGGCTGGTACTGGTTCCAGCCTCGGAGTTGATGATGGGGGTATTTTGAGGCGCGAATCGAACGCCCCAAACACCCCGCTTGTGACCACGAAGAACTCCAATGGCAGATCCATCTTCGGCATCGAAAATCTTCACAGTCTTATCCTGAGAAGCGGACGCAAAAAGGGAGGAGGTTCCGTCAATATCAAGCGAGTTGATGTCCTTCTCGTGCGCCCGTCTCGTGTAAACTGCCTTGGGGTTGTGTGGCTTCTCACCTTTGAGCGGACCCAGCTTGCCAATGTCCCAGCGCTTCACGGTCCTGTCCTGGGAGCCTGTAACGAGGAACTGAGGTGGGTAATTGACCGGGTCGTTATAAGCTGCGCTTCCAACCGGTGGTGGAGTTCGCGGCAGAGCAATCGCTCCCAATGACTCGGCGTGGCCGGTCAAAGTTGCGAAACAAGTATAAGATGAGGTCTTAGGGTCAATACGCCAAAGAATGGCCTTGTTGTCCTTAGCACCCGTGACAAGCCAGTGTCCAGACCAGTCGACGTCAAGACAGATAATGATATCGTCATGAGCCTCGAGGTGGGCGATGTCGGCACCGAAGAACTCCTCGCCCTGGGCTGATGGTCGGTCTTCCGAGGGAGCAACGGAGACAATTCGAATACCCTCAGTGTTGGTAGCCAGTGCCAGCATTGATCGATCACCACCAACGTAAGCCAGGTCAATGAACTCGTCATCGTTTCCGGAAATGCGGCGTGTGATGGTCAATGGCTCCAGCGTCGAACCTGGCTTGTAATCCGACAAAGACTCGATCGAGTGAAGTCTGATAGTCTGATCTGCGTGCACGGTCATGATGAAGGGCAGACCGGGCGAGTACTGAATAGCCACAATGGTCTCGAAGTCCTCTCCTGCCTCCTGATCCTCCGTGATCTCACTGCCGCGGTTGACATCAAAAACGCGCAACCTGCCGTTCTCTCCACCAACTACACAGACTCCACTATCAACGATGAAGGAGGCAGCCTCCACACTCTCAAGCACAGGGATAATTCTCCGAGTTTTCCAGGTGCGGGCGTCCCACACAATAACGGTCTTGTCTCTCGAAGCAGAGAGAAGTGCATTCTCCGTGGGAGAGAATGACAAACTGCGCACAAGCGAGACATGCGAGTCGAGCGATGCAATCGACTTCCTCTTGTGCAAATCGTACACGCGCACTTTGCCCTCTTCACTACCACTGGCAAGTCGGAACCCTGCTGTAGAGTCCGTAGCATGCAATGCAGCGTCGTCCATAATTTCGTCATCCTCTCCGGATGCCTTCCGCTTAGACTTCTTGGAAGAAGACTTTGCATCACTCTCCGCAGCCGAAACCTCGAAAAAGCAGAGGGCTGAGATGACTCCACGGTCATGGAAGGTGTGCGTCACATAGCCTCCGCGAATGTCCCAGACCTTGATGGCACCGTCAGCACCACCTGTGGCCAGAAGAGTGCTGGTCTGGTCAATTGCGGTTGTCACGACAGGCGCGGTGTGGGGTTTGAGGGACCGAACAAGCTCCGCCTCGATGGTCTTGGAGGCTTCGTCGAAAGGCGAAAGAGAGTAGATGCGCATGGACATCGAGCGCGAGCAGACAACGGCGTGCGAAGCGGATGGCGTGACTATAGAAACTGTGAGTGTTCGGCCGTATAAGCGGCATTGAAAAGCGACATACTCGCCAAGCTTGTAATAATCTCTCCATCCTGATGAAATTGTTAGTACAGGCTCTGCGACTGCATTGGAAAAAATTAACTCACTCCTTCCAGACTAGCAAGCTGGTCACCAGTCTCTAAATCGACGATCAAAGCATCTTCGCCCACGCAGGTCAGCAATATGCGGCCACTGGCATCCAGCGCCGTGCTGCCCCCGGTATAGATGGGGCGGAGGGTACGAGACGCCTCGAAGGTAGTTTTGACAATTGCCTTCGACATGATGTGAATCGCAGCCCTTTGCGACAATTCCACGCCGATGAAGTTCGGAGCCCGAGCTTTTCGCGGGCAACTTTTTTTCGGCTGTTTGTACTGTTTGCACTCCGATAAGCACGCCCGATAAGGTCACTTGGCCGCGACGCCTCACCGTCTGCCACATCGATATATTATCCCTCTTTCCTCTCATGGGAATCTCGAAAGACTGATCTATGAGTTCATTTACCAAGTGATGTGTCCTGCCCTTGGCGTCCTTAGATACGATGGGCCGACGGGCTTATTTAAACCGGCTCGCTTTGGTAAGCATCCTTCCGCTCCTCGCTTGTCTCTACTCCTAGTCGCCGCCTGGTTCATGCCTATCTCTCTTTATGAGACGAAGGGCTTGTCCTTCTGTGGACCCATTCAAGAAGCTGGTGGGGAGTATCTCCATGCAGCGCGCTATTTAGCTGGAATGTGACCGTCCCTGTTCAATGCCATGGCATTTTGCTTTCATACTTTGCTCCTGTTTCATTGCTGTCTGATGGTTTCCAATATTAACTAATTACAAGGGCCGGTCGCCTTATGAACCGCCAGAGACTGCTGTGATTGACCCTTCGAGCCCAGTGCGAAGGGTGTCAAACGTCCATTCCGACAACTACATGCAGCAGTATGATGCCCGAGGGCATCCAGTCAACCCCGAGTCCAAGGTTTTGGGCCGGGAACTTCGCAGAGCAAAGAACGACATTCTTTCCACAATGGGGGTTGTTGTTAGTGGCGAGGACCGGAACGCCAACTCGTCCAATGACCAGGAGAAGATTAACCAAATAGCCGCTGAGAATGACTTCGGCCTTGTGATCACCACAATCGATCAGCTGTTTGTGTTCCTTGGCACCTGGTGGTCCTCTTCTCTCACCGGGCGTATTCAGGTATGTCTATACTCCAAGCCTTTGCCTTCCTCATGCTCAATGCCCGGCATTTGTTATACAGACATATCGGCATTATACGCATGCTGCTTTGCTTGAAGTCATCCGCTCCGAGCGTGGAGCGACAGGGGTGCTTGGCTTCTACTTAGCTGGTATCCCCGCGTGGGCAGTGTCCAGTGGGTTGGCCATCGCTCGAGACAACCCCCCTGAAGCGGATCTTTATCACGGCCCGAGATTATTTGGTGGACACCAGAGGCAACGGAAGTCTCTCGCTCGGAGTCCGATCTCTCTTCGGGCTCACATATACAGTGTAAGAACTTTTCTTTTTGCTAAGATATTTTCATGATATTGATGATAACTATAGGGCGAGGAGCTCGGTCCTCCTCTTGTCAGTGGAAGCGTACATGTATTCGTTACTTCAGTCTCTTTCACTTGTGCCTTCAAACGCCATTCCCAGCGCTCGCTTTCTGATACCCTTTGGCAAGGAATCTCTGGTTCAATTGCCCCCTCTTCCCGCCGACTTATCTATACCCTCGGCCGGCGGATTCCTTCTGCGCCTGCTGGCCTCCCCAGGAGTTTTGACCTTCCTTTTTGCCTTTTATCTGCGACCAGAGCTCGAAGAGCGCATTTACAGACTAGTCCGTCGTCAGCTGCCGAAGCCCACTGTTGTCGATGAGCTTTCAATTCGAGTTGCATATGAAGAGAATCTTGTCGACTGGGTGGTTCCCACTCTTGGCCGCAGGTCCTCGGAGGAAATGCGCCGTGCCAAGCTCACATTGCTTGAGGATATTAAGTGTGAACTTGTGACCTTCCAAGGATGGGTGTTCTCCTTTTTCGGCCTTTTGTCAAAGCCAAAGTCTGACGCGCAAAGTAAGGACGGTGGTCAATTGGAAAGGATAGAAACGCTTCGAAATTCAATCGAGTCATTGCAGAATGAGCTCGAAGAAGTTCATCTTCGCAACGTTCCTATTGATGACGAGCCGGAGGATCGGTTCGCCAGGCGTCTGGGCTCCTTTCCCCATACAAATACGACAAACATTGGACGTCTTGGTCTGCCGGTCGTTGCAGAATCTGCCCAAATGAGTGAAGCAGAATTGGCGCTGGAAATGAATCAATTACTCACAAACGAAAATCGCATGTCCCAATCCCCGGGAGAAATGAGTAACGATTTGTTTTCTGAAATGGCGACACTGGGCCGAACAAGTGCACACTCGAATACCACGGCTTCACAGAGCCAGATAAGCCACACACAAGGCGCGGAGGAAACTACAACAGACCGACAAAATTCCCGCTCAAATACACTTTTCTCTCGCCCGTCATCACCAGAGACGTCTCCTCCAACTTCACCTCGTGTGCGGGCTTCCTTGATCCATCAAAGTTCCGATATCATCACTATGCAGCTGGAGCTTTTGGGCAACCATAACCGCAGCGTCCAAGGCCAGGGGATAGCCTCAAACCTATTACCCAGAACGAGCCGGCAACATTCTGGCTTACGGCCTTCAGCCGTCCCTGATCGCAGGTCGATCGCCGAGTTCCTCGAGGCATTGATTTTGAGCCAAGCTGCTCAACAAGGGACTTCAGCGGATCCAGATAATGATTCGAATATAACTGCAGGAGCAAGCTATACAACAGCTCAAGACCTACCTATGGTTGACGACGAATCTCAAGACTTGATAGAAGAGGCTACTGCCATTGGCCATCCTCTCCCACCTCTCCCACAAGAAGGGCAAACATCAAACGTGCCCAACATCCTGCCAGATGGTGTCGAGGAACCGAATGATGAGGAGCCTGAAAGTCAATTACCCTTAGCTGTAGGGACAGCTCAAAGGGCAGACATTCCCCCAGACCCTGCACTCGGTCCTCCAAACTTCTCTCGCCTCCCGGGCCAAACTGTCACAACCCAGTCCATGACCGCTCACCGGGTCACCCTCCTTTCCGCACATCCAGTGGATTCACTGGCATCACACCTTGCGGCCATCATTAGCACCATCATTCTCTCTCCATTGGAATCACTTACCTTGCGCTCTCTGGCTCACTCCTACCTTTCCGCGCATCCTTCATCCACAATTCGGCTTTCGGATATTCATTCCATGGACCTTTGGTTCGGTGGAGACTCCTGGTCCGATAGGCTGGCATATACCGGAAGATTGGTGCTTATGAGAGGCATGCAGGCTGCTTTACGAGCAGGCGTATGGGGATTCCTGGTTGGCTCAACGATGAGAATTGGGCGGAAGTTTTGTGGTTGGGGGACTCTATAAAGCCGACTGAGCATGCAACTCCACAGCGGAATGTAATCATATATTGCTTTACTTTTACTGCATCTACATTTTGTATATGACCTACGTCTTAGGGTTATAATTGTAGCGTGAAGTCGTCATATTTCTAGTAGTACACCAGATCTGCCATTAACGCAGTTGCCCAAGCACGTTCTGCCCCAAGAGCCATCGAGAAGAAATGCTCCGCGTACAAAGCACCAGTATAAGATAAAAAGCCTCCCCTAGGCAAACTCCCCTTATTCGATCCGTAGTTTTTCGTTTTACTTCGTGCGGCTCTTCCCCTTCTGCCCGGAAACCTTGCGCCGTTCCCAGACCATCAAGTAGCCCTCGCGCGTGAACAGAGTCTCGCTCTCAGCACGCTTGACAAATAGATCTTGAATCTCGAGCCACTCGGAGCCACGGTGTTGCTGCTCTGCCGCACCGCCTTGTTGGTGACGGGAATTTTCAGCTGAGACAGCTTTGTCGTGCAGTTGGACGAGCCAAGAGACCTTCTCGCTGCCCGCACCAGCTCCCGTGGAAGAGCCTGCGGCTCCGGAGGCGGCGTTGACACCCTTGTCGGCTGCATCTTCGTTGGCACCTGGCGCGGCGACGCTGGGGTCGAGAATGATGTTGGCGACGAGATCGTACATGATTGGCTCGCCCGGAGGCCAGATCTCTGGATTGGGTTCGACGTATGGTGACATGTCGAGGGAGCGAGGGGAAGGGAAGGTAACAATTGTTGGGTTGCGCTCAGAGACGAAGCGGTTCTTGCTGAAGCGCTTGATGTGGAAAAGAAGGAAGGGCGGAAGCGGGTGGAGGAGACGGTGTCGGACACGGTGCGCCATCTTTTCAGAGGCTGTGAGGCCATTGTATTTGTTGAGGAGAGTAGTCAAAGGCACCTGTGGGATGATGGATTCGCGGTTGGCGGACTGGAAGAGGGGGGTTGGAGGTAGATCCAGGGTGAGGATGAGGAAGGGGGTAACATTGCTTTTGATATCGCCAGATTCTGTGAAGACAAGACGGGCGTTTTGGGTGTCGGAGTGCGCGGTAATGGCCTGTGATTCGATCCGGACGCGACCCTGGAAAGCAGCATGAATGACACTAGTTGGTGTCGAGGATGGCTTCTTGGAGCCGCCCAGCGAGAGATGAAGATTGTTCAGGAACCAGGAAAGGAAATCCACGGGGTCTGATTGTTGGGTGAGGGTGAAGCGCTTTGAGGATCGCAATGCAACTTCCTGCAGTAACTCGTGCGGAGACACATGGGACCGAAATGCCTTTGGATTCCATAGCTTGCGCACAAGAGTTCTGAATCGAAGAACAAGCTCTGGGGTGCCCGGCGTTGGGAAATCATGGAGAAGGAAGAAGTTCCGGATGGGAAGGACATGCGCCAATAGTTGGACTGCCACGTTAAAGTAGTCGTTGGCCTTGATGTTATTCATTCCCACAAATCCTATAGACATCATTAGCATAGGGTCTCCGCTGTTTGCAATTGGAATGTCTAACCTGGTCTGTACCGAGACCCCGAAAGATCCCAGGCGTCGTGGACCTCTCTGTCGAGTTTCACAACCGCATCCTTGGTGAAATGGGGATCCACCACATATTTGATATCATCCAAGCTCTTGCTCTTGACCTCGTAGCCTTCGGGCAGGACATAGACCTTCTTCAAGCTAATATTGATGAACACATGGTGTCCGACCTCGAGCGCGTGAAAATACGCATGTGATTTGGGACCGCGTCCTTGGAAATATTTGCCGCACACGAGGCAGGCATAAACGTTGATATTGGACAGACTGATGGAGCACAGCTTCTCGAAATCGAAGTCTAGCACACTGCGGTTGACGGTGTCGAGATAGAGGTCACCGTAACCTTCCATGGGCTGAGTTTGCCGCTTAGGCGCGCTGAGGGCGGGGGCCTCTTCGTCGATATCAATATCCGAGGACTCTGACACATCTTGAGCTGCTTCCTGCAGCTCCTCTCCTTCTAGGTCAGCGGCTGCTAGTATATCATTGCCATTGCGTTCGTCTTGCTCGAGCTCCTGGCCGCTGGCTCGATGCGCGGGCGCGCCGTTGCCGGAATTGCCCCCGGTTTCATCCTCCACGCGCGCCTTTTTCGAGGCTGGTGACCCCGGGAAATTCTGCTCCAGGGGTAGCTCTGCGTGTCTTTTTGACATTGCGACGGTCCAAAGGTGTGTCGGTGGCGAGAGAATGAAACGATGAAGATCTTCTGTTCCGTGAGCTTGGGGAATCGATGCAAACATGACAAACATGGAATTGTGCACCGCAGCATTCAGTTCAGTGATTCAATGATTCAGTGATTTTGTATTTCAGTTCTACACTTAATTTGAATGTATTTACGATGAACTAAGATGCCCATAAGCCACATCCTGCTATTTTTCGATGCGCATGTTGTGCCAAACATGTGTGGTTTATCCCGTAATCAAATTCAAAACGTCATAGGATATGATACAACAAACACCCTGGCATGTCGTCCATTAAGCACTCCGTGCGACACGATCGTTATCGAAGGGAACCTCCCGCACACCATCTTTCGTCACTACCTTCACCAGAACCTGAATATAGTTGTCAGCAAAGAAATGATAAGAGAAAGTAAAGTGTAACATACACCCTTGTAGTCAATGGGTAGGCGGCGCTTGAGTTCATCTGTGCACATCTCGAGGAGCTTCATGCCTTCTTCAAAGGAGATGTTAGGGTTGTGGTGCTTGTCGAGGAGAGAAAGACAGTAGTATCTACAAACATTAGCATTTATGATCCACCCAAAGCTCAACTCGAGTCGGTATGCAGAAGGGTCAAAACGTACTGGGCGTAGCCGTGGGCGGCGTATGGTACGGGTGCCAACGAGGCCAGATAGTCCACCCAGTACAGACTCGGCTCCTCAGTGACAGGATCCAGGCCTCCCAACAGGAGATTCACAGTGTACGGGCTTCGTGATCGCAAGCTGCGGGCCAGCTCTCCTCGGACGAAGTTCGAAACGGCGGCGGGACTGAGTTCGGTATCGTTGCGCATCGAGTACAATTTGATGTTGGCCTGGATGAATTCCGCGAATTGCACTAGTTACAAATGATCAGTATTTGACCCATGTTCCGTTGCGAGTCACCAGCTACTCACCGGTATCTCCAGCCTCTCCGGAGAAGGCCATGAGTGTGTGCGGGTTCAACTGCCGTGTCTTGTCGTCCTCCGCCTTAATGATGGTCGGACCTCGCATTATGGCCTTGGATGCGGCCATAATGACGAAGTCCTTGCCGGTGATGCCCAAGAGAACCTCCCTAGCACGCACGCAGTGTTAATTGCATGTCGTAGAATTGACGAACAGTATGTACCAGGGACTTACATATTTGCGATGAGTAGAAAACAAGCGTAATAAGGAAAGGCGAGGTTCCAAAAAGGGCGATGAAGGGAAGATGTGGTTGGATGATGACCGCGCGGCGAGCTTGAAGCCTGGAGCTCTCAGCTACCCTGCTGACTCAGCCGCCGCCGACAGCGGTTTTTTGCCCGAAAAAAAAGTTGATCCGCGCAGACTCGACTTCCACGAACCTCACTTTCCTGCCCGGGGCCTTTGACCCGCAAAAATTCGCAGGGACATACATTGGAAATCTTCTCTTGAAGATCGCCATGTCTTCCTTTTTCACCGTCCCCACTTCCCAGCGCAAGCGCAAGAGAGACGACCGCGCCGCAGCTCCGGGATCCAAGAAACGAGGCGTTGATGCCCAGAAAGAAGGCGCAGGAGACCGACGAGCGAGAGAAAGAGAGGAATCGATCTCTGGAAGTGACTTGGATGAAGATGACAAAATCGCGTCCGCAGAATCGGGCGAAGAATCCGGGTCCGACTCGGACGACGGCGAGACGGCCGCAGACCGACGGTTGAAACTCGCCGAACGCTACTTGGACAATGTCCGGGATGAGGTTGACGAAGTTGGATACGATGCAGCAGACATTGATCGAGACCTGATCGCCGAGAGGCTGAAGGAAGATGTCGATGAATTCAAGGGCAGAGTATTTCGCCTTCTCGGCTCAAAATTATCGTTTCCCACCGCATCCCACTCTTTCTTCCGCTCCGATACGCAGTCTACGACCTCGATTGCCATCCATGCGCCATATGTCTATACCGTTAGTAAAGACAAGACTTTGATCAAGTGGGAACTGGCGACTCCTAGCGAACCGAAGCCCGCCGACCCAAATTCGAAACGGCCTCCACGTCCCCAGCGTAAGACGCCTAAGCGGGTCAGATACTTCCGGGGCGCCCGCAAAATCGGCGGCGAGGAGCAAGGGCATACAGGAAATATCCTGTCTGTTGCGGTTTCTCCTTCTGGAAAGTTTCTTGCTACTGGTGGAAGTGACAATAAACTAGTGATCTGGGATGCGGAGACTCTAACACCGACCAAGACATTTACGCAGCACCGTGATTCCGTTGCTTCTCTCGCTTTCGCCCGTCACATCTCGACTATGAGCTCCGGAGAACAATTGTTCTCAGGCAGCTATGACCGCACATTAAAGACCTGGTCCATTTCCTCGGCTGGTCATGCATACGTCGAGACGTTGTTCGGACACCAGGATCATGTTACCGGCGTTGCAGCCATGACTATTGACCAATGTGTCAGTGTCGGAGCTCGCGACCGGACTGCGCGATTATGGAAGGTTGTTGACGAGAGTCAACTTGTGTTCCGTGGTGGTGCTTCCAAGAACGCTCCTTACCGGGAGAGCAATATCGACTGTATTGCTCCTCTGCCACCCTCCCACTTTGTGACTGGTTCCGACTCCGGCTCTATCTCCCTTTGGTCAATGCACAAAAAGAAGCCGCTCTATACGATTCCTCTTGCACACGGCGTGGACAGCATTCCTCCTCTGGATGAACTATCGCCTGAAGTTGACCCAGAGGTTGCTGCCCACAATGCCCGGCACATGCGGCCCACACCTCGCTGGATCACAGCGCTGACCACTCTCCCGGGTACTGATATCGTTCTGAGTGGTAGTTGGGATGGTTGGATCCGCGCATGGCGCATTTCGGATGATAAGAAGACCATCATTTCCCTGGGACCTGTTGGTGCCGGCCAACCGATCCCCGACACCCCCTCACAACAACTCAACAGCTCCCTTGCGCAAAAGGGCACCCCCGATGCGGATGATATGGATGTCGAGGCCAAATCGCAAGCACAGAAGGCCGATCCCAAGCCTTTGATTAAGGGCGTGATCAATGATATCGCCGTCTTCGAGCGCCGCCCCGAGGGTGCATCTTCAGGCCAGCCCGCTCCAAAATCCTCCAAGTCTAAACCTCAATCAGAGCCTGAGGTTCGGGGTTTGTGCATTGTCGCTGCAGTTGGCAAGGAGCACCGCCTTGGCCGATGGAAGTTCTACGCCAACAACTACCACGAAGGAGATGCTCCCCAAGGCCGCAATGGTGCCGTTGTGTTTGAGGTTCCATTTGCCTCTAAGGAAGCCGCCGAGGCTGATGTATAAAAGTTTCCATGGTTGCCGTCAGCCTTGTTTGGACTCCGTAATCTGGCTCTGTACGGGAACGGAGAATAAAATAGGAGCGTTATTTGGAGTGTGGTGTCCTGGAGTCGGAATTTGCATGTATTTTATCATCTTGCATACATATTGAATATCTTTATTAGAGAACAACTCAGATTTTCTGTCATCTCGGGACTATGTAGAGATCTGTCTATGAAAGCGCTGGTTCCACAGCCCCAGCAATAAAACTTCGATAAGCATATTCAAAACCCGTGTCTGATGATCCCCTATAAAAAGCATATGGGCACAAACAAACCCGTCCCATAAGTGTTTTACGGTTGGCAAGTTCGACAAACCATCCGATCTGGACTATCGCCGCATCAAGGCCAAGTTCGAGCCTCAATCTGACGTTGAAGCCGGGGATCAATCAAAGAACACTGTGAGTCAAGAAGACTTCCCGATTGAGAAAGCTCGTCTTTGACTTGTTCCATTCTTCTCTTCCCTACAGTGCCTTTCCATTCTTCTATTTGGCTGACAATCCAATACCCCCACCGCGTTCACATACAAGTTTCGTCATGCCCATGATTAATGGCATTGGCATCGGGCTGACATTCACCGTCTGCGTTACCGTTCAAGCAATTGCACTCGTGGGCCCCTTATGCAATGGAAATTCGCTGGTTCATGGAGAAGAGGCGGAAAGACGGAGGGCCCAAAGCTCTGAATCAGGGAAATAAACAATATTGGCATGGTTGGAGTAATAAATAGCTCGCATTGACATAATTGTATTTTTCTATTAGCAAAGACACTAGATTGATATCCGACAGCATTAAAATGTATGAATGAGCTTGCATTACGTCAGGTGACGCTTCCACCAGTTCTCCTTTTGTTTGAAAGACTCAAGAATGGCCTTGTGCCCATGCCACCCATGGCCTTCACCTTGGAATTCTACCACCTCGGCAACTCTACCATGAGCATGCATAGCACTAGCCATCATCCGGGCTTGTGCCACCGGAACCACCATATCCACAGTACCTTGAAGAAGAAGCAACGGCGCCTTGATTTGTTCGGCATAGAAACAAGGGCTGCGCTTCTTCAGCTCCTCCTCCCGGTCTTTGTACTCCGTCTTACAAAGCAGTAACCGGTCCACGTCTTGACTTTCAAACTTATATGAGTCTGCCTGCAGCATCTTCACGTCGCTGATGCCATAGGAACTAATCCCGGCGGTCCAGACATCGGGATACATGTGCAGCGCTTGCAGGGTCAAGTATCCACCGGCACTTCCGCCATAGATACCGACGCGGGATTTATCGATCAACCCTTCATTTGCAAGGTGCTCGACGGCGCTGACTGCGTCGCCCACGTCAACCTGGCCCCAATATCCAGATAGTCGTTCGCGATACTCGCGTCCGAAACCTGTAGACCCCGTGTAATTGACAGCGCAAACGGCGAAGCCACGTGTGGTATAGAATTGAATCTCTAGATTCAAAGCCGGGGTGACATTTCCATTGGGTCCTCCATGAACGTATACCAGAACAGGAGGAGGATGTGACCCATCAGCTTGGAAGTCCGGGTTGCGAGGGGGGAAATAGAACATGTGCACATTGCCGTCACATCGTGGACCATACTTCTGAGGAGCAGTGAATTCTTGGGCACGAGAGATATATTCTGGCGCTAGGTCAAATGATGCAGTTGAGGTGAGAACCTTCCTCTGCGTTTCAAAGGAGGGCGTGATCGATACCAAGGCCAGTTCTTGGAAAGATGTTGCCGATGCAGCAACAACTGCAAAGCTGTTGGGTGAAACTCGGTAAATTCCGTTGGCACGGAATCCAATATCCACATAGGGGAGACCCAAGTCTCGCACAGACAGATCGACAGTGTCGATAAGCACGATTTTGCTCGTGGCGTGGGTGATGGCCGTTGCCACTATGGTCCTCTCATCCAAGGAGATGTATGTGGAACTAAGCAAGGGTTAAACTACTCGTAACGACAATTGAATGATCTCCCTAACATACCTTCCAAGTTCCCATTCCGCAATGGCAAAATCGGCATTCTCTAGGCCCTTGAGTGAAAGACCGCGCAAATTGGCGCTCTTCGGGTCATATGAGTATAATTGCCAAAAGCCGGTGCGATCGCTAGCAAAGTACAGGAGTCCGTCCAAGCCCCATTTGGGCTGGGCGATACTTTCCGCCATAGCTTTCCCGGCGACGGGGGTGTCCTTCTGCAACGACCCATTTGCCCACTCTGCCACGTGAAGCACAGTGCCGGTCCATGGCATGTCGGGATGAGTCCATTGAATCCATGAGACATATTTGCCTGCAGGGTCGAATTTTGGGTGGCTGTAAAAATCGTCACCTTGGGCAATAGTGGTTTCTTTCCCGGACTCGATGTTGATTGCCACCAGAGTATTGTGTACGTGGGTTGCTTGAGTCTCTGGAGTAGCCTCACGGTGATCTTCTTTGATCGCAATTATCCACTCCGGGATTGTTGGATGGGTGTTGAATTCCGCATATCGGATACCCTTGGGTGCTTCGAGGATGAGCTTGACTTGGCTCGATTGCGGATCCAGAAGATAGATGTTGCAAGAATTCTCATCAGACAACAGAATCTGACCATCAGGTCTCACGGAAATGGAGCCACCACCGAGTTCCTGCACCGTGGCATGGGCACTCAGCTCCTTGGGCAAAACATCCTTGGTTTGTCCATTGAGGTGCTGCACAATAGCAAAGCGGCCATCCTCCGTAGGCCGGCATTCAATGGAGTAAATTGCCCCCGTGGATTCCTGAACAGAATTAGCCAAAACTACCCAGGTCCAGGGTAAGCCGATCACTCACGTTGACAACGACTTCTTGGAGCGAAATGCTCGAGCCTGCCAAAAGCTCTGCAGTGAGCGGACTCTTCCAATGGCCGTACGGCGCAGTACGAGAAGACATTTTCCTGAGTCCTGCCTGAGTACCTAACGCGAGAATTTGGAAAGTTGATCTTGGGGAGAGTAGACACGAATTATTCGGGACCCTCTTCAATGAATGGCTCGCTTGACAGTTTCCCTGGATGACTCACGAGTCAGAAATTGAATCGCCAAGTCACATAGAGGGACAAACCCTAGAAAAGGCGCGAGAACAACTGCTATACGTGCTTTCTAAAGCACAAAGGGCGGGCCTCGGAGAGTAAATAACAGGTGCTCGGATGATGCGGCGGTTCATCCCTGTCCGTTCTGTACCCAATCAAGTCAAGCTACGGCCACCTTTGTAGATACTCTGCAGCCGCAAAAGAGATATCGGTAGACTTAATAAGAGCCAGGGTTAAGGAGTGGAGAGAAGAGTGTTGGTTGAGTTGAAGAAATGCTACGAGAGAAAACCACGTGGGAATGTAGTTTATGGCCCGATTCATCAGGCATCGACGAAAGTTTAGTTAACTAACCAACCAAATTACATCGTCGAAGGATGATCTTTAGGAAAGGTGCTTGCCATGTGTTACTTTAGGTATTTAATTTGGGTTTAAAATCTTCTGTACATCCCAGAGCCTGGCGGCTAGATTGCAATTAATGTGTCTAATACGCCCTTTTGACTTTCTAGGGATTCTCCGACAAAGAACAGATGATCAAAGATAAGACTAAGACCCGAGCCAAAAAGGAAAGACACGATGGGTATTCGTGGGACACGTTGTGTTTTTCAGGTAGCAGGAGAAAGCATGAACATAGAAGATCCGGTGTCATTTGGCTGCGAGAAAGAGTTAAAGTCCTGAAAGGAAGCGCCGAGCCTTTTTCTATTCCATTCGAAGCGCCGCGCTATTTGAAAACATGGAGACAACACCAAGTATGCAAAGGAGGATATTAAAGCAAGAAAATGAGGCAGAAATTATCATAGCATTCAGTAAGGAGTCGCTCGGGCACGGCGGCGCTGTGTTGCTCTCCTCACTGGCCCGACTGGTTGTTCATCTTCAGAATCATCAATGGTGATTGCATTGACGGCAGAAATGCCAGTGGTCCTGACGGGCCTCATAGGTCTTGGAGCAGAGCTGTCGCTCTCTTGTCCACTGTCATGATCGGTAGGGTAGAAACCTTCCTCGTAATAACGATGAGCATGGGCCATTTCAGGATCCACTGCATCGTTTGTTTCGGCCTCGGAAACCATCGGAGATGATCGCGTGTCATGGAATACAGGGCCGCTGCCTGCCCCTCCTCTGTTGGATGGTCTTTCAAAGGAAGGACTGTGAGAGGAAGGAGAGGAGACCTCCCAGGGTTGCCTGGCTTCTGCAAAGCTATCTTCTTCCTCATAGACCTCGCTGCCTTCCTCTTCGTCTTCCGAAATGGGAGCATATGAGACGTCGCTATAACGCGGCGGGCCCCATGACGGCAAAGCTCGGTTCCGAATAGGAGCACTGCCAACCACTGTGACGCCATCGGACTCCGCATCATCTTCCCTATCCGGGCGAACTTCGTCGTCGTCAATAAACGAGTCCATGTCATCGTATTCGTCTTCTTCGTCTTCCTCGTCTTCCTCGTCTCCCTCACTCACCTCGGAGTGGAACATTTGCGCCGGGTGAGGATGAGAGTGAGGGCGAGGGTGTGGGTGAAATTGAGGGTGTGGGTGAGGACGAGGGCGCCATGCTTGCGGGTGATTTGGATGCCACAATCCATTCATCGCTTGGTTAATTGCCGAAACAACGGCGATGTTAGGGTCTGCATATCGATACGGCGGTGCGCCGAACGATCCAAATTGGTTGAACATGTCCTCGGCATCAACACCTCCGAATTCAACCTCGTCTAAATCTTCTCCGTCATATATAGAGTCGTAGTCGGTTTCACTGATGTCGTCCTCGCCACTATAGTCTGTCCTTTCATCGTCTGGGCGATAACGCCAGCCGCAGCTGAGGCATTCTTCGCCATCCTCAAGTTCCCAGGCACAGGTTGGACATCGAACGACCCCATCATCCACATCGACAACCGGTTTCAATGAAGGGGCTTTTGGGTTGAACAGTCCTCCAAACAAGCCACCCTTCTGTGGATCCGTATTTGCCTTGTCCTTGTCTAATCGACCCGCCTCTTCTTGTTGGTATTTCGAATGCTCGGCGGTAGTCTCCCCCTTGTCCAAGAGCTCCGCGCGACTCGTAAACATGTGGACGACTGCTCTAACCTATTTAAAGCGCAAAATATTAGGGTGTCTGCATGAGAACATTAAAGAAAGCAGGCTTACCAGATATGCCGGCGCAGGTTGGTTTTTGACAGGCGCTCGACAGTCAGGACATGTCCTCTTCGACCTACCACCGGAGAACCATGATGAGAGACACTGCGCGATGTTAGACAGTCCACGGAGAATAGACTGGGTGTATGTGAGAGACTTACAGAATAGCAGAAGGTGTGTCCACAGGCTAGGGTGTAGGGCTCGTAGAGAGGTCGGATACAGATGCCGCACTGTATTAGGTTTCGAATATCGTTCACATGGGTTTGGAGCGTGTTGAAAAGCTTGAACAGCGTCAGTTTTGAACTCTGTAAGCTATCAAAGGGTCGTGAAAGCTTACACCCGATGCCTCAGCCTCAGAACCACTACCGCAAGCCATGTTGGCCGCCATTTTGGCCACCCAGGATTGAACGGTATCTGCAGTCACTGCAGCTGCAGCTTAGGTATTGAGGAGATCGCGTTTGTGAGGTTGTGGCGCGGATACGCGACGTCCGTGAGAATGCGGTGGGGGTCGAGGCAAAGTTTCCCGGCAGTGGCAAGAGGGCGATTTAACAGGTAACAATGGAGAGACCCGTGCCAAAAGTCAAGAATGAGTGACACAGATGAGTGGGACAATGCAGAGCACAAAGGAAGAGGATACAGGCAAAAATTGGTTTGCGACCTTGGACCGAGCGAAGAATAATGGTGTTGTCGCAGGCCTCAGGCATCAATCAGATTACATAACGGTGCCTGGTCCCGGCCCGTGACTTGACCATTCACCAGTTGCTTTGCTCTCACATCGCATCGTGTTCACGTTACATGGGATGCTGTCACTTTCTTTCTTTCTTTCTTGGTCTCACTATCATGTCTTGATAGGACAAGCTACTTAAATGAGGCTGGCAAAAGCTTTTGACTCCTTTCCTAGATTCAGGTGACATGTTTGCACCACGGCCTATAAGAACTATCTCCGCCACGTCTCGTTATAAGTCTCGATCCATAACGGGTTACCCCGCGATGTCGAGGCCTACCCGCGCGCACGCCTGCTAGAGCCAGAGCCGGCTCACTGGGTTGCCATCTGTTCACGATCAATTCGCAGGGTGACTGGCATGACCGGCCCGTGCACGGCCCGTAGCAGGCGGTAAGCATTTTAAGTGAAAACCTCTAAACTGTATCCAGTAACTTCATCGGACCCACGTGATCGGCTCGACGGGAGCCCCGCCCGATACAGCGAGACCGGACCGTGTAAGTCGCCGTCAATTAACATAGTCTGAAGTCTCGATTGACAGATAAGCCGTCAATTCGCTCTAGATAACTGGAATTAGTGTTCCATCGTATATATATCGATCACCTCTTCCCCCATTCCTAAAGAGCCATCTCGAGCAGCTGCCGAGACTCACTTGCTCCTGCAAAGGATCCCATTAGTCGCTTTCAAGATGGCCTCAAGCAACCCCTCATACCTTATTATCGGCGCTGGTGTCTTTGGTGTATCAACTGCCTATCATCTCATCCAGAAGTATCCCAATGCGTCGGTGACTCTGGTTGACCGAGATGCATACGACGCCGAGTCTCGTGTGGCTGCATCGTGGGATTGGAACAAGGTTGTTCGCGCCGACTACGACGACAAGGTCTACTGCAGACTCGCTCTTGAGGCTCAAGAAATCTTCAAGTCGGATCCTCTCTGGCAGCCTTATTTCCACCAGACTGGCGTCTACTGGACGTGCCGCAGCGACTACGCGCAGAACGTCATTACGAACCATAAGGAGCTCGGCCGCAATAACGATATCATTGCCCTCCCTGTCGCCGAGGCCCGAAAGCTTTACGGTGGGGTTTTTGATAACGCTGACTATACCGGCGTCAAGGAGGTGCTCGTGAACAGGGCCAGTGGTTGGGCCGCCGCTGGAGATGCTCTTCGAGCAGTCACGAAAAAGTGCCTGGAATTAGGCGTCAAGTACGTGACGGCCGACGTCGCCACTCTGGAATTCAATGGCCGCGGGTCTTGTACCGGTATCAAGACGAAATCTGGAAAGATCTTGTCGGCGACTCATGTTGTCGTCGCTGCTGGCGCTTTCACACCCACGTTACTGGAGTGGAGCGCTGCGAAGAGCGGCAACGCCGGCCTTCGAGCTGGAGAGCGAATTGTGGCCGCTGGGATTACGACGGGAATGGCACAGCTCAACGAGGAGCAGTATAAGAAGTTCAAGGACATGCCTGTTGGCTTCCAGGGTTACACACCCGAGGAGGGTAAGCTTTCTCATATACTTACACGAACGCCGCTAATTGTCAAAAGGCAAGCCCTTCATCGGTAGCATTCCCCCTACCAAGGACGGAGAGCTCAAGTGGTGGGGATCCAAGATTTTCACAAATACTCGAGAGGTGTTGCCTGGCCGTCATATCTCTTCTCCTCCGCCTACACACGACTACAACCAGTGGAAGGTTCCTGGACCTCTCAAACAGGATATTGTCGAGTCTAGGAATCTGTGGTACGGGCCCGAGAGTGCGGATTGGGAGATGACGAAACACCGAATTTGTTGGTGAGTAACCCCCTACTAACATGACGATTAAAACACAAACTAACACTCAACAGGGACGCTTTCACCACCACCTCTGACTTTATCATTTCTCCTCACTCTGCTTCTAAGGGACTCTACGTCGCAACTTGCGGTTCATTCCACGGTTACAAGTTCTTCCCCGTGCTTGGCAAATACATCACACAAATGATTGAGGGCGAGTTGGCGCCCGAATTGGTGGAGAAGTGGGCTTGGGATCGACAGCGACCGGATTCATCGCAGAATGTGGAGTACCCGAACTCTGAGATGAAGCATCTCTTGCAGCCTGCAGCCAAGCTGTAGTAGAAATTGCAAGGGCTCTTAAAGTCGATTGGGCATGGTCAGCGCATTTGAGTAATGTTATGAATTCATGATTGACTTGATAAAGTAGCTAGATTATTCTATAGAGATTTGCAGTATCTTACAATGACTCATTGAACGCTGAAATCCGAAGTGTTACAAGACGCGATTTATCTAAGCTGGAAACGGCGGCAGGGCAGCTGAAGAAAGCCGTGTCAAGATAGGAGAAGATTTCTGGCACGATCAGAAAGGGCCAAGGCCAAAAGGCCTGCAGCTGGCAAAGGCCTGTAGGGCTGGTTTGAGGCATTAGTTTTGCAAGCATAGTCAAGTTGATGATTATGCGGCTCCGGTGGTTGGCGTCTCCGCGCCAAGACTGCGGATCCCCGATTCTGCCGGAGAAACACTAACGTCCAGATCTCCAATTATCCTCCAACGTTCCCCAAGATCACATTCGACACGTCCTATCGGTGCTCGGATTCCTGCGCCCGGTCACACCGGTCTCTTCCATTTTACTGAGCCGGCGAAAACAGCAATCTGTAGACCTCATCTCCATGTCGGGCGAAACCCCCAAGGAGGAAACCCACGGCAAGGCGTGGGAGAAGGCCGAGAGGAAGTTCTCCCAGTGAGTTCTCAAACCCGTTTTCCCTGATTTTCTTCACGTCAAATGCGTCATGAACCTGTCTGCGTGCATATATTTGTTACTGGGCGTCAGGTGGACTGGGTTGGGAGGATCCGGCCAGTGACAAACGATCCCGCGTGCTATGAACAACTTCAAGGGGGAAGGAGCCATGTTTGTCTGCGGAATATTTTCAATCAAAGAATCCTTTTTCTTTCATCTTGCGTTTGCCTTCCGATCCGCGTTCGTGGCTGACCCGATGATACTAGCAAAAATGCCAGCGAATATTATGATCCTTGTCAGGACTTTGCGGATCGAAGTCTCAAGTGCATGAAGCGCAACGGCTTTGATCGCGAGATGTGTGGCGACTACTTCCAGTACGTATACTGTCTCTTAATCCTGAGGAGCTAAGTGTCGCGAGATCGGAGGTTGCCCTGCATGCCTTGATGTCGATTCGTCTTTTTCTCCTTCCCTTGCCCATGACTGACTTATTCACTTTCTAGGGCTTATCGAGATTGCAAGAAGAACTGGGTAAGTTGAAGCAGGCCCTGAATCGTCTTTCCAAGGCTCTCTTATTTGCTTTGTACCTTTTCAAGGTCACATGGACGATTCTGCGATTTGCAAAGACACCAACACTGCTATATCGAAAATTCGCTGACAAGGGCCGCAGTTGAATCAAAAAAAGGCGGCTTAGGCTTCCAAATAGAATTCAACCAGGCTTGATGCATTTTGACGAAGAAGGTGCCCGCGCCAAGGGCAAACATTGCGTCTCGTGCAATACACTTTCCAACCCCGCCTTAGCATGAAGTTTGTCGACCCCGACTTTCTGGACTTTGTGATTTGCAATCATCCTATAATAATTGCATGGTCCGTCGTGCGAAATTTTGTGTGGCCAGCATTCGAATACCATTTTGGCAAGGGAGCGATACCATGATACGGCCGCAAGATAAGCGCGTCTGCTGTTTTTGTTCCTATTTCCCTCAAGATCCCCATGCCCTTGGTGTTGAAAGGTTGTGCGTGGATCCCTTTGAACTGTATACTAAATTATTTCGTTCTCTTTATTTTATGCATGGTGGTCCCAACTGCTGCCCTGAGCCAATCTTCATGAATGGCTTCTATCTAGACATTTTATTCAAAGTTTACTAGGCTGTGCTCTGCAATGGAAATGACAAGACTTGCACCCATGCGACTCTATGGAAAACCGACGAGTTTGAATCGCAGCAAAAACTGAAAAAATAAAGCCAGCAATGACCACAAGCATTTCAAACGCAATAATCACCGCCCTCTAAGAACCATAGTAAAATGGGTATCTCCTCTGGGTCATCCATACCCTTGGAATTGGGATCATCTCCTCAATGAGAGCGTGGAAAAAGCTCGATGGCAAGATATTTCTTAGAACATTCGATCAGACTCTCTAAAGAACATTGTTTTTCACTGACTCACTGGATAGTGATTTCCAGTACGGTAGATCTATGCTGCGACAGGGCAGGGTTGTTTATGTAGTAACAATTAGACACGGATTGCGGCGTGTTCTACACGGCTTGGGTAACAATCCATGAGGGTACGAAGAAAAATCTGCTTTCCAATTTACCTAGGTCCATATGAAAATTTAACGTCGTCGGCAGAGCATGGCACATCTAACGATAGGCGGATATGTATACCGTATACTTGAGATTTTCCAATGTTCAAATTAGTGAACAACATTGAGCCTACTTTTCTTCGGAGGGACATTAGATTCATTCTGCCTGTTTGGCGTTAATTTACTTCCAGATGAGGCTAATAGTTCAACTCAATGTGCATATAACTTCAGTAAATATTATCGAGGATTTGTTCAGGCCTCGTCACTTCGTCAGTTAAAAGTAAAACTGATACTATTCAATGCAGGATGAGGTCAAACGCCTAAGGAAGAACAGCTCTCATATCTAAGTCATTGAGGAGAAGCACATGGAGCCCCGCCAATAGGAAGTGAATAAAGGCGTCACATGTCGCCAAAACTGAGGGTAAAATGAATGCGCGCCTAATCGGGCAAGCCACGCTGAGGCAGCGCTTCTCACTGAAAATACCGCTTGCTTCTCACCGCCCGCCCGTCTTCTGCCATATTTTTTCTTCACCGCTTTCTGTCACTTCCCCGCCAAACAGCATCTGTGAGCTCGAAAGCGAGCTCGAATTACCCTCTGTTTCTGTGTGTTAGTGCCGTTGGGTGTGCTTTGCCCTGTCCGAGCGTCTCACAATGGCGCCTGCCAATGACGCAGTCTTCCTGCGCCGCAACAACCAGGTTCAAGATGCCATTGACGGGCAGAATCTGAAGCAGGCGCTGCAGCTCGTCGAGAAGCGCATGAAAAAAGGCGAGGACACGCGGTTCCTGAAGGTATGCTGATCTAATTTCCGTGTAATTGAGTCTTGAGCTGCCATGTGGCTGAGTTTCGAGCGCTTTGAATTTACCTCTGCATCAGACTGAAGCCCCGCTAACATGGAATTCGACAGGCATGGAAGGCGCATATCCTCTTCCTTCACGCGGATGATGCCCATAAACAGCGCGGAATCGCCGAGACCCTCGAGCTTTGTAACGCCGAGCCCCCTACTACCGACCTCGACACCTTGGAGAAGCTGTTCCTGACTCTGCAGAAGCTAGACGGACACGGTGAGACCAGGAGCAGTCTATGGGAAAAAGCCGCCAAGGTAAAGCCGCAGGTATTGGATATCCAGCTAGAGTGGTTCACGACGTCGTTTGAAAGCAATGACTGGAAGTCGGCGCAGAAGGTCAGTAGCAAGAGACGACTCCGCACATTGATCACAGAGGGATGAAGAATCGTATCTGACAATTATAACCCTTCTGATTTATAGGCAGCGATGAGTCTCCAGAAAAACTTCCCCAAGGAGCGGAAATATTACTTCTGGGCTATCGTTCTCACACATTTGCTGGCAACGGATGCCGCGAGCTCAGAGACGGAGCGCAAGCTTTTTGGAACATTGGCGTACCGAATGATCTCAAAGGCAGCTGCCGACGTTCCTGTCAATCCGGTAAGTATTCTTTCTTTGCATTTGAGATACCCTAAATCGGAGCCAGGCTGATGAATAACCGTGATCAATTTCTTAGGCCGATCTGTTGAGCCATCCGCGCGCGATCCAGAGTTCCGAGGAACTGCGATTACTTGTCAAGATCTTCGAGTCACAGAAGCAGCATGCCGAAATCGTCAAGATTCTGGATAGCAAAAATCTTGGTCTCAAATCTCGCATTGTCCGGCGAGACAAGAATTTCCTCATCTGCAAAGCCACGGCCTTGGCATCTGGAGGGCTGTGGGAAGAAGGCCTAGCTTTCGTGAAGGATCTTTACACTGTCAACGAGGATGGAAAAATCAAGAAAAACCTTCGTGAAATCGATGATTGGGGCATCTGGAGTCTGCTGGTTGAAGCAGTACGGAACATCAAAACTCCTGGGTTTGTTTCTCGCTCCCGCCGTAATATTCCCACTAGGCTGACTTATTTACTTCGCTCATTAGAATTGCTGCTGAAACACAAAAGTTTATCGAGGAGTTCATCAAGGCCCAACCTAAATCCCGCAATGCGGCTCTGGCTCACGTTGACTCGGCCTTCCTGGGAATGCAACTCGGAGAAATGACTCCGGATGATGTCCTTTCAGCCTGCCAGAGATATGCGGATCAACACAAGCACAAACTCTATGTCTTTGGCGATCTCCGAAGAGCATTGGCTGATGACAGAAATGCTATGTCGAAAATTGCAGACTACCTTGCGAATTGCAAGCAAGATGACAATAATGTTAGTTTCCTGACTTGAGATAATCTTGCCATGCTTTTCTTCCACGCTGACCATCATCCAGTCCATCGTCCCCATGATAAACTCCCTCAAGTTGTCTTACTGCCTGAATATCTCAGGCGCCGAAGACGGCTCTTCCAAAGATAAAGTTGAGGCTTTTGTTAGCCAGTGCATGAAACTTTATCAGTCCTGCGCTGGTAATGGAAGCCCGGAAAAGACCAAGGAGGAGAAAGAATCCGCTTCCGCTACTGAAAGCCAACCTAGAGATGATCTGTGCATTCTTGCTGCTATGGCCTTTCTTCGCGCAAGCGAAACTGGTGAGACTCAAGCGCGAGTCCCAGATTCGGCTCTCATTCGCGCTGCTGGCATTCTGGAACGGCTTCTGCTAGACTCGCCACATAACTACCAGGCTCGCTTGCTCTTGATTCGCATTTATCTTCTCCTCGGTGCTGGCTCTCTTGCCATGAGCACTTTCAGCAAGCTTTCCGTCAAACAGATCCAGTATGAAACTGTTGCTCACAATCTTTTTACCCGCCTCGCTACTATCCATCCTCACTCTGCGCCGCCGGTCGAAGGCGCTGAGTACAAGGACTTTGACCCGCAAGCGGCGTTCGTTCAAGGCCTCAACTTCTACCGCAACTCTGAGGTATCAACTCTCAAGTTCCGCACTCGTTGCATGAATGAGGGAAGCTTTGTCAATGCGGAAGAAATGGTTCAGCTGCGGGAACGTCTCAGGAACAGTATCTGTCGCAGAATGATGGCACTTGAAGTGCGGCGCTCACAGAGGCTGGCTGGCGGCGACCCCATGACTCGTTATGATGATATCGGTTTGTTCATACCTATATTGGATGGCAATGGGGCTATTTAAAGCAGTTGCTAACCATAATCACAGCTCGTAATATCTCACCCGCCACAGACAACCGAGATTACGATGTGTTCATGGACTGCGAATACCCGGGAAACCCCACATTTGAAGAGAGAATGCGCGTGGGACCGATTCCAAAGGTAAGCTTTTTGTAGGTCAATCTGTCACTGCGCCGATAGCTGACATTCGTTCAGGAAAATTGGCTGGCTTCTGGCAGAGTCACCGACCAAATGTATAGCGTGCTCAAGGGCATTGCTTTGCAGAGACCACTCGCACCTGAGATGGACCTACCCGCCATCGAGAACCTTGCCATCTCCGAGGGGGTAGATGATGAGACAGCCACCGAGAAGGAGGCAGCCAAGATTCACACAGAGGTGCTTAAGGTCGCAGTCTTCATGGCCGGGTCGAAGACCACCACCCTTGCACAAGCCGACAAATCTCTTGGGGTAGTGGAGGACTGGCTAAACCTGAAGAAAAAAGACCTGACGCTCGACACTTCCGACGTTTCGCCGCTCATTGCTACCACCGCTTTCTACCTATCCGATGTGCCGACTGCGCCCACCTGGAGATTCTTCCACTCTGTCTTCACGCTGCTGGACACACTGAAGGCTCTTTCTCAGCTCGCTACTCTGTCTTCCAGAAAGGGGTCAAAGGCCGTGAAGCTCCCCAAGGACCGCGTGGACCGGCTGTCTGCTTTGGTCACTGACATCTTTGAACTCGTCCGGACTAACGCCAAAGCGCTGAAGCAGCGCGTCTCCACATCGGGTGTGCTCAATGGCCTGATCAACCTTGTTGGTCATGGTGACCCCTCTATCAAATACAGCCAAGAGCTCCAGCAAGCCTTGGAAGCCACCTTGGATGGATCGGCACTGGAGGTGTTCTGCGGTTCTCTGATGGAGAGCTGGGAGGAAGCCCTGGATGGAGTCATGGGCGTGAGAATCTAATGAGACGTATGACTACATGCACAAAGGACTTCGGTGGAAGACGAAAACATAACTAGAACAGGTAGATGAGAATAGAAAACCGATATCCATTCTTACTTTCAACTTTGAACGCAGATGTGAGGGCATATAGTAGCACGTGACCAAGACGATCATGTATGCCCCAGGCATGAATACCCGCATGATCACTAACCAAAACAAGATATTAGCCCTAGCCCTAAACACTCGCCTACCGCACACCGCGCCAAGATCCGCAATTGTGCGGTTCCCGTCACTAGGCGGATTTGCTTGCTGGCTTCCTCATTCCCCTTCTTCGACAACCACCGCCAACCTCCCCAGTCACCAACCGTCGAGATGGCCCAGGAACGCTCCGGAATTGTGCTCGGCACCAACAGTGGCCACGTATGTCATCACCTTTCCCACCTGGCAGTGTCATGTCTAGAGCCTCTGTTCTTTTTGCGATCGAAAATTTTCGGGTCGGGTCCCGTCGAGGGTTCATGTTCAATACGCAGAATACGCCGCTGCGATTATACTGCAATCCAAAAGATCAGGCTTCATAGAGGAGCAGCTGGGAAGAGGAGGAAAATCCGATGGACTTCGAAGAGTCGCGGAAGAAAATTTGGACATTTGATGGGACCCGGACACAAACTTCGACCGCCGGCCTGAACCCCGACTACGACCTACAACCGAAAATAATTCGACGCAACGAATGAACAGAGCTCTTTGGACATGGATATGACTGCGAATGGATTGTTTGAACCAGACCGACTAACATGTCCGGCTATAGAAAACCACTGCCCTCAACACCCCCAAGACCAAGGTCAGCCGTACCAAGGGCCAGTCTTCCCGCCGCACTCAGTTCGTCCGCGACATCACCCGCGAGGTCGTCGGTCTCGCTCCCTATGAGCGCCGCATCGTTGAGCTGTTGAGGAACGCCCAGGACAAGCGTGCCCGCAAGCTCGCTAAGAAGCGCGTACGTGTTGAACTCCTTCATTTCTTCTTGATCTGTTTGCGAGGTGGATTGGATTGAGTGGGGGAATTGCTGGTTCTGGGCAAATCGGTGCAGTAGGATGCTTCATGCGAATTCACCACTCCAGGAAGACATAAGTCGACTTGGACTCGGCCCATTCATATGAATGCAACCCTGCACCGGATGCGCTGAATTGCTTTTCCGCAATTCACCTATCCCCAGCGAGAAGATCAGTATACCGCACACTCGAACCAAACGCTAACATCCTCTCCAGCTCGGTACCTTCGGCCGCGGCAAGGCTAAGGTTGAGGACATGCAGCGCGTCATCGCTGAGTCCCGCCGTGTCCAGAACTAAGCGTTCGATTCCGTTGATTCTTTTTTCTCCTTCGTTTAACGACTCGAATACCTGGCGCGCGCAAGGGATACGAACGAAAAAATCGCATAGCGTATGGCTTGCGGATCGGAATATGGATATAAGGTTTTTGTGACTACCGGTGGATGACGGGGATGGCAAAAGTGGGATCCCTTCCTCTTGTTATGGAAGAGAAACCATAATGAAAACATTTTGTTCAACGTTTGATTCATTCCTTCGTAATTGCGTAGAGTGGCCAAGCCATCTTCAGGTGTGTACAGTGTACATGCTGGATTTCTTTGGACTACAGTAGGCTGCGTATGACGCTAGGTCTAATTCCGCGTCTATCTCCGTCAATTTATTTGAATGGAGCACTACTTTCTTTGCGGCCTATTGGAATAGCAACGTGGAACCCGATCGTCATCAATCATGCAATTGCATTGGTACTGCCCAATATATGCAAATGAAATCTGTTATCATTCACAAAGCAATGCAACCCCTGCGTCCAAGTCATGATCATCCAGAAACACGCATCACTCATGAGATACGTCCGAGTCATTAAGATGGAGTTCATTTCTTTCCAGGCAGTTTTAACCACTTTGGAATGCCACCATGCTTCCGTGCTCCGCCAGGCTTGCCATCGCCAGAATCACTTGGACCTGCTTCAGTCTTTGGTATAGACAATTCCTCCTTGGGCTCTGGTGGCTGCTCGACCTTCAGCTCGCGGGCTTGGCTGCGGAGTTCCGGACGCAGCAAGTCGGTTCGGCGCTGTGCAGAGGATACGCCATCGGACCATGTGAAATTAACCAGAACTCGTCCCATTAGTCCCAAGTCCTTAATCAGGGTCTGGTCAGACTCGGGGAGCGTGCTTAGGCTTGCAGGGCGCGATGCAGTGGGGTTCCGGAAGATGTTTAGGTTGAACTTCTCTCCAGTGAATACTGGAGCAAGACAGCTGCGCACGAATCCGTACAACGATTTGCCAGAGTCGGAAGGACCAAACTTCACAACCACCTGACTTTGGTCTGGGAAACGGACTTTCACCTCTATCTCGCGGATCTCGGAGCGTCGTTTCTCCTCTGCTGCAGCTTTGGCGGCTATCTCAGCATCGGTAGGCAGGCGCTGTGGACGAGAGGATTGGTTGAGCAGCCGTTGATGAGCTTTGGCGTGCTCGATCGAGGGCACATAGTCTTCCTCGTTGTATGGTATTTGGGCAGATGATGGGGTGTTGGCGGAGGGAGGCGAAAATACGGTGATGGGTCGTTCGGATGTTGAAGTTGAGGCAGGTTGCTCAGGAGCATCTGGAATCGGAGTATCCTGGTCATCTGCGGAAGGCGCAGTTGGCTCACTGGATGTTTCAGGCTGACTGACGCTGGGTATTTGCAGCTGGGTTTCATCTTTTGCCTCCTCTTCAGATGTTGCGGGTGCTTGGTTCGATGTCGTTGCTGGCATTTCATCCTCGGACGTCTTGAAAAACTCGGCAATCTTGGTCATGGCAATGTCGAGAGGATCTTCAGTCCGTCGGAAGCTGAGTCGAATAAGCACGTTACCACTATTGAAGCCGAGTTGAGCCAGCGACTTCTGCAAGTCCGTGAAACTAGATAGCTCGCGCTCCAATATCTGTAGAACGGGGATCTCATAGAACAAGGTCCCAGTGCCAGCGTCGCCATCAGTTGTAGCGGGTACTCCCCTAGCAGTCAGGTTTCGTACTGGACCGCTTCCTGCCACTCCGGCTTCAAACTTGCGCAAGATTAGCCAAAGACTGGTCGTGCTTGGGAACTTGTCAAGTATGCGCCCGTTTGGAGCACCGCGAGTTTCGGATTCAGGGAGCTGAAGAGCGACTGTGACGATGGAGGGAGATCGAGACAGCTGTACAAGCTCGAGCTTTGCGCCAGAGCTGAGACCAGAGAGGCGATAGGAAAGGGAAAGGTCCAATTGTTTGCGGTTATGCCTTTGTAGACTAGGTTAGCATGGCCATATGTCGGCGGGGAGCAGCTTGACTTACTTCAAGCCATATTGGCTAGGGTTATATCCAAGCTTGGAGCATGCTTCTTGCAACACATCTGTCAAGTGTTTGGCAGGTGTCGTCTTGACAGTTGCCCGCCTGGCCGTCGCGTCGATCACCACGACGTGGGCGCTCATAGTTGCACTTTGTGGAACTCTCTGGAAACAATGGCGGGACAAAATAAGAATAAAAGGCTTTGGAAGGAAAAGGAACGCGGATAGGGGGTAGATGACGTGAGGTGAGGAGAGCGTGGGGTGCGAGATTAGAAAGAAAGCAGTCGAAGGTCGAGGCCGACCAAACAGGCAGCGGTGCGGCGTCATCCGAGCTCTCGCGTACTTCACAGCTCCCCGTCATCAACTCACCTCCCCAATCCTCCACCCCCGACCTCCCCCTTCAACCCTCTCTTATCCACTCCTGTCTCCCGTCAAAGCTCCAGAGTTTACACAGCTAGCTGGATTGATAAGAAAGAACTGCAATAATGGTATGGAACCGGGTCCCTTCCCCCGTTCAACCCCAGCCGCAGGACTTCAAAGCTAACCACCTCCTGCCATCATCAGGGCTCTCCCTTCGACATCAGTACGAATCCATCATGGCCCTGACAACCAATCGAGAAACCCACTAACCTCTACACAGATGGCGGTGCCTGCGTCGCCATGGTGGGCAAGGACTGCGTCGCCATCGCCTGCGACCTCCGCTTGGGCATGCAAGCCCTGACCGTCTCCAACAACTTCCCCAAGATCTTCAACTACGCCCCGTCTACCTATCTCGGCCTGACTGGTCTCGCCACCGATGTTAACACCGTCTCTGACCTTTTCCGCTACAAGGTCAACATGTACCGCCTGCGCGAGGAGCGCAATATCTCCCCCCAGACCCTGGCCAACCTGGTGAGCTCATCGTTGTACGAGAAGCGCTTCGGACCGTTCTTCGTCAGCCCGGTCATTGGCGGTATCAATCAAACGACCGGCAAGCCGTTTATCTGTGGATTCGACAGCATCGGCTGTATCGACTTTGCCAAGGACTTCATCGTGAGCGGAACGGCCAGCGAACAGCTGTTCGGTACCTGTGAGGGTCTGTGGGAGCCAGATCTGGTGCGTATATGCTCTTTGGCTTCAGCACGACTCAAGCTAACATGATCGTAGTCTCCTGAGGACCTCTTCGAGACCATCTCCCAAGCCCTACTGGCCGCCGTCGACCGAGATGCCCTCTCCGGTTGGGGTGCACAGGTGTATATTATAGAGAAGGACAAGGTGACCCAGCGGTTACTGAAGGGACGACAGGATTAAAGAGAGGATACCAGAGGGTCAAGTTGGTTCATTTTGGGCTTTCTGTTGGTTTGAGGGCATCGGCGTCTGTGGTCTTCACTGGATGATGATGTGCCATCGTAGGTCAGCCACTGGCGCAATACCACAGTGACGCGAGGACGACGATCAGACCGTGGATTCATCCTGCGGCTATATGTTTCTCATACTTCATATCACGATAATACAAGCTCCGTCATCACGTCACATCGGTTTTTTATTTGCATACCCTCGAGGTACTCATTCAGGGATACTAATATCATAACTAAAGACGGGCTCAATAGCCGTCTTTGCCCTGAACCACATCGTAGGCAGGCCCATCCCTACCTAGGAATTCCTTCAAATCACCCGCAAGCAACTCAGGCACCTCCCACGCGGCAAAATGACCGCCACGGTCAAACTCCTTCTCTTGCACCACGTTCCCAATAGAACGGTACCAAGCGATGGGCCATTGAACAATCTCTTCCTTGAATTGCGCCACAGCGAACCGCACGTTATAATGAGCAGAAGCTGCAAGGACCTCCGAAAGCGTCATCCACTTCGTGATCGTCTGCTCCCCCTGTTTGCCGTTGCCAGTAGTCCCACTTTCCGGCTTCGACGCCGAAGCCTCATAATAGATCCGAGTCGACGCTGTCGGCCCAGCCCGCGAGAAGTAGTAAATGCTGACCCAAGTCAAGATCTCATCATCTGTCCATGGGTAGTTATCAGACCAGGAATGTAATTTATCATAGATCCACGCGAGAAGCCCGACAGGGCTGTCATGCAAACCATATCCCAGCGTCTGAGGCCGGGTCTCCTGCTGCTTCATGTACGCGTTGCCGCGCAGAGCATAGTCCACCGTGCGGGAGACGGCCGCCCGGTCTTTCGCGGAGAAGGGGACACTCGCCAGGGAATGAAGGAAACGCAGAGGACTCTGCCAAGGAAATGGAGGTGTGACGGGGATAAAATTCAGGTGGATGGCTTGGATGTGCCGAGCGTAGTACTGTGCCATGGTGCGGGCGATCATGCTGCCCCAGTCTCCTCCCTGGATGACTGTAGCGAGGTCAGTGGCTCGGCTGATAGTACGAGAGAGTATGTTTCTTTACCGTATTCCTCATATCCCAGGGTAATCATCACCTTATGGAGAGTTTCGGCGTACTGGGCCAGACCGAATCCTTTCTGATCACATTCATCATCGGTGAACATTCAAGAACCGCCATATCATCAGAGACTTACCTTCTGCACGCCCTGTGAGAAACCATAGTTAGGCAGTGAAGGTGCCACGACATCAAAAGTCGGTCCGTCATCGTCCTTCACAAGCAGCGGGATCAGCTTCGTAGCTTCGAGGAAGTTTCCTGGCCCTGATATGCAGTTAGCCAGAGCCATATGACAATATCAGAGTTTGAGATGAAGACATCGTACATCCATGAATAAACAAGAGGGGAATAGCATGAGGGTTCCCACTCCGATGATGCACAACATGAATATTGAGCTCGTCGAAGCCGTCCACTGAAACGGGGACGGTGAACTGCTTGAGCTGGTCGTTCAATTTCTTCTCTTGGGCTCGCCAATCAAACTTCTCACGCCATTTTGTGACCAGACGCTTCATGTCGGAGAGCGGGACCCCCATGTCCCAGCCCGCTTCGTCCAGTTCATCGGGGAACTCTGCTTGTTTGAGCTTCTGGTGGAGCTTCTTGAGCTCGGCGTCTGGGACGGCAATGTTAAATGGAGTAATGGAGCCCATGTTCAACGTAGTTCTGGATGCACTTATTAGCAGAGGATAAAAGGTTGAGCTTGCTGTACTCCGTATACCTCTGATGTCAAATAGTTGTAACGCGATCCCTTCGGCGGGGTCCCAATCCATGATTGGCGGAGATCTACCTCGGTATCACAGATCACAGATCCAAACTTGGCAAAGCAAAATCTCAATGGGGATGATTGCAAGTTTCCTGCGATGAATGGGGATCGATTGATTCAGTGGAGAGCCCTTTGAAGACATCGGGGTCACTATTATTGGCGTATATGGTGTTATTCGGTGGTGATATCAGTCACCAGATCAGATCAGCTCATACGGTGAAGTTATATATTCGGTGCCCTGCTGCTCCACATGTGTAATGGAAATGGACCATTGATGTTTTTTTTTAACTTAAATTATATTCATTGATAGAAAAAAACACATCCAAATTCACAATCTGATTTTTATTACTGTAAATGAAAAGGACATGCAATCTTGGAGCGCGGGCAAGACCGTGTTTGCGGCTGAGGGGTCGGCAATCCCTACATGGATGCCTTCTACCAGGGCAACACTACAACATGATAGAGAGTAGGTGCATTAAATCTCTCACCAGTGAGACCGAGCAAAGGGATTATGCCCTGGCCCATGGAACTCGACAGATCATTTTCGCAATTGAGATGTCGACTGGGCGATATGAAAAAACCACCCTGCTTGAATTCCATGCCCGGCCAGAATTACCTAGGTAGCAAGGGATGTGAGAGATCCCTCTCGAAGGACGAATGTGTAGTATCCGTGTACTTATCAGCAGTTCTATAGGATGACATCCCCAGAATTGAAGATCGCTCGATCGGACAGGGGTTCCCAGTTCTCCCCGCTCGCCTAAGTCGGCGGGCCAGGTCCGAGCACGGTACCCAGTACGAGCCTACTGGGGGCCCCAGCGTGGCAATACAGGTACTGGGTACTTACGCGAAGTAGTATGTATTCATCTGCGCCGCGCCGGTCTAGATCCGCCGATCCAGCGGCTCGTGTTTTCATCCGTCTCCGCAATGTGCGTGAACGAAAAGAAAAGAGAGGAACGAGATAGAATGTAGAGAGAAGATTGAGCAAGACCGTATTATTATTAGCAACTCCCTGGAGGAAGCCCTTGTTCCTGACCCACGATCTCCTGTTTCAGGTCGAAGGGCTGTTGTCTAGACCGCCCCGGTGGCCCCATACAGCTTGGAAAATCCCCTCCTGATCTCCCCTCCTGACCCGTTCAATCCTTGCCCTCTGTCGATATCCTACCTCCTTGACAAGCCATGATCTTTATCCTACCGCCATAGAAAAAGCCCGAGAGAGAGCATTGCCCACCCACCATTCCACATGGACTATGTCCGACTCGCCCTCCGATGTCCCTAACTCTGTCCCGCGACCCGTCATGGCCTTCCCCTCCTGCAAGTCCGAAGCCGTCAACGATGGACTTACGACCGTGACCGAAGATGGGGATCTGCAGTTCGACGCGTCGTGTCGTACCTGGCACGATGGCGCTCAAACGGCCGCCATTGAGCATCTCGTGACCCTCAAGGAGGGTCTGCGAACCCCGGATACCGAGCTGTTCTGGAAACGGCTCATGGAAGATATCACATCGATGGGCAAGGCCCAGTATGGATTCGTGGCTCGGAGAGTACACGACGGTGAACCTATGCTCGAACTAGGTGGGCGGCGCCCTTCGCTCTTCGGTGCAGTGTTTTACTACAACGACGGCTACCAGACCGTCGGGCTGCAGCGACACCGGTATTTCGCAGGCGGAAACCCTCTTTTGCATATGGATCATGAGAGACCCTGTTTGATCCCCGAAAATCTCAAATCTTTGGTATCATTCGGAGACGACCAGCTGCCGTTTGCTGCCGAAGCCTATCTGGCCATCCCGCTCTTCTCGGCGGGCAAATGCATAGCACATCTCGGCCTGATGTGGTCTCCAGAAGGCCTTCGGACTCGAAATCTGTCTTGGTCTTTTCTCGAAATGATGTTACATTCTCTCGAGGACAGGATCGTTCAGCGACTCTTACTGGACGATGTGTTCACTGAGCGCCACAATCTCGATACTTTTCCAATTTCCGCTACATCGACTGTCCAAAACCCGCAAATAGCTTCTCTCAATGATGCCCATGATTTCACATCTCAACCCCTCAAACCGTACGCACGCAGCCTATCCCACGAGCTGCGGACTCCAATGCAGGGCGTCGTGGGCATGCTCGATGTCATGCATGCCACGGTCCGTGAAGCGATGGAAAGCAAGACCCCTGTGAAGTCGGGTAGCATTTTCCAGGCTCTCAAAGAGGGCATTGAGATGGTTCAAGACAGCGCAAGGCGTGCCGTCGAAGCGGCCGACAATGTTGTCCACGCATACGATCTCAACATGCAAGTCCCCAAAACACCACAACGTGAAGAAGACAACGGGATGCTCGAGAATCAATTCCTGCCGCCCGTAACATATGAACGTCGTCCAAGTGTCTTCATCGAAGGAAACAACATCGCCGTGAACCCATACAAGAGACGGCGGAGTCTTCCCCCCGACATGAGCTGTGGTGGTCCGGCTCCCCGCAAGCAAAGAACCAGAGCATCATCCTCGCGGCAAGAATTATCGCCCCGTAGCGAAGAAGTCAAGAACGCTGTTCACGAGAGCGACCAGATAGTTCATGCTACACCCGCCCGCCAGATCGAAGCAGTCATGGCCAACATGATGGACCCTGGTCCGTCACTCGCCGTTCGACGATCGGCACCTCACCTGCTACTGGAGGGTATCAACATGAACCTGCGGGGTCCAGCCCTGCGTTCTACAAAATTGCGGGACCTTCTCCGCTTGGTGATTAACGAATCCCTTCACGTTGGCGGCCGGCCTGATTCTGCTGTCAGCAACGCAACCGAGTGTGGTGAGAAAATTGAAATTCGGTCCAGATCGTCGAATGGCGAGTTTCACACCAAGATTGTGGACTGGTCTGTTGACCCGGCTTTGCCCGACACCCTGCTTGCCGACGACAGGGATCTGGCCAAATTGATATCGTGCGTTTTTCTCAATGCCATCAAATTCACGAACAACGGCACAATTACGTTATGTGCGACGGTCGACACGAACACCAATGATGTCTTGATTCGCGTCCGTGATACCGGACCTGGCATTCCGGAAGCCTTTCTACCAAACCTCTTCAAACCATTTGCTCGCGAGGACGCGTCGACTACCCGTAGTAAAGATGGACTGGGGCTGGGTCTTCTTGTCGCCAAGGGTCTCTCGCGGAAGATGGGAGGCGATCTGATTTGTGTTCGTTCCTCGACCACGGGCCCCGACCACGGCTCCGAGTTCCAGATCCGTGTGCCTGTGAATCAGCGTGAGGCTTATAATCGACTCGGAGCCCCGAATGAGAGATACATGACCCCGCCAACTATTGGCGGCCACTCCCGACATGGCAGTGCCAACAGTTTCATCTGGGAAACTTCGTCATCCATCTCGCCATCTTTCCCTCCGAGTCAGCTGCAGCAGCCGACACCTAGCACCGGTGATGAGAAAACCTCCGAGAGTCCGACACCACCACGGACATTGTCGCAGGCCCGACCAATTCGAGCTCCAATCTCCCGGGATTCGTACGATAAGAAGCTCGGCGAGAAGTTTCCCTTGCGTTTTCTCGTTGCGGAAGATAACCGAATCAACCGCCGTGTGCTTATCAACATGCTCCGAAAGCTGGGCTACCGAGATGTCCTTGAGGCCGCCGATGGCAGAGAAGCCGTCCAAATCGTTCAAGACATTTTGTGTACGTGGACAACCACTAGCGACAGCATCATAGAAGGAGAGACCAGTATTTCTGCTCAAGCACGTGCACCATCGAAGGTGAAGCCAATTGACATCGTCTTGATGGATCTCTGGATGCCTGAAATGGACGGCTACGAGGCGACCTCTCGCATTCTTCAGATGATGGATGACCACCAGGGCCAGTATGCTGGTTTTGATGATGCCTCAATTCAGATGGGCCACACCGGAGACCCAGATTCCATGGATCTGGATACAGCCTCACCCAAGCTTCGTTTCCCTCAGCCTCCGACCGTCCTTGCTGTAAGCGCAGACGTTACTGATGAGGCCCTGAACCGTGCCTCCAAAGTGGGAATCAAAGGCTACATGACGAAGCCTTACAAACTTTCCGACCTCGAACGACTGATCGTCGAGTTCTGCGGTCTTACTGCCGACGCCCCAGTGGTATAAAACCGAACCTTGATGAAACCTAACGCTTCTATTCTGCCTTCCGTTGGCCCCTTGGCAGAGGACCGTCATATATCCATAGAATCATTTTCGCAAGGTCTGCATTCTTTGACGTGACTCCACGGCCTCCATTGCATTTTCAGCCTGGACCTGCCCTGATCTGACGAGTACCCGCTCGTCATTGTCCATTTGGCGTCTTTTTCGGATCGCCCTTCTTTTCCCATCTTTGCCATATACCACTGTTGGGCATTTTCACCTTTACAATTTTCTATTCCTTTTTTCTTGGACATAATGAATGATGACACTACCCAAAACCAACCAGGGCAAGATCCCTTTTGCATTCTTTTCAAACGTGATACTCTGATACTCGGATCGTAAAGGAAGTAGCTACAAATACAGTAGGAAGATGGAAAGAATAAGCTGTCATTACATCCATTATCAAATCGACATCGCTCGAACCATGCGGATCCAGACACTCCACAGCCCCTTTTTTCCGTTGAAATGCAGACCAAATACAGATCTGCCAGAGACGCTTCTAGCCTTCTGACTAGAAACAAAGCACCCTAGCCATCGTCACCGGCCCCTCTCAAAAGGAAAAATAAACACCAAGTAGTAACCAAAGATCAATATACGCGTAGACTGGGCGTGTGTGTGTGTGTGGTACATATAGTTGGCAACCAGATGCAGGGTGAAGAAAAGGCTTGAACACATTTCGGATCGCGAAAAATTCTCATCAACCGTCTATCTTAGGTTAACTTCTGCTTGATGAAGAACGACCGCAGGTGCGAGAGCTGCCAGGCGCAGGCAGCAGACAGAACAGCCACCTGGATCAGGGCCCAGCGCACGACACGGGAGTTGGTGGTCTCGGACTGGTCACGGAATTCGGCCTCGCGTTCCTATACAATTATTAGTTAAAATTTGGTCCATAGTCCACAATTGGCCCATGGGACAGTCTCCCGCTATGGAAATACCATCAGGGGCAGATAAAACATACACGCTGGTACACCTGCTCGCGACGAATATCATGCAACCGGCTGTTCAAATCACGAACCCGCTGCACGATATCCTTCATCTTGTCCTTATCTTCAGTCTCGATCTTGCTCGTTTCGCCAATGGCAATATCCAGGGACACCTTAACGGCACCCTGGGAGCTGGAGAGCCAGCCACCGGAGGTGGCGTCGGTCTCAGCGGTAAAACAGATGCGGTGCTGACCGGCATCAGCGGCAGAGAAGGTGAAGCGGCCGGCGTTGTTCTCGCGCTTAGAGACGACGCGGTGGTCGTTGTCGAAAGTCTCATCAACGGTGATGAGCATCTTCAGGCTCGGGTCGACGGAATAGGTGTTTGAGCCCTGGTTGATGACTTCTGTCTCGAACTTGCCTAGGGACCGAAGAATGGGTTAGTTTGATTGATATTTCAGCTCAACTGAGCTCGCAGAGCAGATTCCATACCCGCTACCAAGGTGTCCTTCGGCAGGTCCTCGAAGAAGCACTTCGGTTGCCGGCCCTCCACATAGAAGTACAGAGCGTTGGCAGGAACAAGGAGAGAAAGGAAGGAGAACAGGGCCAGAGTGGCCACGAGCCATGACGGCGAGGACTTTGAGAGAGCCATGGCTGGGGAAGTCTGCGCAATTGGGAGGAACCTCGACTCCTGTCAACACGCGGAGTGTTGACCATCTGGCGACATCGCGGCCCTCACCGCCTGCCACCTTGGGCGTCCTCCCTTGCCAGTCGCCGCGCCCGATTTTCATCGTCTCGACATTGCCCTCTTCATCGGTGGCATCTATTCTGGTTGGCACATCTACCTCGCATATTCAACGTGATACGAGCCGCATACTTTCATCCGCTGCATCGTCCCTGAACAGGGTTTCCCGATATCGCCATGGCCGCCGCCGCCGATGTGCGCGACATGTTGAACTTGCCCGCTGAGGGCCAGCCCAGACCTCACAAGAAACAGAAGGTTGTGGAGAAGCGACCAGGTTAGTGGTATCAGTCATCGCTTCCTCAAAACACGTCTGACAGTCTCATCGCAGAGGGCATCACCCGTGAACTCTACGCGTTGCTGGGCGAACGAGCACCGCCAATCGCTATCAATGAGAACAAATACAAGGGACGCCCCAAGTGGATGAACAAGCTACGAGTGCGACCATGGTATGTGTTGAATGCGGTTTGGAAAATCGCGACAGGAGTTGACTCTGAATTTACAGGCGCATGACTCCTTTCACGAACGGTGCTCGGACAGATGGTCTAGTCTTGAACCACTGGCAAAGGAAGCACGAGTCGACACGCCCGCTTGCGCCCGAAGGAGCTCAGATGGATGTCGACGGGGTTACCGAAGAAGGGAAGGAAGACGCTCCAAAACCGCTGGAGCAGGAATACACGTTCGCCAAATACAACATCAAGGCGCGGACACCACGGCGATACAACGACGACGAGTACAACCGGCTTTTGAGAAGTGATGACTGGTCGCGCGAGGAGACAGATTATTTGATGGACCTGGCTACCGAATATGATCTCCGCTGGTTGTTAATTGCGGACCGTTACGATTATCAGCCACGCATGGATACCGAGCCAGATGCCAATGCGATTGTGCGGGCGAAGCAAGTTCGCACAATGGAGCATATGAAGGCGCGATATTACAAGATTGCCGCCACGATGCTGGCAATTGAGCACCCACCTGCCGAGATGTCCGAGGCCGAGTTCGACATGCACGAGAAGATGCAGAAGTTCGATCCTGAACGAGAGAAAGCGCGCAAGGACCTGGCTGCACTGCAACTCGACCGGACCGCAGACGAAGTACGCGAAGAGGCAATGCTGCTGGAAGAGCTCAAGCGTATCACAAGCAACGAACAGAACTTCATCACCGAGCGCCGCGAGCTCTACTCCCGTCTCGAAGTCCCCATCAGCGTGGGAAACACTGCCATGTATCAGTCCAGCCAGGGCTTGTCGCAACTCCTCCAGACCCTCCTCCAAGCCGACAAGAGCAAGAAGCGCCGTTCCATTCTCGGCCCCGACGGTGCCGTCGCCAGTCCCGTCGGCCAGACGCCCACACAGGCTGGTCCTCTCGGCCGTGCCGAAACACCCAGCACAAACCCAGCCGCGGGCAACAAAAAGGGCTCCATTTCACTGCCGCAGCAGATGGTCCGCACCCTCACACCAGCAGAAGAAGCCCGATACGGAGTCCAGCACCACGAACGTGTCACAGCAGGTGTACAATTCCGCAGCGACCGCGCCCAGAAACTCACACAGGCCAAATCCAACGTGCAAACTCTCAAGCTGGCTGGTGCGCTCGCCGAGCTTGAGATTCCTGTGCGCTTGTTCATGCCCACCGAGCGCGTATGCAAGGAATTCGAGAAACTCATTCAATCCGTCAACATGCTTCTGGACGCCCGCAAGGTCGCCGAAAAGGTCGAAAGCGAGATCCGCGTCCTCGAAGCCGCCAAGGCCGAACGAGAGCGCAAGTCGAGGGAAGCTGCCGGTGAAACGCCAGCAAAGGGTGATAACCCGGTCAAGACCGAGGCCGAAGATGCCGGGAACAGCGGGCTGGACTCTGCTGCTGATGCCTCTGGCGCTGCTGACGATGGCGAGAATGAAACGCCCGTAAAGGAGGATGGGGCTCACAAACGGTCTGCAAGCGTGCTAAGCGTCGTCAGTGATAAAAGTAATAAGCGACAGCGACGGTAGATTGACCGTCTTTATAACCTATGGGGAGGTGAAATCTACTTGGACTGTACGATACACTTTCGCTTTGAGCTTGATACCTCTGCACGATTAATGAACTTGTCCTGCTTGGATTTACATCCATAATCCGATTACAGTCCGCCGGTTCCCTGCCAGTTAACAATAATAACATCCCTGTTTGTGTATAATAACGTCGTCGAGGCTTCGATATAGGCGCATAAACTCGTTCCATCAGCAGACCCATTGGAGTCAGTGATCGTCTTCAGTCGTTACCATATCCCACAGCACTCGACTGCTCCGGTTTGCCCAGCGACTGCCATCAAAGGAACCAGGCATGTGAAGACAATCTTGGTACGCGCTCGCTGGATCTTCTGCGCCGCTGCTCTTTGTAGAACTGGTCCGCCTGGCACTGCTTGAATCACACTCGTGGAAAGGAGCCGAGGATGCCTGGGACGATTCTTGGGATGATTCTTGGTGGTGTATATTTGAGAGACGGCGGCTCGCTCGGCGCTTGGAAAGTCTCAGCAACCATCTGGAACTACGTGAATTGGTTGGGTGTGCCTGGCCAGCTTGATCTTCACCGTCGCCGAGATGTCTTGTGCCCAGAGGATTTGATTCAAGGTGTTCCCTTGCATGGTGCTCGCTTGGAGCCTTTGCAGGACCCTCCAGATTACCGGCAGACTGTCCAATTGCTGAGCGTGAATTACAGTTGCTTCCTGTTCCGTGACCATCGAGACCCTCTCCATTCTTTCGAGCCCGTGGTTGCACGTTCATGGATTGACCGAGTCGGGACCACCGGCTAGCAGAAGCATGATTAGGGTGAGTGCTGTAATGGGAGCTCGGTGGAACTTCGCAGTGCTTGATTTGAGTCGTTGGAGGTACCTCTGGTGCACGAAGATCCGGGATGTTGATTTCATCAACCCAAACTGCACCTGTTTCGTAGTCTCGACTGGATCGGTTAGTTCGACTTCCCATGAAAGCCCGCGAGTAAGGAGGCACTGGAAAGTTCATGGTTGATCGATGAGATGTTGTCGCTCTGGGAACAGTGGCCGGTCCATTTTCATGACGCTTTGGATTCATAGGAGGTGGGATAGGGTTAGGTTCTTGAAAATTTGTCTCCACAGTTTCCTGGGGATCCCTTCGACACCCTTGGGATTGACCACCACACTCATTCTTCGTATTCGCATCGGCGATGACAGGATACGGCCCTTGGTTTGCATGTACGCAGTCATCTTCTTGCTGGTATTGGGTATCTTCCGCACCCGGCACTGGACTATAGCCATAGCCAAGTCGCCGGCCTCCTGACATCCAGCCTGCACTGACTCTGCGCGGGGAACCTCGGTCATTTGGGCCACAGGGCTGACCCTGGTAACTTGATGGTGAGTTGACAGTATCGCAATACTCGCGGAACCTGCTTTCATAAACAAAACCATTATTCTCCGCAGGACCCTCACCTTGCGCTTGCTCTTTGATTCCCTGGCTGGTGTACATGGGCTTTTCAGTGGGTGATCCAGGAGAATGGACCCGCGAGGCTGCATTTGTCGAGCTGGGATGGCTACTTTGGTGAGAGTAGAGCGATGATGGATCGCGCAGGCGCCTCATCTGGCCCTGCGGTGACCTCTGGCGAGGTTGAAGGTTCTCCTGTGAAGACATAAATGGGCCATTGCGGTTGTTGCGGACAAGATCAGGACTCGACATGGACCCTGAAGACATGGTCTGAGAGGCGAGTCGGTGAGATATTCCGAAGTCACCCAGATGAAGTGTTCGGGGATCTGCTAAAGACAAGCCAGAAGTAGTTATTTGTCTCTTTTTGGAGACCAAGACGCCTGTCGACAAGTCTGGCACCGAACCTGAAGTTACCATGCCGTTCTTTTGACCTCTCTTCAAGTATTGATCCCAATGGGTCATGAGGTTCATATCGTCAGCACCTTCAGGTCCACCAAGAATTGGAGAATATCTTGAAAGTGGCAGGCCAGACTCTTGGCTTGAAGCAGTCAAACTCGGGAAGGGTCTTGCAAGCCCCATCTGCCCGCTATGTTCCCCAAGTCCTGGACATTGACTATCCATTTCACGGGTCGGGCGGGAGATACCTCTCAGGCTGCTTTTGGGAGTCGATATGTAATGCATCCCGAAGGGTGAATCGTGAGAATCGAGGTTGTTTTGCGACTGGTCCGTTGCCCAGCGCTCAGATTCATCACGCTCCTGGCTTCTCTCAACGAGATCACTCAGCTCCATTCTGCGGAAGCCTCGAGCGACAGGTGAACCTCCCATGTGATTGGCACGGGTTGGCGTCGAGATGTTTCGTGCATCGCTGTCGTACCCTCTTTCGCTCATTAGACTGCTCCCAATATCTTCCAGCACCGTGAGTTCTGTCCCGAGCTTTTTTGTAGACCCTGACTTGAGCGAGAAAGCAAGGGCAAGTTTTCCAAAGTCGCGTTGGTCATTTAAGCTTTTGGATTCTCGAGAGAAGCGACGTCGAAGCATGTGAGAAAAGCTCTCAGACTGTTTCTGGCTCAGAGGTGGAATATTCTCAAACGTGGAGGGCGGTTCTGATCTCAACAGTGAGTATTTATTCTTCGTGATGATTGACCGACAGAAAGAGATCAGGTCAACTGTAGGGCATACCTTGTGGCTGGCCCTGCTGCGTCGCACTCCCCGAGTAGGTATTTTGATAGGACCGAGCAACATCAGACGGTGACACTGGCCGTACTCGTCTCAACCAAGGGCACGCGAAGAGTGCCATATTGCATGAGGTGAGAAATGAGATAGAGGGGAGAGGGACGAATCCTATCTCAGGGTGTGCGAGATTTCCCATCCCGGTGCTGGCAGAAGGTGCCCGGCTGCGCTCCTTCCTCATCTACAACCTTCCAAACCAACCCTGCATGTTGTCTGCGGTTCATGAGTGAGACGTTTTGGTTTATCAAGCGACTCTGAACCCGTTCGAAACCCATTTGGGCCAATTGAGACAGTTAGCACCGGTTGAGAACGAGGCCAAGCGAAGGGTTGATCTCGAATAAGCTTATTTCAACTGGAATTACAAATTCACGAGCATGACCGGATAGATCATAGACATGGAATTGCCATTGAGCACTGCTCTAGCACTACTAGGTGTGAGAAGCTGGTCCATGGCAAGACTTTCATACACCAAGCCCTAATTACACAATCCTTTCCCTTCTGGCCCCCGGCCAGACACGGAGTAAATGACCGGCCCCTTAACAAGCACCCCCGGGACTGATCTACTGACCTAATCGTATGCATAGATTAGATGACTTGAGATGACGCGAAGCCGAATGTGGCTGTCAACCGGCCCCGGTCTCATCGACGTCTACATTACTCCGCGACACAGTTTTCCCCTTTTGGTGCTGACGGGCCCCGTAATTTCTCGCCATTACAGAGAAACACGTGTATGAACTGCTACGTGTATCATATCCGGTGTCCAATTGGTGTTCCGGTGCTTAGCTAGCGTTCTTGGATTCCGAGAGTGGGAGCCGGTTAACCCCGCGTCTGCAGCACAGCCTTCCCCCTTGGGTGTCCCATTGCATGAAACAGAGCAGAAGTTGGATGGTCCCAGCAGCAAAGATAGAATTGCCCTAAGTCACGTCCTTACCGAAACCATTGAAACCATCATGGCTTCGCTACCATTGAAATTATATTAAAAAAAAACAGAGTATTATCGCCCCGTGTCAAAATGGCGTGATCCCCGCCGATCACGGAGACCCCTAGTGGGTAATGTTACAATTATGTGACCAGATAATACCGGGACCAATGTGTCTGCGCCGGCTGCGCTAGCGCCGAGCGTGACGGTACGATACACGGAGACAGGAGTGCCCCTCCATCCCGTTGGGGTTAGGCCCACAGGACCTTCCCCTCCATTTTTCTTCTCCCTTTTTCTCTTCTTCCTCTCTCTTCTTCTTTTTCTCTTCACAAGCATCGAGGTCTTTCCCGTTATCTCTAAGACCCCGAATTCCCCCTTTTCCCCCTTTCACACACACATCCATCAGAATGGTTCAATCGTATGTCTCTCTACCTCACTCCCTGTTTGACACTTTACTGACCCGTCAAAGCTCCGTTCTGGGTTTCCCCCGTATGGGTAAGCTCCGTGACCTGAAGAAGGCCACGGAAGCTTACTGGGGTGGCAAGATCTCTCGTGAGGAGCTCCTCGCCGAGGGCAAGCGTCTTCGTCTGGAGCACTGGAAGATCCAGAAGGATGCCGGTGTGACTCAGATCCCCAGCAACGACTTTGCCAACTACGATCAGGTTCTGGACCACATTCAGCTCTTCGGTGTCGTCCCCGAGCGCTACAGCAAGTACAACCTCGACCCTCTCGATGAGTACTTCGCCATGGGCCGTGGTCTCCAGAAGGAGGGTATCGATGTTCCCGCCCTTGAGATGGTCAAGTGGTACGTTCCGATTATCTACATTGACAAGTTGACTCTCTTACTAATCTATCCTATAGGTTCGACTCTAACTACCACTACGTTAAGCCGGCCCTGCAGAACAACCAGGTCTTCAAGCTGTCTGCCAACCCCAAGCCCGTCGCTGATTTCAACGAGGCCAAGGAGGCCGGCATTATCACCCGCCCCGTTCTCCTGGGTCCCGTTTCCTTCCTGGCTCTCGGTAAGGCCGATCGTGACCAGACTGTCGACCCCATCGACAAGCTGAACGATCTCCTGCCCCTCTACGTCGACCTCCTCGCCCAGCTGAAGGCTGCGGGTGCTGAGGATGTCCAGATCGATGAGCCCGTCCTCGTCTTCGACCTTGCTTCCAAGGTGAAGGCCGCTTTCAAGCCTGCCTACGAGAAGCTGGGCAGCCTTGGCGCCCAGGCCCCCCGCCTGACCCTGGCCACCTACTTCGGTGACATCGTCCACAACATTGATGTCCTCCCCGCCCTCCACAAGGTCCACTCTATCCACGTCGATCTGGTCCGCAACCCCGAGCAGCTCGACGCCGTTGTTGCTGCCCTGGGCCCCAACCAGGTTCTCTCTGCTGGTGTCGTCGACGGCCGTAACATCTGGAAGACCAACTACAAGACTGCCATCGAGAAGGTTGAGGCCGCCATCCAGAAGCTCGGCAAGGACCGTGTCATTGTCGCCACCTCCAGCTCCCTTCTCCACGTTCCCCACACTCTGGCTTCCGAGAAGAAGCTCGACCCCGAGGTCGCTGACTGGTTCAGCTTCGCTGTCGAGAAGGTCTCTGAGGTCGTTGTCATTGCCAAGGCCGTCACCGAGGGCCCCGCTGCCGTTGCTGCCCAGCTCGAGGCCAACGCCAAGTCGGTCCAGTCCCGTGCTACCTCCAAGCGCACCAATGACCCTGCTGTCAAGGCCCGCCAGGCTGCTGTCACCCCTCAGATGCACAACCGCCAGTCTCCTTTCACCACCCGCATTGCTAAGCAGACCGAGTCCATCAAGCTCCCCAAGTTCCCCACCACCACCATTGGCTCTTTCCCCCAGACCGACAAGATCAGAAAGACTCGTAACCAGTTCACCAAGGGCGAGATCACTGCTGAGCAGTACGAGCAGTTCATCAAGGATGAGATTAACGAGGTTGTCAAGATCCAGGAGGAGCTCGGCCTTGATGTTCTCGTCCACGGTGAGCCCGAGCGTAACGACATGGTCCAGTACTTCGGTGAGCGCCTGACTGGTTACACCTTCACCGAGAAGGCCTGGGTGCAGTCTTACGGCTCGCGCTGCGTTCGTCCTCCCATCATCTACGGTGATATTAGCCGCCCCGCCCCGATGACCGTCAAGGAGTCCAAGTACGCTGTTTCCATCAGCAGCAAGCCCATGAAGGGTATGCTCACTGGTCCTATCACCTGCCTGCGGTGGTCTTTCCCCCGTGATGACATTCACCAGAGCCAGCAGGCTCAGCAGCTGGCCCTTGCCCTGCGCGATGAGGTTGTTGATCTTGAGAAGGCCGGTGTCTCCGTGATCCAGGTCGATGAGCCTGCTCTGCGTGAGGGTCTTCCTCTTCGCACCGGTAGCGAGCGTGACGCCTACCTCAAGTGGGCCGTCGAGTCCTTCCGCCTGTCCACCGCTGGCGTCGAGGATGGCACTCAGATCCACTCTCACTTCTGCTACTCCGAGTTCCAGGACTTCTTCGACGCCATTGCGGCGCTTGATGCTGATGTTCTGTCCATCGAGAACAGCAAGTCGGATGCCAAGCTCCTGAAGGTCTTCGATGATAAGGAGTACCCCCGCCACATCGGTCCTGGTGTCTACGACATCCACTCTCCTCGTATCCCTAGCGAGCAGGAGATCAAGGAGCGCATCGAGCAGATGCTTGCTCACCTCAAGCCCGAACAGTTGTGGATCAACCCCGACTGCGGTCTGAAGACCCGGAAGTGGCCTGAAACCAAGGCGGCCCTTGCCAACGTGAGTGATATTTCCATTAAAATCATAAAGCCTTCACTAACGACAGTAAATAGATGGTCTCCGCGGCCAAGCACTTCCGCGAGAAGTACGCTTAAATTATTTCTCAACCCACCATTTCTTATCCCTATTAATGTGTTAATTGGGTGAGGCGGCAATCAACCTGCCGCCTCCAGCACGGGGAGTTCTTTTTTTGATGAGTTACGAAGATGATACCAAAAGTTCAACATACGGGTTTCAACGGGTTTTGTGGATTAAGGCACCACCCTGGGGTAAAAGCGGGTTAACGGAGTTTCAACATGACTGACGATTTCAACATGGGTGCCGCCAATTCAGGTGCCGACTATTTCAACAATTTTTGCTCTCCCTCCTTTGCTTCTGCATTTGCAAGGCATCGGACTTGGAGACGAGACTGTATAGAATCAGCTGTGAATTATTACTACTATTCTATGCCCCCTTTGTTTTGGTAACCGAGTAGATTGTATTGTATGCCTTTAGAACTGTGATGACAGTGTCCTTGGACCATACGATGGCCGCGTGGATGAAAAACGGACGGGGTACGGGACAAAACGGGCCTCGGAACAGGAATTAATCACCCTTAACTAGTTACGGATACACATGTACCTTATAAGAACGTAAGGGTATCACGATATCATTGAGCCCAGTCTTCGTCCGAATTTAACGGTCAAATCCCTCTTCGAGCAAGAGAATCGGGCTCACATCCACGAGCACCACGGCACCACGGCACCTCGCCCCGCAACGCCCTTCTCCCCAAATTTCTCAACATACCATTTGCGCCCCCAGCGAGCATGGGGCAACATGTTTGTAACGGCATTCGTCAAAAATAACACAGCAGGCAACGGCAATGGCAGACCGTACTTATCAGCCGCCCAGGCAGCAGGGATGACCCACGGGGCAGGATACATGCGAGGCGCAACCCCGATGCCCGTACCGGCACTAGCGACATTTGTTTTCGCAAAAGCAGAGAGAGGAAACACCGCTGTACCAGCCAGAGCAAAACCGGCCCACTCAATCCACTCGAATACATAATGCGGGTACAAGATGGACCGGAAGACGCCCTTGACAGGCGGGATGACGTAGACCTTGTGGTACATGGCATCACCCGCGGGAGTCTGGGAGTCGGTTTTCTTCGCGGCTCGCTTCGTGGCTTCTTCTCTTCTGAGGCGGAAGAGCGTTGTCTCCGAGTAGATATTGCCTGCCATGCCGATGATGAAGAGTGCAACACCGATAAGAGGCAGAATCTGCGGCAATGACGAGGATGGAGATGATGAAGATAATGAAGCCAGTGCACCGGTGCCATCTGTCTTGAATCCGGGCATGGGGATAGCGTATCCACGTACCCAACCCGCAATGCAGGAAGAATTTAACCAGTTAAAAGCCATAGCGCTGACCATGATGAATGCATGGATAGGGGACATGCTCGGGGCCGAGTAGAAGGGAGAGATGATCCCGCGGTGGAAATAGTGGATGCAGTAAAGAGCTGCGACCAGCTGGTTCGCTGCTGGAAGCTCTGAGAACGACGGTGAGCCCAGCGAGAGATTATAGATTAGGTTGATGGGGCCGACAGTCTCCATTACGGACCAGGCGATGCGGCCTGGGATGTTGAAGAAGGAGCTCTGTAGGCTGGTTTTGCCGGCTGGGTACCAGGACAGCACCCATTGCAAAATCGTGCACTTGGTCTCTTGTCAAACTTGTGTTTGCAGAGTTTTGAATTTGTGTCACTTACGATAGGGAAGTATTGGAAGGTGGTGAGGAGGCTTGTATAGGCTGCTGGACTTGGGGGGAAGAATTCAGTCGCAGAAGGCAGCGAGGCCCAAATGGTGGAGAGGGAAGCCCCCATGGTGGTATGGGAGGCGAATAGACGCAACGAAGAGATATGTGAAGGAAGGGGGGTGCAAAGGGAAGCTGGGGATGAAGGGGTAAAAGACCAAAGCAGGGTAAACAGAGCGGGGGGTTGCATTTGCCCAAAGAGGAAAGCGGTCATGATAAGCTACATCTATCGATTTGCATTGGATCTCAGAACTATATACATCCAGCAACTATCTTAGCCAGCCGTTGTGTCCATCTGTTCCAGTGCTGGTACCTTTTTGCCAGTCTTTTCACTGACAAATGCGTCGATCTTGGCTTTGAGCTCCGTGTCTGCCAGAAGTTAGTAATGTATTGAGAGGAGAATTTCACAAGCCAGGGCCTTACCGGGTATCACGTCCTCCATCTTCAATGGGACACGGTTGAAGGGATCGTGGGGATCACTGAGCAGGTGCGAGCGAATGGTGGCACGATCGATGGACATCTTGGAGTTCGGCAAGATGACAGGGTCTTCCATGAGGGTGTACATAAGAGGATCTGCTCAAACAGTTAGCAACGGCTGCAAGGATGAGGGCCATCGGGGTGAAAGTACCAAGGAAATCGTCAGGAATCTCGCCCAAATCCTCCTCGGCTTGTTCATCGAGCGCTTTAGCCTCTAGAACCTTCTTCTGAAGCTGTTTCCAGCGGCGCATTTCTTCCGGTGATTTCAGCGACCACTTGCGCAGGATCTCTGCAGCCTTCTCAAAGTTTGCGGGCTTGTAAGAGCGTCCGTCACGAGCAACCGCCGTGATGAAGTTTGGCTTGTCCATCAGGTTCAGGTACACGTCGGTGATCTCACTAAGAAGAGCTCGCGGGTTGAATCCGTATTCCTGCAGGTTATCGACACGCAAGGTGGAGCTTTTCGGACCCACCATGGCATCGAGGTTGTAATCCAGCATGTCTGCCAGACGCTGGACAATCTCCGGCATGGTGAATGAATCTGCCAGCGCCTCTGTGAAAAGCTTGAGCATGGCAACCGTCTCGTTGGTCAACTGCATGTAGGATTTGGCACTTCTCTGGGCAGATGCCAAGTGCTCTTCACGCTGCTGTCGAGTATTCTGATCCATCGAGTTACCTTCCCGGGCAAGCTCAACCTGGGTGGTGTTTATGGTCTTGAATGCGCCAAAGGACTCGTCGAGCACATACGTCACATCGTTGAGAAGGAGGTTGACGAAGCGGACAAAAAAGTCCAAGTTCTGACTGGCCTGGATGGACAGCTTTTCACGGTACAGCGTGTTGGGCCAGATGCACTTGATAATCTGGAAGATCTCATAGCGAATGTTGAACTTGTCGAAAAACTGAGTGTGCGTGCCAGTGTGTTCTGCTTCAATGTAGAATTTCATGACAGCATGCAGGAGATATTCGTTGGCAAACGGCATTGAATTGAGCAGGTCTACAAGGACACCGCTTGCGCCACCGGGGCGAGGCCAAGTTCCTCGGAATAGAATCGAAACCAACCCGGCCTTCAGGTACGGGTTCTTAATGTATTCTGAGCTCTCCAGGAATGTAATGCACAGCATCACAAGCTCATCCCCCTGGGTGGCGGTGATGATTTGAGGCATGCACCACATGATGAACTTGAAGTTACTCACAATGTCCTCTAGGAAGTACTCTGGCAAGCACTTGAACACCTCGGGCTGCTCCTCGGGAAGAGGCAAAGATATTTTTTGTTTTGGGAAGTCTACTCCCGAAACGAGTCTCAACAACCAGACGGTGACATACCGCATGAAAAGCATCGAGCGAGCCTGCCACTGATCGTCAAAGAGCACACCCTGTAGACTGTACTTCAACGCAAGGCCCAGGTCAAGCTTGTCCTTGTACTTTTTGAGGGCCTGCTCGTACACGCGCAGCTGCATGGGGTTCGCGGCCCACTTGTGCCGCTCAAGCTCGAACTTGGTGATGGTAGATTCGATCTGTCGCAGGTCTTTCTCAAGCTGATCTAACTTGGATGTTAATGATTCACTGCCGTAGTGATGGGCGGCAACAGTCAAGAAAAAGATCTCCGTGATGAAGTTGGAATTGCCATCAGCCTTCTTGGAATAGAAAGCATCTGAAGCATGTTGATCTGCGTTGATCTTGGTCTCATCACGCATATCCACTCGGGAATCCCGGTGGAGATACTCCGCATCAATTCGGTCAATTTTGGTGAAGCTTGCATCCATGAACGGTTCACAAAGCTGATCCAGACACGTGGTGATATTAAACATAAATCCATCAGACGAGACTTGTGTCGGGTCAACCTGCATGGCCCGTCGCTTATGGTTGATATTCATCGCCGTCGCGAACCAGTCCAGAACTTGATCCCGAGCCTCTTTCGAAGCACGAATCATATGGTTGATTATATCGAGAAGATCCGAGCTAATTATTTGTTGCGTCATGCGAAGAGATCGCTGGGCAGTCAGAATGTACCCCTGGTCTCTGGTCTTTGGACTGGAGAAGAATGACATTGTCACGTTGGATTGAAGGGGCGATAGACGGAACCACGGTCCCAAAAGAGTGACCTTTTCGAACTGAGCCGGGTCTCTCGAGGCATTGAAGATGGAAGATTCTGTAATCGCGGCCGCAATGGCGGAATGGCGGACGAGGTTCCGCAATGCCTATCGATATAATAAGTACGCACGTTTGATAACTGAGATCGAGTTTTGACCTACCGTGCAATATGATTTGTAGTCGTCATTGGCGTTTTTAGAGGATAGTTCGGCGCTCAACTCCTCTACTGCTGAGATGAATGCAGGCTTGACACTCTCATCCTCATCAAACCTCTTCACGGCCTCGCTGATAAATTCAAAATCGATGCCCTTGTCATCCTCCGGGTCCAATAGTAGATACGAAGCCAACGGAGAGCGTTCGGGAGAGTCCAACCTGGGAGATAATAAGTCAATACTCCAGGGGACAAATTAGATTTTGTAAGCTTTTAGCTTCAACGTACCCGAACATCTCCGGCATCGTAATGGCGAAAATGCAGTAGCTCATGCAGAGACGTCGCGCCTCGCATAGTACCTGAAACTTCGGGTCATCGTCTCGTGCCCGCCGGAATCCCTTGTGAAGTTTGGTGATGCGTTTCCAGCAAGGCAGCAAATAGTCCAGTGGACGCTGCTGCTCCGTAGTCGATGCAGCCTCCAGCAGCGCCTGGTCCAAGATCGCCGTTTGGATAAGTAGTTCTTTGCCCTCGCTTTGCAACTCGTTCTGCAGCCCAGGGAGGAATATCCGCTGCCCATTAATATCATGCTGCGCACCCTGTTTCAAGGCCAGCCTGAACACTGCGCCCAATGTACGGTCTTCAAAAGACTCGATGCTCTCCTGCTTTGCAGGTGGAGGGGTTCCGGGGGAGGGTGCGGGAGAGTGAGGCTTCTCTGAAGCAATAGTCGCAGGAGTAATCTTGATTCGCTTGCCTTCCGAGGGCTGTGGTGTTTGTGTCGTGGATGCCGGCCCGCTTTGTGGCTCGGATGACTTCTGCGCGGGCAACGGCGACCGGGCGGGGGAGGGGCTCGAGGCGTTCGCAGATGAATCGGCAGCGCCATCGGTCGTTGAGGATGGCGTCGGGTTTGAGAGCTTGGCAAGACGCTTGTTGCGGATCTGAAGCACACGAAAGACGTCTCATCAGCAGCTGCGGAGTAAAACGCTAGGACATTTTGGTGGGGGGAAGTGGCCGACTGACCTTGTCCGCGTCAGAGAGTGAATCCGACATCTTGATGTCAGGGAAGAGTTTGGAGTTAAGACCGCGAGGTGTATACAGCTGTTTTTGTCGAACGCGGTTTAAGTACGGCGGAACGCCGTGTCCAGGTGAAAGTCGGGAAGTGCGGGAGCCGCCAGGGCGATAGGATCAAGCACAGATGGGAGGCGAAAGTCGCCGTTGAAAGAATCCGTGAATGATAATATCCAGCTCCGGTCAAAAGCCGTTGCAAAAGGAGGGGAAACTGAGGGACGGAGCTGGAGGTTCGGCCGTGGTCGCCGAGATTCCCTCGCAGGATGATGCTCTTGACTAAGCAGACTTGAGACACCGATGTTGCTTGAAAACAGGTTGACCTGCATTTTATTAAATGAAAACACATTTACATGTGTAATATTCTGCATTTTTAATAGATGCATTGATTGCCGAGATTCTGTAGAATCATATAGTGTACACTCTAAGCAAAAAGAGTGGCCTCGACGGACCTCGGGACTCAATATCAAAGTACTTGAACGAGTCGCAGGGACCAGATGCATTTCAGAGTCAATGTACAAGGGAAAGTTCATGAAAATCCAAAGACGCCGCCCATCGCACATGTGATATCGACACCTTCAAAAAGAATAGAACAGAATGAGAATGAGATAGGCCGTGAAGCCCTAATTACCCCTTAATACTTCCCCTTGAGCGAGTCTAACCGCCGGCAGTTCGTCAACTCCATGGCCCGTGCTTCCTTCATCTTCTCGATATTTGGGAAGAACCATCCCTGGGCTTCCTGGATCTTCCGGTCACGGGCGTTGACCTCTGACTCACACTCGTACCGGAGTAATGTCACGTAGTCCAATTCCACGCGCTGGTCAAGCTGCCGGAATTTCCGCGCACTGAAGTCCTCCACGTCGACCGGATTCACATAGTACCTGATGTCAAGTTTGGGCGTTGTGCGGCCCATGGTGTGCGGGGGTTCAGGATTACCGAATCGGTATGTCGGACCGGCGGGGGCCGAGGTGCCGGAGAAGAGGGAGGAGAGAAGGGGAAGGACGAAAAGGATGAGAAGAGGTAGTAGTTGGCGAACAAACCCCCAGCCATCGAGTGGAGGCTCCGACTGGGCGCCAGCGGCTGGACGAGGCCTGCGGCGCGGGACGCCTCCTCCGAACTGATGCATACGAACGCCCGGACCACCTCCTCCCATATTAAACACAAACTGAGGGCCACCTGAACCATCGGGTTAGTTACGAAACGATCCCATATGGTGCGGGACAGATCATACCGAATGGGCCATCGAACGGGCTACCACCCATTCCTCCAAAGCCACCGTTGAAGAACCGGGCGAACAGTTCTTCTGGGGACATTTCTGACGCGAACTGAGCACCAGCACCACCTGGCCGGCCGCCGCTAAACCCAGAACTGGCCGACATACCCGGGTTGCCTCTGGCGTCGGGGTCGACTCCAGTTCGATCGTATGCAGCCTTCTTAGTCTCGTCCGAGAGGACCTGGAATGCGTGCGCAATCTCTGCCATGATGTATTAGAAGGCAATCCAAGGGTATCCAAGTCTTATCGTTACTCACTTCCGAATGCTTCCCCCGCGTTTGGGTGTCCGTTCTTGTCAGGATGCGTCACCAGACTTAGCTTTCTATACGCTGTCTTGATCTTAGCGCTAGTGGCATTCTTATCGATTGCGAGAATCTCGTAGAACGCGCCTGGCGCGCATTTCATGATTCGCAGGACTACCGCCTCTTCCTCTGCCGACCACTTGGTGTTTTGGTTGCCTTGTTTGTGGTCGCGCGATCTCGCACCTGAGCCGTTGGCATCGGATCCAGTCGCCTTCGCAGACGGCATGGTGGTTGAGGATGAAGAAAAAACTATCACGGGCGGCGCTGAGGGTCAAGGAGGGAGGATTGAGATTGGACGGGTGGCGTAGGGCCGGGCAGAAAGGGAGCCCGATTCCTGAAAGACCAAAAAATATAGTTTGATCAAATATCAAGCAAGAAGTTGCTGGCGTGGGGAAGCCAAACGCGAACAAAGAGCGTGGTTGACTCGGGGGAAGCGCAAAGGTGAAAAGAGTAGTCTTAGGTGTCTTTGTCAAGCGGCGGGTAAACGCCAGTTGCGCTTATCGGTGGTATACGGACATTGCTCCAACTTCACCCGCCACCGCAATCTTGACCGGACCGCACTGACGACCTATGCGCGGGCAGCTGTTTAAGAGAGAAAGCACCAGCCGACTGATCTTGATTCCCGTCTTTTGAAGCCCAAAAAGCACCTTATCCAACATGCCGGACTCCGCTGTCGAGGAAGCAAAGAAAACACTCGTCCAGCGATTCCGAGCTTGGGGTGGTACGTCTTCGGCTCATTCAGCCCTTCCAACCCTTTGAATCTATCGACGCACATTGAACTCCCCCGGCGACTTGCGAGACCCAGGGCAAAGCTAACATCTCCGACCAGAAAACTCATTCCCGCCAACGGTGCTCGCTTCGCTGATCTTCGCGCAACATGCCCGGCCCTTCCAGTTCTTTCCAATGCTCTTCCCTCCCGTCCTTCTCTTCACCAGCTACGCAAATGTTCAAGGTTTCAAGACAGACAGTGCTGGTATACAAGCCGCGTGGTCTGGCCTGTACCTGCTCCTAGCGGGCCGGCGGCGACAGCCCTTTGTGAAGAAGCTCGGAGCTCGCGGAATCGTCCGCGGCATGACTATGGGCCTTTGCTTGGTTAACATGATTGGAGGTGGTCTGGCATATACCCTTGGGAAGCGGGAGGAGGAGGAAGACCGGAAATAAACCCAGTTCATGGATGGTCACGAGATGTGCCTCTCACGTCCAAGAGTGTATGATGATATATCAAAAAGGTTGGGTTACATGCGCAGCTGGTCGAGAATACGGAGTTGGCGTCGCTGTATGAGCAACATTGGAAGGCGTTCATGCTATATTAATGTACCATATCGTCTACACGCTTCGCAGATTTATATGCGGGGTATATTGTTCAATTGATTATATACAACAGCAGACCTCGGGACCTGTCGGATCCAGAGCCTTCACCTTTTCGCAGAGTAGGGCGTTTCCGACAGAAGGAACTGCCTCACGTTGTCTGGAACCAGCCAGTTCAGATCCTCAACGGCAGACTGCGTTGCTTCGCGCGCTCTTGTAGAGCTGACCGACGGCGCACCGGGGTCCCTACCCTCAACAAGTGTGATCCGTTGTGCCCATTCCCTCCGTACGCCTTGTTTCTCCATATCTCCACGGGACATACTATCGATAAATTCCCTCTGTTCATCTTTGCTTCCCCAATCGTCACTCGGTCGCAGCGTCACACGCAATCGATGCTGGGAGAATAGTGGAATAAGAGGATCCAGGGTATGATTTGGAGGGTAGTACTTGGGATTGAGGATGCGGATCAAGGTATCGTAACCTGTAAGATGGACCTGTTCAAGAGGAGTGGGGTAGAAATCGCACGCCTCGATTTCCGCAGCCTTGTCGACGAAATATGGTTTCTTCGTCACACCAATATCAATCGCGGGAATATGTTTCATCTCTCCGGTGGCCTCCGAAGAGGCCGTGTCTGCCTTTGTGGTAGCTAGATGTGTGCGCAAGTCGTGCGCAAAGAGCTCCATCATGGCGAGCCGGTCCTCGAAGGGCGCGGGCTTGGACGGCTTATCGGCATTTTGAGTCGACAGTAGAAGAAGTAGGCGGGAACTTGGATCGAATTTCTCTAGGAGAGCGGTCCTGGCAATGCGGAGATGGGCGAACGTTGGGGGGTTGAAGGAGGAGTCCAGCACGTAGAGGGTTTTTGCGGGAGGCGTACACTTGGCAGGGACAGTGGTAAGAACTTCCAGATCTTTTTTGGAAGCTGCAAATTGATTTAGGAGAGATGCGTACTTAGTACAAAGTGCCCGATAGGACGCCATTGTTGGTAGTTTGAAGACGGTCCAAACTTACCATGACGCGACAGCCGACTGGGGTGGCGATAAGCCCCGATAAGCCTTTATCTTATCGCATTTACCACGCAGTGAGAAGCTGCATTTGTTCATGTATGCTTTGCGTTTGGTAAACCTAAATAAATACTCGGTCTAACTCAAGTGCTTTCAAAATAACGGGGCTATGTGTGTTTTGGACTGGGTTATAGTATGCATCTTAGTATGCATCTTAGCAGTGGGATGTACCTCTACCAAATGTATTTTAAGCCGCGGGCGGCCTATCATCATACTTATTGTCCTAAGTCTGCTGAAAGATCAGTATAGAGGCTTGTGATTAGGCGCTGAAAGATATAGTAAAAAATCAAAAGAGGGCGATGTAATAGGATAAAAGTCCTGGCTTTTACTTCATAATCCAGATTTAAAAATCTCTGCAGCTAAGAAAACTGACACGTAAAAACCTAGGAGGATAAATTAAATCGAGGAACCAGGTCATCGCACACCGACCGAGAGGTCATCGCACACATCACGTGATATTTACAATAATTATGGCCCGTGCTTATCGCAACCCTGTAAATTTCTAGGGTAAACCCTTGTAACCTAGTAATCTATCCACACACCCCACTTCTTTCTTTTAGTCTCTCTTAATTATCAACCTATCTACCATAGAACGCGCTACAGATTATACCTAGAGGGCTTATAAGGATCGTACACTCTCTGAGCTTCTACAGTTTAATTCTACGCCCGATATAGAGGATATAGGCGATTATGTCGACCCATTTGACAGCAAGCAAGAATTTGAAACCGCAATTCCTAACCTGGACGAGGTAAATATATATTCACCACATTTAATTCCAAACTAGTTGCGAAATAATTATTAACTACAGTAGTTTATTTATAGGTAATTTATATTCCGACTCCATTAATCTATCATCCAGCCTAAGCTATATTAGCTGCTATAGTTGAATACGTACCTTTACTCCCAGAGTATCTAGAGACTTATGATGAAGGGTTTGTCTATATCGTGAAGATCGATATAGGCATTCCGTAATGGTAATTCTAAAATTACGAAGGATTTACGTTCTTCCAGAAAAGTGGGGCAAAGTAAAAATTAAATCACGTGATGTATGCGATGACCTTACACCATATGTGCGATGACCTATATGCACCAATTAAATCGGCAGAAATATATACTGCCTAATAAATCAGGCAGGGAGGGTAGTATCAATTCCCGTGATTACTATCAATTCCCTATAAGTATTGTCTCGCCCTTGATTAGCATCGACCAGTAAATCGCGCAGAATGCAAGGACCTTCCCGCCATCCACGTAATTTATTTAAAAGATTTGTAAAAGAATGGGGCTATTGCGTTAAATGAGTCAATTCGAATGTTAGTTTAACAGGTTGGTGGATGCAACCGGCACCTTTGATGCCGACCTGAAGGGATACCCATCGGCATTCTCTCGGTACCGAACCACCTCCGAGATTCGCCGTGAGTCTCGTCCCTGGAAACGGCACAGGTTTCGCCGAACTATTCGCAGCAAATGTCTCAAAACTGGCTTTAGCTTTTCAATATCCAGCGATCTGAGAATCTGATACATCACGGTCTATCTCGGAGATCTGTCGGCGTGGAAGGATTGTATACTACCTTATTTATATACGTGACGCCGTCTTGAGGTCATAGACCCTCCTCCTATAAATATTATGGCATTCCTCACACTCTGTAACTGAATTAAGTGTAACATTTTTGCATCACATCCTCATCTTCAACCGCAAGATGACCGACCCCATGTCATCCGAACCTGAACCACGAGACGGTCCTCGCGACGCTGAGATCCCAGCAAACGCCCCACGACTAGACTACAACTATCCCGACCTTGGACGAAGCGAAAGCCCCATATTCCCCGATGAGTACGTCGTCGAGACCAGTACCGGCCTTGTTCCACAAACCACACTGGAGCGAGTCCGAACCCGACCCTCTATCTCAACTGACACTGAAAAGGCGAAGGCCATTGAATTCGTGACTTTTACCATCGGAGATCCAGAGCACCCACACAATTGGTCGCGCGTCTATCGTTGGTACATCACCCTCGTTGCATCGTCATTGGTGGTATGCATTGCATATGGCTCCTCCATCGTCACTGGTGGTCTGAACTTGATTCAAGACAAATACAATGTCTCGTTGGAGGTTGCTATCTTGACATGCTCCATCATGGTATGTGGCTTCGCCATCGGACCCTTACTATGGTCACCACTGTCCGAGATCATTGGTCGGAGGCCGGTATACATCATCTCGCTGGCTCTCTATGTGATCTTCAACATTCCATGTGCCCTATCGCCTAATATCGGGGGGCTCTTGGTCTGTCGATTCCTCTGCGGCATCTTCTCGAGTTCTGGCCTTTCGCTGGCTGGTGGGACCATCGCTGATATCTGGAGTATCGAAGATCGGGGATTGGCCATCTCTTATTTTGCCGCTGCTCCTTACTGTGGCCCTGTCATCGGACCCATCGTCACCGGCTGGATCAGTGTCGGTAGTGGTCGTCTGGATCTCTTCTTCTGGACGAACATGGCTTTCGCGGGCGTGATTATGATTATAATCGGTCTTGTCCCGGAGACTTACGCGCCCGTGATTCTCAAGCGACGGGCTGCTAAATTGCGCAAAGAAACCGGCAACCCAAACATCATCACGGAGCAAGAGCAACATAAGCTCACATTCCGCGATATCGCGCGTACCAGCTTGATTCGCCCCATCACCATGATCATGACGGAGCCAGTCCTCGACCTGATGTGCATGTACATTGTCCTCATCTACGCCATGCTCTATGCATTCTTCTTCGCCTACCCGGTTATCTTCGGAAAACTGTACAACTTCAACGACGGCCAGATCGGCTTGATGTTCATCCCCATCCTGATCGGTGCCGGCTTCTCTCTTATGGCTACTCCGCAGATCGAGAAGCAATTCCGAAAGATCTGCCTCAAGCGAGCACCCACCCCTGAGGACCGACTTATCGCGGCGCTGATCGGTGCACCATTCATCCCAATCTCATTGTTCTTGCTGGGTGCCACGTCTTTCAAACACGTTATTTGGGTGGGACCCGCTTCGTCAGGCATCGCGTTTGGATTTGGCATGGTGTTGTGCTACTATTCCGTGAATAACTACATCATTGATTCTTATCAAAAGTATGCGGCTTCTGCGCTGGCTGCAAAAGTTTTCTTGCGATCTGGTGGTGGTGCTGCTTTCCCGTTGTTTGTTACCCAGATGTATAACCGTCTCGGGTTGCAATGGGCTTCGTGGCTTCTTGCTTTCATTGGAGTCGGCATGGTCTTCATTCCTTATGTCTTCTACATCTTTGGTGCGAGGCTTCGCGCAAAGTTGACTCGGGATCAGTCTGAAGCCGCGCCGGTTTGTCCTGCTTAATGAAATGGTGGAGAGGTTTGTGGTCGAACATTTTCAGGAGTTATTTTTCGTTTCGCCATTGTGTCATTTTGAAGTGTTCTGGAGCATTTATTATCTATTTAGCATTTATTTGGCGGGTTGCATGTTAATACAGTATAGGTTTAATTTCTAAAGCCACTTCTAGAGAGAAATGTTATTCAGACAGTTATTTGTACCACCATTACTTCAAAATCTACAGTTTTCATCGTAGACAAAGGACAGAATGTCACAGACAGCCAGCCCTTCACGAAATAAGAAAAAGAAATTCTGATTGTCTGTCATGGGGCTTTTGGAGTCTTAGTCTCTTGTTGTTTGATCCCAGAGACTCTGAATGGTGACGCCCTTGGCCCACTTGCCATCTGTTTCATCCTTTTGAACAGTGAAATTAACAGTCTTCTTCTCTCCAGGAAGCAAGGTAAACGCATTGTCATCAAAATAGCCGACGACACCGGACGGGTAATCGAGCCAAGTGTAGAGCGAGACACCCTTCTTGGCTTCCACGGTGAAAGTACCAGTCTTCTCGTCGTGCGTAACCTGGACTTCCGGATCGACAAGAGCGAGGCGGTTTGGGAACTCGGTAGCGACCTGGCTACGGTGGGTGAAGGTGGTGAGAGATCCGCACTCGGAGTTCGGAAGGCTGCCCTGTGCACTGAGCGACAAGACCAGAACAGCGTTCTTTCTGTCATGAAGAGACAGATCTGAGATCTTCGCCGAGTAAATCTCGGTGGTATTGAGACCACCAACGGTGAAGTGCTGCGTCTGGGGAGTGCCGGCGTTACCAGGAAGGGGCTTTCCGGACAAATCGACCCAGGCGAGGTCCACCGAGCCACTAGCGGTATCCCAGAGATCGGAGGTCACATAGACCGAAAGGTCACCGGTGGTGTAGTTCCAGAAAGGAGAGACAATAATAGGTTGGTAAATATCGCGAGCAACATAGTGAAGGACCTTCCAGCGGCCGTCATACTCGATACCGGCCCAGGTTGGAGCCTGCCAGATATCTTCGAGCTGCCAGTACAGAGAGCCAAGCTGTCGTTCCGGCATTCCACTGCCACGGCGGTAGAACTGGATTTCAGACTTGTACATATCGGCCTGGAACAACTGCGTGGCGTGACACCATGCGCTGAAGTTTGCAACCGAGTCATCCTTGTTGGGGATAGGGTAGTAGCGTTCAACGGCGATAGTCATCTCAGCCATGCCCATGGATGAATTTTTGAAGTTGCGGGTCTCGGTGCCACCGGCCGGGTAGTGGTGGTTTCGGAGCATGACAGTGCTGCTATTGAAGTGAAGTTCATCCTTGTCGACAGCCTGCTCCCAAGTCTGGAGACTGGGCATGCTATGGTATCCGAACTCGTTCGCAAAACGGCCAACGGGATAGCTGCCATAGTCAAATGCCATACTGCTGTCGTAGTTGTAGTAGTCGGTATCGGAATAGAACTCGCCAGCGGTGATGTTGTTGTAGCGCTCGGCCATGGGGACCGGAGCCGACATGTTGACCCAGAGGTACCCGTTGTTGGTGCTGCTGGGCATGTAGGAGATCGACCGAGTGTTCTCATACACAAGAGGCAGAATCAGGCTGATGAAAAGCTTCTCATATTCGCCAACATAGAATGAGTATCGATCTGGAGCCGCTTCTTGAACAAGAGGTAACTCCAAGCTCTCGATTTCGTTACCACCAGCCCACAGCGCCAACGACGGATGGTGGTTGACACGTCTCACGTTGTAGACAACTTCAGCGGCAACATTTTCGAGGAATTTCTCGTCACTTGGGTAGAGTGCATCACTGAACTGGAATTCACTCCAAAGCAGAATACCGTATTCATCGGCAATGTCGTAAATGAAACCAGGAAGATAGGCACCGGAAGCCCACACCCGGAGCATGTTTTGGTTTCCAGCCTTAACAGCGGTGAATAGTCGCTGCATCCTAGCTTCAGTAACCCGGGGCCAGAATGCATCCGGGGGGATGAAATTGGACCCCTTTGCATAGAACTCCTTGCCGTTGACCTCAAAGTGCCAGTTAGCGCCGGGCGCAATGCCCTGGGCCAGCTGATCCTCCGTGATATTGAGTCGATTGAGGAAGATGGTTCGGAATCCAGAACGCTTGGTGACACTGGCCAACCCCTGTTTCTCGCTGTCCTGAATGGTAACAGTCACATTATACAAGCTCTGCTTGCCCATCCCATTCGGCCACCAGAGATTCGGGGCATCCGCATCAATGGTGATACTGCCGGTAATGGCTTGTCCAGTGGTGGCAACATTCTCGAGAGGGCCCGATTTAAGGATCTTGCCAGTCTCAACATCCTTCACCTCAATGTTCATGGAGGATTTAGCCGGCAGAGATCCAAGGAAATCAATACTGGCGTTGACCACCCACGGTTGGCTTTGGTCGGGTGGAAGGTGATTGATTTGTCCCTTGCGGAAGATGTCCAAATCGGTGTTCAGAATGTTGACGCTCTCTTTGCATTCAAATTGCACGAGGTAAGCATCTTGCCATGGGCCAGCTGGGGCAAACGCTGGACCCCAATCCCAACCAAAGTCAGATTGTTCTTTCCGGATATACCAACGGTTAGGAAACTCGTAGATCTGTTGAGGACCATAAGGCCATTCTAGAAAATTTAAGTTAAATTATGCACCTGAGAATCATGATGTGGGACGTACTCTCTGAGTTCGGATCTTCGGCGATGGCATTGGCAATCTTGGGGGCACTGCCAAAGTTGATGGCCAGAGTAGGGTCACCCTTGCAGCTGCTGAGTGCCTTGGAAATGTCAAAGGTATACTGACGGAACTGATTATCCGTGGTACCAATGAATTGGCCACAAAACTCAATTGTGGTAAATGTGTCCAGGCCGTTAAAGACAAGCCAAGAGGATTTTGCTTTTCCAGACAACCCTTTGAGCGGCTCGCTTGTATAGGTCCAGTTGTTGTCAGGAATCCAACGTAAGTTGAAATCATTGAGACCGTAATACGGGTCATCAATGACATTAGCGGCATAGAGATCCAAATGTACCTGTGAAGGTAGATGACCCGGAGCCGACATGTTCAGCGCTTTACTGCTGACGGTCCAGCCATCGCCGCTGAGATCCACCACGTGCTGGCTAAGCGCAGCGTGGAATGTCGATGGGAGCGCAGCCAAAGCGAGTTTCTTCCACAAATGCATGGTGTCACCGTTCGCAGTCCAAGACTGTGCCGTGTGATCAAGGCAGGGGCCCTGCCTTTATATTGGCCTCGGGAGCAATCTTCCCGATGGATGTCGCGACACTCTGTGGTCTTCGTTCTCGAAAGGTACCGGGAGCTACGCCAGTGGAGAAATAATAGGTTGGTCGCTCCGTTGTTCCAATCGATTGGTGAGGCTGGAGGCCGGTGGTGGACCGTTCCATATTATCCCCACGATAAGGGGTATGGGGATAATATCGCATCAACAGCAGGGACCCCCACGAGCGAGGGGTAGAAAGCAACGGTAGCAGCGCTGAGTACCAAACAGGGATGCTTTTGGGTAATCTTAGACCGGGAAATCTCCGGTTCTGGGCTGAGTGGCGGGAAAAAGCGACGATCGGCGATGCTGGTACTGTGGAGTGAGTGGAGGTCGAGAGGGGAAGAGGTGACCTTGGGAAACACGTTGGAACCGGGGAAGATTTAACCCCAGGACTTTACCTCCTGAGCTCGTTTATTCCTAGAAAAACAATCACAAATCAAGTGGATGAAGCAGTTGCAGCAGATATTAACATTATTTCAAGCTCTGGACGCAACATTGAAGAGGCTGGAATGGATTCCTGAGTCCCTGCATTCTGGTGCACTGACCATCCACATCCACATCCAACACCGAAGGCTAGAAGCTTGTATTGAATACGCTATCAAAAATAATGATTACGATGCACCATGAAAAGGGCTGGGATTGTGTTACGGAAGCGGTAGTTGACTGTATTTTTAAATGCTGTCTAATTGAATTCATGTTGCCAGGGTATGCCGCATCTGCCCCAGGTCTTCGGGCGAAAAGCCGAGCACTTTGGTCAAATAGCCTTCGATGCCGTCATATGTACTCTCGAATGTCTTCAAAAATGCCGACATAGCGTGCCCTCGGACTCCGCTAAGCTCTAACATGCCGATCGCCTCGGGACTCAGATGCTCGGTACCGAAGTGAAGAGCAAGTGCTTCTGTCAAATTTTCGCGCACGTTCTCCAATGCAGCTCGGGTGAGCATATAGTCGTATACGATTTCCTCATGTGGTCGGCCGATGAGGAGCAATATTAATGCTGATAGAACCCCAGTGCGGTCTTTGCCAGCTAAATGTTCGAATTTGATTAGCAAGAGTTTTAACAACATAATTGTGCGACCGGCATCGGAATTATCGGCGACGGTCAGGGGAACTCAACCTACCGGAACAGTGAAAAACGAACGGATCATTGGGCTGATCCCTGATATGCTTGAAGATTTCCTTGAATGCCGGTGTCGCTGCATTGAGGATACCCATATACATCTTCACAAAGCCAGTATTACCCTGATCCTCAGCAAATTCTTTGAGATTCAGGGAGGCTGGTCTGGCGCCGTATGGCATCCATATCGTCTCAATCCCTTCGATTTCTGGACTCGGAACTCGTTCTCGCTCACCCTGATTTCGAAGATCGAAAATGGTGGTGATCTTCAGCTCATTGACAAGAACATCCTTTCCTGCATCTAGGATGTCGGCCACGTTCCCGGAACGATAGACAAAGCCTCGTCGTAGCTTGTTATCGTTGCTCAAATCTCGAATGTTGGACACCCCGGGGACATTGACGAATGGGGGGAGAGAGATGATCTTGGAGACAATCGCGTCGGGTATAGGTGTTCCGATGTCTGTGTTTAACACATCGCGGACGTTGTCGGCTTCAATCATTGTAGTGATATAAGGAGAGAAGTTGAATAGAGTTAATATGGAAAGAATCAAAATTGAATGTATCTGGCCCGATCAGGGAATCCTTTTCAGGACACCTCAGGAACCTCCAAGGCACGCGAGTCCACATTTTCACTGGCTATGTCATAATATCCATCTGGATCACAAAGATTGGTGGTGAGTGGAGTTTTCCGACAATAACAGGGAAGCCGAGTGCCAATAAGAGGAGACAGGCACGTCGGGTAGCGATGTCATCGCTTTAAACCTGGTGGTTAGTGGGGCCGAATCCTGCGGTGACGTCGGACCGAGAACAATGCTGTTCTCTCGCCATGCGCTCATATAGGATGGAACTGCGAATCTCTGCAAAGGGGTTAACCAAGGTCATCTGCAAGAGCGTAAGCCAGGTATGATGCCCGTGTGCATCATCAAGCCCACTATAAGTTGGATTCCATACGACTCGTTCGGCCCGAAATAACAGGCTTCGGCAATTGATCAATTGATGGAAGAATGTCCAATTATAAACCCAAGACGTTCATTTATGTCATTCGACCGAGGCTCATTTCTGGGGAACTCCATTTTTCAATAAAAAAAATAAGATAAAAATGGTATCCAACATGAAAAATTCCAAAATTAGGACCGCCACTTCACGTTCTTCCGGCCCATCCTTGCCTCCAAGACTTAATAGGAAGAGTGTGGCTTCAAACTAAATAAAAAGGGGTGGGACTCCGATTATACATTCTGCATAAAGCCCCCACTCCTCAGCCCGTGAAACAATGTAGCTGTCCCAGAGTGAATTTTTCTCTGCAGGGATGGCAAGATTTTTTGAATCATATTTTTTGCTCATTGAGAAAGGAGAGATTAGGTAGACACGAGGAAGTGAGAGATGTGCAGGAACATAAGTTCTTCAATGAGGTGCTACTGAAATCTAAGCAAATCTCAGTCCGACCTGAAACGGCGGTGACGAAAGGAGTGTTCTATAAAGACTAAATGTGAGAAAGAAGCGCTTATCCAGTTATGGAACGCCGGCTACTGATCGATCCTTGTAGATCAGCAGAAAATAGTTGATCCAACTGCACCTCTTGAGGATCCATACGCAGCGTGCGACGTTGCAGTGGGGCAGCTGTATCCGCTAGATGAACTATCAGGTTGAAACAGCGGTCTCAAACCCCACAAAGCCAAGAAATCGCGACATATGACATCGTATTCTGCATACTAAGAAGGCATTAGGCAAATCTTCACGTCCGATTAGGTTCGACCTCATCTGCAAAGCAGTGATTATTCGTAATGAGAATTACAAGATATCAAGTCGCTCTGAACCTCTGGCTTTATAGATAATTTGAAATGCTTGGCTCTCACGTTCACCGCGATCATCGCCTCCAGAGGTAGGGTTGGGAATATTGATTGGAGCTAATCACCAGGAAGAAATGTCATATAGCCCGACAGAGATCCACACTTTATCGCCTATCCGACCGTCTGCCTACTCTCGATCCTGACCAGTATTAATGCAGGAAGGCGTGCGCTGTCACTGGTCGATAGAGACGCGCGGAGAGCTAGACTACTATAATGTTGGCTACATGCGGTGGCCGCCCTATTCACCTGACCTAAATCCTATCGAAAGCGTCTAGGCGTGGATGAAAGACTAAATTGCTGAGCAGCATAGTCATTGCGATCTCGACCCACCAACGCTACGAATTGTCCGCTAGGCAGGCATGGGATGCTGTTCCTGAATGGTATCTACAGAGACTTGTGGAATCTATGCATAGCCGAGGCTTTGAGGTCATTAAGAGAGATGGTCATGCTAAGGATACAAGCGGATTGAGGGGGTAGAGATCAGGTAAAGTTAGCTAGAACCAGCAGTAAATATGTGGCAAATTTGTGGCTCAATTACATCTGAGTAGGGCTAGAATTCGCGAAGTGCATATGGGATGCTTCTCATTGATCTAGATTCACAAATTCACATGTTTGTTGGTGGACTTATTCCTTCAAATGTTGGGGTTTCGAGACACGCAGCAACTCTACGCTCAAAGGTGGGGAAGATGAACACGCCGGAGAATGAGCATCTTCCCCTCCCAGATATCTCTGCAGCCTAAAACCCAGAATGTCTCCAAAGCATATCGCCATGCTTTCACCTAGATCTCATACGGTGAAAGGCCGAAAATCCGGACCGCTATCAGCCCGATCTCCCAAGAAGATTAGCAAAGCGCGATCCTGCGAGACTTGCCGACGCTTGAAGACACGATGTGAGATTGGTCCGGGCTTTGATCAATGTCATCGCTGTGAAATTCTTCGGTAGCCAAGTCGCCTGACTGATCGCCAACTTGTCTGACTACTTCTAGGATTGATTGCTCCTTTCGCGGGGTATCTCGCAGCCAACCATCCGCAGAACAGACCGAAAGTGACAGGGGCGAGAGTCATCGATGTGACTGTCATGAAAGGTGCGTCTTCTTCGTTCTATGAAATAAACAATAATTCGACTAATCCTAAATCTTAGACTCTCTGCAGTTGAAACCTCCCTTGCGCAGATTCGGGCTTCTATGTCGGTTCGAAGTGCTAGTCCCGACGAAGAGAAACTGGAGGTTAGAGTGGGTGCACTCTATTTTCGTGTTTCCAGCAGATACCTGATCGCAGAATCTCAGCCTCCATCTATTGCAGAGCGTACTACCCGCGATGCACCCATGAGCCTCATCCAAGAAATTAGGGAAAATATGGCATTGCCCCAACAACCATCCACAAGCCAGGACCACTCCGAAGATAGCATCATCGGCAGTATCATTTCTGAAGAGCTTGCTTCAATGCTCCTCGAAGGGTAAACTTTCTTTCTGTTGAAAAGCGATCGACCCTTGTCTGAGAAATCCCATTACAGATTTTCGAAATTGTCCAGTCGCTGGTTGTTCATGAGCACAGTCCCGGACGATATACGATCCAAGTCGTCCCTTCTATTGGGGTCTTGTATTCTAGCAGGGTTTCATAGCATCCCGACTTTGCATGGGTCTCCAACACATCACGCATTATATGTGCATGTTCACGGCTTGTTAGGCCGGGCGCATCTTGCATCAGCGACTTCGCTAGATACAATTCAGGCGATGTTGGTCTTCTCAATGTGGGACTTGCGACCGACACGGGACCATGAACATAGGAATTCGTGGCTACTCAGTGGCATGGCAGCTATGCAGGTTGTGATGACGACCTGCTTTGATCAGTTTCCGTGTGCGAGCACTGTTAGCGAAGCGACCCAATCACGAGAGCTGATGCGCACTTGGAACTTGATATGCCTGTGCCAATTACAGTATGTTGTCCAAATACTGGTCCTTGCTTGGACTTCTGCATTCTGTGGAGTCGATCTAACCGCAGTTTAGATTTTCGGTCGGTTCTGGGCGTCCGCCTGTCATTGCAAAGCAGTACTTCGATGAATGTAGCAAAATACTCGAGTTTCCATCATATAATTCCCGAGATGAGCTTGTACTTGCAGGAGTGGAGCTCTATCGTACGCTATGGGATCTCATAAGTTCAAATGCGATTCAGAAAGAAAGTGCCGCCTGGCCTGAGATTGAAAGACTCCGCAAGACCCACGATCACATCTATAGTAAGGGAAATTATTCGAGGAAACATTGGGTACTCGTTTTAACGTCGTCTGTAGACCTGGACTCATCCGAGCCATTACGTTTTGCATACTCGTGTACCTATCTCATTCTCGCGCGTCGATCGCTACAGCATCTGGACTACACTCAAACTGTCAAAAAGCCCAGCCCAACGTATATGGGGACATCAGACCAGAAACTCCCATTTAATAAAGTGGCAATCTACCACTCGTATCAGATCCTAGATCTCTTCGTGTCCATGTCGGGCCTCACCATTTATATCCACCCAGCTTATGAAACCCTTCTGTGTTCTTTTGCCATGGCTACTTTGGCTGAATTTGTGTCTCATGTCACCGATGTAAGCGAGACAGTAGTCCTCATGGAGCGGGCTATATCGCATATTCAACATTGTGGCAAGGCTGAGCCCGTCAGCCGGTGGTCTCTGAACGTCATCAGGCAGCATGTCCCGGGAAATGGAGGGCCAGACGCTCTCATTCCAACACCGACTGATAGTAACTTGCTTAGTACAATGACCGCCGATCAAACATTGAAGCCATGGCAGGACGACGATTGGGGGGTACAAGAATTCCCGTCGCTTGAAGAAATGTTTTTTGGAAATGCAGTATAAAAGGCAGAAAGACCATAAGTCAATGTCACTAGTTATGATTTTTACAAAGACTCGTAACCATTCCATCGAAAAGCTATATTCTCAGTCGAATACCTGCAAGGCATTCCTTCGGCTTCTTCGAGAAACCTTCATGCGACTCCATAACCTGCTGATACAGCGCAAAGTCATATCGATAGAACAAAGTCCCAATAATCAGCTGCAGCTCCATGATAGCCACATTTTGTCCCACGCAAGCACGCGGGCCGTATGAGAAAGGGTTGAATCCGACTTTCTGTCGCGTAGTCAAATCCAGCCAGCGATCAGGGTTGAACTCTTCTACGTCGGGGCCCCATATCTCCTCCATGTGGTGGATAGTATAAGATGGCACCGAGAGCACGGTCCCAGGCGGGAAATAGTATTCGTCGAATTCAACACCGGGGCCCTCAGCGACTAGACGTGGGAGACCAAGTGCTGATGTGGAATGTAGACGCATTCCTTCGTCAATGCAGCGGCGTAGGAAAGGAAGATCTTTGACTTGGGAGTAATGGACTACTTTAGAGCTAGTGCCAATTGAACCGTCTAGTTCGCGTTGGAGTCGAGAAATAATGTTTCCAGGGGCGCTGCGTTCGCCATGGAGAATCCAGTAGAAGACAGCACACGCCGTATTGGAGATTGTATCTGAGCCAGCGATGAGCTGTGTCAGCGCCTCCGCTGTGAGCTCAGTGCGCCCCATTGGCTGTCCATTGGCATCCTTGGCCTGCAGCAAGCGTGAGAGAATATCGTTGCGATCATCGACAATTCCTTTCTCCACCGCGTCTAATCGTGCCGCAACAGCAGCGACCGCAATGCCGGTCAGAATCTCCACGGCTGCAACACCCTTGGTAAAGAACGGATCAGGCAAATAGCGTGCAATAGGACGGAGAGACGGAAGAAAGCCCAGAGTGGAGGAGATTTCGCCTCGTCTGTTCAATACATCGACCGCAGGCGCATATGAAACAGGGCCACCAGGCACAAGCTGACTCTCGGCCTCATCCTTGCCCTTGTTTACCATGCCAAATGGGGAGCCAAAGGCCAGGTCACCGATGATATCAAAAGCGAGATAACTAAACCAGGGCATCGCGTTGAACCGACTGAAATCGCCTTTCTCGTTGGTTGGCGATTGTGATGAGGCAATCCGGTCCAACTGTATCACCCAGCGCTGTAAGTTGGCCGTCATGTGTGACTCGAACTCAGCAACGGATCTGGGCGAGAAGGCGTGCGAAATAATCTTACGTTTGCGTGTGTGCTCGGCGCGGTCGCGAACGTTGAACATGCCCGGTGTCTTGGCCACAAATGCTTCATAGTAATGACTGGCACGCTTCGTCAGAACAGTTGGGATTCTATAGAATAACCAAATACATACTCTTTCAAGAAGCCATTGCCGTGTCCATATACGACGTTCAAGGCTCGCTCATCGGCGACGGACACATGGTTGAATCCGATACGAACAACTTTGCCGTATTTCCGGTGCGCCGAATCGACTCTAGCAAACTTCTTGCCTTGTCGAGCACCGAGGCCGACCCATATATTACTAAATTTTGCAACGAGTGGCCCTGGCACACGGGCAAGATAGCGGTATGCCGTGAAGTACGGAAGTACATAGTACAGGACCAGCCATATCGGCAAGGCCACAAGAACATATGGAGAATATAAAAGACTGAGAAGCGCCATATTGTATAAGTAAAGCCAAATTACTCAGTAATCGACACAGCTAGAATCTCGGTAAGTTATGCCTCTAAATATGCTCTTGTCTTCCCGCGATCCTCGGCGGGTTAATCTACTCCGACGGAGATCAAGGCCAGCACCGTCGGAGGCACAAACACCTCCGGTGAACTGAGGAATCACCATTTGCAACTGGGTTACTTCTATTTCCCGCTTGTACATGGATTTTACACAATCATACCAATCGCAATGCTATTTGAAATCCGATCGGTTCATCGGCGCCAATCATGAGAAACCTCGATGTAGTCGAGTGGAACGTGGGACGGGGAACGAACAGCTATTGATATGGTAAGTAAAACTGAGAAATGGCCCGAACTCTTCACAGATCTAAAGCGATAGACAATTCTGTATATGATGCTTGGTGCACCTCAAGAGTACCCCTCGGCTGGAAGCGGGGCGGTGAGGGGCGGTGACGTGAAGGCCGACGCCAACCGAGCTCCTCCGCATTTTGCCCCAGATCAAGCCGAGCCTTGAATACTCCCTTGTTCTCTACATGATTTCTCTCTCATAGCAAAAATGTCGTTCAAGATGCTTCTTCGGCGTCCTTTGCTAACGGCGCGTATCCCGCGGTCCGTCGTGCCAGTCCTCACGTCCCCTGCGCGAAGATGGGGAAGTACAGTTTCACAACGCCCTGGTTCAGACCGGTAAGTGGAGGCAGGATGTGTCTGTGGACTGAACAAGACCTAATGCGTGTTTTGCAGGGTCGTTTTCCCAGGTGCCATCAATAGCGAGTTCACATCCGATATGGCTTTCATCACGGGCAGAGATCTCCCCGCTATCCCTACCTTCCGAGTGATAAATTCAGACGGCGAGATGGTTGACAAAACACGGGCTCCTCCCAATGTTTCGGATGAAGAGGTCATCACTTGGTACAAGAATATGCTACAGGGTATGTGAATTCTCCAGGACTCCAGGGCTCTGCAATGAATGGATTTAGCTGATCGGTTATAGTGAGCATCATGGACACGATCATGTTCGATGCCCATCGCCAGGGTCGCATAAGTTTCTACATGGTATGATCACCCTCTTTGATATAACAACCAAAGAAGTTGACCGGTTGGCTAATATCTCGACAGGTTTCACAAGGCGAAGAGGGTATCTCCATCGGCTCTGCCGCGGCTTTGATCCCGGACGATGTCGCTTTCTCCCAATACCGTGAAGCTGGTGTTTATCAGCAGCGTGGATTTACCCTGAAAGACTTCATGAGCCAATTGTTTGCCAACTGCAATGACAATGGCAAGGGCAGAAATATGCCTGTTCATTATGGCCAAAAATATCCCCGCATCGTGAGTGCTACCCATGTATCAAAGGAATTCCGGTTGCTGACGCCAGTCTTGAACAGATCACTGTTTCCTCTCCACTGGCAACCCAGATTCCTCAAGCATCTGGAGCTGCATATGCTTTGAAAATCAAAGATCTTCAGAATCCCAACCAAGCCCCGCGGGTAGTGGCCTGTTATCTTGGCGAGGGCGCGGCCAGCGAAGGTGACTTCCACGCAGGGCTGAACATCGCCGCCACACGGTCGTGCCCTGTCATTTTTGTCGTCCGAAACAACGGATACGCCATTTCCACGCCTACAATAGAACAATACCGTGGAGATGGCATTGCCAGCCGAGGCGTCGGCTACGGAATGGACACGATCCGAGTGGACGGAAACGATGTATTTGCCATGTACGAGGCAATGTCGGAGGCACGGAGGCGCGCTTTAAGCGATGGCTGTCAGCCAGTATTGATCGAGGCAATGAGTTACCGAGTCTCGCACCACAGCACCAGCGACGACAGTTTCGCGTACCGCGCGCGCGTTGAAGTGGAGGACTGGAAGCGTCGCGATAACCCCATCATCCGCCTGCGCAAGTGGCTGGAGAACAAGGGTCTGTGGAATGAGGACTTGGAGAAGGAGACCCGCGACTCCATGCGCCAGGCTGTGCTGAAGGAGTTCAAGGAAGCGGAGCGTCTGAAGAAGCCGCCGATTCGGGAGGCGTTTACCGACGTCTATGAGGAGATTACGGAGGAGGCGCAGGAACAGATGAAGGAACTGAAGCGCATTATAGAGACATACCCCGATGAGTATGACTTGAGGCCGTATCAGGACGGCTTGAAGGGCTTGGAATAGATTAAGAGCTTTCTGAACCCCTTAGCCTTAATGAAAATTATGCATACAATTGAACTCCGATTGGCCAATGAAAATGAACTTTTTATGCCATTCCAGGCCTTTCTTGCCATCATTAAATAGACCGAAAACGAAAAGCCGCAAAGAGGTTTGAATGCCAGAATAATTTTCAAGACAATCTAAACAAGAGCGCCGGGAAGATAGTCCCTTTTCCATTCATCGAAGAAAAGATGGGAGGTAGAGATAGTCATATAAAGGACACAAGGCACTGCCCCTCCACCTAGCATCTTGAAGCCTGAACAAAAGACGCCGCAACCTTCACCAAACTATCAACGGTCTTGTAATCGTCGCTGTTGGTCAAGTACGCAGCACCCAGGCCCATCCCCCGAGCCTCCTGAACAACAGTCTCATAATCCGCCGTAAGAGGCGCACTGTACAAGATAATAGCGGCCTTGGAGTAATAGCCGCCAGAGAGATCATTCGCGGGAACAGTAGAAGTCCACGCCGAGTACGAATTCTCAAACTCAACAATCAAATCTGCCGCCTTGAAGTATTCAGCCGCAGAGCCATCCTCAAGTTTAGTACCGGGGTTGAAAACGACAGTGGGGAGGTTGCTGGACTTGGCGGACTCGGAGATCTCCTGCATGTACGAGATTTTGGTCTGATCGTTTGCGTTGGGAGCTTCATCGAAGAAGATTCCGGAGACGGTGATATTCTGGGCTTTGTAGGAAGACCAGTTGCTGTAGGTTGAGATGTCGGCTTTGACTGCGGAGACGTCGCGCTCGGCGTCTTCGGTTGGGATGTAGCCGATTACTTGGATGTTGTCGTAGCTGTTCAGCTTGGCCAAGCCGGCGATGTAGGTTTCATCGGGGTATGCTATCGTGTTCTTGATTAGTGAAGTTCTCTATCTACTGGAACTATAGGCCTTACTTGTGTCACCGGGGCCACTGCTAGGGTTGACGATGACCTGGAACAGAATGTCTGGGTGTGCAGCGGCTGCGTTGTAGACGGGACTCCAGGTAGTATTGTCCTCGGGCCAGGAGTAGAGAGGCAAAAGAATCCCCGTCGAGGAGACCGCGGAAGCCAGGGAAAGGGCTCCCACGATGTACGAGAAGCCGAACATGATCAAGTGAAGGAGTGATTTATGCAAAGGAGTGTAACGATCTAGAAACCGCCAGGGTCGATCTAAAAGTGAAAAAGGAGCGACAAGTAACAATCCACGGGATTGAAGAAGAGAATGAATGACTTAAAAAATCGAGAGAGACCCGACAGTCTTATACTAGCGAACTCCGCCGTGAAGCCGAAATATGACGGACGTATGAATCAAAGGAATCAGAACCTCATTTCTCCGGCCACATGGCAACGAGTAGGGCAATCAGCCACTCGTTTCAAGAAACCCGCAAACCCCTTCTTCGGGTTAGAAAGCAGAGACAGATCGACCAAAGAACGCCAGACCGCGATCCGAGATTACCAGGGCCATTAGGAAAAGGCCCTAAGATCGCGATGAATGAGCCATCGGCATCATCAGGAGTCATCCAGGGGGCTCTAGACTTGTGTCAAAGAATGAACTTGTAAGCGCCGGGCATATTTACCCGAGACGTCTCGAGTGTGGCGCGAGATGAGACGATTGTCAGCCCAATGCACGAACTCTCGACACACCGTTCTGGTATGATACGTGAGAGCACAGGGCTATTCGAGGGCTGTAACTGGTTCCCGGGCGCCGCGGATGCGCATTCGAAGGCTGGCGGATCACATCGACGCCACAAGGATCCCCGCTCCTACCTTGTGGTAATTAATCAACCGTTTTAGATTGATAGGCAAATGACGGCACGCCGCTTCATTTATGCTGGAGGCACTAGTATTTGGGGGCCCTTTGAACATCATAGGAAGGACCTCGAGGATATATATCGGAGATTTACTTTGTCCTGAAGTGAGTTTCTTTGATGATTGGAGCTGGCGCAGGGTTCCGAAACGGTCGAGATGAAAAGTAGGGCTAGGGGCAGCAAACTGTAACATATTAACGTAGGTACCACCAAGCTTATGCACGCTTTGCCTCGGGGCTAACAGTCTACAAATTGGGAGAGTAGTTACGACGAATCGTACATTGATGCTAGTTAATCATACAAGTGACGACATGATAAGCCACGCAATGTAGATATGCTACATGCCCAGAACCACCAACCTGGCGGCCGCGGCTGTCGTGTAATCGATAATCAATTGGGGGAATCAACCATCGAGAGCGCCTGCTGCTGAACCTTCTTGTTCCGGCGAAGCAGGGCAGCAAACTTCTTGTCCAGCGAGTCCAGCTCCTTACGAGTGCTCTCCAGATCCTTTTGGGAACGGCCGGCGAGATCCTTCAGCTCTTCATTCGTCATAGCGGCAACATCATCCAGGCTGGGGTTGCTTCCGTGCATACCGGCAGAGCCAAGAATTTGCTTGGCAGTAGCAGCTGCGAAGGAGCGCACGGCGGCGGTAGTGGTTTGGAGGAGCTCAGCGGAGTGTGCGACAGCCCAGTCGTGGCTGCGGGTGCTGTCTGCTTCCATTGCGGACAAGACATTGGGAGGCACGACGGTCTCGACAGCGTCCAGGGCAGCGCTGGGAGATGTAGCGCCCAGACGGGCCATTTCGTCCACCCAGCGGATATTGTACTTCTCCGGAGTCGCGAACAGGGCCTCGAGACCGCCGTTGATGTTGCTGGAGTCATCACCGACAACAAACGGGTCAGTGAGTCCATTTCGCTGCTTCTCTAGCTCAAGGTAACGCGCTTCTTCCTCGGGTTCCAGGTGACGAAGGACGGAGCCTCGAGGAGTGATCAAGCAACGGTTCTTGAGCTGATCATTGCCAATCCGGATTGGCTCGCCACGGCGCAGAGCTTTCCGGTGTTCATCAGTCAAGTCAATGGGCTGCTTTAACTGGTCGTAATCATCGGCCGTGCACTTCATATCGGCACGCTGGCTGAGGTTGGCCGGATTGAACAAGGAACTTTTGTTGAGATCCAACAAGCCGGTTTTGTGCATCTGAGCAAGTATCTCATGAAGAGGCTTCGTTCTTTCCATCAATATATCTCTAATAGAACGACCAGTCTCCTCTGCATCTTTGTTGGCCTGCTGAAGGGTGTTGTGGGAACGCCAGGCTTCTTCCACAGGGGGCTTTGGCTGAACGGGCGGTTCTTCCATGCCAGCTGGTTTGGTATCGTGCACAGGTTGCTCCTCCTTCTTCGTCTTTTTTGGAGGCTCAGGCTTAGGCTCGGCTTTCTTGGGAGACTCGGGGGCGGATTTAGCGGTACTTATGATTTCAGGGACGCTGGCCGAAGCTCCGTCGGTGGAGTCGATAGCGGTTGAAGATGCCTTCTTGGTCTTCCGCTTTCTTCCCATGATAGGAGCTTGGATGGGCTCCTCGGGAACAGACACGGCTTCAACTTTCTTGGCCTCGGCTTCCTTAGCCTTCTGTCGTCGCTCCTTCTTGGCCTGACTCTTTGTGATTGAGCGGACTGGAGCGGAGCCGATACGAGACGAGCCCGGGGGGAGTTGGCACGCGATGCCGATGTTGAGGTGAAGAAATCCGCTTCAGACCCGTAGTCACCCGGGGTATCCGGTCTACTGTTTGATGATAAGCTCTGTCTTCTAGATCGAGACTTGTCCACAGTGGTAGTAGAGGCCGTAATGGACGGTGCATTGCCAGCAGAGGGTGGAACGCCAGGTTTCGGGGTGTCGACTACACGTATAACCCGCGGCTGACGAGCGGACGACTCGGAGACGCGCGAGGCAACGGTTAACGGAGTATTAGGCCTTGAGCCTATCGCGGAGATCGAACCCGCTGCAGAGGCAAATGTGCCTGAGAAAGCACGTTCAGACTTGGTAGAGGCAACTTCCTGGGTAGTCAATGGCATGGTCAGACTGGCGGGGCTTGCCTGTGTGCCAGTAAGCGGACTTTGGTCGGCTTGAGAAAGAAGGTCTTTCTCATCAGTAGCAAGACGCAGGTCGCCCCTGGTGTTGAGCCGAGCTTTGTTAGCTGATTTGGCCACGGGAGACCCAAAGGAAATCTGAGAAGCGTCCTTGACACGAGCAGATATGGAAGCGGTTCGACTATGCATCTCAGGAGTCATAGAACGAGATTCAGACATCGCGTTCTGCATTGAGGGGGTTCCAACTCGTGAGACATTGGTACTTAATCCCGGGGGCATAATTGGCGCAGGGGATGACGGCTTTGACGAGCTCATGTGCTCTTGAAAAGCCGCAGACGCCGGATGCGCGTGAGGCAAAGGAAGACCAGGAGGAAGACTCGGGGTTCCAGCACGGCCAGCAGACTCGCTGGGGAGCTGTGACTTGAGGAAACCAAAGGGGTCAATGGGCTGAGCATCTTTCAATGAGCAATCAAGCGGAGGGAAATCATCGTTCACTATTGACCCGGATTAGCATCTGCAGTCCGAAGCAGCGAAGTGATGTGAGCTTGGGATGTCAACGGATCTCAACCGGCGCACGACTTGACTGGGGGAACTATGCAAGATACAAGGGGCGCCAAAGCAAATAATTACACGACGGGCACTGACCCGCACGGGCCAGGTACATTGTAGGGCAAAGGGTCTATGTAAACAAACGGCAGTGAGAAAACTGGTTTTCAAATAAGACCCTGTCCAGGCTGTGATATCAGGGTAGGGAGGCCTTAACGTACATTAATCCATGGATCCATCGCGGTCTTCAAGACGCTGCAGATGGTCGAACGAAGATCCGAATGCAAAGAAAGAAAAAGGATAGAGGGAATACAGCAGCCGCCGAATATAAAGGGTGCCCCCAAAGACATGAAGATATGTCCACAAAATGCAAAAAGCCGCGAATGAAACAAGAAAGCTGGGGTGAACATGGAAGGAAAAATCAAGAATCAAAGACCATCACAATACGCCAAGGGCGCGCCGGCCCGTCGTACTGATCCAGAGCGGCCAGTCCGTTTGCATAAAATAACAGCAGAAGGGAAATGATATCATGTCATCAAGGGACACAGACCCATCAAAGCACATGGTAAAACATCATATAAAAAGAGCAAGAGGGAAAATGCAAATGAAAAGTCATGAGTATAATGCGGGAGGGAAGTCGTTCACCAGCGGTTGAATCCACCACCGCTGTACATCATTGAGGGATTGTACCCACCTTGGCCCTGGCTCCCGTACAACGCCTGCCCAGCAGTAGCATTGGCACCAACCTGGTGCATCCTCGCCTGCAAAATGCTCGGGTCCGCAAGATCTACTACACCGCCTCCACCGGAGGAAGTGTTAGCGTGTCTCTGCTTCTTCCCCTTCTTCTTCTGCTTCTGTGAGCCGCCAGAGTCAGGCGCTGAGCCTGCCTGGGGCCCATAGAAAGAGCTGAGAAGGCCATTGACGGGAGTCAGGGGAGGTGGGGTTTGGTGCTGTTGAAGGAAAGGGAACATGAACTCACGCTTTGCGGTCTCTTGGCCCTGTACACTGCCGACATTCGTACCGCTTCGGCCACGTAGTAATTCACGCATCAATTCGGGAGTCGCATCCTGTTTGCCCATAGTAGAACCCAGTCCGACATTGTTGTTTGAAGTGAAGCCATGGCCCTGGGCGAACATTCCACCGCCGCTGATGGGAGGAGTTCCAGCAGTCTTCAAACCGGGAGGGGGACCCTGGGCACCACTTGCGTAGAAGCCACCGCCAAGACCATGCTGGGGGCTGGGAGCAGAGAGCGGATTCGGGGTACCAGACTGCATCTGGCTAAGCATACGGGCGTTGGTCATATTCTTAGAACCGACTTCGTTTGCGAAAGAGAACCGGGGACCCTGGCGGCTTTGGGCCTGGAGCGCATTGAATTGCGCCATTTGGCTTTGCAAAAGACCTTGACGCACCTGTGCGGCTTGGTCCAAAGCAGCTGAGCTTAATGGGTCCGACAATCCAGCTTGCTGGTTGCCAGCGGATTTGAGGAGCATCAATTGCTGCTGCTGAAGGGGGGTCAAGCTGCGGCCCGCTAAGTTCAGGCCTTGGAATTGGTGGCTAGTGGCGGAGACTGGAGAGCCAACGGTTGAGTTATCCGCCGTGTCTTGTTGAGAAGGGGGTTGAATGGCACCGTGTGATTCGCGGGTCGGACGGCCGCGAGGTTGGCTGCCTTCCTCTGGCTCTCCACCAAGTTGCAAGCTGCCAGCTTCCCTGCTTTCCTCTTCCATATTAGCGGACTGAAGAAGCTCCTGCTCACGCTTGAGCCGGTCCTGTTCTGCCTTCTCGCGCATCGCTCGGCGCTTGACGCCACCATATGGATCGATGAATGACGGATAATTCTGGATTGCTTTGAGGTCATCTGAGGGAAGCTCGGATGCTGAGAAAATAAATCGGAATTCGGGTGACATGAGCTCCTTGATAAGGTTGTCAAACGGAGAGGCCGGCTCGGGCTTGGGTTCGCGAGGTCTGATCTGGGTCAACGGAGATCTAGTATCGGATTGGGAAGATGTCCGCTGAGCTTCCTGGGCTATAGGTGACTGCTTTTCTGCGCGCCTAGACTCGTCGGCTCCAATTGCAACATTTACACTGGCGGGGCGAGGGCTCTGAGAGGCTTGACTTCCAGTCAAACTGGGTCGCCTAGCCTTAATGGAAGCATCCCTATTCGCCCAGCTTGCCGATGAGGGGAGCGCAGGCCCATCCGGAATAGATTGGCGTCCACTGATCGAGTCATCCTTAGACGGTTGGCGGCGCATTGGATGAGATATCGGCTGGACGGGTCGAGCTTGCGGGGGGATTTGAGGATTGTTTTGACGCTGGCTGGACAAGGTATTCATGGAAGAGAGATCCGAGCGGCTGTAACTCTCACTGTCCTCTCCGGTCTCGTGCAAGAACGTGCAGTTGCGGTTGTTACACTGCTCATTGCGAAGGAAAGACGAGCAATACTTGGTCGTTCCGTATTGGGCCCGCAGCACCCGGTCGCCATTCGCGGAGCCATCTACAGCATTAATGCACGTTGCAGCATCAGCCTTGCGGGAGAACGTGACATAAACACCAATGCCCTGGTGGGGATTGCCACCAGGCTTAGCCTTGCTGACCACGATCTTCTCGATATCGCCATATTGTCCGAAATACTCCTTCCCACGAAGAGTCAGGAGAAGTTGGTTCTCGTCGCGGATCGTCGGGTTAAGGCCGATAACATAGACCAGATTCTTCTGGACTACACGAACACCTGCCAAATTTTTGCGGCTGGAAGCTTCAATTTCGCGCTTTTCGGCTTCCTTCTTCTTAGCTGCCGCTGCCTTGCGGTGTTTCAGTGCCAAGTCTGCCTTGAATCTAGAACGCCAAGCTGAGTCAGTAACTCCGCGCAAAATGGGACACCAAGTATGGGGAAGCCATGACTCACTCCTCTGCATCGGGAATTTTGTATTGAATCGTGCTGTCGTCGTAGGGACGGCGACAGTTCGGGCATCGACCCTCTTCGCTGTGGGTTTTGATATTGTTGTAGCAGAATTGGCAAATCTAAAAACACTGTGTCAGTACCACTGCTACCGGCGTTTCATGGAGCCATGTAAGATCATACCTGATATCCACAGGGACAAGGTCTAAAGTTCTTGTCTGAAAGATCGAACTCTTCGATACAAAGGGGGCTTTGAGAGAGTCAGTAACCACGTCGCAAATCCATCTAGGAAATCATGACAAACCAGAACTCATCATCGTCGTCGATGACGGAATCGATCTGTTGGCGACTGGACATGTTCGCGCTGAAACTGGGGTAATGAGGAAAGGCGACAGGGAATCTTCAACGCCGGCACCCGTCGTGTCGAGTGCAAAATAGAAAGAGACGAAGACGCTACTCCGGAGCCAGCACAAAAGAGAAAGGAGAAATTAAAGAGGAGGAAAAGGAAGAGAGGGGGGCGAGATGATCGTGGGGAGATGAACGGCGAGGGAGAAGAAAGGAAGGAAATTGAAGCGCGGCTTCATTTTGCTGGCGTTACCCGATCGCGTTTAGCGCGCCGGTCAGATTATGTCAGCGACACGTGACCCGCAGGTTCAGCCAACCTCCGTCCTCACAATCCACCTTACGTGCCTTGCGTGTCCCTCCTCTTGCAAGCCATTGCTTCCCCTCCCACCATGGCATCCGCTCGCTCTCTGATGCGCTTGGGCTACGGACGCTCTGTGGCCCCGGCCGCGAAGTCCATGGCCCCTCGCGCCTTTTCCTCGTCTTCATTGCAGTACGCTGCGAAGGCCTCTACACAACCGGGCTCCCCGGAGCCTGAAAACATGCGCCAGGCGCAACGGCCCCGTACGTGAAACATCCCAATCAATTGAAACAACGGTATTTGAACTGACTCGGTTATCGATCTTCAGCTTCGGGACCCATTCGTGCCCCCATCATCAACCCGGCCGACAAGTACCAGAATATGGCCGACAGCCTGCACACCTACGGACAGTACATTATGTCCTGCCTGCCCAAATACGTCCAGCAGTTCACCGTGTGGAAGGATGAGCTTACTGTATACACTGCTCCTTCCGGTGTCATTCCCCTCATGAGCTTCCTGAAGTACCACACCGCGGCTGAGTTCACCCAGATCTCCGATATCACCGGTGTTGACTTCCCCACCCGTGACCAGCGTTTCGAGGTGGTGTACAACATGCTCAGTGTCCGCTATAACTCTCGTATTCGTGTCAAGACCTACGCCGATGAGGCCACTCCTGTTCCCAGTGTGACTGGCCTGTTCGAGGGCGCTCTGTGGTACGAGCGTGAGGTCTACGATATGTTCGGTGTTTTCTTCTCTGGTCACCCCGATCTGCGCCGTATCATGACCGACTACGGCTTTGACGGCCACCCGCTCCGCAAGGACTTCCCCTTGACCGGTTACACCGAGTTGCGCTACGACGAGGAGAAGAAGCGCATTGTTATTGAGCCCCTTGAGCTTACCCAAGCTTTCCGCAACTTCGAGAGCGGCTCCACGGCGTGGGAGCCTGTTGGTGCTGGCCAGGACCGTACACCCGACTCGGTAAGCTATACTATTTTACCAACTTTTAGGAACAAACGCTAATCCATTTGTCTACAGTTCAAGCTCCCTACTCCCAAGCCGGAGCCCAAGGAGGAGGAAAAGAAATAGAAAGAGTCTGTATGCGTAGTCCTTTTCTTTGCCATGTCTGTATGTACATATCGTTAATCGATGGTGTTCTTCGCCCTCCAATCATGATTATAGAGCGACGTAAATTTGGAAATATACCTGTATAGATCAAACGCATTTGAACTTTTCCCATTATAATCACCCCTCAACCCCTCACTTGTTCCAAGGTGGCTGGAAATCTTTGCGTAAAGCAGAGCCGTGCGTCTTGGAAATTACCGACCATTCTATTTTATTTTCGGGCTACATGAAAGCGACGACAATAAATAGACACGGTCAAAGATTTTGGTGGCATCGGAGCGCGAGGCGGAGAGCCTTGGCAATTGATCCGCGCAAGAAAAAAAAAAAAGGCTCCGCCTTACTAACGTGGAATGAACCTCCGACCTCCGAACTTTACTCGGCTTCCTCTCTCGCCTTGCAAGCTTGGACTGACATCGGTTTATTACCAAGTTGATTAAATCACACACTCAGCCACCAGAATGCCGAAGCGCAAGCTCTCTGAGCTCAACGGCTCCGACGATCGCAAACTGTCAATGAAGGCAGTGCGCCTCGGGGTTAAATTCGATCACGGCGTACAAATCATATCCAAGGGCCTGAAGACAGCACGAGGGTTCGAGAGACAAAAGCTCAGCCGACGAGAGAAGACTGTCAAGTCGCAGGACAACCCGACGGCATTGTCGAAGCTGGCTGAGGAAGTGAATGCTTTGAAGGTATGCGCTGAAGAGCACCATTCGGGTTCTAGAACTTTTCGGTACTTACTAACATTCCGTTTCATCCAGGCCCTGGACTACAACGTTACCGCCGCAAAATACCTTTTCAAGCAACTGTCCAAGACGAAGCGCATCGCAGAGTCCCCGGCGTTCAAGGAATTTAAAGAATCTAGGAATGTCCCTACGGAGGGGCCCAAGAGCACCGCCGAGGCCAATATCCTGGCGCGATTGTTCAAATCTACCCCAGTGAAGAATGTGGTGCCTAATATTCTGGTTGAAATTCGGAAATTGTTGGGAGTAGACGAGACACCGACTGGAAAGCAGGGCAAGGCCGAGGCCAAGAAGGGTGCGGGGTCGGAGGAGAAACCAACACGGCGAAAGGCTGAGGAATCAGAGTCTGTATCTGGATCCGAGGATGAGCAACCCAAACGACCTTCAACTACTCGGGATAGCGAGCGGGACTCGCGCCCGGAGGATGATATGGACGTTTCTGGGGACGAAGGATCAGGAAGCGACGACTTCGCAGAGTTTGACGCGCGGCTAGCACCAGGCTCCGACTCGGAAGGTGAAGAAGATTCCGACGCGGACGTACCCGCGAGGAGCAGAGCTCTTGCAGATGACATCTCCGACTCGGTCTCCCGCTCGCCATCTCCCGTCTATTCAGCCGCGGACTCCCCGCCTCCTAAGAAGACCAAAGCAAGCAAGGGCTCCGATGCCCCGGCACAGAGCACGACTTTCCTTCCATCTCTAATGATGGGCGGCTACTGGTCCGGCTCTGAGGAGGCCAGTGAAGGGGAGGAGGCTGCTGCGCCGAAACGCAAGAACCGCATGGGTCAGCAAGCCCGCCGCGCACTCTGGGAGAAGAAGTATGGAGCAGGCGCAAACCATGTACAGAAGGAGATGAAGCAACAAAAGCGGAGCAGAGACAGCGGGTGGGATACTCGGAAGGGAGCGACAGATGGTGGTAGAGGAGGTAGACACGGCGAACGAGGAGGCTTTGGAGATCGAGGCCTTCAAGATCGACCTCATAACATCCACAATAACCATGGAGGCCATCAATCAGGCTCGGGACCCGGCCAGGGAGGCAGGCCCAAGGGCCCCCCGAAGGACGAGGGTCCATTGCATCCGTCGTGGGAGGCGAAGCGGAAGCTCAAGGAGCAAGCTGCTACGGCGACCTTCCAGGGAAAGAAGGTTACTTTCGATTAGCGATATTCTTAGCATATACCTTAGCTGTTGATTGCTTTGAGGCACTTCATCAGTTAAAAAGAATTTCATTACGAAGATATGTCATTGCCATTGCCAATCTCGCACCAAATATAAGTCACCGAGACCACCTGCCAACGCAACCAATATAGACAAAAACGATCTCGCGGAATATGGTATATCAAGAATAGACAAAGGTAGAAACAGAACAAACCGGCTAAAACAGCATTTGTCACAAGGACCACATACTCACTCATTCATAAACTGCAACCAATGCGAATCTGCGCTTCCAGGCGGCTTAAGGTCAGTGCCGACCATGGCAGGATTGCCTTGAGCATCAGGCTCAAAGCACGGAATGGCAGTAAACTCGCCGAGCTCCTGCGGGAAGTTCGAGACGAAGTGATCAAACCCGAAAGGCGGCATTTGCGGAAGAGACTGGTGCGAGATGGGGAAATTGTCCGAAACAGAAAGACCGCTACTCGGGACGTCACCGTCCAGAATCTCTCCTGGGTGACCAAGTGCAGGTTCAGGGCCATTGGCGTTGGGCAGCGGAAGAGTCGGAGGTGTGACCGACAAACCCGGAATAACGTCCTCGGCCGCCGGCGGACCACCAGGGCCTTGGGATCCCACACTTTGCTGGATAACAGAGTCATTTTCAAAGGCTTCTTGCTGCTTCCAGGCCATTGCAGTGGGCGACACGGGCCCGGTCTTCCAAAGCATCTCCCAGTTCTTGAAACGGTCATATGCAGACTCCATGCTGCCTCCGTTGCTTTGAGCTTGTTGGCTCTCACTCCACAGCTCTAGCCGGCGGATTGCTCGCTCGAGTGCTTCGATCACGCTGACGGCGGAACGTGCTGAGCCGACGCCCATGGACATGATCTTGATTAATGAAATGCCTTGTTCGAGAGCTGCGCCGAGTCGCTCAGTGCGCTTCGTCAATCCCTGGGCTAGGATGACCAGAAGCGCTGCACGACATGAGCTGAATTCGGTGAATGAGGCACGGGCAAGACCGGCCTCGTCTCGGAGAAGACGACAGAGATCGATAATCTCTAGGGCTGCTTCAACACAGTCCGTAACAAGAGTCGCGCGGTTCTTGGACACCCCAGATGGGCCTTTGTAAGGCGTGACTGGTGTCTGGTAAAGGCCCCTCAGACTGCTGAACAAGAATGGACGGCCGATGAAGATTCGGGTTAGGCAATAGTCAAGTTTCAAGTGCACGTTGGATCGGAACAATGGTCCACCGGGGTTAAGATCTCGACAGTTTGTTTCTTCGGGTAAGGTAGACCACCAGTCAATCAGATGTTTTCGGATGTTGAGTAATCGCTCGAGGCAGTCCTGTTGTTGACCCTTTCGGGCAGTTCGGAGCAAAGAGATCTCATTGGAAACTTCCCCGAGCTTCAGTGTCAAAGTAATCAACGCGACCATGTTTGTGTGATTCGATTGCTGTGAAGCGGGCATTATTCCGGGGAAGTCAACAGGGAGGGGAGCGTCAACATCAGCATCTGATAAGGATGAGGGTCTGCCGTGAAGAATACTAATGCGCTTTTCAATGGTATAAGCTGTCCAAAAGACGCGATTCCTTGTCTCTACCATTCGAGGTGAGAGACCTTCGCCGTGATATCGTCGATGCATGCCATTCTGGATAGCGAGCTTGAGTGCCAAGCCGAAGTACGTGTAGCACAGCCCAGATGTATCCAGAGGAAGTAGGTAAGTGCCGATCAATAAGCAAGCCTGCACACTTCGTATGGAAGCCGTAGCAATGATGTCCGGTAATAGCTTGGATGCAAACTGATAGAATGTTAAACCGACCTCATCCTCGGAGAAATGATGGTCTTGATTGGCATCAGATGGTAAACAATTGACCGGTGTCGACGACTCCATATGAGCGAATTGCGTGCCAACAGCCAGAACCATCAAAATCGAACAAACGGCACCTGCATCATCCGTAGACAGACAGGAGGGGTTGGTATAGCAGATATTCAATTTGTCGCGGAGCCAGTCTTCTTCCACATAGAAGTTATTGGTCTGCGCATACTTGAAGAAGATCTGGACGAGGAAGTCGGCCACATAGCGTGGTGGAAGACAGGTGATTGATGCTGAAACAAGAGATGACCCTGACTGGAGTTGTGTGGATCGCCATCGTTCCTCGAATGGCTCAACTTCGGTAGAGGCCTGCATCGATCTGGTCAACAGATGACTCCTTTGATATGTGATAATACGACTTTACTCACGTCTGGAGCCGCAGTTTTCATCCATTCGTCAATTTTCTTCCGAATCTTCATGGAGAAGTTCAGATATGAGAACTCTCCGGAATATTCTGGGACCAATGGTTAGTAAGTTGCGACGACACTTGTGCTCTTTCGATATGCGCTCTTACGGGTCGTATTATTTGGAAGAGCTTTGATCATGAAATCCTCATCATCGATGGCCAGGTCTTCAATCTCGTTGGGGTCCGCTCTGGTTGAAATGGCATCTGACTCAGAATCACGATGTTTGCTCTTCAGATCCTCCACGGCCTGGCGAAGTGACTGGATATCGAAAGTGATACCGGGAACATAGTATGACAAGAGGCGCTCCATGCAGTGTACGCGCTCTGCTTCCGCAATTTCATGACGATTGAGCGAGGCCGCCCGGTCCAACAACCTAGCATTGATTCGTCAGCCCGGTCAACTTGGCGCACTGAGACCGCGTCCACTTACGAGATCGACGTCGACCGATTCTTCTCGCTGGGATCGACATGAGTGAAATTACACTGTCGGCGATAGCGAAGACATCTGCGACACGGTACACCGCCCTCGCATTTCTCTTTCACTCTGCGACAGCCGTCGCATCTGCACAAGACCCATGACGTTAGTGAGCTATTCGCCGATTTTCGAGGCGAGATACACAGAGGACATACGCTCGAACAGCTCGCTTGCGATTCTCTTCCGCCACGCGTGGGCGCTTTTGCTGTGTGGGGGTCGAGGTCGGGTCGTCCATTGCCGGTGTCAACGAGGGCGTCGGGGGAGCATCGTCTGCGGAGAAATGCCGGAGAAGGCGGAGGCGGACGGGGCCCGAGGTGTAGGCGCACACTGGAATACGGGGTTGGGCGACCGAGGTAGAAGGGCTCGCGCGAGACGGTCGAGAAAAGAAAGTCGGGAGATGAGTTGCCGTGCACTCACCTATCGGGTTGATAAAGCGAGAGAACCGACGGATCGCAGCCCCGCATCCAGGCAGACTTTGCCCCCAAAACGCCCTTCTCCGCCATTCCGCCTCCGTTTGGGTCATCTCACGAGACCTTTCTCGGCTTACCTTTCGATTACCTATTAATGAAAGAGAATTGCCTAATCAAACACGGCTATTTCTACTGATTAAATTCACTATTAAAAACAAAACGAGAGTATAATCGAGTCCTGAATTGGCTACGAACCCGTCTACGACCCGTAGGTACAGGAGAACGAGATAAGCAAACGGCGGTTGAGGAACGCTTTTTTAGCGACATTTGATCGAGATGATTTCATAGCAGACGTCCACGGCTCCATTACCAGGAAGTGAATGTGCAGCATCATCGGTCTAGATGATCGTATTGAAATCCTACGACTATGTTGCCGTTCCCCAACGGTGTAACGCGAACAGGGATCGCCTTAGCGTCGCGTTCCATGCGTAGAAATCTAACTAGCGTGTATCTTGCATATCCTGAACCGCTGGGTCAACTGGGCTAGTAACTTTGACCCATGTGTCTTTTTGAATCTTAGAATCCATCCACATGAGTACCGAGACCCTGTTCACTCCCAACGTCCAGCACCTTCCTCCCAACAACAAGATCCATCAGACCCATTCCAACACACTTGTAGATAACATTGCATCCTTTCGGAATGTCAATTGCCTGGGATGGGCTAAAGTCTCCCAAAATATCACCCATCTCAATTAACTGGTTCTCAGTAACCTTGGCCGTATTCAATTCACCCGACTCTTCCATGCACGCCGTCTTGGAATCCACATAGATTTTGCCACCACCAGAGAGCAGAGTTTCCGTGTCAATCTCATGCATATGCGGCTTATATGAGCCAATAAGGGAGATGAAGCGCTGTTTGGGCGCAGACTGGAGCGCCGAGAATGAGAAGTTTGGTTCAATGGACGGAGTGCAGCTGAAAATCACATCGCAAGCCTGTAGTTCTCTGAGCAGTTTTGCTTCATAATCCGCCGTGCCTTCCTTTGCAAATGTTGCAAAGTTGATATTTGGATACCGTTGTCGCAAACCACGGAGCACGTCCCGTTCCAGCTCGTCAAGCCTTTGACGGCCACGGTTCACAAATGTAACTCGGCGGATTTGATCCGGGTACAGAATCAAAGCAAGTCGGGCGTGCCATTCTGCCTGACGGCCGGATCCAAGCACAAGGATATTCTCCTTGCGGAGAGTGGTGCAGCGGACAAATAGTGTCATAGAGGCGAGTGCTGTTCGGAACGCCGTCACTTCTGCGGCTGCGAGAAGACCTTGTAAACGGCCATCAGGTGAGAAGACGTTGATAACACCCTGGATACCGCCGCTGGCGACGGTGACAACCTTGACAGCGGTGCTGACCGTGTCAGACACGGGCATGAAGATGCACGAGTTGTTGGCCTTGGTAGCAAACACGGTGCGTAGGGGCTGATGAATCAACTTTTCAGACTCCGAGACATTGGGCTTCGATTCGGCGGACATAGCCACCAGTGCCTTTCCCAGGACATCGATGAACTCGTGGCATTTCTCTCGGGTCAAGCTCCGGAAGATCTGAGCGACGTCGGGCTCGGAGAGGATATGCATATTGGGGTTGGTATAATAGTAGCAGCGATGGATTGACCAGGGTAGATCTTTTTGATTATTTGAATGACCACAAACAGAAAGTAACTGGCAGAAGACAGTGAGTGTATTGATCAGAACCCTGAAAGCTGGGGCCGGCAGCGCCAACCGACACCCGCGATTTGGCGAGGGGCAGCCCCGATGGTCGGCGGATCCCCGGACGCCTGCACCAGCGAGCCATCACTTGCCGAATACCAACGGATCCGTAGATAACCCCGCAAAGGGCATGTCGTTCCGGTATGTACTTTATTTCTACAGGTTACAGTCAGGAAATAATTCATCTTGAATTGTATCATTATTTGCAGCTACCGTAACTCATAATATGTTAAAACGCCCTCTATGGATGCACCCAAAGTTTGCGCGAATGCAAGCAAGAACCCCCAAGCGAACCGACTGGGCTCCCGCATAAAAAACAGAATGTGGTATCACTTTAGCCTTCCAAAAGGCTATCTAGTTGCGGCCAAAGACCGCAAGGCAACGACGCTTCAACTCGCCCATCATGGCAATCTGAGAGTCCTTAGTCCGTCCAACAGCCTCGGTGTTCTCGACGGCACGGCGAAGCAGGAAGCCCATGCACTCCTGGACAGAACCCCAAGTCAAAAGCTTGAAGACGTTGGGGGCAGTAATGGGTGTAGCGCCAACGCTAGACTCGGCGCTCTCGAATCCTTGAAGCAATTCAAGGCTAACCTCATCAGCCATACCCTGGAGTTGGGCATAGCTGAGGTCCACGCCATAGTCTTCACCCTTGAGGAACTGCTGCACGCGAATGGCGTGGGCCTTGCGCACCGACTCGCGGTTGTGGGTAGCGATGATCACATTGACGGGAGGCAGCTTGGTGGTGTCCTTGCTAGGAGGCTGCAGCATGGAGTTGTACTTGCGCGTTAGAAGGGCCTCAACGACCTCATCGTAGCACTTGTCAGTGTCCTCCTTCTCCGCCCAGATCAAGTGGCGGGGCTCAGTCTTCATGTATGCGCCACGGACGAGCTTCACGCCAAGAGTGTATCCGTCGCGGCGTGCCATCTCGAGATGACGGTTCAGCGTGACGGGAGTGGACCGGAGGTAGGCTTGGTATGTGCCGTAGAAGATGGCGCGGCCGGGAGTCTGGGAATTGCAGTATTTCTGGTACTTCATAATCCAAGCCTCGATACCGGGCTGCACAGCCTGCTCCTCGGCATCGACCAGCAGACGAACGCCACGGGAGATGGCCAAGTCGCACACTTTCCGGATTGAGGAATCCATAAATTCGGAGGGCATGGCTTCCTTCTGGAGGTGGCGAAGAGCATCGGTTCCCATACCAGTGAATCTAGAAAACCCGTTAGGACCCCATCGTAGACGAAAGGCCAACGGTGAACTTACTTGAGAGCAACAAAGTCTCCCTCCTGCGCCATATCAACGGTCTTCATGGTACCATCAAACCACATCTGGACCTCAGCCTGAGCTGCCTTGGCATCGAGCTTGGCCTCCTGGTTCTCTCCAACCAGGACCTCCCGGGCATATCCCAAGAGAACACCGCGGCATCCCAGACCCTTAATGTTCTGGATAGATTGCTGGACTTCAGCCTTGTTCTCGCCCGCATTGAACTGCTTGTAAATGGTGTGCTTCACAAGGAGGTTTAGCAGCGGGTTCTTGGAGACATCCATCAAAGCCGAGCGAGGGTGAGCCAAGAGAGAAAGAGTATAAATGCAAGGCTTAAGAAGAAGGGAAGAGGAAGAGACAGAAAGAATCATCAAAGAGCGCAAGACGGTTGAAAGCGGCAACTTCGAGAGAGGCGCTGTCAGCGCCTTCCGTGGCATGGGCGGGGTGTGAGCTGGCGACAGCGGCTGGAAGACGTTGCTGGCAGCAAGAGACGAGTTGGAGGTTCCAGTACGGCTCACGAGTCGCCTGCCAGCATGGTTGATGCTCTGGACGCGGGGCACCCGCACTGAGCGTGCAGCCTTCATTGACGTGAGTGTCTGTGGTGCTTATCGAGAATATCAATGAGGTGTGGATAAGAGAGCAAGAGAGAGAGAATAGTAATAAAGGCAGATGCCGTTTGGAAGGGATAGAGAAACTTCTGGTTGGTAGAAAGATTCAAAGACCTGAGGTTGAGGCAAGGCAGCTTTTAGACTACGAGAGGGCGTTATGTACGGTCGTAAAGAGACAAGAGCCGGTGGCAAGCGCGTGACACACCGGTACGGTGAAGGCGACTCCAAAACACGGCCAACCGGCAAAAGCACACATAATTTTGGGCGCGAATGGAGTCCTACGGAACCGGTCACCGTTTCGAAAGCCGGTATTATTCATAGATTGAATCTGAGTGCAGGCTATCCGAAACAAGGGACTATATACCCCACAACCCCACCACCCGGGACTCGCCAGTGATCAGAGCCGGGATTTTATTTGCGATGTAGAAACATGCATTGCCTAGCTGCCCAACTGAATAGTGCATCAGCAGACCTGCACACCTCAGCTTTATTGAACGAATCCTACAGTCGAGCAGCAAAAAAAAGTACGATGGCGAACCGATAATCACGGCCCGGTTTGATAGCGGACTGGGGCTGCACGGGCCGCCGATAAGCCATTGACCGGGCCGGTGCTTTTCTGCTAAGGGCTGCGGTCACGTGGTCACGTGGCCACGCGTTCGGCCGACCGGTGCTGGGTTCCAGGTGCGAGTTTCCGTTACTCAATGATAATTGCAATTTGACTAACATGTTATGGGGCCCCGATTCCCCAGATTCACGCGAATCCCCACGAGATGCTGTACATTTGCGGGTTTAACAGGTCGCAATAGCCTGTCCAATCAGAACTCGATTTCAGAATTAAGCATCGGTCGATCGCGGCTAGAAAGAGGCTCAAGAGCCCAAGCGGCGTATAGCTAAGGCGGTTACCGCAGGAATAATTCCATTTGACATCGGCATCACTCAAAAAAAAAACTCTATCAACCGCCGACAGTATTTTCTCCCAATCCGAGATACTGCGTCAGACAGCGGCCGATAAGAGCCGCCCAAACCCAAAATGCCCACCGGTGTCTCCACAATGGACGCTCTTCTAGATCCCTAAGATGCTTTTGAACAAAAGCGAAAAGCGTCCGATAATGGTGACCGACCAATGGAATCGAGCTTTGAGTAGAAATTGACTCTGCGATGCGCGGGTTTTTTGACTTCCCTGCAAGTGGACCAGGAACTCGAGTCTTTTCTCCTGGGACGGGGCCAAGTCGGTTGCTTTATCTATTCCCCGTGTGCACATTCGTAGGGGTGTCAAAAACCCTGCTCCCCTCCATCTGGACATTGGGCCTCTTTTCTGATCCAGCTAGTATCTCCGCTCTTGATCCCTATTATATTCTTTTCCTCTGGTGTCCGGTGGTGCCTCCACTTGACAGCCTCTCTGGATTTTTTTGAACCATTTTTATCATGGAAAACCCCCAAAAGAGCCTCGAGGCCGGCGTGGCCGAGCCATGCTATGACGACAGCAAAGCGACTCCGGGTGAAGTGGACGTACCGGGCTCAGAGACACACCGTGGGTTGAGCTCACGGCATATTCAATTCTTGGCACTCGGTGGTTGTATTGGCACTGGTCTATTTGTTGGAAGTGGACAGGCATTGTCCATGGTCGGTCCAGGTAATCACTTTGTGTACATGAGGGTAATATATGGAAGCTGACTTGCTGAGAAAGCTCCCCTGCTCATGGCATACATCGTCATGTCGACTGTGGTTTACTTCGTCATGAATATGCTGGGCGAAATGACCACTTACCTTCCGGTGCGTGGCGTGTCGGTGCCATATCTTATTAGTAGATTCACCGAGCCAAGTTTGGGATTCGCCGTTGGTACGTTTGACACCTGTGGATGCCCGAATCAAGGTGTTTGGTGCTAACAAAACCCAGGATATAACTACTGGTATTCATTCTCGATGTTAACGGCGTCTGAAGTCACGGCAGCTGGACTTGTCGTTCAATATTGGCTAACTTCAGTTAGTGTCGGCGTATGGATTGCGATTATCCTTCTCGGTGAGACAGACTCCACGTCGGCATTTGGCAGAGAATTCATGAGCTAAAACCGGCCTCTCATACAGTCGTCCTCTTTCTGAATATCGTCGCTGTATCCTGGTACGGTGAAGCCGAATTTTGGTTTGCATCATTGAAAATCATCGCCATCATCGGCCTCATTATCCTCGGCGTGGTACTCTTCTTTGGCGGAGGCCCGAACCACGATCGACTCGGATTCCGCTACTGGCAAACTCCCGGCGCCTTCGTCGAACCGTATCTGGTGTCAAATGTCAACACCGGTCGTTTCCTTGCGTTCTGGACTGCTTTGATCAAATCTGGATTCTCCTTCATTTTCTCTCCTGAGCTGATCACCACCGCTGCCGGAGAAGCTGTTTCCCCTCGTCGGAACATTCCCAAGGCCACCAACCGATTCATCTACCGTCTCTTTGCATTCTATGTCCTTGGAAGCTTGGTCATTGGTGTCACTGTCGCCTACAATGACAAGAACCTTCTGTCGGGTGTTGCCAGTGGAGCGTCCGGCGCTGGCGCCAGTCCATTTGTCATTGGCATCCAAAACGCCGGCATCAAGGGGCTGAACCACGTCATCAACGCTGCCATTCTCCTTTCCGCCTGGTCTTCTGGCAACTCCTGGGTTTACGCTGGATCGCGAACCCTGTATTCTCTTGCCTGTGCAGGCAACGCTCCCAAGGTCTTCACTCGTTGCACCAAGAACGGTGTACCCTATCCCGCGGTGCTGGTCACCTGGTCGATTGGTCTGTTGGCATTCTTGAACCTGTCGAGCTCGGGAGCCAACGTCTTCTACTGGTTCACCAACATCACGACCGTCGGTGGTTTTCTCTCGTGGGTTCTCGTGGGTTTTGCATATTTGCGTTTCCGCAAGGCTCTGGCTTTCAACGGTCTCCTCGAATCACGACCTTTCAAGACTCCTTTCCAGCCGTGGGGTACCTACTATGCCATGGTGGTTATTGCCCTGCTAGCTATTACCAACGGCTACGCTGTCTTCTTCCCGGGGTCCTTCACTGCCTCGGGCTTCCTAGTGTCCTACATTGTGTTTGCCATTTTCTTTGCGCTTTACTTCGGTCACAAGATCTGGTACCGGACCCCTTGGATGGTTCCCGTGGCAGACGTCGATGTCATCTCTGGTAAAGAGGAGATTGACCGAATGAGTGAAAATGAGGTGGAGCGACTCCCTCGCAACTGGCTGGAGCGCGTCTGGTGGTGGATTGCATAGACTGTCTTAATCGAGATAGATTGGATTTTTTTTATATTTCTGCTGGAATTTGCTACTTCCATTCAGGGTATAGTATGCAACAGGGGGATAAAAGACTTCACGAGCTGCCATGTGTTATCATGGCTAGAAACTAGATCTGAAAATATTATGGTCCCACACGTACCCCTCGTGATCTTTGCTCTTCGTATCTCTGGCACCTCGACTATCTTTGATGATTGCGGGGGATATTTCATCCCGGATACCCCTGCTTTTGATTAGCCATTACCCGAAGCTAGAGTAGATAGAGTACAGGGTACAAGCAGCGATCCACCGGTTCACGGTGGATCTTCCAACCAGCGCACCGACAGGTGAAGAGTCCGGCCCGGTTGACCCACCCGGGACTCTTGCCGGCCGTTTTTCATTCGTTACCGGCGCGTGCATCTTGTACAGTGTACCTCATCCAGCTTTGTACGATGAGCTTCGGGTCACTGCCGGGGGTAGCCGGTCATTTCATCATATCCAGGTACCCCGCGTCGACTTTAAAATTTGTTTTCTTCTGCAACTCACTTCGGCCTCTGGAAAGCGATCAGGAGCCCATTGATACCCTTTTCGTTCCACAATCTCCAGAATGCAGTCGTCCTTCCTCCGCGCTAGAGCGCAGCCGCTGTCGCGGCTCGCATGCCGCATTCCGAGCTCGACCTCGCGTGCCATGAGCACCTACGCCAACTTCAAAGTGCCTCAGATCAACAATGAGCCGAACCAGCACTATGCGCCCGGTACCGCGGGCCGCAAGGGTCTGGAGGAGGCTTTGGCCAAGTACAAGCAGCAGGCTCCGTTGAACGTGCCTTTGGTCGTGGCTGGCAAGGAGATCAAGAGCTCCCAAACCTTCACCCAGAGCAACCCGGCCTCTCACGCCGCCGTTGCTACCTACTCCAACGCGTCCAAGGCTGATGTCGAATCCGCCATTGCCTCTGCTCTGGCCGCGCGCAAGTCCTGGGCCGCTACTCCCTTCGCCGAGCGTGCCAGCATTTTCCTCAAGGCCGCGGACCTGATCGCGACCAAGTACCGTTATGATATTATGGCTTTGACCATGCACGGTCAGGGCAAGAACGCCTGGCAGGCGGAGATTGACTCTGCCGCCGAGCTGTGTGACTTCTTCCGCTTTGGTGTCAAGTACGCCGAGGAGCTGTACTCTCAGCAGCCTGCTCACCACGCTCCCGGTGTCTGGAAGTAAGTGCAGTCGCAAAATTGTTATAAGAGAGATTGGATTGTTAACATTGTATTAGCCGCCTCGAGTACCGCCCTCTTGAGGGTTTCGTCTATGCCATCAGCCCCTTCAACTTCACCGCGATCGGTGGTAATCTGGCTGGCGCGCCCGCTCTGATGGGTAACGTTGTCGTGTGGAAGCCTTCGCCCTCTGCCATTGCTTCCAACTGGCTTGTGCACCAGATCCTCCTCGAGGCTGGCCTGCCTAAGGATGTCATCCAGTTTGTGCCCGGTGACGCCGAGGAGGTTACTAGCACAATCCTCGCTCACAAGGAGTTCGCTGCTCTGCACTTCACTGGTAGCACCGACGTCTTCCGTAGCCTTTACGGCAAGATTTCTCAGGGTGTCGCGGATGGCAAGTACCGCAGCTATCCTCGCATCGTGGGTGAGACTGGTGGCAAGAACTTCCACCTGGTTCACAAGTCGGCTGATGTCCGCAACGCCGTGGTTCAGACCGTCCGTGGTGCTTTCGAGTTCCAGGGCCAGAAGTGCAGTGCTACCTCTCGCGCATACGTTGCCTCTTCCATTGCCGATGAATTTGTCCAGGGAGTTGCCGCCGAGGTTGAGAAGCTCAAGGTTGGGGAGCCCTCTGAGTTCTCCAACTTCTGCGGCCCCGTCATCCACGAGGGCTCTTTCAACAAGCTGGCTGGTGTTATCGACGAGGCCAAGAATGACCCTGAGCTTGAGCTGCTTGCCGGTGGCTCTTACGACTCTTCCAAGGGATGGTACATCCAGCCCACCGTCTACCGCACCTCGAACCCCGACCACCCTCTTCTGTCCCGTGAGCTCTTCGGCCCCATCATCGTGATCCACTCGTACAACGACGCGACCGAGGCCGACTTTGTCAAAATCTGCGAGAAGATCGACAGCACCAGCACCTACGGCCTGACCGGATCCGTGTTCGCTCAGGACCGCGAAGCCGTCCAGGTGGCCGACGAGGCTCTCCGCAACGCCGCTGGTAACTTCTATATCAACTGCAAGAGCACTGGTGCCGTTGTCGGCCAGCAGCCCTTCGGTGGTGCCCGCGCCAGTGGTACCAACGACAAGGCCGGCAGCGCCAACCTTCTGTCGCGCTTCGTCAGCTTGCGCTCGATCAAGGAGGAGTTCGTCCCTACCTACACCGTTGCCTACCCCAGCAACGCGAACTAGGGAACGAGAGAGTTATAAACTCGATTCGTTCACCTCGTTAATACTGCATGCCTTATGAAATCATGGCGTCTATTGCATTTCATCCTCGGCGTTTTCCCTCGCGAGGCACAAATTGCCTCATTTTATTTGTTGGGTAAAGGATAAAAAGTCCATGTATATCTATTTGTCTCAGGAATTGAAATATTAAAACATAACCCATTACCATCACTCATCTGTACAATTTTCCAACAGCTTCTGCATACTGTCCATCGCCTTCTTTGCAAAAGCATCCATCTCATACTTCTTCCCCTTCCCCTCCGGCCCGGCATCGAAAATCTCCATAGAGAACCACCCTCGAAACCCAGTCTTCAGCACCGCCTTGGCCACATTCTCGATCGGCAAATAACCCCCATCATACGGCATGGGCCTATAATCGTGACTCCAGCGCCCGCGGGGTCTCAGTCCTGCAATAGTTTCCTTCTGCAACGGGGACACCTTGTACGCATCCGAGATCTGCAGCAGATAGATCTTGTCGGGCGGAATAGCGCGAGCGAGCTCGTCCATGCTAGCGGCGAAGTTCTTTTGGAGGACATCACTCGGGACTGTCTCTATTATACCAGATTCAGTCGTTGGATCTGCCCATTCACTACCGGCTGTCTGGAATGTGTCTAGGCATAGCCCGACGTTTGGGCGGTCGATAGCCGAGACGATTTCCCATACATCTTTCCAGCCTGGTGCGTGGGTTGACCAGCACCAGTTCTCGTATGCCATTCGGAAGTTATGCTTTGCTAGCATATCCGCTAGTTCGCGGAGATCAGTGACGACGGCCTCGCGGGAGATGGAGATCTTGTCCGCTGGTGTATCCGTAGCTCCGACCTGAAAATCCATTAGCTTGACAATCCACACCGTAACCCAAACAGATACATACCTGCAACAAATCCGTCCCAACAACCTTCATAATTTCAATCCACCCCCTCGCTCTCGCAAACGCGTCCTCTCGTTCCGACGACCCCCTCGGCCAACCCTCGAAGTTCGCGAATGGCTGCAACATCATGATAGTCAAAGAATTAGCATCGCAAAGCTTTCGGATCTCGGCAGCGATTACGACGAGTTTGGAAAAGTTATTCGGTGAGAATGGTTCTCCTTGTAGGTGGGCTCCATATTCGAGAATATCGGGGAATGAAAGCTCGATTGAGATGAAGCCGGCTTTGCTGATCGCTTCGAGTTTGCGGGGGAGTGTGTCGCTGGGCTTGCAGCCGATTGAGCACGATGCGTAGGATAGGGGGATTGCTTGGACCGAGGCGCGTGTTATTGGTATCATTTTGAATGTTTCAACGGCAATCAAATTCGGTCTGATGTTAGTCGTGTACCTAAGATAGACCCCTCGATAAGCCGAAGCGTTGGAAGGAAGCTGCATGAGCAAGGTGTAAGTGCTGATCGGTTAAGATTATTTAGTTCATTGTGACGCAATGTTGACTTCCCGCTGTTCAAGGATTCTTCCGTCAACCCTATATCATATTTACACTTTTAAAAAATTCAGGATTTCACAGGCAATTGCCATTTTAGTGTCCATAAGTCCGGGCTAAATCCCAATTGAGGGTTATCTCTACCTGGAGGTGGCGTGGCTGCCGCTGACTGAATGTTGACATGTTCGCAAAATCCCGGGCTAATAATCCGGTTGCCACTCGCCCATTGAAGAACGCCCATGGTCCCATTTTTATTTCTGCCTTTTATTATTTTACAGCACTAGACCATCCATTCTTTCATGGGCCTGGGGCAGTCGAAGTTCAGCAAACAAGACACCATCATGTCGTCCGCAAAAGCATCTCAACCGTTTAAGCACATCGGTGTCGTCGGAGCCGGAAGCATGGGCTCGATGATGGTCTTTGCATTTGCCGAAATTGGCCTCGATGTGTCAGTTTGGGACGTGGAAAAGGCAAATGTCGAAAAAGTGATGAATATGGAGAAAAAGGCCACAACGTCCAAGGGCAAAGTGGAGGGGTTCACCGATCTGAAGAAATTCACCAAAAGTCTCGAGGGCAAAAACGACAATAACCGGAAACTGTTCATGTTCTCCGTTACACACGGTCCTCCTGCAGACTCAGTTCTGGGAATGTTGAAGGGTGATTTGGAGAGAGGGGATATCATTCTGGACGGCGGAAATGAGTACTACCGCAGAACCGAGCGACGCCAGAAAGAATGCAAGGCCATGGGGGTCGATTGGATCGGCATGGGCGTTTCTGGTGGCTATCAGTCGGCACGCCACGGACCTAGTCTGTCGCCCGGTGGAGATGCCAAAGCTATCGCTCTCGTCATGCCTTTCCTCGAGCAGTACGCGGCCAAAGTCCCCAGGGACGGCACACCATGCGTGACCCGAATCGGCCCAGGCGGCGCGGGACATTTCGTCAAGATGGTCCACAACGGCATCGAGGGCGGCATGCTCTCTTCTCTTGCTGAAGCGTGGTCTTATATGCACTATGGCATGGGCATGGACTATAGCCAAATCGGAGACGTCTTCGCGCAATGGAACGAGTCAGGCGAGCTGCGCAAGAACTTTCTCATCTCGATCGGAGCAGATATCCTGAAGAAGAAGAAGACGCCGGAGGGTGACGAAAAGGGTGAAGGCGCTAGCAAGAACGACGGTTATGTGCTCGACGACGTTCTCGACAAAGTTGTTCAAGATGATGATAATACCGAAGGCACACCCTTGTGGTCATTGATGGAGGCAGCTGAGCGACACATTTCGTGCCCGACATTGGCAACTGCTCACTTTATGCGCGTGGCAAGCGGCAACCGTGCCGAGCGTCTAGAGGTCGCGAAGAAACTGAAAATGCCTACGCCGAAGCGCATCGAAACATCATCTATGGATCAAAAGGCGCTCATTGAAAAACTTCGACGGGCCGTCTTCGCCACGTTCCTCTCGTCGTTTTGCCAGGGCCTGGAGCTGATTGCCCGCGCTTCTGAAGATGAAGGCTGGGAGATCAACTTGGCCGATTGCCTCCAGATTTGGCGTGCAGGCTGTATCATCGAGTCCGAGCATATTGCGGATCTGTTGCAGCCGGCCTTGGCACAGAAGCCGGTAATGAACATGAAATTTGTGGACGCCGTGTCCAGAGAGCTGCACGACAACTACGAGCCCCTGAAGGAAATTGTCATTCAGGGCACCAAGTCTGATCAGTACATGACATCCATCGCAGCAACGCTCGAGTATCTCAAGTATGAGAGTGGCACGGTTCTACCGACCAAGTTTATGGAGGCTCAGATGGACTACTTCGGTTCGCATTCTTACAATAAGCCCGGTGTTCCGGGTGAAGATCCCGGACCGGTCAAGAAGGGACCTCATCACTATGAATGGAAGCCGGCGTAGATAGAAGGGTGTTTTTGGATGTATCTGTTACCATGAAATTACTTATATGATTTGGAAAACGATTGAACGCCTACTCCAATCACCTAGTGTACATTTACAACGCCACTTCTCCATATTCCATCTCCTCAACCCAGCCTCTAACATTGTCACACGCCTCCTCCGGCTGCCGTTTATACCGCAGAAGAAAACCTTGTACTTCCGCAAGACTAAATCGCTTCTCCGGCAGGCACCCTGCAAAGTGCATTGCCAGGTCATTCAACCTTCCCAGCTCCCGCTTTCGTTCCCCCGGAGAGAATTCGGCGTTCTGATACACATCGCTGTATATGCTCAAGAAGAGATCCCGAAGCTCCTCTTGAGACGGAAGCTCAAATCGAATATGTATGTCCACACGGCCGGGTCGAATCAGCGCGCGATCCAACTGCTGCGGCACATTGGTTGTCATAATCAAGATGCGGCCCTCGTGGGATGAGACGCCGTCAATTGCGTTGAGCAAGCCAGATAGAGATACAGATGTGTTTGCTGGCGTTGTGTTCGCTGATCTTGATAGGGTAGAATCTTGGCCAGGCTCCTGGTCGCCTCTGTTCAGCCCTGCGGCATCAACATCCTCCAATAGCACCACGCACCGTGTGGGCACCTCGGAGAACAGTCGGATGAATTGCGATTCGGTCATAGATGGATCTAGTAAGCTCAAGACGTATATATCCAGACCGAAGACCCCTGCAATCGCGGAAGCAAGGCTCGTTTTACCTGTTCCCGGGGGCCCGGAAAACAGATATCCACGCCGATAGGGAATGCCGTGGTTGGCATACCATTGCCTTGTATGCGGATGAAGGTACTCATTGATGTCCCGCAGGATAGTTTGTTTCTTGTGCTTATGAAGGATGACGGTGGAGATGTCTCTGGATGGGCGCGAAGCGACGGAGCTCCAACGGACGAGGTCCGGGGAATTGGGCCTAGTTCGGAAGACTGTGATGCTAGACACCGAGACTTTACGACTGTAGGCACGGACCTCGTCAAGGAACTTCTTGATCGGAGAAAGTGAAAGACTGAGGCACTGTAACTTCAACGGAGGATTGGTATCCAGTTGGGGAGGACGACCCATGCTTTCAGGACTGCTCGCTGTGTGGCTGAAAAGCATCCATGTTCGCTTAAAGCGAAAGAGACGGGATCCTTGGAAAGGCTTCAGCTCAATGAACGAGTTATCCTCTACCTCGCGGTAGCTGATCAGCCTATCGGAATCCAGTTGCGCCAGTGGGGATCGTATTAGAGCTTTGTCGTTGTCGGAATTGTTGGTAGTTTGTGCCAGGACGGACAGAAAGTTGCGACGCCGAAAAGCATGATCGTTCATCCAGCGAACAATATCATCATAGAGAGGATCTTCCGCCCTCACATGTACTGTTGACAAGCATGTCTTTTCAGCGTAGGTGTACAATACATTCCCGGCGGATCGGAGCGAAGTAATGAGGCCGACCACGATGAGTCCAGAGTTCACAAAGACAAGGGGATCCAGGTTCAGAGCGTTGCGGACCAATTCCACGAGAGAGTGGATTACACCAGATACCGGGCGACGGGCAGACAGAGACATCTTGCAATTTGAAACGGATCTTACATGCTCTGTCTGCGCAGTGAATTTAGCTTTGCATGGATCCAAAGATTGTCGGAGTACGTAATATAGGGGCCAATCAGCGGTGGAAAGAACTCTGTATTGCTATGTCCCTGAATTTGGCAATTTGTAGGTTTCTGATTACATAAGGAAATATTACTTCGGATCATCTATTAATCCGCAGTACATAGTCTGAAGAATTCTTATGCTTCTGACGAGGAAGCAGCTTGGTGAGTCTATCTAGGCCATCCTAGCCGTGGGCGCCTAGCGTATGCTTATTAGACCTGGCACTCACCCTCGGTGTCGGGATGTTAGACCCTCCACTCGCGTCTCCTCTTGGCGGGTGGAGGGTCTAACATCCCGACCCCGAGGGTGACCCTCAGGGTCCCCACTGGCTGCTTTTAGGAAAAAAGTCACCTGTTTGGCAAAAAAGTCATATTTTAGGTGTGAATCCACCTAGTTATCTATCCTAAAATAGTAGGGTGTGTCCCAAATAGGTAAAGTGTGTCTTATGCGGGTCGGTCGGACCCGCGGGGCGGGTGAGTCTCGGGTCTATATGTAATGTAACGCCGTGAAATGAATCTCTATGGCCCCAACGATAGATTAAGCCTGGGTCCGAGGGTCGTCAGCCGTGCAGGGTTCAGAGACAATGCACTACTGCAGAAAGCATGGACTAATGCAGAAAGCAACATGGCCCCCACATACTCCGCGGGGACGGTGTCTGTCTTAACTTGGGTTCGGAGTAGCATGTCAGGCCAAGTCGCTCGAATGTGATTATCCTTGCACCGACTCCTTCGTCCGTTGCCTTATTGCTTCCGTCTCTCCTTTCTTCTCAGGTAGGTACTCTCCCATTCATGCCCATTATTAGGCCGAGAGATAGCGGTCGGAACATGTCTTCCGCAGAGTCTGAGGGCAACCGCCAGCCGGGGCTCATCACCCTTTGTGTCGTGATGCTCATATTGGCTGTGGCCTCGGTCGCCCTCCGCTGCTGGTCCATCTGGGGCTCGCCCACTCACAAGTTTGGTTATGATGACTTGTTTGCCATCCTAACGTTGGTACGAGCTGTTCCCCGGAAACAGAGGCGTTTCCCTCGACTTGACGCAGAGGATTGCGTGGTAACCCTGTGTCTCATAGCCTTTTATTATCGCCGAATCAGCCCTTATATTCTACTGGATCTCTCTGGGATTGGGTCGTCATTCAGCCACATTACCCATCAGCAACCAACTCGAGGGCCCCAAGATTATCTTCGCCGCCGCCTACTTATACGATGCATGCATTACTTTTCCTAAATTATCGGTGCTCTGCTTCTACCATCGAGTGCTCAAACGGGGAGGCATCTGGGTCCGCCCTACGCTCTGGGCGGTCGGTACGCTCTGCGTTTGCTGGCTGATCGGGGCCTGGTTGGCGACCACCTTCCAGTGCACGCCCGTTCATGCCTCCTGGGATCCCGTTCCCAACGCCAAATGCTTCACGCAGTGGAAATTCTTTACCGGGACTGCTGCCCCCAGTGCGGTCCTGGATGTGATCATCCTGTTGATCCCGCTGCCACTTCTCTGGTCGTTGCACATGACCAAGGCGAAGAAGGTCATGCTAACCGGCCTCTTTATTTGCGGTTACTCGTACGTTCCCCGAGCACATCAAAAACAGTCCGACCATCAGGAGCTTGCTAACCGGCATCGGCACGTGCCAGAGTGGTCATCCTGTCTCTCGGTCGCCTCATTACTCTCCTCAAGGCCGGTTCTGACTTGGAAGCCGATCTGACCTGGACCACCATCGAATATATCCGTTGGGTGCAGTGTGAAGGCCCGATTTCTCTTATGTCCGTCTGCCTCCCTAATATTGTGGAACTCGGACGCCGCCTGCGAAGCAGAAATGAGCAACGCCGTACCAGCGCTTTATCATTATCTGCAAGCAAGCAAACTGCGTCGGACTTGCTGTGTGGCAACCGATCATTCCGTCCCCTCGAAGAAGACAGAGAGGCCATCCTCATGGGCCATTATTCGGGGACTCCGAAAAGGCATCACAATAACACCACCATCGAAGCAACGCGATCGGTCTCGGAGTGGGATAGTGTCTGACGGATCGCAAGTGCATGTGTCTCATGGTTCTGCTCTTATGTTTGGTTGCCTGTCTGCTCTCTGCTGTACTTTTAGGCGTTGTATGTAGGGCGGTGCTCAGGCATCAAATTGGCCCAAATATGAAAATACAACCCAGGCCGCTATACCCTTGTGTACTGGCACCTCAGATTTCCACAGGATCACCATTCCTGCAGAGATCACCTTTTCATGGAGGCAGTTGCCAGCAATGCATTTCAGCGCCTTTTGTATGATACCATTCTAGCTGTATATCTCCAAAAGCCGTGCAGTTCAATAACATGCCCAATAACATACCCATTAGGTCTCTCCCGGCACTCAGTCGACTCGATCGTGACATTGTTTAGGCGAGGCTGTTAGTTTGCTGAATAACTCAAAGGACCAGTGCAAGCCCTGTACTTATGTTCTCAACGACTATTCGAATTTAACAGTCTTCTACTCCGCCACCTGCAATTGCGTCAACAGGTCCGCCTGAATGTCGTGTAAAAACTCCATAATCTGCTCCGGGGTGTGGAAAGCCTCGTTATACACCAGCCGCAGTGTCAACTGATCACGGAACGTCCACACAAAAACCACTCCTTGGCGCGAAAGAATTTCCACGCCCACCCCGGCATGCGTGATGCTAAACCCGCGCTCCGGGGTTCCATATTCGCGCGCCAGATATTTCTCCATGATCCCCATGCTGCTGATATCGATATCGCTGGGCGGCTCCGTCGGGGTCGGCAGGTTCTTAATTACCTCGACCAAAGTGGACGCATACTCCCGGTGCGCCTGGAGATACTCGCTGCTGATGCCCTTCTGATACTCCGCCTGATACATACGGGCATTCTCCACCCAGGTCCCGGAGGTGTCGACCCGCACCAACCAGCCGGACGTGTATAGCCCGGCTGCCGCCGCGGGGGTAGAGTACGGTTCGGGCAGATACGGCCGCAGCGACTGTTTGATGGTGCTGGTATAGTGACGGCCCTGGTGCTCGGCGATCGCGCGCCGGAAGTTGACAGCGGCCAGACTGGCATGCACGGCGGCCGTGATCCCGACGCCGCGTGCTTTTGCGGCGGACACGGCGGCGGACGTTGTGGCGGGCGAGAACGTGAGCTCGGCGGCCCGCGTGCCGGAGGGCACGGTCGAGGCATCCCCGGTATAGGGCACCCCGAGGGCGCCGGCCGCTAGGGCAAATGTGCCGACTGCCCCGTGGGCGATAGCCTTCTGCTCGTCGGTCGCGGTGAGGGGCATGTTGCCGGCCTCTTCCACCGGTGGCGCCAGCCGGGCGACCTCCGATGCCCAATGGAAGGAATCGAATGGGTCCGGCAGCTTCCCCGAGAGGAGGGTGTCAGCGTGCGAGGCCATCAGGTCCACCAGCTGCCCGAGGAGGAGCAGGCCGCCGACTCCGTCCATGCGCCAGTGTGCGGTGTGCAGGAGCAGCTCACTCGATTGGGGGATATAGTACAGCCGGGCGTCAGCAGCTGGTGCAATGGTGGGAATCACCTCGTTGGCGGACTGGGCATCGGCCTCCACGTGAAATGTCCGCGAGGCCCATTGGCTAAGAGCATCAGCAGAGTCAGGAACCGTGTAGACGACGGTGGAGTTGGAGGAATCCGGATGCGCAGCTAGACTGGGGTGCTGGAAGCGCAGATGCAACCAACTATAGCGGATGAGGGTTGGTAGCAGGTCGGGCGAGCCTGACAAGGCTACGAATGCCCCGCGAGTACTGATAGTGGCCGTGTAATTGACCGCCCAGTGTTCACGACCGAGCGGGTGGCCGGGATCACTGACCAGCTTGATGAACACCTCGTTGGGGCCAAGGGGCCGGGTGAAGGTGTTCGGCGAGTGCTCGGCTGGCGTCCACGGCATGTTGAGGCGAGGGTGATTGCTGGGTGATCGATGTAAGACGGACCTCTCGTTGGTCATGGCAGTGGATTGAAATAGGGAACGCGGGAAGGAAGATGCTTGCGACAAAGAATTAATTGGCTCTAAGGACCGCGTCGAATCTCGCACTTTTGGGGGCCAAAATGCCCCCGAACGCTTGCGGACCAGGGTGGAAATCCGTCGTCTCCGAGAGAACGAGTATCTTTACTGGATGGCGTGATGACCGCGGAAGGCCAAGTGTGAGGGCTGAGTCGGCTGACGCACCTGGTGTCGAGCTATACAGGGGCTACTGACAGACACCTGCACCGATGTAACCTGGATACATGGAGAGCTTACCCGAATTTAGCTTTAACCCCCGATTAACCGGTGGATCTTCGTCCAACCGACGGGAGTCCCGCCGCCACGCGCCGCTACGAGCCGCAACCCCTCAATTGGCGTTCCCCACGGCCCAGTCCTGGACTTGGTACTCCAGAATCATGCAATACCATGCATGACAATCATGATGGTTACATTGAGCCCCACTGCTGAAAGGAGTGAGCTGGGACGCGACAGCCTGCGTGCATAAAGAACAATCAAGTCGACACCAATTGCAGAGGTGGTTGACCGGAATCTGATTTGTCAAGTGCACACAGTAAGCCGCCGTAAATTGCCCCGATGCAGGTGGAAGGTGTCGCTCTGGTCCTTGGTGCTGGTACGCTGTGCATTTCGTCCCCCTTTCTGGTTTTCGTCTGCCTCGCCGACCGCAACGCCAACTCCCCCCGTCAACTGTTTGCGCGAGTAACCGTTCAAACTGATAGGTGAATTAATTGAACTATAGGAAGTGGCATTGGGCGCGCGGTCGCCTATACGATTGTCAAGGAAGGCCTCACGGCCCTAGTCTGCGCCGACATCGATCTCTCTCAAGCCCAAGAAACCGCCAGGTCGAGCTACGCATTCGCAGGGCGAGAAGGCTACGAGGCGATCGCCTACCATGTTGACGTCCGCGAGGAGGCGCAAGTGCAGGCGTTGGTAGCAAGAGCCAAGGACCGGTATGGCCGCATTGATATTTGCGTAACTACGGCCGGGGTAAGCAAATCAAGTCGTGATTTCCTCTCCGTGCTGGATGATTTCTGACCACCCAAGGCAAGACCCCCTGTATCAATCAAACCCCGATCAGCAACATGAGCCTAGAATCATATAGGAGCATGGACGAGGTGCACAATATCGGGTGCTTTTTAGTCGTCCGCGAGATGATCCGGGCAATGACCAGCCAGGAACCAGTTTCGACTAGACGGCAGAACCAAACCCGGGGTTCAATCGTATTGTTAACCTCGCTGGCCTCGGAAGGGGCGTTCCTGGGAGTCGGCAATTATATCGCGGCCAAACACGCCGTCAAAGGGCTGGTTCAAACAGCCGGTGGGTCCTTCCTTTCGTTTATTCGGTTTCGTGGATTTCTGACTCGATGGAGCAGCTCTTGAAAACGCGCGCAATGGTATCAGAATCAATGCCGTTGCTCCCTCGTACGTTTCGGGGCCGTTGATGGACAAATTCCTGGACGGGGCGCCGGGCGTTAAGGATGTTATGCTGGGTGATTTGCCGATGAGACGACTGGCCGACCCGGAGGAGGTTGCCGACGCGGTGGTGTTTCTGGCGTCTCAGGCTGCGAGCTATATCAATGGGCATACATTGGTTGTGGACGGGGGATCATCGTTGCAATTGTCAAATCACCCTTTCTCGTGACAATGTTTGATTGCTAGTGATCGTTCATTACAAGCCTTATCAGCTGGCTGTTAGTTATGTGTACGATGAAGCCGTACATAGTAGATTGATACGCTCATCTGACATTATTCATTACGTTGCTCTAACTAACGAGTCTGATGCCGCTGGGGTGTGAACAGTCTCGGTATAGTCAAAACAGGGTAGAATGTAACCTCTCTGCCTGTCACCTCGGGTAATTCGAACGACATTTAAGGATTTTATACGGTTCTGCTGCAATGTCTAGTTGAAGCGGGTTATACATTTGCATCACAGCTTTTATGTCATCCCATATTGGGCGGGTTGTTTATGTATCCTTTTTACTATTTTCAAGCCATAGCTCGCCCAGCTACCCAAGATGTCGACCGAATTCATTACGCCCCGGGACGATTCAATGCCTTAAGGGGGCCACTAGGTAGGTAGGTTGGGCTACCATAGGAACAAGATGAATAGGATGGAATTTTCGGGCAAGGGAAAAAGCATCTATTATCTTGGGCGTATCCAACTCGGAAATTTAATCAACGGGGGGGAGGGGGGCCATACCGGAAACAACTCCGTTAGCCGGCCCCGTTCCAATAATGTTAGTTAACACAATGGACCAAATGACTAAAATGACTAGTCGCTTTACTAGCGTATATACAGGCTTCAGATCTGGTAATATTACCTAACAACGATTGTCCAGGTACCTATACGAAGATGGGTAAAATCACGAGGCAACGGGCAGCGTAATACATCCTAGGTGCCGCTGAGCCATCCGCCCCCGCGACGGTCCCGCTAGGTTATACTACGGAGTGAGGTCCCAGTTTTGCGCTGGCAAAGTGAGGAAGATTGCCAGCCCAATTGGATAGAACGGCTCGATCCACATGCCCGCGTAATTACGCCTTCTATCCAACGCTGTTGCATCGAGGGAAGATATCACACCCGACCCACTTTTGCGTGTCATCCTATCATGACCCTGTGACGGCGGTGTTTGCTGGTGAGGCTGTTGCAATATTCAGCCCGGGTTTCTGTGCCTGACAGGGGTGGCGTAAGCGTAAGATGATAAAATAAGACGTTTCCCGCATGACAGTAACGACGCCTCAATCACCAGTACGCTCCTCCCTAACACATCCATCGAGATTCCGACAAGACACTGCTGTGTTGAACACCACCATTAGGCGCTAGAATGGAGCACCCAGCATTGACTCCTGCACGCCAATGTGAGCCAATCGCGATCGTGGGCATGGGTAAGAGCGCTAAATTCTCATCAAATTCGGTGTACTGACGTGTGCATTAGGATGCCGCTTACCAGGGAAAGCTTCATCCCCATCCAAACTGTGGGAATTGCTGGTCAAGAACGAGACGGGCCATTGCGCTGTTCCATCAGAGCGCTACAATGCAGCGGCATATTACCACCCGGATGCCGAACGACCAGGAAGTATCAATTCGACCGGTGGATACTTCATCCAGGAGGACATCCGAGCCTTTGAAAACGCGTTCTTCGGGATCAACAACCTCGAAGCCACGTCCATGGACGCCCAGCAAAGGAAGCTCCTCGAAGTGACCTACGAGGCGTTGGAGAGTGCCGGTGTGTCGTTGGAAATGGTTCAAGGCTCAAATACCGGTGTTTATGTCGGCAACTTCACCAACGATTTCTTGAACATGCAGTACAAAGACCCGGAGTACTTTTCCCGATATAGTGCTACAGGATCGGGGCTGACCGTGCTGGCGAATCGGATTACACATTGCTTCGATCTGCGTGGCCCGTCCTTTGTGGTTGATACGGCTTGTTCATCGTCCTTGTATGCGCTGCATTCGGCCTGTTTGGCTCTGGATGCACAGGACTGTGATGCGGCCGTGGTGGCTGCTGCAAACCTCATCCAGTCTCCGGAGCAGCAAATGATCGCCGTGAAAGCGGGGATTTTATCGCCAGACTCGGTGTGCCATACCTTCGACGAGTCAGCCAACGGATATGGTAGAGCGGAGGGGGTGTCAGCCGTATATCTGAAGCGGCTCAGTGATGCACTGAGGGATGGAGATCCCATTCGTTCGATCATTCGAGGAACCTCTGTCAATGGGTGGGTTTCTCACTTTGGTGGTAGGCCTAGATACTAATAATAACGCTTAGGAATGGACGAACACCAGGCATTGTCCAGCCCAGTGTGGAAGGGCAAAAGGCCGTCATTCGGGCGGCGTATCGTCGAGCAGGTCTGGATCTAGGAGACACGGACTACGTCGAGGTAGGCTTCTCCGAATGCTGGTGAATTACCACACTGACAGCGAAAGGCGCATGGGACCGGCACCAAGGTCGGTGATCCTATAGAGGTCGAGGCCATAGCCGATGTTTTTCGTCATCGGACGGGACGGCCAACCCTTGTTGGGGGGATCAAGCCGAATCTTGGTCACAGCGAAGGGGCGAGCGGTCTTTCGAGCCTAATCAAAGTCACCCTAGCGCTCGAAAATGAGTTACTCCCTGCGACGGCCGGGGTTAAAGCCATCAACCCGAGCATCAAAACAAAGGAATGGAACGTGGACATTGTCACTGCCAACCAAGCGTGGCCTGTATCCCGGGTCCCGCGAGCCTCGGTCAATTCGTTTGGCTTCGGGGGCTCAAATAGCCATGCTATTCTGGAAGCAGTGCAGCAGAACCTATTGACCAACAGTTGTAGGGATCCGCTGGTAGACGAAAATGCAGAGAGGCTCTATCTGTTACCTCTTTCGGCTCGATCTGAGACGTCCCTCGGACACATGGCTAATAACTTGGCTGATTTCGCGTCCCACCCAGCTCGACAGATTCGAATCGATGATCTGGCTTTTACGTTGAGCTGTCGTCGCTCCAAGCTGGCTACCCGTGGCTTTTTCATCGAATCTCAAGCGAGCCTGAATAAGGGACTCAATATGTCGAGCCTGAAACTGAGAGATTCTGACAGCGAAGGACCATTCCCGTTGGTCTTTGTTTACACCGGACAGGGTGCACAGTGGGCTGGAATGGGCAAGGAGCTTCTGAGCTATAGCCGCGTGTTTAGAAAGACAATAGGCTATCTTGACTCTTGCCTCCGAGCCCTTGATCCAGAACATGCGCCCGCCTGGACGCTGGAGGGTGTTCTGCGAGGGGATGAAAACTGTGACACTAGCGCCGCAGAAATATCACAGCCACTGTGTACGGCGGTGCAAATTGCGCTGACGGACCTACTCAAAGATTGGGGTGCTCTGCCAGAGATGGTGACGGGCCACTCCTCCGGCGAGATGGGAGCAGCGTATGCGGCCGGGGCTATCGATGCTCGGCAAACCATCTTCGCGTCTTATTTCCGCGGAATTGCTGTCGCCGAGGACTCCACCGAAGGATCCATGGCTGCCGTGGGACTTGGGAAAGATCGGATCGAGGCGATAATCGAGGAATGTGCGTTGAGAGAGTCTGTTACCGTTGCTTGTGCGAACTCGCCAGAGAGCACTACCGTGAGTGGGGATACAGTTGCCGTCAATTATCTTCTTAAGACATTCCAAGAAAAGGATATCTGGGCTCGAAAGCTAAATACCGGAGGCAAAGCGTACCACTCGCACCATATGAAGATTCTGGGACCGAAATATGAGGCCTTACTCGAGCGCTATTGGGATACGGCTAATGGCAATCAGCAAGCAAATGGCAACCACCATGCAAATGGCAACCACCATGCAAATGGCAACCACCATGCAAATGGCAACCACCATGCAAATGGCAACCACCATGCAAATGGCAACCATCATGCAAATGGCAACCACCATGCAAATGGCAACCACCATGCAAATGGCAACCACCATGCAAATGGCAACCACCATGCAAATGGCAACCACCATGCAAATGGCGCTGTGGATGGTCCAGCGTCTTCAGTGGTTATGATTTCCACTGTGACTGGTGGGCTGGTAAGTACAAATCAGGTTGGGATGCCCAGATACTGGCGTACAAACCTCGAATCTCCAGTGCGATTTGACGAGGCCATCAAAACTATCCTGGCGCGTGGCAGTTACCATCTGGTAGAACTTGGTCCGCACTCGGCTTTGCAGCTCCCCATCAAGCAGAGTGCCTCGACACTTGAACAAAGCCGCTATACCTATGATTCCTCTCTCATACGTCACCAAGATGCTTGGTTGACTACCCTTCAGCTTGTCGGTTCACTGTTTTTGCATGGACACGATGAGCTTCAATACCACAAGATGTTTGCGGAGGGATCTCAGACCCGTGTCTTAGTTGATTTGCCTCCTTATCCCTGGGACTACAGCTCTCCCACCCTGTGGTCTGAGCCTCGTGCCAGTACCCTGTTCCGTCACCGCAAATACCCGCGGCATGATCTCCTCGGATCCCAAGTACCGGAAGGGAGCACCGCAGGAGTGACGTGGCGAAATGTATTGAACCTCAATGAAGCTGAATGGCTTACGCATCATTGCCTGGGCCCGTCGGTAGTATTCCCCGCCGCTGCATATATTGCAATGGCAGTCGAGGCGATGTGCCAGGTCGCAGGTCTGCAGCTGGAAGATTGTCCGGGTGTGGAACTTCGCGATCTCAACTTCATCAAAGCTCTCGACATGGATCCCGAGCGAAGGCCAACGGTGGAGATCTTTTCCGAGATGCGTTCTATGAAGATTTCCAACCTGACGAATTCAGATAAATGGTGGAGATTCGGTGTGGTGTCGATCGACAGTGATTCCCAGGCGACCTTGCATATGAACGCGGCTGTCCGCCTAGCAGAAACCCCACCACGGACAACTCGACAGATTAAGCTTGATAGGTCAAAGATGCAACAGGATGCAGTCCGTGTCTGGTACGACAAGTTCACTCAAGAAGGACTTAACTGGGGTCCCCAGTTTGCTGTCATGGAGGAGGTCTTCCGAGATCGCGCGCGCACGGCGCACGTAGCAGCAGCCACTACACATCTTCAGCGGGGAGAAATGTTTGGTCAGTACATTGCACATCCGATTTCCATTGATGCGATGCTACAAACGGCCTTCATTGCGACAACTAGTGGCTGGGTGAGTAAGCTCCGGGCTACGGTCCCTGTTGCGATGGACTCGGTTTACATCGCCCCTCCGTCGGCCCTCGACATGGATACCGACAGACCATGGTGCATTGACACCGAGTCGGAGAACGTAGGCTTTGGAACGGTTAAAATAAATGCAGAGCTATTTAATTCGTCTGGTCAGGTCCTGATCAGGATGGGCCAGGCTCGTTGTATTGCCTACCAAGGGAACAGACAGACGGAAACCACCGAGCAACGCAATCCTCTCGTGAGAGCTTCATGGAAGCCAGATCTCTCTGCGCTAAGCAGCACGGGTCTTGACGAGTATCTGAACCGGTTCGCACAGAACTGCGGCTCTAAGGAATTGGCTGATGAGGACGTGCTGCGCTTGGCTGGTGCCCTGGATTTGGCCTGTCACAAGTGGTGTAATAGCAATATCCTCGAACTTGGCGACCAAACCCGGATAGCAGAGACTGTTCGTGGGCTCTTACGTGTTGACTCCTCTTTCCGAAGGTATAACACATATTGTCGTGGGGTCTTTGAAGACGGTGATCTAGTCGGCGCGGAGGTTTTCTCGGAGACTGGAGACGAGCAGAAACCAGAGCGCCCAACGGGGATCCCACAGGAAAGGAAATTTGATATAGTTCTCGTCCCCTCGGTATGTTTGACTTTTCGCAAGTTTGATTTGACACTGATATGTGATAGGTTGATCTCTGGACGCCGGTCCTTTCCAGCAGGCTCACACCGGGAGCAACTGTCATCATGATGGGGGATGCACTCAGTGACGATGTCACTTGGACGAAGGTCATCAAAGGAAGTGGTTCTTTTCCTGTGACAATGGCGACTATAAGCGGCCTGGCTAGCAAGAGAAAGATTGATAAAACCCCGGCAATCGTGGTGAGCTCTTTAGATGGCCTTCCATCACCTATATTTCTGACAAGTGTCCAGGTGACCCGAGATAACAACATAACACGCCTAGATCTACAGCTCCAAAAGGTCTTACAAGAACATTTAGGATTCGTCGTCAATATTGTTGGTTTGTCCCAGGTCAGCCTCGCGACTGTTCCGGACCGATCATTCGTCATATCCACCCTAGAACAGCAGCAGCCTCTCCTGAGCAGGATTGACGAGCGTGAAATGGCACAGCTGAAAAGTATTACCGATCGTGTAGCCAAGATCGTATGGGTCGTCAATGGCGGCTTCGTGGGTGGAGAAAACCCCGACTTTGCGCCAGTTCTGGGACTCTCCCGTGCGCTCATGCTCGAACAGCCTTCCCTCCAATTTGCGGTTCTAGATGTGGACGAGAAATCAGCATCATCTCCCGAAACTCTGCAGAACATCGTCAGTGTTATGAACCGACTGATTTATGAATTGGAGCCGGACTTCGAATTCGCGCAACGAGATGGCGTCCTCCATATCTCACGCTGGGAACCAGATGAGCGTCTCAACGAAACCTTCCGTCTCAAGCAGAATAAGGAAACCATTGACCTTCCCCTAGGGATTGCCGGGCGTTGCGAATTAGGCATCAAGAGCCCGGGACAAATGGACACGATCCATTTTGTGCAGAAGGAGTATCCAACCGCCTTGCATCCAGATGATGTGGAAATCAGTGTGAAGAGTATAGGTATGAATGCAAAGGTAGGTCTCACGCTTTCGAGGATCCATTAGCGGCGTTGGTAACGAGAGATAGGATCTGTATGCCATAAGCGCTAAGGTGGACACCAAGGATGCGTCATGCTCGTGTGAATGTGCCGGTGTTATTACCGCTGTGGGCGACAACGTCTGTGAGTTTAAGACTGGTGATCGTGTAATTGCAATGGCCCCCGGCCATTTCGCAACCGTCGAGCGCTTCCCGCATTGGGCAGTGTGTAAATTGAGCGACGAGGAGGATTTTACGGTAAGTGATCGAGTCTCTACACGAAAGCAGAAGCTCATGCGTGCAGACGACCTCCACTATTCCGATTGTTTTTTCGACGGTCATTTATGGACTGAAGCATCGGGCAAAACTGCAGCCAGGAGAGGTAGGTGCCGTGGTTCGTCACTCCATGAGCTGGGCTGAATCGATTAGACCGTCCTTGTTCATTCCGCTGCCGGGGGGTTGGGATTGCGGCAATCCAATACGCGAAGCATCTCGGAGCAAAGGTAATATACCTGCAGATCCAGCAATAATAAGTTTGAATTAATCGACTAAGCCACTCGACAGATTTTTGCCACAGTCGGGAACGAATCTAAAAAGTCATTCCTCATTGAGAAGTATGATCTGGATCCAGCGCACATTTTTAGCTCGCGCGATTCATCCTTCCTCCCTGCCATCATGGAAGCCACTTCTGGTCAGGGGGTTGACGTGGTTTTGAACTCTCTCACCGGTGATCTTCTGCATAGCAGCTTTGAAGCATGTGCCGACTTTGGCCGCTTCATAGAGATTGGGAAACGTGATATCCTTGATCATGGCGTCCTGGACATGTCAATGTTCGGGCGCAATGTCTCCTTTATGGCATTTGACCTGTCCAATCTCTATCTCTCCAACAAGCAGGCCCACCATCAACTCTGGAAAGCCCTGCTTACAGAGAGTCTGGATCTAGTGAGATCCAAGATCTGTGAGCCGTGTTTCCCTGTCAAGACATTCGACGCGTCGGATATTACCGATGCGTTCAGGCACTTCTCCCTAGGAACGCGATTGGGCAAAGTCACCGTGTCGTTCCAGGATCTGAACATCAAAGTAAGGGTGATTCCGAGGAAGTATGAAACCACCTTTAGTGCCCAAAAGTGCTACCTCATGGTCGGGTGCCTGGGTGGGTTAGGTCGCAGTCTGTCCAAGTGGATGATATCTTGCGGTGCTCGACGTTTCATCTTTCTGGGTCGATCTGGTTCCGATAGGCCTGATGCAAAGGACATGGTCGATGATCTACGGGCCCAAGGAGCCCACGTCACAGTGATCCGGGGAGATGTTTGCCGGTATAAGGATGTCGAACGGGCCCTGGAAGCCGCGGATTGTCCCATTGGTGGTGTAATACAGGCGGCCATGGCACTCAGCGAGGCACTCTGGAGTGATATGCCGCACAGCGCATGGCACACCACCATCAGCCCCAAGGTGCAGGGCACCTGGAATCTTCACAATGCGTTGGGCCAGGGTCGGGACTCCCAGCTGGACTTTTTCGTCACGACGTCGTCCATCTCCGGGACCGTGGGCACGGCGACCGAAAGCAACTACTGCGCTGCCAACTCCTTCTTGGACGCTTTTGCCCGCTATCGCAACCGTCTCGGGCTGCCGGCCATCTCTATCGGCTACGGGATGATTTCGGAAGTGGGATATTTGCACGAGCACCCCGACATCGAGGCCCTCATGAAGCGTAAAGGGATCCACCCTATCAATGAAGACGAACTGATCCAGATCATGAACATGGCCCTTGTGAACCAAAGACCATGCACGTGGGACTCCCGGTACGATCATCTGGCGGGCAGCCACCTTCTCACCGGGGTGGAATTCATCGGCCTCCAGGAGCAGCAGGAACGAGGCTTCGAGGGAGACAATCATGTCTTTGCCGATCCTCGAGCTGCATTGTTCACTGCGTCCTTTGCCCGCCGCGCCGCGGGCGAGAGCGAGACGCACAGCGCGGCGGCGCATCTCCCTGGGGAGATCGCGCGAGCGCTGCGCGACCACCAAGATACGGCATCGATTCTCGATGCACTTCGGGCTGTTGTATCAAAGAAGATCTCCAATCTCATCCTTCTGCCGGAGAGCGAACTGGACGCGGATCGGCCTCTGGGCGAATTTGGCTTGGATTCGATGCTGGCTGCCGAGTTTCGGACCTTTATTTTCCGCACGTTCGAGGTCGACGTACCCTTCGTTGTGCTCTTGAAAAGGAGTACGACTGTAAATCTCTTGACCAGCCTAATTGCCCAGGGCCTGGATACGAGTGCTTAGGCGCCTCGTCGCGCTCTGTTGCGCTGATGCGACCGCATCACGGAAGTCGTATTTGTGGTCTCGATACAAGTGGACACGCATGTTTGGGTTAGTTTGTGTCAGGGTAAAATGTCCACTAGTATTTCACTGGTTGGTCCGTGGAAAATACTCCAGGGTAAATTCCGCTCCTTCTTCCGCTCAATCAGGAGCTTATCGTCGTGGGGAAGGAATCGTGTCCCCTTGCTTGTGTTCACTGCCTGAAACTCTTTGGAAGCGAGAGTCTTAGAATGTCGGCTCTCACATCTAATTTCTGGAACTTTGCCTGGTCCATGAGAATAATAATTTCCCCGTTACTCTTCAATGGTAAATGAGTATAGGTCGAGGTCGTCGATAGGAACAAGGTGTATAGATCGGAGCCAAAAGCGGCAGGCGGAGGAACTCACACGTGGGGCAGCGTCCCAATCGGAGCGGGGCCTCGTCCGAAATTTGATGGCAGGAGATGCGCTGGCTTCGTCAACTCTCTTCAATTTCCAAACCCTTTCGTCGGATCGAGTCTTCAAAGCAATTGGCTAGGAGAATGGCTGTTCTTCCCAACACCTACAACGGTGCGTATTTCCCGAGCCCCTTGCCCCTGCCGGCAACCTCTCCCCCACTATCGTGCTGACAATCGCATATCGCATAGGCTCTGTCCCCATCGCCGTCATTGGCGGCACTGGGCTCCGTGAGCTGCCTGGCTTTACTCAAGTTGCCTCCCTGTCGATCTCGACTCCCTGGGGTGAACCTTCCTCCCCCATCACCATCTTGCACCACCAGTGCAAGCACAATAATAAGACGGTTGCTGTCGCGTTCCTGAGCCGCCACGGCCCTCACCACCAGATTGCCCCTCACGAGGTCCCCGCCCGTGCCAACATTGCTGCTCTGCGTTCCATCGGTGTCCGCAGCATCATCGCCTTTTCCGCCGTCGGCAGTCTCCAGGAGGAAATTAAGCCCCGTGACTTTGTCATCCCCGACCAGATCATCGACCGCACCAAGGGTGTGCGGCCGTGGACCTACTTCGAGGGCGGGGTGGTCGCCCACGTTCCCTTCGGTGACCCCTTCGATGAGGGTATCGCCAAGGTTGTCCGCGAGTGCGGACACAGCCTGGAGGGCGACGGTGTTATCCTGCACGACCGGGGTACCATTGTCTGCATGGGTATGTGTCAACGATCATTAGTGAAGCTCTGGTTTCCGGGATAAAACTAACCATGAAATAGAGGGCCCTCAATTCTCCACTCGCGCCGAGAGCAACATGTACCGTGCCTGGGGCGGCAGCGTGATCAACATGTCCGTCCTGCCCGAGGCCAAGCTGGCCCGCGAGGCCGAGATCGCCTACCAGATGATCTGCATGTCCACTGACTACGACTGCTGGCACAGCTCCGCGGATGTCACCGTCGAGATGGTCATGGGCAACATGAAGGCCAATGCCGACAACGCTCGTCGTTTCGTCACTGCTGTCCTCGATGCCCTTGCGGCTGATGAAAACGCCGATCTTGTGCAGGCTAAGCACCTGGCTGGCGGTATCAAGTTCGGTGTCAGCACTCCTCAGCCGGAGTGGAACCCCGAGGCTAAGAAGAAGCTGGATTGGCTCTTCCCCGGCTATTTTTAAGCGTATACATTGTCCCGCCAGGTAGACGGAACATCTGCACTTTGAGACGACATTGACGCGTACATTTGACGATCGCATGTGGATATACACTTTAAGATAGACAAGATATTTTGTTTCATTTGGATTCATTTCCATAGGCAGGCCTCGCCTTTCATTCATCATCGCCCAAGAAGACGCGGATCGGCATCCATCCATCACCGACCACCTTAGCCCGAGTCTGAATTTGAGTCAACGCTGCCATCTCATCATCTGACAGGCTCCACCCGTCCATTTCGAAGTTGGAACCGATTCTTGACGGCGTCACACTCTTTGGAATTATACTGGACCCGCGCTGTAGCCCCCACATCAACCTTATCTTAAATTAGCATGTTCCCGAGAGCCAGAGAGAGATTCAAAGCACTCACAAGATTTGAGCTGGCGTTTTGTTCTTCCCCTGTGCAATCTTGACAACAATGGGATCCTCGATCAGATTAGTGTGAGCGTTTATGGCAGATTTTGTGTTACCACCCAAGCAAGAGTAGGCGGTGAAGTGAATCCCCTTGCGCTTGCAATAATCCACCAACTTGGATCTAGATTTGCTTAGCATTGCCAGCCTTGCAACCGTCTGGAGAATTGACTTACGATGGGTTGTGTGGATGCAGCTGAACAATAGTAGACTGGATTAGTGACATGCCTTAGTAGGGGCGAAACACATACCTCGATTTGATTGACAGCGGGAACAACTTTGCACGACGGGTCACTGAGAAGTCTCTCCAGGTGCGAGATCTGAAAATTGGAGACACCGATTGATTTCACCATGCCGGTGCCAAGAAGCTTCTGCATTTCTTGCCTATATTCATTAGCATCCGCTACTCGAATACAACTGGGATCCTGGTGAAAGCAGATGCTAACCACGTCTTTACAAAGTCCCAATCCGGCAGATGCTTTGATCTGTCCGCGGGATCGGTCGAGCATGGAAAGTGTATCAGATACAAATCAACATAGTCGAGACCGAGGTCCTTGAGGGAAGATTCAAGCCCTTCAGATACCCGATGATGCCAATGATTATCCAACTTCGTCGTCACCCAAATCTGCTCCCTCGGCACACCCGACGCCCGTATACCCTCACCGACCTCCTTTTCATTGCCGTAGTTCAGTGCGGTGTCGATGTGGCGATAGCCATGCCGCAATGCATACTTGACGGCTTCGTGCGTGTCGTTATCTTTGGACTGCCAAGTACCGAGCCCAATGGCTGGAATCGAGGCGCCATTATTCAGCTGGAAGGTGTGGGAGGTAAACTTTGGAATCGTCATGGCGAAAACGTTTGGCTGCGATGTCTCTGGAAAAGCACGGTGATTGCTGTTTGATAAGGACTTGGAAATTGGGGTCAGCAAGTTCTATGATCGGCCGCCACGAGAGTCTTGCTCTGTTCTCCGACGGTACGCCGATCTCGCGACTCCAACCTCCAATTAGTGTCATTGTCGGCAAATTCTCGTCTTGGTATCGCCCCCCACGTCCCCGCAGATGCCAACTTCTGTGGAACCAATTTATCAGGCCCTCCAGTGCGGGGCTGATCGGCCAAGTGAGATCGGTCAACGGAAAACATGCGAGTTGCCGCGTGAGGGGACGCAGGCCAATGACCACCGCGCGGTGATTCAAGTAATGATAAGCTGCAAACATGTAAAATGCCCACATGCAGGCCGTTCTTCATGACCCATAGTTCTCTTCCTCGTCACCTCGCGCAAGATGGGTTCGTCATGGCCGGAGATCAAGCACAAGCTTCAATGGTGAGTGTCAGCCACCGCGCGACTGCATGTCGCTGACGATTCCCCCAGCCCCGTCGATGAAGACGCACATTATGAGAACACTACTTGGTGTAACCGTGATCTGATTCCCATCCCACCGGACCGCCGAACGTATGGAATTTGGTCTTATTTTGGTACGCGATTGTCTTGGATCGTCGAGATGACCCACTAATGGGCCCATCAGGGTACTGGACCGTTTCGGGGTCCTGCATCTCCGCTTGGTCCACCGGTAGTACGCTACTGGCCTTTGGACTTGGTCCGCAGCAGGCTATCGGTGTCGTGGTAAGTTATCAGTCCATCTAGTTATTCGAGGGGGGCTAATGAAGTAGGTGGTTGGGGGCATTCTTGCTGGCCTCCTTGCTGTCGCCTGTGGGTGGATGGGCGAAAACCACCATATCGGGTTCACCGTCTCTAGTCGGTTTTCCTGGGGAATGCGAGGGTCTTACTGTATGTTATAGAGTTTGTTTAGTGTTGTTTGCCGTACTAATCGTTGAGATATAGTTCCGGTTATTCTGCGATCCTTTGTCTCCTGCATGTGGTTTGGTATGCAAGCATTCTGGGGCGGCCAAGCCACGAGGGTCATGATAGGCTCTATTATTCCCGGTATGATCAATCTACAGGCTGAGACCGTGATGTAACTGATTATTTGAAGGTTTCGCCCATATGCCAAACTACTTCGCTGCCAGCTCACATCTTCAAACCAAAGACTTCATCGGCCTCTTGATATGGATGTGTGCTTTTATCCCCGGACTTTTAATCCGCCCTGAGAAGCTACAGATTCCTTTCCTGATCTGTTTTACGTTCTTCTGTGGATCATGTTTTGGGCTCTTGATATGGTATGCCTATGTTGACCACTGCGCCGGCTCGTCGCTAACAAATGAGTAGGGGAGTTTCTCAAGCCCATGGGCCAGGAAGCATGTTTCATGAGCCTTCAAGCACGCCAAATGTCGGCTGGTCTTTTATGTTTGGTATAACCGCCATTCTCGGATCTTGGGGGTCGGGAACCCTGGGTCAATCAGATTGGACTCGATATGCCAACCGGAAATTTGCTCCAACTCTATCGCAGCTAATCGCCTCCCCATTAACTATCGCAGTGACGGCTACTATTGGTATCATTGTGACCAGTACCTCTCGTGATATTATGGGAGGTGAGATTGAATGGAACCCAATTTATCTCTTGGCCAACATCCAGGAATTTTATCACTCGAGTCCTCGTGTCCGTGCGGCAGTATTCTTTGCCAGTATTGGCATGGTGTTCTCGCAGTTTTCGGTACATAACTTTGCCCCCGGAAGCGAAAGAAAAAGCCTCTGACAATTTTGTAGATTTCAGTGGTCCTGAACTCGGTATCTTGCGGTATGGACTTGGCTGGGCTGTGGCCTAGATACATCAATATTAGAAGAGGCGGATACATCATGGCGTGTATTGGTATTGCAACTCAGTATGGCTTCAACCCCTTGTCCATGCGTCAGCCGAACACACTGAGCTAACGCATATCAGGCCATGGCAACTTCTCGCAACAGCAGACAAGTTTCTTTCTGTGTTAAGTGGGTTTGGAGTCTTCATGGCCCCCGCAACGTAGGTTTATTTCCAACTACTTCTTCGGTTAAAACCAACACTAACTCGATGCAAAACAGCGGAATCATGCTAGCGGACTATCATCTTGTCAGGCGCTACAAGCTTAAAGTTGGCGATCTATACACCGGCGACAGCTCTTCCATCTATTGGTTTTCCAATGGCGTGAACTGGAGGGCATTCGTTGCTTTCTTCGCAGGAATGTGGCCACTTTTACGTACGAAATTCCTTTCAACCCCTTTAGATTACAGCTGACACTAAAATTTAGCTGGATTGGCTGGCACCGTCAATTCATATTCTGGGGGCTCATGGACAGGCTGGGTCCGCCTGTACAACTTGACGTTCCTCATCGGGCTTGCAATAAGCTTCCTTATCTTCTGGATATTGAATTTCTTTTTCCCTCCCATTGCCTTGGGGCAAGAGGGCCCATTCATTGGAGAGGAGGTGATGTACGGTATCGCGAAGACAAGTGGAGAGAATGATACTGGGTCTCGGGATGAAGAGAGAAAGGTGCCAGTCGCTAGTGTCGTTTAAATTTGTTTGTTGCCCGTTAGTGAATGGTTGTCTTTCATTCAGGAATACGCCTTGACTCAGAGTGTAGTAATGAATTATTTTTCAAACGGTGCTCCGAGGTTGTTTTTCCAATGCTTATGTGTTTCTAAAATCAATTGCCAATCAATTCTCTATTCCATCTAACTTGACTAAACGAGGTTCTCAGTTCTAGCAAGTCGTGTCTAAATTCACTCAGCCAAAGACCTCAATGACACTTCGAGGTTTACTATACTTTCCGATCGGAACATACTTGATCTCTTCAAATCCCATTGAGCCCGGTCCTCCCAGCTCCATTCCCCTCTCTGTATCTGTCCACCGAGGCGAAGCTGCGATAGCGATAATGACAACCTTTAGTCCATACTTGTACTCGGGAGTTCCAAGCCCCGCCCCGGTCTCGGCATCAATGACGGCAATCAGATCCGGCACGGACGCCAGGATCTTCGACTCGCCATTTGAAACCGCTTCAACGAAGGCATTCTCATTCTTGAATGGAATCTTCATGACGGCCTTTGTTCCATCGCTCAGAGTTCCATCGACTTCCAAAACACCATAGGTATGACCGGTCTTCAGAACCCGTTCGACACTGGTGATCTTGCCCTGGCCAAGGATCGCCGCACTCTCCACGCCACCGACTTCATCGACGATGCGCTGAGCTTTATCAGTGATGTTTTTCTCCAAGGCCACCGCTCGCCCAATCCACCACGCCAACGAGACAGTATTGGTGACAGCTTGCTCCCTGACTGCTTTGGCGGTCTTCGGCGATAGGGACTTCCCTGCACGACATCCCATTTCCACGCAAGCAGCTCGCAGAATCTTGTCAACCCCTCTGTCCGTGCGAGATTTGGTCATTGTTACAAACGACCCATCTCCACTCGCAATCGTCGATGGTACCAGAGCGTCGCCGTTTGGAGAACCATAGACATTTGGCGTCGTTTGCCAGGTTGTCGGATATGCGCGACCCATGAAGTCGGCGTCGATACAGGGTACTCCGAAGTGTGCCGATACACTTAGGTTGACAACGCCATTTCCTCCGCCAATCTCCAGGGACAGAAAGCCGGATACGGGTGGACTTTTGATGATTCGCATGAGCTCTTCGTGCGCCTTGAGGCATTCATCGTTCTCGAGTCTCTCCATGCTCACCTCTGGACTGCCCATACAGCCAGTCCATCCGACCAAGGAGTCATCTGGTAGATATTCAGGTGAAACAACCTTGATCGTGCCAGGATGACGGTGAACAATTGCTTTTGCCTTGAGATACTCCTGGTAGGGATCACCGCCACCTCCGCAGCCAAGAACTTTGCACCCTGCAGCGATGAACTCCAGATCTGTAGCAGAGACGATCCACTGTCTGTCTCTAATTTCAGGGCGATACGTGTGAATGTCCAACTTCTGGGTGTCCGAAGGAATCTCATGATCTTGCCGAACAATCTTCACATCGTGCGCTTCCTCTTCGTGGCCAGTCGTATCCAGCAGTGTGAATTCCTTTCGAGGCACCTGTTGTTGGGATATAATATCCAGTTGACCGACTGCTCTGATGAGAATCCGGGCTTTTGCGTCGACGTATTGAATTGGTAGCATGGTGATTTCAACAACTTGAACCGTCTCTGGCCTCGCACCATTTCCAATCGCCTTCTGGATAGCAATCTTCGACACTGCTTCTTGGGCATCTTTAAGTGTCTTATCCGAAGTATCCACGACGGTGTCAATAACACCCGACACTCGCGAGATAGCAGCGCCAACAGCGTTAGCGACTTCGCCACCCTTCACAGTTCGCACCATGCGCACTCCGGAGAGAGGTTCATCTGTCCTGATGATAGGTGCACCACCACCGACAATCAAGACATCTACATCGCCTTTCTGAATTTTTGTTCTGTCGATGAGCTCTTCGATCTTCCGTCGCATAACAATCTGCGCCCTTTTCACTACTTCAGGCGTGACATCTGCAAGGCGCTCGAAATCCCCCATTCCTTTGAAAGGGTTGTTTCCCGTCGGTGAATGTATCTCAGATGCAGCAACAATATCGGTTGATGTCAGGTAGTCGCCACCAAAAAGCTTCGCCTTCTCGAGAAGATCCAAAGCGACACTCTCCGGACCAACGGACATATCTCCATTCTCTAGGCTCCGGATGATCGAGCCCCCACCCAGCCCAATGCTTTCAACTGCAGGAAGAGCAAAGTTGGTGCGAACTCCACCGACCATACTCATGATCGAGCTCATCTGCGGGAGTCCATTTGGAAGCAAGAGTCCGCTATCGGATGTGGTGCCACCGATATCAATAACCGCGAGAGGTTCGGTACGCTCGCCATGCTGCTGTCCGTCTGCCTCGGCTGCCGCGCGCCAAAGGAATTCTCCGCCACGAATCGAATTCGTTGGGCCGGAATTGAAGGTGCGAATAGGTAGTTCTACTGCCTCTGAAGCGCCGAGAACACTTCCATCGTTTTGAGTCAGGTAAAGCGTGTAAGGGTTTCCTTGGAAGATGTCTTCCATCGATTTCTGGAACCCATAAATGGTTTTTTCAGCGAGTGGGCGTAGCGTGGCATTCAGAATTGCTGCATTCTCACGAGCAAGGAACCCGAGCCCTGACACCTCGTTTGACAGCGTGATCCGGGTCTTGAAATTGAGACTGCCTTTCTTAACCATGCTTTCCAGCAGGATTTCTCTGGCCGTTGACTCTTGCAGGTGGTTCAAGGGGGCGTACATCCCCGAGATCACCACGTTCGAAATATTATTCTGTACCAAATCCTCGGCCACGCGTTCAATCTCCTCGCGGCCTAACGGGCTGATTTCATCCCCGGAGATCTGGTATCCACCATTACAGAAGTATATCTGAGGGGACTCAATACAAGCACGCAGATCTGCAGGGAAGTCAATAAATGGCGGGATTCCGCGGCCGAAGCCCTCTTCGGAACCACCGCATAGTCTGATGACGGCCACGCGTCGTAGCGCCGGTGAGCGCTGAACGACTGCGTTGACGAAATGAGTTGTGCCGATGATCACGCAGCCAATTGACGAGAGGGATACATTTGAAGAGTCGATTACTTTCCGAACGGCAGCGGTGATCCCCGTGGTGACGTCCGAGGTGGTCGGCGCTTTGTGAGAGGCGATGATGGAGACAGGATCAAGGGATATGAGAACCGCATCGGTGTTTGTACCTGAAAATTGGCAGTTTAGCTTTTGTGCTGCATGACATGTTACATTCACACGCACCTCCGACATCAACCCCAATGCGGTACTTTTGCTCGGCGTGGCTACCCATGACTAAAGTAAGCAGTGCATCAACGGTCTAATGTCTCTTGATAGAAAATGACGCGGAAATAAAGCATTCATCCAGGCCATAGATGAATATATCTAGATCAACCCCCTCGAGACGAAGCCTTGCCTATCGGAGCTATGCGCTGCGGGGTATATCGTCGGCCAACGCAACGCAGTTGGCCGATCGCGATAGGCGAAGTTCGATAACGCCAATCCGCTTCAAGAAGGTCAACCACAAGCCTCGGCCAATCTCTAATGAGACTATTATGTGTCTTCTGCGCATGCGGAGACGGAGATAGGAGCCCGCATCTCCACATAAAAGAGCCGATAGCAACCGTTCCTACACATCCCAACTAACGATTGTCAAGTTGATTCATGCAACATGATCGCACCAGTCGGTACTCTCAGCATTCCCATCATTGACCTGGAGCCAGCTAGGACTGGGACACCCGAGGAAGCTGCCCAGGTCGCGAAAGATGTTTACGAGGCTTTCAAATACGTTGGCTTCGCCTACATTAAAAACCATGGGGTTCCACAGGAGCTCATAGATGAAGCTTTTAGCTGGGTACGTGTTTGATCTTTCATGATATTCAGTCGGAACGCGGACTCACACTTGAACTTACTTCTAGAGTCAGAAATTTTTCGCCCTCCCTCAAAGCGACAAAGACAAAGCTCCACATCCCCCAGTCGGTTGGTACCACCGAGGCTATTCAGGAATCGGCCGGGAGAAAGTCGTGCAGATGGTCTTCGACAAGGAAGGCATTGAAGAGAAACGGAAAGTGCCAGATGTCAAGGAGTCATTCGAGCTTGGCAATGAGAACGACGAGCGCATGCCAAACATCTGGGTCCCGGATGAAGTCCTCCCCGGATTCCGCGAATTCTTCAACAAATTTTTCGAAACCTGCTACAGCATCGAGCAACTGATGTTGAAAACAATTGCGGTCGGAATGGGGCTTAACGAGGATTTCTTCCTTGATTATCACCGGGACAAAACTAACCAATGCCGACTACTTCACTATCCGCCCGTTGAAGAAGAATTATTAAGAGGAGGAAAGGCGGAGAGAATCGCTGCACACTCTGACTTTGGAACAATGACCGTTTTGTTCCAGGATGAAGTCGGTGGTCTGGAGGTTGAGGACATCCATGAAAAGGGGAAGTTCAACCCAGCGCCATATATCCCCGGAACGGCGGTCGTCAATATCGGTGATCTTCTTATGCGCTGGAGTAACGACGAGCTCAAGTCAACTCTTCATCGCGTTCGTGCTCCGCCTCTGGTCGAAGCCAGCGGTGACAGCAAAGGTCGGATGACCCGCCCTCGATACTCAATTCCATATTTCATTAGCCCCGACAGAGAGAGGGTCATTGATTGTCTGCCCGGGTGTTATGGACCAAATCGTCCGAAGAAGTATGAGCCGATTACCAGCAAGGACTACATTTCCATGCGCATGAATGCTACTTACTGATACGCCTACGTTGATTTTCAACACTTTGATGGACTCCGGATGTACTTGAATATTGATTATCACGATACGCTTGATGAAATGGAATCAGATTGTTTCTCCCAACCAGGCGCCGAGTAATTTCCGTTCGTAAAACGTATTAGGCAAGCGCACAGGATGGACTGGGCCCGGTAGGGGAATTAGATTCATAAAGGACCCACGTGCGATCGAGGACCCATTCCGGTCCTCATGATACGTGCCGCTTGGATGAAAAATGAATCGATTCGCAAGGCAACAGGCCGGACAAGTGCGAGGGATGCATCATCATCTGCCCATTCTCGTAATCTTTGTAGAGATTCATGGAATCTTTCGAGGACAGCGAAGGCACTGTGAACTTGTTCTGGTGTTGAAGCGAGAAGAAAGAGGTATATCAAAAAATTCCCACACACTGTCAGCTGAGAACGCGCGTCTGATGGAGATGATGGTAAGCTTGGTCGATATTGGGGGCCCGTGGCAGACTTACGACCACCCCAAAAAGCATGCAGACAAGGTAGAGTAATGTCATTCATGAAGTGGGTGAAACTTTGGAATTCATTCACGGCCTGTTCAAAGTATCGACGCAGCGAAGAATTGGGATCTGATTTTGCGGCTGTCGTCGCGGGACTCATCAACGCTCGATATAAAAGAGCTTGTATTGCGAAAAAAGCCAGGTGTAGTGGCGCTATGCGTGTTAGCAAGTTAATTGTCGCCGATAGAAAACACATACCGTTGTTTCTGAAGGCTGGCGAGCTCTGGGAATGTTGCATTGTTACACACTGCGGAGCCATACAGGTCCAGTTTTCCAGGTTTTTCTTGATTTTCAACAGTTCTTTCTCGCGTTCCAAGGGCTTCGACATGGTTTTTTCGTATCCGATATCAGTACTAAAAATCGCTATCAGCATAGGTACCTTTCCTTGAGAAATCTGCCAGGCATACTAAAATGAATCAATTAGGTCATGCAATATCCGGCTGAGGTTTACCATCTGTAAGAATCGTGCGCTGGTGGAGATATCCACATCTCTGCTGGATTCATCCACCATATGTCGTATCCCTTCGGGGACCTCTTCATCGAATGCTAGGTCTTCAATACTAGGCGCAGCTGTTGTAAACGAGTCTTGATAAATGAGAGGCGGGTTTCCATGGCAAACCGATGACCAAATATCAGCGATGTAAGTAGACCACCATAGTTTCCTGCGTAGCTTCTTCTCCCACGGTGCAATTTGCCAAAACGTAGGATCTCTATGTAAGCCAATCATCTGAGCACATGCCACGGTATGCGCGGAGAAGACCCATGTACAGGGCGTTTCAATCGTCGCATTGTCAGCCGGTCTCTCATACAGGAGCAAAAGGCATGCTTGTAATTTCCAAAGGTTGGGAGCATGAAACTCTCTTTGAAGTGATGAATGGGCTTCTTGAAATAGGTCGTGCAGGTCGAACTGCAAGGTCCCGTCTTGGGCGAACTCGTGCTTCCAAAACATTGACCCTAGACCGTAAATAGCACCACGTAAAGACGCAGGTATTTGCAGCTTGTCTATTGCATATGCCTGTAGAAAGCGGGTCTTTGAGACAACACAATATACCGGGTGGATATGTTTGAAGAAGAGCCGCACAAGGGTAGCGCCATGCGGAGATACCATGGCCTCGATTGTCTCCGATGCCCGGGCCTTGGCAACATCATCGGCGGGTTGGAATTCGTCGTGAAGCACATTAAAATGGATTGGGGGTACATTCTGGCTTGAATTTGCGGGACTGACTTGAATCACGTCTGCGCTAACTCCATCTTTCTCATTCATGATCACTGATCGGAATGAAGCCAGGAGGTCAGTGTCTTGTTCGGCGGAAAGCCCCATGCTATGGGCAGTCCGATTCTCATTATCTTCCAGCGTATACATTAGTGGCACGACGGAAGATATTCCAGGTGCCCCAGGTGATACTGCTGTCGGCGATGATTCTTGTCCCAACCAGGACAACGGTTCGGCGTGGGAGTGTCTCAGGGGTAATGGCGTATCTCCTGGTAAGGATCTGGCGTGGACAGGCGACATATCCAGTCGTGACGTCGAATCTTCTGGACCGAGTGAAGACTCACCGGAGTCTTCTACAGTTGACGGCATCCTCGTACTGCATTCTTGATCATCACGACCAATTTCCGCCTCGTCATGTGGAGACGGTGGGTGCGACTCATCGTTGATGGAGCGACAGAGCAAGCCCCTAGACCGACAAAATCTACCTAGATTACCATTAGCCTGTTTTCTCGTCGATTTTGGGCCTTTCTTTACATGGGGGGCTTGATTCAATGACACACGCCGTCTTTCGACGACGGCACGCATCGCATGGCCGGTTCTTGCGACTCCTCCACTCACGGGCATTGCCGAACTTTGTTCTAATTTTGAATGTGCGTTTCTTCCGTAGACGGCCATCCATGCTTGAACAGTTTGGAGTTTTTAATGAGGGAAAGTTCAGGATGATGCCAATCTTATGGGTGGAGGAGATAAGAGGGGAAGCTCGCTCCGCTTCGGCAACGTCACGTCTACACCTCACGGCGCCAGGAACGCAAAGAGGGCAAGTAAAGCAATACAATGTTCCCTATGTCACAATCGCCCTTGACTGGAGACCCATACATACCGTCTGGATGCCTAAGCTTGTGCAGCTTATCCGACATGGCCTTTCGTATTTCTGTCGAGGTAACTTCTATCTTGTACAGTTTTCAAATGAATAATTCCGTTGATGATTATGAATTATGTATCAGGCATCGCAGATGCTATCTGTAGAGCACAAAACACCACATCCACATTTCTATCCGAGCGAATGCGGAACCCACGGGGATGCGAAATCACCATATCTTTTTCGCAACCATCTCATACCGGTGCACATGATCAATCTTCAAGTCCTTATCCTTATTTCTATCCCTATCCTCCTTCTCCTTAACACGCCGCAGACCATCGGGATCATCAGCATAGATCCATCTCCGCTTCTCATCGCCAACCTCAACCATACCCCAACCCCCAGCGCGACGACTTCCTTCAACTGTGAACTCGTCTTTGCGCGCGGGAGTTTCGGCGGGTGGTTGATGGTGGGACGATGAATGCGAGGACTTGCGCACTTCTGGCTCCGTCGCTTTCATTTTCTTGTACCGGGAGCGAGCAAATGCGAGGAGGACCATTCCCAGGAGAAGCTTTAGGATTAGTAGGACGATGAAGCCGGTGAGAAGGAGGATGACGGTGAAGATTTGGACGGATTGGGCAGGTGATGGGATGGCATTTTCAAGCAGGGTTCGGAAGAAAGAGTTGATGTGTGCTGCCGAGGCGGGGAGGATGGTTCGGAGGGTCAAAGGCGGTGCTGACGGGAGGGGAAGGGTCGCGTAGCGGTCGTGAATGGAGGATAGGGAGGTCGCTCCCATTGCTGTAGAGGATGGGTGTTGAGGCAGTAGAGAGGCTAGGAACATCTGATACGTCTGCACCGAGACTCGAAAGAACAGACAGGAGAGGGGGATGACGGGGAGGCCAAGGCGACGGGTGAGGTTGTGGTCACCGAAGGCATTCGTATAGTAGTCTTTGGCGAGAACATCCAAATACCGGCCGTAAAGAGCAGGGCGGTAGTTATTGAACTTGTTAATGTATGCATGTTTCAGCCAGTCCACGAACATCTCGGAGCCCAGGACAACCAAAAAGGGTCCTAGGACCTGGGCCAAAGTTGGGATAAAGGAGTTGACATTGTTGAAAGACGACAGAATGGATGATGGGAAGAATGTGAAAGACTGAGGCAAAATGGACGATGCAGTTCGTGGAGGCGTGGACAGAGGCGTACTGTTGGTGCTGGTAGAAGACTGACTAGAAAAGCCAGATCCCAACCCGAGGTCGCCGATGAAGTTGAAAGCACCAGTCTCAACGATGTTGCGCGAGGCAATGATTGTGAGCATAAGCCACAGCTGGAACCGTTCCACGACATCAGCGCAGGTAAGTTGGAAAAGGTTCTCTTTCTCGAACTTCCTGAAGACAGTCGACTTGATCTCGACAAACTGGTTGGATAGCAGCAGCGTGATGAGTGCGTTCGAGTATGAGTTCACAGCCACGTTCAGCGTCATGACCTGGTAGAAAAGGGACGTCGCATGTGCCACGGTGTATATCAGTGCCAGCAAGAACAGCCAGAATGGACGGAAGATCTTGCTACGTCCATCGGGACGACGCTCAAGGGCTTCCCGAGAGAACAGGCACTCGAGGACATCTTGACCGAGGGCCGCCAAAAGTCGATCACTCACTTCCAGCACGTTGTAAATAACATACAGCTTGATCGCTGCCTGCCCACGAATCCAGTGGTACATCCGACTAGCATCAAAATACATCAAAGCCCAACAAGTCGTAATCATGAGCAGACCCGTCAAAATATCCGCTTTGTCATCTGGTAGCAAGGCCGACGGCATCGACTTCTTCCTCCGATGATGTTTGCGGGATTCAGACGCCCGGTGTTTCCGTTTGGAGGGTTCTGAGTGCCGATGTCTAGCTTCTCGATCAATCGGTGTCGCGTCATGTCCGGTGGATGATCCATTCGGTATGCGAGGGGTAGCATCAGGCTCGCTCTCGCGCCTTTCACCATGACCCTCGGCGGGGTGCTGATTCCTCCTTCGCCACACCCGACCAACGCCATTCAGGACAAATTTCCAAACAAACTTCATCTCAGCATCGATATTCATCACCCAAGATTCAAATAGCATATATACAGCCTTCGCAAAGCGAAGAGGGAGGATCGTGAACGAATAGAGCCATGAGTCGAGACATGCGAGCGTTCCAAAACAGAGAACCTGCTCTAGTTGCATTGGAAGAAGCAAGACATTCAGCAGTCTTTCAATTTTTGCGCCGGATGATTCGTAAGGGAAATCGGCGGTCGAGGAGCGATGAATGTACAGAGGCGATGGACGACCGGATGCAAGCTCCAGTTGAAGATAGGTCGGTATGGACACAGGAGGTAGAGGGATAGCTGGTGGCACAGGTGACGTGAGAGGCGACTCGGGGATCTGCGGAGATGGAGCGAGTTGACTCTTTAGATCTTTGAACTCTCTGTCTGCATCCAGTCGATCTTGTTTCGAGCGCGATGCCCATGTCTGGGTGAGTCGGTCATCATTGGGTGTAGAAGAAGCTGGGCGTCGCGAGAGACCAGGGGTGGAAAATATTCGCGATGGATGCGGGCGATTCCGCAAAGGTGCATTGCTGGTATTGCGTGTAGAAACCGGGCTCGCGGGCACAGATGCATCAATATCAACATCCTTGATGGGCCGAATCTTGTCTGCAGGTGGCGGACCCTCGCTGAGAGCCTGCAAAATCGAAGCCTTTATCTCCGGTCTGATATGCGAACCATTCGAATGAGTACTCTCCGATGCCACCCTCCTTCCGTTGTTGGGTTCCGGTGCCACTGCACGGTACGGAATAGATTCAGGCGAAGATGTAAGTTCCTGGATCTTCTCCGGAGAGAGTTTCAGGACTTTCTCTTTGTCATCCGCTGGCTGTTTCGCCATATCTTCAGCAATTTCCGCCAAAGCAGCCTTGGCCTTTTGTCCTCCGAAAACATCCACAACAGACGTCCGATGGGTCTGGTTCCCCTCCCTTTGCGTGTGTTCGAGAATAATGCCGAGGCCTTGCTCTGGCGATCCAGATATCTGTCCATTTTGGTGACTTCCATTCGTATCATGTTCGACCGTAGCGCTGTCGGAATCATTTCGTGCATCGGTCGGGTTGCCGTCTCCGCTTATCGCACGCTCGGTGGTGTCCGTCTCGTGGGTAAGTGTTGAAGGGCCAGCGTCATGTTCGTCATGACTGGACAACCGGATATCACCGTGATCTGCAGACCTCACTTTCCCATTCCCCGGCATCTTCAATTCCTGGTTCGACACGTGTCTACCGTTCTCCATACCGGGTACCATGCTGCCTGACTTGCCAAAAAGCTTTTCAACGGCAATTATACACCCTCTCTGTTGTTATGAATACCCTGGTTGTCCCTTAAGCCATCAGAAGTAGGCGGGAGGCGTTTGCATTATCCAAGCTGGGGCGGGATCCAACGGGGCTGGAACGCGTCAAGCTATCGGTTCGACAAATGGAAGAGGTTCAACGCGTAAATTTGCGATGGGGCCAATTTCAGATCGGGGTTGGCAGATTAACTCGGAGTCAACCAATGTACATGTTAAGCTGCTGGACGCGCGCGACATCGAGCGTGCAGCGGAGTGCAGGCGGTGAAGTGGGAGCAGCTGGGGAAGATAAGGCGGTTGGATTTATCCGTCCACACTCCGATAGTGGCCTCAGGCATACAGGGGTCCAATATCGCTGATCTAAACAGAACTTGGGCAATTCGGATTGTATTTTCCGGAAATCAAGTCCAATTAAGTCCTAAAAGTGTAGACTGTAAATTGGTTTCGAATATGACCGTACTTGATAAATCTTCAAAAACAATACATTCACATCAAGGAAATATTCGAGGCGCCGGACTGGGAATCAACTAATAGGGTATGTACAACGGTCCAAGAGACTTGCTCGCTGGTCATGAACGGTATTAACGGGACATCCGGTCATCAGATGCAGTAGATCCAGCTTTTCTGCATTTTGTCATAAGGGAAGTTCAGTGCAAATAACTTGCTTAAAATTGATCAGTGTTTGCGCGGTTGAACGAGTATCCCGCAGGAGGACCGTTGCGCTGCATGGTCGACGGCGATGCAGTGTTCGCACGTGTGAAGGGCTGATATCCCGTTGGTGGAGGTGGCCTCTGCATGCGAGAGTGCGGCGTCTGGGATGGTGTTGGGGGATTGAATGCCGCATAGCCGCCGCTTTGAGATCCAATAGGGCTCTTTGGGCTCATGGGGGTAAAACTCCTTGGTTGGGGCTGCACCTGAGCGCTGGCTTGTGGACCAGGCGTGCTACGATAGCTTGCCGGAGTCATAGTCCTCTGAGGAGGACCACCAGGTGATGGACGCATCACAGAACTCGCAGGAGTGTAGGACCTATATCCGTCCTGAGGCGGATACCCTGACTGCGGATGGGACTGATTGGTGGAGGCCACGGGCTGCTCTCTGTAGTCATCCAGGCCATAATTGTATGCGTGGTCACCATGAGTATCTTCAGCACTATAGCCCTGGTTCTGGGTCATGTAGGGATCCTGGCGAGCCGGCGTATGTGAGCGTCCGTAAGAATCATAAGAAACGGGAGTACTGGGTGTGTTCGATCGGGCGTAGGGGTCAGCAGCAGGTGTATGCGAACGTCCGTAATAATCATCAGGAGCGGGAGCGCCTGGTGTATTCGATGGAGCGTAAGGATCGTTGACAGGCGTGAATGTGCGATACGGTTGCGCCCCCGCATCAGTCAAGTTGCGATACCCACCTGTCGGGGTGTTACGACCAGAGTCATTGGCAAACGGTGTGGGACTAGGAGCGGGTCGTGACATCGCCGTGCCTGTCCTTGGAGGGGGCACGGTAGCGGGCAGTGGTGGGATTGGAGGAAGGGGGGAGGCCTGGCGGTCAAGAGGACTATATCCCATTGTAGCGGCATTGCCTATCAGGGAGGCCGACTCAGACATGACGGAGGACTGGGTGGTTGTGCGGGTGAGCGGCGGCTTGCTATCAAACTCAAGGTTCGGCAGAGTTGGGTTTTTCTCCGTGACATTGGAGTTCGTCCTGGTATAGGGGGGAAGGGTAGTCGCAGTTGTGCTTCGAGACAAGGTCGTCACAACAGGGCCCTTGTCCAGGTCGGGCAGCTTTGGCTTCGAGTCTGCGCTTGCGACGCTCGGTTGGGTTGGAGCGCGATCTTGCAGCTGGAAGCCCTTGGCCAAGGCCTTGTTGACCTTGCGCTGCACAATGCGCTTTAGCCGTGTGCTAATCTTGCGGCGGCAGTATGCCTTGAGTGTGCCGTCTTCCTCGGGGATGTGGTGGAAAAGGAACACCAAGTAGAGAATGACAGCTGAGGCTAGCTTCAAGACGGACAATACCCAGATGATCAAGGTGAAAAGCATACCAAACAAGACCACGGCTTGCAGGTTGTTGTCTTCGGCGAGAATTTTAACGTTGTTGAAGAACTGCAAGACCGGCGAAGTACCATTGTCCTTTGATGCATTCTCACCTCCCGGAAGCAGGTCCATTTTCATCACCGAGTAGAGAGTGATTGCGTTGATGACCTGGCGGGGTCCATCGGCGAAGATGGTATTCATCCAGAATTGAAAAGAGAAGTATGTGAACAACGCCACATTTTCGGCCCCTTTCTTACTCTTTGTCAATTCGGCGAAAACGAGGAATCGTTTCCATCCGCTACCCTTGCTGGTGAAGACACGAAAGCTCTGCACCCGCACTGCAATAGGGTCCAGGTAACTTCGAGTAATACTGCCGGAGCGGATCGCGCGATAGGCGAGAATCCAACGGTACACGAGGAGTGTGAACGAGGTGAGAATGCAGGCGGTGAAGATCCATCGAGAGATTCTGAATGGAATGGCAGGTTCGACGCGGCCAGACCAACGAGAGAAGGCCAGCAAATTGACTGCGGTGAAGGTGTCGACACCATAGACGGCAAACGAAACAAACATGAACACCCAGAGGAAGAAGTAGGAGAATCCTTCCCAGCACGAGTCGGACTTGAAGTCGTTGAGGTTCTAAAGCAGCGAGAATCAGTACCAGGCCTTGTATCCATCGCCATCGAGCCGACATACCACATAGTCCCATTTTTCCTCCAGTGGGACATTTCCTTTTTCACGATCGCCCGTGCACCCCATGGTGTGTGGACCCGGACCTGCCAGGAAACGATCGGTCGTTGAACGAGTGTGGTGATTACCCGATAAATGGGTAGACTTCCTCGGGCCAGCCGGGAGAAGTCACGATCAGAATAGCGAGTCCGGTGTAGGTAAATAGTGAAGGGATTGAGGAAGCACCGAGAAGGAGTGGACGGTATCTTAACCACAATGGCGCATTACCGCGACTGGCTAGGGGGAAGGCTGGCGCGAAGTCGAGGGCGCAATATGCGTGGGCAATGAACAAAGCGCTGGTGTTTCAGAACGGCATTCATGCACATATGCATTCACGGCCGGAAAATGCAAGCGACACAGTGGACACCGATCGCCAAGCGCGACAGGGCAGATCTCGGTGTCTGAGCGCCGAGAAAGGGGGTGGATGGAAACACCGAAGATTGGATTGCGATAAGGAATGTACGCGTTTTGAGGCCGGGATGAAAGAACGGACTTGTCAAAGACGACAAAGGATGACTTGAGGTTGAAGTCGAGGTGAATGAAACCGAGAGGGATAGAAAGGGGGGATGAAACACGGAGGAGAAGAACCACAAAGTTTGGCCGGTGGAATCCCCGAGCGGGAGCGGGACGCCAGGCACGATCTCGTCCAGGGCTGAATCACATCCCTGGAGGATGTTTCTATCCCATTCTCGCGGTTCATTGGCTTTTATGTCTGTCTTGAAACCCATCCTGCAGACTCTGGCGCCTCTCACTGTCGCGTCTCCCCCTTGTTACCTAAACCTCCAATTGAGGGTATAGACAGGGTTCCATGGGCGACAGTCTCCAGTCTCCACAAGGATCCACCTTTGCATGGGACGAATGATACGGGGGGCTCCGGGCTCCATCACGCACCGACCAGTCGTTGGCACGCGATTATCGCTCGCTCTCAACATGTACATACTGGAAGCGCCCTTTCCTTCGTGCTACCTTCCATAGCGACCGCCCAAGCCAGCTCATCTGCTCTCATGCTCGCCTCCCAGAACGGAGACCGTTGTGAGCTTTCATTGACGGAACTGCGCGGAGATGTTCACGATAACCGGTCGCAGTTCAACGGTGCAAGAGTGGGGTTCTTTAATATCGGCTATATTTGGCCGATGTCATGTTGGACAGCACCACGTTCTACAGAAAGTAGTCCTCGATCGGAGATGATTTTCTACGTAGCGACACAAAATAGGCCTCGTCTTTTCAATTGGCTTTCTCGAGCGCTACTCCATTGACTCCACTGCAGCGTGCTGTGGACGAACCAGGGTGAAAGAACGGGAGTGGATAGCTCGGATTACGGCTAAAAGCCTCGCAATTCGTGCCGAAGCAAACCCCGGAGAGAAGCTCCGAACATGAACAGTCCATGAATCTGACAAGATCAGCGTATTGGTCCATGCATGGTCTAATGACGTCGACCATTGGCCGGGAATGTAGGAACTTTGTTGCGAGCTTGCATTTATAAGCTGGTGGGGCATTGCAAAGTATAGAGAACAGGGTTTCGACAGCTACAACTCACATAAATTGGAGCTTGCCCTCCTCTTCTCATCATACTAGATTCATCAATTTCCCAATTGCAATCATGGCACCCCCGAATATTGAGAACAAAGCCGCCCCGGGCATCTCCTACTACACCCCGGCGCAAGAACCTCCCGCCGGCTCTTCCGCGATCCCGCAGTCTGATGGATCGCTGCCTCCCAAGCTCTTCCAGCCCTTTACGGTGCGGGGCAAGACGTTCCACAACCGCATCGGAGTAAGCTACCTCCAACCCCGGTACTTCGAGGTACCTCGTCTTGGTCGACTACTAATTCCTATCACCTAGCTTTCCCCGCTATGCCAATATAGCGCCGACGATGGACATATGACCGACTGGCACATGGCGCACCTGGGCGGCATTGCCCAGCGCGGACCGGGTCTCATGCTGGTGGAAGCCACAGCAGTCCAGCCAGAAGGTCGGATTACCCCCCAAGACCATGGTCTCTGGAAAGACTCTCAGATCGAACCTCTCCGCCGCGTGGTCGAGTTCGTGCACAGTCAGAGCCAGCTCATCGGCATTCAGCTGGGCCACGCGGGCCGCAAGGCAAGCACCGTGGCCCCCTGGTTGAGCGCGGCAGACACGGCCACCAAAGAAGTAGGCGGATGGCCCGACAACGTGAAGGGTCCGTCGGATATCCCATTCCAAGAGAAGTTCCCCAAGCCGAAAGCCATGACCCTGGCCGATATTGAACAGTTCAAAAAGGACTGGGTGGCCTCCCTGAAGCGGGCTCTCAAGGCCGGTGTGGACTTTATTGAAATCCACAATGCCCACGGCTATCTTCTCATGAGTTTCCTGTCGCCCGCGACCAACAACCGGACGGATAAATACGGTGGCAGCTTCGAGAACCGTATTCGTTTGTCCATGGAGGTTGCCAAGTTGACTCGCGAGAATGTTCCCGACGACCTTCCCATCTTCCTGCGTGTCTCAGCCACGGACTGGCTGGAGGAGGTCATGCCTGACCAGCCCAGCTGGCGCGTGGAAGACACGGTCCGTTTCGCAAAGGCGCTGGCGGATAGCGGCAACGTCGATGTTCTAGATATCAGCAGTGGAGGTAACCACCATAAGCAGCACATCCACGCCAAGGCAGCTTTCCAGGCGCCGTTTGCTATTAAAGTGAAGGAGGCCGTTGGAGATCGACTCAAGGTTGGCTCGGTCGGCATGATCAACTCCGCCCATCTGGCCAACAGTCTGCTGGAGAATAACGGTCTGGACTTTGTGCTGATTGGCCGTGCCTTCCAGAAGAACCCCGGACTGGTGTGGACCTGGGCGGAAGAATTGGATGTCGAAATCTCGATGGCTAATCAGATTCGCTGGGGCTTCGCCAGTCGTGGTGGCAGTGTCTATTTGACGAAGCAACAGAAGGTGTGAGCTGCAGCAGAATGCACCCATTACGAACGCTAGCTAGTGTACGAATGAAATGAAAAGTGAACGATATTTTGTGTTATTTATTGAAAATTGAATTGTGATTCGGTACCCAGTTATGATCTAGGCCGCAAAGTAGTGACGTCCACGGAGGCGCTGCTTGGCTCGTCCGTCCATTTCGTCCGGGGACTCTTCATCCGGACATTTCCAGCTTCTTTACAGTTCGATGTCGAGCATTACAAATGCCATGTGCATGTAAATAAATATACGATCGCCCTCGGAGAAGTTTCTATGTTTCTCGTGTAACAATTCTATTCGAAATGGTCACCCTCTCCGATGTCCAGGCATCTAATGCCCAAATCCCCACGGCGCTTCCATCCGGCCTCGTGGCCGTCTTCGTCGGCGCAACAAATGGCATTGGCGAGTCTACGCTGATGGAATTCGCGCGCCATGCCCGTCAGCCTCGCGTCTATCTTGTCGGTCGCTCTCAAGAAGCGGGCGACCGGATCGCTACCGAATGTCGGCAGTTGAACCCGGACGGCGAGTTTACCTTCATCAAAGCGGATCTCAGTCTGATGCGAAACGTCGACGATGTATGTCGCGAGATCGAAAGCAAGGAGAATGTCATCAATCTTCTCTTCCTTAGCTGTGGCGTTGCGATGACGGGCGTCGGTTCGTCTGTACGTCCAACCGCGGAGTTTGGTGCTGATATCCGTCTAGATACGAGCGAAGGCCTGCACGTCATTCTAGCCGTGGGATACTACGCCCGCGCGAGATTCACTATTAACCTGCTCCCGCTGTTGCGAAAAGCCACCGGACTCCGACGCGTCGTGACAGTCCTAGCCGCAGGTCACAACGGGCCCATCTACACAGACGACATCCAAGCACGTAATATATCCGTATTCTCACTACGCGGTCACGTAGTCTCGATGACAGACATGCTCCTCGAAAAACTGGCGGAACAAGCGCCGGAAGTGAGCTTCGTGCACGACTATCCGGGCGCAGTGAAAACGGGCATTGGGAGAGATGCCAACACCATGCTGGTGCGTATCGTCTCCTGGATAATGCCCGTCGTCGGAATGTTCCTGTACATCCCTATCAGAGAGTCCGGAGAACGACACTTGTTCTTCGCGACCAGCGCCAAGTACCCTGCCCCATCTGACGAAACGGCTGGAGTGCCTGTCCCGGCCGGAGTCCATGTGGCTGATGGAACCGATGGCGCATCGGGCAGCGGAGTGTACAGCATTCATTGGAACGGCGAGAGTGCTGGGCCCAAGGTGGTTCGGCTCTTACGTGGGATGCGCGAGGAGGGAATGACGCAGCAGGTGTGGGATCACACCGAGGGGGAATTCAAGCGAATTTTTGATTCTAAGCCATCTCGCGACGAATGAGAATGTTAACCCCAATCAATGGGTAGTCGTAATGCAGATAATGTCATTGATTTAGAGATATGCAAATGCAAATGCACATGCGACGATTGGTTTCTCAAAGGGGAATCCATTTCGTGGAGAACAGACCCACGTTCGCCTCGATCGGGTATCGTTTGCGAGAGTCGGCGTTGACAACTCCGTCCCGGTCCTGAAATTCCATTTCGTTTTACTGAAATATCGGTGCTTACCCTTGCACATGTGAAAACCTTCCTATATTTTCATTCCTGGACGAAGCCCCGCGAGTCCATCTTCCATCGCCTCTATTATTGGGAGTCAGCATTCGAGAGTTGGCATGTCAGAGCGCATCCCGCTTTTATCACGATACGCGTTCTTCTGCATCTGACCGTCGCTAAGATCTGTCGATTGCCACGAGGGCCTTCTTTTTGGGCACTGAGCCTCACGTGCGGACTTGTTTCCTTTATCGCCAAACCCCTACGAGATTCTCCGTCCCGTATAATGGGTCACTTCAGGGTGCTCTTCCTCGGTGTGGCTGCGGGGGTCTACTTTCAGCCGCAATATGCCATATACAACTCAAGGATTGCGACTGTCGCCATCTTGTTCTTGATCGTCAGCATATCTAAGCTGATATATCAATTAATTCTTTACCCTGCGCTTTTCACGCCGATCAAACATATTCCAACTCCAGGAGTCAGTCCGCCCTGAGTATTTAATTACATGATTCAAGACTAACATCTCTAGAAACGGCATTGGCTTATTGGAAATTCCACTTCGTTTTTCCTCGAGACCCCATATGAAGGGTTACGAGAATGGGTCCGCACCATTCCCAATGAGGGTCTCCTCCGGTACTACATTGTCGGGAACCTTGAGCGTGTCATTTTGACCAGCCCCAAGGCCTTAAGTGAATTATTGGTAACCAAGGTGTATGACTTTGAGAAGCCATTGATGGTTCGACAGAGCCTGCGCCGTGTGGTTGGCGATGGTATACTGCTTGCCGAGGGCGACGAGCACAAGGTAGGGAAATATTACCCGCATCAGCCGCGTCTTTGCTAACACCAGAAACCTATTGTAGCTTCAACGCAAGAATCTCATGCCTGCATTTTCCTATCGCCATATCAAGGACCTGTATCCTGTCTTCTGGGCCAAGAGCGCGGAGATGGTGAAGCTGATCCAGCAGGATATCGAGAACAGAGATGCCACTGAAGATAACACAATCCAGGTCCGCAACTGGGCCAGTCGGGCCACACTTGATATCATCGGAGTGGCTGGTATGGACCATGATTTCGATTCCTTGCGTGACCCGGGCAACACTCTGAATAAATCATACCAACGCATCTTCGTGGCCCCGAATCTGGTAACCAAAATCCTAATCGTCACTGCAATGATGCTAGGTAACATGGATATGGTCGCGAAGCTTCCCACGCGGCGCAACAAAGATATCACCGAGGGTGGCGCAGTTGTTCGTGACGTTGCCCGCCAGATGATCCGACAGAAGAAGGCCAAGATGGAAGATCCCAACGCCACGACCGGCTTCGACATCATCTCAGTCGCCATGAAAAGCGGCACCTTTGACGAAGAGAACCTGGTCGACCAATTGATGACCTTCCTGGGCGCCGGTCATGAAACAACCGCCACGGCGATGCAGTGGGCTGTTTACGCACTCTGCAAGAACCCCGAAGTCCAGACTCGTCTGCGCGAAGAAATTCGCGCCAACCTCCCATCTATCTCCGCCGAAAATCCCACTATCGATGCTACGGCGATCGACAACCTCCCCTACCTGCACGCCGTCTGTAACGAAATTCTTCGCTTCCACCCATCCGTCCCCAACACTGTCCGCATAGCTGTCAAGGATACAACACTTGTCGGCAAGGCCGTCCCCAAGGGTACATTCCTCCTCATCTCACCCGAGATCCTCAACCACATGGAGGAACTGTGGGGGCCTGACGCGGACAAATTCAACCCGGATCGATTCATGGGCCCGGGCAAGGCCAACACTGGCGGTGCAACCAGCAACTACGCCTTCCTGACATTCCTCCACGGCCCACGCAGCTGTATTGGTCAGGGATTCGCAAAGTCAGAACTTGCTTGTCTTCTCGCTGCGACAGTTGGTCGCTTCCACATGGAGTTAAAGTATCCTGATAAAAAGTTGGAGATTCGTGAGGGCGCGACTGTTTCGCCGAAGGATGGTGTTTTGGCTAAATTTACACCGTTGGAGGGATGGTAGATTGTACTATGGTTCGATTTTTTGAATGTCTTTGCTTTATGAATTAGTTTTTACACAGGAAATTACCTTCACACCCATTCAGCAGGTGCATGGCTAGATAAGGGATTCATCTCAATGCCGAGTAAGTATCTACTCATCACCCTCTATGAGATAAGGGCAATTCATCGGTAGCGGAATCCTGGCAGTATAACCAAGATATTCCTCCAAAGAGTGAATTTTCTAAACATGATAGGGATAGCTTCCCGGAGAATCTTCCTCCATCAATCAGGAGATAACAGTACCAAGGAAAGCCTCAATTTCGTTGGTCTAGCCCTTCGTCTTGATCGATTAGAATGTCCAACCCGCAATCTTCAACATTCAATAGACAAAAGCCGCCGGTGAGTCAGACGACAAAACTGAGCTCAATGGTAGCAAATATATTAAGGAAATCGATCGCTTGAAGAGCCCGATCCGTTCTAGCTCCCATTGTAGCAAGTCCACACTCGACTCTCTGAAACGGTGTTCTACGCGGGTCCCATTCACACTTGGCGCTTGGCACATTGGTTGTGGTGCGCCGAGGAAAAGAAACAGAGCAATATCCACTACCTGCTCCTCAGCAATATCTTGAGGTAATGTAGCGCTCTCCTCCTCCCCACGTCTCCCTTTGCTGAGGGAGAAACCGGCGTGTGTGTGTATGAAACCGCCTAAGGACATGTTTAGTTTTACTTTCTACCGAGTAAAGACAAAGCGACGAAGGGGAACACTTGAACGAATAGGAAACCCGCGAAGTGTCACGGCGTACCCACACATACCTAACTAGAATGATTTTCCCTTGGTTGTATTCGAGAATAGTTCCAACATGCAAGGGGTACGGAAATAACGCATGATATCATTTTCGGGATTCGTTTTTCTACACAACCCGGCACTTATTTGCAATACCATCAGTGGAATGATTCAACAGTTCTCTCTCGCGAGACAACTATTCGCTGGGCACATTTACCCTGTGTGACTGCATTTCAGCAAGCTTGTCTTCCTTGTCAGTGTCTCTGGCGTCGCAACAGCACTCTCGATAAACACACCATCCGATGCCGTGGTTCGTCTTCCGGTTTGCTTCAACTTGAAATAATGCTAACATCTCTTTCTCCTCTTCTAGCAATGCCGCCCTACCATTCTAGAGTGGGAAGGGGGATCACCCCCTTATTATTTGACTGTCCACCCAGGTGACCAGTTCGGTGCACCAGCACTGGGGGATCTCGGTCTACAATATGGGAGCTCTCTGGGATGGAATGTTGATTTTCCACTTTCGGCATCTCTTGCCTTAGCCGTTAGGTATTCAAGCATTTGTCATTTCTTGAGAAAAGTCCACTATCTGACACCGTATAGGCATTCAACTGGTGCTACCGCAAATTCCGCCTCCTTTTCTGTTCAGCCAAGTGATGATTCGTCATGCTTGAATCAATAACGTGGTTTTTCATTTCCTAGTATTAAACTGGTGCCTGCATATAGATACTCCGACGGAGGAGGGGATGATTGGTCCAGACTGACAGTCCAGGAGTGACTATTTGCTAGCAGATAAGCAACCAACGAAACCGAGAATCGTGACGGCATCTTTTTCCAATTTTGATAAAGATCGGATGTTTTGAACGACGTGCGGCGGTGGGCGGCACAACGTCAAGCCGACCCGGCACAACATACTAGCCGTCATTTCTCACTTTTTCGTATAACTCGCATGCCCTGCACTTGATTTTATTGATATCCATACTTTCCAAAATCGTTGAATCGATCCTAGCCTAACGTTTGCATCATGCCTAAGCTTAACTTCAACCCCGACAAGGACATCCCCGACCTCGCCGGAAAGTCCATCTTCATCACAGGGGGTCAGTACACCCCTCACCTCGAATCAACATTTAGAACGCAGAATGTGGCTATTGTTATCTCAACTCATACCAGATCTAATTATATGCAGGAACCAATGGCTTGGGCGCACAATCTGCAGTCTATCTTGCTAAACACAACCCAGCACACATCTATATTAGCGGACGCAATGCGAAAGCCGCCGAGAAAGTCATTCAGCAGATCCGTGACAGCGGCTCCAATACAGAGACTACATTCCTCGAATGTGATCTCGCATCTCTCGCATCGGTAAAAAAGACCGCCGAGGAATTTGTGTCCAGCGCACCACAACTCGATATTCTAATGTGCAATGCCGGAATCATGGCAAAGCCGCCCGCGCTCACAACAGATGGATATGAGCTGCAATTCGGTACAAATCACATGGGTCATGCACTTCTCATTAAAAAGCTGCTTCCGCTCCTAGAGAAACGATCAAGTGAAGGCGGTGATGCCCGCATTGTCAGCCTCACATCTCAAGGCCACATACTTCACCCCAAAGGCGGAATCATCTTCGACGAGCTCAACACCGTTCAGGAGAATTTCTGGGTCGCCGGTTCATGGCGCCGGTATGGACAGAGCAAGCTCGCCAATCTCCTCTATGCGCGCGAGCTATCCCGTCGCTATCCCGGAATCACGTCCGTGGCAATTCATCCCGGCGTGGTCGCGACCGATTTAGTAGGCGGCCAGAAGTTTCTTCAAAGGGCTTTCATCCGCGTATCGCAGTTCGGAACCCTCCTCAAGCTCGAAGAGGGTGCTTTGAACCAGGTTTGGGCGGCTACGGCCGACCGTGAGAAAATTGAGAATGGGTCTTACTACGAGCCTGTTGGGAATTTGTCACAGGAGTGGTTGGGTAAGACAGCTAAAGATGATGCGTTAGCGAAGAAATTGTGGGAATGGACAGAGGAGGAGTTGAAGGATTATTGAGATGCTGCAAGGTTTGGACAGTGGTTTTTGTGGTGGCAGGGGTGTGGCATTGGGGACAAATATGCAAGGCTGGCGACTTGGGCCCCTATCCTTATGTCTCTGGACGTAAATCCACAGCTTTCGATCCTGCCGAGCTTTCATAGCCAACTAGCGTCTGAGACAGCAATGTCAATTTACCTGTTGCATCGGAGGCCTTGAGCGCCATACAAGAACCCTCAGAATCAGACTTTGTATTGTATGCGTAAAACTCATTTTGTTATACACGTGCTATTGCATGCACAGCACCTGGGCACGAAAATTGCGCAGGCTTATCACGCACTTGGTTCATGAACTTCCTCCAAGTGATGATCTTGACTTGCTCTCTTCTCGTCAGTAGAAATTCGAGATAAACGGCGCTGCTTTGTGTGCTCCATCATTTTCTTCGCAAATGGGGATCGTTCGCGGATTTCGGGACCATGGCTATAAAAGTAGTATATCGGTGTTGTGACTAATACGGCAACACAAGCGAGGATCGTTGACGCATATTCGTATGGGTATTTGTGTCCAATATTCTCGAACATAGGCGTGGAATACATGGCCGCAATTCCAGATAAGAAATCGCGTGCAAAGTCATTGCCGGCCGTGGCAGATGCAGCATACTCTCCATAAGCCGCGATTGTATAGTCAATAGAAGATTGATAAATCGAATACTTTGAGAAATTAGAATGCAACTCAGTAAAAGGAAAAGGACTTACATTGCCAATGCCAATTACCATCGTGAAAAGCATAGGGGCAATCCAGGGAACCCTTGGTGGACCAAGACTTGTCCATGCAAATCCAAACAGACCGATAGGTAAACATAGAATCACTGTTATATGCATGAGAATTTTTGTTCCTAATATTGATAGCACAGCTGAGCCCAAATAGAGCTAGCTTACCATAGAGCAGCCACCATAAGCGTGTTTCTGGAGAGACGGATTCGGAACCATATTTTCGTCGTCTTTGCCTGAACATATGAATAGATGGTAGAAATGAGAGGTAAGCAAGGAAATATCCAACAAGGAGTCTAGAAGGGGTTGAGAATTCTGTCAGAAAAGCAATATAGCTCACAAGTCCTGGCATCAGAGAAGTTGTCGGGGCACTCACGGGATAAAAGCGAGGCTAATTTGAATTGTTCCGAAGCCCCATTGCTTATAAATTGGTTGAAATCCCTGAAGGAATGTAAAAATCAAGGAGTCACTGAAACCGCTTAGGAGCGAAAGCCACATGACGATGGGTTCGGTGAGTAGCATGTGAAATGGTCGCTTCCATACAATCCAGATGTCGTGCGGCGACAGTGAGAACCCGTGAATCTCATGAGGCCCCCAAACGTTGACGGTTCCTGGGCCGGCTTTTCGTCTTTTCTTTGCTTCCCTGTCGAGAATAATGGTAGCTCGTGTTTCCGGTACTAGGAAAAGGTGCATCAGTTGCACAGCTCCACCGGCGATAAGCTGGACCCAAAAGATCCAAGCCAGCGGCTGACGCTCTTCCACGAAGCCTCCTATCACCGCGCCAACAACTGAACCACCCACTGAAGAGAGTACCAGAAATGCAACAGCATATTCCTGTTCATCGGGTTCCCACATATCTGCGATGACTCCCAAAGTCACCGAGCCACCAGCCGTACTTAGCCCACCAAGGAGGCGCACCACGACGTAAGTTGCAAAGTTGGGAGCAAATGCACAAGGTAGTTGCCATATGTTGACGAGTAAAAGGCTAAGCTGCTGTGTTGGCCATCGTCCAAGCTCTTCACTCCATGGCGCCCAAAGCTCACAACCGAAGGCATAGGCGCAGAGGAAAGTCAATTGTGGAATTCTTGCGACTTGTTCGCTGACATTATGCTTTTGGGATATGGCCTGGACGCCGTTGGCATAGAGACTAGCGTTCAGGTTGATTGAAATCTGAATGCAAAACATCACCGACAGAATCTGCCACTTTCTCCATACCGGAAAGCTATAGCCCAGCTTGTCATAAGCCGCCGCTTCCGTCAGCTCCTTTTTTTCACAAATATTTGAATTGGCGTCAATTCCGTTGTTGCCACTTGCATCTTGACTGCTGTCTAGTCGAGATGTCAGTTCCTCATTCGAAGGAGGATCATTACGATGGTTCTCGGGAAGCTGATGAGCTGCTGCCATAATAGAGCTTATAGTGAAGTTGACTGTGCTGTCACGCGAGAGACGGGTTATTTTAGTGACACCCGGCTGTAATATCTTAGCTTTATATTGATAAGTTATAGGATGCCAAACATCCATAATGCATGACGCAGGGGGTCGTTGGAACCATGGGAAAAACGGCTGGCCATCTACCAGATCTGTTGACGCCACGCCGGGGTGATCCGACACGGGCGGTGGCGTTAGGATATCGGAAGTCATGGCAGCGAATGATTTTGCTGCTAGAAAGATAAAAGCTAATGATTATCCTAGTAAGAACCTACATAAATCAGGAATCCGGGGGACGAAACGAGTACGACGGTCATCGGATATATTGATTATCCGGTGTATCTTCAGGCCTTCTAACAAATTGCCAGATTCAGGGATATCGTAAAACAGAGTTTCTCTTCACTCCTGATTCACTAATATATTACGTACTCTGACAGTTTGGTAGCAGGTCACCTAGCATGAGTCGTAAGAATATTAGAAAAAGGATCGTGCCCAAACCTGTGAGATTTCAGATAACAGCATAACCAGTCTTGGTGAAGGCACAACTCTACCTTTCGTATTGATCTTATGTCTCTCTAGAGAGTACCTAACTTCTACTGGGTAGCGTCTCCCCGTTAGTATCGTTGAGCAAGCTAGCAAATTCGACATCGAAAAATATAATCATAGTGAATAAATAGACATCAGCATGGACTTGACCTAGCACTCACCTGTCCCGCGTCGGGTAAGGGTCTAACCTCACTGACCCGGACCCGGACCCGTCGAGGATCCCTTCGGGTCCTCCACGATGGGTCTAATATACCTGCATATACATAATTTCCTCGCGCCTAATTTCGGACTAGACCTCACTTTGGGTCGGGTTTGGTAGCCAACACCTCCAGCCTTTTATCAACAGCGATGCGGGAAGCACTGCTAGCGAGCGTCTAGCAGAAGGTGAACCAAGGAAAATCCTTGCGACAAAAATTATCCGCTCAACATACGTCATTTGGCTTGTGCTGTTCTACGCAACCTTGGTTCTCTTTTCCTGGGTTATAATATGCAAGCTCAACTATCATCCCATCACGACAAATCATTATATCGTTTGGTTCTGGAATGGTGGCAGCGATGATTACGAGGAAGCTGCTGCACGCCAGGCTAAATATCAACAAAATGAGAGATGGTATAAAGCTGCGCAAGTTATCCAGTCCATCGCTAGTGTGTTGACTATTCCTTTGACGTCCGCCGTGTGCTCGAGTGCTGCGGTGGTCTACCTACAGCAATGTACTGGACGAACCCCAAGCTTTACACTTCGCCAGATGATAACGCTGGCCGATAAAGGCTGGACGGATATTGGAACATACCTGCGACTGGCAATGGGCCAATGGTCTCGCTATAGTAGCGCTTTCCTTCTCTGGGCGATATTGCTGCATAAGTTCGTTTGCAGGAAGTGGTACAACCTCCATGTGCATACCAGGATATATATACTTGTGGATTATCTGCTTGTCGAAGGCGCGTTCAGCTGAGTACAGCTCACGTAGTCCCCCCTCGTTTATACCTATTCTGGGAGATTTATTTCCCCTGACTCCTGCATAATATCAAAGGTCTTGTATACGAGTTGGGAGGAAATTGGGCGTCGGTTGAGATGCTTAGAACTGCGCATAAATAGCTCAATTATGCTGTCATTCCAGATGGTAGATTTTACTCATCCAATTGATCTAATAATCATGCCACAATGATGCTGTTATTCCGGGAGAACTGCATGCCTGCGCGTCGTCTACGCCTAACCACTGGATGAATTGAACTTTGCTCGCCACTCGTTCCATAGCTAGAGACAAAAGACAAAATGCGCAAGACTTGAGCAGCTCAGAGGCACACGCGCCCCCCATCTCCAGTCCGCGTGACATGTTCCTTGCCTTTCTGTCTCGTCCTCCATGACAAACGATCGTGAAGCCACGAGGATGTCAGTCACAGGTCGGCACAGTGTAGATCTCTCTAATGAACTGCGCGATAGATTGATACAGATCGAGAAGATTTGATGCTGCGCGCAGACTAATGACTTCGCTTCGTGGCTTTGTGCATCTGAAGGCCGTTTTGGGGTCTCGATATGACCGCTATGAACTATTGCAGTCATCGTACAAAGAAACTATCCCTGAGTTAGTCACATAAACTGCGCTGACTGAGGAAGTACCGGCCGACGCGAATCACAGTCGAGACAGTCTGATCAGCCAATTAAGCTGAGTAATTTGATCCGGAACATCTTCGGTTTTAATTTAAGGCGAACGCCATCAGCCAAGATCGACAAGGCTCTCACGCGGCGTGCCGGCTCCCCGCCCCCAAGGCAGATTTGCAGCCCGCTGCACAGGACGATTATCCGAAAGAGTGTACTCCGTAAGGCGACTGCGCTTGCATACACAGAGGTCAACTACAGACCAGCCGATTGACATCCGAAGCGGTGAGCCTGCAGGCCGGTGTCGCGGACTAGGGAAAAGGGCTGTTTCATCTCGAGCGCCTTGGTCAGAGCTGAGGAATAAAATAGAGCCGGACGAGGGAGGGCAGCGCAGATTGCAGTCGTGGAGTCGTAGAGGAGCGACGAGTCTCACACAGGGTAATAGGGGCTGGCGGAGCTCAGGAGCTCGGTGATCCAGATCAATAGCAAAAAGGCCTCACCTGCAGAGGACAGCAGGAAGGCGTGAAAAAGAAAGAAAAACAAAAATACTGGCGGATGGCACAAACGGTGTCTATATACAACCACGCGCGGGCACGCACAGGGACTAGTGGCGCTAAACCAATTTGTTCAAAACTGAACTAAAATGTGAATTCACCGTAGTCATCCGATATGGTGTAGTGGCTAACATCGCCGTCTCTCACACGGCAGCCGGGGGTTCGATTCCCCCTATCGGAGCAAACTTTTTTATTTTTATCATGTGTTGCCTCCTCGTTTAAATTTTTGTCTCTTAAAATTCGTATCTAGACATTTTGAATCATTTTCGACACAGTAGGTAACCTTGGTCGCTTTTATTCGAGTTAGTTTCTCTGGAATGTTGGCATCCTGGGTATGGAAATGGAAGTCACATGACAGACCTTATCATATCTAATCGCGCCTCCAAAAAAATTTGGGATGATCGCAGTTTGCGATAAACACGAACCCGCATCTTCAATCCTCCCTCAATTGCTCCAAGACCTTTATTCCAGGCTCCAGTGGAATAACACCCACCTTTACCTGAACCTCCACTTACGGGCCCTGGCTGTCACATCTTGATATCAAATCCCGACCAATCTCAGCAGCCTCCCCCACTAAATCTGCGGGGTACCGATTGGGCACAGCACCGCCAAACTTCAAAAAAAACTACATTAATAAGAACAGACATCAAGTCTTTCTGACCGCAAATTTCCAAATGAGCACACAATCAGTACCGGTCCTGGCGGCCAATGATGCCGCGTCCTACCTCGACCTGGGCATCACCCTCGCCCTGAATAACTGGCCCGCCCTCACCCTCGCCGTGCAATCAAACTGGGGCGGCCCTACATCTGATGACAAGCGCGCCTGGCTCTGCGGTGCCATCTCCGAAATGCTGACTGAGCGCCCGGAGACGGACGCCGAGGATCTGGAAGACGTGTTGATCCAGGTCATGAACGACGAGTTTGACGTTGTGATCGATGATGAAAGCGCCGCAATCGTGGCGGTCGAGATCATGGAAATGAAGCAACATACAGACCGCGGAAACTTCACCGAAATCCAGGCGATGTGGGAGGCATACCAGCTGAAGAGCCAGCAGAAGTCTGCTTCCGCGGCTATGTTCAAGAAGGTTGATGCTAAGGATGAGGATCAGGAGACTGACGATGAGAGTGACGAAGAGGGTGAGGATGTTGAGATGGGCGATGCACCTGCTTTGGTGCGTGCGCCGAGAGAAAAAGCCGAGCCTGAGATCGATGACGACGGATTCACCATGGTTAAGAAGAAGAGGTAAATTCTGCATGCATGCTTCCCGGGGGTGTTTTGTTTTATGGATATGTCCTGGGGGCGAATACATCCATGGATATGATACTTTTCTACATAGACGAATTGAATATGGCTGGGAAATCCACCACCCACTACGCAGTTTGCATGAGAGCAAATATACAGACAGTGCACTGGGGTTTGGGTCGGAGATACTGCTCAAATACTTTCATAGATTGAAGGCGGAGCTATGTTCTATGCAGAAAGGCGTAAAAAAAAATCATCATCATCAGTTGAGGTGGACTGTGGTGTATCATCGCTTGACCTCTGCCCACCCATATACCTCCCTGTCCAGAGGTTCTCATCAATCCCAGCCAACTTTTGTAGCGAAGGGTTGAGAAATGACCTTCAGCGATATTGGATATCTTTTTGGGCTCTCTTTTTTGCATCATGCATTCCGTTATACGTTTATGGGCATCATTTACACCTCGTTCTCGGGGAGGATGAGCTTGGTGATCATACCAATAGCAATGGTTTGTCCCTGAAAATTATCAGTTATTAATTATCACGGGATGGAAAGAGTTGAAAAAAATTAAACGTACCTGGTCACGCAGAGTGAAACGACCCAATTGCTGGTAGTCTTCGAACCTCTCAACGCAGACAGCGCCAGCGGTGCCAGTGACCTCAAGACGGGCAATGATGGTCTGGCCCCTGTTGACAAACGCCGGGGGACGCTTGCTCTTACGGCCGGTACCAGGCTCAAGCTTGTGAAGCAGCTGAGCGAAAGTAACTTCCTCAACAGCAGAGTGGACGTGCAGCACACAGTTGAAACCGGCGGTAAGAATGTTCTTCAGATCCAAGATACGAATCTTGGCCTCGAAGGCGCTCACGCAGTGCACGGGACGCTTCGGCGAGCAGAGCACGAAGCCGGGGAAGAAGTCCTCCTCTTCGACACCACGCAGGCGCAGGCGAACCTGGTCACCGCAAGTGGCGGTCTGAAGCTCATCTTCAGTTTCACCGTAGAGAGCAGCAACTGACACTTCGGTTCTGTTAGGCATCATGAGATAGGTGCCGTTCTTCTTGATGACACCGGACTCAACGCGACCTTCACACATAGTACCCATGTCACGGTACTTCGCACTGATGGGCATCATGAACGGAGCGTTGATCTTACGCTCGGGGAGTTTGAAGTCGGTCAAGTACTCAAGCAGCGAAGGTCCATCATACCATGGGCAAACATCCTTTGGAACACGGTCCTTGATGTTGTAGGCACGCTGGGCGGAGATGGGCATACAGTAGATATCGTCCTTCTTGTAGCCGAGGGCCTCCAAGAACTTGATAACCTTGATTGTGCACTCATCATACCGCTCCTTGCTCCACTCGACAGTTGGGTCATCCATCTTGTTAACAACGATAACCAGTTTCTGGACACCAGTGTTACGGGCAAGAAGAGCGTGCTCGCGGGTCTGACCACCCTTCTCGAAGCCAGTCTCGTACTCACCCTTACGGGCAGAGATGACAAGGCAGCCAAGGTCTGCTTGAGAAGCACCGCCAATCATGTGAGGAACGTAGGACTTGTGTCCAGGGGCATCGAGAATCGAGAATTGACGCTCGATAGTGCCATCAGGGTGCGGGATCTGAACCTTGAAGAACGCGCGGCCAACCTCGACAGTCTTACCCTTGGAACGCTCCTCGTTGGTCAGATCCAGGGCCCAGGATAGATACCAGGTCTCACGACCAGCGTCTTTAGCCTCCTTCTTGTATTTCTCCATTGTTCGGTCATCCACCATGCCGGTGCAATACAGCAGAGATCCACCGAGTGTGGACTTTCCAGCATCAACGTGACCGATGAAGACGACGTTGATGTGCTCACGCTTCTCGCCATAAATTTCCTTCAGAGTTGCCTCATCGACATCGGCCTGCTGTGCCTTGGCGACGGCATCGGCAGCTCGGGCAGCCTTGGCAGCTTCAGCACCGCGAGCTGGGCTTGAACGGCCGGGGCTGGAGCGGCCCGAGGACGGTGTAGGCGAAGCCTTACCAGTAGCAGCAGCCTTGCTGTCCGCATTCTTGTCAATGGCCTTGGCAGCAGTCACCTTAGCGCCAGCCTCCGCGGCTGCAGTGCCCTTCGAATCGCCCTTGCTGGTATCATCTGAAGCTTTCGCGGCAGGAGCAGCGGGAGTGGGAGTTCCGATGGAAAGAACCTTGGTCTTAGGGGCGGTGGTGGAGGAGGTAGCGCCGATCGACAGGACCTTAGCCTTGGGCGGGGCGGCGGAAGCGTTCGAGACGGGTTGAGCGGGTGCCTGAGCAGGCTGTTGAGCGGCAGCGGGGGCATTCTGGCGAGGCTGCTGTTGGAAGCCACCGGGCTGCTGGTTGTATGCACCGTACTGGTTGTAGTTACCGGGTTGCTGGTTGTACGCGCCGTACTGGCCATAGGCCTGCTGCTGGGGGTAGCCGTAGCCCTGCTGCTGACCATACTGGGCATACGGGTGGCCACCGTACTGTTGGTATTGCTGTCCAGGCACGAAAGAGGAAGCTCCGGGGGTGAAGGAAGCGGCACCGGGCTGGAAGCTAGCTGCACCAGGCGTGAACGTGGGCATCTGGCCTTGTGGGCGGCCCTGGTTCAGGTTGACGCCCTCGGTCTGCCGGGAGAGTTCATCCTCCCAGGATTCAGGAGTCTGGTTCGACATCGTGATAGGATATCCAAGACGCAATCAATGAGACAGCGCAGGCGACACGAGAGTCGGGGATGGAGGTTAAACAATGAGGGGCCGGGGTTTTTTGATTTTGCACAGCTGACTCAGCGCCCCGCGATGCTGTCCCTGGTCACGTGTGCGATATGGAAATGATATGAAAGCGACTTTCGCATTTGCTTTCTTACTTCAAAGAGAGCTTCGTTCTGCTCTTCTTATTATTGGAGGCGTGGCAAATTTCCCGACCCTCTTCTTCAGGGGCTTTTGACTCATTTGTGTTGGGCCCATCTTCTCCTCGCTGACGGTTGGGCATAACCTTCGCTATCGATAAGCCCCCCTCCGTTCTTTATTGCTCAGGGGCATATTTCAGCTCAGCCATTCAGCTCAGTCGATTTCGAGAGATCAAGTGGATATCATCTTTCAAGATGGAGGTCTTTCTGACGCGCGTACGTTTAATTCGTTATTTGGGAATTGAGTGTGACAAATTCTAACAGATTCTATCATGAACAGTTGACCCAGCAGGCAATGAATTATGCCATACGGTAACACAAATAGCCCTGGAAGATTCGGAATGCAAGCTTACAGTCTCAATCAGCTCGGGAATTGCAATTACCGCAAGCTATGCGATACGCCAGTCTTCGCGTTTGCTCAAGGTACGCAATATTGAATGCCTAATGTGAAACAGGCAGAGCTGATATGTGGCTCAGAATGTAGATAGCGAAGATCGCGAGGAGCTACTCACTGTGCAGCAGCGCCTAGAGAGTAAAATTCAGGTCAGCACAGACCCCTGGATAAATTCCACATCTTGCTTACATGAACACAGGTTATATCTCCATCCATTGACATGATTGAGTTGATGTGAGTATGCGGAAACCATGAGCGGCCGTCTGTGTGGAATTCTAACCAACTTTTTAGTGCTGCTCGAGGCAATACATCTCTTGAATCGGCCGTTACTCTTACAAAATCCTTGAGATGGGACATTCAGGCTCTTGGGCAGCGATTGGCGAAAGCTGCTTCATCCGAAGAAATCTCGCGCAAGGGCCCCAAATCCTCTAGAGACCAGGCGATCATAGATGCCCAAGTGAAAGCAATCATCAAGGACATCAAGAGGCTTCTCACTCGGATCGAGGACGCGGTGCCGCTTATGAACTTGGCCATCACCACCTCTGGTGCTAAGCTATCCACGAACTTGCCATCAACCGTGTCACCATCTCGGCTTCTCCAAGCGAGTACTTTCTTGACTGCTGGCGACACACAATATTCAATGTCCAGCTCCCACGCCATTCAAATAGGACCGACGTTCACCCTTTCGATGTACATGCTATTTGCAAGCCACGTCCGCCCTCACGACCAAGAATCTGTCCGCGAGGCCACATGGAAAGAAGTAATGCACAAAGCGAGGGTGAAGCTTCGACGTGTGCCAATGAACCTTTACTACTTTGATGATCAAACTAAGTCACCTCAGTTTCCAGCTTCTGCTGGTACTGATGAATATGCCTATCAAGTTCTCATTATCGAGGATTTTGATGACGGAAGAGTTCACTCATTTGAAGAAGGTGAGCCCCAGCCTCAAGCCTGTGAAGGCGTCGCTACCGCTGGTATCCGGGAGATTCTTCCAATTCATCAAATCTCAAAGATATTCTATGCGGATACGGGCAGAATTCTCAATATCAGCACTGAGGGAGAGACAAATAACCCGGTGTTGCTACTCAAGAGAGATTTAAATGCTCTGCCCCCTCGCCGCATGATGGAACGTGATGATTCTGAAGATGATTTTGTACCAGCGCGAGAAGAGGAAAATCCAGAACAAGACGAAGAGCAGGCACAACTTGACGCACAATTGCACGATGGTGGGAAGTCAACACACCGAAGTTTCAGCTCTCTTCACGAAGACTCAATCCCGGAAGAATGGCGACTCCCACCTGGTCTCGACCCAGAATGGATCGCCTTTGAAGTCTACAATGAAGATGAAGCCTCAGATACCGAGTCCGAAGCAGAGAATCCGACAACAGAGTCCAATATCGACAAGATGGCGAAATTGTCTCTCAAAGATGAGAGACATACTCCATCGCCATCACCTTCCCGGCCCACTTCATCCTCAAAGCCCGCAGCCATGACAACCGTCAGCAACCCGTTATTCGAAAACATTCGCACCTCACTTTCACTCCTCGAAACCCTCCTCCGACTAACCTCCCTCCAACAATTCCAACAACAATCCCACCTCTCTATTAGCGACGAGCTCCTCAACTTCTTCCTCGAAGAATCCTCCACGACTGGCGCTGGCGGCGACGAACAGCACCGCCAACGTCTTCGTCACGAGGCTCGCCGACGTGTTGGATGGGATCCGTACGACGAAAGTCCCGTCAAGCGCCGTGGTGAGGATTACCAGTACGGCTGGGAACCAGGCAGTCCCTCTGGGTACCCTAGAGAAGGCGAAGAGCTCTATTCGCCTGGAGACTCGTCGCGTGGTTTCCAGCTTCGATCGCGGGAAAGTACGCCTGAGACACCGCAGCGTGGATCGCGCTCGGATCGGAGAGGCCCAAGTGGACTTCGGGGTATGACACCAGCGTACGCAGATGAGTCGGATTCCAGGCAAAGTTCGCCGCTGGCAAAGAAGGGCGGTGCTACGAGGGATGGAGGCGCTGGATCTGGGACTGCGGAGTAGGATGGACTTTGCTCGATGATTATGATCATGTATGACTAGCACGGTGCCATGGATCTAGAGTTTCAACATCCGATTTCACATCTTCCACAGAAATAAAGTCTCATAATCTATTGGTTCGGGGCTTATCGATTCACTTACGATGAAGTCAAGCTAAAAGGACCTAATGGGAGGCGATAGGAAGTAAAATGGTACGGAACAAGTGCACTCAATGCCAAGGAATATGTAAATAAAGCGAGCAATGTGCATTTCAGTCACAATCGAATAGACAGGGAAAGGGCTTGACGGGAGATGAATCGCTGGAGGCAAGATAGGAGAAACAGAATTGGGAATAAGACGGATAAACAGTCCAAAAAGCGCCAATGAACCAAGTCACACCAAACTCCCGCGAAGCAAGCAAGTCAATTGGCCGTTTTTGGACCTGGAAAGTGTGTCTCTTTTGTGGGGCCTTTGAATTGGAAGAAACAGTTTACTCCCAGTCCTCGTCACTGTCCTCTGCCTTGGATTCGGTGGTCGGACTCTTCTCCTTGGGACTGCCAGGCGTTCGGCTGGCGGCACCGCTCACAACGTCGTAGCTTGATTCGCTGTCGGCCTGGGACTGCTGGTCATTGGATCGGCGGGGCTCAGTCTTCTGAGTATCCTTTCCGGCGGCGAGTTTCTGGCTGTCGTGGCGGACCTGTGGGGTAGAGGGGGACTCGGATTCGGAGTCAGAGTCATCATCCCAGCCGACCTCTTCCTCATCTTCGGCGTTGGCACCTGTAGAGATGAATGAATATTAAAATTGCATCGTACACGGGTAAGAGGGGCGCGGTCATACCTTTCAAGAGCTCCTTGCGCTTCTTCTCTTCGGTCTCAATAACCAAGCGGAGGAAGTAGTACCGAGTCCAGAATTCAACATACTCCACGGTCTCAGGGACGACCTTCTCCATGGCCAACCGCAACTCGGGGTACTTTTCGAGATCGGAAGCGATCTGGTCTGTCTTGCTCTCGACATTGAACTCCGTCTTAAACTCCGGGAATTTGTCGCTGATGGGGTCATTGGTGAAGCTGTCGAGATTTGAGTGGATAACGTGTAGTTGGGCCTCGAACCGAGTCGCGTGGATGACGCGCTTGCCATCTGCATCCTTGCTCTCGAATAGAAGCTTGCCGGACTCGTCCGTCTCCGGAGGTACAATGCTCACAGCTTCGCGCAGCTTCTGGCCGATGTTCTGTCCGAATCGCATAATCGCCTCGTCCGCCGCTTCCTCCGCCTTCTCGATCTCCTTCAGTCGTCGGGCAGCCTCGGCCTTGAACCGAGAAATGAAGCCCTCTCCGCTCCAACCAGCCTCCGCCGGGCCCTTGGAGCTCTCTTCCGTCGAAGCTGTAGGTGTAGCCGCCTCGTCTTTCTGCCCTTCGCCGCTGCCGGTCAGACCTGCGGTGCTGAGAGAGAGCCCCTTTGTCCGATCGACGATGCTGTCCCGCAGATCCGAGAACCCCTTCACTGCTTCCTCGCTAGCGGCGGCGTATTCCTGACGAGCGCCCTCGTAGTAGGTTTCTCCCTGCTTGCGCACATTATCCCAAAGGCCTCCGATCCGGGTGCCCCACGGACTGGCGGAGAAGGCGCGGAAGGTTTCTTGGAATTCTGTGTTGAGGTCGACGTTGGATGGATGAGTATTGTTGGGATCAGAGGAAGTGTCCTCCCTGGAGGTGAGGATCTCCTCCTGGATGTGGTCGTAGGCGATATCCATGGCGGTGTTGTAGGAGACAGGAGTGTCTCGAAACGGCCGTTGCGGTTGCACCTCCGCGTTCGTTCACGGGCCGACCGCCCCGCTTCCCGTGCTTGGCCTCACCTAAACACTGATCGACACCGCGTGACGGCAGTCGATACGGGCCGTCGCTCAAAATCATTATATAAAATATTTAGAAGACGGCTCAAGATCAGAGAGACAGAGGGGGTCTCGGTCAGCTCTCCAGACGCCGCGCATTACTTGGAATATTCATGGCAGAATTACAGCCGGTATATCTTCAAAGTATACCTCAACGGTGTCTCTTTATGGAACGAGGACTATGGAGGGCATATAACAGTGAAATTGGAGGGGAATAAGCTTGTATCAGAGCGCTAAAACGAGTCCATAATTCATAAAATGTCTGGCCAGTTCACCGATCCGGCAAACTATATGGCTCGCCTACACTATCCTGACTTCCCATCCAGAAATTGGGGAGAGGAACACTTTCCATGACGCTCGAGGTAAGAAGCTGACTGCGTGATAGGATTCCGCCTGGTCCATAATTGCCCCTATCGACAGGCTGCGAAGACTCGACCTGGATCACCGACTCGGGGACCTGAGGTCGCTGGAAAACTGCATCAGGTTCGGCGCTATTCTCATCTTGTTCCCGGATGGGAGATGACTCTGGCACGATTTCGGTCTGGTCTGCCTCTTGACTTTGCGTTTGAGTCTGCAAGAACGGGCCTGGGGGTTTTTGAGAAGAATCCGCGCCCGCGGGTTTGGTGTATTGGGTGCTCCCATAATTGGGAAATAGTTCGGACAGGTTTTGGGTGTTTAGGGTAGGAATAGGTTCGAATGGGAATTGTGTTGCTGGTTGCAACCTTTGGTAGAAGATAGAGGCATCTGACATCGGTGCCTCGGACGGCGGTTCGTCGTTCGCGTCTGCGGAGGATTGAACATTTAGGAGAGGAAGTTCTTGGGAGTCATCGCTTGGTGGCTCTGGTATGTGTCCAGTAGGGTCTGGTATTCCTGCCCTTAAGCCACGAATTCGAGATGGTGTTCCATGATCATTACTCATGTCATCTTCCGAGTCGGTATTGTCGGTGTCCGCATCTGTTTCGTAAACAACGGTTCTTTCTCTTTGTGTCCGCTCTACTTTCAATCCTGGGTCTTCAGGCAGCTCTGCCCGGGACGCTAACTCTGTGGATGGTGCGTATAAAGCTTCATTGTGCATGGATGGTGACGAGTGATGCTTCAAGGAATCAAGCAATCTGGAAGAGAGTTGTGTCGGGGCTTTTACCACTAATGAGCCTCCGGCATCCTGCGAATCCTCGATAAATCGTCGTGGCCCGTAAAATTCCTCCTTGATAATATTTTCCGGATGATGTGCGAGGTTTAGAGATTTTTGTTTGAGGGGAGATCTGGTGGCGCTGCGGAATTGAGATGATGTTATTATCGCTAAACCCGGGCTTTCTGGTGACTGTGAAGACGGAATCTCAAGTTTTCGGGGTTTTTGAGGTGTGACCGGCGTATCAGCTGTCGGCAAATTTTCGGGTTCATGTCCCGGGCTCGTGTCTTGATTATCTCCAAGACCCGCAGAGAGTGGTTCACCTGTGGAAAGATCCAGCTCCGCTTCGAGGGCTCTGCGATTTCGTTTGACAGACGCGGGTAGTCTGGGCTGAACGGCCTGTTTCCCGCCCGAGTCTGCTTGATCCCCCTTCTTGGCGGGTTTCGCTTGAGGCTCCTGCTGTATATATCCCATATTAATGTCTTCGTCATCATCTATTGTGATGTAGCGTCGCACGAAGTCCATTTGCGTAAGGGTCTTATCACGCTTCGCAGGCGGCTTTTCGGTGGATTTTCGTTTCCCTTTACCACTGACACTCGGCTTCGGGGTTATACTTTTTCGTATGCTCTGGCCCCGCTCAGATGCTCTAGTATTGACTCCTGCGCTTTTCCTTTGTCGTGTGGTGTGATTGTCATTGGGTTCGAATCTTGTGGCGCCTGCTCGGCCTCGCAACGGTGGCCGATAATCGGTATCGTCGTCAGATTCGCCGGATATTTGGGCTTGTGCATTCCTTGTGTTGACATCTTCGCGTGGTTCAGCCTCAAGATAATCGAGCTGGTCATCGTCGGAGTGTGGAGTCTGAGTGACGAAGTCGATCTGGGTAAGGGTCGATTGCCCTCGCGAGCTTGGGATCGAGCTTCTTTTCCATGGTCTCTCGGAAGCTGATACACTCGGAGGCGCTGGTCTTTTCGATGTGGTGCTCCTCGAGCTTGTTGACGTCCCCGGAGGACTGGGTCGACTGGGTTGTCGTGGGGTTCGAAATTTGTCACAAGGTGTTTCTGGCAATTTACCGGGAGTCTGTTGGGATTTCATCTCAGCTCCGGTTGGAAAGACATGAAGATTGGAGCAGAGGCAGCTTGGTGGTGACGATGGTCGTTTTTGCCCATGACGCTTTGGCGTGTGTTGCCTCAGGCAGACCGCGTCGACGCGTTTCAATTTACGTGATCACGTGATGAATATAGATCTATGAATTGGTATAATCCATTAGGCCTAGTTCAAAAGAAATTTCTCTTGCGGCTTGTTATATACTGTGAGGCAAAAACCAAGATCCCACATTATGAAGGACAAGACAATGCGGCTGGTAATATTTTTCTGGTTCAAGTGACGTCGATGTTTATTTAGATACCGACCCGGATCTTGTTCGTTCTTTGACCTAGGATCTCGGAGAATGCAGTTGTGGTATGTAGTTGAATTGTAGATCTCAGGTTAATAATGGTGTTAAAATTTTCTAGGGCCAAACAGCCAAATGACTTCACTCGAGGAGTTTAAAGGGTGCAGCGGTGGGATGTATTCGAACTGCTGGAGCACCCTGACGAGAGCTTTCCTATGCCACATGTAATCATCTCAGCCCTCACAAATCTCACCGCATACGATGCAGACCAATGCCTTACTTGCTTTGACTCGCCCCTTCCCTTTATCTCTCATTTGTGACCACTGCTAGCTACAGAGAAGTCAAAGAATGTGCCATGACCACGACACCTCGCGTTTAATGGTATTAACATCGACCTTCAAACAAGGCTTGTATGTGTTATTCAATTGCTCAAATATGCGTTTCATGTTAAGAGAAGTAGCAAAACATCAGATGAGCCAATCAGGGACTGCATCCTCATCATCCGGGTCTTCAGACAGTAGAGATCCTTTCTCAATCTCACTATCAGAGTCCTCTGGGGGCTGAGTTTGAGATTGACGAGGCTGCTCATGAGGAGATGGTGGTCGGGACATAATGTCCACCGCACTGGTAGACTTGGAGTCGCCATTTGTTGACGAATCAACAGTAATAGGGGCTTTCTCGGATGACCGCTTTGGCTCTCTGAATGTCGGACCTTTGGTTGTGGCTGGCTGTTCCTCAGATTTCGTAGCTGATTTAGGAATCACAATCAACTCGTAGCGGGGTATGTTTGAAGCCTTTGATCTCTTAGCCCTTGGTAATTTCAAAGGCTGGGGGGTGGCTGGAGGTCTGGGGATGGAGTCAACATTCACGGAATCATCAAGCATGAACCCTCCCCCGGAAACTCCATCTTCTTGGTCACTGTTGTCTGTCGGAGGGTTGGGGGCTGGTCCTTCATCAATATGTTCGTCAGGGAGAAACCCTCCCCCGAGAGTGTCATCTTCATGCCCAGCATTGGCTGCGTCAACTCCGCTCAAGATAGATTCATCTGGGAAGAACCCTCCTCCGAGATGGTCTTCTTCTGTGCCATTGTCGATGGCATGCACTTCACCACTTCCCAGCATTCTCTCCCGAGTTTCAAGGGGCGAACTATATGCGGGCTGCTCTGGGTCGAGAAAGAATCCTCCACCAGTTCCTTCCACATCATCGACACTCATTTCCGAGGCGGATTCATCACCATTTCCCTCATCCTCGGCAGCATATGCTTTCACTCGTTCCGCGATCCGAAGCTTAACCAGGAAAAGTCGCCAGAACCGAAGGGCCTCCACGCTTCTCGCTTCAAGTGCAGCTCGATGCTTTTCATCCGCCATGCCCCTCATAACTTCTTCCAGGGCTTCATGATATTCACACGCGATGACGATTCCCCCAATAACGGCGGTTCCGCGCCGTCCTTTGAAATCAAACCCAGTTACAGCGTCCGCATAATCGATCCCCAGGATTCTTGCAGCTCGAGCCGCTTCAGGTCTTTGGACGTGTACTGCTCCGGGTGGTACCATGCTTGGGACATAGATATCCAGGTTGCCATAGGCATTCTTGGGGATCCTTCCTTGAACCACTGGGGGCGGTCGGTAAATCTCCGTTTGATACTCGGCATAAAGAGGAGTCTGCTCCGGTTCATTTTCTTCATCGTCGCTGTCAAATTCGCTTTTGGGTTGTCTCGCACGAACATGTTTGAGAGGTTGCTCTCCAACTTTGACATCTCGTCCCAGGCGATACCATTTATCAGCGCTGCGCACGATATGCACGTCAGATCGGCGGTAGACGGGATCTAAGTTGTCGCTCTTTGGAGTCGTTTTGCTCAAACCGACATGCCCAATGACTCGTTTGGGGAAGATCACCTCATTCCGACGTAAATGCCTCTCGAGCGCATAGATTGGATGGTCTTTGAAGTCCTGGATATTTCGTGGCATAGGCTCAGCTGCGGACTTGGAAGTCAATTCACTTATTTCAAGCTCATCTCGATCTTCAAGGAAAGGCTTCTCGTATGCTCGAAGTGCAGCATTCCACCATTCTGCACCATCTCGCGTCGATTCGACTCGGAGTTTGCGCGTCTTCGCATTAAATGCCTTCGCATAGCGCCGAGTGACGTCTCTTGCGGAAGCGTCGTCCTCGAAGGCAACCACGTAGCTCATGTTGTTATACGGATCACTTGCAGGAGGCTCGAACTTGGAGGGCTTTGCCACAGACTTTGTGACCATAGGGTCAATTGGGAGCCATTTTTGCACAGCTTCGTTGAAGGCCTCTACCCAAAACACCGGGTATGAAGATTCCCTCGGGGTTGGAAGAGAGCCTAAGCGAACGGACGTTTGGCCAGGCCGTGAAGTGAACTCAGGTCTTGCAAGCCGCTTTACTCTCGATGGTATTGGCGAATCCCCTATGGAATCTTGGCGCTCATCAGTTGACGTTTCATGGTCGTCAGACGAAACGACAATGTATTGAGGAGCTTGTTTGGATGGTGTCAAATCCTTCACTGTGCCGGAAAATGGCAACGGTTGCAATGAGCAGACGAGTCGTGCTTCCACTGCGACTGACCGCAGTAAGGCACAAAATAACTGTGCGCCGAAGTCTCGAGAGCCCTGCATGGTCTTTGCTTGGGATTGAAAATCCGCTTTGGATGGAAAGACTTCAAGATTTGACATTATTGACTCCTAGTGCATGTCAGTGATTATTTATCACCATATGCAATTGCACTCAAGAGGGCGTACCATCCTCTGTTTGAGTTGATTTTGATCTTCGGCCCAGTGCGGACGCTTCAAGCCTGGCTTGTTGACACGAAACCTCCGGGTAAAGATGTCACCGGCTTGGTTCAAACCATCGAGGAAGGTAGTAGACCGCACATGCTGTGGCTTGTCGTCATCTGGGTTCAAAAGTGCAACAATCCTCTTGGGCAAAATTCGTTTCAGGTAACTCTAAATGAGTATTAGAGGCTGGAAGCATGGTCTCTACTGAAAGAACTTAAGCGTACCTGCACCGAGTCATCATTGCACCACCGGTTTCGTATGTTGACATGAGCCAAAAGACATAGAAGATGGACTTTATGGACATCCAGCCGGGTCTTCTTCTCAGCTGCGGTAACTGGCTTTCTCCTGTGCACAGTCTTTTTTCGCTTCTCTGGCACTTGCTCAAGGGTAATTTGGAGTGTCTCGTTGCTTCCTTGTGACACGGCAGCCGCGCTAGATGGTTCGAGTACTGGCTGCTGAATATCCACATCTTCCCATTCAACCTCTGATTCATCTGTTTCCGAGAGATCGTAGACTGTTTGCACCTTTTTTGCCGGCACTTCTTCTTCTTGACCTGGATCTGCGACTCTGCTGGTCTGCGCTGGTTCTGGTGAAACAACAGGGATAGCCTTCGAGTCTGCAACTCTTCGTCTCTTGATTGGCCTATCTGAATGGAACTGTTCAGGGTCTCGTGCTTCAGCCTCTTCCAACATCTTCTGGTAGACATCCGGACTTGATCGTCTTCGCGATGCCTCACGCTTTGGCTGACGGCCACGAGATGCCCTGCCCCGGGAGGGACGGGCCTGAGACTGGCGCACCATGCGTGGGCTGGTCTTTTAAGGCGCATGAAGAATTTGGTTCCGGCCTTTCAAACCAAATTGCTTTTACGCGTCAGAAGTCACGCGCAGATCAGAGCCGACAGCCCTGGAAGGTTTATTGTACAGATTGGATAAGCTCCATAAGAGTCGAGCCTCACAGGTCAAGTGAGAGTGCCTGCCGGTGGGGGCCGGTGCGTCATAGCGGAAACAGGTTTATCCGAGGTTGTCAACACCACTTAGTTCAACGCATTCTAAGCTTATGAAAGAATAATATGTGAGTGCGTACAATTAACGATCATTCGCGAGAGCTATGTGTCCCTAGACCGTTATCGTTAGCATGTGTCCATGAATGGGGTTGGGGTTGTTGGGCAGCCCTGGAGGTATGTTGATAAAGTAGTGGTTTGATGCTAGAGCCGCTAAATATACATTGGAGCCCGCTCGAACATCCGGAATTCGGAACGATAGGGCTTTTTAAGCTGTTAATTTTAAAATATATCGTCCTTGGAATGTATTGACGAGAGAAAATATTGCGGTATCTGATTAGTTGTGACGGAACTTGTTCCTCGGGCTATGAATTCACACTTGCGTCATAGAATGCCATGCTGGACGGATTAGAGCTGACATTGCGATTTCCCACAAAGAAAGAAGGTTCTTAGAATCACTAATTCGTCCTTTATTTACCACTGAAGATAATGAGACCCTTTAATGCCTCGTTGCTATCCTTGAGGGCCCGAATTCCGGGCCTCGGAACTTCCACGTGCCCATTATACACTAGCACACGCCGATTTGCGCAGGTCGCAAATGTGCAAGACATACCAACGGTAATTATCCGAAAGATAGAACAAGACGATTGACCTAACTATTGAAGTAGGAAGATGACAAGCCCTTCACAGTCCCCATTGCGGACACGAGCTTTGAGACATACCATTTCGATCCACCAACGTACTCGGTAAAAACCACCAAGAGTCAACTCAAACAGCTGTTTCGTGACATGACAACAATTAGGTGCGCCTTATTTGCGAAGTATGAAATGGATAAGTTCAGAACTCATACTTCCACAGACGAATGGAACTCACCGCGGACGGATTGTACAAACAAAGGAAGATCCGTGGATTCTGCCACTTATCGATCGGACAAGAGGCCGTCTCAGTGGGAATCGAGCATGCGATTACACGAGAAGATAAGCTTATCACCGCCTATCGCTCTCACGGCAACACGCTGATGCGCGGCGGCACCATCAAATCGATTCTGGGAGAACTCCTAGGTCGCCGCGACGGTATCGCGCATGGAAAAGGCGGTTCCATGCACATGTACGCCAAGAGCTTCTTCGGTGGGAACGGCATCGTAGGCACAAGTGTGCCTCTAGGAACCGGTATCGCATTCGCTCAGCAGTATGACCAGACGGGCAACATCACGGTCAACCTGTACGGCGACGGGGCAGCCAATCAAGGCCAAGTACACGAGGCGTTCAACATGGCGAAGTTGTGGAACCTGCCCGTCATTTTTGGCTGCGAGAGTAAGCAACCATTTCCGCCGAAGCGGGGAATACTTTGTGTCACTAACAAAAATCTTAGATAACAAGTATGGAATGGGAACGTCGGTTGAACGAGCATCTGCCTCAACTGAGTACTACAAGCGTGGCCAGTATATCCCGGGGCTCAAGGTTGATGGAATGGACGTTCTGGCGGTTCTGGCTGCTATGAGACATGGTCGGGAATGGGTGAAGGCAGGAAAGGGACCGCTGGTCTACGAGTACGCAACCTATCGGTTTGCTGGGCACTCCATGTCGGACCCTGGAACTGCCTATCGTACCCGTGAAGAACTGCAGACGGAGCGATCAAACGATCCCATCTCCAACCTGAAGTCGAAATTGATAGATTGGGGTATCATGACGGAAGATGAGGCACGGGCTGTGGATAAAGAAGTCCGAGGAATGGTGAGTCGTGAAGTTGAGGCAGCTGAGCAGATGCCTGTGCCTGAACCAAGGTGGGATGTCTTGTTCGAGGATATCTACGTCCCTGGAAGTGAACCTGATCAGAGACGTGGAAGAACCGTGGACGAAACAGTTTACTAGATGTGGAGATCCCTGTTGGAGAACAACCATAGAATCATTAATACTGTTCCAAGAACTCATCCTCTGACGTCCATCTACAAGCAACACAACGTCATAATTACCCCCTCACGATTAGGAAATGAAGCTATCTTCGAAATGAATGTATTTGAACTTGACCAGTACATCAATTCCAATTGACACATCAAGCTAGAATCATAACAATGGCTTTTGCACCTCCAGCCCTGGTAACACCCTCTCGGTGCACAGCCGACTTTTCTCTCATTCCGGTGAAAGAAGCCCACAGGAAAAGTAAAGAAGAATCAAGTTACTAAGCCGAAATATTCACAGATTGGTTCCCAGAATGCATCGTTCTCTCAGCAAATTGCAGATATTCAGCGTCTCATCCAACAATCAGGCCTCAAATTTGTGATGCACGCTACCGGCACAACACTAGGTACGTCATTGCCCGGGACGGACGTGAGCATCCAGATACTTGATTCTGCATGAAGTTCCTCACCTGCCAACAATGGCATTCCAAATTTGATCTAAAAGTCTTTCTATTGTGAATAAATACAGAAGGAACGTGGGATGAAGTCTCCCGATTGATCGGATTTGCACACAGCCTCGTCCACCAAGAAGGAATAGCCAGGGTTCAGACCGATATTCGCGTTCAAACTAGGTATTCTACCCTTGCACTGATGTCAGACAACTCCAATACTCACTCTGTTGACAGAACTGACAAGGTCCAGCCGATGGAGGGCTTTGTTTCCTCGGTGGAAGCAATCTTGTCTGCCACTTAATCGAAACCAAAATTTCGAAAGCATTTCCTACCAGCGGGTATGCTGCGTTGCTATTGATGTCAAAATCATTGAATTTTTCAAAACGCCAATGCTATTTACAAGCTTTTGCAAATCCGAGTAATTTTCAAATAGGACGGGATATTCTGGACGCGGATCCAAGTCGATTAATTTTTGTTAGATGCACGATGAACCTAGTATGGACCTTACTCTGGCTGAAGAATATCTTATCACTATGTCCCACCCCATTCGAGTGGTCGTGAAATTACGGCCAAGGGGTCAGCCTTCGCCAGCAAACTACCGTGCATTGCGCGGCCATTTCGTCATATCACAGGACCCTAAACTTCTCCTTCAAATATTGCCGAGTCCTGGTTTGCAGTTCACTGAGCTCATCAAAGTACTCTGGCTAGGAAACAGACTCCCAAAAGACGGACCTGCAGCCGTTTTTGGGTGTTCGTAAATACAACGAATGTCGACCTACTGTTGGTCAGTAAATTTCTTTTCGAGGCTTTGACAAGCATCTACAGTTGGCTTATAAGAAAAGGTTGTAGCGCCACGACATTCGCGGATAACTATAAAATTCGATGGCGCATTCGACCTAAACATTATTGACCGATCGTGAACTTCCTACTTAGACCTGGCTACCTTGGTCAAAATGAGTATCTTACACAGTAAAAACCGAGCGACAAGCCTAATGGGGCTGTTTTCGACGATCCTAAATTTGTCACTATGCTAAAAGCCCCCATATTTGAATTAAAGCATGACACATAATCCACGGTCTCAAGCCCAGCGATTGGTGTTCAAGCATGGAAATGTATGAACTTAGGAGACGCTCGGCGCTCCTCCCATCCGAACTGCAGGGCTCGTCTAGAGGGGCTGTACATCTTACGTGAAACCGGACATAATACGGACGTCATTGGCCGAGCAGACTAAGTTTTAAACAGTGGGACAGGCGCCTGATCTACAAGAAATCTTTTTCTCTGCAGTAGTTCGGAGTACTTGACAGCGACCCGTGTCGTCTCATTCGTATGGGCGCTGCCGATTGGCCACCGGCCTCTCCACTGGGGAAAGGTTGATAGACGCACACTTATGAAGTTTATTACCAATTCCAAATACCAAGCGAAAGTTTTAGTCTTCCCACTCACTCGGGTTGAACGTGCCAGCCTGAGACTCCTATTTTCCGCATGTGTGGGCCCAGGTTCATTTGTTCTCACCCCACAGTCCGTTCTCCCTCTACCGCGATACTGGGTGGAAGGTTTTCCCGGATAAAACTAGTTATTTTTGGTAGTCGTTTTCTTTTGCAGTAGGGTCTCCCAGGACAGATCGAATGGAGTCTATTTCCTGGAGTGGTCCTGATTAATCGGCTTGTCTTGCGAGCTCCATAGCCTTTCTGTGTGTCGGTGAATGATGCAGGAGGCTTGGGGTATCTGCAGCGGCCGAATCGCCGGTGTTATCTCGGGATTTGGTTCGCGCGGAGGTATTAGGCAGATTGGTGCGTCTGAAGGAGTGTTGCTAAGCTTTGTTCCTGTTCATGAGTCAATGCATTGTTTCTACCTTTAAGAGATAATTGGGTCTCTTTATATGGCGATACATGCTTTTCTCAGTCTTCCCATGAGACCTACAAGGTACTATCTGATGACCAGGTCTCCCCAGTTTGCGTAACATGATGTTTGATCCCGGTTCGGAGCCAGAGTCCACTATACAGGGAACCGTGGAGATGCCATCTCCATACGACTTGCCCCTCTGCAAATTCAGGTCAGCTCCAGTGCGTGGTTCCACGTAGTCCACAGTTCAAGCCCGGTCCATCATCGCTACCATTAGGAGCAATCCGAGCTTGGCTCAAGCGAGCTTGGCTCAAGCGAGCTCGGCTCAAGCGAGCTCCGTGCGAAACAAGACAGTCTCCACCGCGAAAAGCCTCGGTCGCGAGCCAAGGCGATGTGGAGGCAAACAGAGCACTCTGCGTCCGAGGTAAATCGAGGTAAGACGCTTGTGTCAAAGAACGAAGTAACTCGGATCCCGAAATCGCGAAACTCGGAAATTTGGCTCCTACGCCGGCGCTACCGACGCTCTGGGACCCGATACTTTCCCAGCAGTCGGGTCGAGGCGACCTGTTTTGACTCGTCTAATTGCTAATTAAGTGGCCCGGGTTCCCTATGAATGGGATCCCAGCACCATGGCCAGCAGCGTTATTTTTGGATCGTTGGATCGGTCCGAGGGCCTCTATGCACCTTTGCTTTTTCCATTGCTCTGGTCCGATTCTGCCTGTAGTAATTTACACCTTAATTCGGGGAACTCCGAGTACAGTACAATCGTAGCCTTGACAATCCCCGATGCTGCCGTACACCGTACACCGTAAAACAAAGGCCCATATTATAACAACTCGGATGTGGGACAGGTTGCTCGCCCTTGTGACGAGCAATGCGTGCGTGCTTTGAGTTTGGATCTACATTTTGCACACGAAGCTCGGGGTTGATCCACTGAGCAGGGACCGATGACCCTGAAATTTCCTGGGGATTTGCCCGAGTCGGTCACAACGGATGGTCGCAGGGCCTAGCATGACCCACATGATCATAAAAGGCAAGCCGGATCATTGGAGTATGTACAGTAGTCTGTGTGTTCCGTGCTGCCTGTTCCAGATCCAGATTGCCGAACCCCTCCTAAGTAATTAATTATATTGACCGTCTGTTTTCGCCCCCTACCTAAAATGAGCACCTAAAACTGCCCCCCTGGACACGGTGAGGATTGACTTTCCAAGGCGTGTTCCCAGGGGATATGAACTGGAGCAGCACATGGGTAGGGTGGAAAAGGCCAGGGTTCCAGATTGCCGCATTGCGATTTCTGACGTATCATTTTAGGCCCATGCCGGAGGATGCGTCGTCATTTCCCATCGTGCAGACTGGTGGCAACTAACCCTGATCCGTGATGGCTCGGGGACAATTCCGTCCCGCCCACCAGAACACAGGAACATCCACTCTGAACAGGGTTTGGCCCAAACTCCTGTCATGTATGACCACAGCACGCTATTTCTCCTTAGTTTCCTGGCGGCTGCGCTCCGTGCCTCCTCACCCAGAGCTCCGGGTCCGATAACTCTCAATCAGTGGTCGATCAGAGGATTTGGATTCCGATGTTCACCCCCTCGATCAAGTATAATAGACGAACCATGTGATTGTGATGATTTCTCCGAAGGCAACACGACACCTACGTCATTTTTTTTTTTCCCTCTCCTTTTACACAGACCCCGAAACAAGGCCGGGGATTACAATCATTGGGAATGTCCCTACGGAGTTCTACACATGTTAAGGGCGGTCTTGGATGGGCGTAGCTGAAAGGTTCCAGGACAAAGGGTGAGCGCGGACCGTGGCTGGGTGGGTTGCCAATTCCCACCAGGATGGAACCACCGACTATTGGCCGATCTCCCCTTTGAAGCCCGGTCTTTGGGGTCCGAGAATTATACAAATGCGCGGGACGCGGACACCCGTCGCGCAGGGTCCACTAGGAAAAACAGCTGGGACCGAGGCGGGGGTTGACTCCGAGCCTCCGATTCCCGGTATTTTGGGACGCGTCCTTTAGTTGCCGGCGAGCAGGGGAGGGGTTGACTTCGCGAAGATCAACTTGCGCTCGAACCACGCGCCAAAGGAGAAAAGGATTGATGTGCGTTTCCTAGCGTATTGCAGCTTCCGCCCCAAAGATCGTGAATCACACCCTCTCTCTGTGGTATCGAAAACGCCTCGTCATTTTCGTTTCTATTTGTCCAATTTGTTTTTTAATTTTTTCTAATATTTTTCATCTCTGGATCTCCATGCAGAACAAAGGGATCTTCGACCGTACAGCCCGTATTACTTTCCCATAGCCCTAACTCTGGATTACATGGTTGCCCCCTGCCCGAAGCGCCTTTCTGGCCCCGCCAAAAACCCATGCCCGACCCTCCGACGTCCAAGGATTTCCACCACTAGAGAAACCGCTATTGCGTGGCTCAACTTTGTACCCCATGCACTGGACTCCACTTCCTTCCTCCCGGCGGGTCCTGGTTTACACGACATTTCGTCGGTCCCATTTCGGCTCTCGATTGATTTATAGTTGTCCGGATCATCTTCCCGTCCTGCCAAATTATAACTTAACCCAAGCTGTCGGGCTCTCCACAGACGCTCACAAATACATCTTGCAAGCTCCAATTTGAAAAGTGCCTCCCCTTTCCCTCGTCCGCACCTGCTTTATTCTGTTGATCCGGTGTGGGACATGGGATGATCGCCAAAATTTGCTGGCACACTCACTAGGTATTTAGCTCCCCACCAACGTGCACTATACCGGGGCCACGCTCCCGGGTGATTGGGCTCCCGGATAATAACCACTATCTGGCCACAGTAACCTACAATAACTTTTCACTGCGTGCTTTAACCGCTTTCGTTCTGGATTGGAGTTTGCCGACGCCTCCGTCCCACCCTCATAAGGGTTGGCCTCCGTATCCTATAGGCCTCGGACGATCCCTTTAATCAAAGGCAATCAGGATGGGTCCCAAATCTTCTGTACGTCCCCAACCGATCTTTTTTAAGCCGGTCCCTCTGCCCCTCGTCATGTCGATTTCATCCCACCGTCGCTAGACCCTGGACACCGTTCATTACCGGCCATCATATGATCATTGCTGCCGACCAGTGCTAATATAAGCCATGCAGGGACGTAGGCGTGAATGGTACGAGCACCTCCAACCTTTTTGCCTTTGCCTCTGTCCTATCATCTGAAGAATTCGTGTTAACGGAGTGATGACAGTGACACGCAGTCTCTGACTGCCAGTGTAACGGACTATCCTATAGAAAATGGAAGACGGTATCACAGGTACCATGAAGGAGGTATGCTGCCATGACTTTCCCATATACCACGGCTGGTTGAATGTATCTGACTTCTTGACCAGCCTACCCATACCCCAATGACGAACAGGAGCTCGATCGCCTTGACATGCAGCACCATATGTTCAGAATGGTCATGGAAGATAAGCTCTATAATGTTCCTCTTGATGACCCAAAAGAGTTACTCGACATCGGTACCGGCTCCGGTATATGGCCGATAGAAATGGGTATGTTTGCGTATTCCAAAGGTAGTGCTGGTTGGGCGATTGGGACTGGAGAACTCATTGCCATTTTACAGCGCCCCTATTCCCCAACGCCGCCATCACTGGAACGGACCTCTCTCCAGTACAGCCGACAGAGGTCCCCGAGAACGTTCATTTCCTAGTCGACGACGCCACGGAAGACGAGTGGCTCTGGGACCAAGACCATTTTGATTACATCCACATCGGCAACATGACCGGCGCCATGTCCTCTTTTAAAAAACTACTTCAACAAACATTCAAACATCTCAAAGCAGGGGCATACGTTGAATGCCAAGAACTAGACCCGAAACCGAAATGCGACGACGATACAATGCCCCCAGAAAACCCCGACGGGTTCAGCAAATTCGCACTGCATGACTGGTTCGACCTGAACATGCGTTCGAGCCAGGAATTGGAGCCCTCAAGACAGTTCCGCATCGCTCCAAGGATAGAGCGGTGGATGAAGGAGGTTGGGTTCGTGGACGTTGAGCAACGACTTTTCAAAGTTCCGATGAATGGTTGGCCGACAGACGAGCACCTGAAAACCATTGGGACGTGGAATGAGAGAAATTTGCTCGACGCTCTCTCCGGCTGGTCTTATAAACCGTTCCTTGCTCTGGGCTGGTCGAAGGCCGAGATCGAAGTCTTCCTCGTCGACGTGAGAAAAGCCATTCAGAACCAGACTATCCATGCATATATGGATTTCTACGTGGTGATGGGTAGGAAGCCCCTTCCTGGAGAAGAAACTTCTTGATACAATTCCAGGAGGTAATTCTTGCCCCGTTCCTTTGACGACTCTCTGCACGATCCGCTATACACCGTTCGATCACATCATCGCCGAGATGATTAGCATGAGATACCATTGCTGAGGGAAGAGCATTTGCATGGAATTGCATTGGCGCACGGTTGCATTCTATTGTTTCGTTTTTGCATTCTGATTTCTTGGATTTTATCCATGTCCTTGGATAACCCAAAAATGGGGACAGTTCCATATCGCCATGTGGCGTGATGATCTTCATAAGAAGTCGTGAGGACCTGCGAATAGAAGTACATAGCTCCCAAGATCATATACGTTAGAAAGAGATCCAAAGAATATTCTCTACTTCGTCGCTGCTCTAATTCCTGCTCGCGGATTGGCTGGCCAAAGTGCTTAGTCACAAAACGCCAAGACTCCGCGCTGAAGCTGCCGCCAGAAGACGTCGCTCGATCATCACGGCCGAATTTGGCAATTGGCTCGCATGCGCCATTCCTGAATCCATGTCTTTCGGTAGGCATGCTTACCGGCATGCTTTGAAGCCACCCGGTTCATCGGCTTCTGATCATCTCTGGATCAGCGACGACCTGCTGGCAGCGACCTTCCGTCATTTCGCGAACGGCCAGCGCCGCCATGGAAGCTGCGTGCCCGGCCCCTTGGAGGCACGGAGGCGTCTGGCAAAGAGGAGGAACACCGCTCTGGCTGGTATTGGAGGAGCCGAGGATATCGCTTGTTTGTTTGGCCGCAATGGGAGGGAGCACATGAAGTGGACCGACCATCCGTGGCAGAGAGCGCAGGTCGAAGCCCAAGGTGAGTGTGAAAGAAGAACGCAATTGGTGCATTTCAGAGTCTAACTTCCCCAAAAGATCTTCGCAGTTACGCAATCGCCTCACACGAAGTTCCTCTGCCCTTCTACGACCACAACCCTGAACCCATCGAGTCGCACATCTCCGATGATCCTTCTCCAACCTCCCACGACACAGAGCCGAGAAGCAAGGCTCGGGTCTGGGCAGAATTCCTTGACAAGAACGATTGGGGAATTGAAGATGCTCGTGATTTCGCTCGCTACTTGAATATCGATCTTCAACGGGAACCTGAGTACAGCCGGCAAATATTTGACAAATTGCTTGTGCGATCCGCAACAGACTTGACACAAACCATCAAATTTCTGGACGACCCGTTTTTGAATACTCGAGGATCCGGAAACTATCTCGCTGCTGTGGAATTGTTCTCTCAAAAGAAGACAAAACGATCCAACCGTACTGCCGTTCTCAATGCGGTTACTCGCGCGCTGGAGCTGGGCCTTGTTCCCACAGAAGAGCTTTGCTTGATTGTCAAGGAACTCCCAAACATCATTGTCGAGAGAGACAAGACTCTTGGGACATGGGACCAGAAAGCGTTGCTCAAACACTACCGGGCTCTTTGGAAAGCCATTGGACGTTGTAATATCCTCGGCTATCGTGATCTTGACAAGAAAGTTGCGGATACCTGGCTAGGACAGCTTTTAAGTATTCGGGGATTCCGTTTCGCGGAGGAAATCATTGTTGCGACCCATGATGCAAGCTCTGATAACTACTGGCCTTCCGCCATGGTCATGGCGTGGTTGAAGGTTGTGGATGGACCCGATACGACATTGCATCTTCCCTCACCCGACCGACTGTTGAGCCAGCTCGATGCAAACTGTGCAGCCAAGTGCATTGTCAACGTGACCGAGCTCTTAGCTCTTGCCTCACGGGAAGGCAAGGACCGAAACCAGCAGCTTGAACGATGGCGTGGATGTTTGACGAGGCTGTCTAATATCGATGCCATTGCAAGCTCGCAGACTTGGTTGGATCTTCCGCTTGCCTACACCGAAATACCTCAGCAAGGACAGATTACCTCCCCTCCGCATCTTTCGATTCAGGATCAGATTATTTTACGTCTGTGGGCGCTACGAAGTTTAAGTCGATCTCTGGCACCGATGTACAACCAAGATATCAAAGCTACAGATCGTCCCATTTATTTCTTGTTCGGCCTCTTCGAGACGACTGTGCAGAACACGGAAGGGTCTTTTCTTGCGGACCTCTTGCGTGGAGTTCAAAGTCTAGACGTCCCATACAACAGTCTTCTGCCGCTGGCAGTCGATCTCAAGCTGAGAAAGCTGACAACGAAAACCACACGCAAAACTCTTGAGCAGCTGGAAACATCCAAGACCACTCTGGCAGAAGTCTGGACACAGCCAGCTGAATACAACGGAACCCGAGTCCTTTTCTATGGCGCATTCGATCGAATGCTCCGCCGCATCGATCTCACCAGCCCTGCCACGATGGAAGAATTCCTCCGTCTCGCCAGAGAGGGAGATTCAAAGAGCGTCTGGTCAGTCCTCAGACTGTTGGAAAATCACACGCCATTCAAAGTGTGTCTCCACAAGGCCTGGGTCCCCATCCCACACCCTGACGAAATGGCCCTTGTGCGTTATCACCCTGGCCCAAGGGACAGCCACTGCCCGGACCCTCACGTCGCGGTGAACCTGGTCCACCAACTGGCCGTCGCTTTTTCCTGCAGTCCTCAGTTGCCTCCATCCCGCTCATTCCATCTCATCCACTGGCTTTACGACTACCTGCGTAAACATGGCGGCCCCGTTTACCCGTCTCTGGTGCGCTCTATGTACCATGCTGGCGTTGTGCGGTACCGTCGTGAGGGACGTCGTGTTTCGGCTACGCGGTACGAGTATATTATGTGGATCATGGAGAAGTTTGAAGGGCGTGCGTTTGTGAAGGAGTTTACAGCGGCGCCTCAGATTGGGAGGTCCTGCCATGGCGAACCGCGTGATTAAGTTGTGCAGCTGCTTTCAATGCCTGCCCTCGGTTTCAGGCTTGGTATGAAGACGTAGGAGCAATTTGGGGAAAGTGGAAAACATTTGTACCTAACATAAGAGATACCCGCACTTCGCCTGTCATGGCAGTGGCATGTCTATAGAATCACGATATGTATTCGATACTGATTGATTTCCGACGTACTTGATACCTTAAGCTGTAACAGTGAATCCAAGGGTAAATCCATCGGATCCAGAATACAAATGATACAATAATGAGACACAAGCTCAAGTGTATATTAAGTCGCCTCAGAAACAAAGACCACTAGCCTGCGCCACCAATCCTGAAATCCCATCTTAAGCATCAACGTCCATCTTCTCACCAGCAGCGATGTTATCATCCCCAGCCAAGGTCTCGACGGTGACAAATTTCTTCAAATCATCCTTGCTGATGATCTTCTGGTTCAGCCAAGCAGTAGTGCCACGAGGGAATCTGTAGTTGCGCTCCTTCTGGCCACGCTCGTTAGGCTTCTCGTAATTGCGAAGCAGCTGAGTGGGCTTGTCATTCTCAATGACACACACGTCGACATTGCTACCAGAGCCCAAATCGTTGAAGATACCGGCCTTGATCGCCTCAGCGCAGAGCTTCACAGCGCCCTCCTTGTCCATGTCTGGCTGCCACATCGACTCGAACACAGACATGGCTGCCAGAGAACCAGATCCCATAGTCACGTACGGCAGCTTATCCGTTGAGCCGTGCGCGTGCACAGTGTACAGACCGACTCCGGTCGGGTCAACACCAGCAACCACCAGGTACGCACCGATGTGGCCCTGGTACCGGAAGAGGTGCTGCTTCAGCATCGTCATGCAGGTGATCACTCGCGGGTCACGGCCTGTCGATAGCGAGTGCAGCTCGACATTGGAACTGATGAGGGCGGTGGTGAACTCAGTGTCTGCGGCTGTACCAGCGCCGGCACACCAGATTTTGGGGGCGATGTAGTGTAGTTTCTCGCAGTTCTATTGCGGATGCCCGTCAGTTTGTGATTGTTTCGTTGAGAAAGATCCGGGCTCCATTCGCTCATACCTTGTCTGCTACTATAGGGCCACTGGTAGCTCTGGTATCTGCTGCAATCTGCGATCGCGGTCAAGTCAGCTTCCCTGGGCGGAGTGCTTTTGGGGACCCTGAATCAATGGCAACATACCACAACTCCATTATCGTAAATACATCCGACAATTGTTGTACCGGTGCTAGTGGCTTTAGGAAGGGGAACCCCCTTCGCATGGAGAGCCGCGTTGCGGTTGTAGTTGGAGAAGTCAAAGCCCGGCATCGTGACAACGCAGGGGGTGTGCACACGACCGAAGTGAGAATCGAGATCCGACGGAGATAGTAGGTAGATGGGAAGCAGACAATAGAGGAGGAAGGAGGGCGTCAAGGTGGGTGAGATGGGGGAGAAAGGCGAGCTGGAGGAAGCCGAGCTGTGTTGGAAGTGACGAAGCTCCCGCAGCCTGGTGTTGCCTGAGCCGTCAGGCACCACGCGGTGTGTTTGCCTAGAACATTTTCGGGTGTTCATCCTCACTTTCTCCGGTTGGAACATCTGCATCGGTCCTGCCAGGGATCTCTCTGTCTTTGAATCACCCCATCTCCTCTGTACGCGGAGAGGTGTACTCAAGATTTTTGCGCGTACCCTGCACCTTTTCAACCGGAGTCCGCAAGCACTCCAACGACGCTCTTTCTCTCCTACTCCGCCGAGCTCTCCGTCGCTCAATGCTTCCAGGACCGGCTCTCCTTTAGGCGCTAATACACGTTCCATTTCCGCTGGTTTCGACCGTTTCAAAATGGCATTCAACAGCTTCGGGGCATCGAGCCCCGCTAGTGGGAGCGCGTCAGCGGAGCTTGGTCCAGAGCTCTCAGAGGTTTACACTGATGTACGTCGCCCCGCCAAAGCATCTGCGAGCTTTGAGAGCTCCTGTGACTTACATATTCTTTAGCAAGTTGGCTTCAAGGGCCTCTCTGGCGATGCTAATATCCGTCTACTTCCCACCCCGTGGCCAAGCGATGCGCTTCCTTCCTCGACCTCTTCTCTCCTAGCTGTCGCGCAGTCCAAAGGAGTGATGGTAGGCGCTGGTCCTGATATGCTTGTCGTCGCGAGCACCGATTCTGTCAGAAAAGCTATCGAAGCGCCCGCCGACGAGGACAAAATGAAGACGAAGGCCTTCGAACCACAAGCAAAGATCCCTCTCCCTGCGCGCCCGACACATGTCGCATTTACCGCGAACGACGACGCATTGATTTTAGCCACCGAGAATGGCTCTCAGTTATCTGTTTTCCAGACTTCAGATCTCGCCACGGGAAATGCGCAACCCGCGATATCTATCCCAACAAATGGAGTCTCACTTCGCGCTCTGGTGCCCAACCCTGATCCCAACTCTACCTTCGTTGCCATGGTCACTACCAACGGTGAACTCCTGATGGCCGATTTGAAGGCGGGTAACTTGGTTAATGGGCCAAATGGACCTATTCTGAAGAATGGTGTCAGCTCTGTTGCATGGAGTAACAAGGGAAAGCAGATTGTGGCTGGATTAGCCGATGGAACAGCAGACCAGATGACCCCGGATGGAACGCAAAAGGACCATGTCCCTCGGCCTTCGGACCTGGAGGGTGAATGCCATGGTAAGTCTAGTTTGGCCCGTGTTCCCCTCTGAGGCGATTGTACTTACAATTGCAGTCTCATCTATCGCATGGCTTGAAAACGACATCTTCTTCGTGGCCTACACTCCTAATTCCGCAGAAGAGGACATGTCATCCTATTACATTATCACCAGACGGAAGCAGGCACCCTTTCTGATCCAGAAATTGCCTGAAGTTTGCCCCACAATGGGTTTCCAGATGAGGCACACACCAGCGTATCAATTCGTTGCGCGTTTGCGAGACTACAAACCTCATTTGAAGGATGCATTGATCCTCTCATCAACAAGGTCTCCTGATCTCAGTATCATCGTTCGCTCCGAACAATCACTGTCGAGTGAGGACCCATCGCTCGTGAATCAGTTCGCCGTCGTCGACTTCAGCGACGATACAAAGCGGGCTTCTGTTCCATTGCAGGATGACGGCGGCGAGACCTCTGTTGTCGGTCTGGCTCCTGATCTGTCGTCCACCCAGAACGTCATCATGCCCATTCAGGGCGCAGATATTACAGAGAGCTCTACTCCTGTGCCCGGTGTATTCCTTCTCAACAATGAAGGTATTCTGTCCTCCTGGTGGTTAATTTACAACGACGCAATCCACCAGCAGGTTGCCTACTCCGGTCTCGTCTTCGCTGGCTCAGCACCACAGGCGCCCTCTCAACCCCAGCAATCCGCCCCAGCCCCAGCCCCAGCCCCTGCCCCTGCCCCTGCCACTACGCAACCGCAGCCCGCTTTTTGTCAGGCATCCTTTGGCGGAGGGTCGCCATTCGGTGCGTCTACTTTCGGCAAGCCATCTGGCGGTCCAGCTCTCAGTAGTCCATCTAGTATGGGAGGTTCGACCATGGGCGCCACAGCATTCGGAAAGCCATCCGGTCCTTCATTTGGAAGCCCCTCTCCGTTAGGCGGCGGCTCGGGTCCGGCGTTTGGTACACCGTCAACCCCGGGGCCTGCGTTTGGTGCACCCTCTCAGCCAGGATCAGGTTTCGGAACTACGAACACACCAGGGCAGCCCTCATTCGGCCAGTCGGGCTTTGGCGCTATGGCCTCTCCATTTGGAAAGCCTAGCACTCCCGGTAAGAGTCTGCTGGGGACGGGTAATAGTTCCTCTGGCGGTGGTTTCAGTTCGTTCTCGGGTGGTGGTGGAGGTGGTTTCGCTGGCTTCGCATCCGCCAAGCCTGGCGAGTCTTCCTTCTCAAAGCCTGCGACAGGTGGAAGTGGCTTCTCGAAGCCTGCCGGAGCCTCGCCATTTGGGGCCCCGTCGCAGACAGACTCGGCTTTTACTCCCAAGCCCACCGAGGTCAAGAACCCCTTCGGTGCCGGGGCTGGATCTGGGCCAAGTGGTTTTGTCCTTGGGTCGTCCTTTAAGGGTGACGGCACAGCTGTCAATGATGGACCAAAGCCCGACAAGCCCTCCTCGGGGGCCTTTTCATTTGGTAACTCATTTGACGATATGATCTCGACACCCAACAAGACGAGCCCTCAAGCCGAGTCTATGGATGACGCAGAGGATGCTGGTACTCCTGAGAAGCCCGCACAAACGGAGCCGAAGTCTATGTTTGGCGCGCCCAGCAAGCCAGAGCAGCCAGCGAAGAGCGAGCCAACTTCGATGTTTGGTGCACCAAGCACATTAGAGCAACCAGCGAAGACAGAGTCCAAGTCACTGTTTGGCGCGCCCAGCAAGCCTGGGCAGCCCGTGAAGAGCGAATCTACTTCAATGTTTGGAGCACCCAGCAAACCTGCCACTACCCCGACCTCTCTCTTCGGCCAGCCTTCGCAGCCCACCAGACCCAACCCCTTTGGAAAGCCAAGCGAATCAAGTTTCTCTTCCGGCGAGTCGAAACAGGCGGAGACGAAGCAGTCCAGCTTCTCCTTGTTTGGCACCAACACAACTACGACCAGCCAGACCTCCCAAAACCAGGTCACCAGCCCTCTGTCTGCACCCTCAGATAAGACTGCGACTCCAAAGCGAGAAGATTCGGTTACCACACCCACATTCCATTCAATGGAGGCGCCATTGCCACCTGATTCAACCAGTAGGGATCCTTATGCTGCCGGCGATACATCAGCTTCCTCCAACGTGTCGAAGAGTTCTGTCGAGGACGCGCCACTTCCCCCTGATTTCGTTTCTGCGAAGAAGTTCTCACCGAAAGAAGACGAGGCTCCACTCCCTCCAGACTTCCTGTCACAAGAGAAGTCCACCCCCAAGGTGGATGATGCTCCTCTTCCTCCCGATTTCGTGGCTAAACCCAAGAAGGAGGAAAGCCCGCCTCCAGTGCCCGAAGAGGCACCTTTGCCTCCGGAATTTACCACCTCAAAGGCCAAGGCTAAACCGGCGGAGGAGGCTGTTCCGGTCCCAGAAGACTCGGATGCGGATTCTGAAGAGGATGCGGATGAGTCTGATTTCTCTGACAGTGGCGAAGAAATAACTCATGATGAAACCGAGATCCCGAGCCCCAAGCCGTCGGCCGAGAGTTCGTTCGGTGGGGTGTCCGAGAAGAGGTCTACCCGAGGACTTTTCAGTGGAATTTCTCAGACTGCGCTGAAGCAAGAACATCCTCCGCGACAGCTGTTCGGTGAGATCACCAAGCAGCCACTCCTTGCTCCTGGACCCGCAGCGCGAAGCGGTCGTGAACCGTTCCGTTCCCCTAGCCCTACCCGTGTCAGTTCCCAAAAGGATAATTTGTTCTCGAAGAAGAACAAGAGCCGTCCGGAAACAGGAAGTGCTCTGACGTCGCGCAAGGCTTCCCTAACCCAGATGGCCCAGCGCAGAGGACAATTGCGGAAGCCCAGTGATACTGCCCACCAGGAGCAAGCTCGCGCTCGGGCAGTTGCTCAACGGCAGGAAGAGGAGGAAGCTCTTTCTTTGTCGGACGACGATGAGGATGAGAGACTTCGGGCCGACCTTGCTCGTCCGGTCGAGGCTGTTTCCACTCTTGATCCGTTCTTGCCACACCAGAACTACATGGGCGAGACTGCCAAGCCAGGTATTGCCGGTATGATTGAACGTCTGTATCGTGATATCAATTCCATGGTTGATACATTGGGTATCAATGCTCGGTCATTGGAGTCATTCCTCCTCTACCAGCAATCTTCTGAGACTTCCAACGTTGACGACTGGGTGCATGTCCTGAAAAGCGACCAGCCTGCCGATATTTTGGATGAGGAGGTGTTCCTGCAAGACATCAACAAGCTGGAGTATGTTGTGGTCTCTCTCAACCAATTCCTCGACGAACAACGCGTCAAGGGAGTGGAGGAGAAGCTGGAACAATGTCGCGAGATGCTAACGAAGGACATTGTCACGCTGCGTGGTCAATGTGCCAGCATCCGCAAGACACTCGATGCACACACCGATACCGGGTCCATATTGACGGCGCCACTGTCTGCTGAACAGGCCGCTCTCCAGCACGACTTGCGAACTGCAATCACACAGATCCAAGCGAGGATGGCCGATCTCGAACAGGGCATTTCACTCCTGCGAGCCAAGATTGCTGATATCCCGCGCCCTGATGGCTCTGGCACCGGTCGCAAGCGACCTACCGTGGAGGCCGTGTCTTCGACCATTGCCACGATGATGAGCATGGCCGAGGGCAAGAGTAGTGACATCGATGTTCTCGAGGCTCAAATGCGGAAGCTCGGTATCGACCTTAACTCTTCTTCCGCCTCCGTCAGCCGTGAAGGATCTCCCTTCGCAACCCCGCGAAAGAACGCTGCCCTTTTGCCTGCTACTCCTGGCTCGCGCGGCTCTATTGATGGCAGTGCATATCATACACCCGAGTCTGCATCTCGCGGGGTCAACTTCCGGGCCAGTATCAGCGGCTCCGCGAAACACAGCCGCCTCCGCAGCGTGGAGCTCGTTGGGTCGGCCGCCGCCAAGGAAGAGATTGCTCATTGGGAGAGGAAATTCTCTAATCGAAAGGTTCTAGTCGAGAACCTAAAGAGTGCAATTGAAAAGAAACAGACCAAGGTTCGCAGCGTGGACTGGTAGTCTGGGGATTTCTAGAATGTGAAGGATTTGGAACACAATGGCATTCGGACATTTCTAATTAGTCCACAGGCGTGGAGTAATCAAATTTTGACCAGGGAGAGTTTCAAGACTGTCTTTCTATTTCGAAGACTGTACATAGCTTTGACTGATTTTCTCTGTTATCCGACTTTAATGAAGACCGGACTCTGACATCATTTTGTGTGACATCAGCTCAACCTCCATTTCACTCCCGTAAACACCTTTCACCCTAAGATACTCACAACCATGTCGCAATCCATCACTGAATTCATCTACTTTAAAGTAAAACCCAGCGTGAAGCCCGAGGACCCCAACGACGAAGAAGGCGAAGCACTGCTGAAGGTCTTCCGCGCCGCCAAAAGCCAGAGCGGCTACTCGAACTCCGCGTGGGGCCGCACCGTCGAGGACATAGACACGATTGTTTGGGTCATCGGTAAATTTCTCTATATTATGTAGTCTACATCACTAACAAACCTAGACTGGACCGACGCGCGCGGCTCAATAACCTCAGCGCATCTCAAGCCTTTCCTGGCCACCACCCAGCAGCCGCCAACAGCGCTGTACACAACGCTGCAGCCCCCCATCTCCGGCACGGATACACTTACCAAGAACCCGGTGACGGAGCTATGCGTGCTGCCATTCCCTAGTAACCTGACTGTGCCTGAGGTCAAGGCTCTGAATGCAGACCTGATCAGTTTCCGCACGGCTCTGGTTGAGCAGCTGCCGCAGGCGGAGGCCCCGCGATCGTGGACTATGGGCCATGTGGAGCGGCCGGGGACGGTGCAGCACGCGAAGAGTCCGAGTGGACAGGCGGTAGCCCATCTGCTTGCTATTGGGTGGGAAAGTGTGGAGACGCATCAGAAGGCGAAGGAGACGGAGCAGTTTAGTAAGGGTATTGCACCCATTCGGCAGAAGATGCTGCCGCCTGTTCCTGGGTTGGAGTTGAGGCATGTCAGTTTCCAGAAGATCTGAGGGGAGCTGGGATGGTTAAGTTGTGCTGCTTCTTGCAATTGATTGTTGTGAAGTGAAAGAATTGAGGATGGTGCAACGGTAGAGAAGTGAGATCAAGGCTACTTGGGTTGGGGGGTGGGCAATGGGGTTGAAGAAATTGTGGGATTGGTTATTAGGAGGCCCGGGTTCAATCACACGCCTCGAATAAGATACAGCACGAAAGAAAAGAGTAAGGAGACACCGTGAAATCAAAGGAGAACAAAAACAGCATAAACCACCGTAGACTTTTGGGGTACGATGCCCGTTGGGGCTCCCAAGGAAATACTGGCATCAACTTTAGACGCGGTGCTTTTCGCTCTCTGTGGGCTTGTTAGCAAGACTCTTTCACTGGATTTGATGGAGGGAGACGAACCAAGTCGCGAATATAGCATGTACAGAGCCATCTGGTTGCACTCCTGGGTACCGGTGATGGTCACCAGACGCTCGTTGCTGTTCTCCTGAGGCTCGTTGATCTTGATCACGCTGCCACTCAGATGGCGTATTTCGTTGATCTTGGCACCGCCTTTGCCGATGATGGCGCCCACCATATCGTTCGGGATGTAAATCTGCTGGGTCAGAGGCTGGCCAGGCATGGCACCGCCAACAGGGGCAGGGGCAGTAGGGGGACCGCCGCGGGCAGGAGCAGGCTGAGGGCCGGGGACATAGGGGCCCGCCTGATGAGGGGTGGGAGCGGCATAGGGGGTGTGCGGTGCAGCAGCATAGGGCATGGCAGGCTGGCCGACAGGGGTGGGAGCAGGTTGGCCGTGCATGTAGGGAACGCCGTAGGCACCGGCTTGAGCTCGGTTGGGATGAGGGCCACGCTTGGAGAAGCTTTCCGGGTGTCCGTATTGGCCACCAGCGGGCTGGGGAACGTATGGCACGACCTGCATGCCACCGGGGACAGCACCGGCCGGGCCGCCACTGCGCGTGGCATAAGCCGATGCCGCAGGGCCGCCAAACCGCTCGGTCAGTTGCTCTACCAAGGTAACTGCAACGTAGTAGGTCGCAATGTGCACCGCATCGGCAACACCCAGGATGACGAGGGATCGCTCCGTCGACAGCGGAAGGCAGGCGTCCGAGGCGTTGAGACGAGCGCCAGAAGCTTCCTGAATCTCACGGATGCGGCTACCACCCTTGCCAATAATGGAGCCGATGAGAATGTGAGGAATTAGCAAACGCAGAGGGTACGTTTTGGACTGGGCAGTGGAAGGGGCGTCGAGGGGTTCGTTGTTCAGGGTACGGATGATGAGGCCAAATGCCTTGGCCACCGCGTCCTGGGGACCGCTCACGGTCAAAATCCGCTCAACGGCACCCCGAGCGTAGTCGCTGACAGTGCACTTGGCGCCGGACATGCGGCGGATCTGGGACACGTTCTCACCTCCCTTTCCGATCACGGTAGCAGCCTCCGGGCTGGAGATCACGGCTCGGATGTGAATCCAGCTCGACTCATCCTGTGGCGCATGCGTATCGGATTGCGATCCAGCGCGGTCACCATGGGACGCGGTCGATTGGATGGGCTGGGTCTCGTCGTGGGCCTTGCCGTTGGGAGCATCGGTGACGACGGTGTCACCCTGGTTGTCCTTGTTGTCCACAGTGGGGATCTGGCTGTTCACGTCGGTCTCGGCCTCGGCCTCGGCATCATTCTTCACTACTTTGTCGAGAGCAGGGCGCTTGGCATCGGGCTGGTCGTTGGGGGCCGAGGGCGACGAAGGATCCTCGAGAGGGCGCTTGGCCGTTTGGGTGTTGGACGGAGAAGCCGACATGGTTGTTGTGTGCTGTTCTGTATTCACTTACGTGAAAGGGTCGGATGGTCAAGAACGAAATCTGCCTTCTTTCTTATGGATCGTCTATGTACACCAGAGGTTCCCACGAAAACGTGCTGGTGCTTGGCGATCGGGAGAGGGAATCTGGTGCTTGGAGAGGCTGAAGGATGGAGAGAGCTGTGCCGACAGAAAGTGCAGATCAAGGTGTATGATGAGTTGATCTTCAAAGAAAAGCAAGGGAAGCCTGGGAAAGATTGTCGGGGATGCCGAGGGAAAGGTGAAGGGAGGTGAAGGGTGTCGGTGAATTGCGACGGGTAAGGAGAGGGTCGGAACTAGGAAACCAGGCAAGAAGGAACCGGAACCAGTGCTATCTCCAGGGAGCAGGAGACAGCTCGTAATGGGAAAGACTTCGCAAAGGAAACGCTGGGGTGAAGAAGGGGAGGGGAGTTGCAGTAAGCAGGATGAAGTCCAAGGTTGAGGTCGAGGTGGAAGTGACGGGCAAGTTGCGCGCGCTAAACCTGGTCTGGCACGTCACGTGCTATCGACGCGACGCGGGTGTTTGGGGATGTTATTGAGTTCACATTTCGAATGGTACGTATTGTTTTTGAGACAAATATCTGCAGCCCCGTGAGACGTAGCTGCAAAAATGGAAGTCTCTGAGGAGATCGTGCAGAAGATCCAAAAATTTGCCCAGAACCGTCAAGCAGCGGAGAAGGAGTCCGCCAGTGAGCCGCTTAGAGCAACCAACCTACATGCCTATACGCATCGCCTAGACGAGACTCTGCGCGAGCTTCAAGAGCAGGTTAGACGTCAGGAAGATGACCTGAAGAAGGTACGTAATCTGGTCGAGCCATAAGGCGGAGGTGAACTCTATAGCTAACTTACATGCAAAGCTACGGGAGATTCGCTCCCATGGACTGTTGGACAACTCGAATGATCTCTGGGTCCGGGTGGCCCAAGCGAGACGTGCCAAAAGGGCTTATGACTCACTGCTACAAGCAGAAGATGACCTTCCACCCACGGGCTCGATCCTGCCTTCGCTCATTGCAGTCGAAGATACCTCGCAGCTCATCAGGGAGAGCAAGGTGTCGGTGGTTGTGACAGCGGAGAAGTTATCTACAGATCGCGAGCGCCTTAGAGTTGAAGAGGCTAATCTACGAGACTCGCGCGCAATTGCAAATGGACTCCGCGAGCGCATCCAGCGTATTCGCGATACCAATGCGCGAAAGCAAAAGCAGACGCCTTCTCAGGTAGCCCAAGAAGTAGTCAAGGACCAGAAAAAGAAGAACAAAGAAATGGACCGCGCGTCTGCGGATCTCAAGGTTTCCCTCGACGGTTTCATCGATGAAACCCTGGCTCCAATGCTTGCTGCGGAGGATCTTGGGGGTCCCACCGTTGGAGATGCCCTGGAGGTATTGGATGCTACGCTGAAGGCGGGCTACACGGCGCACGGGAAACCGAAGAAGCAGAAACTGCCAGCCGAGCCCGAGGACGGAGGACAACAACGGATTGATCAGTTTTTGCAGCGCAATGATGACAGTTCGAACCCGACAAATAAGCGAGAGGCTGCTGCGACAGAGGTACACAAGCTGCTGGATGCACTGTTAGAGGCAGGGAACTCCTACGTGGACTTGGAACGAGACTCGGCTGCGTCGAGGTTCCTTGTGAGAGCCAAGGTAGCCCAGTTCCATCCGCGAGACGCGCGGCGTCTACGGCTGGTTGATTTTGGCCGTTCGTTGGGTGACTAGGATGTGATATGATGCTTCTGGAGAGCAAATGGTATTATGTCTACTTAAAGCCTAATTCACTAATGAATCGACAATGCATGGTATGAGTCCGTATAAAGACAGTCCGAAACAGCCCCTGGGGAATAATAGAACGCCTATAGATGCTTGATATACACAGAAAAACGCCCAATAATGATCAACAAGAAAAAAAAAAATCAGAATCAGAATTAAATAGGCATCATTCCAATCGTAGACTTGGGTGTCTTTGCTTTGGCGGTCTTCAGCGGCGCAGTGGACCGACTTAGGGCACGATCCCCGGCCTTGGATTTTGCTCTTGGGCCCTTGGCTTTCCAGGTACCCCCGGTAGAACCGCCATTCTTGCGTGCTCTTGGCCGTTTAGTGTACGGGCGTTTGGAACGCCCCTTGGAGCTGGAAGCAGCTGCGCCTGACTCCATGTCATCGGCAGGGTCGTAGCCGGGGGATGGTGGGGGAGGGAAATAGCGGCTGGTGATGTCTTGAGTGGGAGGATTGTCATCCATGGGGTAATCAAAATTCGAAGCTTGATCCACGAAAAGATCTTCATCATCACTGTACTCGTCACTGCTGCTGAGATTAATGACATTGTGATGGTTCGGATCCGGCACAACTCCATTGGTGTCGGCATCTTGCGCGTCTTGCGTCAATTCCGCGTAGCGTCGTTTGGCATTGTCCACCAGCCTCAATATCTGGCGACCATATCGCTGAACTTTGTCTTGATCGATATTCGGAATGGAAGCAAGCTCCGAAAGATCTGCCCAAGCATTAGTATTCGTTCACAATTATTTTCATCGGACAAATCGACTACTCACTTTTGGGGAACCCAATGGCCATTTCGCGAAGAATGGAATCCGGGAATGGTTGGTAACGAAGTCCTTTTTCAACAACAATCTAAAGAAATAGGTTAGCGTCGCCATGGCAGAGTCAAAATTTGAGAAACTTGCATCTTGGAGGTATCTCTTGGCAGTAACCTCGAAGTCCTCCACAACAGCACGGTGAAGGTGGTCGAGCTGATCCATTTTTTGATCATTGGTAATAGGAGGACCAAGTTCACGCCCATTTTCACGTCGTTGTTTTCCGACCACTCGAATTGGCTCAAATCCATCACTGTCTTCATCAGCCGAGGAATGATCGGCACGAGGGGCTCGTTGCTGAGAGCGCGCGTGACGACGGTCGTTGGCAGATTGGATAGGAGACGACACCATCGTAGATTGAGGGTAGCCTTGACTACCGGGTCTCGATTTCTGCGCTGGCCGAGTTGCCTTTGTCTTGCCTTTCGGAGACACGCGGACTTGTAGCTTCATCTGACGCTGACCGGTTTCATACTCCGTCGCACGACGACCAAGCCGGATGTACTGGACCGCAAAGTCCTTGCCGTTGATGACATTATCTTCTCCTAGCGCATCTTCTCCTAACAGCCGGTAGAAAAGGCGCTCTGCTTCCCCTCGATCAAGATCAGATCCATCTCCATACCAAGGTATCTTTTTATGGGAAGGTGATTTAGCTCTTTTCAGATCCCCGCGCAGGAGATCAGCACAGTAAAGTACAGTGACTTTCTCTTTGAGATCATCCTGGAAATGCCGCACAATCTTGATGGCTGACGATGCATGATGAGAAAAGTCCTGTACCTCGAACACCAGATCAGATTTGCAATTGTCACAAGCATTGCCGCAGTCCTCTCGGCGGAAGTATTCGTTGAAGTAGGCAAGAACTTGTACTCGTCGGCAGTCACTGCGGTTCTCACAGAATTGGACAACATTGCGAAGCATTTGCTTTTGCCTAGCTTTTTGTTCCCAGCTGCCCTCGCCCTCATCAATCATGCGCTTGAGAGTAGCGGTGTCCTTATATCCGTAGTAGAGATAACAGCCGGATCTTTTCCCATCTCGGCCCGCACGCCCAGTTTCCTGGTAGTATCCTTCCAGACTCTTCGGGATGCTGTGGTGGAAAACAAAGCGGACGTCTGGCTTGTCAATTCCCATTCCAAACGCGATGGTGGCAACAATGACATGGCACCGGCCCATCTGCCAGAGATTTTGTGTCTTGGCTTTTTCATCTGACTTCATGCCCGCATGGTAATGCTGAGCCTTGAGATTGTACTTCTTCCGAAGGTCCTCAGCAACCTTCTCACATGTTTTGCGCGACAGGCAGTAAACAATTCCACACTGATTTCTATAGGATCTCGTAATCGTATCGGCAATGCTGGCAAGGACTTCGTCATTTTTTCCCTTGGGTCGCACTTCGTAAGTCAAGTTGGGGCGATTGAAGCTCTGTAAAAACACTTCACATCCACTCATCTTGAGGTTGTGCATGACATCCACTTTCACATTTTCTGTGGCAGTGGCGGTCAAAGCCATGAGCGGTACACCGGGAAATTTCGCTCGAACTTCTCCTAGTTCTTTGTAATCTGGTCGGAAGTCATGGCCCCATTGACTGACACAGTGCGCTTCATCAATAACCAGCCGTGCCAGGTTGTTTCGATGATGAAGCTTTTCGAGAGCTCGAACCAGAGTTTGATTTTTATTGATCATCTCCGGTGTGATGTACAATAACTCGATACCCTCACCACCATTGTTAGATAGTTGGCCGAGGAGCCATGAGCGTTCAGTCTTCTCAGTTTCACCGTTCATCAAAAACGCATTGATGTTCAGTTTTCGCAGGTGATCGACCTGGTCCTGCATCAAGCTCAGTAAAGGAGATACGACAAGGGTCACACCGCGTGTACGGCCGCTATTCACAATGGAAGGCAGCTGGTAACACAGTGATTTTCCTCCGCCAGTAGGCATCAAGATGAAGGTATCTTTACCACCAAGGGTGGCGTCAATGGCTTCAAGTTGATTTGGTCTGAATCCTCGGAGATGGAATCGATCCTTGAGAACAGTTCGCACTTCCTGAGACCATTGATGGTTGGACCAGAAGTTGCTACGGGCGGGTGACTTCTTTGGCGGAGGCATGCGAGAAGAGTTTCCAGATGTCTCCGCAAAGACCTTGCGATTTTTGCTGGGCTGTTCGTGAGCAGGCGCTGGGGGCTCATCAAAGCTTCCAGATACCTCTAGCATCTCATCATCACTAGCATTCCAATCAAAATCGTCGAAGTCCATTGGCGCTTCCAGAGGCGGAGAGCCCATGTTTCGAGAGATATGATTTTCGTCATGGGGAGCCACGATTGGGTCTTCCTTAAACCTCTTTAGACTCGTGAACAACTGTGTTTCTCGAGGAGTCTCCCTTCTTTGTGCTGGCATTTTCGAGGCAGGGGGGATTCTCGTGAAAAGGAAAGTTCATCCAACCGTTTCGTAGGCTGAGGTGCACGAGTAGATCTCACCGGTGAGCTGGGGTAAACTGGCATGGACTCAGACGCCAAATCAAAAACCTTGGCTTGAGGCAAAAGATCGCGAATTTTTGATTCGAGTTGTTCCAGCTCCGCCTCAACTGCGCGACTTCGTGCAAGTTCGTTCGGCATGGTCGTTGGGTCCAAGCCCTGGGAGATAGCTTGCATGAGACTGCGCTTGAGGGTCTCCTTACGAGAAACACAATTGTTGTGGGTGGTTCGATGTGTTTGCAAGGTCTCAATGGCCTGGATTCGGGAAACCAGGTCTTTGTTCTCAGCAATCAGATCAGGAGCCGGTCGGCCTTCCATCGCTTGTTCGTAAACAACCTCCGCATTCTTTTGAAGGGTGCCCTTCAACTGCGAGATTAAATGTCCCAAAGAATCTGCTGACAGAGCCAGGAATTGCAAAATATTCGGGTCCTTTTGCTGAGAACTGGGCACTTTCAGTTCCGGGGATGGCTGCGGAGGCCGAGACTCCTTAACAGTCGCTGTCTTGCCTACAACGGCCTTCGAAGGTGAGCTTCTAGAAGCCAGGGTCCCTGTGTTTTTCTTCTTTTCACTCTCGTCGGGGCTAACTTGGGGCAGCGGTGGATATAGCCCTGGGTCAGCATCTAGGACCATATCTTCAACCTGGTCATCGACCAACCAGCTCACGTCAAATGGATCGTCTTCTTCATCAGAGTCGGCAATAACTCGATTGCGACTACTCGTCGAGGGTTTCTTCGAGCTTTGTTGGGTTACAATTGTTGTTTTCGGAGGGCTCTTTCGATTGGCTTGACTCTTTGCAGAAAGGAACTCGCCGCCACTCGATGTTGAGGGCCTGCTTGCCTTCGAAGGTGTTCGCACTTTGACAGCATGTTTTGACAACGAAAGAAGGTCGGATGCATACTCATCACTCTTCCGTTTTTTCCCTCGTTTCTCGCGGGGTCCTTCGCGTGATGCAGCTTCCTCGGTCCATAATCGACGCGGCTCTCCAAATTCGGCCGTTGATGAAGAAGGCATGCGACCAAAGTCTCCAGTCAGATCAATCGATTCAATGGCATCGAACGGGGAGGTCTCGATCTTGGGGTCCGATCGAAGTGGGGTCGCTTTGGGTTGAATAGTCTTGAAAGAAGAAGCCGGTTCATAATGAGATTCTATTTTTCCAGCATCAGCCAACTAATTATCGGTCATATCAGCATGGTCCTTGCGTACCTTGAACCACGCTTTTCGACGATGAGAGCATTTTCGATGTCGAAGGCGTACTCTCGAGAATGGTGTCGGGGTGGCTAAGCATGCGAGGTTTGCTCGCCGACTGCGGCGCAAGCATGAGTCTTGTCATATTATCATCCGTCACATCGTTGCAGTCCTCAAAAACTTCATCAGGTATGTCGCTTTCGTCGGAAGGCGGAGTAGGTTGTTGGGACACGCGGTTGTCGCGTTCAATCAGAGGTGTTTCGGTGGTCAACGACGGATATAGAGAGGGGCCTTGGTTCAGTAGCCATTTGAGATGCGAGGCGAGATTATTCTTCGTCATGGGGGCGAATGGCACTCATGGCCTTGGTATCGTTGTCGTTTGTCTACTTTCCGCGCCGTCGCGAGGCAATCGACGCGTCTTGCACGTGAGCGGTCAGGGCCTGATAGTGAATTTGGCAATCACCTTCAATCGACGTGTTTTCATCAAAATGATTGAATTATTTGTTCGAAGTAAATAATTATAGGATTAGATGAACCTGAATCGTAATTTTCTTAGCTATGGCAATTCTCAAACAGTGCATGCGGTGTATACCTCAATGATCAACGTACCTATAGTCAACGGGCGCATATCTACGTGGGGGAACCTTTTTTATGCCCCGCGGAGGTGGTTGAAGCTTCGAAAAAATCCGCGCAAACACCCCAATTCCACCATGGGCAAGAAGGACAAGAAGTCTGCCGAGCACAAGGCCCGTGTCGCGGCTAAGGCGTCTAAGAAGTCCGCAAAGACCGAGAAAAAGTCCAAGGCCAAGGGTAAGGACGCCGACAGCGATGTCGAGGATGCGGATCTGGATGCCATCCTTGCCCAGTACGCAGAAGAACAGGCCAGGTTCTTGAAGGTCACCGAAGTTCCTTCCGAGCCTCCGGCCCCACGATCATCTGCTACTGTTCTTGCATCCCCGTCCAACCGGAACGAACTGCTGCTCTTCGGTGGAGAGTACTTTGACGGCACGCATGCGACCTTCTTCAACAATCTGTTCGTCTACCTGATTGACCGCAGTGAGTGGAGAGAGGTCACTAGTCCAAACAGCCCATTACCTCGAAGTGGTCATGCTTGGTGCCGTGGAGGTAACACCGGAGGTGTATATTTGTTCGGAGGTGAGATCACCACTACTAGCTCAAAAATCTCCGAGCCTAGTCTAACATCAAGTAGGGGAGTTTTCTTCGCCGAAACAAGGTACCTTTTATCACTACAACGATTTCTGGCATCTGGACACCGCTACCAGAGAATGGACTCGTCTTGAGACAAAGGGCAAGGGCCCTCCGGCGAGAAGTGGTCACCGAATGACTTACTATAAGGTATACATATCCGCTGGTTATTTGTGTGGCAATTGCTGATGCTGTTTTAGAACTACATCATCCTCTTCGGTGGATTCCAAGACACCTCTCAGCAAACCAAGTATCTGCAGGACCTGTGGATCTACGATTGCAACAAATTCACCTGGTTCAACCCCACGTTGTCAGTGGCATCGCAGAAGCCTGATCCCCGCTCCTCATTTTCCTTGTTACCTCACGAGACCGGTGCCGTGTTATACGGTGGCTACTCTCGTGTGAAGACATCTGGAGGTACAGGAAAGCAGGGCAAGGGCGGGCCCCAAAAGATGACGCTGCGCCCCATGGTCCACCAGGATACGTGGTTCCTAAGAATCACGTCCCCTGAATCTGAGTCGGCCGCGGCCTCAACGGGTCCTACAGTTCGGTGGGAGCGGCGAAAGAAGCCCGCCAACACGCCCAATCCTGCTCGCGCGGGTGTCACCATGGCCTACCATAAGGGTCGGGGTATTATGTTCGGCGGTGTTCACGATGTCGAACTGAGTGAGGAGGGAATTGACAGCGAGTTCTTTGATACACTGCTTGCCTGGACCACCGACCGAAACCGTTTCTTCCCGATGAGCCTGCGCCGTCCTCGCGCACCTGGCAAGAAACAACAGGCGAACCAGGCCATGAAGTCGCGTGACAGAAGTAAGGCGGATGAGGAAGAGCTTTTGAAGAACCTGAAGGCATTGGAGGGGAAGGGTGGCATCCGCCATGATGATGACGATGATGATTTTATGCAATCTAGCACGCCCACTACCGATGAGCCCGTTGAGCCTAGTAAACCCCAGGTGGTTCGCTTTGAAATGCCGCACCGCAGATTCAACGCTCAGCTTGCGGTACAGGATGATACTCTCTTCATCTACGGTGGTACCTTTGAGAAGGGCGAGCGGGAGTTTACCTTCGATGACATGTACTCCATTGACCTGGTCAAGCTCGATGGAGTTAAAGAGATCTTCTACCGGGAGCCTGAGAACTGGAACCTTCTGGAGGAAGCTGAAGACAGTGATGAAGATATGGATGATGATGAAGAAGATGATGACGAGGAAATGGATGAAGGGGAGGGTGACGCCATGTCTATCGACACCGGTTCCCCTGCCCCCACAGAGGTTACTGTACCATCAGTGACCCACGGTATGGAGCAGCTCGACGTCGAGGAACAGGAGGCAGAGCAGCCCGAAGACAGCCGGCCTCTTCCTCGTCCCTTTGAGACTCTCCGCGAATTCTTCAACCGAACATCGGAAGACTGGCAGAAAATTTCGATCGAGACCCTGACGATGAAGGGACAAGTAGAGGGGAAGACCATCAAGGAGCTCCGTAAGGTTGCTTTTGAAAACGCGGAGGAGAAGTGGTGGGATAGCCGTGAAGAGATCATGGCCCTGGAGGACGAACAAGAAGCGGCTGGCATTGGCGAGGTCGTCACCCTGGCAGATCGTGCCGAGAATACAGGAGGAGCTGGCCGTCGTCGGTGATTTATAGAGAAAAAGTATTTTGCATTAGTCTGAATTACACTTCGTTATCGACGATTAGATGGTCATATATATCTCTGCAAACACTTGAAAAGCATTAGATCTGGGATACCTCGGCCAAAACGCCCGTCACCAAGGTCACATCTCTCTCAACATCGACTCTCCAGTTAGAGATCGCAATTCGACAGGCAGGTGCACCATCCCAGCTGGTTCCCGAGACAAACATCCGGCCAGTGTCGTTGATTTTCTTTGCCAGCTCGCAATTCAAAATATCGTCCTTGGCACGGAACAAAACACTCATGAAGGACTGGTCCAAGAGTTCGGTCTTGGAAGTCGTCAGTGGTAGAGCAATATACGCCGGGTGTTCAAAGACCCAGTCATAAATGGCACGAGCGAGTCGAACTTGGCGCTCTAGCATGTCTCGAAATCCATGCTTGCCGTATGAAAGCAGAGACGCGTACACGGGGAGTGCCCTGAACCGGCGAGAATTTTCAATTCCAATATTCAAAGGAGACGGGATAGAGGGCCCATCAGAAGCTGCGGCAGTAAGGTAGGCTGCATTCGCATTCTGGAAAACTTGGAAAGCCAAGCCGGGATGTCGGCAAAAGAAGAATCCGCAGTCATAAGGCACGTTGAGCAGCTTGTGGCCATCGCCGGTGATGGAGTCCACCAGTTCTATGCCTTGGCCTCCCTTCTTGACCGTTGCAAATTCCGGGCTGTCATCTAATACTCGGCTAAAAATTCCGAAGGCACCGTCGGCATGAATCCAAGCGCCGTACTTGTCACACAGCTGACGAATGTTTGCCAACTGCTCCATCCCAGATGTAGCGAACCGGCCAGTATTAACCTCGCCGCAGGATATAGCGACAATACTGACTTTGTCTGTTCGCGCAAGTTCTTTCTCCAATTGATCCATATCGAAATGAAGTGGGTTATCTGCACGGCAGATGTTTCGAACATTGGCGCGTCCAATGCCAAGTACACCTGCAGCCTTGACTAGAGAAGAATGAGGTAGTGTTGACAGTACTTGGACGCCGGAAAGGTCGAGTTCGTGAAGAACCTCGAACAGGCCTTCCTCTCCAACACTGCGCACAGGGCTTCCTTTCATTTCGGCAGCTTTCTGGAGAATGAACTCACGTCCAAGGGCAAGGCCGAGAATGTTACTTGCTGTGGCACCGGTGGTAAAAGTCCCATTGTGCCATGCAGCACGGTCCAGGCGAAAGAGGTCTGCAAGCAGACCGAGTGCATGAAACTCGACATCCGTGACAATCGAGTGATTTGACAGGTGAACTTGGACATTTTGGTCGTAAGTAGATACGACGTTATCTGCGAAAAGTGCTGCTGGAGTGGCTCCACCCGTAATAAATCCATAGTAGTTGGGACTGAGGCTGCCTCCATTGAAGGCCGGCACTATATCGTTCAGAATATGTTGTTGAACCGAATCAAGGCTGGCACCGGTATTTGGAAGGATATTGGGCAGAGAAGCCCGGGCTCGAGCCAAGTTCTCGGCGCTGGGAAGGACGCCCGATTCCCATTTACCCTGGGCGACCTTCCATAGGTTTTGCAATGTTTCCTCTTGCATGGTAAAATTCAACACAGGAATTCGTTAAGGAGACTCCAGCCAATTTATAGCAATCGGAATCTCACAAAATCTCGGAATCTGCGATGCGATGACTCCGGGATCCTGTATGACCAAACCCGGCTGTACCTCCCAAAAGGAGCAGATATGGATCCAAATGAGATCTTATATCTTTGTCAGACGGACTGAAACAGCTTAGAGGATAACAAGTTATATCGATTTGCCACGTTGCTTAACAAACAACGAGGGTGCCTAGAGGTGGATAGTAGGCGAAGGCCCAGGAACGAGACGCGGGCCGTGATTCTCGTATCTTAACGGACAGGTGGCCGGTGGTTGGGTGGTACAGCGCCGTCTCTCCGCTGCTCCACTCTCCAACTCTCCAGACCTCAGCTCTCACTGCGACAATGGCCGCGAAACTCATTGATAGACAATTCCACAACGTCCCCGGTTCGTATATCTTCATTGGACACCCCCCGGTGGAAAATCTGACTGGAGACTAGGAAAACTCCGGGTGGCCGAGCTGTTCTTCGAAGTCCCCGTCGATTACAGCAAGCCAAATGACGGCACGTTGAGGCTGTTTGCCCGCAGCATCTCACGTTTGAACAAACCCGTGGAGCCCACCAAGGAAGAGACCAAGCTTCCTTGGCTAGTTTACCTCCAAGGTGGACCGGGGTTTGGCTGCGGTACCCCGCAGAACTACGCCTGGGTTGAGCCAGCCCTCAGTAAGGGGTATCAAGTACGTGGCCACCGACGCCTGCCTATTGAAGTCTATTGGACGTTTGTACTCGGATGAGACGTTCAGCCTAATCTAACACAATTGAACAGGTTCTCTTTCTGGACCAGCGTGGTACTGGTCTGAGTTCAACCATCACTGCAGGAACTCTGGCTCGTCAAGGCGACGCTATCAAGCAGGCTGAATATCTCAAGAACTTCCGGGCGGATAGCATTGTCCGTGACTGTGAAGCTATTCGTAAATGCCTGACCGAGGATTATCCCGAGGATCAGCGCAAATGGAGTGTTATCGGCCAAAGCTTCGGAGGCTTCTGCGCTGCTACTTATCTGTCCAAGTTGTACGTGCCAAAAAGCAGCCCCTTGTAGCAGATTCAAATTTGCCTGCTAATATTCAACATGATTAAAGCCCCGATGGCTTGAAAGAAGCTTTCCTCTGCGGTGGGTTGCCACCAATGGTCAGCGATCCGGACCCTGTCTATGCTCGGACCTACGGTGAGTCCCATATTAGTGAATACTGGAAGGCGTGCTAACAGGAGAATAGAAAAGGTCGAGGAGAGAAACGAGGCATATTATGCCAAGTTCCCCGAGGACGTTGAGCGTGTCAAGAAGATCATTCAGTATCTGACCGAGAACAAGATCTCCCTGCCATCTGGATACCTCACTCCCTCACGTTTCCAGCAACTTGGCATTGTTTTCGGGTTCCACGGTAAGAATCGGTCTAGTAACTGTAGAAGTATCCATGTTAACATTGATCAGGTGGTCTCGATAGTTTGCACGGTAGGTCAATCTTTGAAAAAGCCTGGCCGAGCGCCTTCTCACCCATTATCTAGAAATCGTCCTAAGAACCTGGAACGACTTGGAGATTTTCGGCTCTCTAACAGTCCCAACTCTTGCTCTGATCGACAGCACTGGCGGCATGGACAAGAACGTAATCTACGCTATTCTGCATGAGGCTATCTACTGTCAAGGGTAAGAAACGCTACTTTTCATCTTCTCAGTTCTTTCATTAACACCGGAAATAGCAAACCCTCGCTCTGGGCTGCCGACAGACGCCGCGCCGAGAACACGCGATTCCAAATCAACGGATCTCAGGCGGAAATTTACTTCACTGGAGAGATGGTAAAGTGACCCATTGTTTCGGTCATCGTCGAAATAGGACAGATCTAACATAATTCAACAATCTCAGGTCTTCAAGGATATGTTTGAATCGTACTCGGAGCTCAAGGAAATTCGGGAAGCGGCCGAAATCCTCGCCACCACTAGCGACTGGCCTGCCCTCTACGACGAGGCGCAGCTGGCCAAGAACGAGGTGCCGGTATATGCTGCCACTTATATCGACGACATGTATGTGCATTTCGACCTGGCATGCAACACCGCAGCCAAGATCAAGGGCACCAAGCAGTTCATCACCAACACCTTGTACCATGATGCTCTGCGAAGCAAGTCGGAAGAAGTCATGCGGCAACTTTTCAACCTTCGGGATGACTCTATTGACTAGGCCCATGTATCTCTCGACCATGGTGCAGTGCATTAGATTTTAGACAAGCAAAGACGTGACAATATCTTGAGATCTGAAATTGGGTATAATGTGTTGGCAGATATGTACAAAATGTCATCTCCATTTCATGGACGTAGTATTTCGAGTTAATCAGAAAACCTGCGCTTTGAAGTTAGTGTTTGTGTGGGAGCGAGGCAAGTCAGAACAGCACATACAGCTCCACCGATGATGAAAAGTCTTTCTTCCTCTTGATGTACCCACTGGGCAATCTTGGCTGCGCTTTGCACCAGCGCGTTTCTATTCGCGTTAGGCTCGGCAATGCAGTAGAGCTCGAACACCGCGGTCATCCAAGCGAATGAGCTTGCTGACCGCGAGACGCAGTGGTGCACTTTAACGCTGGTGTTCTTGGCGTGGATGCTCCCATGGAGATTGTTGTATATTGACATCAATCTGGAAGATTTGTTAGATATGATGATGCGTAACGATATCGAGGTTAACATGCTAACCTTCGTCGTCGAGATATTGAAGTAAATTCAGGGGAGTAGGATGACATGGTAAATTGCACGTTTGCACGCGATTTATATAAGAAATGATGCAAGACAGACCCAGGGACAATGTCGGTGGTAGCTGGTCGCCCCTGGTCGATTGCGGCTTTTATCACCTTGAGACTGCCGTTCTTTTCCATTTGCTGTTGAGTAATTAGCGCCAGTATCTTAGGAGAAATCAACATAGTACATACCCCTACAAGGGAATCACGCATCTCCTGCATCTCGAAGAAGCTTTCTTTATCCGGACTGATCAAGACAATGGCGACAGACTCATCTTTGGAGATATCCTCATTTTCGTCGACATCGTCTCGGAGGTCAAGGAAGCTGACATACATATAGAGGTAGCCGCTACTGTTGAAGCCAGGAAGGCAGACAGGAATCCAACTTTCTCCTCCCCCGGCCTTGACACCATCGGCCTCGAAGATCATGTTGAATAAAAGCTGTAGATCACCCGGATGGAGCGAGTGCTTCTTGGGCCGGACAACACTTACAAGCCGTCCACCGGCGACAACCAACCCGTAAAGCAGATTGGTGGCCTTTGTCTTTAAAAGTGCGTTGTTGATAGATTGGCGGTGTACCTTGCGAATCTTGAGACACTCCAAAGCTGAGAGTAGGGTGGATGGCGATCCACGCGTGAAACTGTCTGCCAACGAGGACAGGAGAGTCTCCGATCCCTGAAGTGGTCGTTTCAGGTCGGTAGATGGCCGAAGGGAGAAGAGATGTGTGAGAGAGGGGAGGGTCAGCGTGGACAAAATCTGCATATACAGGGCCTCCAGTTGAAGCCGGAGCTGATTGTCGCTCTCCATCATGCGGCTGATGGCCACAAAATGGAGAGGCCCGCGAGTCACAATAACGAACTTCGAGTCTTCTGCAGAGAAACTGCGTAGTTGATCGCCTGCGTCCTCATAGAATGAGATTATGGTCTGGATAACACCAACATATGTTGATATCAGCCCACCGTCACCGTGTCGAGTCCAAATTGGCTTGCCTGCTGCGGATAGAATGAGGTAGTGCTTTTGCTTTGCCTTCCACCGTTGAAGAAGCAGGTCTATTACAAATTAGGTCTATTCCGAGAGAGAAGACTAGGAAAAGAGGGAAAACCCTACCTTCATTGCCGGCTTCTTCATTCAGTTCACCGACTGGCTCAAACTCGCTCAGGAACCCAGTGTCGTCGACATCATCGGCCGGAAATTCAGGAAAGTGAAGCAAACTTGCAGCATCTGAATGGTCCCCAGGCGCTGCGGTAACAAAGTCCCTGAAGAGCGCCTCAACATCACCAATATCGCCGTTCTGAATCGAACTCCGAATACTGGCTGAGTCTCCGGCTTCGCTTCCTTTCGGACTAGCCAGCTGATTTAGACTCGCCTTCGCTTTCAGTCCCCGGGGCACGCCACGAACAGCCAAAGTAGAGTGTGCATTGCCGGCATCTGGTGCCTGTGTATCGATGTCTGCTCGAGAAACAGCCGTTGTAGCCTCTGCTTGTAGACTGGCCCGGAATGCCGTTTCATCGTTCAACAAGTTCAATGAGTTCGGCCGCGGAGGTAAAGGTGGTCGCACACTATCTATACTGAGGCTGCGATCCCTGCTGGGGGTATGCGGCGTGCTGGACCTAGACGGAGCCGCTGAGGGGTCGACAGATTCATCCTGGATGTCGCTGTGGGAGTCAGGGTGCAGTGTAGTCATCCCCGCTATAGGCGTGCGCTTCTGAACGCAGTCGCTGGGCGCAGGTCATTAACGCATCGAGTGCGCATCGTTCGATAAAGAGATGTAGTCCAAGGACGTGTTCGAGGTGCTCGCCCTGAGGAGTTGTTGAAGCGTGGAGGCGTTGAAGCGCTGACGTCGATCGCCGGGAGCTTCCCAAGGCGGACAAAACATCGATATGTGGCCGCCTGCGTGGCCCTTTCGAACTCCAAATCAAACGCTCAACTCCCCCTTTCCAACAGGGCCGCGACTCGATGTTCTAAATATGACGGAGTGCAGTCTGCAGCTTTTGAATCAATTTGACGTCCGACATTGGCACCATGAGCCTTGATCCCAGTGCCTTTCCGAGGTCGAACTCCCCCGCAAGCTCCGAGAGCTCCTTGACGCGCCCGCGCCTCCAGGGCAAAGAAGGTGTGTACTCTGCGCAAATCGTCTCTAGTCGCCAAAGTTAGGTCTGACCATGTCTTTCAACTCCAGGGTCTTTGAAGAAAGACAAGAATTACCGCCGCTATGCGTCGAGTGTCGAACGAGCCTTGTCGTTGTTCGACAACGCCCTCCAAGAATGGGCCGACTACATCTCCTTCCTCAGTCGCCTGCTGAAGGTACGATCAAGCGCAAATGAATATGCTTTATGTCGCATCATTAACCCTTGCTCAGGCACTTCAAACACATCCGCCCGATCAGCCAGTCGTCCCTCATAAGTCGTTAGTTTCGAAACGACTTGCCCAATGTCTAAACCCGTCATTACCATCCGGCGTTCACCAAAAGGCGCTTGAGGTCTATACTTACATATTTGGCTTGATAAAGGTATGAATTCTCCAGACGGCTAGTAGAAGATGCCTTACTTATGTTTTTAATTCAATATTAGCTCGAGGGATTGTCGCACGATCTGCCGCTGTACCTGCCTGGCCTTGCACCCACCCTGACCTTCGCCTCTCTTACCGTTCGGCCACTTTTCCTATCTTTGGTGGAAGGATACATCGTTGACTTAGAACCGTGGGCCATTCGGCCGGCGTTGAAAGCAATTATTCTGGCCCTGCTTCCTGGCCTGGAAGAGGAGACAAGTGATGACTTTGAACCGACGCTACGCATAATCAACAAGCTGCGCGATCTTTCCGGATACCTCGAGACCCAACGGACATCCGAAGCAGGCGCTTCTGGGCAATACTTCTGGCAATGTCTTTTCCTGGCTTCAATTACGAACTCCAGCCGACGGCTCGGCGTTCTGGCATATTTGAACCGTTACCTTCCGAAGTTAGGTATTGCAGATCGTCGACCGAGTGTGGCCGAGACCGGGGATTTCAGAGATATTCCGCCCGAGATGCTCGCAGCAGCCGACTCTGTGATCCTGCCCGAGCCCGGCCTGTTGATCCGCTGCTTTGCATCGGGCCTTTCTGATGACCAGCTACTGGTCCAGCGGAATTTCCTCGATCTACTAGTGACTCATCTTCCTTTGAACTCACCGATTTTGCAAACTCGGCTTGCCGATGGCGACCTTGAAACATTGATCGTCGCTGCTGTGGGTGTGGTTACTCGGCGAGATATGAGCTTGAACCGCCGCTTGTGGTCGTGGTTTCTTGGGCCGGAGCCTGCAAGTGACGGACCCTCGATTGATGGTCGGAAATTCTCTTCGGAGACTACCCGTTCATCCTCTATTGATGGCGGGGAACTCTCCCAATCCAAATATTTCAGCCGAGTGGGTTTGCAGCCATTGGTCAATGGTCTTCTCAAAATGATCAAACAAGCTCCCAGGGCCCCATCTGAACGGACAAAGCCTTTCCGGATTTCACTCTCCTTGATGGATCGTTGGGAAATTGGGGGATATATCGTTCCGGCCGTTTTCCTTCCTACCATGCATAGCGTTCAGGCATTTGAGAAAGAAGCGCCCAGAAACCACTTCGAAGAAGTTTTCCGCAGTGCAAGTGCTTTCTTTGATGGGGTGGAAAGCAGTGTAATTTTTTCCGAGCTCCTGCATCTAGTTGACTTCCGCTCGAAGGACGTGGAGCATGATCACGATCAAGTCCTGCGCAGCTTGGATCTGGCACGATTCATTCTTGAAAATTTTAACGTGCGAGAAGAAGACATGGTACATGTCCATGTCCCTCTACTGACTGTTTCAGTGCTTGTCAAGATGAGCGAAGTTGCATCAATGAACACTCATGTCGAGAAACAGGCCGTATCTAACGCATTGAATGACGTGCTGCAGTCACTGACTCCATTGCTCACGGAAAGAGCCTTCTCGAGAAAGACCGGTCAGGAGAAATCGAACGCCGATGGCAAGGCCCGGAATGCCGAAGTCTTGGATAAGGTGCACCGCTTCTATGAGAGCAGCAAGAACAGCCTTGATCTTCCACCTCTTCCGTTTGCTCCGAGGCAAATCAGCGAGATGATCATCCGGGAAGCCCATGATCTTTGTGTCGGAGCCCTGGAAGACGATGATGGCAGTTCATCTCTCAATGAGAAACTCAATATTCTTGTTACGTTATTGCAGAAACTTCCAAAGTCGCGTATTCTTCGAGACAGACGACTCTATGAAGCTATCTCCCAAAGACTGGCAACGAAAAATGCCAAAGCGTCCACTGCAGCTTTCTCTGTCATTTCTACCGTTGCCTCTGCTGTGACGAACCTGTTCTTCATCCATGCCCCTGGCTTCTACGTAAGCTACGAGGATGCATGCGATCTCATCCCCAGCCTCGTTGAGCAACTATGGCAGTACCTGTCACCATCAAGTCCGAAGTTCCATGTGGAGGCCGTGCGCTGTTTATGGCTGCTTCACTCGATCTCTTGGATCGACCATCTCGTTGAGGCTTCTATTACTTCTTTGATGGTCAGTACATCGGCTGCGGGAGCTTATAATCTCTCATCGGAAGAGAAGGCAGAGAAGTTCTATGTTCTATGGAATCTTAGCCACCACGGCACGTATGAACAGCCCCCAAAGCAAGTGCTTGATGTCGGAGGCTCTTTGTTCTCCTATCAGTGTACCATGTTTGAACGCCCACTCTTCATTGTTCTGGATCTTTTGTCCCAGGAGCGTGGCGATGTCTCCCAGAGTGTTCAGCAGTGGCTACAAGACTTGCCTACCATCCACAAGTAAGTAGATCCGTCCAGCACCTGCCGCATGCATGCTAATCCAACTTTTTAAAGGATCTTCCATGTTATTGTTTCAAAACTTGAGGAAATGTTCGAGCGTGATACCCCAAGTGAAACGGCCCGAGACAATCAATCCATCTCTCCAGACGATTACAAAGAGTGCTATTACTTGCTGCGAACGGCTTCCAATATCATCTCTATTCTTTCTCATAACGGCTGGATCATTCTTCTGTCTCATACCCTGGGCCAGACTGAGAATCGCCCTGATACGGCCAAGTCTGAAGGTAATCTCCGACTTTCGCCCAAACGGAGATATTATTATGTAGCTGACCCTGGAGACAGACAACGCGAACGGAAAAAGTCTTCATGCAACCTTCTTTCAAGCTTCTCTTAGAATCATCAGCGACCAAGCACCCAACCAAACACAAGCCACCGCCGAAGGCGAGAGACTGCAGAAGGAGGCACTTCATCTCATGCGGCAACTTCTCCTGGGCCCTGGCGCAGATGATCTTGTGGAATCTGGAATAGATGAGTTCCTGGTTGAACGTCTTCTCATTGTATCTGAAGGTGGCAGCGTGGCAGTCCAAGGCGCAATCATCGATGCACTACTGGCTGCTCTGAAGGTGCGGTTCGCTCAGGTGTACTTGCCACCGCCGCCTCCTCGGCCCAAACACCAGCGAGCTAGCTCTCGTGAACGCTTAACAAGCCCGTCCATTTTGTCTTTTACCAGTGATAAGGCAGAAAGGAAGTCTTCAATGTCTCAGCTACCTCGCCCGCCTGAGCGGCTTCTCGATTGTCTTCTCAAGGGAATCAGTTCAGCCGGATCTCGAGAAATCGTCGACAAGTGGATCGGACTTCTCTGTGAGGTTCTTCCTCTCTACTCGGGCTCGATTTTCCAGATTCTACTCATGCTCGTTGAATGCTTCTGCAGAGAGATCAGGGCATCATTTGGTAGACTTCAACTCGCATTCCAGCAAACAGAAGATTGGCCACAGGATCGCTCTGAACATGTCACCATTGCTCTACTAACTGGCCTCGAAACTTGCATTGCCAACGCTCACGAACGTCTACTGGTGGAAGAGTCGAATGTACCCGCGGTAAAGAGTCCGGATCAGCCTCAAGGCTTCTTCGGGAACATGGTCTCGGGAGTGTTCCACTCAGAGGGTAGCCAGGGCCGATTTAACACTGCCAATGACCGATTGACCGTTTTGCTCTGTTTCCAGGATGCTGTTCGTCTTTGTTTCTCTATTTGGGCCTGGGGTGCTGGGGATAAGAGTGGCATCCCTCCTGATTCAGAATCAATGGCGTCATTCCAGTATACGTCTTTGCGAATGCGGAACAGATCGCGACGGATTCTGGAACATTTCTTTACTGCGGAAGCTCTCGAGTGTCTCGAGACGCTAGTTGAGATGTGGACCAAATCCGACATGGAAACTGCCACTCTCATATTCAGCCTTCTGCATACCCTCGATGGATCACGTCCAAAGATCGCCATTCCGGCGGTTTTCAACGCCATTTACACGCGTACGAATCCAAGCGCTCTGGACAATAATCGCAAGTCTTCTTTGACGTCCAGCCTTTCCGAGTCTGAGCTTGCCAGCTTCTTGGTCGCTTATGCACGCTCTCTGGATGATGATGTTCTGGATGAGATCTGGACCGATTGCACAACGTTCCTACGCGACGTACTGAGCAATCCCTTCCCGCATCGGCAGATCCTTCCGCGACTCATTGAATTCGCGGCTATTTTGGGTGCGAAGTTGGAGAACACAACCTTCGGCGAGGATCGGCGTATGCGCAAAGAACTCGGAGTAAGTCAATTCACCCCTATACGCGAATTCGGTTCTTGTTTACTAACCGCGTCATTTCTAGGAGGTGCTCCTCCGGCTGCTCACGGCGGTCTTCACCAGCAAGCCTCTGGGGCTCAACCAAGACAGCGGTCTCCTGGCGAGATCGTCTGTGGACTACGACCAAACGGCAGTCTCACACACCGGGCCCGACGATATGTTGAGCATTCTCGCGGTCTCCATGCCATCATTTATCACGACTCTGGGTGATTCGGACCGCATCAATACTGCCATCAGCGGCATATCGACCAACGTGGTCGGCCCTCTCATTCGCTCCCGTCTGTTCCCCAACAACCTCAATCGCAATGTAATGGTCCTTCTGCAGCAGATGGCCAAGGTGCCCGCAGCAGCGAAGGTGTGGAAGAAGGATATCGCAGACGCACTCAACGACCCGCGTTTCTTCGGTTTGCAAGTCGACCTGATCAAGAGTACTTGGATGGATCTTCTGCGGCAATGGATTCTCGCCGACAAGGAGCGCCTGGCGGAGCTGTTGGCTCGACTTCCGCCGCCCAGTACAGCTGGAATCATGTTCGGCGTAGGAGCTTCTGCAGCGCGGCTGGAAGCGGATCGCAAGGCACAGCTCAATCTTCGCCGCATTGCGCTGCTTCTTCTGTCAGCTAACGATGATTACTTTGTGGGCGAGCTGCCAGGTCTTCTCCAGAAGCTGGAGGACCTCCTAGGTGCTACTAGCTCTTCTTCACCATCATCTGCGACGCGTGCGGAGATCTTCATGGTTCTGCGTGCGCTCGCGCTAAAGACTTCATCCTCCGCGATGGCTCCATTCTGGCCGTTGATCAATATGGAGCTGCAGGAAGCCCTGTCGGCTGTTCCGCGGGGCTCACAGTCTGAGCTCTATACCCCCTATTCCTTGTTGCAGGCATGCAAGCTGCTCGACACACTACTAGTCATCGCGCCCGACGACTTCCAACTCCTCGAGTGGCTCTTTGTCACCGATACCATTGACGCAGTGTACCCCCCAGACCGATGGGAACCTATCGCCCTGGCCGACGAAGTCTCCCAGAGCTTCGGACCACGTGGTGTTCTCTCGCCGACCGTATCGCACGAACCGGCGGAGATCGTAGCACGCAGCGGCCTTAAACGGCCGTGGCTTACCTCACACCAAATCCGGGAAACGGCCAAGGACGAGATCGTTGAGCGGGTCCTGCGACCGTTCTTTGACCGGCTAAGTATCTACGTGTTTGAGAGTACGTATGGTATGGAGAGCGCGGATCTAGGCGTGTGCCGAGATGACCTACTGGCGGACCTGTTCAACGAGAGCACGATGGCGAACTGAGGCAGATGTATAAGTGGGGGTTTGTAGCCATATAACGATTTCCGTATGTAGTTTTAACATCAAATTCATATACCTCTGTTGTGGACCATCAACGAGTAAAAGGCGTTATATAGCAAAGCGAGTTGCGCGCCCAATAGGAACCACGGCCCTCCGCAGCTCACGTCACTTTCCTCCGTCCTCTTCCCGCCACCGAGCATCTATCTACAAAGCTGTAAGATCCAGTTTCTATTTGAAGTGCCGATTTATTTGCTGATGATCCTAGGTCCCGCGTCACCATGATCGTACGCCCAAAGCTGTTTTTACCACGACGCGTCCTCGCCCGGCCCTTCTCGGTCTCCCGTCCCCGCTGGGAGGCTGCGCTGCCTGCCAGAAAGCCCGTAGGGGCTTTTCGAGGAGGGTATGTATCGGACCTTTTTTGCTTATTCTCGCGTTCTCCTCTGTCGTCCATACGGTCTGTACGCGAATTCCCTAACCATTTGCAGAGTCTTCGGTTTCCTGACGGGTGCCGTTGTTGCCGGCGCGTCGGTCTACTATTACATCCTCGGTGACTACCGCGTCGCCAATGAGATGCTGTCTGATGACATCGGAGTACGCCTTCTCTTCACCCCGCGGCTTGCACCATGTTGCTTGGAAGCTAACTGCTCGATGTTCTTTCTCCGGAGTTTCCGGGGAGAGATCGTTCATTTGAACAGGCCCTTCAATCTGCTACTATGAAGCTCCAGTCGTACATTACCGAGCTCGAGAGCAAGGTTAACAACTTGTCGAAGAAATAGCTGTCCTTGCCATTTCCGTTGTTCTATCGTTGTACTTATTATTCTTTCATCGGAGGTGTTAGGGAACTTTCTTCTGCTGGCGAACCAGTCTGACATTGGGACCATTTGACTACTGCGATTTACAAAGTGGATTTAAATACGCAATATGCGAGCTTACGAACATAAATCCAAATCCCTTTTGATATTCAGACTTCCCATTCCTGGGATTACATGATCCCCAGTCTGCCAAGCTTGGGAGCTCCATATGCAAACATGACAAACACCGTCACTTATCAACAACTTTTGATTTCCCTCCTCTACCACGCCTTCTCATCCAAACCAGCCATGTTCCGCGTCGAACTCCTCCCCCATTCCGGCGCAGCAGCCCAGCCCGGCTGGACCTACGTGGCCGACCGGGGCTTCGACCCATCAAAAGCCGCAATGGCGCCGACGCTCGGCCGGAAACGCGGCATTCGCGACGCCGGCAAAGGCGGCGACATCTCTTCGCGACGAGCGAACGCCATCATCCGCCACCTAGCGGAGCTGGATCGCGAGAACCAGAGTGACGTGCAGATTCCCGTGCCCGTGAAGCAAGCAAAGGAGGCCGGTTCGCGCGGCACGCGAGCAAAGACAACCTCCAACGTACGCCGCATCCTACAATCACAAAAGACGTTCCGGAATCACCTTGACGATGAAGAAGCTGCGATCGCTGCTGGAGGAGGTGGTGTTAGTGCAACGGTGGGCGGGGGAACTATGACCGCTGCGGCAGCCAAGGCCAGCAGGGCTGCAATTGCAGCCAGACGGAGCTCGACACCAGCGACGGTTCCGTCTGCGCCTGCATCAAAGAAGAAGCGCACTGCTCCCACGGCGACAGCGACTTCGACACCCACACCTGCGCCTTCACAACCCGAGACAACGGATGCAGAGGCCGAAGACGAGACCTCTGAACGGAAGCCGAAGCTGATCAAGACCGAGAACGATAACGACCCCCTCTTGCGCTCGTACGCACCAACCATGCCGTCGGATCGGATCATGCAGCGGCTTCTCGCGGAACCGCCCCTATCATATAACGCGTCGCGTGCAGGGCCGCCCATATCGGCACGGCCGCCGCGGGCTTTCTGCTGCATGTGTGGGTACTGGGGAAAGATTCGGTGCAAGAGCTGTCATCTGCGGACATGTGGACTTGAATGTTATCGGGTCCATGAGGACTCGCGGTGTGGAGCGTTCTTCTAAACGGAACGCTAGTTTGTATACTACTGAGACGGGTGCACTTCAGCCTCGTTCTCTTCTTATGACTGCATGACTATAATGGCATATCTGTACAATAGCTGATTCAAGATCTCAAGATTACTATACGTATGGTAGTTCCGGACATCGGTATCACCACCTACAACTCCTCCATTGTTTCTCGAACCCTTATGCCAAGAAACGCTAAGTTACTATTGAAATAATCAAAGAACGTGTCTTAGGCCGTGTAACGCAAAATCCAGAAATTGATCAGCGTCTGCATGCCAACCCTTCAGAAGCCGGATGAGTGCCAGCTGAACGATTTCAAGGGAGTATACACGTCCTCACATTCAAGGTGTGAATTAGACTTTATTCATGATTTTTTGAGTTTGGATAACTATATCAACACCACAATGGGCCTCTGCCGGTCTGGCAATAGGAAATCGAAATCAACATTTCAAGTCGATGCCCATGCGCAGCTCATCCTCACGAATCTCAAACATGACCTGGATGCCAACGAAAAGCACAACGCAGCACGAGATCATATATGCGACTCCCGAGTACGAGCCCGTCAAGCCTGCAAGGAGATCCTTAAGCCCGTCCAGACCGAGCGCGAAGCCAACCAGATTCGCAATCATCATCATAAGCACATTTCCCACGGACCCAATACCACTCAGAACCCGATATGCAGTCGGTCGAGAGCGCCAGCGGTGTGCAGGGAACAACATGCCGCCTAGAACCTCGGGGAGAACGAAGAGGGTGATGAGCCAGCCCCACATGAGAAGACGGAGGTTGATATCATGCCAGAGCGCGACAAAGGTAAAGACGAGCAAGAAATTGCGGATCTGCAGGAACTTTACCCAGAAGCCTGACGGTGCAGGCCCCGGTTTTCCTCCGGCGGGACGTCGTCCACCTCCACCCAGTGGCACGTAGATGTACCGGACGATCCAGCGGTTGAAGGAGCGATGCCAGCCGCGCCAGAAAGCGAAGGCGGAGTAGTTGTTAGACATGCAGCGGACCATGTTCTCGGGTGGGTCGATTCCGTCGAGAAGGGCCCAGAAGCGGAAGAATCGCCAGGGTATGAGAAGCTTCAGCCAGATGATGTGCAGGTTGAAGAAGGCGAGCATGCTGAGCTGGCCTGGGGTGAATAGTGACCAGTCTGGTGAAGCTTTGGAGATGGCTACTGCGTAGATGTAGTGGAGGATTAGCTCCATGCAGAGCAGGGTGAGGAGGAAGCGGATTCCGTAGAGCATTGTGCGAGTGCGCGTCACCGAGGGCGCAGTGTATCGCTGCTGCGAGACGTAGTCGTTGAAAGTCATGATGGGACCCGCCAAGTACAGTGGTGAATAGAGCACGTAGGCGATGTAGTTGCGCATGCTAAACGCAGCAGGTTCGGCGGGGATTTTGACTCGATCTCTTTCAGAAAGGGCCGCGGGGTCGAGTTGTTTCTTCTTATAAATTTTAGTCAGTTGAGAATCGAGCCAAAACAGCGCGTCATGCGGAATACGAATACATACTTCAATCGGGCTCGTCGAGGGATAGTCAACACTCCAATAGTAGTCCATGTTGAAGCTGATCAACCGCAAGACTGTGATTTTGAAGAGAACCTCCCATCGCGGCATGATTCCCCCAAAGTTGTCCAATGCCTGGGCACACTGAACCAGCAGAGATCCCTTTTCATCCGATGTTCCCGATCCTGATGTGATGAACATGGCAATTCGTTCGAGCGGATATCCACCGAGTAGTTCGTTGGCGAACAATATGAAGATGTTGAAGGTCCATGTCACGGCGGGCGCATAGTTTCGAGGAATGTTCTTGCCAATTTTGTAGTTAATGAACAGGATCGCAAGGATCTTAAGGGCAGAAACCCCATGGAGAGCCGTGATGAAAACCAGGCCAAATCCAAAATCGAAGCGCATCCGCTGCTCGAGTTGTGCGTCTCCGGCGGCGGCAACGGAAGTTCTAGATGGTTTCGATGCCGTATCGCTACGGCTCATGTAGGTTTGGTAGATGCGACGAGCAATCGGGTGGGCGATCAGAAGGAGGACGAGGTAGGGAACGTTGTCACGAAAGCTGGCATATTGCGCGTCGGAGTTGTCCTATTCGTTGAGGGAGGTTTAGCCAATGGCTCTTCTCGACGGAAGATTGAAGTCAGATACTCACGACTAAACGTCCAGGAATCCATCCGGGCGACAAAAGGTGGGAGTATGTAGGGTAGACCGGGTGATTGCCTGTAGTTTGCAGATCCTTGATCAGTATCCAGGTCTGTCCTTCGCTCTCTTCAGCCGAGATTACCCACCCTTGGAGGCGTCTACGACGGTCTTGAACATCAAAGGAACGAGTGTGATGAAGAAGAGGTAGTAGACGAAGAACTCGGGCGTGCCCCAGAGTGATGCTGGTGCATTCTGAGCAATGGCGTTGGCGCGGGCATCTTTGGCGGAGGGTGGTCGCGTGTCGCCGTTGGCAGGGGTGGTTGCGGAGGTGGTGAAGCGAGTGTCAAGGGTGTCGAGCGAATAGGTTCGCCGTAACCAGGAGAGGAGGGACGGCATTTTACAAGGACATGGCGCGTGAGGAGGACAAGTTGTGGAGAGTGTTTACTCAGATCGAAATCAGGGGCCGAGGCTGCGTTGATCGCCAACTGTCCAACTGCCCTCCAATCAACACCCACCAATATCGCATCTATTTATACACTCTCCATAGACTCAACAACGAGGTGGGAAACAGGCTTGTACGATTCCGGTATAAACATCGAAGGGCGACCGGCCACTAATGACTTACATTATACCGAAATGGGGCCTCCAGCCGACTTCGCTGAGTGCCACGAAGCCCAGCAGCAAAGCGTTCTAGGGGTTTTTGGAGCACTACCACCTTCTGCACTCGCTGATCTTTAGAAATCGATTTCAAGCCTGGCTTCATCGAGCCTTTGACATCGCTTGGCTATGGCGGAGAATATTGAGCTCCAAAAATTGCAGCAGCAGCAAGGCCTCGACCAAGACTAGCCTAGTTGTAGATGCTGATATAGAGACGAGAAAACGAACTACAGTATAGGTGCATACTTAGGAGGTTATTTATACCTGGTACCTGAGATTACGTTTGTACATTATAATCGAAGCTTAGCATGTTATTAGCCTTTGTCGAATCAAAAGTAAGACTGGAATCCATCGGATCATGTAACTAAGCAAAATTCTCACGCCCTGAGGAAGTCATGACTCAAGATAGCGATCAAGCAGACGGTCTTTTCACTGTTGGTCCTGTCACCGGAGTTTCAGAGCTCCTAGAGAAAGCAGCAAGCGTACTCTTCCGCACAAGGCGCAGACCAAACACAAGCATAATAAGGGCAGTTAGACCCGCGAGGACACCCAGTGTCACCATCGCGCCGATGACACCTGCATCTCCAAGACTCAGTCCACCGGAAGACGAAGGTGAAGAAGAAGGCGTGCTCGCTGCAGAGCTGCTGGAGCTGCAGATACCGGTAGTGTTCCCACAGGAATGACACCACTGCTCCTGGGTGGTGATGGCGAATTTGTTCATGTTAGAGACAAATTGTGTCCAAGGAAGCGTAGTCACAGACTGACGGAACAGGGGATAGGTCTGCAGTTGAGTGGATCCAGCGATGCTCGTTCCGTTGTGGAACACGAATCGCACGCTGAGATCGGACTGGGAAGGCATTCCCGTGCCAGTGGCATTTGTCACAAGCTCCCATGCCATTGAAGAAGCGTAGTTAGGCATGCCGGTAAAGTTGACATTTTCAGCCGCGAGTCCAGCCAAGCCGAAGTAAGAAAGGAAAGTCGAGTAAGCACCGAACTGGACGTTCAGCTTGGATGCACCGCCGGACGTGATCGTCTTGTTCAGAGCAGAGACAATTTGACCGGCGAGAGTCATACCTGCTACAGCGCGCATTGTGTCGTTGCTGCTGTAAGCGAGGTTGTATTCGTGGGTGTTTGCCAAGACAAACAACTGTTGCATCTCCTGATTTGATGGAAGAGTCGTTGCAGTCGAGTTGTGAATCGAAGCCACGTTGAAAAGGTCCCAAATAGTGTATGCGTTTTTGTAGTTCAACTGGCTTACTTTCATGATCGACCCAACAAGCGGCGCGAGAGACTGGTACAGGGTTTTCGTGGACGATAACAGCTCCTTGTACGCGGCCGAGTAGAAATAGTTGTTGCTGCTCACTTCAGCGTTGGCGCAGGCGGATGTACTCTGAAGCCATGTGTTATCCTCAGAGTCGCTACCGGAGTTCACCTCGGCCATGGGAATTAACTGGTAGCCATTCAAGGGCGAGTAGATGGTTGATCCGTTACGAAGGGTCTGGTTTGCTGCTGAACCAACCGGCGGGTAAAGACCCTGTAGGAATGCCTGGCCTGAGTTTTGAATAACATTGTCTTCTGGTGCACTGGCAGCGATCTGGTTCAGATTCACTATCTTGGGGCTGATTCCCTCGATTTGATACGCAGAGCTGGAGGAAATGTATCGGTTGTTGAAAAAGTTACCGCTCTTGTACTCTTCAGTATATCCCAGGTCGGTCAACTCGGTGGGTGCCAGAGCTTTGGCTGTGCGATCGCCATGACGCTGGAAGATATAAGCACCTAGAACCCTCTCTGCATTGCCCACATCCACTAGAGATAGGGCCAGTAGGGCGAGGGCCACGGGTAGAACAGTCATGGCGTTGAACCTGATCAAAGTTGAAGATTTTTTGCTAGTGATGACAAGAAAAAAATCAATACCTTGTCAGATAAGTACGGCTAATCAACGGAATTTATTGAGGGATGCGGGGAACCACAATGTATGACAATTGTTGTCGTATGGGCAGGAAAGTTTCGCTAAGGCTGTCGCGGAGACTTTTTGACTTTACAGGGTTCAGGCGCGCCGAATCCTCTGCATGCACCGCGTGGGAACATTTCCCAGGGTGCAGATCTAGATTGCATCTATGAGCAGAACCACCTGAATTCTATTGGGCATGAACACGAGTCAGTTGAATGTCAGTTAACGTGGCTTACTGCCAAGGGTTCATGGAACCACAGTACTCGATCGGGGTGCGAAGCTTCCCTGGGGCAGCTATGCTAAATGCTGTGTTTTGCCCCACTCTCGCTCGGGCCCAACCAACCCAGGTGGAACTCTTGACATCAAGACTCGGGTTTAGCTGCAGATTATCTGCAATGGTGATTGGCAAGACTGAGCAAGATAGAATTTCCTCAGAGCTGCTAAGTTCATTCAGGGTACCCAACCCCTCTTTGAACGAGAGTACGGCTGTCACCAATGGTGATCGGTGATCTCTCGGCCTGTTCTTTTGTTTGTGAATGGCGGGGGCATATTCAAGACCATTAGCCGAGGACTAATGATTAGTCGCATGGGCTTGTTCCAAAGTTGCCAAAGGACGAAGAGACGAAGGGGGTATCCGCTGGTTTGACAAAGCTCCCGAACGCGGATTTCCAGATCTCAGTGAATCCTATTTTCATCGTGCTTGCCCTCTTGTCTCCCACGTGTGTGTGCCATATACTATCTTCTACCAAAGGAAGGCTAGCTTACATCTCATGGAGGGGCTGGTTTTCTTGAACGACCGAAACGTCCAGGAATGTTCCCACTGGAAGCAAGTCAGCGCAACGTGCATTCCTGTTTAACCCAACTTGGAGCGAAAGGCCGTCCAATGCCGCCGTATCTTCCTTATTGGGGATCACTAAACAGCCAATGGAATGCAAGTATATCCAGCTTACGCTGGGTATACGCTGGTCTGCCACATCGAGTAATGTGGGGGATCCCGCCCTACATTCCAGTATGGCCCAACCTCCAAGTACGGCCCCGACATGTTACTGGAAGCGGCGTCGGAGCTGGAATCGCGCCTGATCGACACAGAAGGTGGTTCATTTAAACTTTGCTTCTTGTCCGATTGTTCGATTGCTCTCCGCATTGGAGTTGCAGCACGCCGCTTGAAGTAATAAGTATGCTGTCAAAACAAGGGGCTCCACCGATCCGGTGGGTCGTTCCGTCGGAATCGATTGCCGGACAACGCTCTACACACCTGATATCGACTCCAATATGATACTGGATAGCTGGATCTGTATCCTCCGCAAAGCCTTCCGAGGAAGGACGTAAGACCAATACTTGTTTCGGTTGTTAAGCTCCGTCTATCCTTAGTTTAGAAGCGACCCGTCGAATTCAATCGCTCGGGCGCCACTCGGCGTATCGGCCCAGCAAAGTCGTGAGGTCATATCAACATTGGGTTGATTTGCCAGATCGACTAAATCCGGCTCCTATTTGACAGTCTCGCGGCAGAAAGTTCCGCTAGGAACACGGCGATATCAGGAAACAAGGGAGGGGTTCGAAGGAATGTGCCATGGACGATCACCCGCATCCGACTACTTCCACCATATCGTCCTTCAGAAAAAAGGTCTTTAAGAAGCAGACGACCGTCGCTTGTTTTTTTCTTGCCATCGATCCAAGTGCCATTTGAATAGCCTGCCAAAATCATTCCACCTCAATTTTACCCACTCCTCACCCACTCCTCTTTACCTTTTGACTATTTATCCACAATGGAGATCAGCATGGAGATGGACACCACCAATCGGCCCGATGAGTGGATAATCGAGCAGGGCATGGCGGGCCACAAGCTGCCTATCCTCGATCAAAGTGGTAGCGATACCATCAACTTGTATCCTCCCAACCCGACAAAGTTGATGAAGGATGAAGAGGCGATTCGTTCCGTCGGCGATCGCGATAAACTGTTCGCCCGAGAGCGACCTGGTTGGAAAGGGTATTTTCTTCCGTCCCAGGAGAGTTTTATTCTTATGGCCCTGAAACTAAAAGACTGTTGTTTCTACTTATAGGTATGTCGAGTGGGAAAACTATCCCGAAAAGAAGGCCAAGGCCCACAAGCTCCTGACCTCTCAGACCTTCCCGGCCTGCCCTGACTTTATGTTTGGGCCCATTCCACCAACCAACCCCGTGCTGTCCGGTGATGACTTCAAGGCCTGGCATGCGGCTATTGGTGGAGAAATGACCACCGTTGCCGATGACTCCTGGAGAACGGTCCTGCGCGAGAAGCACCCCGATATGCTGCACCTTCTTCAGTTCCCCTACAACGGAGAACCTCCCAAGCGTCTGGTTACCTCCAAGGCAATCACGCCCAACCCACTCCATTTCGTACGAAACCATGGTGGTATTCCGTACATCGAAAAGGACAAGTTTGAACTGTCGCTGGACGGTCTGGTCGCGCATCCGAAGACATACACCTTGGATGACCTCATGGATGAGAGCAGATTCCCTCGTATGGAGAAGACTGTCACCATGCAATGCTCAGGAACCCGTCGTATTGAGCAGATTGCTCTTTATGGCGGACAGGGCGACGAGGTCCCTCAGGCCCCTTGGGCCGAGGGCGCTATTGGCACTGCTCGATATGTCGGCATCAGCTTGAAGAAGCTGATCAAAGACTGCGGAGGTCTGATCAAGCCGGCCAAGCACCTTGAACTGTACGGTGCTGAGACATACGTCAAGGACCTGGAAGTTGGCAACTATGTTGTCAGTGTTCCTTGGTCCAAGGTCAAAGCCAACGAGGTCATTCTGGCTTGGGAGATGAATGGCGAGCCGTTGCCCAAGATTCACGGGTATCCGCTTCGAGTTGTGGTCCTTGGGTACATTGGCGCTCGCAGCGTCAAGTGGCTCTACCGCATCAAGGCCATTGAGAACCCCTCGCGCGCACCTGTTCAGACGAGAGAATATCTGTACTTCAACCAGCAGGTCGGCAAGTACAACCAGCGCCCGACCGATGGCATTCAAATCCAAGAGATGCCAGTCAGTTCAGCGATCATGTCTCCCTGGACCAAGCAAGCCATCGTCCACGTGGGCAAAATTCGCTGCAAGGGATGGGCATATTCCGGTGGTGGTCGCTGGCCCGAGCGTGTCGAGCTGTCGGCCGATGGAGGCTTCACGTGGTATTCAGTGCCGCCCGAAAACCTATCGAAGAAGGGCAAGTGGACCTGGCGAACATGGGAGTACGATCTACCCTGTGATGTGGAAGGCTGGATTGAGATTGTCTGCCGATGCTGGGACAACTCGCTCAACACACAGCCGCTCAATGTTCGCGCAGCCTGGAACTGGGGTCTTCATGTCACTTCTTCGGCTCACCGTATCAAGGTGTACAGCATCAACAAGAGCCGGGAAACCACCAAGAAGCGCTTGGACAAGTATGAGCAGCTGGGTATTCCTCTGGCACCTCTCACTCGCTATGAGACCGTACCGGGTCAAACCCCGGAGGAGTATGAACGGTACTGGAAGGAGCACGACCCCCGCGACGTGGATGAATGATTAAAGTCTTTCTGATCGTCTTTCTGATAACATGTCACTTATACGATAACAATTATAATTCAATTTGTAACCAGCATTCATCAAACTACCCCTCGTTTCCATCCACTCGCAACACTAAAGCAACGATCGCAGCTCTCCAACGTTTTTCTTGACATAGTAGTACAACATGCGCTATTAGCGCCGCAGACCCATACAGATCGATCTCGGGAAAACGGTCCAATCACAGAACAAATAAGTGGACCAAAGTTGTCGCCGATTCAAACCCATACATACCCACGCCCTGTGATTAGCAGGGTCGGCTACATAGCGGAACGGGGATTAAGGCGTAAAATTGTGTTTCCGCGGTGTCACCCGTTACAAGATTAGAGCTAACCTTCGACTAAAAAATTGTTGTAGATACTTTTCATCCGATCACGCAGGACTTGTCTGTTCAGAACTTCTTTCTTGTGACTCATTGGTGCGATCAGATCTCATTCTTTGTCTCGACCGAGTGGCCGTTTTTGTTACCGGTCAAGTTCCCCGGTATATTCACCGCACGGTCGGGAAACTTGGTGTCAAAAGGGTGATCTGCAATAACGAATTGTTTGGCCTTCACTTCTACTTGATGAACTGAGGTCAATTTCATTGCCAGGCCTATATTGCATTTCCAAGAAATGCTATCTCAAGCATGTTCGAACACAGATGTGTCAAGGAATAGATCCTCGACCCTACGTGCGGACATAGAGCTCTCGACATCAGCACGCGAAGACGGCAGTCAAACGGGCAATGAGGAGGCTCCATATGAATACCCCGAGGGCGGATTGGCAGCCTGGGGAGTGGTTGGCGGAGCATTCTGCATGTTGAGCTGCACGTACGGACTGTGCAGCTCCGTCGGAGTGCTACAATCATATTGGGAAATCCACCAACTCAAGACATACCCGTCAAGTACAATTGGGTGGATTCCAGGCCTTCTCGTTTTTCTGAATCTTTTCCTCGGTGTTCAAATCGGGCCATTGTTCGATCGATATGGCCCGCGCTGGATCATGCTAATAGGCTCTGTGCTCTACGCTCTCTCCATTTTCCTTTTGGGATCATGCAATAGCTATTACCAGTTCATCCTCTGCTTGGGTGTACTGGGTGGAACCGGTAGCGCGTTAATATGCACGCCCACGATGGCGGTTCTCTCGCATTGGTTCTATCGGCGGCGGGGTAATGCGACTGGTATTGCCATGGCTGGATCTAGTCTTGGGGGAATTTGCTGGCCCATTATCTTGAGGACTACCTTTCAAAGACTTGGCTGGGCTTGGTCGATGCGGATTCTAGGATTCATGTTTGTTTTCTTCCTGACTGTCGGCAATCTTTGCATCAAGGGAAGACTTCCTACAAAAGCGCGGAAGGGAAGTATAGATCTGCACTGCTTTACAGATTCGAGGTTTCTCTGGGCAACCACTGGTGTCTTCTGTAAGCTGCTCCCATGACTGACTTGTGGGATTACGGCTAATGACTCTCAAGTCAGCGAAATCGTTCTTTTTGCTTCCTTGGGCTTGGTACCTTCATATGCCACCGCTCAAGGCTTTTCATCGGAAACAGGTTTCTATATGATGGCTGTGCTCAATGCGTGAGTAAAAGTCTCTCCAAGGATACACTGTCTTATCACTGACATTTCATCCTTATCCAGGGGATCGGGATTGGGACGATGGCTCTCAGGATTGGCGTCTGACCATTTCGGCCGCTTCAATACTATCGCTACAATGATGGCTATTACCACCGTTTTTATTTTCGTCCTCTGGTACCCTTTCGGACATTACCTAGGTGTTCTCTATTGCTTCGTCGCCCTTCTTGGATTTGGCACGGGGAGTATCCTAAGTCTTGTTCCAGTGTGTTTGGGACAACTTTGCAAGACGGAAGAGTTTGGAAAGTGGTTCGGAACTTGCTACTTCGTTTGCAGCTTTGGGTAAGCGCCAATCTTTCCTGTACATGAGACCGTTCTCGCTGATTGTCGCTTGCAAGGGCCATGATTGGAATCCCGGTGGGAGGACAACTCCTCCAGGTGGTTGGACCATCTGACTTGGTGGCATTCCTTGGAGGTCTGCTTGCCATTTCGTCCCTGAGTTTTATGGGGGCACGGTGGGCATGTTTGGGATATAGCTGGGAATGGTGGGTGAAGGTGTAAGCCTGAGTATCAGCTAGGTTGCCAGAAAGGCCGCGACCGTCTACATATTATCATATCATGCTCTTAACTATGCTTTAGAGGAGATTATAATACGCCTATGATCGAAGTACAGTTCTTTGTTAAACTACATTTAACTCCAAAGTGTAAACGTGGGAGACACCCATTTCGGTAGGGTGTACTTGAACAGCAGCCACTTGCACAATACCCCTCAGAAAAGAGATTTCAAGGGGAAATAATTATCCAAAAGAGATACGCCAATCTCGCTGCGGTTTCCAAAGGAACCTTTGAAGATGTAAACAAGGATTAGCTCAGCAGTGCATCGGCCACTCAAGGTGGCGATCTTATCTTATCCACCAACCTTGGATTCTGCCTCCAAGCATCCTCAACTCCCAGTTTCCACGAGCAGTCTCCAACATGACGACTCAGCGGGTATGTTTCTGCACATATGAGCTTGTCCCATGCAAAGTTCGACTGGCAGAAACCCCCTTGGTGCCAGGTTGACGAGTTGTACATTACCCCACATGACTGACCCTTCCCAGATCGCGTTCAAAGTCCACGGCGCCGTGCAAGGTAAGATCGGACGTTCCATATTATCACTCTAGTTTAAATGCCTACCAATTGAACTGTGTTTCCTTCCCACCACTAACACTAGCTTTCAGGTGTCGGCTTCCGGTAGGAACCCAATCTCTCACAGCCCGACCGATGATGTCATATCAAGTTCAGCAAGTGATTGACGGCCAATCTTGGTATCTTACAGGGACTTCACACAGAAATCTGCCGTCAGCCAAGGATTGAAAGGATGGTGTAGGAATACGACCTGCGGAAGGGTAGGCCTAAATGCGCTTCCACGAAACACTTTCTGTTACACTTTATTGACTAACGAGCAGGTCGAGGGCGAGGTCCAAGGCGATGAAGAGTCTATGCGGAACTTCCTGCAACAGATTAACAAGGGACCGCGAACGGCGCATGTGGCCAAAATAGAAAAGAAGGAGTTGGAGCCCCATGAGCACGATGACTCTTTTGTGGTGTTGAGGACTGCCGAATCTATGTTCCATTCTGGGTCTTGAACCTCTTGTTCGTCTGCTAGCTACCAAGGAAGGAATTGGATATTTAAAAGGCAATTCCTTCATTCTCCTCTGCCCGTTAGTATCGTGGACCTCCTTCTCCTTGTCCGAGTTTCATCCGACGATTTCCATAATGGTTCCTGCCATTACTCTTGTTCACTGTCGCAAAATCCAGAACCATGTTCAACTCGTAGCATCACTTAAGACTTCAAGTGCTGATATTTAATATGCTTCATCATCACTGGTAGTTGACTTTTGGCTAGCACGGACTACTGCCTAATGCTCATTGCCTACGCCACGCGCTGTCGAACCGCGCCGCTCCCCCCGGCCTCGGGCCCCGGGGCTATCTAATCGTATGCGATGCTACTATCGTGACAGTTCGTCCCGTACCTACAGGAGCCACTTGGTGAGCAACTGCGCGCATAGTTCCGGGAGAGAGTCCAAGTAGTTTTGTCGGCCAATCCTCGGGCTAGACGAGAATGACTTAATACAGTTCTTTGAGAATATCCCGAAATTGGTTGTACAAATATACTCAGTTGTGGATTTCCACTGGCACCATCCAATGAAACCACTATTATTCTCTTTCGATGTATCTAGCGCGGTAATTAGGCCTAGGACCCCACAGGACCAGATTATGTTACTGAGAATCATCAGTATGCCGAAGACGGCGCGAAAGAAATCATAATCATCGAAATTAGAATATTGTTATGATAGGGGAGGGGTGCTGTCGTTTATCAGTAGGAATTACCCTCCCCAAGAATAACTTGGTCGAGTAAATCGCCTCATGACAAGTATCTCAAATGGCTGCTACTCCTCACTCAGTAAGGAATGCACTTATACTTCTGCCGCGTGGTTCGGACTGCAAGGAATGGGCTCTAAATCCCTAACAAATCAGACAACTTGCTCAACGCAGGCCTCCAAGTGTAGCGGTCTCACTCGGGCCATTCTCCAATATACCAGTGTGGTGTACTTCCGCAATTTCCAGGAATAATTCTTTCGCCCTTGATCCTTGATCCCTCTTGTAAGGATTGCTCTTCATATATCTTGCAGCGTCCCACCGTGCTTTCTCTTTTTGACACTCCGTTCTGTATTTACCTTCTTGCTCACCTTCATTAATTGACTTGCCTTTCATTGACTTGCCCCTCAGGGGCCGCTGTATGTTCTCGGTCTCCAACTTAAAGACTTCGCGCCCTTTGCGCTTAGTCGTCGCTCTCTCCATTTCTCCGACTTTTGTTTACCTTCTTTATTATGCGGGCTGGAATTCAAGACAGATGTTACCTATTCCCAAGACTTCAGTGACGACTGCGGCCGATGACACAAGCTCAATCGCACACGACCCTCCCAAGGATTATTTGACTAGCGGCCCGAGCAGTTACCCGTCTAACATCAACACCTCAATTCAAAACATTCCAGACAAAGTGTGGCATTTAGCCAATACAGATCGCATATCCAAACAACAACGAGAATGGATCAGCAGCTGGACTGCCACAAATCCCTCTTTTCGCTAAGAGTTGCTGACCGAGCGCTCGGGCGAGGCCTTTGTTCGAGCCCATTACCAAGAGACACGGCCCGATATTGTTGAGATCTATGAATCCCTCCCAATACCGATCTTGCGGGCGGACCTTTTCGCTACTTGATCGTCCTTGCCAAGGGTGGGTACTAGAGCGATTTGGATGTCTCATCTGAGACATCAGCCGCCGACTAGGTGCCCGAGGAGTACAAACATCAAAAGATCGACATGATCATCGGATTAGAATTCGACTTTGAATGGAGAGGACCGGGCATAGAGGTTGCGTCCCAGTTCTGCAGCTGGGTATTCTCGGCACAGCCGTTATCGCGCAATCTAGAAGTGATCGTCGACGCCGTTGTCCACGGACTGAAGAAAGTTGCCAGCGACAACCAAGTCCCCATGTCGAAGATCACTTTGGAAATGCTTTCAGATGTCGTGAACGTGACTGGACCCAAGATAATGACCGTTGCGATCTTGGAAAGTCTCGAGCAGCTGTTTGGCAGACCTGTCGATGATCGCGATTTTTCAGGTATCAAACACCTAAAGTTAGTTGGTGATGTTTTGATCATGCCTGGAGTTTCCTTCGCCGCTACTCAGAACGGATCGCCGAGAGACCGGGGAGACGTCCCTGTCACACATCATTACGAAGGTTCGTGGAAGCAGGCGGATGTGGAAGCAAATAAAAGAAAAAGCAAAAGGCGCAAGGACAACTGGCATACGTAAAGAGATACTCAAGCCTTGTAGTAATGAAGAATAACGAAGGCATAAATTGAACATCATGACTTTATGATACGGATAACGTCAAGGACCATGATGTACACGCTGAAAACCGACAGATATGGCGACAGAAATAATCACTCGGGATATCGAGCTTTTCAGGGACCCGGTGAAGAACTATAGGGATCCCGAGACCCAGTGAGAAGGTTTGAGCCCGATAAATTCTCGGGGTCGGTGACTCAACACACCGAAGCGGGCTTTGCACTGGCAACGAACCCGGCTGCGCCCGAAGTCACCTGCTCAACGGGAGGCCCGAAATGACGGTAACCGGGATACGGCTTCAGAACAAGGGGAAATTTGAGGGAAAACCAAGAGGATAACGGGAACAGTTTTGGGGATGCTTCTTGTTCGCACGTAGTCGGGACGTCGATCGCAGGCTGACCATCGGATCCGATGTGATCGCATCGGAGCCGTCATGCAGGAATCCGGTGGAGTGGGGCGCCGTTCGAAGCGTAAACTACTGTAAACTTCAGTGGCGCGCCAATGAACCGTGATGAATGTCATCACTCAGGAACAGCCGCGTTCCTGTTGCTGCGCTCGGGTTTCTGGTTTTGTATCGGGATTTTTTTTCTTTGCCCCTTTTTTGGCTGATGCTGATCGGGATTCGACGGTTTTGTACGAAAACCCTTCGCTGGGTCGATAGCTATATAAAACCTACTTTCCATGGACGCTGCCTGACCTCACTTTCTTCCACCATACATTGAAACTATTCAACTTACCCAGTCAACAGACTCTGAAACACGAAGCCCATTATTCTTCTGGCTAGCACCATGAGCTTGATCTCATCAATACCAACCACAGCACCCTTCCGGGTTGCTATACGACCCACGACATACTTCCACCTTGCGGCGCGGGCTTACTCAGGCGTTGCCGTCAAGGGAATCAATCGCTCAGGCCGAGCAAACAGGAATCATGCACCGTTCAACTGCACATCCAAGCGCCCCATCTCATCAACGCCTCAGAACCAGATCAAAGAATTCTTTCCACCTCCCAAGGAACCGGGCGTGAAAGAAGTCGAGTCAGCATGGGTTCACCCAGTGTAAGCTTCATCCTTTTTCCCATGGTGGTGTTTGTATTAACCCGTGGGCCAGATATACCGAGTCAGAAATGAAAAGCATCCAAGTGGCACATCGTGAAGCAACCAATTGGTCCGACTGGGTTGCCCTCGGTACCGTTCGTGTCTTCCGATGGGGCATGGACTTCGCCACCGGCTACCGGCATGCCGAGCCGGGCGAGAATACACCGAAGAGATTCAAGATGACTGAGAAGAAATGGATGGCCCGTTTCATCTTCCTGGAGAGCGTGGCAGGTGTGCCTGGTATGGTCGGTGGTATGCTGCGACACTTGCGCAGTCTTCGCAAGATGAAGCGAGACAACGGATGGTATGTTCCCGTCGACCTTGATAAAAATGAAAGAAGCAAGAGACTGACTTGGTTGTCTAGGATTGAAACGCTCCTGGAAGAGGCATTCAACGAGCGCATGCACCTGCTGACTTTCCTCAAGCTAGCCGAACCCGGCTGGTTCATGCGTCTGATGGTGCTGGGCGCCCAGGGCGTCTTCTTCAATGGCTTCTTCATTTCCTACCTTATTTCACCTCGCATCTGCCACCGATTCGTGGGCTACCTCGAAGAGGAGGCTGTCATCACCTACACCCGCGCCATCCAAGAACTCGAGGATGGAAAACTCCCCGAGTGGAACAACCTCCAGGCACCTGACATCGCAGTGCAGTACTGGCAGATGCCCGAGGGCTCACGAACCATGCGGGACCTTCTCATGTACATCCGCGCAGATGAGGCCAAACACCGCGAGGTGAACCATACGCTCGGTAACCTGAACCAGGCTTTGGACCCCAATCCCTACCAGTCCAAGTACCGGGACCCGACGAAGGAGCATCCGAGCAAGGGCATTGATAACCTCAGAGGAACGGGATGGGAGCGAGGAGACATCTTTTAAGAGTGCTTTTTTATGGCGTTGGGGGCAAAGCGGAACATCCCATCTCATTTGTACATATCACGAGCCTACGCGGTCCAAAAAGACACTTTCGGTTGGAACGCGGAACGCGGGGCAGGGCTAAACCCGACACGGCAATTCAATCACATCTGGTACGAACTGCCTCAGTTGACGTGAATTTATTCGATAGGAGAATAAAAGAGAGCAGGAAAAGTACCTAAGATCTGAGTATACCAACGGGCCGGTCCAGATATACAGATGGCCTTCAATTAGGGCCCGTCGCAGGTACATCGAAGCGTGGGTGACCCGCTGCCCCTTTCCCCCGATCAGCCCCTTTTGACCAAAAGAAGTTTCTCAGCCGGCGATCGTTCACGGCTTCGTTAAACCTCGTGGCCTTTGTTCCGTCGTTGGCCGTGCGACCAACGGTCTCGCCTTGCTTTCTTTTTTATCATTGACGAGAATTTCATTCGGGTTTCTCTCGACTCCCACATTCCTGTCGAGTTCCGATCGAGTACACATTCCACCACCGCCGATCGAACTTGCCATTGAACAGGTGCTGCGACACCAACTTCAGGAATCGCCATGGACGAGCCGCAATTCGTGGACACTGACTTGTCCTCGCCTCCCGTTCGCTCGTCGTCGCCTTCCCCCTCGGTTCCTGCCACGCCGGCTATCTCTTCCTATTCCTCGCCAGACCGGACCTTCTCCTCCGTCTCTTCCCACTCCGCGTCCTCCGCGACCTCGGCTGACGCACGGTCGTCGGTCTCGACTTCGTCCCGCCGCCATGGGTACATCCGCGCTTTTGGCGCCGAATTCGCCGACTCGGCTCGCCATCGCGATAGTGTCATGAGTCTGGGCAGCATCGCCCATTTACAATATTACTTTGCGAGGACGGGTTTGCTGGATGGGAAGTCCGGGCGGGGCAAGGAGTTTAAGAAAAAGAACAAGGACAATGTGCCCCGGGTGCTGATTACACCCAATGAACGGCATAATGATGACCTCGTCGACAGTCCGACTGACATGGCTGAGTCGGCCGGGGCTGAAAATGTCGATGATGAGGAGGGGGAAGTGATGCTGCCCCCTACGGTTAGCACCTACAGTATCAAGACACACCACATTCCACCCCCGCCAGATCTGATCTCTCTCCGACGGGATCTGCAGGTTGCATTGGACAAAGCGGAAGCCAATCTCGAGGCAATTGAGAACGGCGCAGAGCCTCCACCCCGAGAACCCATACGGACCAGTCTTTCTCCCGGTGATGTCCCGGAAACCACGGAAGATTATGCATCGCGAGAAGCACCGACTCCCCAAACCAAGGAGGAAGCACAGGGAATGTGCATTCTAGACGATGTGACCATGGCTATTCGAGCCGCGAAGATATATTACACCACCCATGAACAACCAGACCGCTTGGCATCTATCAAGAGCGAGCGTGAAATCCGCAAGGATCTCTTCCATGTTCTCGATGTTCTGAAGCGCTGGGCTGCAAGACACTTTGCTGCCGGACTGCGGGATGAGGAGCGCGATGTGGTTAAGGGGTGGATTTCCGGCGTCCGCACCATGCTCGTTCGCGAGAAGGCATTGGAGGACCTGGAGGCTCAAGAGCGGGAGAACTGGGATTGGGCCCAGGGAGACTGGACTGGACGAGAGCGATCACGCGAGGAATCCTTTCTTCGGAGCTTGATGCCCGGTGGCCATACTTTGCCAGACTGGACATCGGTCGAAGATACCCCCAGCGACTCCCTTCCCACAGCGTTTCTCGAACGCTTCAGGGATGGCCGTGTTCTCGTCCAGTTGCACAACATTGCCGTGAAAAAGTCCAAACGCCCCTTCGGCGAGATCAAGTCATTCCACCAGGACGTCGCGAAACCATATCGACAGGCAGAGAACCTGCGGTTCTGGATCAAAGCCGCAGAGTTGCGCTGGGAGCTCCGACTCAAGGTCGACGTGATGGAGGTGGTGCAGGGCAGTAGCGAAGTGGCCTGGAAGCAGTTCGACACGGCCTTGCTGTCCTGGTGCAAGACGGTACGCGAGGAGCTGGTGCGGGACTGGCAGGCGGCCAATCCCGGTCGACCGCCGAGTGCCGGTCTAATTTGACGCGGTTCATTTGCATATTCTCGGTTTTTTTTCACGTTACGTTTGGTCTCCTTTCTGCTGCGGGCCATTGGCTATAGATACCCCTGAATTGTCCCCGACTATTCTACCCGTCTCCGCATCCGGTGTTGGTTTTTTGTCCGATTGTTGGTCCCGTTCGGAATTCGGAATTTTCTTGCATATTATTTACTTCTTTCTCCATTGTTTGGGGAGGCACTATATTACGGTTGAAGTGTACATGCATGGATGAGCATACGCCTATAATACAAAGTTATATCAACGGGGGAAACCGTTACGTGCAGCCCCGTCGAATTGACGCTAGGCACATGGCCGCTGATCGGCCCCTTGAAACGAGTGTAGAGCCGAGCTTTCAAGGTTCATAGATCAGCGCGAGCCCTCGTGGGTGGCCGTTTTAATCGAAACGTAGCAGAGCAAAATTGTATCGAGGTCTTAGTCGCCAAGCAAAGCAGTCGAATAGATAGGAATTATCTCGAATTCGACAGCGAATGATTTCATCGGATCCGCATAGGGTGACGATCCCTTGAATTACAGAGGGGGAGGCGTGGGTACCTGGTGCCGCATTGTTAAGCGGGCAGGCACCGTGGTACTTGTACCTGTACCTGGGTACCTTTCTGCAGAGTAGCTGTACCGGCCACTTCATCCCTCTTGTCTCAAATTCGCAGCTTGCTGCCCAAACTTTTATTTTATTTATTGAACACTTCCTTCTTTCTCCTCCTCGTTCGAACCCGGTCATGTAGCCTTCAACTCCTGAGTCTATCCGTCACAAAATACCCGCGAGCTCATCTCTACCCTTTTCGCCCTTTACCGAACGAGACGAAACATTCCTTGCCCATCCCTACCTGAACAGCCTTTTTCTTCCAACCACCCACTCCGGGCCTGTATCCATGCATGCCACAGTCGGCGGCCCAACTTCTGCGACTGACATCGCACCGCCCTCATCCAGCGCGTCCGCCTTGTCCGCATCTCCTCCGCCCGCCGGCTCCCCCAATGAACACGGACCATCCCCTCTCCGCCGCTTGAAATCGAAGTCCTCCCTCTGGAGTATTGGGAGCAGCAATCAAAGCACCCACGAGGACGAAACAGCCCAGGAGCCCAATAGTGCGGAGAAAACTAACGGCCGTTCGATCTTCCGCCGCCTGTCTCCTGCCCTCGCTGCTCGGGTAAAGCTGCTCGACGGCGGCAGCAAGGTGACTAGTACGCCTCGCAACCCAGCAGTTGGTCGGATCCCAGAAGAACACCTCAAGGTGCTGGACAGTCTACACCAGGACCTGTCGATCAAGGTTGAGAGGAGAGGTCAAGCGTGGAACGGTACAACGAACACATCTCCGGCAACAACGCAGACTCCGAAGCGAAGCGCGTCCAACACTCTCGAATTACCCAGCCAGGATCTCCTGCGAGAGATTTCCGAAGCGCTCGGGCAAGGATCAGAATACGCCGACGCGGTCGTTGACGGCCCAGAGCACCCCGTTCTGGCCGCCGCACAACGGCCACAAAGCAATTCTCCGCCGACATCCATGTCTGTTGCGGAAGCTGCTCCAGCGCCGCTGCGCGCTGGTCCAGAACTAGAATCAGATCCCTTACCCAATAACAAGACGGAAGACACCCGGACCGATTTCGAGAAATATGTCGACGACACAAAACGACACGAGGAGCAGTTAGAGGAGTCAGCTCCTCCTCCCCCGCCCAAAGATTCCCCGCCTGCCTCAATCACCTCCTCCTCAAATACACAATCATACTTCAACCCGAGAGGGCTGCAGCGTGCTGATTCAATATACTCTTTCTCCCGTGCCTCTTTCAGCAACCAGCTCTCCCAACTCACTTCCATTCCCCTTCCTCAAGCGGAAGTACTCGAGACGAGCATTTCGAACATCGCGACCGCCCCTGCGGCCGTTCGAGCTTTGAATGGACACGCTGATCAAATTAAAATATGGATCGGAAAGGCCTCAGATGTGCTTAGCGGCCTGGATGCCGAGGATGATGTGGAATGGGCGGCGGCAGGTGGCCGAGAAGGCCTTGAGGGTGTGGACAAGGCTATTGTTCAATTTGCTACTCTCGTCAACGTCTACATGTCATCAATCGAGAACGTGCAGCTAAGGGACGACATCGCGAAGGTTGACGCCGACAGCTTGAGAACCATGATCAGCCAGATGGAAACTATCACACAGAAATGGGCCGGAATAGAAAACAAGCTCAAGGGTGTGAAGGGACTTGTGGAATTGGCAATGGAATGGGAGGAGCTGTGGTCCAACGTCCTAGGCGACGTAGGCATGGAAATTGACAACCTGAGTGGGATGATTTTCGAAATGGAAGAGAAACGTCATCAGAGTCTCATGGACCCGACTGAACCTAGCGGCGGTCTTGATATCAACGAGCTCGAGACTATTGTGGAGGAATCCCCGACGAAGGGTCGGTCGCCTGCCAGCCGCTTGAGTATTGGTCCTATCTTGGCCACGGCATCTGGCACGCCTGTAATCAAGACTCCGCAGGACGATACCAGCTACTCCAACCTCATGGCTCTGTTTGCGCGCATGCAACCATTGCGGGCATCCTTGGACTTTTTGCCCATGCGACTATCTATGTTCCAATCACGAGCCGAAGGTGTCTTTCCAAGTGCATGCGAGGAGCTTGACGAGCGGCGAGACCGCCTGGAAAAGAGCTACAAGGTGCTAGAGACTGACGCGACGGCCTTGAAGAAAGAATTGGGAGAGGATAAGTGGATTATAGTGTTCCGCAACGCGGGCAGTCAAGCACAGAAGATGTTTGACTCGGTTGAACGCAGTATTGCCAAGTTACAAGAAGCATTGGAAAGCAACGCACAGGTGAATAACCCGTCGACACTGACCAAGCGGATGGAGAATTACGAGGCGAAGAAGATGCACTACGTGCCTGCCATCGAACGTGTGATTACCATCATCCAAAAGGGCGTGAATGAGCGTTTGACAGTCAATGGCGAGGTCTTGCGACTGTTGTCAGATATGACGTCTCGAACGAATGCACTCAAAGCCAGCCTTCGGGTGATGGATACGTCTTTGGAAGATGTGCAGATTGCGAGGGGTCAGCAATTGCGAGATTCCGTCTCCAGTATCGTCACGATGGATAGCCCGGCGACAGGCAGTGTCATCGACACACCTGGCAGCTCGCCTGCATCATCGGTTATTATCAGCGGGAATGGATGGAAGACGCCCGTTGGTGGCTCAAGCCGCCGCGAGAGCTCAGTTGGCAGCACCTCGACACGTTCGACAATGTCCAAGATTCGACGAATGTCAGGCCTTCCCCAGCCCACGGCAACGTTGACTGGACGGAAGTCCTCCATCCCGATACCAGCCGGACTGGCATCTCCAACGCCCTCCTACACCAGCAGCGCTGCCACTCCCACGCCGGCTTCTCGCAGACTATCACGCACTCCTCAACCACCCTCTACAATCCCCACTCGCCCTCGTTGGACCAACAGCACCAATTTGAATGACGTGGACTCCGGTAACTATACCGTCCGAAAGTCATCTGCTCCGGCGCGCACACCTCGACCATCATCTACCCTTCCCAATCCATTCCGACGCGAGTCGACTGCTTCTCCTATACCGGGGGCTCTCCCAGGAAGATCGATCAGTCGCTTGTCGAGCCGACTGGCTTCATCATCCCGCAGTCCCGCACGGAATATTTCCTCTCCAACACCAGTCCGATCCTCCCTGCTCGATCCACCCCCTTTCAGTGGTCTTCGCAGACCGTCGGGCCTGTCCGAGACTCCTCGCAGCCGGCAGAGCTTTGCCGGTATCCCATCATTCGGTCGCAGCGTCTCAAGGACCCAAGAACCAACCGACAGCCCAAGCAAATCGACTCGTCCGGGCACCGCATTAGGTCACTCCACGAACAAGCGCGCCAGTCTACTCCCACTACCCAAGCGAAACGACAAGACCCCTGCGCAAAAAGTGGAGACCCGACCGCCATGGAGGGCATAATTTCTTCAACCTCCCATCTTACCCTCTTCCACCTCTATAGCTGAACATTTTCTCTTCTACCCCATGTCTTATGTTTTATCTACTTGTGCATTGCGTCCTAGTCCGCCCGGTGACCCGAAACTGCGTCTGGGTTGGCGAAGGCGCAACTTGAATATTGAGGGTCAGGTTAAGCGTGATATCCCCATTGTTGCATGGTACGGTCTGAGCGTTGGGTCACGTCTTTCGGTTTCTTGTTTCTCGTTTCTCTTCCACTGATATGAATATTATCTCTTGTAGTTTACTGTTTCTTTTTTCTTTGATAACGGAACCGTTGTAACATAGAGAGAACTATTTCTTTTCCTTTTGCATGGTGTTTTGGTGATTCATCAATTCGTTTAGACGCCGTCTATATACAATCTATCGTCGTTTCAAGAGCTTGTCTTCTCTCTTCAGGGCTCCAAGCTTGCGAGTCTTCATTTTAATTGCCCAGCTCCCGTCCGAAGATCAAGGCGTCGACCAAGTCCTCGCTGTTCGCCAGCCGAGCCGCCTTCGGTACCCGGCCGATGACGCTGAAGCCCAGCTTCTCCCAAATGCGGATGGAGGCCGGGTTGTTGGCGAAGACCAGGTTAAAGACAGAGTACTTGTATCCCTGTAGGAAGTGTTAGAGATCAAGACTACACAGCATAGAGCTCGAGCTTACCAACTTAGGCGCAAACTCCAGGTACGTCTCACCCATCGCCTGTCCGACGCCCTTGCCACGCGCAGCGGTGGTAGTGATGAATCCTGCGTTGCAGATGTGCGAGCAGCGGCCTGTGGATGGTTAGAATTAATCAACTCACTAGGGAACAGACAAATCCAAATTCCAACGTAAAGAAACTCACCAGGATAATTCGGCTTGATATAAAAAGTTCCCAAACAAACCCTTTCCCACTCCCTGCCCTCCTCCAAGCCCTCAACCCCCTCCTCATCCAGCACAGCCAGAACACAAAACGTACCAAACCAGTAGCTAGCAAACTGCTCCAGAGCCATAGGCTGTTCCATGGGATAAGTCGAGCCGCGCTCGATCTCCGCGCTGAACTCGGCGTGCAGGAACTTGATGAGGTCCTTTGGAACGCTGGACGGCCCACCGGTGATCGGGTACAGAGTCATTCCTGCCCCTGCGGCCTTGGGTAGCGTTGTGTGCCGGGCTTTTAGAGAGCCTGCAGCTTGGGTGTGTGCTTCGGGTGGGGGATTGTGGGAGGAAGGGTCTTCTAGAATGGCTGGCATCTCGGATAATTGGAGAAAGTGTATCTTGTGGGAGCTGGGGAGATTTGGGTATGATTCTGAAAGAGCACAGGTATTAAGGCTCAACTGGAACACTTCAAATGTTGCGTCAATGGAGACTGGTTGTATAAGATGCAATCTCCCCGTCCCCGATGTCGGGATTCCGTCGCGTTATGTAACGAGTCCCCCCACCCGCGCCCTGTATACTACATTTCATTTCCAGAACCATCTCGGCTTTTTATTCACTTCAAATCGACCTTCTGATAGCATTATCTCCTCCAAAAGTCAATTGTGTGGTATGATTCCTTTCGGCCCCTATTCAACCCCCTGGAGCTATGATAATTAGGATTGCTTAGTATGGAGGATCGCTTAGTGAAGGTCAACTGCAACAGAGAATAGATTAAAGCTCCTGCAATCAAATTCTTGAGGCTTACTGGATTGTTTGGAGACTAGCTCATGACGCAGTACTAATCAGGCAAAAATGCTATGGATGGCGGAGAAAATGTTAGCTAAGGTCAGTTTGCCAGAGCGGATATTGCAGGACATGTTAAAGAGGTTGGGAAGACACTCGAAAGATGGAACGGTGACATTTGCTTTCTTAGAGGAATGCGGGAACTTCAACTAGCTAAACACACCTATGTGTTATTATGAAGTCTATTCTAAGTATACATGAATGGGATGTCAAGGTTTATGGCGTTTGGGTGACGTAGCTAGACAAGAGCTGCAAACACTTGAAGCTGCTTAATATTCTGAATCCTGATCAATCCAGTAATTGATAAAGTGCACAACAGCTGTATTTTTCATTAGTTGCACATGCTGGGCTGGGCTCGGATACCGTTTCTTTGCGGCTCAAACAGTACCGTGCTGGTGATACTATTGATATACCACGGCAACTTCGGATCAGCGGGTTATAATGGCAGCTAACTCAAAGAAACTGTACGACTTGGAAACCAGAGTCGGATAAACCATCTCTGATAGGAGGCGCTTTCTATTTGTTTTAGTTATATATATACAAAGGTGCCTCGCAAGTATCGAGGGATGCCCGCATCTCGATACCCTCACAAAGACCACCCAACTCCTCTTGGCCAGTGGCTCATTGTTTTTCACCATCACCCTCGCCCTGGCCCTCATTCCGGATAGCCTGCATGAGTTCAAAAAGCTGTCCGATTTGTTGATCTACAGAGACTCCATGTTAGCAAACCCGAACGAGCTTCGGTTGGAGCGGACAACCGTACCACTCATCTTGTTCAGCTTGGCCTCGTCCAGCTTATCCCCAGTCCAATTATCACCTTCCAATTTCTGCGCGTAGAGCTGCCACTCTGTCAAGAATCCGATCTGCCGATACCCGTCAGTTCCGGCCTCGTAGTCCCACCTTCTTTTCACTACTCCAATCCCCATTCTTTCCTCTCAACGTATACACGAGAAGTCAGAGCGAACTTACAATGTGCAATGGGTTCTCCGCGGTCCGATGCGCCCGGAACTCTTTTTTCACGTATGAATCGCCCAACACGCGCATTTCCGGGTCGAGCCTGCGGTGGACGCGCAGGATGCGGCGGTACAGCTGCAGCGGCGGGAGAAGCGCAAGGGCCTCGCTGAGGCTAGATTTGGAACCGATTGAGGCCGGCGTGGCCATAAGGAGGCGGTGGGCGAGGCGCATTGTTGCGGGTTGTGAGTTCTCAAGGTTCACGAAATGACATAATTTCTGGGGAAGTTGGAGATTTTGGAGATTTTGGAGTCGGAAGGCGGCGAGCGCGCGGCGAATCATCGTTGCCGATGCGAACTTTTTTTTTTAAATATCACGGCACCTTCAGCTCTTCTACTGTGAGCTGCTGCGCATTTTAATTTATTTCAATTGCAAGCAGTGTAAATCTGCTTCTCGTTTCTTGCATTTGGCGTGACCATTCGTGTCGGAATCTGCTTGACCCGTGCATCCTTGACGGTGTCACTTTCAACTTCAAGAACCACCGATACAATAAAGCCACTCTAAAAGATATCTTCACGATGCTACCGACACCTGACACATCGCATGTGTCATTCGACACCATCTACGAGCCATCTGAGGACTCGTATCTCTTCTTGGACACACTCTCATCTCCACCAGAGTCAAAATGGCTCTCCGAGAGATTCCAAAACGCCAACCCAATGCCGTTGGTGGTCGAAGCAGGCACGGGCTCTGGCGTAGTTTTGGCCTTTACAGCGGCACAGTCACAAGAGATCTTTGGACGTCGAGACATCCTCACGCTAGGAACAGATGTGAACCGCAATGCCTGTATCGCGACTCGAGAGACAGTGTCAACAGCCATCAAAGAGCAGCAAAAAGCGCAAGATAATTCAAACATGCACGCCGTCCATGTTTCCTCTTTAACGTCCGATCTCTGCTCTGCGTTGCGCCCCCGCAGCGTCGACGTCCTTCTTTTCAACCCACCCTATGTTCCGTCAGAGGAATTGCCTCGCCTCCCATCCGCAGAAGAGAATGATCCCACTACATCTAAAGCCATGTCTCGCTCCGCCAAGTTCGAGAGCGACTCGTACTTTTTGTCGCTGACATACGCGGGCGGCGCTGATGGTATGGAGACCACAAATCGGTTATTAGATGCCCTTCCCGAGACACTGTCATGCCGTGGAGTGGCATATGTACTGCTTTGCAAGCAGAATCGGCCCGATGAAGTGATGGAACGTGTCCGCAGTTGGGGTGGGTGGTGTGCAGAGACAGCTGGCTCGAGTGGTATGCAGGCGGGGTGGGAAAAGCTGGTCATCGTTCGGATATGGCGAGAGGATCGCTCGTGGGTAGGAGGCCAGCACTGACTGGGAGAGAACTTGCATATACCTGCATTTCATGTGGAGCATTGGTTGCTGTATTTTATTTTATACCAGGTGAATTTTGGCGATTATGAGAATTTCTTCGAACGATTGAAGCATCAAAATATGCTGGTGTAGTGCCATATCGGATCATTGACTTTGGCGAGATCCAACGTACAATCCTACGTGTTTACTCTCTCAAAATATATCCTGAAACCACGCTATACGATTTGACCCCTAAAGTTTCAGCGTCTGAGTATCAGGCGATGACCCCTACTCTCCGGTCAAACTGGGTCCATCGCCACAGGCGTTTCACCAAGAAAAGTTTGACGCCCGACTGACTTGGGTGCCAGCTTGATCCCTGAAAAAAAAAGATTCATCATGAAACAATGATCATGGGGCACATCCTGTCAGACCCACGCGGGCATCGTGAGCGCTGTCTCCCCTGGATTGTCCGGGCCTCGAGGAATCCTTCACTCTTGGCCCCATCCCATAGATGAGGGATATTTTTATGAACAATAGTACTCCACGTCAGCCGATCTGACGTAATATCAGAATAATATAACTATTCAGTCTAGGAAGGGAAAGCTTAGAACGAGGAGAAAATAACGATCTACATACCCTAGGACGCTAACACTAACAACTTGTGTCAAGGTAAGAGTCAAAGCGAGCTCTAGTTCAATCCGGACCAGAGTATCAATTTGGAGTCTATGTTAGTCTGCAGCCCCTTGCTATCACGTACCCAGAAGCCCGGGGGTCTGCCTCAGCATTGGCCCCGCCCCAGCCCAGTAGCATTTGCTTTGGCACTATAGACGGTGGCGCGATCCTGATTGCTACTAGCGAGTCATAACCCATTCAAGCCCCTCTTGACTGAAAAAACCTTCTCTTTCTCTTGCCAGATGCTGCATCAAGACCGAGACATACGTGGCTTTGAGAGCTAATTATAAAATAATAGGAAGTCGAAGCAAAGGAATCAAGAGCCTGGAACCTCTAGGAGACAATGAACATGTCAGCAGAAACAACCGATCACTCCCCATTCGGCCTTTATCTTATTGGCTCCTGAATTGGTTATGTGTCGGTGTTCAACCCCAATCATAATTGTTCGTTGCCGAAATCCCCACCCAACTGACTCGGGATCAAAAGGCTTGCATCTAACCATACAGCCTGACAACAGATATAATCAAAAACCCACAAATTCGCCACTCATTCTGCCGGTTCTTACTTGCCCATCTGGCCACTAAGACCTCTCAGACCACCATATCGGTCTCTAGGTAGGTAGGCGGTCGAATAGGAGCTGATCACCGTGGGTCCTGGATTTTTGATTACATCTGTTGTCAGGCTGTAGCAGTAAAGAGAACGCAGAGTTTATTGGTCCAAGGCGCTGCCAGAGACAGTAATAGTCCCATGCTTCCGTCATGAAAACAGGGAACCGAAAGTATAATTCACTAGGCTCGCTCAAGGTCCATTGGGCTTACTGTTGCCGCTTGTGTCGTATGGCGGCTAAGCTGTCGGGAAACCGTTAGGAATACGACCCACGGGACAACCAACCTGCTAACACTAGTGCACCTCACAGATCTGACTCTGTATTTTGATCCTGAGAGTCTCAAATCAACGCGCGAAATCTATTTCCTTGCGCCTTGAACCAGGTTAGTCACCGTGCTCGCTCATGGCCTCCGTCCGGAATAGTGATGCTCGGGATTCCGATCAACATTAATACACAATTAACAAACTACCTGGTGAGGATTGAACTTTAATTAAATGGTGGTTTGATTTAAGCGTTTAACAGACAAAAAGGGCAGAGGCACCTGGACACGTGATTGAATGAATCAAGATAGAGCGATGAGAATCTGCCAAAAGGGAGCAATGAATCATGGCACGATCGGAGTCACCGTCTAACTTTTCATAGATCGGTATCCGGAAGTACCGATGGGCCTTTTATTTGCTGTACTGCGAGCACGGGTGTATGAATGGTTGGATATGGTGCAGTGGGCTTAAAAGGTTCGTAAATATCAACATCGGAACATAATACTTTTTGCCGTTTCCTACTACGTAGATCAATTAAAACCGAGGCGAAAAAGTCCTGCATTCATAAAATGGTCTCTTGAAGTGGTCGAAGTTTTTTGTTTTCTTTTTTGTATGATCAGAAAGGTCCTGCCCTCAAGTATGAATGTAGCTGGTGAATTAGGGCAAGCTACACTCCCGACTGCACGATCCGTCACATGTGATGACCATACAGTCAGGTGATTTTAGGTAAGATGACCTGGTTAGATCAATAAATGAGAAAGCCCGAGTTGGACCATGTTCTAGGTTGGAAACAGGCATGAGAAGCAACATTGACTTTCGTGGAATGTAAATTTCTCATAGATTATGGTTTTGCGGCCCACGGTTATAACCCATCTAAAGACAGGGCCCTGTGACGGGCCTTTCTTCAGACTTTGTTGTTATGCGGCGCAGTTTTGGTCGTGACGCAGCCTCAGCATAAACGTGGGGTCTGCACCAAGGTACACGGGCAAGTCGAAGGACGGAAACAATCAGCACCTTGCCGTTGTCCCCACATTGTACCAGATCGAAAAAACCGCGAGCACAGACCGAGACCCAAAGAAGAAAAACCAGGAAGATAGCTTTTTCCTTTCACCCTCCAGAATTGAAAGAAGTCCCAGGGTAATAAGATGACATCCCATGATGATGCAAAGTTGAAAAAGGAAACCAGATTTCGAAGACAGAAAAACGCCGGTCTGTACTCTCAGATATACCGAAAAAGAAAGAACTTAGAATCCACGCCCACGGCCGCGGCCGCGGCCACCACCACGGCCGCCCCTACCGCCTCGGGGTCCGCCACGGCCACCGCGGCCTCGGTCTGCCTCCTTGCGGGCCTTGTTCTTGGGCTTGGGAGCGTCGTCAACAAGCAGGGTGTCTAGCGGCAAGCTGTCGGGAAGGATGTAATAGCGGATGGTGGAGCCACGGATGTTGATAGTGTCGAGCGAGATGGGGTCACGACCCTTGGGGGTCATCTTGACGGTGCGGAGAGAGGTGTTCATCTGAGGGGAAACGGATGTGATGGTGCCGTGGAGGATGGTTCCTGTGAAAGCATCAGTCAGCTATCGATTCGCACCGTCCCCAGCTTCGTGGCCATAAAATGGCTTGAGGTTTGGAGGATGGGTCTGGAAGGAATTGATCGGCTCTCTTACCATTCTTGAGCTCAATGGTCACCGTCTCATTGGCGCATTTCATCAAAAACCTGGATGACGTGTTAGCGCGCAGCTCAAAAAAGATATTTCCAGATCCTGAAAGCGCGTGTCGCAGGTGGGGATCCTGCACTCGCGCTCGATGGCCACGTACCGGACGAGCTTCATGGTGATGGTTTTCAGGTACAGGCACAACAGGTAGTCGGGTATTTGATATCGGAGCCCGGCAGCTAGCAGGGTTGGTGGGGAAAGTCTGTGGGCGACGCGGATGGTGATGCCGTCGGATTCCAGTGCAGAGTTGACCACAGCACGTGACATAAATCGAGATTTGTCACGTGATCCCCGTTTGCGCGACAACTGTAGGAAGAAGAAACATCCTCTTCATTCTTTCTGTATGGTCATTGATCCCATCTTAAAACTTGCAGACTGTCTTGAACTTCGAATATAGAAAATCTTAAGGGATTTTCATTTGGTTTTGACGTGGGATGTGATCGATGCGCCTTGACCGGGAATATCTACATATGCCCCTGATTTTTATCTGGTCCTAGTTACCGCACTGATATGTAGAGCGTTATGGATGCGGTAGTGGCATCCAATAAGCATAATTTCATTCCGGTTGGCCCTAGCTCCAAAGGCTCGGCATCAACTCCCAGATCGGGGGTTCGGGTTCGGGAATCACGCATCGCCTTCTTCCTGATGAGGATGACAGACGACCCGCCAGCCCGATCCAAACTATCCAGTGATGCCCGGAATGGCCTTTACGTTTGCACCAAACTATGATGGGATCCCCAGTCGTGGATCCCATTGGCTCCACTTTTATGAGTTTGGAATAGTTACGGCCGAATGTCTCATCACAAGGCTTGGCCCCCCCCAAGTCATGACCGAAAATTCAAATCGAGCAAGGCTCCAAAGTTTAAAGAGAAAGGCTCACATGCGGTTTTCCCAGACGCGTTATCCTAGACAAAACTAGGGGACATGGTTCAGAGCTCAGGGCAGCCTCCGTGCGGTGTGCAGCAAAGTCAATCGGCGCAATGCACGAGTCGGGAAGAACCGTTCACTAGTCCTGCCAGGAACGAATTAACCCCGAGGCAGGATTTTCAAAGCTTAAGGAAATCAGCAGACCCCAAAGCACATGGCAAGGGCTCTATCCGAACCAAAGCCGGCCGATCCCAAAGTTGGCCGCAACAATCCCGGACGGGTGCCTTATCCCCAGTACTTGCCATAACAAATCCGTGGACACCAAGGATAATCGTATGTGGCCCGAAGACGCTTTCAAATCATAATGGTCTCTCTTTTCGAGCTTTGGTACCCTTCCCGGCCTGGCGGTTGTTTGTATTATATTCACCGGGCGTTACTCGAGTCAGCGCATTGTGGTATATCTCCGATGCTGGGAAACTTCACCCACTCATGCTATCGAAAGAGCAAGGAGCCCAAATCTGACCACCAGCTCGAACGAGCTCCGTTGCCGGCGGCAATGAGCCTGGCTCTCGTTCACCGTCATTTCAACATCAAATCGAAATTACCGTGGGGGCCCAATCGTACTTGACATTGTGGATGTCAAGTAGTTTTCCAGAGTTCCAGATCTTAATTGCTGCTATTGCCGATCTAAGTAACTATACCCTCTGATGACCGGGAATCAAATCCTGCTAACGGCGCGTTCGTGGGGGCCAAAATGGAAGCAAATCCCGGCCACCCCCGTCAAACTTTTCGGCGCACCAAATGGCGGCCTGAGTCGAGCACAACTAAGTTTATTGCTAAACGAACCTGGCGTCAACGGCCCCCAAATGATCCCACGGCCCCGATGGGGCTAAAAACCCACTCTTGCCCAGACCCAAATGCTCCCCTTGTACCGCTCTGGGATCATTAACTCGCCTTGGCCCCAGACTCAACTCTTACCCGAGCTGCTTTCCCAATATAGGCTTTGGTCTAGTAACGGAGGTTCCGGTGTCATGTGTGGGGTCCTAAAAACCCAGCCATTCCTGTCCATGGCTGCGATTTCGGCCCACATCTCGAATATCATAGGTCTTACACCCTTTCTTACACGCGCTATATGAGATAGGCAATGATTACATGACTGCCGTAGATTGATTGATCCAAACGGGGTAATGAGCGGAATTACCAATTCAAGTGCGTTTCAGTTGATTACCCTACCCACCCCCGGGGCCTTGCGAAGCCCCCCATTGGCAACAGAAGTTCTAGAAGCCCTCTTTTGACCCTGGTGAACCAGTGAAGGTACCCAACCCGGGCCCCAATTCAATGACCGCGGGGGGTCTTTGCTGTTGTAATACCCTGTCATCGAGTTGAAATGTCCTCTCAACCTTTCTCTGCCTCCGTCACCCAGCCAGGTTGCCATCGCCAGGAACAAGAACCTTTACACCTGCCAGCACCCAATGACCTACCAAGGCCGCACTGTACGTTGATTTTTTGCATCGGAGCCCCTCCTCCCCTATGACTTCTGGCCCGTTTTGGCCCCCATCTGTGCGCTCAAGCGCACTCCCAGGCTAGGTTCAATGACCTAGATCAATTCCTCATGTCCGGCGACTCAAGCTCACAGGATCCTTCCTTTATTCTCAGGCCTCCAGCTGATCAGTCTGAGAAGAGCCCACCATTGCACTCAGAGGCTGACTATCTATCTACTTTACTCGAGTCAGGGCACGCGCCTGGCTACCAACAAGGCGCTTTTCCAACCCCAGCTACCTTGTCCCCATTCAATAGCCCTCATTCAAACCTGAAGGGCGATTCTCAACCAGCACCGTCATTTCGGAATCCTCTCCGTCAGCGAAATTCAGCCGCATCATTGGATCCAAATACCAGTCTTGCTGGTTCTAATCTTGACCCGGATGCGTCACTTCCAGGACAAAGTGCGCAACCATCTTCCGACGATCTCAACCGCGAAGAGCGTTTGACAGAGACCGAACCAAGGTAGGTCATGGTTTCTGCATCTTTCGTTGGACTAGGGTAGAGCACGATTGCTGATCGTATTGATCTTTCACCATACCAGCGGACTTGAAATCACTTTATACCCCGGCCCTATGTCGGTAGCAGCAGGCGGGTACATTGCTGGTCCAATGCAGCCCAATTCTCATCGTAAGGAGTCTGGATCCGTGAAGGCAAGCCTCAACTAACAAATGGCAGAATATGTCTGGGGCAATCGCCCATTCCAACCACTACACCCACCGTCAGGGCATATGAAATCCCAATACCCCCCTTCACAACCATATCCCTCGTCGGGATTTCCAGTTGGTTATAATGGAAACCAAAGCGAGCCAATGCACGGTTATCACGAACCATCGGTACCGCCATCATATCTCCCTGGAGCGCCTGGTAGCGCTCAACAAAGTCAATTGCGGAGGTAATTCGAACTTCTTGCAAAACACGGGCACGATAAGTTGATCATTCCATTTCTTTTTCTCTAGTCCATCGATTGTTCGCCCTTTCCCTCCACACTCGGGGGGTACTTTACTTGACCAACCGCTCATGACTTCGTGAGTTTTTCATGCATAACGTTCCGCCATCTGAAGGTCTTTAAATAACCTTAACGCTCAGTCCTCCCCCTTATATGATAAACCCACCAGGCTATTATCTCCCAGACGCACCCCCGATTCCGTGAGTCATTCCAGCCGCAAAGACCAAGGAGGTACTAACAGAATACACTAGGTCCTCGCACCAGACTTCTATGAGCACACGGAGCTCCTCAATGCCCACAGAGCCCGTATTCGCTGCGTCCGACTCAAAGCCCTCCGCTGCAGAGTCAGATCACCCCCTTCGCAGGGCCAATTCCCGACCTCGACCTCGACCCCAGTGCTGGGAGCACGGCTGCAACGGTCGCGAATTTTCAACTTTCAGCAATCTGCTCAGGCATCAGCGCGAAAGGTCTGGCGTGGTCGCCAAGGCAGAATGCCCCGTTTGTGGAGCAGTTTTTACTCGCACGACGGCGCGCAACATCCACGTTGCGCAGGGTAAGTGTAAAGGGCCAGGACAGGAATCATCGGCCGAGTAGATGATGCGGGTGAAAACTTAGGTGTTCTTGTATATTGGCGCTCTTTCTTTTCTTCACGGACATACTATGTAGATACTAAAAACAACGAACGGAAGATCGTGGAGGGGGCCCACGTGGTGCCTGAGGCAGCTCGGGTGACTCAAGTCGCGGCGATCGCTGAAGACGCAGCGTCTTCAACAATCGCATTCACCAGAAATGCCTACTTCTATTTCCTTGTGCAAATCTGACCATTTATTAATTTTACCTCCTATACATCTGTTACCAGTGTGAGCCTGTAAAATCCCCCATCGGCCACGGCCATGGCTTCCATCTTCACTTACGACCCTGACCCGCCTCGGGTCTCCTCCCCATGGTCGACCTCGGGCTCGTCCACTCCCCAGGCCAACCCGGTCAATGGGCGAGGGCTCGCTATTCGCACACGGTCTATTTCTGCACTGGATCGTGCCGACGCAGACTTTCTCTCTGACTATGGAATCACCAAACTTGAGCCGGAGCCCCAGGAAGGTCCAACGGAGTACAAGCTACACTTGCTCCTCCGGCCGCGGCGCCCGTATCTGACCATGTCAACTGGTCATGTAGTTGCAGGCTCGTACCACTCTCGTGCTCATCTGTCATCGTCCAACTCGGCTTCGCCGGCCCATGATACAACTCCCAGGCCTATGCAGGCCAAGTCGTCTCAGAGCCGCCAGCAAAGGCTGCAAGGGTTGACGACGCAGCTGCTGTGGCGGTTGCAGCAGTCATCACCATTTCACTCATCCACTACGGCGAATCTAGTTGTCCCTGTTCTGCCAGAGGCCACACCGCAATTAGGTGTGCCTTCGAAACCGGCACGCTTGCTACCCGGTCTTGAGGAGAGCCAAGGTGCGCTCTACGAGATTGGCGTTGCCGACGACGGCACTTTTGTCGGTCTCACTCAAGATGAGCTTGACGAAAGCGTCACCAATCTGCAAGCCATGGCGGCGAGTCTCGGATGTAAGGTTGAGATCCTGCGCCGAGTCATCGTCGGAAAATGCGAGTGGGCAGAAGATTCCCCGTCTGCACCGCCCGACCAGAGCAAGAACAACACGGAGAGCCTGTGGGTCGCAGAGGCTCTGGTCACCCCGGACTTGGATTTCTATAATATGTCCCCAGCACGGATGCAACAGACCGCTGCCGACGATTCCGTAGCAGATTCCGGAGTAGAATCTGCTTCAGAAGAAGACTACTCTCAAACTGAGCAAATTCGTATCTCCATTGCCGGTCCCAGTACCGCAGGGAAATCTTCTCTCTTGGGCACTTTGACATCGTCTTCGTTGGACAACGGCAGAGGCAAGAGTCGGCTTAGCCTTCTTAAACACCGACATGAGATCACCTCAGGAATCACCAGCTCTGTCGCCCAAGAGCTAATTGGATATGCGGAAGATACCCCGCCGAGTGTAGTCAATTATGCATCTGGAAATGTGGCCGCATGGAATGATATCCATGCTGCCTCCACCGGGGGTCGCCTGGCCTTTGTATCCGATCTTCCAGGCTCAATCCGGTATTTGAAATCTTCTTTGCGTGGTCTGGTTAGCTGGGCTCCACACTATGTTATGCTCTGCATTCCAGCCAACTGCGGCGACGAGCTTGCAGAAGTAGAAGCTGGGACGGATCATATTGCTGAGATTGATCTTTGTCTGGCGTACCTGGACCTCTGTCTGAAACTAGAAGTCCCCGTTCTGATCGTCATTACCAAGCTGGATCTTGCTTCTCGAAGTGGATTACGGGATAATCTTGCCAAAGTCCTTTCTGCTCTGAAGACGGCTGGTCGCAAGCCTGCCATTTTGCCTGCATCTCCTGCTGGAGACAAAGCACTTGACTTGCAACATATCAGTGCCCTTGACAGCAAGGAAGTGCAGAAAATTATCGCAACTGCAAATGGGAATTGGTCTCAGATGGTTCCTATTGTTCTTTCCAGTGCCGTCGATGGCTCGGGCATAGGGAAACTCCACGCTCTGCTTCGTTATTTGCCCATTCCAGTTCGCCCACCTCGGAGAGAACTACGGCTTCCCCAAACGCTTCCAGCGTCTTACCAGATGACCGTAAACATGTTCGATGTGGACGAGGTTTTCGCCATCCCACCATCCAAGGTATACTCGGTGTCGGCCGACAAGAACAACCAAGAGAGCCGCGGTATGGTTCTCTGTGGATTAGTTCGACACGGCAGTATATCAATTGGCGACCAAATGGTAATTGGTCCCGTTCTTGTGGACACTTCAGACAATACCAACGATGCCGCACCTCTCAGCCTACTATCACGTAGCAGCGGGCCCGGTCCATCCAGCGAGTTCCCAGCATCTCTCTTACAGGGCAGCCTGCCCGGCAAAGATACCTCTTCATTACAAGCCAAATGGCAGCGTGTGCGCGTCGTCAGTGTCCGCGATCTACGACTGCCCGTCCGCCGTCTAAAAGAAGACCAAGTCGGCACAATTGGCGTCGAGCTACTGCCTTCCCCAGAGGACGGACGCCTTCCACGACTCAGCCGGATCCGCAAAGGCATGATCCTGACCGACCTACAGTCACTCCCGCCAGATATATTCAATTCGCCGCTTCCATCGACATTACCAATGCCCTTCCACACAGCCTTCACAGCAACATTCCCAGCAGCCGAGTTCTCCGCACCGAACTCGCCCCCGCTCCTCCTGGGCGGGAACGCAATTGTTTACATTGCCAATATCCGCACAACAGTCAGAGTTGTCAGCATGGCGCTCGCCGAAACAGACAACGAGCCCACCTCACCGCCGTCTCCTTCAGAACCGGAATTCTTTAGCTTCGACGGTGATGGGCCCTCGCCTGGTCGGGAGAAAGGTAGTGCTCATGCCAATGGGTCTGATGGTGCTGTGCGCCGTCGTTCGTCGGCGACGGATATTAGCAAGGTTGTCTCCGAGGCGGCTGGTGTTGTGCCTGGGTCTCATACGGAGGCCTTCCAGGAGGATGTGAAGATTACTTTTGCACTTGTTACCTCTGTGGAGTGGGTGGAGTTGGGCTCGCAGGTTTTGGTAATGCCGGGTGTGTCGATGGGGACTGCGTCGAATGGGGTTTCGGTAGCGGGTGCGCCTGGGAATGGGACAGTGTCGATGTCTGGGTTGGAAGGGTTTGTTGGGAGGATCTGTGACGTTCTTCCTGGGCGGATTGAAGGGTGAACAGATGCATTTGGAATTCGATGCCTTGAGATATTGTTTGCTTTGGGAATGTTTGGAGGGGTTGATGATTGTTCATAGTGTTTTTATTCTTGCTACAAAGAGCGCAGGTAGATAGATTTTACGAACGTCGATGATATCCAACAGCGCCAAACACGAGTCCACAGGGAACAGAGGATGTACGTTGAAAACTTGAATTTGAAGCAAGAGGTTTGTTTGCTATGCCATGAAGTCCCCAGTATAATTGCCGCCGAGAAAAGAAACAAACCGAAGCGTGAAGTGTGATGCAGTACACATTCCTTGACGTCATCCACACATCCTGTGAGCATCACTGCTCGTGCACTCGAACCCGAGCGTCCATTGTAACTGACCCATTGGATCAATCCATACCATGTCGGTTCCATTGAACCTACACATCTCATCTCGTCACCCTGGGTATTTCCATGAAGTGTATCGAACGTTGATGACATATCACATCGTCAGATGACGCTCGAAAGAACCGGATAAAACAAATTTCAACCGTATCAAGACCCTATAGAAAGGGCGGGCAGAAGGATGGAATTTCTAACCACCCTTGCGCTGGTCGCCTGCATTGCGAGCGAACGTGCTAGTCGATCCGATGGTGGCACTAGCATTGCGGAGCTCGATCTTCTTGCGTTCCATCTCGAGCTGACGCAGATTATTAGTACCCGCATTTTAGAAATTGAGCGATCAACACAAAGAAACTGATAGTACTTACCACCTTGCGGACACGCGCCAGAGCTGCGGTGTCGCCCTCGGCTAATGGGCGACAGTCGTCAACGCGGTACGGCGGGGCAATGGTGACGGCATCAGCCACCACAATGTTCTGTCCGTGCCAGTGGGCAGGCATGGTCCGACTGAAGGCGTCGAAAATATCCTGGGCCTCACGAGTGACACCCTTACCACGGCGCGCTTCACGGTCGAGCGCCTCGCCAATGGCCTTTGCCTCGCGCTGCTTCAGAGCACGGGCGTCAAGGGCCTGGATAGAGGGCAGGGCATCGGTGAATGAGGGAGACTCGGAGGAATTGGATGGAAGAGCGAGGAGCTGGAAGTTCTGGATGCGCGAGATGGGAATGACGTGGTAATCACCACTCTGCGCCTGCTTGGTGTCACCGGACAAGGGCGAAGGGGAAGTGTTGATTGCCACCAGGTTGGTGATGGGGCATGCAGTGAAGAGCATGCCCTCGATAGTCGAGGTAGCCGGCGCGGCGGTCGTGATACGTACACTGTCCGAGCAGATTAGCGCCTTCCTCCACGAGAGCTTAAGAGGGGCTATTCACCGAGCACCGATCGCGCCGCTCAAAGCAGCCTCCAAAGGGACCATTCCTGAGGCCATTTTGGGGCCTGTTGCGCTGCCCGATTGTGATGCTTTTCCTCCCGCGCTCTGGCGCTTGTTCTCCGCCATGCGGTGACCTGTGCAGGCGGTGTGATTTCAAAAGTCCACCACGAAGCCCTTGTTCGAGACGGCGCTGTGGTATGTTGGGTACACAGGGTCTACCTCGGGGACATTGGAAGCAGGCGGGGTCAATTGGCAGCCTGTTGTCCTGTTGTCCACCAGGAGCTCGCGTTATCCTCCGGTCTATAAGTGGTCTGAAGGGAAGGCGTTCCCCGATTCCCTGCGGATCGGAATAATAAAAATCCGGCAACAGCGATGTATCGATTTATATGACCCTGGATTATTTGTTGGAAAGCGCGAGGGGGCCGATAACATGCAGCACGACTCGCAGGAGCGACGTCGCTCGGGCTCGATTGGGTTTAGCGCTATGGATTAATTACCTCACAGCCTTCGTCAGGCAGATCTACCTCAAAACGGTATGTATGTACCTTCCCTAGTAACCAAGGTACAAAGGTACCTGAAACTACCAATGACTGAGTACTACAGGAAGGAGAGTTGTGTCGTTACGTTCCATTCATGTGGCATCTAAATACATTGAACCCAATTTTTAAACCGTCTATCTCCGAAGCATTTATGCCACGTAGGTGGAGGCAGAGACGTCACCGCCACGGCCAGTCCAGTTAACGTGGATATCCTTGCCCTCGGGGAAGTTCTCGTTGGCGTACTCGGGCTTGATGCGGAAAGTGTGGGCACCGAAGTAGTCACGCTGGGCCTGCAGCAGGTTGGCGGGCAAGTCCTTGGTGCGGTAGCCGTCGTAGAAGCTGAGGGCAGTGGAGAAGGCCGGCAGAGGGATACCCCAGAGAGCAGACTTGCTGACGACATTTCTCCAGCCGCTCTGGGCATTGTGAATGGCCTTGGTGAAGAACTCATCGAACAACAAGTTCTCAAGGTCGGGGTTGTTGCGGTAGGCGTTGGTGATGTCCTTCAAGAAGACGGAACGGATAATGCAGCCACCGCGCCACATCAGGGCGATGGAAGGCTTGTTCAGCTTCCAGCCGTACTCCTTGGCGGCGTCCTGGATGAGCATGAAGCCCTGGGCGTAGGAGATGATCTTGGAGGCATACAGAGCCTGCTCGAGGTCATCAATGAAGGCAGCCTTGTCACCCTCGAACTTGGGGGTGGGGCCGCTAAGGATGGTGCTGGCACGGCCACGCTCTTCCTTGAGGGCAGACAGGCAGCGGGAGAAGACAGCCTCGCCGATCAGAGTAACGGGCATGCCGAGGTCAAGGGCATTGATGGCGGTCCACTTGCCGGTACCCTTCTGGCCGGCCTTGTCGAGGATCTTGTCAACGAGGGGAGTGCCATCGTTATCGTTGTAGTAGAGAACATCGCGGGTGATCTCAATCAGGAAAGAGTCAAGGACACCCTTGTTCCACTTGGCGAAGACGTCGCCGATCTCCTTGCAAGACATACCAAGACCACGCTTGAGGATGTCGTAGGCCTAGTATAGAATGTTAGCTTGAGAGCTCCCTCCAGGACAGTATGGAATGACAAGCTTACCTCGCAAATCAGCTGCATGTCACCGTACTCAATACCGTTGTGAACCATCTTGACGTAGTGGCCAGCACCTTCGTCACCGACCCAATCACAGCAAGGCTCGTTGTCGCTCTTGGCGGCGATGCTCTGGAAGATGTCCTTAATGTGGGGCCAGGCGGCCTCGTTGCCACCGGGCATGAGGGAGGGGCCGTAGCGGGCACCCTCCTCACCACCGGAGACACCGCTGCCGACGAAGCTGATGCCCTTCTCGGAGAGGTAGCGGGTGCGGCGGTTGGAGTCGGGGAAGTGGGAGTTACCACCGTCAATGACGATGTCGCCCTTCTCGAGGAAGGGGAGGAGGGCCTCGATGAAGTCATCGACGGGCTTGCCGGCCATGACGAGAAGCATGATGCGACGGGGGCGCTTGAGCTTGGAACAGAACTCCTGAATGGAGTGAGCACCGACGATGGGCTTGCCTGTGAGATTCTTTTAGCGGACCGGATATGACGGAAATTGAAAGAATCGCATTGTTGGCGAAAGACTTACCCTTGGCCTCGTTCTCGAGGAAGCGGTCGACCTTGGAGGTGGTACGGTTGAAGGCGCAGACGGTGAAACCGTGATCAGCAGCGTTGAGAATCAGGTTCTGGCCCATAACGGCCAGACCGATGAGGCCGAAATCAGCACTGGGAACAGGGTGCGCCGGTGCGCCGACATCGATGCCGGCGAGACGGGCACTATAGTCAGCGACAGAATTCTCTTGTCAATAGCCGGGTACATGCGAATGCAAGATTTGTCACGTAGGGGAAGGACAGGCCGAGGGGCCCGGAGGAGTTCCAGCCCGTGAAACCATTGTGCTTAGAGATTGATATCGACATTGCTCAGGCCGTTTTCAAGCATCACAACCACAAATGGAAGCTCGCGGGCCGGTTGCTCGGTAACCCGAGACCGTTGGGATGATGCAGGTTTGGTGGGGAGGGGCAGTGGATTGTGAGGAGAGTGGGAAAGTAACTTACACAGCCTGGTCAGCCATGATTGATATGGTGTGAAGGATGAGAAAGGAGGATGGGGTATCTACTGGGAGTTTGAGAGAAGAAAAGGAGGAAGATGATCGAGGGGAATGGGAAGAAGATGTCACCGGCTGACGGAGCAACTCTTCCGTCATAAGCCAACCTGAGTTGGCCGATCCGGGTATAGTGGGATGGTGGGACGCGCTACTACTGTAAAAGTGGGTGTACCGTGTACTCCGAGCTTGTTGTTGCGGCCGGTGTAGTGCCAAGTACACGGTACAGGAGGACTGTCGTCCGGACATCCCACTCGGCTTCTACTTTCGGGCCCATTTGGTTGGGGGCCAAGGGCAGATCATGATTTGACCCGATCATGCCCTTGTCTTGTATAGTTCCTTATACTGTACTTCCCGAACTACGTTGCCAATACATCCGGGCCAAGGGGGAGTATGCAAGTTTGGCGCGGGGCATGGAGGGGTAACACAGTGTGATCTCATCGGAACATCTTCCGGCCGCAGGAAGATTCCCCAAAGGAGTACTCGGGCAGGTCAATCTCGGTTTAGAAATCATACAGCCCAGTTTCCGGATCACCCCCATCCAAAGTATCCATCGGTGAACTGTTTTGGCGTGGAATTCGACGGAGAAACTTCTTTCACTTGCCGACCTCCGCCCACAACCGGCTCAGCGTGCACCAGGCCGCTTTGGGACTAGGGTGGGGGTGCGGTGCCGACTGCGGCGCTTAGTCATTGTCATCGAGCTGAGTCATGGTTGCTGACTCAGGAGTACGGCACCGCGCATGTACAACTGCGCAGGGCCGATTTTCTTTGGCCGCGATAGTGATACGGTCAAAGCCATCACCGAGGTTCTTTTCAATCTTATCATTGACCTACCCACAAAGGTAGCGCATACTTATCAGCCCCCATATTTCCCGTGCAGTGTTTCGGAACTTCAGGTGTGACGTCTGGCGGATTGACTGAAGCGTCAGTCAGGCCCTGAAGGTACGTTGTGGTTGCGTCTCTGCAAAACAGCTCAACCGTCTCTTCTGTCGGACTGCTCGTTCATCATGTCCTATCCACCCCCTCCAGGTCTCAAACAGACGCCCTCTTTACTCCCTCCTCGCCCACCTCCGTCTACCAACTCTGCCCAGCCTGCCGGTCATGGCGGCAATGCGCGACAGTCCGGCTACAACGCCTTCACGGCATTCGCGCCGCGCTCCGTAGCGTCAAGTCAGCCGCGCACAAGCAGTCCAGCGGTCTCTGCGCCACCGGTCTATTCCGCCGGGTATGCGACCCCTGCGACCGGCTACGGAAATCATCAACCTCCTCAAACCTACCAAAGTGGGCCATCCTACTATGGAGCCCAATACAGTGAACATACCCCCGGTCCGACCATTCCACACATCCAAAACCCCTTTGGCTCAACACCTAGTGCAGGGCGAGGACATAACGCGCTAGACCCAGAGACCGAGGCCCAAATTGCTCAGTGGCAAAGCGCCTATGCCAACCCGAACGAAGATGCGGGCAAAAGGGCCAGCAACACCGGTACAAACACGGGCGTCGGGACACCAACCGCTGCCAGCACCCCTCAACCTCACAATGAACCACAGAAGACCGTCCACCGAGCCGGCGGTGGTCAAGCGTGGAACGACTCTACGCTTCTAGAATGGGACCCGGCCCATTTCCGACTTTTCGTGGGCAATCTTGCGGGCGAAGTGACTGACGACTCGCTACTGAAAGCGTTCGCGCGCTACACCTCCGTACAAAAGGCTCGCGTCATCCGCGAGAAGCGTACACAGAAGAGCAAGGGATACGGGTTTGTCAGTTTTAGCGACGGCGATGATTACTTTGCCGCCGCGCGAGAAATGCAAGGCAAGTACATCGGTTCCCACCCGATTTTACTGCGGAGAGCTACCACCGAGGTAAAACCGGCGTCGAACAACAAGAACCAAAAGAAGAACGGGGGTAGTGGTCGAGGTCAGTCCGGAGGCAAAGTCAAGCAGGATGGCGTGAAGAAGTCTGGTAAGACCAAGGGAGGCCTCAAGATTCTAGGTTAAGATCTCTCTGCGAAGTGAAATGTATTCGTATTTTTGGAACCTGCATCTTTCGTCGGGTAATTTTGTAGTTTATTGTAGTAGGTCCCATGATCGACCGTCATTTAGATCCGTCGATCGATCTGGGCCCACCATTGTTTCCACACGCATCATTGCTCTTTGTACTCTGGAGAACTTTCCAATCCACAGATCAGACTATGTACTCTGGGAGTATGCTCCTATTCTATGGATCGTGTTCGTTGCCACTAGATGATGACATCAAGATGTCCGGGTAGAAGGACCCCTCATGGTACAAGGCAATACATTATAGCCCAGGACCAGCTTAGATAAATGAATAGTTCGTGACACTTACCATATTGCAACGAACCTTACCTTGGAATCTGACTCAAGTAAGCCGATTCACTTGAGCACTTCGGAACCATCTCGTTTCATTGCTGTGTTATCTATGTATCCATGTCAATATCGGCGTTCCAACCCCGCAATCTCTGCTTAAATATATGTATCCCGCCTTAGGAACATTCACTGACTCTGCGGACCACGTCTCAGATACCTTTAATCGATCCACCATGAAGCTATCTACCGTGGCTGTTCCCCTAATGACATTTTTGGCCGTGGACATGACATCTGCCTGGAAACTCCAGTCAGGACCTCAAGTCTATACTGGGACTAAACCCCAGGGCTGCACCGCCGTAAACATCCCCCGGGGCGCGCAGATTAGCTGGACGGGAACCCAGGGGGCAACCACCGTCGAATTCTTCACTACTGAGCACACCTGCAGCAGGGTCTATCGCACGATAATGGGGATTGGTGACATCAATGCGTCGGAGAATATATATGGGTTCGTGGTGATGGCGTGAAGGGTATTCAACAAAGACCCCAAAAAGTGTTAGTGTAGCAGTCTAGTCAAACTGAGTACAAAATATAAAAAGCCTCCAATAAAAGTGCGGCGTTGGGGATGTAACCTTTGATTAGACCAACTGACTACGGAAATTCCAGACCTCCGTGGGGCCGCCAAGCCGAAACAACCTCAGAGCTTAAACTCCCACTCTATCCCATCCAAGCTGTTTGTTCTCGGCAAAGTTTAGGAATTTATTCCTGTTTGCCCCTCTTTGTTCAACAAAGAAAACACCCTCTCCACCTGCATAACACCCATCTTGTCCATCTTGCAGCCTTGGATGTGCGAGCATGGAGGATCGGGCAGATCCCGTGGCTCAGCCTGACCCGGCGCCTCAATCTCGATCCTCTGCGCCTCGCGTACGGCTCAGCTGCGAGGCCTGCCGCCAGCGCAAGGTGAAATGCGATAAGCTGAGCCCCTGCACGAGCTGCTTGCGACTCGGGTTTCAATGTGTCCCCGTTGAGCGGGCCCGTCTACCACGCGGCCGTACGAGGCGACAGCCCGAGCGGGCGGCCCACACTGACCGAGAACTCGCCGATCGCGTTGCGAAGCTAGAGGACCTCTTGCGGAAATACGCCCCCGATGGTCAGGTCCCTCCTGTGCCGAGTGGCAGTACGGATGCGGGGCAATCTGACCACAGTTCCCAGTGCAAGATGGAGGAGGATGTTGAGAGCTGGCGGGATCGGAATTCTCAGCCCGCAACCATGACCCTGCCACATCGGCCTCGGCCACAATCTGCCTACATTGCTAGTTCATTTTGGGAAGATATGATGCAGACGGTATGCAATTTACTTCCTCGTATCCTTATTTTACCGTGCAGTATAACCCCTGCGCTTGTATGGACTTCAGCTTACCTTTGTGAATAGACAAATGAGCTGCGTCACGTTCTCGATAGCCGAGAAAATGAAGAGCCAGAAGTCCAGAACCCGGCCGGCTTCGGCGGAACTTCATTTATAAGCTCCGAGAGCTCTGACAGCCCCAAATCACCCAATTCCTATCGGGGAATCAGCATCTCCCCGCAGATACGGAGAAGTCTGTGCGAGATCTACTTGCGCAACGTGGACCCTGTCTTCAAAATCTTGCACCGCCCCTCGTTACGTGCTCACCTAATCGACGATGAGCCGTATCTTGACTACGAGCCAGATCACCAAGCGCCAATAACCCTTTCATATGCTGTTTACTACGTGGCTGTCTGTACTCTCGATGACCCGCAGTGCCAAGTTATGTTCAACATGGACAAGAAGACTGTATCGGCCGATCTCCAGAGGGAAACCGATGCTGCGCTGGTGAAGTCTGATTTTGTGACCACGAATGACTTGACTATCTTGCAGGCTTATGTATTGTCACTAGTAAGTGTCAATGTTAATATTATTCCATCCTGTGTTCCCTCGAAGCTAACCAGCAGCAGCTTGCCGCCCGATCTCAAGACCAAAGTCGACGCGTGTGGACCATGTTGTCTATGGCACTTCGAGTCGGTCAAGCATTATGTCTCCACCTGGGTGATCCGCCATTTCACGTCAGTTCCTTTGACAGCGAAATGCGTCGCCGTCTTTTCCAGGCCATTGGTCTTCTCGACCTGGCAGCCTCCCTGGACCGTGCATCTGAACCGATGATGCAGTCTGCGTGGTTAGACGCGCACCCACCAGCCAACATCAATGACGAGGATATTTACTTTGGCATGGAGACCCCCATTCAAGAGCCTCCCGAAGGAACCTTCACCGACATGACCCAATCGTTGATCCTCGCTGCAGGGCAGTCTGTAGCTAGAATGCTTGCATTCAATGACTTCATCGAACCCGGTAAGAAGACGATGGCTCTCCGGAAGCAGATCCTCAAGGACTTTCAGGACAGGGTAAGCACACTTTTGAGAGGATGCCGACCCGATCTGTTTGCCTTCCAATTGTATACGAAACGAACGGCAGCTACCATCAACGGATTCCTTCAATTGGGATCCCTGCGCCCATTGCAAAGAAACCATAACTTCATCCCTCCCCAAGTCCCCGGGGACGGTCTTCTTCGACTGGCTGCCGATAATCTACAGAAGCTACACGAAGCATACAGTGACCCCGCTACGGCGTCGTGGATGTGGTTTGGGTCTTTATGGGTGCCATGGCACGGACTTGCAGTCGCCCTGGCCGAGATGTGTGTCTGCAAGGACGCGGAAACAATGTCCCGGTACTGGCCAGTCATCGAGCAGGTGTTTCACCGATCCAGCTTGGGTGTTGCGGACTCCCAGCACGGCATGTTGTGGAAACCACTGGAAAAACTCATGAACCAGGCCCGAGCTCACAAACGAGAGATGATCGGCAGCCATTCTCCGGTCAATGCCATGCAGCAGGTCCCTCATATGGTGCCGATGACCTCCGTCGGTCAACCAATGAACGTCCAACTCACACCGGAGCAATTGATGGCGCAACTCTCGGCACAAGATCTGAATGCTCCGCCTGGGTCGGCGAACTATACAATGGGCATAGACTCAACTCTGGCTGCTGGCCAGCCAGTTAACCCGGCCGTTTCATTACCCCAGAACACCATTTCCATCGACATGCTGGACTCGTACCCGAATGTTTGGGATGGAATGGACTTTGGCGCCACCGGCCTGCAGGGTCCAGGTGATAATATCGCATGGCACAACTACGAGAGTTTCATCGGCGATGTATATGACAAGGTGAACTTTATGTTTTAAGATGGTCACTACCTAGAGGCTTTTTGGGCGTACTGTGTGGCAGTCACCTCTTTTGGTATATCTCGGTGAACTTGGAACCATAATGATAATACAAAAACCTCCATTTTTCTACTTTTCTTGCTGCCCTCTTGCTAACTGTGGAATGATATAAAGATTTGATAGGGCCAGGGGGCTTGATAGGCGCTGGCGCTTCGTGGGAATAGGTGGGTTATTCTCCATTCTCCGTCCTTTAATTACTAAAAGCATTCATTTATCTTTGGAGTCTGGGATCTTTATTATCAAAGGCCATACATAAAATAATTACAAAATCAAAAATTAAAAACTTGAATTCCCCGCCCGTTGTAGGCTCCAATGTTGGGGGCCGTCACCTCCGAGACTTTATTATTCCAAAAGTCTCGACCTCCATTATCCGCGATGATAGCCCCACTGTTCAAGGCAGGGCTTCCAGGTTGAAGCCGGTAGCCATCCGCCGAGTCAAGGCTATCCTGGCCAGTGCCGGGATCGGTAAACAGTGGGTCTCCTTGGGCTCCCGCCGTGTTCACGGGGAGAGCCACCGTTTGGAAAAGATTTTCATGCCATTGAATCGAGTTGTTGCTCGGCAAGGTAGAGTTCGCCATACCCACCCAAATGTTGTTCGACATATTTGCATGAGGTGGTACGGAGATCTCAAATGGCTTGTCGGGACAGTAGATAACGTTGTTGTAGAATTCCATCTGGACATTGTCGCCATTGCTGTACATGCGGCAATCGTTCTGGAAGACGTTGTATCGGACGATCTGTGTCGCGCCACCTGGGGTTCCACAGCCATCACAGTTGAGGAATATGCCTCCAGCATTATCGTGGCTGTAGTTGTACTCGACAGTGCAGGTCCCTTCATTTCCCCAATCGCAGTCGAATGCCTCGCTGTCAATATCCGACATGAGGGAGTTATGAACCACATTACGGCGCATCACTGCGTCTTTGCATCCCAGCACCCAGATACCGGCGAAGTTGCCGCCTGTGTATGGGTATTTTCCATAGCCGAGGAATCCAGCGACGTTGGTCTCCAGCAGGGGGGCATCACCGTAGGACACCACGACACCGTCACCGCCAACGTAGGAGATGTCGTTTCCCCAAATGTGAGTTCCGATGCCGCGGTTATCCATCTGCCCGACACGCACCTTGATGCCGCCACCTCCGCAGTCGTCTACTTGATTGTTGTAGATTCGAACGTCGTCATAGCGACTGGTGCCTGCGGTCCCATTCACGAGAATACCCGCAGAAGCGATGTATGCAGCGGACTGGGTGGCCTTGTTCGTCTCGCCGGCCACATCGTACACAGAAATATCATGAATGTAGAGACCGTAATGAACGGTGCCGTCATTTGAAGTCGCAGCAATGCCTCGTCGCCAGCCGATCTCGGAGGCAGGATTGATAATTGCGATATTGGAGATATCCCAATAATCTTGATTGGTCAGACTGACAGCTTCCGCGGCACCAGAACCATTGATTATGGGCAAGGGCCCGTCTCCGTAGCTGGTCAGCACAATCGGATTGTCCTGCGTGCCACTTCCCCGAGGCGACAACGTGCCCGTGCATGTTGTTCCGGCTTTGACGAACAACGATTCGCCGGCTTGGAGAACAGCTTCATTGGCCTTTTGAATTGAGTTGAAAGGCTTTGCTCTGCTACCATTACCTGCCAGGGCTGAGCTGCAGTCGAGATAAACGTCACTTGCGATGGAAGGTTGGATTAAAGCAGCCAACAGTGATACCGCACTGCCATAGCGCAAAGCTCGACGGACAGTCATGATGATAGAAACGGCAGATTTTCGAGATCTGATGTTCCGGGGTCATGAAAAACTGACCGTGAAGTGATCGCGTCCATTAAATATTACTTCAAGTTCCAACCTCGCTGATCATAACTCCAGTTGGAAACAGAATATACTAGGGTCACAATAGCTATCGCGACCCCACTGTGTATCTACCCGGCTAAACATGCGGTAATCAGTCGGGGCGGTCCTTATCCCGGGTTGCAATCAAGTTAGATGGGATCGGTGTTTTAGCGTCGGGGGAAGTCTTCCCCCGCACCGCCACCATCGGCACGTTACATCCACGGCCATGGCCATGGTCATGGGACTGGTTGTGTAGAACGATTAACGAAACACGGTACCTAGTAGGTAAAAAGGTATTTAATGGAACAAATTGAATGGAAGGGTTAGGTCAGGAGATATCACTGCTGTTTGTGGAAACCATCGGATTCTGATACACCATGTTGTTTCGCACGACTTTTCTGTGTTTTGTCGCCGGCATACTAGGATCAAGTTATGGGGCGAGTATACCCGCTCCAAGTATACCCACTCCAAATTATGCTCCTTCAGAATGGGTCCATCCAGGAGTAATGATCAGTCAGTCACAGCTGGACTTCATTCGCGAAAAAGTGTACTGCCAGGAACAACCGTGGGCGGATGCCTACAACGCGTTGCTCAATGGCGAAAACATCGCCTACCCAAAGGAGCCATCTCCACCACCGATTGTCGTGTGTGGCCCGTACTCCATCCCCGACGTAGGATGCGAGGCAGAACGAAACGATTCAATTTCTGCGTACGGTAACGCACTTGCATGGGCAATCAGTGGCGAGTACGGGTACGCACAACAAGCCATCAAAATCATGGATGCGTACTCTTCCACTATTCAAGGCCATAACGACACCAATGCACGCCTTCAATCCGGTTGGGTTGGCTCTGTCTGGGCTAGAGCTGGAGAAATTATCCGGTATACAGGTGCCGGGTGGTCTTCTGATAGCATTAGCCAGTTCGGAGACATGCTGCGGAATGTGTACATGCCCTTGACAGTCAATGGTACTGATCACAATGTGTCAAACTGGGAGCTAGGTGAGAGATGAAAAAAAATATGAAACCGAAAATGCAAGAGCTCACACGGTCTATCAGTCATGACTGAAGCTGCGATTTTCATGGCAGTCTTCCTCGAGGACGCCGACGCCTACAACACCGCCATGGGGTGGCATTTGAAACGAATTCCTGCCACGGTCTACATGACTTCCGATGGGCCATACCCAGTCGCAGCCCGCGGCCAAAGTTCGTCGCCAGATGCCATCGTTGCCTGGTGGTTCAACGAGACCACATTCATAGAAGATGGCCAGGCAGAGGAGACATGTCGTGATCTCACACACACCGGATATTCATTTGCCTCTATGGCGCATGTTGCTGAGACCTCGCGAATTCAGGGCTTCGATCTCTACGAGACGGATGTGGGAACACGACTGAGATACGGACTGGAATTTCACTCCCAATTTGTCAACGGGGAGCCAGTGCCGTCGTGGCTTTGCGGTGGAGAGTTGAAACTCACCCTAGGTCCCATTACTGAAGTTGGCTACAATGCTTTGTCCTTCAGGATGGGTTTTGACATGCCGGAGACTGGATTTCTGACGGAAATTCAACGGCCTGCTCAGGATAATGGTCTATTTGTGGCCTATGAAACGTTGACACATGCCCGGAATGATGCATGATCAGTTTACAGATAGCAGACATACTTTGTGTAACCCAGTTGTTACGAAGAAAGAACTGAACGGAAGACTGAGGTTATGAATCGTAATGAATTCAACTATCTGGCTACGTCCGTAGACGAGAGAAGGGACCCCGGTCACCTAACCCGAGTTAGGGGCTCCGCAACATCAGCCCCCCTGGAAAAAAGCACTGCCCTCAGTGCTGAAAAAAGAAATACAGGATACGTGTAAAGACGAAAGAAAATAGGTAAGGTAGGATAAACGCGGCAAATAGGTAAGTCACTCCGGTTCCAAGTTAGATACGCGGCGTAGCATCGTCTCCAGAGCTTGCTTCAGATTGGCGTCGGGGCATTGCGAGACCTCTGTATCCACCAGGGTCAGTGCATCTTTATAGCTGATGTAGTCAAGAAGATGTTTCCGCTCTAGGTCCGTGGCTCTCGCGATAATCCTGTCGATCTCCGTCTGCGGGCCCGCTTCGATGGCCATCTTCATACGGTGACGTTCATCGCGACTAAATTGTCTAGCGGCGACCTCGAGTGCGAGGGGGCTATGCTTAACCGAGGCCTATAGGCGCGATAGTATACTAATAGCCGAAAGGGTTGGTCTAGCTACGGAGCCTCTAGGTAGGTAGAGGGTCTAGGCGATTATGTTACTAATATATAAAAGCTCGGGGGTTATAGGGATAGTAGCGACGATAGAGGCGATAGCGTCTACGGCCTTGCCTTCTTCTGGGAGGAAGTCCTTATTCTCGAACGCGGGGATAACGGAGACCTTGCTTGTAATCTTGGAGAGCTTGATACAATAATAGGGCTTCTAGCTATACGGAAGCTGGATGGTTTCCTAGTCTAGGGGAATAAGATACTACGGACCCTTATATATTATATAAGTTGATGAGAAACCGTCTACGGAGATACCACGACTTATATAGTCCTCGAATAAAATAAGGTCTGTCTCTATCGCGTAAGGCCCAACGATATTATAAAAGCTAGTTAAGCGAAGTTACTGTTTAAGGGCGACGTGCTCACGGTCTAGGATGACCTAGCATTAGGTATCCGGATTAAAGCGAAAGTTTAAGCCTATCTAATATATTTTAGCTATTTAAATGAGGGTTTCCGGAATACCTATTAGTATCTTGAATGCGATAGAATAACTTTTAAGTTATAGCGTCTATCTAGCTATATTAACCACTTCCGGTGGAGCGAGAACGAGGCCGAAGCTCTACTTATATAGGATTAGTAGCGCGGCTATAGTTCGTAGCACCGCCTTATCTATTATCTATCCTATAGTAGGCCACTAGGATCTAGAGAGGATATACGATCCTTTCTAGACTAGGAACTAGAAAAGTCTATATGCCTCGACCACTATCGGTGGGTCTATAGGGACCCTAGTATATCGAACTTCCCTATAGGTATCGAAATTAGCGGGGTATATAGAGGCGCGGATCTTATAGTTTATAAAAAGAGACGCTTAGAAAACGACCTAATTAGATACCCTAACTTTGAGCGGGGAGACTTATACGTATCCCTATATATCTATATCCGTCCACTGGGTGGAGTCTATTACGTCCTAGTGACGGAGCTTATACTTTATAAAGGTTTTAAGATTAGTATAGCCCCTTTTAGTGGATAGAGAGGGGCCGTTACTATTATTAGGTACCTAGGGGACGATTTCTATATTATTAGTGAGTGTCTTTATCTCGCTAGCGTAAATCTTAGATTAGTAGCGGAGCTTACGTATAATCCGTAATATATGATCTTTAGGGTAAGTTCTAGAAGCCCTAATAGTAGAGGGCGTTATAGTTAGTAGGGTAATAACGGTTAACGAAGGTAGAGGGTCTATAGGGGCGGTGGTAGAGGACGTAGGAGGTTATAGCGATAAGTTTAGAGATATAAATAGCCTAGCTATTTAAGTAGAGGATAACGATAAGTAGTCCTATATCTAGGCATTAAGCGTCGTTCTTAATGCCTAATTAGCTATAATAACGGAAGGGATATAGGATAATAAGAGTAAGGAAGGAAGGGAGATAAAAAGGGGAAAAGTGAGAGAAGTGAGAGAAATAGGAATAAGTGGGATATAGGATAATAAATACTAATAGAGAGGTTGTCTAGGAGGCGAAGAAGTAAAGAGAAGCGAGGTTAGCTATAGAGATAAGGGGAAGTAAGGATAGCTATAAGGAGATAAAGTGATAATATAGACGAAGTGATAATATAGATAAAGTGATAATATAGCGGATATTAGGTAATAATAGGGGAAGGTCCTACATAGCCTTAGCTACACTGTACTTCGAATTGCGAGATAAGTTTCTCCGCGCCTACTACGTTGCGCTTATAGACCTATTTATTATGTTCTAGGCCTACGTTCTTCTAGCGTATAAGGTAAAAGGTGACTAGTTTACGATTTCGTCTATATAAGCGAATCTTCTTATCTAGGATCGCCTTAATGTTAAAGCGATCCTACTTCGTAGGGAACTAGCTATCTATAGTGGGTATAGGGTCTCTAGATTCGGAGTCGCGTATATCTACTAGAGTAGGCTCTAGGTGCTCGACGGAAACGACGTCATAGACGTATTTAAGCGAGGGAGGTAGGTCAAGGTAGTATATAAGTTAGCTAACTCGCTCTAGGATATAGAAGCGACCTACGTATTACTAACCTAATTTTCGCGATACTAGGTTATTCGTGGGAATGTTGTAACCTTTCTAGAGTCTTAGGTAGATATAGTCTCTAACGAAAAAATATATAGGTTTATAACGCTAATTATAGCGTTTCTTTATACGTATAGCCACAAACTTAAGATACTTAGCTATATCCTAATAGGCGTTATATTCCGCGGTAGAGAACGCTTTATAGAGTAACTCCTAAGATATATATAGGTTAAAACTATATATAAGCTTATATAGTATATCGCCTATAGATACGTTGACCGAGGTGTTAAGAGATACTTATAACGTTAGTAAGGCCTACTTCTAGGATATTATAGGGTATAGTATTAGGTGGTAACGGAGCTAGATTTTAGCTATCTAGTTAGTCCGCTTTAATTAACCGTCCATCTACGCGTAGTAAGCGATAGAATAGAGTAGCTAGACGTAGAGCGCTATAAATATACCTTTCTAGAGGCCTTTAATAAATTAGGGGTTATAGTCTAAGATCTAAGCGACTAGAATGCCCTAGTCGCTAAGCTAAAGGACGTTGAGGACTATAGTGGCCTATTATTCGCTAGTCTAGGTCGTTTTTTTAGTGGCCGATCCGATTCGCTTCGAGAATTTATATATAAAGAAGGCGATAGTGTCATATCTATTAGTGAGCTTAGGAAGGCCTATAATAAAGTCGATTATAAGCGTGTGGAAGGGGATTAGCGACGTAAGGATCAGCTATAGGGATTTATATAGTTTATAACGTTATAGGTTATTCTAGAGATACTCTAGGTAGGTTATAATATATTTCTTTAAGCGCTTCTATCCTTTATAGATTATAAGGCCTCGTATCTTAGTCTAGGAGCGGTCGATACCTTAGTGGCCTTATTTATTATAAGCTATATAGAGAATATCGTCTATTATTGTTGATGGAACGTAGATCTATTCTTCTCCGTTATTCTAGATAGAATATAAGATACTATCTTACGCGACGTATAGGAGCGTTAGGCGAATAGGGTCTATACCTCCGTCTATTCGAGCTAGCTCTAAAATAATTATAGACTAGTGAGAGTCCTCCTTATACCTATTAAGGAGTCTCTACTAGAAATCGTTACTTATCTAAACGATAGATATTATTAAGGCGTATATATTATTATCCTTTAGAGCTAGGTCTATAATTAAAAATAGAGCGTCTAGGTCCTTATCTAGTTATAGTATAGTTAGGGCTCTTAATAGTAGCTAAGATAACGCATTTATAATATGATTTAATGCTCTAGAACGATGATATACCTAGAGATAGAACTATTAGAGGAACTAGGAGCTATAGACTAATTATAGGTTAAGTCTCTCTAGAGATAAAGTCGATAGGGACGTAGAGAGGTAGATTATAGCGAGGTGATTAGTGTAGATAATTAGTATTAAATCTATTAGTGCCGCTTCGATATAATAATATAGCTTACGAATAACCTAAATAATATAGGAGAACTCTAGCTCTATAGCGAAGTAGCGCTATTCGATTAAGGTTAAGAGTCTACTTAGGAATATAATTGGCTCTATAGCTATTACTAAAGGCGAGTAGGTTAGTGGATAATACTAGTAGTCCTTCTTTATATAATAGACTATCGCTCCGTAGCTAGTTTGCTACAATATATTAATATCGAAGTATAGGTAGCGTACTTAATCTTAGTACGTTAGCTATTATAGGTTCTAGAATACTATTTAAATATTCTTAAATACCCTAAGCTTAGTAGGTGATAGATCCTAGAATTAGGTGTAGAGACTCTATTATTTATATAAGTTACCTACGATTAGACTCCCTCTAAGCAAATCTATTTTGCGTATCTATAGAGGTTTAATTTCCTTAGTGTAATACTTAATATACTAACGAAGCGCTCTAGTTATACCTAGGTAAGTTTCTAGCTATCGTAGAGTGCGAGGAAATTCTAGATTAGCGATTACCTTAAGCTTCTCTTCTAGAGTCGATATATTAAGGGTGTTAACGTGTTGGCTAAGAAGGGAGATAGTTAGAAATCCGATATACGCCTTTAACGATTATAGCGTAATAGAGTACTCCTCTAAATAGGCGAGTAGGGTATAGAGATATATAATATACTTATCTAATGTCTTCGAAGCCATAACGATATTATTGATATAGGCTCTACACTATTTAATAAATTTCTTTAGGATTAGATCTATTTACCTCTAGACGTAGGCGACGCTATTATAAAAGCCTATAATAGCGACGTAAAATATCTCTTAACCCTAGTGGGAGATAACTACTATACGTGGTTAATGATCTAGCTAGATACGCTATTAGTAGAAGAATTTACTTACGTCTAGTATTAAGATAAACTTCTTTCCTTAAACTATATTAGTGATATTATCGATTATAGGGATTAGGTATAGGTCTAGTTCTATAATCTTATTTAGGCCGCGAATGTCGATGACTAGACGACTAACTATCTCTTTAGAGGCTTTATTAGGTTAGTAGACGACGAATACTAGATACGCGCTTAGCGTATGCCTCGTGGCCTAGGATATCTTTCCTTTATTATATAGTTTATTAAAGGTTTTATCGACGAGCTCGCGTTATTTTAGCCTAAGGGGGTATATTTTATTACGCGGTAACTTAGATTCCTAACTATTAATTAATAGGATCGTTATCTATCGATCCTTAGGAATATCGACTATTCTAGGGCGCTCTCCCTAGATATTATATTATATAATCACTACGGAGAGAATATCGACTATCTCTAGAGATCCGTAAACTATAATACTATTAGGTAGTATAGTTTCTATCTACGTAAAGGCGAGGGTATTAGTGATATCGACGTTTTTATTAGTTAGCTAACTTCTAGCGAGCTCCGCTATCTCTAGAGTGGCGGTATAAGCTATAGGAATATCCACCTCGAAGAGAGTACTAATATAGTAACGCTAGGGCAAGGTTTATAGGCGTAAGGTGTCGTTGATAGCTTCGATATATATAAAGTTTACGTTAGTTAAATAAGAGTATATTAATAGAGTAGAGTATTACCCTTAGAAAATATAGTCGCGATCCTCCGGAAGTATAGCTCTTATTCTAATTAGTATTTTAGCTATAGAATATAGGGGAATAACGACTTTAACGTCCGTATAGACTAGACACTCCTCCTAATAGTGCGGCTTAGAATAAATTATAATAGGGAAGGTTAGCCCTATATAAGATGCGATACGCGCTATACCTTGGCCTAGGTCTAGTCGAAATCCTTCCTACGCGAGGACGTCTATATTAATAAGAAGTTTCGTATTTAGTCCGTTAATAAGATACGCCTTAGCGGTGACCTTTGCGGCGTTATTATAGCTACGGAAGAAGATATCGAGGTTAATATAGGAGCTTAAAATATAATATAAGCCTATTCCTAAAATAGGAACTAGCTTTGTCGACTATAGCGAAAGTCTAAATATAAGCGCTAGATTAGAGTCGATAATCGTTATAATATATCTAGAGTCGAGATAAGCAACGAGTAAGTTAGTCTATATTTATAGTCCGACGACCGCTAATACGTAGCGCTATAGCTTATAAGCCTCGCCTAAAGGGCCTAAATAAGAACGGTTAGATTCGACGATAGGCAGAATCTAGGGGGGTCTATCTCTAGAGATCGCTAGGGATATAAAGTACGCTAAAGTGGCGTTATCTAGTGCCGTGGCACTTAGCTTATAGTTAAGTAGGTGCTAATAGAGCTTATTATTCGACGTAAAGTGCGTAAAGTAATAAAGATATAGAACTCTATTAGTCTTGAGTGTGGCGTAATAGTAGCTAGGGTTATCTTTAGGATTGCCGCCTCTATCCGCGAATTAAGCCTTAGAAGAGTCTGCCTCCTTAGGGTAGAAGGCTTCTTGGGCACTGTAGAAGGCTTCTTAGGCATCGTAGAAGGCTTAAGGGTTAGTGGAGAGCTAGTTAGCGTAAGAGCTATATATAGGGTTAAGGAAAACGTAAGCTTAATAAGCTTCTAGAGCTTGGATCTATAGTAGGCTTGTGCTAGGTGTCGTAGAGGGTGTCTTTAGATAGATATTAGTTTAGTAGGCTATTGCCTATTGTCTAGGCCTATTCTATTACTATCTAGGCTAAAAAGCTACCGAATTCTGGCTAGGAGCGTCTAAGTTAAATAGCTAGTTCGCTAATAGACGCTAACCCTACTAATTCTAATACTAACCTCCTTAACGTAGCTAAGTTAGTTATAGGGCGTTCTATAGAGCTAGTGGGGGAGCTTAGAGGAATTATGGTCGCTAGAACTATGACTGCTAAAACTATAACTACTAAAATAACTACTACTAGAATAGCTACTAGTATTAGGGATACTGTGGCTATAATAGAGGAAGCTAGGCTTAGTATCTATAAGGTGGAGGATAGCCTTAGTTTTGGAAACGGTTAGGAAAGGAATTGTTTCCTCTACCTATTAGTGTCTAAGTCTAATTCCACTATTACCTAAAGGGCTAGGTACAATTAGCTCGCTAGTTAGCTTAGGATTAGGGTTATAACTAGCGATTATTGGTTCTCTATTAAGTGATCGCGGTCTATTACTAGTATCTAGTCTCGAGGTCCTTAATAAAGGCTAATATAGAGGTAGTCGTCGAGGGTTCCGGAATATCGCGTTGTAGCGTAGGATCTAGTCTAAACTATATTGTGCGAAGTTATATAGTTATAGCGAGAGACGCGCCTTCGGCAAGCTCTATAGCCTATAAGTTTTGGAATAGATTTTACGCCTAGTCAACCACTAAGCGACCTATATAGATATTATCCTAGGAATAGTTAGTAGTTATGATTTTTTCCTACGCTATAGAAGCGTAGGTCTTGAAACGACGCTCGAGGCGCTAGAACTATTCGTTCTTAAGTGGTAGTATATTTAGCTCCGCCTATTCTAAATTAGAGAGTTTATTACACTACTATTTAAACGCTTTATCGCGTAAGTATCTAGAAATACTAGCGTATATCACTTCTTCGGTTTTAAGAGGTAGTAAAGCATAGAGAATATTTAGGAAGGAATAAACGTTAAGGTGGTATATAGTACCTTTAATGGTTTTGATGTGCTCGTTAGAGTTTAGGTTTAGTATAAAGTAACTAACTTCTTCTATCTTCTAGTTAATATAGAAGGAGGATATAGCTCTATTAGTACCTAGCTCGCCTAGGATGCCTAGAGGTCTAGGAGGGCCTAGGGGCCTTAGGGGTATATAAAGGTTCTAGATTACGTTAGCGACTATATTAGTAATTATTTATACGAATTCGCTATAGGTCTACGGAAGGCCGTCGTTGCTATTACTAGCTATAGCTCCCTCTAGAGTCTCTTATTAGTCCGAGAGGTTTCCTACTAAATATGATTGTAGCAATTTAAGAGAGGATAGTAGAGGCTCGGATAGGCTATCCCTATATTCCTAAAAGCTTAGTGGAAGTTCTATAACGCCCTAACGTGAACCCTAGATAGAGCTAGTGTTAGAGAATAGCCTAAGATTAAATAGATTCGCGTCTAGAGTGGATAGGCGAGGTTAAGGAGCTTTGGCGAGGTTCTATAGCGCGTCGTCGACCTAGGAAGCGGTTAGTTAGACGACTATAGTTAGAATAACGTCTAGAAAGGCTCTACGGAAGGTCGAATTAAAATTATAGATAGCTAATCGTAATTGACGATCCTTAAGGGCCTAATCTAGAGGGAATAGAAACTAGAAGGGAAGGGTGGGATAATCGAAATTCGCGAGAACGTATTAGATTCGTTGACGTACTTCTAACGCGTCTATAATCTCTAGACGTTAAGGGTTCGACTCTTCGGACCTATAGAGGTGTAACTAATATACTTAGAGGATAGCGGAATCAATGACTCTTCGTGACGGTATTAATGGGTGAGTGAAATGTTCTAGGAAGGGGAAAAATGGAAACGTAGACGTTATCTAACGTCTTCCCGTTTAAGTAGGAGCGGTGGTGGATACCGCTGCGCACCTTCCTTGCCGTATCGGAGGTTATATTGATCTCCGGAAACCGTTAAAGAAACGAATTGGTAGTCTAGCCGAGAGCGGAGAAACTGATGAAGGTGATGGAGGTGAAGTTGACGAGCTATAGCTCCGGAAACGATTCCGGGATCGGCTCTAATTGCAATGCAGTGGGGCTGCGGGCACTGCGGAAGCGACGCACGGTCTCGCCTACGCGTCGAGTGCTCGACGGAGGCGAGGTAAATCAAATCAAGAAGGCAAAAAAAACAACACCAAGAGGACTCACTGGCCATAATAGGACATACTACTAGTTGTTACGAAGAAAGAACTGAACGGAAGACTGAGGTCATGAATCGTAATGAATTCAACTATCTGGCTACGTCCGTAGACGAGAGAAGGGACCCCGGTCACCTGACCCGAGTCAGGGGCTCCGCAACACCAGTGCTCCCATAGAAGTATGTCTGGCGACATCAGTATATCTTAATTTCTTTTCAGAGGCTCTCCCTTTTTTCTCCGTAATGCGAAACTAAATGCGAATCTCTGGGAAAGGGAGTGACAAGATCACCCATTGATACCTGTCGATGAGCGCCCGATATTCTGCGTCGATAATATCTTTGCCCAAGCAGATGTTTGAAACCTATAAAACAAGAAGGGCATGATTATTAATGGCTATTTTAACCAATACATAGCAAGTAACTCTATCGAATTACAATCGCTCAAACTAGGCCCAAGCTAAGCAACCGATTTCCAAGTTCCAAAAAGTAATAGTCCGCATACACCAAGCCATGATCCCAATCCCGATCAGCGTGATTCTCGTTGAAATTAGCAGTGGATCTTTCCAAGATCGCGTCAAAGCGACGCTCAGTAACCCCTCCACATGCCTCGGCACGTATCTTGGAGCTTTCCTCGTCGAGAATCAACCTCATTTCTCCGCGGTTGTACGCAAGTGCAACGGTATCCTTGGCGATGGCCATAGCGTAATCCAAGTACCGCTTAGCAGAGTCATGATCGCCAATTCCCAGGAGCTGTCCGTACAGAACGACCATTCCATTTGCAGCAACCATTCCGGCAGAGACGTCTCTCAAGGGAGCTGACGCCCCATTGATAGTGGTGTAGGTGATGGGGGCATCGAAGTCCCATAGCGGAACGTAACGACCACGGCCGTCCTCTTCGACAATCTTGGGGGCAGACTCCAAGCGATATATGAAATAGTTGGCTAAGCCTTTCGCGGCATCCAGGAATTCGGGCTGCTTAGTCCAGGAAAATGTCTGGGCGTAGCCTAGAATCGCCCACGCTTGGCCTCGCGCCCAGGTCGAGCTGTCGGAATAACCCTGTGCAGTGAGCTTTCTCTTGACGTTTCCCGTTTGTGGAGAGAAATTGACCCCGTGGTAGGTAGAGTAACATGTCTCATTGTTCACCATCTTTTCTTTGCGAAGATGGCTGGTCAGGAGGGTAGTGGCGTGAGTGCTGGCGATTGAAAGAAGGCGGGCATTCCGTGTATAGCTGCCGGCATAGAAAAGGAGGTCAAGATCTAAAGTATCCAATAAGCACAAATTCTTCACGAAATGAGGGTTTCCTTTCGAATTACTTACTGCAGAGACTGTCAATGATCACCAAGAAATCATCGTCCATGCTCGTGATGTGGTGGTGCGCGTTTGAAAACCCGTCCCAGCTGCGGATGGCCTGGACTCGCTCGTCGTACCTGCTGGCAAGACTATCGGCCGCGGTAATGAGAGCATCCAAGCTCTTTTTATTGCCAAACAGTTCCCAATCTCTCCGCAGGGCAGGTTGGACAATGAAACCGAGATCGTGGGTGTCCTTACGGGCAGACATTGGGTACAATGGTGCGGCCCATTTGTGACACAGATTGCTGAGGTGTGAAATGAGGCTTTCCTGGAAAGTACTTGATCCCTCCGAGATATTCGAGATGTTGGAGATGCTTGTTCCCGGATACTTTCTCAGTCTTTCCAGGACACAGTAGAGACTGCCCGGGAAAAAGCCGCATGTCCAGAACTCTGCATCCCTACTTTTGTATTTCCCTTCATTTGGACCGGTTTGAGGTACTGTTTCGGGAAAACGTGTCGGAGGGTCCTGAAATATTGAGTGATTAGATAGGGAGAAAGAGCGGGAGTTTGTATGGCCTACATTATCTTCCAGGCACGCTTCAGCGGTGCCGATAAGCTTCGCGATGGTATTCTCGCTGAACAGTGGAGTCAGGTCTTCTCTGATGCGAGAGTTGGTATTGGATGTAACGGATGGCAAAGTTTCCGTGGTGACTTTCACGGCCAATTTCCCGTCATCGGGGCACGAGCTGACCGTTTGGAGGGCCATGATACCGATTGGTGGAGAAATGCAAGAATCGCCCGTGGACTTTGCAGCTGAATGAAACAAGGGAGACTTGAATCAATGCAGCAGGATAAATGGTCTTTCTTTAAAATCCCGACATATTTGCTTTCCGATTGTTTCGTGACCGACACCAAAGGTCTCGGGTGGATCCATCGCCCGATGCCCGAGCAGCGGGTAGCGGGTCTAGAGCAGGGAACATTCTGAATCTCACCTAGCCTCATTAACACTCAGCTATCAATGTATAAGGTAGGATCCAAAATAGTATTCAAATGAAGCTTATATGACTAGAGACTTTGTCTCGCTTATCAACGCATGAAAGAGTCTTGAAAGCTAATAATTCGATCCATATCCACATACTGCGGATCCAACAAGAAATTCGACAACGGTGCGAACCCGTCTACATTATCCCCATGTGGCGGGGCTGCATTTGTTGAAGGAAACAGCTCGTTGAAAGTCAAATCTGGTCTTTGCTGTAGATCCGGGGCCTGTGGCGCTAGCGCGTGGCGGGGTTGAATTACCCCAGACTGTGCGGTCGCGTGCTCCTCATGCATTACTCTTCCGCTATGCATAGATCCCGATGAAGGAGTGTGAAACCTGCAAGTTCCCCAAGTTAGCTGGTAGTATAACAGATGAATGGGAAACGTACGTGTGGCTGAAAGGACTTTGGTGATCAGATCCAGTCCTCAATCCGTTCGTATCAAGGTAGTGGGATTGCCTCGCTCCCACTGGGATGATACTATGACGCTGTTGTGCCCTACGCTCCGCTAGCCATTGGCTTTCACCTGGACTAGTGGCTGGTGGCTGAGCGCCTAGTGCACGGTTTACCTCCGTAACATAATCCGAAGCCGTTATATTAAAGGATGGAGAATCCATTGCTCCTTGGAGGGTTTGGAGTTGGCTGGAAAGACCTTGGGCAAAGTCCATTGCTTCGGAATTTAGTTTCAGGCTCGGATTCATTGAAACCCAGCGGGAAGACATTTGCTGGAGACTGGATAGCAGAACATGGTAGGCGTCTGGAATTTCGGTGCGGTGAGTGTGCGAGTGTACTAGCAATCCATGCGTTAGTAAAATATCCTCTGATGATTTGATGTATGCCAGAGAAAGTCTCACTTAGCATAACGCGAGCACTCAGGTAGGTGCAAAAAGAGAATTGATGGTTGACCAAGCCAACGAACGGTGTATACTGTAGGTATTTCTGGACGATGTTTGCCGTCTCCGATGCTGCCAGTTGGCAAGTCTCAGCACTCGCCGTGCTTGCAAGCTTGACTTTCTCCAGAATAATCGTACGTGGGTACGCAATACTCTGATGCAGCAAAATCATGGATGTATTATGAGTGATGTGAGCTAAAGTCAGATTAGGATCCATATGCACAAAGGCTGGTTCCTTGGAGATATTCGAGTCCTTCCAACGTCGAGGAAGAAACATCTTCCAACTAAGCGCTGTTAGCTCTTTGAGGATCCAAGAAATTTGGTATCTGACTTACTGAATGAGTTGGAGATCCAACTCCTTGAAACGCGTTAACCAAGCGCTGAATTCCTGTCTGCTTTGGAAATTGACAGGTCGTTGGAGGAAGAACTTCACAACGCGGTTAAGAGACTCTGTAGCTTCAACGCAATAGGCAAAAGATCCAATAGTCGACACATCCACTGATCGACTTTCGGGCGCGCGGCCATCGGGAGAGACACGCTCGGATGTCGGTGCCATAGCTGTGGTTTGCTTCTCCTTATCTGCAAGAGAGGTGAAGTGACTGGGGAGGAAAGATACGGATTTGCCTATCCTTCCCAGTGATGCGTCCCATATATTGAAGAAAGGGGTAGTAACTGGCTCTTCTTTGACCCAGTACAGACCGTCGCTGGGAAGTCGGACTTGAACATCTTCGCTGGACAGGTTCATGTTCCAACTTTGGTAGGATATGTTAGTCTCAGCCCTCAGCATTTCAAAGAATCCCACGTACCCTGTGACGGTTGAACAAAACCTGTCAAGCAGAAACACATTCCAGAACACTCGCCGTCGTTCCTCTGTTTCCGTCCACACTCGGGCAGGTGGTAAGGAGAATAATGGATTGAGCGACACTTCCCCCCTCTCGGTCTCTTCTGCCTCGGTATGAAGGCGTAGGTAGACAACCGCCCGAGTAAGTGTCCCGATAATGGGCCACGCTTTGTTCGCCTCTCCGTCGCCGATATGCACGAAGGCCATTATTACGAGTGCTTGGAGATTCTCTACAGATAGCCCATCCATTCCCGAGAGAACTACAAACTCTCGTGATCTTTGCAAAGCATCCGGGTCTCGTTCAAGCCACTCCACTGCCAATCGTTCGTTTGCGACATAACGCAGGGCACATACCATCATGGCATGAAGAACGACAATCAGCTTTGGCCTCTCATTTGGGTCCCGTAGACGGGATCGAAAGAGCATCTCGTGGATGATCGGGATGAATGGATGGACTACGGAGAAGTAAGCATCAAGAACCGCATTGACCAGATCATCTGGAGGGTTCTGGGCAGGTGGAATGCTCCTCTCTCGGCGGCCCTGGTTTGGACGCCGTCTTTTGTTAGACGGTTGATTGTTTGATTCCACCGTGACCGAGTCTCCTGGGGGTAAATCATCATCACTCTCCATTGTCCGACTGACGGAGAGCCGCCGAGGCCGGTTCAGGGACGGGCGATTCTGTACCCATTCCTCCATTAAGGAGGATACCAAACCTCGGATGGCACCTGCATCATGACCCACACTGGCTGGATTCGGAATATTGGTATTATTCTGCTGAAGAGCTCTCACGGCCTCAAGTTCAGCTTCGAGTAGCTCTGTATTATTCTGTTGGCCAACTGTGTAGGTGTTGAATACTATTTGTCCAGATAACCACGCACCTACTCGTTGGGTCAATGTTTGGATAATGCCAATCTTCACGCCTGGTTTGTTCCGTGTATAGTCATAGTGGCATTCAACTCCTACAACCTGGTTAGCCTCGGTCTCCTTTCGAGCCAGTGAGTGGAGACTTGCCTAGACGGCTGCAACGGCTGCAAGAGGGAAGCTCTCTGGAGCAGCGCAGCTTTCGGCTTCGGCACGTCTGGCATGCAGGAGTCTCTGCTTCAGCCCCCTGTTGCTCCGAGGGGTCTCGGGCATCGGAGGATTCCATAATGAACATAATCCCTGTCGGACAACGGAGAAAAGCAATTGTTAATTTAAGGGGACCGAGCCCGAGGGGGAGTGGGGGTCGCGATCACACCCAAATCTGGGGAAGTGGAGTCGGCGAAACAAGCGATGCTACTCTGCCATCGGACGAAGAGGTACCCCGACATCCTGGCCCCTGACTATCCATGATACGTGGGTATAGATCGTATCCACGGTAGCGTGTGCCGCTAGCACTTTCCACTATCGGCACTATGGCGCCATCGTCTTCACTTTTCTTTGTTATTACGACCTCGAACCAAATTTGATTTCACACGCGTCAGCCAGATATTCCAAACCTGAAAATATGCCACCACTTCGCGGTTTTTCGGATAACAGGTTTCGCGACCGAAAAGATGCACTCACAGCGACGAATGCTCTCATCCATGCACTCGAACCTTACTTCTCACCCGGAAATGCACGCGTCCAACTACCAGTTTACTCCGGAGCCCACTTTGATGAAATAGCCGCGCAGTTGGAAGGATTCGCTCGACCGATTTGGGCCGTAGCGGCAGCGGTGGCGAAATCCTCAAACATTCTTGATTCGGGGATCTTTTCCTACGCTGAGCGGCTAGTTGAAGGGCTTGTAAATGGAGTAAATCCAAATCATCCCGAATATTGGGGTGCGATAGGGGACTGGGACCAACGGATGGTGGAAGCCGAGCCAATATCTTTTGCGCTGCTGATAGCACCGAAGACGTTCTATGACCCATTGTCGGATCAAAGTCGCTCACATTTAACTCAATGGCTATCTGGACTCAACGGCAAGGTAATGCCGATAAATAATTGGCGCTGGTTCCGGGTATTTTCCAATCTCGCTCTTAGCCGAGTATGCGGAGTGCCTTATGAAGACGTCAAAGCCTATATCGAAGCCGATTTCACCGTCCTTGAGCAATTTGAACTGGGCGATGGCTGGTCGGCGGATGGAATCTGGAGAAAAGATGATGTTTCCGGTCATGAGTCTTACAGTCGACAGGCAGATTATTACTCCGGAAGCTTCGCCCTTCAGTTCAGTCAATTGCTTTACTGTATCGTCGCGGAAGATTCCGATCCGGAGCGTGTCTCTCGATACAGACAGCAGGCGAGGGAGTTTGCAAGTCAATTCTGGCGCTTTATCGATGAGGATGGTGCTGCCATTCCCTTCGGGCGCTCGTTGACTTATCGATTCGCCATGGGTGCATTCTATGCAACGTTTGCCCTGGCCAAATGCTACGATCCTTCGAACCGCTACACAACTGCAGGATTTACCAAGGGGATGCTTCTGCGACATCTCCGGTGGTGGGCGTCACATTCGGCGGATATGTTTGCGGCGGACGGTACCTTGACCATTGGATATCTGTACCCGAATATGTTCATGTGCGAAGATTACAACTCGCCTCAGTCTCCATATTGGGCCATGAAGTCGTTCGTGGTTCTGGCATTAGAGGCAGATGATGAATTTTGGACTGCAGCCGAAATACCACATCCTCTTTCCACCTCGAGCGAGGATTCGGCGGTTTCTGGGGTTGAGCTGGTGCCTGCGCCGTCTCAAATCCTCTGCAATCATCCTCGAGGTCAACATCATTTCATGCTCTCTGGAGGTCAGTTTTGTGCGTGGCCTCTTAAAGCCACGCAAGCCAAGTACAGCAAGTTTGCGTACTCTTCAGCTTTCGGATTCAGTGTCCCGACGGGAGAATTATTGACGCAGCTTGCTCCGGACAACACCCTTTTCGTTAGCCGAGATGACGGAGAAACTTGGGCTACGCGATGGGAGACGATTGGCAATCCTCGGGTCAAATCTCTTTCATTCCACGGCACGGAGGTACAGTGCCTTCAAAGCACTTGGAAGCCTTGGAAAGCAGGTGGTATCGAAATCATGACTACGCTTATTCCACCGTGTAATGAATGGCCAGACTGGCATATTCGAGTTCATCGCATCCGGTGCACCAAGCGTGATTCCGGTCATTCACGACTCAGTCTTGTCGAGGGTGGGTTTGCAATTCAGGCAAAACAACCTCGCCGAATGTGTACTCTCAACGGGGACTGGGCCAATACGTCTGAACACGGTGGAACACTTGAAACTAGTCTCAGCTCCATCTCACTTGGTGTCGCTGGCGTTAGTGGTGCGAGGAATCTTCTCGATCCAGAGGGAACGGTCGAGGGCAAGATTCTGAAGTCGGATCCAAACACGAACTTGATTGAGCCGAGAGCACTTATCCCGATTATCAAACATACGATCGAGTTTGCGCCTGGGGAGGAGAAGACTATTGCTACTGGGGTGTTCGCCATTGCTGGTCGAAACAAAGTCCTCACTCGAGAGGAGATGTGCCGAAGATGGTCTCGGCATCCTCATTTGACGGCGGAAATGTTGAATGGATTACAGTAGACGATAATAAGCCGTAAACTCAAGAACCCATGATAAAGTCCTCTCGGTCATAATCAGTGTCCCGTAAATTTTGTTACCTCGGGTTTCGATGGATGATGCGTATTGCGGGCTTTCCATACAAGTCACGCTATGAAGAATTAATTAAAATCAAGGTCCAAACGTAAGAGTTGAACCAAGAAAACCACTGAAAGTCAATTGCCAGAATCAAGTTCCTCGTCGGCGGATTCCTTCGCCCGAGCGACGGAGGATTCCCCGCCCGACACGCTAGCGTTAGGGTTGATTAAATTGAGAAACACGACTATCGGTTGACCGCGTGATAGGAGAACGCTACAATGCAATGGCGTTTCCCCAGATTCTCCGCCATTTCAAATGGAATAAATAGTCAAGCCCCGGAACTTCGATGGAATTGTTGATCGACCTCACGACCATTGACCATCTTTTCTAGAAGATCACCCCTCGGCATCACAATGGGGTTGCATTCTTCTGATCAGCTACAGGACGCAAAGATGCCATTGGAGAAGACCTCAAGTCATGATGAGGGTCTGCCGTCCCGGCAAGCCTTGATTGAGGCTCTTCAAGCCCAGAAACCCGATCCATGGTCGCCCAATCTGAGAAAGCTGTATGGCTTCTGTGTCATTGCTTTCCTTTGCTCGACGATGAATGGTGAGTTTTTTGATGACCCAGACCCAGTCACTCTTGCTGTAGTTGGCTAAGATAGTTCCAGGATACGACGGGTCTATTTTCGGATCCCTACCTGCTCTGGATTCCTTCCGTGATCAGTTCGGAGTCGAGAAAAATGGAGCCAAGATCGGTTACATTTCAGCCATGTACACAGTTGGTGCCATCTGCTCCTTGCCTTTCAGCGGACCCTGCTGTGATATCAAAGGCCGCAGATTGGGTACATTCATCGGCTGCGTGATCGTTGTCGCCTCTACTTTTGTTTCTGCGCTCTCGCACGGTGTACCGCAGTTCGTTGCCGGCCGTTTCTTCCTCGGGTTCGGAGTCAACATCATTCGATCAACCAGCTCCATCTGGTGTGCAGAGGTCTGCCCGCCTGCATACCGTGGAATCATCATGGCATTCTACAACTGCACGTACGCTGTCGGAGCGCTCATCGCTGCAGGCGTCACGAGAGGCTCGGTCGGATACGGAGGCAACAAGGCGTGGCAGATTCCTCTGTGGTGCCAAATGATCTGTCCCGGAATTGTCCTTCTGACCGTGCTTTTCTTCCCCGAGTCGCCACGCTGGCTATTCTCGCATGGCCAGGAAGAAAAGGCCTTGGAATTCCTGGCTAAGTATCACGGCGAAGGAAACCCGGACCACCCACTCGTCCAGCTCCAGATGCAAGAATATCGGGAATTCATCTCACTCTCGGGCTCAGACAAGCGCTGGTGGGATTTCAGCGACTTCTACAAAACCAAAGCAGGAAGATGGCGATTCCTCAACGCTTTAATCACCGGAATCTGGGGCCAATGTTCAGGCAACGCCGTTGTCACGTATTACCTTCCAGCCATGCTGCTCACAACCGGTATCACCGGCTCCGATCAGGTGCTGAATGTCAACCTCGGCTACACCGTTGTCTCTACCGTCGCCTCTTACCTAGGTGCTAGCCAGATTCAGAGAATGGGCCGTCGACCGACTATCATCTGGACCGCAGTTGCCTGTTCGATCTGTTTCGCATGTATCACTATCGGGACTGGCCTTTACGCCCATACACATGAGACATCGGCTGCCTCGGCAGGCATCGCGTTCATCTTCATTTTCGGCTTCTGCTACAATTTCGGAATGACTCCCCTGCAAGCGCTGTATCCGGTCGAGGCTCTTTCTTATGAAACACGAGGCAAGGGTGTTGGTTTGACCTTCTCCATTGCGCACGGATTCACCCTTCTTAATCAGTTTTGTTTCCCGGTGGCTCTCAAGAGAATCGGCTGGTATACCTATATCGTGTTCATTGTTTGGGATCTGTTTGAGGCGAGCGTGAGTTACTTCGTCTCCGTCGAGACTAAGAACCATACGCTGGAAGAGCTCTCCGAGATCTTCGAGAGTCCAAACCCCGTCAAGGCTTCTTTGCAGAAGCCATTATCTGCAGACTCTGAACGTTGAACTGGTGGGTATCGATTATTGAGTATGTACAGGTATATATTCAAAAGCGATCAATGTACATGAATATCGCCGAGCATTCGGTTTTAAATAATGGTGGCTTGCGTGTCAATTGTAAAATTCGTTGAGTCGTCAGAGTTGTTCTTGTGGCGGCTGCCAGCGGAATCTCAGGATATCTTCATGTCCCGTATCGGTTTCGAGCATAGACTAGTTTACCAATTGGCACACTTGAAGGATAAAAGTTCTGGGGCCCTAGGTTCCATCCCTGCTCCGTATCCTGGCCATTGACTTCCATTTCAGTGTCCGGAACCCCATGAGTCTCGGGATTCATCGGTATATCTGTATCGAAGGCAGAACCTCTGATATCGGTGTCTTGGTAGAGTCGTTGATAAGTACACGGTCGTCCGCGGTGGATGCATTCAGAGCAGGGAATTTCCCTGTTACATGCTTTTCTGATGCTTGCACAGCTATCGCATGCTTGCTTGTGTTTTCCTCCGCGATTGCTCTCGGGTATTTCTTGCCCTTGTTCTTGACGGACTTTGCATGATTTCCAGTGCCTTCGTAATACATCCCTAAGATCTGTGTTAGAGGTATCGTGCAGCTACAATGTGCACGGTTCAGGTCACTCACCCTCGGCTGAATAGAGCGCCACAGAAGGGGCAGATATGGCTCCTCTCTGTATTATCTGGAGAAACTCAGCCCAGTTCATTACATAGTAAAGGATCCAGAATTATGCATACGGATTAATGAATGACGTCTCAAGTGATCCAGCCGGGCAAAGGCGGACGCGCACTGGTCGCACTTCCACCGGCGTTCATCCGGCGGTGAAAGCTCCATCGAGACGTGGGCTAAGCTGCTAGGCCGTTTCCAGCAAAGGCAGGCGAGTGGGAAGCGGCGATAGTCCAAGATTATCAATCCGCGGACGTGATTCGCTTGAGAGGAAATGGCGGGTCGAATTAGAATTGCGCTGACGCGAGAGACAAGTTCTAGAAAGCGTGCGGGTGAATCCCGCCAGTGGTGTTCGGCGTCGGCGTCGGTGGCCCTCCGCTCCACGTGAGACGCAGTCTTTCGGAGATGATGATGATCACGTACGGATGCGGTATCCAGCCCGTAGTTGAAGGTGGCGTGGATGCCGTATTTGATGAAGATGAAGCGAAGAAGGAGAGTTGAGAGTCACCGATCGACCCGGATCCGCCGCTGACCCGTCGCGATTCCTCCACATTCACTGGGAGTCGCCTTAACTCGGCTCTTGAACAACCAAGGACGGAGATGTGCTGAAGTTCACGAGGCTTGTACATGGCATTATAATATGGATCGAAAAGGTTAAACCACAATATATAAAGAGGGCAAGAGCCACTCTCCGTCACCTCAAATTCGGAACTGTCCAAGTTCAGGCTTATCCACGTCAAAGCCTGTTTGTATGAAACTACCAAACCAATGCCTTCTCTAGCATCTCTATCCAACGGTGCTGTCGCCAGTAACGCTAAGAGTGCTGAACAGCCCTGGAACAACTGGCCAAATGATATCGGAGTATGCCATCGCCTCCCCTGCATGTCAAAACACGCTAACACCGCTTTAGTTCGATCCGGAATATGAAGAACACACCCCTGTTGAACTCTCCGTGACAGGAACCATTCCATCATATGCCGCTGGCACCTTATACCGCACGGGTCCAGGCAAAAGCCAGGTCGAGACGAAAGATGGCCAACTCTTCCAGCTTTCTCACTGGTTTGACGGATTCAGTCAAACGCACCGTTTCCAGATCCTTGCGTCAGAGGACTCGACTCGCGTTCTTTACAACTCTCGATTCTCCACCGACGCTCTAGTCGAGTACGTTCGGACAACGGGTGCTATTCACAAATTTGGCTTCGGGCAAAAACGCGACCCCTGCAAGTCTGTCTTCAACAAGGTCCAAACCGAATATGTTCCTCCCAGCGGGCCTGACTCTCTGAATATCGGTGTCACCCTTTCGGTCAATATGCCCGGTCTGGACCATCAATCGGATGGGTCGACCGACCGATGGGCGAACGGTATCCGGACTCTGTACGCGAAGACGGACCGCAATGGATTCAAGAAACTTGACCCGGAGACTCTGGAGCCTATTGGCCTTGCAACCCAGGAATCCTTGCACCCGGATCTGACCGGTCCACTGGCGGCATCGCATGCCCGCTCCGATCCTGTGACGGGTGATATGTACAACTTCAACCTCACCATCGGACCAGAGTCGACATATCGTGTATTTGGTGTTTCGGCTTCGACTGGGAAGACAACAATCCTCGCCACCTTCCCCGGCGTTCCCGCCTACCTGCACTCCCTGTTCATTACTGAGGACTATGTGCTTCTCTGCTTGTGGAACTCGCACATTAACCCTTTGGAACTGCATGATGGCTCCTTCATGGACTCCATCATGCCCACGGACCCGTCCAAGCCGGCGAAATGGTATGTCATCGACCGCAAAAATGGAAAAGGACTCGTTGCAACCTACGACAGTCCTGCATTCTTCTGCTTCCACACGATAAACGCTTGGCAGGAGCCGTCAAAGGAAGATCCTACCAAGACAGACATTGTTGCCGATCTCGTGCGCATGGACAGCACCGAGTTCCTTAAGTATCTCTACTACGAGAACCTCAAGTCCTCTCTTCCCACTGCTAAGCAGGTTGCTGCGAACCGAGGCGAAGTGCTGCGGTCAACCATCACGCGCTTCCGTCTCCCGGCCCTGCCTTCTGTGCCCAGCTCGCAAACTCTGGAAGCCACGGTCGAATGGTCCGCTTGCAAAGCTTTATCACCCGAGCTCCCAACAATGAACCCGGCTCTCGTCACGAAGAAGTATCGCTTCGCGTACGCTACTACTTTCCGCGGCGAGGCAACCCTCACAGACGGCATCATGAAATTTGACTGCGATACGCAGGAAACGAGTCTGTGGGCGCGCCATGGCCACTCGCCTGGCGAGCCGATCTTTGTCGCAAACCCAAATGGTAAAAGTGAAGATGATGGAGTTCTTCTCAGTGTGGTGCTCGATGGCTTGCGAGGCTACAGCTACCTGCTCTGTCTTGATGCTCGCAACTTGACTGAGCTGGGCAGGGCTGAGGTCAAGGGCGTTGTTGGGTTTGGCTTCCATGGGCAGCATGTTCCTGTTGTTGGAATCCCCACTGGAGATTGGTAGACGAGATCGAATGCAAGTTTCGGGGATTGTTTCAGTCTGATTATTGCATGTACTCCTCTGCGTTCGAGTGATATCGTTGATTAGTATATGTCACCCTTTGATCAGGTATTACATACGTAGGTGCATGCAGTAAATAGATGTGCCACCGGTTTCCCTTCTATTACCTTACCCTTTTCGGTAACAAGATTGCAGCTTGGTGATGCCAAGCCATTGTATACGCTTCCGCCGTTGTTTGGGACCCATAGTTGTGGCGCCCTGCGGATGACACCGGTGGACCCTTAGAAGCAACTTCCGCCTTTTAATCTCTCAACTAGATTCCAATCCAGTCCCAACCATCTCCCTTCGTCACTTTCTGCCATTGTAATTCATCCCAATCAACACTCCTACACAATGGCCACCGGCGGAACAGACCTATCGGTCCTCCTAGCGACCATGCAGCCCTCGCTGGACCCCACAACCTACGTCTTCATCAACACAATCGAGCCACTCACGTCTCTTCCACTGGCAACTCTCCAGCCCCAACTCATCGCCCAAGAGGCCGAGGGTACAACCATCGTGACCACCGAAGGACTGGCCACATCGCACGGCTACAAGGAAATCGTCTTCCCGTGCAAGAAGATCTCCCTCGCCGTGCACTCCAGTCTCGAGGCGATCGGCCTGATAGCGGCCATCACGAACCGCCTCAAGGATCACCAGATCAGCACGAACGTGGTGAGTGGGTTCTTCCATGACCATATCTACGTTCCAGCGGGACGGGCGGAGGACGCAATGCGAGTTCTGGTGGATTTAGCGACAGAGGCAAAACAGCAATAGTATCTCTATCAGGAAAAGAATTGAAAAACTTCACAGGTTTCTATAGCTATGAAAGAGTCGAAACTAGAATTCCAGGCCTCTGGGCCCATTCATCTCCGCTACTCCAAAACCTATGGTACACATACATCTTCGAGGAGACATGAAACAAAACGTAAGCAGAAGCACGCGCCGAAAAAGCCCAGAAACGACAATGACAGGGTGCAAAAAATATCGAGGGGTCATGTCTCTCTATCTTCAATCTTCAACCAGAGACGCCAGAAAGATAAGAATCGCCGACCCCGAATCCTGGAAGAACTCCGCTGTGCTTTTTGCGTGCAGGCTGGCGCGCGCCTGCAAATTACAGATGACAATAGCCGCCAACCACGAGTCTCTTGCGTTGTATATCTGATAGCAGGGGCAAGACAAGAGGATGAGGTAGGGCAGACTGGGTATTAGTTGTACAAAGACACCGATGCTCAAAAGAAAAAAGACAGAACCGAACTGCAAACGGCGATCAATAGTCGTCTTCCTTCTCAATAACCATGATCAACTCGGTCAACTCTTTTCGCAGTGCACGATTTCGATCCCAGACCTCCACGATCTTGGGACGCTGGCTCACGAAGCATGCCTTCTTCCAGGACAGACTGCCGCACTTGGGGGCGTTCCGGTGGGGAAGACCGCGTGCGATGTTGCGCAGGACCAACGCGGCCTTGTAGGCCACACCTATGGGCTCGCCTTTTTCGTTGATCGGAGTGTCCATGTAGTACCATTTGCGGACGATGCGCTCCTGGAGGATAGCACGCTTGGTGCTTGGAGGCGGTGCATCCGCAGGTCGGTTCTCGGGCAGGTGGGAAGAGACGTGGCCCGCAATCATGGCAGTGTTGGCACTAGGTCCGGAAGCCCGGAATCGCGTGCAGTTGCTCCACTGGCAGGTATGAATGGGGGTCTCGGCGGGTTCTGTCTTGAATTGGCCCGGTGTATCTGAGGGCTCCAGGTTCATGTGATCCGTGAAGACGTGTTTGCGAAGGTCGTTGGGAGATGTGAAAGCGCGGAAGCACATCTTCGACGCCTTGGAGTTGTCAGCCCACCTGCAATAGCAATAAGGGAAGCCATCAAAGGTATAAGCGGTTTCAAGAGGGCGGATGCCCTTGATAATAAACTTGGTTGCAGTTCCGGGGCCGTTGATAACCTGGGCTTGAGCATTGGTGAACGTGTTGCTGACGTTCTTGATGAACTCCGCAGCAGGGAGTACTCCACCGCCGGGGACACGTTGGTCTGCAAACCGGCTCTGGTAGGCTTGCCACAGGGCAATTTGTGTGATCTCACACTCTGCATCCTCGACAAAGCAGCAGCGAAGCCACTGCGAGCTACGCTCCGGTTCTGACAGTTCCATCAGCTTCTCCAAGAGCTCCGGTGGCACTCGTGGAATCTCGGATGGTGGAGGAGCGACTTTCTCTTCTTGAAGAACAGTTTCTTTCTTAGTCGGTCGGGCTTCATAGGTGAGAAGTGCGATCATGCGAGGAACAAAGACAATCGGGAAGTTGATGACATCCATGAGGGTCTCAATGTTGTCATGACTGAGAGTGTATTGGTACCAAATATCGAGCGCGCCGCTCAGGATGTCCTTGTCGAGGTCCAATAGCGTGTGGTAATATAACTGTTGCAAAGTAGGCTTCGAAAGGCTTTCCATGGCTCGGGTGCCATCGTCGTCGGGGAGCTCTGTAGAGAAGTGCGTCAAGGCCCAGAGCGCTCGCACAATGCGGGCGCGATCAGTTGAATCCAAACAGTTGACAAGGGAGATCCAAAGAGGATCTTGAGGATCTGTTCTCATGAACTTGGTCACTTCTTCCGCAATGTCCAGCGCATCGTTCTTGATCTCATTGAATCGAGGCTGGTTCGGCGTGTTCATGAGGATGACCAAAAAGTCTCGGAGGAGACCACTTGCGTAACGCGAGACGTAAAACGCATTCTCCTTCAGCAACACCATATTTCGCAATACTAGAGTCGCCTCCTTGATATTCCGGATCTGGTGGTTGAACTCGTAAGTTTCGAGGGTGTCAGTTGGAAGGTTTGTCGGGACCTGTCGGATTCTCTCGAGGATATCCCGCGTTCCGTGAAGTGAGTTCAACACATTGACCCGGTCAGTAAGATTTCGGGGGTCATATTCAAACTCCCATCGCACACCAGTGCAAAGGTATGTAACGTCCAGTGCCTTTTGCATGAGGATTTCGGCAAGCAATGGGAAGCCCTCGAACTTGAACTTGTCCCACCTCTGGTTGGAGATCTGGACGAGATGGTATAGAGCAAAGTCGACCTCGTCTGGAATGCCTGACTGGAGGCCATAGTGCGCACGTTTATAGATGTGGTCCGCTGCAAGAAAAAACATTAACACTTTGATCTGTGTTGGATTCAGCAGACGCTACTTACTGCGTGGAACCTCGAGAAACTTCAAAGGAAAGTAGGGATCATAAAAGTCAGGCTGCCTGGCCGTCTTATTCCGATCATAGAGATTGGCAAAGAGGGTCGGTCGGTTTCCTGGTGTCGGCACCTCCCGCGTTGACATCGGCAATTGTGTCTGGGCTTTTCCATCCCAACTTTCGACGGCGAAACTTGCGCTGTGTGGATTGGCCGCTGGGTTGAGGCTCATATGTGGGGACATGGACGGAGGCGGAGATGTGAAATGATGATGCGATCGGCGAGAAGGGGCTGTGTCGGGGATGAAGGGTTGGTTAACTTTGGGCGCCTGGCGCAAGCCCTCTGTTGTCATGTTAGTGCGGTTCGCCTCGAGTCTCTGGAAAGGGGACTTACGTCGAAGGGACGTTCTTTGGGGAGTAGAGCCGGACATGATGGCATTCAAAACACGATGACTAGGACGGTGATAGCCACAGCGTTCGAGATGTGCGCTGTGAAATCTCCCTTGCCAATCAAATTTTCTACGGCCGGTTCGATATTGACACCAGTCGCAACGTTCGTCTCTGCTTGGGAATAGCAGCCCACTAATGAAGATTTCAACGAGGGGTCAATGCCCTTGAAACGGCGTCTGCGAAAATGGGGCGGCGAAGGTGGCAGGTCGCAGGGACTCGGTCGTGATTCTCGCCCTCCAAACTCGTCAAAAAAAATGGCGAGCTAGTATCTCGAGCGTACTGGCCCTTGTGTCGCGTCCAGCAGCTGTGGTCGTTGGCGACAGAGTTGAAATTGTCGGCGCGTTCGAGGCCAAGGCTGGGATGCGCAGCGATGCAGAATCCGATCCGATGGGTGACTGGTCGAATTGAAGGGGACGTGTGGGTTGGCGCAGATAGCACAATCTCAGGCGACTGGAGCCAAGTAGCGGAGAGCCTTCAATGAGGTGTTTGTGGCCCTGGAGGGCTGTGGGAGAAGCTGTGCTTGCGATCAACGGAACTGATCAGCCAAAAGTCCGCGCTTTCTCCAGGGCGCGTTTCCGGCTGATTGTTGTTCCGGTCCGAGGATCGCCGCGCTATCCCCTTTCTGGGGTTGATGCCTCAGTATCACAACTATATCCTCAACATATCTAGATCGCATTTTGAGTGGACGACTTGCGTGACAGGTTGACCTTCAGAGTATACTTCATTATTTCCAATTGCCAAGTGCAGAAACTTTCCCAAATGAGAACTGTTCATGTCTCCATTGTCGGAAACAAGAGGATTAGACCTGGCCTATTGAGAAAGTTTCCAAGTCTGGAATTAGAAATAACAATTCCATAAATACTTAGCAGACCAGCACTGTAATTTGATGCAACAGGTATTTCGGGAGTGGGAGTAATAGTCTATACGAGCCGTGTATTGACGCGGAGCAGGTGCCCTCTCCCATCTTCATCCTCTATTTTCATGTCTTCTCCACAGATGCGCAGTCGTTGCGGGCTTTGCTGTCTGGCTTGAGAGAACCAATTTTGCTACACTCTTGAGAAGTATTTGGTGGTTCACGATGTCTTCGGTCCCCAAACAGCAGATTGCCTCCCAGGTGGCCCGGCTCCCACTGGTCAAATTCTCCCATACAACCACCTCTATCGACCACAGTGGTCCATTGTCCTGGATCCATATCAATGGCCACGGGGGCCTTGTTTGTCTGTTAGACAAGTTTTCTGGGAGCCCCTCGACACCATCAAGGCTGATCCTGCGAGTTCTGAACAATCATGGGATTCTGGTATGCTCGCTACCCGTTACTTATCAATTGAACTCCCACGCTGAGATTCAATCCAGGAGCAATTTGACCTGGAGCACTTCGTACGAATTTTCTCCACTTATCCGCAATCAGTCTCGAACCAATCACTCTCTAAACCAACGTTTGCCGTAGTGGTCAAGTCGCCTTGTCTCGCAGTGAAATACGCACAGAGTCAAACTCACGTACGCACAGCTTATGATATCCACGCAATGGGTTTTCCCTTCTAACATCTGATGTCTATGTATAGGTCCGTCGATTCCAACTCAAGTTCTTTCAGGACCGGGACTACTATACAGCACTTGCCATTTTGAGTGAGATCAACTGCCCATTGACAGAAGGAAGTGCATCCACACAGACACTGCAGAGACCACCCTCAACTTGTTCATGGACGTCGGTCCCCTCCGTCCAATTGTCAACTGTCAACTTGAAAGATGTGAACAATGCGATGACTCCGGACAGCAATGCCCCCGGCCCCTTCCACTCCATGGCCGGATATGAGCCCGGCCTACACAGAAACTCAAGCCAGGGCTCTAATGCCACTTCTGTCCAAGAAAACACGAGGCACATTGAATCAGAGTCTCAGTATCTGGAGCAGGGAAGAGCCAGCAGCCGACCTGTCCCCTCGCCGGCTTACCACGACGAGGGTCAACTCAATCGGATGTTGCCACCCAGACGAGAACTGCCCTTCTCAAAGACAGGGAAGAGAAAATCCCGAGCCGACTTCAGCTCAAATGAGACGGCTTCGAAGCAAGTCCTTCCGCAATCCTCAGCTGAGCAGCCAACGAATGCAGCCGGGTCTCAGCGACTGGACTCATTGAACGAGAACAACGCGCCCTCGCGCCAAGATTCATACATCCCCGACTCACAGCCCCAATCCCAACCTCTGGTTTCAACCCAGCCAGATCCTACGCGGAAATCACCTGAACTCCCAAATATCCAGCCATATCCCGCCGCACCAAATGAACAACCCCGTAGAACAATGGTCCAAATCGGATCGCCCGAGTTTCCCCGCGCTGATTACAATGGTGATACTACTCAGCTAGTGCAGACACAGGAGTATATTCCCGCTTGCCCAGCTACATCTGTCGAGGACCGGCTTGAGCAGTATATTGCCTCTCCAAGTGCAGAGCGGATTGCCTTCTTGGAGAACTGGATGTGCGAACTGATTGATGACGATAAGTTCCTTGCTCTGTGTCAAGATGTTGAGGGGACATGGAGGCGCTTTGCGTTTGGGAAGAAGAGATAGGAGCGTGAAATGCCGATTTTTACTGAATGGAACGGGATACTTGCGGGTGAACCTATACTTATGATGGGAAGAACACAGGCAGCCCGAAGAAGGCTATTAACTAGCATGCAGGTTATATATATATAGGTTACCTTGGAATATGGTTATAATCAATGATACAAGTTTCGATTGAGTATTTTTGCATCGAGAAAATGAAATACAAGCGGCAAACATCAGCCTACACATTATACCGTACCCCAAGATACTCAGGCAAGACACGCAAATATTAAAAAAGGTTTTCTGAAGCGAAAACCGAAAGAGGGAAGGCAAAGAAGAGAATGGGTTTATAAGACCCTGCAGGGTAAAGAGGGGCGAGGGGCTTTTTGCAGAAAAGACTTGACTCCAACACAGCAAGCAGAAAGTTCATCGTACGAGAGGATCTTAGCGATTGCGGCGGTAGATCAGGCCTGAGAACACGTTGAGATATCCCTCTTTCGTAAGCATGGTGAAGTCAACGACAACACGGCCAACTCCGCCCTGCGACTGTGCCAGCTGCGGTGCGAGGTTGGGAGATGTCTCACCTTGGTCAAGACCAGGCGGCGGGGTCGATGAAGCATTCTGGCTAACAGAGCCTTCGGCACCAACAGCGAGGTCAGCGAGATGCTGAAGAGAGCGCTGCTCGTTGGGGCCCATCACAGGCGGCTGGGAAGAGCCGGGCTTGCCGCCGACAGACTCGTGCAGCTGGCTCTCCTGGGACTTGACGCGGCGCCATTCGAGAAAGACGCGGATCTTGGCGTCCCAGCCTGGGGTACCGAAGATGTTGCCGAACTCGGCGCCTTCGACGGCGGGCTTCGCGCGCTGGTCGAGAATCTCTTCGACCTTTTCGAGGGAGGCCCAGCACTCGTTTGCGTGTTCGGGGAGAACGGTGGCTTCGAGGAGGGTCATTGAGGCCAGGGCCAGACTGTGCAGGTCGAATGGGGTCGGAAGACGGCTCTGCAGAGCGGCCTTGTGCATCTCGTTGATTACTTCCTGTGCGCAGTAGATGATCTCGTACGGGCTGTAGACGAAAACGTGGCGCTTGATGAGCAATCGGACGGTCCAGTAGAGCTGGGCTTGGAGGCTCTCGAAGAGCGAGCGAGTGGTCGTGTTCTCAGGCAGCTCGTGGACTTTGAACACGTCTTCCATCTCACCCAGACGCTCGAGAGATGCAACCAGGTTGGCTCCAACCATCCGACCCAGTCCGCTGTTGGTCTGGCAGACGTTGTGCTCTACAGTGGCCAGGGTGACCATTTCCGAGAGGAAAGTCGTGTAAGACGCGATGCCAGAAGTGATCTGGCCGACAACTCGCTCATCCTCACGGCCACCGATCTCCTGCCCGTTGGGAATGGTGCCATCAGCGACACTAATAGCGTACCACCGGCTCAGGATAATCAGCGATACCCAGTTGCGTCGAGTAAGGTTGGCATCCGAGTCAACATCGGGATCCGTGGCGCGTTTGTTCTTCAGCTGACCCTGGCTCTTGGCCAGGTCGTAACCCAACTTGCTCGCGGCCTGGACTAGAGTATGTTTCGGAATGCCATCCTTAAGAACGAAGTTATCCGGTCCCCGAGTGTCAGCATCGATGATCATCAGGAGCAGGGTCTGCAGCCAGATCAAGTTGACGGCTGTGGAGTGGACAATCAAAGGCTGCTTGGTGTAATAAAGAAGGAGATCCTGGGCATTGTCAAATGAGGTGACTTTCTCAAAATTGCCAGCAACACGCGACAAATCGGTGCGAGTGACTGTGTACAGTGCGTAGCAGAAAGTCTCCTGCACCTCGCGGTTACACTGGTGGAGAAGCTCGAGAGTTCTTTCTCTGGTGTGTGGGAGAATTGGCATGAGAGTGTGGACCTTTTGGTAGTAACTGGATGATGTTAGATCAATAATTTGTACAAGCCAGAGGTCTAATATAGGACGTACGCATCAAGAGCTCCTTCGTCGAGGTGGACAGGTGTCATATCATCTTCACCCTCATGCTTGGGCAGATCTGTCATCTCAAGTCCACTTGGCAAATCCTGCTCGTTGCCCGTGGGGTTCCAAAACAGGTTGCCAGGCTTGGGGGCACCACCGCTAGCAACGGCCGGGTTGTAGGGGTCTGCCGCGGAATCCGGCGCATCGAAGGCGTTCTGCGAGGCGCGAGCGTTGAAGTTGGGCTGGGCAAAAGAAGAGCTTGGAAGGCCCTCAAAGACTGAGTATGTTCGTTTGCGATTGGCGGAGCCGGTATCGACGGGCGACGTGAAATCTTGATAGGCTCTGGGCAGATTGACCTCGTTCATTGATTGGTAAGGTACGTCGGGCTGAACACCAATTCCGGGTTGCATCTGGCTCTCGAGTGTGTGGAGACGTTCAGCAAGTTCCTTTATGTACCTATAGACATGTTAGCATATACGATCTTCGAGACGTCGCGCGTGTTTTTCTTACCCTTTGCTGGGACCGCGCTTCATGGGCACGCGACTGAATTGGCAGACAGCACCGAGCCGGCGACAATTCGAGCATGTTTCGAGACCGGTTTCCGAGCTCGCATCGCATCGTACCTATTTGACAATGAACGCGCCGTTAGCTGGAAGTCACGCGTCTCGGTGTTTGGGAGGATGTCGCGGTACCTTTTTGCGCCGACACTCATCGCAGGCCCTTGAAATCTTGGATCGCTTGCGCGCACTCTGTTCACCATAGCTGAGATCGTGGTTTGGATCGACGCCCACCTGCTGGCTTGGGGGAAACTGGAGCATGTGCTGGTGTTGGTGTTGATCCTCCGACGAACGGCCCATGTCACCTGCATTTCCCGAGCCCAAGACCATCGACTGACCATGGTGGACAGCGTTGCTGGATCCATCACCGAGACCCGGGCCAGAGGCTTCGCGCGACAATTCGGCAGAGATAAGTTCGTCGGTGGTGAGCTGGCGGTTACTGTAGTACGGCATGGCACCCTGGGCCATTTGCGCACCATTGGGGGAAGGGTAAGAGGGTGCCGGAGGCATATCAGACTGCTCGCGGGAGTTCATATCGCGAGAAAATACCCAGAAACGCACAAAAAGTGATGGGTTGGATGGAAAGCGAGCTTCCGGAAGATGAGGGGAGAGGTGAAGGACGCGAAGTGCCCAGAGACAGGGTTTTTCTTACAGGCTAAAATTTCGCGAGAGAATTTCACAGGGGCTAGCGCCGCCGCATCGAGCAACACCAACATTATGTGAGTATGGCATTTCATTCAGGCTTCATTTACAATGATGTTTTTTGGGCTATTGTATAGTTCATCGGATGATCGCGCGGAGGACGGCCTTTCGTTTCTGCGCCAGCGGATTAATACTATTTCCTGCCTTGGTCGGGACGGTGGTTTGTCCGGCGACCGTTGAACTTCAGAGTGAGAACCGAGGATTCGACTAGTTTTCTGTCAGTAGGATTTCTCGAACTCACTAGAATTCAATCGTGTGCAATCCGGCACATCCGGTGTTGACTCAGTGTCATGCAGCATACTATGACACAAGATGCACTGCCAAAGCCAGGACGGCCATGATCACTTCTTCTAATCCGGACAACGGCCTTTTTCCCTACAAAACTCGACTGGGAAATTCACAGGGCTGTACACAAGTCTTTTTGTCCATGTGAAAGGAATCGGACGCACCGTGTATCCTTGCGATGTTGGAGGTATCTAGGTATCCTTGATTAAGTATATAGTGGCTTCCTACGGTGGCTGCTCCGTATGTCCGTTGGCAGTTATTCCTCCGGGGAATCCCCAATTGTAGCAGCACAGCACGGCTATTAAGATATTGCTAAGGGGATCCGATACTTCTCGGCGTACAGAATGGCGAAAAAAGGTATTCAATATGAATAGTAGTAACTCTAGAATCACGGAATGACTCCCCGGGCGCTGCACTCCGGCGTCCAGGACAGGCAGTAATCAAGAATCCGGTACATACCCAGTACGCAACTTCTCAAGATTTGGCGGAGCACCGCATTCTTGAATAACGGACTCTTGAGGTTGGAGTCCTGGACACCGGAATCCTAAGCATTTGCATCTTGATCCCGCTCCCACGACGACCGGAGCGAGAGGGTGGTTTCAAGGCTACGGAACCACAGGATTTTAAGTTCTGGATATGGAGGATCTAACGCTATTAGTTATGCGCATCCCGATCCGTTTTCTTGGTATTCGAAATCACCCGGCGGACACCTGGCCACGGGATATCCAAGGCGATTGGATTCCGACTCACCTCCCGCGCGTATCGGTCAGGTAACCGGAATCCACACACACCGAACATGATTGGCATTCGTCGCCATTGTTACATGCGCAGATCAGGGCCCACCCGCCGGCGCCAAAATCCTCTGCAGCCCGCTCGAAGCAGGAACAGTGACGCCATTCGACGTCCAGCAGCGCCATGACCTGCCGTGCAGGTGCAGCCTCGCCTGTACACCGTACCGTACCGTATCATTTGCTGTGTCCATGGTTCGGCCTTCTTTTTCTGTCCTTTACCCCCTCGTGGCCTACAGTAATTTCCAGCCATTCCCGTCACGCCGCGCCAAGAGATGCAGTAGTGATTACGAATGATCATCGGGCGTATAGAGTATATCCTGCAGGGATTGTGGAAACTTCTGAGAACGGTTCCTGAATGCATCGAGGACAGGGAAGCAGAAGAGTTTTCAAATCCCTGCTACCATCCCCTGAAACATCGACCGACTTCATAGGGGCCAAGTGTCAAGGTTGGATGTGCGGCCCCAGATTTCCCTAGCGAGATCCATTTCGGTGGGGTTCGAGTTCGTGCGATGAGACCCTGCTCCGTGGATCCCTCGAGCTTCCCAACTCTCTTTGACTTTGTCCGCGTTCACCCTCGTGGTACTTGATAACCTCCTTGCTACCGGCCCGGCTACTCCTGAGTACTCCGATGTACCCCCGGGTACAGGATCTACCGCGATGACTCGACGGAAACGTGTCGCCACGCAAGGCAGGTCTTTCCGCACGGTCTCGTCTATAGACCTGAGAGTCTGTGCGGTTGAGATGCACGGGTACGGCTACGGTCGATCTTCAATGGTCTAACGCTTAAAAGTAGTGGTCACTGTGCGAAGGAAATCCAGTAAAATAAACCCTAAGGGCCGTCCAAAGGCCCGGTTGCTGGTGGGACCGTCGCGTCCCTCGACGCCAGAAGGTGGATACACGACTTTTCGAGGAAAAGACGGTTTGCAACCCAGGTCGCAAAGCGTAGAACCCGCATCCGAAAGGAGACCATGCCATGCAGGAAATCGAGGAACGATCGGAGAACCTTGGGAAGAATTCTAGGATGTGTTACGGGATCCATTGTCCAGTTGTAACCGTTTTGTAAAGTCGTGCCTGTGCCTCTCTACGGACGGGCACGGAGACCACAAGTGCGGTAAAAATCCCCTTCCGCCGTTAATAACCCTCGCCTCCCTCTTTCTTTCTTCCCTGTGCATAGGGTGTTCGTCCAACTCTCTACATCGATCGCGCTTTCTCTTGGCCGCCACTACCGGTACTTGGTGTCCTGTCTCACGACCGGCGCCAAACGGTGCGTAGGCTTGGTCCCCCATTCTTGTCCTCCTTATAGGATCTTCCCCGACATCGCCCTATACCCAGATCTCGAACAACTTCTTCTTCGCCCCAACTGCGAATCTCCACTCCGTTGCAAGACTTTATACTGCTGGATCGGCGTTCTTTGAACTCCCGCATTGGGACTTTTCGCCCTTAGATACCCCTTTGTTCTTTCTGTTCCTCGGCCCCCCTCTCGACGAAGGCGTCCAAAGTACTCTCGCCTTGACGGCTCTGTTTTCTGGTCCCTCCGTGACCTTCTCGTTTTTGAAATCTTTCTACACACCTCCATTTTACCAACCCGCGATTCATCGCATGTGTCCCTCTCAGTAACCACACGCGATGCTTATCGATGGTGAGAAGTGGGCTTGTGAAGCTTGCGTCCGGGGTCACCGGGTCAGCAGCTGTCACCACAGCGGTACGTCAACCTTGCCATCAACCTTTTCACTTCGCAACTTCGATATCTAACTTCTGCGATAGACCGCCCTTTGACCCACATCAATAAAAAAGGCCGCCCAGTCTCTCAATGTACTCACTGCCGCGGCCTACGCAAGTCTCGAACGACCCACGTCAAATGCGACTGCGGCGACAAGAAAAAGAAATCCGACGACTGCCATGGTGACAAGCGAGATCCGAGTGAGCATAGCACGTTAGGCGCTGGTTTCCCGGTTCCCCATTCTGATATGACGTTACAGAAGACTCTCTCCACCGTTGTGGCTGCAGTCATGGCCAGCGCTGTACTTGTGCGCTGAAGAAGGAACACCTGGATCCCGTTCCTGAGACCGGTCTGCCTTTGGCTCAGCCGTCGATTCCTGCTGAACATCCGCGGAAACCCCATCTTACTTCGACCAAGTCCGAGTCGATGTTGACCATTTTCCGCGACGGTCACCACAAACCCGCCCACAAGCATAATGACATGGCCCACAAGTGCGGGTTGCCCTACACAATCCCACGATCACATACCATTCACCACCCCTCCGACGTGCCCCGCCGCTCCGTCGACCACCTCCCTTTGACGTCTGCATTTGTCCAGGAACCTCGTAGCCTCATGGACTCGTGTCCTCAGTCGCAGCAGACCTCGCAAGAGAGCTCACCCGACAGTGCGTCTGTTGCGTGTGCTGACGACGTGCACACCTCCACTTCTCTTGACCCATCCTTCTTGGACCAATTTGCGGCGCATACTCTCCCGCCCTCCGCAATGGATAAGAAACCGACGGACGGTTCCTCGAACCCGACGTCGGCCCCCGCCACCATGGACAAGTTCCCCCTGGAGCAAATCATTACTAGCGTGCCCCCTCTCGATGTCTCGTCCTATACTTCCTTCCCGGCTACATCGTCCAACTCGCCGATAACATGCATGGCCTTCCAAGACCAGTACCAAGAAAACTACTTCGCGTCCCCCGATTCCGATGTGCCTCTTGGGTCTGCCGGTATGGGTGCACCGTCGGTCGATTGGTCGAGCTTCCCGTTGTACTCGGACGTTCCCGCGTCCACCAGCACGCAAACTCCGTCATACGCCAGTTTCGACTACAACTCGTACCCCTCAGGCCTGCCACCCCCGTCGTCCTCCGGCGACATCTCCGAGGCTGACGAGTTTGGTCCCCTGCCGGGTTTGGGACACACTGGTAGCAACGACCATCACGATCTCCACAGTGTGAGCGAAGCTTCCGACATGGACCAGCTCCGCGCCAGTTCCGCCTCCTCACTGGTCGGTCTGCCTCAGACGCAGCTGCTTTCATCGAATGACCTCGAGTCGATCAACATCGATGACTTCCTCAAATCCGCCAATGAGTCCACGGCCGCGCTCGAGCATCAACTGCAAGCCAGCATGGGGGTCGAATCGAAACCGGTCCCTGCGCAGGACATGTACTCCATGTCCCAGTCACAGGACTCGGTGCCCATCTGGCCGGCGGGCCTTTTCGACTCTGCCTCCACTCCACCCATGGACGAGAACTACTTTCACCAGCCGTGGGCACAATAGTACTGGCATCAATGTTTTGCCGTTCCTTGTCTTCTAATTCTCTTGGGGTCTCCGCTACCTTGCGGCACCTTACCACCACCTCCACACCGTCTTCATGACCTTGATGAGAGATGATGATAAATGCCTGATATTTTTTGTGTTTTATTAGCCAGTCTAGATCTCTTCACGCTAGCATGCAATTTAGAGGGGTTCTGCGATTTGGACCTGGTTTACATCTGTATCTGAAGACTCGGACCGTACACTGTGTTGACCTGTTTCATTCCACTTTGTATAGACCCTGTGTTACTTTACATGTACTATGTGAAAATGCATCCACCTTGTGGCCCACCACCCCCTAGATAAACAATACCGCACGTAAAACATCCGACGTAACTATCCTGACCAGTCGATACCGAGTCTGAAAGATCCGCGTGAATACCTGGATACTTGGATATACATACTCACCTCAGCCAAGACACGATCTGCCGCCTGCACCCCATACCCAGACAGGCACGAGACCCATCGGCAAGAACCTCCGAGCCAAAGAAAGGGATGCGCCGCGGAAATAGGGTTCGCGATGTAGCGGTGAACACCCCGGAACAACTGTCTCAGATCATCGCAATGCAGGTCTCTCACACTAAACTCTACCCAGGCAAGCCGATCCGCGCAACGCATTGACGGGGCGCGTCAATCGCTTTGTTCTCTCCGACCATGCATGATTTCTTGTTTTATTGGCCAGCGACTCCAGGCTGGGACTATACACGATCTCAAGGTCATGCCTACGTACACCCCCCCCTGCCCCCATCATGCTATACCTATACAACTTGGAAGTAGCGGTGAACACAGTCCAGTATGGAAACAAAACTAGTGGGCCCAACCACCCCAAGAGTGCATTCCAGCTGAGCACCCGCATAAGCTGCATACCAAGCTTTTCCCGTCCTGATCATCATCGTACATGTACATTGTACACGTACATCGCACGACGGTGAGTGGGTACATACCACTATGCACGCTGCAGCGTGGAATCCTCGCGATACAAGCCTCGGGTGCAGGCCTTGGCTAATGCTTAGCTAGGCACGGTCCCTGTGCGACGTGACCGGTGTAGGGGGTGACCCTGTTCTGGTTCGTTGAGATGGTGATGGCAGGGGCAGGGATCTTCACGATCATCATTACGCGGGAGATGATTGTTTCGGTAGGGCTCTGACGTGGAGAGTTAGATGTGTACTGTAGGTTTGTTTTGATCGTCACTCATCGGCTTCGCTTCTCTACCACAGGTATAATCAGGTATAGGGTGGTCGAATTGCAGTACATCATATGTACTTGCCATCCAGACTGGACTGACAACCGCATTGGTACTGCTGACGTAGTGTCTCAAAAGTTGCGATTGCGACGAAGCAAGGGAGGTGAGATCCAGACGGGATACCCAGTCGGTCCTGGGTGGACGTGGATTTCATTCCGCCGCTGCATTACATTGCATCGATACTCGGATGATTCGGCATCTCAGGAATTCAGGTGTCCATGTGCCACTGCATGCTTCGGAGCTATGTGTGGGTGCTGGTCGCCATGCCGCTTGTCTGTATCTTACCTCAATGTATTGGGTAGTAGGCATACTTCTGCATTCGGGTATGTAATATATGTTGTTATTCTAGTAATGTAGCATCCGTCAATATCATTGGAAGCCGTCTCCGTACTTTAGAACTTAATTCCGCCTTACGTGGGCTACTTTGAGTCAATGAAGCATGTTGGAAGACAAGTTAGACTTTGGGACGGCCCAGCTTTTCTTTCTCAGCGGTCGCGAAGGGCACTTAGAGTCAATATACACGAATCAGGTAATTGATTACCTTGCATGTATGCGCTCTCCGCTGAATCCGGTTGATTTCTTATGCAGCTTTGTTCTTTTCTCTCGAGGTCGGCTGACACGACCTGGCGCAGACTCGGTAACCAACTTAGGGGGCGGCGTCGCCGGAACTGACTATTGGAAATTAGCTCGCGCCCGGTCTCAGACGGGCAAAAGCTTAGCGTTGTCTAATTTCGCTCCGGAACGCGGATTCGTCGGGCTTTTAGGCTCGGCCGATACGACCTAAATGGTTAGTGCGCTATTCTCGCCGCCCATCTACGTCTGTTCCACGCTTGTTCTATGACCCAATTATCAAACGTATAGGCAATTTTTGACCGATGAGGAACCAATTATTTTTTTCTTTTGGTTACCCTATACCTGGCGCATGCCACTCAAAGCAACAGGGTCATGCGTAATATAGATACACTAAAAGGTGAAATCACTTGGATATTGCTCAGGCTCGGTGAGCGGAGGGGTGAGTCTGCTCGCCCCCAGACAATATCCTCTTTATGTGGATTTATACACATAGGATCAAGTCTGTTCTAAAAGAGTTCCCTCCTGCGAGATTACATTACCCAGGTAGACAATGAAATTGAAAAATAAATGTTGGATTTAAGCTGCACGAAGGAGGATGTGTTCATTCTTCTGAAACTGTCACCGAAGAAACAGCCAGTATGCATAAATGATATAGGTAGCTGGAAATTTAGCAGCTCCTGAGACAAGTTGTCTATATATGGTATCAATAAATATAAACGCCCGGATCCATCAGGTCCACGGGCGGATGGAGAAGAAGCGCAAGTTGAAGATTCGTCTCGCATAAAGGCGTGAGAAAAAAAAACAAGGAAATCTAGACACAGGCCTAGCTATTCCTCTCCATGAAGCCTTTACCGGTACTTCTGCAAGAAGTCGGCGTGGAACTTCACGATGCGCTCAACCCAGTCAGTGCCGGGGGCCAGGAAGGTAGTGCGGAAGTGCAGGGTGTTCTCCTTCTGACCGAAGCCCGAGCCAGGGACGACGCAAACGCCGGTAGCCTCCAGCAGGCGCAGACAGTAGAACTCGTCGGCGACGCGGCCCTCAGCCTTGGCGGCCTCGACGGCCTTGGTGGGCAGCTTGATTGTGGGGAAGAGGTACATGGAACCCTGGGGCTTCTGGCACTCGACACCCTCCATACGCTGGAAGGCATCGTATAGGGCAAAGGCGCGCTTGCGCAAACCGTCGCGGATACCGTTGTACTCCTTCTGGTACAGCTCGTAGCTGGGCTCACCCTGGCGGGGCGGGTTGACCATAGTCTCGAGTAGGCACTGCGCAACGACCGGCGGGCACAGTCCGATACTGACGAGCTTGTAGATCTGCTCCTGCACCAGGGGGTCGAACCCGACCAACTCGAAGTAGCCGCCGCGGTGGCCGCACTCGCCGACCATGCCCTTGGAGGTACTGTGCATGGAAACCAGTTCCACGTCGTCGTACTTGCCGGGCTGTTCCTGCTGCAGCTGGCGGAGACGCTTCTTGATAGAGACGAACTCGCCCTCGAAGACGTTGGTCTGGTAGACCTCGTCGGCTATGATGACCAGGTGCTCCTCAGCGGCGATGTCAATAACCTGCTTGATATCGTCGGCGCTCAGAGAGGCACCGGTTGGGTTGCCGGGGTTGATCACCACGACGGCGCGCACGTCGGTGCCGGCGGCCTTGGCGTCCTTGATGGATTGGTAGATGGCGTTGACATCGGTGCCCCATGCCCGCTGCTCTTCCAGGTAGTAAGGAACGCACTGCGCGTTGAGGAGAGCCAGGGTAGCGGTGTACAGAGGGTATTGGGGGATGGGAACCAGGACACCGGCATTGGGGCTGTTGCAGATAACACTCAGCAGAGTGTTGACACCGGAGGAGGCACCGGCAGTCAGAAAAAGGTCCTGGGGGTCGGCAGGGAATCCATCACGCTCCTCAATGAACTTGGCCACGCTGTTCCGAATGCCCAGTGCACCCTGGCTGTGACTGTAGGCACCCACACTCTGCACATTGGCGAGGAGAGTCCTCGCCCGGTCGATCACATCCTGGTTGTATCCGAAGGAACTCTTGAGGGCGTCGGAGTTCTCCAGCAGCAACGGGTTCTCTACAAGACTGAGAACTTGACGGAAGAAGGTAATGGGTTTCTGGTCGAGCTGCTGAGGGTTTCCGATGTTGGCAAAAATGACGCTGTCGAAGGGCAGGGCCTTGTCGCCGTCGGTTAGACGCTGACGGTACTCCTCAGCCTTCACGGCCAGCTCACCGCGCACGGCATACTTGGCAGCCCGGATGTGAGGGTTGATGTTGTCGATGTTGAGGCATTTGTTGGAATTAAGGCGCTTGGTTTGAGTCATGGTAGGCACTGAATAGACTCGAGCAGGTGTTAGTTTGGAATGTCCGAATCAATGGCAAGTACAAGTCAGGATGTTGGAAAGGGGTTGAGAGTGGAGCCACAGGGACAGCACTCAATCTTATGAGGTCAGAAGGGATTTGGAGGGGCTACCCAATCGAAATATATAGCCCGCACATCATCCCACGTACCTGAGACGGAGAAATCCCCCGCGGGGCGCGCGGTCGGGCGAAGTAGGAGCCCATTCGGCCGGGTAATGCACGCCCGAAACGGAGACGCCCGCATGCTAGAGACGAGCTTAAATTGCCAGGACATCTTTGTCCTTTGTGCGGGGTCTGGGTTTCCTTTCCATGGTTCAGATCTTAGGTCTCGAGATCTCTAGAGTTCACTCGGCTACGAAGAAAAAAAAATAGACTGGGACCCATTGGGCGGTGAAACTACGTGGGTCATCATGTTTCCCCCACACCAGGACCTGATCCGATGGAACAAGTGCGATGGTGCATCGGACGCGAGAGAGGTGGATAGAAATATAGATGTTTGAAGCAGATATGAGTAGAGATCATGCACTATAAAGACCGACGCTGGGCCGTTGCAAGGATCAGCCGATCTTCCCCTCGGGAAGGCCGTTGCCCGACAAGGTGGACTCCGACAGGCGCTCGTTGCCACACTCCGGAACCGCCCGATATGCGGGGGGTAAATCATGTTTGAGTTGACTCAAATTACGTTTTGGACTCCACTCTTCATCAGACATACAATTGCATGTGGTAATTCTAGAAAAAAGGTTGCATGCTAGATAGGGTCATGGCCGGTGGTATCGCCGCTCATACACTTCAATTAACTCCGCTCACTACCCCGAAGACGAACGGCCTGTCCGTACTTCTGGAGCTTGGTGATCAAGGCATCACCGTGCTTCACCACGTCCGAGTATTGCTTGTTCTTGTCGTCGGGGCGATTGGTCTCGATGATGCCGTTGACGCGGTCAATGGTGCATGCAATGCGGTTGCTGGAGATGAATTTGGCCAGATCCCTGGAATTGCAAGTCAGTGAGATATCTTTTTATCCAGAGCGAAGAAAGGTACATACCGGTCCAGGTAATCCACGGTCACACCAAAGTCGTTGGCCATGCTGGTCAGCCCAACCACCCGGTAACTCTGGAGAAGCTGCTGGTAGGCGCGGAGCCGCATTTCACGAACGAACCAGGCCCGGTGCTCGTGCAGGTATCGGTCCTGGTTCAGGAACTCGTCCTCCACACCGGCGAGAGCCACGAAGAACGAACGGTAGTTGCCATTATACAAGCTGTTGACCAGATTGGCCAGCGGTGAGAAGTCCACGGGCACTTCATTCTCGGCGTGCGCGGTGCCGGCGGCGAAGGAGGTGAGGTTGACGGCAGTGGTCGCACCGGCCGGGGTGATTCTCGACTCCGTCGCGTCCTTCATCTCTTCCTCCCGTGCGCCGGGGCCGGAGGAAACCTCTCCACTCAGCGCAGCCAGCTGGTCCTCTCCAGCACCCAGGATGGCCTTGATCTCCGGGGCATCCACCACCTTGTCCTTAAAGTCCACTCGCTTGAGGGACAAGGATCCCGCAAGCACCGAGTAGATGACCAACGCAGAGTAGCTGCACAGCTCGTAGCTCGTGAACGTAGACAGACTGTCTAGAAGGAGAGGCGCGGCGATGCTGTAAGACCGAATTGTGAGAAGGTGCATTCCCTTGTATGCCTTGAGGCGATTCCTCCGGTCCCAGTCTCCACCGCTCTCAACCAGTGTCTCCGCGCGTTCGATGGTCTTCTTGACAAACAAACGGTCACCGAAGAAGAGACCGATGCGGATCATGGCAAGCACCAAGTCGATCTTTGTCCCGAGGAATCCTGTCTTCTCGAGGAGGGCTTCGTGCGACTCGATGGCTTTGTCCTAATGAGCGAGTAGCGTGAGCAATCATCCCTTCGCAGTGAAATGATACGTCCTACCTTATCTCCGACTCGGGCCCAGAATTCAGCGCGCTTTCCCCGTGCGGCCTGCACCTCGGTCTCACCGGCAGCTTCTTCTGCGTCATCCTCTTCCTTCTGGAAGCTCTCCAACTCCTTCTTGTTATCCTCCACCAGTGATTGGTAGAGCTTTTCATCCCAGGGAAAGTCGATCTTGTGCCCCGACTTCCGAGAGGCGAGCATGTTGGAGATGATGAGAGGCTTGGAAGTCCCTGCGTTGTGGGGGTGTTGTGTCACGCCCTCGCCGGAGCTATTCAGGATGCCCTCCACCGGGTGGGCGAGATGCCGGTAGAAAGGGGCCATCTTGTTCTCGGCGATGACATCTTGCAGCTTCTTCAATGATGACTGTTGGGTCGCAGAGGCGCATGCAGGGTTGGAGAGGTTGAAGACATGTTGGGCGAGGATGAGGTCGGGGTACTTGATGTACTGCGGATCAGACCCCATGATTGCGAGATTATGGGGCTGATAGATTGGGGGGTCAAGATGAAGGGATTGGGAGAGAGGTGTGGATGTGTTGATGATGGATCCTGGACCATCGGTGCATCACGTAGCTGGCCCCGAGCTCAGCTGGCGGAACGTTTCTCCGGTCCGGGCCCCAACCCCAAGGTTGATTTTGGAGGTGGTCGTTGGAATCACCATTCCGGCTTTATTTTTGATTTTTTTTTTTAGCCCCGGAATCATCATTAAGATTGTCCACTTTTTGTAGAAGATAGAAGGCCCCATCCGTTAGCAGTGTGTCTGAATGTTGACTGCTGGTCGTGTGCTCTCACCCCGAGACACTCTCCACCGGGATAGAACACCATGGAAGGCCACGAGAATCAAGCCTACATACATTCCCACGGACATGTCGAGACACGCTGCCCATGGGAACTTTGAGGAATTTTCACACACATGCTCGGAGCGATCGCTAAGAGGAGATGCCCCGGAGCACGTGTCCCCTCTATTAAATCCAGACGGCATACCGAACGAATCTACCGTGGGAGTACGGGGCCGGTGCAAGACCCAGTATGATCACCATCGAATGAGCAGGTCGATTCTAGAATGAGACGCGTGGTCGCCTTCCATGATACTTTCCAGGGGTTGAGCCAATGTCCGTTAGAAACGCCAAGTGCCGCCACCGAAACTGGGAATCTGGCAGCACCTGCCTAAGTTAGGACAAGTGGGTTCGGCTCCCCCGATCGAACGGCCCGCACGTGCAACGACCCGGCGACCTCACTGGGTTACGATCTTTGGGTTTTCGCTTCACGGTGTTCAGACTGCACTTTGATAAGGGTGCACGCCTTGGCTCGCGCGTCTCCCGCTCTTCCGATATCAGATCGCCGAGTGCTTCGGTGGTGCGACCACGAGCACTGTACGTAAACCCGAGGCCAACCCCGTAATGACCCCGTGGTTGGAGGCACCTTGTGATATACATACCACTTTTCATTGGCCGTGAAACGGCAAAGGATGCTTAGCTTGACGAGGGTAGGGCCCCACCCCCGTGAATTTGCAGTACCTGAGTGGTACCTGGGCACCCGCGCTTCTAAGCGGACCACTTCGGCGTACCTAACAGGTACCGGAGCCATGTGCCCTGCTAGGAAATACTTACTCTTAGCCTGCTTTCTTTTCGCATCCAAAGTTTGCCCGCCCTACTTAAATTACTCCTTCTCCCTCCTTCTCTCTTTTTTTTTTCTCGACAAGCTTCTCCTTTTCGAACCCAGTCCTCCATACTGGTAGTTTTGATTTCGGGTGGTACCGCCCCTGGCTCCTGCATCTGCTTCCGTGAGTACACTTGTATACCGTCGCGTTTCGAGGTAAGACACTTCGCCCTTGTTTCTACATTCGTCCGCTTAAAGTGCAAGCTGGAAGAAGCCCTCGACGCCCGCTACTACCGCCGATCAGTTACGATGAGCTCCAAACTCGAATCCACCTCGTACGAGGAAAAGGGCGTTGTCCCTCCGAAGGAGGCCAGCCTCGACGTTCCACCACTGGAGGACCCACAAAAGGGCCGCTGGGAGCGCAGTTGGCCTACCATTGCTTGTGGTGCCGGTCTTTTCTCTGACGGCTACCTGAATGGAGTATGTACCAACTTGTTTATTTTTTGCATGCAATGCGGGCTGCGACGATGTCCCAGAAGATCGTTGCGATTTGCAGATCAATAACGCTGACCTACTTCCTATCTAGGTAATCGGGCAGGTGAACACCATGCTGAGCACCATCTACCCCGACGCCTACAGCAACTCCACCGCCAGTCAAAATGTTTCTGCCATTGCCTTCGCGGGCACGGTCGTCGGCATGCTGATCTTTGGATACACCAGTGACCACTGGTCTCGCAAGTGGTCTCTGATGATCTCGACCGTCATTCTATTCGTCTTCGCTGCTCTCTGTGCTGGCTCCTATGGCTACAAAGATAGCACCTATGGCATGTTTGCTGCACTCACGGCCTATCGCTTCTTCATCGGTGTCGGCATCGGAGGCGAGTATCCTGCTGGATCCGTCGCATGTGCCGAGAACACTGGCGAGCTCAAGGAGGGCCACCGTAACCGATGGTTCATCATGTTCACCAACTTCCAGATCGACTTTGGCTTTGTCGTTTCGGCCTTTGTGCCTATGATCCTGCTTCTGATCTTCACCGAGGATCACTTGCGCGCTGCCTGGCGCGTGGCCCTAGGCCTCGGCGTCATTCCCCCGCTGAGTCTGCTTTATCTGCGAACCAAGATGAACGAGCCCCAGGAATTCGACCGTCAGCGCATGCACAAGTTCCCGGTGTCGCTGATCATCAAGTAAGTCTGCCCACACCATCGTTCATTCAACCAATTACTAATTGCACGCAGATTCTACTGGAAGCGTCTGGTACGGTTATGCCCCTTGATATTTTTCCTGTAAAGGAACCGTGCTAATTGTATACAGGCTACGGTCTCACTGATCTGGTTTATTTATGACTTTTCGTCGTATTCCTTCGGACTCTACTCTTCCAAGTGGCTGTCTATTATCGTGGGTAAGCATGCGCCGCTGTGGAAGACCTTCGGCTGGACCACTTTGACCTACTTTTTCTACATTCCGGGCTCTGCCCTTGGAGCCTTTGCAAGTGACTGGATGGGCCCTCGCAACACCCTTGCCATTGGAGTTTTCCTCCAGGGAATCGTCGGCTTCATCATGTCTGGATGCTACGAGTATCTTGCAACTCCGGAGAACGTGGCCGCATTTGTCGTCGTTTATGGGTAAGTCATGTCGGCATGGAGCTTCGGTTTCTCTTATCTAACTTGAATAGAATTTTCCTTGCGCTCGGTGAATTCGGCCCTGGTGACAACATCGGTCTGTGTGCTGCTAAGACTAGCGCCACTGCCATCCGTGGCCAGTACTATTCGTACGCTGCGGCTATTGGCAAGATCGGTGCCTTCGTGGGCACTTATGTTCTTCCCATCGTCAAGAAAAATGCCCCCAATGCGGTTCGAGCTGGCCAGGATCCCTTCTTTGTGTCCAGCTCCCTGTGCATCTTCAGCGCCTTCCTGGCCTACTTCCTGCTTCCGCAGATCAACCAGGTATGTCTTTCACCTCAAAGTCTAGAGGGAAAGTATGAGCTCACACACCACAGGATACAATTACCAACGAAGACGCCAGATTCCGTACCTATTTGGCGGAGAATGGCTACGACACCTCGACCATGGGCACGGCCGGGTGTGTCAACGGCATCGAACAGGAGTAAACCGACGCATCCTTCGCTACAACATGTCTCGACATTCTGACTCGCTCCATTAATCAATCCCCTTGCGCCCTATCGGCCTCCCTGCCCTATGCTCAATGAATCCGATTCCCCATGCGACAAAACGTTGCCCGCCTCAGCCATGTGATGATTGACGAGACCTTAACAACGATCCAGAGATGACGGCGACGACGCACCGAATGAGCCCTAGCGACATCCTCCATTTCACGGCAGCCTCAGCGACATAATTGAAACTGTGATGAGAGCATTTTTCCGTGCTGATCTGCGGGTGGTCTGACTCGGTGGTGCAATTTCGGCTCATTTGATGCCTTGTGTACGATATCTTAAAATGGTAGCCTGCCTAAATATCTAATGGCGCAGACGACCGCATTCTTATCGCGTCCTACCGTATTCGTTTTCCTATTCCGGCGTTCGTAGTGAGATACTCGTAGACGAAAATAGATCGGAAAGCTTGTCGGGCCTACGAAGACTATCTTTTCTTTCTATGCAAACAAGAACTGTTCAAGTCAAATAGGATAGACAGGCAAATAAATAAAAGCGACAAGCATTTCACGTGAAAACGTGAAAAACGTAGTCCGTGACGCTGACGAGGGGAGAAACCCGGGCTGGGGAGACTCCGCATCAGCCGAGGTCTGCCATCCGCGGCTCCATACGCCGGTCAATTACCGACCCTTTGGCATCCCCTTTCATCACTGGCATTTAACATTTAACTATCGATCCACCTCCGGTCGATTTGCTCACCTTTCTCTACTACCTCCCAGCCCATCTTCGGATCCCGCATTCCGAAGCCCGATAGATCGAACCTCGCGCGATCGGGAATTGCTTGCCATCATGGTTGCCGACGCTCTCGTCTACCACCCAGCTCTTGCGCACTGGCTGCGCTTCGTCGCGACTACCGGTACGTCTCGTCTCTCTATCACGAAAAATTCATTCCCAAGGCCCAAGGGCTCCGTGCTGGACAGCCAGACGACGATGCCCAACACCCACCCTCCCCTCTCCCCCAGATTTCCGGTTAAGCTAACCCACATTATCCACGCCCAGTCGGACGAGACAAGCTCCTCCGAACACTGCAGTACTTCTCCCGCTTCTACGCGTGGTACCTGTACCGCACCAACCACCCGCAGTCCGCGATCGACCCCTACAATGCCGTGAAGAAGCAGTTCGGCACAACGCGCAAGATCATGCGCATCGGCAAATTCCTTGAGCACCTGAAGGCCGCCTCCGTCGCCCTCGACAACAAGAGCCCCGTCGACCCAGTCCTCCGCTACCTCGCCGTCGGTCGCCAGCTCGGCTATGCCGGCTATCTGACCCTCGACACCATCACCGTGATCGACGCCATCGGCTACCGCAAGCTGGAGTCGGCCAAGCGTTTGCAGGAGAGTGCCTACCGCGCCTGGGGTGCCGGTCTGTTGTGCAGTGCCGTTGCGGGTCTCTATACCCTCTTCCGTCTGCAGGAGAAGGAGAAGAAAATCGACCGTAAGGAGGGTGAGGGTGTCGTTGAGGCTAAGAAGATCGAGAAGTATGTTTTGATTCTATCGTTCACGAGAGGCGTAAACGAATGCTAACCGTTTTAATTAGGGAGCGCGCTGCTGCCCGGATACAGCTCATCTCTGACCTGTGCGATTTGACCGCCCCCGCCTCCGCGCTGGGCATCGCCGCTCTCGACGACGGCCTGGTTGGTATCGCTGGAACCGTCAGCTCGCTGATCGGTATCTGGTCCCAGTGGCGCAAGACCGCATGAGCATCAGGCAACTTAGCCTGGATGTGAGCGGAGCACGAGTTCTGGAAAAGCGCCAAAGAGAGTCAACGGAGAACTGGGTTTCTCGAGTTGGCTATTTGGCAGAAGAGAGTGAGCGCAAGAGCGCGTCACCGGCCTACTTTTTGGGCGCGTTTATATCCTTGATTGCAGAGAACATGTAACTTTTTTCCCGATGGAGATTGTCTAGATGCCATATTTTGATCTCCGTTCTCGTAAATATCAAATCTCATTTGTCTATTGAATACCGATGGTGTTGTTTGTGTGTTAAAAATTGAGTGTTTTCATGTAGAACTCCCTAAGATTGAAGAATCCTGCCCGCCAGCACGCCTGTTCATCGTAACCTGTCCTCCCGTGGATATCAGTCCGAAATCTCATCAACATCCTTCTTAGGGTACATCCTGACCCTTTCAGAGCATGGCAAGGCCTCTCAGGCAAGACCCCGGTCGTTTAAACAGGGCAGGTCTAGAAACCGTTAGATCGAGTACCTTGATAGAATCAACATCACGCACCGCTCCACACGAGCCGCAGGTCTTGCCGCCAGAAGAAGCGGCACCGCACTTAGGGCAGGCGGGGTGTGCAGACATGGTGATGATCGTTTAGTGGTTGATCTGCAGGAAGGTTAGAGAACTGATCCCACAAGTGTGTCTGGGAGGGTATTTGGATGATGGGAGATGGGAGATACGCGGGTACCATACTTGGAAGGGAAGGATCTGATAGTGTAAAAGTAGCAGAAGAATAGACGAGTGGGAAGTAGACAGATGGTCAGCGCTCGAGAAAAGAAAAGAAAAGCGACTGTTTACCCCGCCTGGCCCCTCCTCGCCCCGCTTTGATAAAGGCATCGGGTATCGAACTGCTCGGTTTGGGATGTGCAGCGTCTTGAAATTGTACATGTTGGGTCCGCAGATCGTTAAAGTGTTTCTTGTTGGTTTCTGGGTCATGTGGACTAGTGGCTTCGGGTAAATCTTTATATGTAAAGGTTGGGCTATTTTGCTTCGATCTTTTGCGATGTTGAGAAACCTTACTACTAAATAAATGAGTTGAACTACCCTTGGTACAACGAGACAAGAAAATAACGACAAAGCTTGATCAAGACCGATCAGATCGGTCAGACAGGTCAGATCCCCGGCATAGGTCCTTTATCTCCCACATAATCTCCAACTGCTTTATCGCATCCTCATACATCTGATCCCTCTTGGGGTTTCCCATAAAGAGACAAGGCTTCTTATCAAACCCATGAACCACATCCTCAATCACCGTTCCCCCAACGTGAATCATCGCTCCCTCATCAACGAACCTCTGCAGCCTCTCTCGGAACTTGTTCCCTTCAACAAGGAGCTGATCCCATCCACAGGTGTAAATGGCAACAATAGGCGGATACGCCGCTAACAAGAGAGACGCGGGAGTCAAGCCCGGTGATAAATAGGGATGGGCTATATCAATCTCTTCTGAACCGGGCTTCCTGGGCAGATTCTCGGGGGCCAAGTAAGAAGAATCGAAGAACTTGAAAACAGATTGTGGAATCATGGACTTGCGAGGGGCAATAGGATTTGTTGCATCTCTCTCGTCGCGCGTTTTCGTCCAGTCGACGGCCGGGTAGAAGGCAACGATACCTGCCAATCGGACAGTTTTCGCAACATGTCGTTTCTCAAGTTCTTCATGTAGTCTGAGAGGAACGGTGAATGCTAGATTCCCGCCGGAGCTGAATCCGCTGATAGCAAATCGGTCTGGGTCGAGGTTGTATTTCACCGCGTTCTCCCACAGCCAGAGAATAGCATCGGTTCCATCTTCGATCGCGATGGGGAATGGGTGCTCCGGGGCGACGCGATAACCTACGCTCACCACCACGGCACCCGTGTGAGCGTGGAGCACGGCTCCGAACCACCGCGCATCATCCAGGGGATGGCCGATGGAAAAGCCGCCGCCGTGGAAGTTGATAAGAACGGGTCTTTTGGCGGATAAGTTATCTGCTCTTCCATCTGTTACTCCAGCCGGCGCGGTGAAGAAATAGAGTTGGATTTCCCCTGGCACTTGGCTGGTTTTGGATGGGATTGTCAGGATTAAAGATGGGCGTGGAGGTAATGGCCAAGCTATGTACCGATCCAGCCATGACATGATGGAGTTGAGGCTGCGGTATTTGCGAGCCTCTTTAGCGAGGGCTTCGCGCGTTGGCAGCGTTGGAAGCGTTGGATTTGACGCCATTGTTGAAGCTGAGATATTTTCTGTGTGTTATTTGAGGACATTGTGGATATTGAGAATGTTCATGGACTCAGGTCCCGGATGACGTATAGAAATGGTCAGCGATGGGGATTACGCATGTAAATTCCTGCAATGAACCTCTGAAATAGTCAAGAAACGTGTTTAATAAGGAATCAGAAACGTATTTCTACAGTCAAAATGCAAACGCGAGGAGTAGTTGTCATATGAATCCAAGCCCCAGATGACTAACACATTTAACGGTGAGTTGAAAAACGGAGATCACCCAAACCTAGAAACCCATCTGGGCACTCCATTCCACATATCTTGGCATCAAACATATTCAGCTCGCCAGTGGGAAAGACCTTCAGCCTAGGGAAGAAAGACCCAGGCGCCAGCCATAGCATCCTCATCAGTAAGCACGGCTGAGTTTAAAACGCGGGGCATTGCGGATGCAGCCTCAAACCTCATGTTTCGGTCTACGCCACTGTACAGAGCTCTCCAACGCCCTGCTTTCCTAACTCGAACTATGTCGACGCTACCAAAGCCCCTGCCCGTCGTGCTATGCGGCAAAAGTGTAGCTATCGGGGGACCCGCGGCGGGTCTCCTGCAGCCTGACTATGAGGGTATGTCTCAAACTCCATTATGCGATATCCAAAATCCCAAGACTCAACATGTGCATCAGTCGTCCACTTCATTCAATCAAATGAAGCAGCCCTGGCAGAAATCCCCCACCTCTTGGCGGGACGTGATCCCCAATCTTCCGACGACAACGGCGTCGGCACCCATGAGTACGGCAGACCTGTGCGCGCAGTTATTTTTGGCCGGGGATATTCCCTCGAAGATGTCCAAAAATTCCATAAGGCTTCTGCTGGAAGTAACGAGGAACCTGTGGTCTGGATCGCGGGCGATCCCGCTAAGAAGCCCGATCTCAATGGGCCTCAAACGGGACTAGGGTATGCTCAGGCTGCGGCGGATGGTGTCAAAGCGGTGCTCGAGAAGTGGAAAGAGGAGGGTGCTACTAAGGATGGTATTGTCCTATGGTGAATGGATCGGGTCGCAGGTGTGTTCCAAAGATGGGCATGTATCGTATATGAAGGGAGGCCCTATCGTCGGCTTTTGTGGCGACTTTTGATGCGCACTGTCTCCAGAATGTGTTCTTCTCTCCATGAATACTATGTCGAACATGCAAATGCAATATACTTCTTGAAGGCTATTCTGAATGGCATACAAAGGCCCCAAAAAGATGTTTACAACCGAGATTTGTATTTCCGAACGCCTTGTAAAGGCACGGGCCAGTGAGAAATGCAGATTCGAGAGATTGAACGTCGGACTGAGCGGCAAAGGTAAATTAAACAAGTCCGATTGAGAGCCTTTCGAAGGTTGGCTTGGGACAGTGAAATGTCTCAAATATAAAATTCACATCAAGCCGTTAACTGCTTATGGCTATCGAAGCTTCTCGGAAGACAAGCATTACATTTAGCCATTTCAGGATAGTTGCCATCCCTCAGTGAAAAATTCATGGACAGGGGGTCACAAAATGTATCGCAAAGCTCCGATACCGCCACTTGTAACGGCGGTTCGGCGGAAGACTAACGTTAAGAAAAGAGACTAGAAGAGTACCTGAACACGGGACAGGGACAATAATCAAATTGGTCCAATCTGGCCGGTTCGTTAAACCCAAAGAGGGTAGCACTAGTACTTACGAGTCATATTTGGGTTGACCCTGGGGTTTTCGTGGATCCACAAGAGTAAATGCTACCATAAATACCAAGCCAGGGGCTGAGTTCATCTATGCTAACACTCGAGCAGTCCTTGCCGAGCTAGCATACGGAGTACCGTCGGAATACTTCAGTATCAAGAGCAGGTAGCCGAGATGCAGCAGGCCGCATCAGTCGGCCACGAGAGCCGTAAACAGAGTACAGTGCAGGTGGCCAGCGAGTAATTCAAGAACCACGCTGTACCCCGCATCCAAAAACCACACGCGACGGCTTCCCCAGACAGCCAAGACGCCAAGGGAATCCGAGCGAGCGCAAGGCGGCTCGGGGTATTTCCCGGCGAGTCATGGGATCGGTAAGAGACTGCAGGCAGGTTAATTAGGGAGGGTGACGTCCTTGTAGGCGGCAGTCGGGGGAATTAGGAGGCAAAGCGACCTTCTGTCCCCTTTTCCGCGCTACTGAAACGGCGCGTGCTGGTTGGACAGACCGGCATCTAATAAGCCCAGACCTTCAGGCAGGAACAAGAACCACTATCACGGGTGAATTAGGGAGCCGATCTCGTCGTGATAGGCAATAGACCAGAACCGGAAATTCCATGTTGATGAACGTTGAACCGGGGGTAAACAGGGCTTCCTTCACCCGGGGGAAGGAGATAAGGAGTATCCCGAAAGGACTTCTATCTGGCTCCAATAGTGCCCCCGGTACTACAGTACTGTATACAGGGCGTGCCTTGCGGAGAGAGAGGGGTCGAACCCCTTCTCCACCCTTTGCTCGATTCGGGCTGAGGACAACAAAAAGGCCTACATAGTTCCAGACTCCTGACCCGGCAACCGAGTCATAAATCACGCGCAAGGAAAAAGAGCGATGATCAGCTGAATGGCATGGGCATAAGAATAGATTTTCGCTACGTAACCCGAAACAAATCGCGCAAAACAAAAAACGTGTTTCAGGCGCGGAATTTCTGAAAAAACAGAGGACTTTCCCGAGGCCGTACCCGGGTCGGGATCCGCCGCTAACCACCGGCAAAGAGGGTCTAGGGTCGTGATCGTGAAGGCTTCACACATGCAGGAGCACCGGGCCGTGGTAAAGCGGCCGGGAGAACGCAAAGCGTAATATATTGGAAACCCCCCAGGAATTCCCGAGAGGCGATCTACTCCGTAAGGCACCTGGAATCCATGAAATGCCTCATATCTGGCCCGAGACCGATAATTGCATCGTAATACCTTGCCTGCGGAAATATGCATGGGTCTATGGAGTTCGGCGTTGGTCAGGTACCACCGGGAAAAAAAGGATTTCAATCCTATTTGTGCAAAAGGCCAGACAGGGCGAGAAGACCCAAAGCCCCAGCGGGAATATCTTCTGCCCACCCGATCATCCTTGGAAAGTCCCATTGTGGGGGATGTGATTGGCCGAGACCGCCGCGAATCATTTCGCAAGTGCATCATCCTCGGCTGGTTAATCGCCGTTATTGGAGTAGACTCGTGAGTCGTTCCGACCCTCTCATCCGACTTCGTCATCGGGTACGAAAAATCCGCAAGTCTCCACGGCCAAAAGGCAGCTTCCGAAGCGATGCTCGGGGCGAGGGAAGCCGATAGTAGAGAATTCAAGTTTATTGGAGCAAACGCAAAACCCGAGGATCGACGATTATGTCAGCCCCCGCGATTTGCGGCGGAACCAACGCAGTTTTAGAGCCGAGTTACAGGTGTTAAGGCCTCGATGGTGAAGTCATTGCGCGTCATTCCAGTCGTCCGGCGCTGGTTTTGACTTTTCAACGTGCTTGGGTAGAGCTTCACGGGACAATCTATGAGTTCAGCATTTGGAATAACCTAGGTTAAAGCAAAGGCAATTCGATGATAAAGAGAGTCGTTCGTCATACAAAGCTCTTCCGTACTTTCTCAACCGTCGAAACCTACAATCTACTAAACCAAACCTCCTGCAATTTGGACCCGTTCCAGAACATCACAAATTCTCGTTCAATAATACACCATCTGTATCAAGTCCGTTCAGCCCACTCCTTGCTCCAACCCGGACAATCGCCGCTCCGGGTCCAGTTCGTGTCCACAACCGCATCGGGTCAAGTCGGACTCCGCCTCTAGGCATTTGCAACCCACGGCAACGCTTCATCCATCACCAACCGCGTGTCCGCTTCAGCTCGGCCCTCAGCCCCGACATCACCCGTGGAACTGTGGAGAAACACAGGGGCAAACTGGAACGAGAACCTCCTTCATACCAAGTCTACCGTCACGATGTCCCCTGCTGGAAAGGATTATATACCCCCCCGCTCGCCCCGACTCTCCCGGTCCTTTGGCTGCAGATTTCAAACAACAGCAAGTCGCGAAACAACGCAACAGTAACTATCACTCTACTTCACTCAGAAACATGGTTGCCACTTCTGTGAATCGCACTGCCCTGCACCCTGGTGGTGTTCAGTACGTCTACCTCGTTGCCCCTTCTCCTCACCATCTCCCTCGTCGTCGCTAACCATACTCCCCGTCTAGGCCTGGCAAGGGTCACACTGAGCTCGAGGAGGAGCTTCACGAGACCGCACACATTGATTATGACCGTGTTGCAATTGTAAGAATCCTTCTTGCCCGTCCACACCCGTCCCTGCCCGTAGCGCTGGACTAGGCTTTCTTGTATGACAAGTCGGAATTAACCTGTCTCAATAGATTGCCAACCCCGCTGTCCCCGCCCTCTACGAAGATGCCCTTGTCTACGAGACTGGTACTGCCATCACTTCCAGTGGTGCCTTGAGCGCTTACTCTGGTGCGAAGACTGGTCGGTCACCCTCGGACAAGCGTATCGTCAAGGAGGAGTCCTCAGAGAACAATGTCTGGTGGGGACCCGTCAACAAGCCTATGACCCCTGATGTGAGTTTTATATTTAAATTTTATCTATGAGTGATTTTTTGCCCGCTTGCATTTTTGGCCGGTCTACGTGGTTGAGAGTTGCCCTTGCAGATGGCCCGATGCGAGCTCCACCCATGGTCCCTTGCATATGCAGCCGGGTCTCAAGCTTTTCTGGCAGTCGGTGCAACTACTCAAACTATGTATTCGTCTGATCTCCGATGCCTTTTTGGATCCCATCGTTGCTTGCATTCCCCGCTCGGCTGTTCTCACGGCTTTCCCCGCGCTGCCGAGGCTTTCACATGATGACGTCATTACTAACGAGCCTATCAGGTGTGGCGTATCAACCGTGAGCGTGCTGTGGACTACCTGAACACCCGCAACCGCATCTATGTCATCGATGGTTTCGCCGGTTGGGACGAGCGCTACCGCATCAGCGTTCGTGTTGTCTGTGCCCGTGCCTACCATGCTCTCTTCATGCGCAACATGCTTATCCGCCCGTCTCGCGAGGAGCTCGAGCACTTCCACCCCGACTATGTCATCTACAACGCCGGCTCTTTCCCCGCCAACCGCTTCACTGAGGGTATGACCTCAGCCACCTCCGTCGCCATCAACTTCGCCGACAAGGAGATGGTCATCCTGGGTACCGAGTACGCCGGTGAGATGAAGAAGGGTGTCTTCACCGTCCTCTTCTACGAGATGCCCGTCAAGCACAACGTTCTGACCCTCCACTCTTCCGCCAATGAGGGTGAGAATGGCGATGTTACCGTCTTCTTCGGTCTGTCCGGTACCGGCAAGACCACCCTGTCTGCCGACCCTAAGCGTAAGCTGATCGGTGATGACGAGCACTGCTGGTCCGACACTGGTGTCTTCAACATCGAGGGTGGCTGCTACGCCAAGTGCATTGGTCTCTCTGCCGAGAAGGAGCCCGATATTTTCAACGCCATCCAGTTCGGTTCCGTCCTCGAGAACGTCGTCTTCGACCCCATCAGCCGTGTTGTCAACTACGACGACTCCACCCTGACCGAGAACACCCGCTGCGCCTATCCCATCGAGTACATCGAGAACGCCAAGATCCCCTGTGTCAGCGAAAACCACCCCACCAACATCATCCTGCTGACCTGCGATGCCCGCGGTGTGCTGCCCCCGATCTCCAAGCTCACCCCCGAGCAGACCATGTTCCACTTCATCTCCGGCTACACCTCCAAGATGGCCGGTACCGAGGACGGAGTCACTGAGCCCCAGGCTACCTTCTCTTCCTGCTTCGCTCAGCCCTTCCTGGCCCTGCACCCCATGCGCTACGCCAGCATGCTCGCTGAGAAGATCAAGACGCACAAGGCCAACGCCTGGTTGCTCAACACCGGCTGGGTCGGTGCCGGTGCCACCACCGGCGGCAAGCGCTGCCCTCTCAAGTACACCCGTGCCATCCTGGACGCCATCCACAGCGGCGAGCTCGCCAACGCCGAGTACGAGACCTACGACGTTTTCAACCTGCCCGTGCCCAAGGCCTGCCCCGGTGTCCCCAACGAGCTGCTCAACCCCAAGAACAGCTGGACCGCCTCCACCTCCTTCAAGGACGAGGTCACCAAGCTGGGCAGCCTTTTCAACGAGAACTTCAAGAAGTACTCCGACGAGGCCACCCCCGAGGTCCTCGCCGCTGCTCCCCAGGTTTAGTAAGGGAGAGTCTGGACGTTATCAAAATTGGCATTATGGTTTTTTGAGTCATTTGCATGGCGTGTTGCGTTTGCTTTTGTGATGATCCCTGAGCTTGGATCTCACGCCCCCGCCGCTTGTATCGGGACGAGCGCGCGGGTCTTGTTACCCGGTCTCCCGATATGGGTGTTTTTTTCCTTTCCTTTTGTCTCTTTTCATCTCCTTATGTATCTTGTTCCACATTGATGGACATATTCGACGATTGGATCTATCGGAGTTTCTCTCTGGATATCCCCTCACCATAACCAATAAAATCAGATTTATGATCATTCTCTCTCTGCTGTAGTCTCGTAGACGCAAACCCTGTAAGGCCCTGGTAAGTTGCTGCTGGTCATGTATGGACATGTCTAGCTCCTAGGATCCTTCCTACCTTGCTGAGTATATAGGCGATGACGTCCCAGGCCTCTCGTTCATTTATTTGTATATCCATGAACCTTGCATTGTTCCATCTGTTCAAAATCACGAAAATGAAATGCCACGGGACTGCCCGTGGGATCTGACAAGACATATTGTTTGAGGGATTGTAGCTTTTATCTCACCTTCAGCCCTGACCAATCGTGGCCAGGTGCCTCCAATATTGTCAAACCGGCCAGTCAACGGGTTTGAAAGGTTGATGCACAACAATCGCATCCATGGGATCATTTCGGGATCAGATGCTGTACACCTCGAACCTTGGGTCAAGGAAGAAGAACGAAAACATGTATATATTTTCAAAATCCCTGTCGGTATCCTTGAATCATGCCCTATACCTGCAGAAGTAGATATGTTTGAAGACACTGTTCGTCCAAAGCGTCAAAGATCCCTTGTATTTAGGATATTTTAAGCACTTTGACATAGACCGTACTACTAATACTAAAGTCTAGGATGCAAACCAACACTAAAACCCACAATCCCCATCTACCACCCTGATTGCCGAAACTGCCCCCACCCGTCCGCTGCATCCACTTTACCGAGGAAATACACCCGCTCCCGAGATTGTATACCGGGGCATCGTCGGCCTACAGAAACTGGAGCGCCAGAATGGCGAAGACCGTTTCCGCGGAGGGGAGTCTGGAACGGACGGGTTGGCGATGGGTTTGACAGGGGTGGGGACCGAGGGCTCCTCCGCGGTGAATTGAGCTGCAGGGGCTGTTGAATTGAGATGATAGGGTATCATTGCAAGGTGGGATCTTTGTTGGGATTCACGAAAGGGACGTGGAAGTCGGAGATGACCGTGACGGTGTTCGGTGAAGTAGGGTACCTGATCTACTCCGTACTTCAGGGTCCAGGATTATGTATACACCGGTCCATCTAGACTGCAGGTCTAGGAGCGAATTGCCCTCGGGGCTACCCAATTGAACCAGTCTGTACGTAAATCCTCACCTGAGATTCCCGTGGACCTTGCCGCGCACACCCCGGTAGACCGGTTCCCCAATATTGAGCAGCGCAGAGCTGACGCAACGTCATATCAACGCGGAATAACAGCTTCGCGGTCAAAGGACATAATCGTCGGACTGCAGTCCTCCGCCTGCATCCCAATCAAGCGCCACGGAAAACGAGCTATCGCAGAAGCTTGGCTACCAGGGCCTTGCCGCAGCCGAACCGCCATGCCGTGATGGTATCCGGCGAACAAGTGCCGGTCATCGGCGAAAAGTAGAGCAACGGGAGCTAAAGATCGGAGGATTCCAGACGGATAGAGGGAGGCGCCTCAACAAAACGGGGCGGCGCATCCCCTATGGCATCCCGCCGTTGGTATTCCCGGGGGCGTCATTGGACGAGGTCGGACCGGGGGGCCGGTATATCGTCGATATCGTCAGTGCAGACAGGACCCACTATGGTCGTGCTCCTTGACGGGATTCGGATTGGGGAGCCCGGGAGAATATTACTGAGGAATAGCCGTGGTCCGTCAGGCCGAGAGACACGTGGTACAAGACCACGAGTCCATCAGGCTGGCTAATTATAACATCCTATCAAATGCGAATGTAAGTTATCGGGAATATAGAAGGGCAATCGCATAGATGCCTTTATCCGAGGGAAACACGTACCAGGCCGGGTTCCCGAACCGTTCTCGTGGAGCCGGAAACAGTCTAGCGCCGCGATGTGGGGTTCCGAATTTAGCTCGTGCGCTAGTTGGAGACTGCGATGTTGATGGGGATCATGGTGGTCGTCATACTGTAATCGCAGCGACGCAGTCCGTAAGGGGGAAGGACTCCGTACATAAGAGCAGAGGCAAGAGGAGCAGAAGGCGAGAACAGGGTGAAACCGGACCGACCAGTCTGGTGACGAGCTTCCCCCGCACTTTTCACACGTTGGACGTGATCGACGCGATTGGCCCACTCGGTGGGGGGTCTGCGATATTCGCCAGTACTGCGATCCGCGAGGCCGATTCTCAGTGATTCACCATGGTAGGGACCGGGGAACTCGCGGCTAATTGACCGGGCGGAAGGGCCCAGGGCTGCTCGGATCTCGCCATCGGATGTTCGCGGTACGACTCAGTACTCCTCGTTGCACACTGGGCATATAGAACAAGCTCGGGCCCCGTGAATCACGGATCAACCCTGTCCCTGCTAGCTTTGGCGAGTCCTGAAGTACTCCTCCCTCCCCCGCACCTGACGTGACTCTCCCCTTGCAACAACTGAGCTGTTGAAACATTGTATACCTTATACAGTGTTGCGATACGTCATCGGTAGGTTCCACGGTCCGCACCAACGAGGTCGAGTCACTCAAAGGAAAGAAAGTTTCAGGAGAGCAAACTGTCATTTGAGTCATCTGCGTCAAAAAGTCAAAAGTCGGTGGTAATCTACCTCGTCCAGCTTCCACTCGTTTGCGCCGCATCAGGCCAACTGACCTCGACGCTGCACAGATCTGATCTGAATCAGAAACATGGCATCGAAGTCAGTCAAAGAGACCGCCAGCAATGCGGCCGCCTCAGCTAAAGAGGCCTCCAAAGCCGCCATCGAGAACCCATCTCAAGCCACCCAAAACATCCTGCACAGCCCGTACATGCGACTCGCCCTCCCCTTCGTCAACGGCGGCCTCGCCGGCATGACGGCAACCGTAGTAATCCAGCCCGTCGACATGGTCAAAGTGCGCCTGCAGCTCGCCGGCGAAGGAGCAAAGACCGGCCCCCGTCCCACCGCGCTCGGCATCACTCGCGAGATCATTGCCTCGGGTAAAGCCTTGGATCTATACACCGGCCTCTCGGCCGGTCTCCTCCGCCAAGCCGTCTACACAACCGCGCGTCTGGGCTTCTTCGATACATTCATCAAGAAGCTCAACGCCCGCGCCGAAGCCGCAGAGCGCAAAGTCACCTTTGCCGAACGTGCCGCCGCAGGCCTCTCCGCAGGCGGCATCGCCGCGATGATTGGAAACCCGGCGGATCTCGCACTGGTCCGGATGCAGTCCGACGGCCTGAAGCCGCGCGAAGCCCGGGCAAACTACCGATCCGTGTTCGACGCCCTGGTCCGAATCCCGCGCAACGAAGGCGTCGCCGCGCTGTGGGCCGGCGCTTTGCCGACCGTCATCCGGGCCATGGCCCTGAACATGGGCCAGCTGACCTTCTTCGCGGAAAGCAAAGCACAGCTGAAGCAGCACACGACCCTGTCTGCGCAGAACCAGACATTTGCGGCGTCCGCGATCGCCGGTTTCTTCGCTAGTTTCCTCTCCTTGCCGTTCGACTTTATCAAGACCCGGCTGCAGAAGCAGCAGAAGGATCCCAAGACGGGCCAGCTGCCATACAAGGGTGTGCTAGACTGCGCGCGCAAGGTTGTCGCCGAGGAAGGCTGGATGCGCTTTTACCGTGGCTTTGGAACATACTACGTTCGGATCGCTCCTCATGCGTTAGTTGCCCCCACCTTTTGCCCGTTCGGGACGTGACAGGAGTTGCTTTTGTTGAAATGGACCCACTGACATGATCTGCAGCATGGTCACTCTCATCGTCGCCGATTATTTGAACCTCATCACCAGATAGACTCTTCTCGATCTGTTTGGCTGGATGCCATTGAACGATTTGCTTCATTTTGCCGCGTTTTCCGTTATTTCGGTGTCTCATTTTGCTCTCGACTTCGCGCGTGGAAAAAGACCCCGACTATTCAGATACCCCCTCGAACACGTCGTTACTGGGTTATCCGTTAGTATTTCTTATCGAGTCTACTTTGACTCTCGCGAGCTCCTATCGCCTCGTCGCACGATGACTATTTCCCGTCTTGGCCTCCCGCGTCGCATCCCCGTTCGCCGTGCACACCGCTGCCTCGGAGCGCTTACTCGCGGAGCAGTCTCGACCAGCTTGGCAAATTAATGACGGAAAAGCACAATCGATCATTTTCCAATGTTTTTTTTCTCCCCGGGATGATAATCATGGGTGTCAGCCGTGACGGCTACGAGGCAGGCCCGTGTTCTCCGCGGAAAGCGACCGGTCGATGGTGGCTAATTTCTATCGATTTTTTTTCTTATTTTTCCTGGACAGGCGAATACCCCCACCCTTGTCTTTTCTTGCCTTGCCTTGTCTTGCGCAGTCGCTGTCAGTTCGTGTTTGTGTTTCGATGATGTAGGATGGGCATTGCTCCATACATTAATACCTGCTATCCATTGCGCTCGATCTGCTCTGCTCTCTAGTTTCAGTAGAACCAGTCTAGAGAATACACATACAACGTTCCTGATGCTGGCGTTGCTTCGTGATTTGTTTGAGACAGGCGTGACGTGAATCCATGGATCCGTACTGGATGAACGACTTTGATTAGTTCGTGCCACCGTAACGCTACAGAGTTCCACTGCCGTTTACTTAATGTAGAAACCTAGCACGATACGAGTGAAACGAAATATAATTTATGAAGCCTTTTTTTTACAAAAGAGCACTCAAGTGCCCGGGCTAAGAATATGGATATTGTGATTAAAAGAGCCGTAAAGGAAATCGTGTGCGCATGTCGGATGATTCATCGATTGCACAGTGTGAACGCCATGGGGCAATAATGTACCGAATTGGCGAAAATGAACACTTTAGATGGCCTCATGACCAACGCGCTTTTGATCCATCGTACCAAGGGGCAGGACGTCCTCGGCAGTCTCGTCCGTTCCGCGCAGGTCCTCCTCGAGAGGGACCGAGTCCTTGATCTTGAACCAGACCAAGGGAGCGGCGATCAGGAGCGAGCCGCTGAGCAGACCCCAGTTGGACGCAAACTCAGACATGTAGGGCAATTTGTTATTGTCGAGACTCCACATCACCGCGGCACCGGCGGACTGCAGGCCCTTGTAGAATCCGGCCAAGTTGGCAAGCTTGCGGCCGGAGTTGCCGAGGGCACCCATCATCCTGTTTCCGTTAGTTATTCTGCATTTAAGATAGCGGTGGAAGAACTTACCAGTAGACAAAGCCTTGCCAGACAGCATCGTACAGGCCGTAGAAGAAGTACAGGAACATGGGTCCCACGTAGCCGGGGGTGGACCAGTCCGTCGGGGTGAAGGACTTGGCACTGACACTCTCACGAGTATACTGCTTCTGCCAAGCGAAGCCGCCACCCCAGATAATCATCGTCAAAATGAAAAGAACACCCAGGCCAATACGAGCGCGAATGCTGCGGCGGATACCCTCGATATCCAACAGCGGGCCGATGACGGCAGCGGCGATGATCTGAGCGAACCAGTAGAGGAAGCCGTTCAGGGACTTGGTGCGGGTGTCAAAGTGGGCAGCGTTGATGCCGTTCTGCTGGTAGGTGTAGAACCAGTTGGAGGCAAAGAACATGGGGAAGAGGAGGATGATATAAGGCTCCGAGATGATGGTGTCCCACAGGCCGACGAATTCGGTCTTCCAGCTCGGGTTCTTCATCAGGATAACCTTCGAGCCATCAGGGCGAACGACCTTGTCGGCATCGCAAATGAAGAGGGCCAGGCAGGCGCCGCAGAACATGAGAACGATGAACGCGATGTAGGTGCCATCACTGACTGTGCTGTTGGTCTTGACGTTGATGTTACTTCCGAGCGGGATCTATGCAGCTTGTTTAGTTGTGGATGACACCGATGGACGTGACGGTTCTTACCAGACTGCCAATACAGGCGCCCACGTTGAAGATACCCCAGAACCAGGCAAAGTAACGGCCCTTGCGCTGCTCACCGGGGTATGACATCATGATGGTGCCCTGCGCAGACCACAGCAGACCGGCGCAGACACCCAGAAGGGCGCCGGCGAAGATGTTGAAGCCGGGGACATAATCGTGCACGGAGACGAGGAGACTGATGGAGTAGATGCAGTAGCCAATACCACCAAACGAGAGGGCAAGGCGAACACCCAAACGGTTGACGAAGGTACCGGCGAAGAAACCGACAACGGCAAAAGTACTGTAGAGGGCAGTGTTCTGCAGTCGCGATTAGTACATTGGGAATAATAAAAAAAGCCACCCCACATCTCAAAACGTACCATGTTATCGGCCAGACTAGGGTTAGATTTACCACCGCCACCCAAGCCACTCAGGGCATTGAACATGCCGGGGCAGAGGAAGCAGACAAAGGCGACCATGCCGAGCTGGAACTTGGGCGAGGCGTACCAGCCCAAACGGCCCATTCGCTTGTACATCCATCCCGACGGGCGGATGACATCGTCGTACTGGTGAACAGGAGGGGAAACCGACGTTTCAGTGCCAACACGGGCAGTCTTGGGGCCAGTTTCAGTTTCCATCTCGGCCATGATGAATGTGCAAAAAGACCAGAACGCGGGGGAGAAGGAGGTGTCGATCTGGGGAAGAGTGTGGGGAAGGAAAGGAAAAGAAAAAACAGAGGACGAAAGCAGCTTAAAAGTGAAGAACCGAAGCTCTCACTTTCTAGAAGAAAAAAAAAGCCGACCCCAGAAAAAATACGACCACGAGGCAGGGTGACATTCACGGCGGCGCCAAACCAGAAATGGAGCTAGCACCTTTGGTTGTCGCTTCTCGTCGGCTAATCAGGTGTTTGCGGGGTTCAATGCGATCCGGGGAGTCTCGATAGCCGATTGCAATGTTGCACCGGACGGGTTCCCCCGCAGATACGCGGAGTGGTATTCAGTGACTACTTGATTTATATCGGAGTGTGACCCTGGCGATGCCGGTAGCATGTGGCGTACGCACTAACGTCAAACACAGACAAGATTGGGAATAGGGGGCGAATCGAGTCCGTGGGGGAGGGCAGCGTTAACTCGATCGAGTTAGCCGACTCGACGCCACCGGATTTCAGTTTTGATAGCTACAGGGGTAGCAGAAATTATACCGACGACACCCTGGCATGGCCGGGGTCAAACTATGAGTTGCAACAATGGAAGAGTTGAAGTATATAGTCGAATGATCTTCTTATCTCCTCCAGCAGGTGGTCCACCTGCTCGCGTGGGTAACGTGGGTAACGTGGATAACGTGGATCCGCTCCACTACTCTTCTTCCGATGATGACTCGCTCTCACTCTCGCTATCTATCATCCTGTCCTGGGTAGGAATAGGCTCGGGCTTCACTCGTATCTCATCCACATCCACCATGTCGTCATCTGCATCAACTGCATCGCTGGCCAGTGTCAATGGGCCCTGCATGTCGCGGCGCTGCTGCGACCCCTCCAAATCATCCTCCGCCTGCCGCGCCGATAATTCCTCTGCGCGCCGAACCTTGCGTAGCAGAACCGGATCCGATCGGAGGTCGTCCTTGGTAAGTGGAATGGAACACACGGGACACTTGACTGCCCGGATTCGGCGGCCGCCTCGCACAGACGGAGGTGGGAACTGGAAGCCGCTGCGCGAGATCATGTCGTAAATCGCTTCGCGCTCGAAGCTGTGTGGGCATTTCGTGCTCGTAACGGGGTCTCGGAATGGGAGGAGAGTGAGTGGACACTTCAATGAAATGCGCTCCCTCTGAATCGCGATGTCGTCCGAGTCTGCAGGCGAGGGGTCGCGCTTGTTGCGTGTGCGGCGGGTTGACGGACTGCCCGCCGTGCTTCCGTTCGCATTGGGATCTTCCAAATGTGCAAACCATGTAGAAGCGTGTGGGAGGGGGGGCACTTCGTCGTCGGGAAACTTGGAGTCGTGTACGATGCGGTAGAAGCCGATGTAGTTGTTGTTGCCCGCGTACCTGCATCACCTATGTTAGCCCTTGAAGCCATCACGTAGAAGAAAATCGGTCGTACCTCTCCGTTAGGGATTGGCTATTCCACTTTTCTGATCCTTCCTCCAGCGCATTACCCAACCGGTGACTGGGCGGATTCTGCGCATTCGTTTCTCTAGCGTTTCGCTCCGGTGTGCCCTCGTAATCTGCATCCTGCTCACCATCCTCGCCATCGTCGTCATCACTCTCGTGCCTCTGATGGCGCTGGCCACGCGTCCGTCGAGTCCCGAATGCAGCCTGTTGCGCTTCGCCCACTTCTCGATCCAGGGTTGTCATGGCATCCTGCAATCCCTGAAATCGGGATTCTGAATCGATAACCATGCGCATCTTCTCTTCCATCCGCCCCGTCACACCATCGACCTTTCTCTCCGTCTCAGCTAATCGCTGATACTCCTCATTTTCGTCATCTTCCTCGACGTCCACGTCTTCGCTGGCACTGGCGCCACGTCGTTTCTCCTTTGCACGCTCGTATCGTACCCGTGCGTCACTCAGTTTCTCATTTACGTCACCGGCGGAATCGGTGAGTTTCTCGGCCGCGTGCTGGAGGTGGGTTTTAAGGTGTCTGGAATAGTGCGAGTTCAGGAGCGTTGCCAGCTGTCGGTGGCTTTCGGCGGTAAGAGGGGCCTCCGGAGGCTGATATTCTGGTAGTTCGGGGACTTCTGCTGCCCGTGGAGTGGCTTGACTGCGTGCGCTGGGTGGCGGGCGAGACCGAGACAGCGTTGAGCGCTGTCGCGCCGGGGTAGTGGAGAGCATCCCGACAACTCTGGGGCGAAGGTACTCAGCAGGCGGTAATGTATCCAACGAGCCCTTGCTATCGTCAGAGGAAGGATATTTCAAGAGAGCTAAACCCGGGAGTCAAAGTTGTTGGACGCTGCACAAAGCAGGCGAACGACTCGAAATCCAAACGCGTCGCGACCGCGCTAGTCCCGATTGGGCTACAGTGGACTGATAAGCTTATCGGCATTCTTCGCCTGCGCAGTCGACGGGCCATGCCTCGACTTTCTTCACGTTTAAATTCTTCTAGACAGCGAGGAATGAATTGAAATGCATAGTGAGTATACAGAGAGTACTTAGTGTACAAATTATGGAGTGAGGTAGGTACTGCCGACTTAGACCTTGTAGAAACAAAAGGCGTGGTAGAAGCCTGGAAGAAGGTGAGCATTGGAAAAGTGCACAGAGCGAAGCAATACTTACTAGCGGCATCCTTTTCCTCTTCGGTCATATTCAATTCACCGGTTGCCCGGTTGCGAACACCCATACGCTCACTCAGCGGGCCCAGCTCGCGGTCGTTCTTCTCTTCCTCCCAAATTTCCAGGAACGGCTTGCGGTATTGGAGTTCCAGGTTGTAGTCCTCGGTCAAGCTGGAGTCAAAGTCAGTTGTGATCAACGCACGCATATTGTAAAAACTCACGCTCGGAATGCCTCCCAAGGCACAACGTATTCAGGCACCTCCTCGACTGCCTCCTGCATGAAGTACGTATACCTCCATCCAAACGGCGGACGGAAGATACCGTCCTCAGGAGTCTTGCCAGGGAATCGAACTCGGTAGATTTCATTACCCCACTCAGCCCGGTCATCCTCCTCAACCTCGCCATCCTCAGGGGCCTCAGGCTCGGCAGTTTTGGAGGCCTCGCGCTCTTTGCGCTGCTTGTGGAATGCGCTGACTTTGCTGGTGATCACGTCGGAGTTCGGGCACACGGCAATGAATCGACCGCCCTTCTTCAAGCATCCCGCCACGTTGCTGAGCATCTGACGCGCCTTCTCCTCGGTTTCAAACGCGTAGTGAATAGCAAACATGGACGTCACAACGTCGAAGCCACCACCGCCCCATCTAGAGGCCATTATGGAACCACCAGGTCCGGCATTGGGGTCGATTCCAACCTGCTGGATAATGGGGACATCGCCAAGGAATTCGCCGAAGCAGTCTTTCGTAAAGAACTCGCCATGGAACTGAGGCCGACGACCGCGCTGCCGTAGCATCTGACTATACCGATCCCGCGCCTGTTCAATAGAGACATGGGCCGGGTCGAGTCCGACGTAGAGTTCCACCGCCTGAGGAGTCTGCGCCCACTTGCCCAGATCGCCGCCCTTGCCGCATCCGATATCCAGCACGAGCAATGGCCGCACCTCCGACGTAGGCGGACCCACGCTCTCATCGGCCCAATCCTTGCTATCATGGTACTGCGCGACAAACTCCTCCGAGGGGGAGAACTTCTGAATCAGTGTACTCTTCACCCAATTGTTGAAACTGCGCAGGCCCTTGATCTTGCTGTCCGTCTTTCGCCATTCACGACCGCGCTGCGGAACGGCGTTGTAGTGCTGCCGCACGTAATCCAGTCCACCGCGCTGGGTGGATTGCCGTAGCGCATCCATCTCTTGCTCGCGTTCACGTTCCTCCTGTCGGCGTAACACATCCGCACCCCTGCTGGCTCCCATGCGGGATCCACCGCCTGGTCGTTTGCGTTGCCGCGACTGTTCTTCCGGGGTCGGCGAGCGAGCTGGCAGTGGGGATCGAGATCGTCGGGAGTCTTCGCGCGGAGTGCCATTCCTGGGGCTGCGGGATCGGTCGCGGCGTGAAAACATCGTTGAAGGTGCATCGCGCCTCCGCGGCAGGTGTCGTTCCTGCATTCGCCTGCGCTTTGAAGCGGACCCGGAAGACCTTGAATCCTCGTTCGATCCGCGACTGTAATCGCCTGGGTTCCCATTCTGTTCGATTACCGGTCTGGAGGTAGAAGATGTACCGTTCCTATCGGCCTCGCCGGCTGACCTGGGTGTAGGTGGCTTGGGGGCTCCCGAGCCGGATGAGCCTTCCATTTTGCGTGGGAAAGAGGTGCTGCTATGTCGTGGTAAGACGCACGGTACTCTGCAAGATATTGCTTTGGTATCCGTTCAAAATAATTTCAAGCGAGTCAGAGAGAGAAATGTTGGAAAAGTAAAGAGTGCGAAGGTGAAGATTACTCTTCGCGGTGGACGCAGGGAGCTCCGAGGTGGGTCTCCATCACAGTAGCCTTCGGGCCAATCAATTACCACATGGATAGTGGCCGTGTAAAGAGATGTCTAGCAAGATATTTCAGGAAATACCTGGAAAGGGACAAAGATGTCCAGGCATGCTTACAATGCCTCCTTGTTCCCCGTACGCGGCACTATTTAACTATTTAACTACCACTACGTATATCCTTCGGAGACAAAACCAAAACGCAGATGAAATAAGGCCTACCTACTAACGTATGCAAATGAAACAGCCTCGCCTCCACCCAAAACCATCCCTCAGAACCATTTCCACCTCCATTCCCCCAAGCATAAAGCAAAATGAAATGAGATTTCGAAAATCACGAAGGCCATAGATCAGAATCGCTGCAAAATCCCCCCCCCCAGACACCATTTTCTCCATTTGCATAAACCACTTTGTAACTCACTTCTCCATCGTGGTCTTGTTAACTTGCTCTTGCAGCATCCAGCATGATTTTTGAAGCGCCAGGAGTCTCATGATGAGATCGTTGATACTGATCTTGAATTGCAAGTTGCTCGAAGTCTCGCAAGCTGTCGATAAGGCGATGTTTAACTTGTGAACTTCTTGGTGAATCCACGCAACGGATCTCTCGAGCTCACCCATTGCCATGAGATCCATATTGCCTGTCTCGTACCGTTGGATGAATGGAACTATTTCGTTGTCAAGGTACAGACGAATTGAATCGTTTTCTGGGCTTTTCATGTGGGCTGGGTCATAGAGCTGTGGTTTGTCTTCACCACTTTTCTCTTTTCCCTCTCCGTTCCTCGGTCCGAATGGATTCCCTCTCATGGGCCGATCCAGACCAGTCTTTGAAGCTGCTGAAGATGGTGAGACTGCTAAAACTGCACTGGCATTTTCGGCACGACAGGTACTCCCCGATGCTGCTTCGACTGTCGAAGTATGAGAAGCAGAGGTCGCAAAATCCCTGCGAGGACTGCGGGAACGACGCCTAACTAGGGGCCGGGAGAGTCTGTTCCGGGCGGAAGAAATTGGAGGACTAGCCACTGAATTGCTAGAGGGTCTGGTAGAGCCCGAACGACTTCTGCTGCGGTATGAATGGGACGAAGGCGGACCAGTCTCACGAGAAGGCTGAGGAGACTGAACCTCGCTAGTAACAGCAGCAGAAGTGGCTACAGCTGGTTCGGGGAGGGACTCAAAAGACCCCTGCAAAATAGGCCCAGGACGAGCATCGACAAGCGACATCAAAACGGGCGTGGAAAGAGGCTCTTTCCCAGTAGGAGCCGAATTCTTATGCTTTGCCTCTGGTACATTCAGGCTTCCTTTGGGCTCAGAATTGTCTTCAGCGGCTTCATTCGTCTTGCTCATCTTGGCCTTTTTCCTGATGGGCTTTCCAGATGCCTCCCGTTCTTCGCGCTGCTGAATGCGTTGCTGAATGGTGTCCGAACGAGAGGGAAGATTTGACGCGAGGATATATTCCGGATATCTCATTTCTCCAGATGGGAGTTTCTCGAATATCAGATGATAGTATTGACGACGGAGGTTTCCATTGCTAACGAAGTAATTATAATACCTTTTGCGGAAACTGGGGCCCTGGGTAATGAGCTTTCTGATTTGATCATCTGTCAACTCTGCTTGTTCATCCGGGAAATCGCGGGGCAAACTTTCAGGCTTGTCATAAACATTCCGTGGTGCATGCGATTTGGGCTTTTTGGAGGCTTCGCCAGCGTTGAGAGCAGGAGGGCGGATGCTGGTACTGGTGGGGGTACCGGGCCCAGTCGTATCTTCGGTGGGTTCGTCTTCTGCCAGACTGACCTTGGCCAACTCTGCCATCTTTTTGGCGTGTTTCAACTTGGAAGAAGTGCTGATAAACGTAAATGAGTTGGTCGCCGGCGAAGCAGAAGCTGCGGTAGTCATATTTGCATTTTCAATAGAAGGTGCACCTCCCGGCCCAGTAGCCCTCTCCTTTCCCTTGGTGTTCTCACTGGAATTCATGACGATGGAAGTGGATTTTGTATGTGAACTGAGATATGTCTGGAGAAGTCTTAGCAGAAACTATGACTCTTGAGGAAGGAAGAGTTGTAAGGAGGAAGATGTTCAAGGAAGAAGAACTGGAAGTTTGAATGGAGTGACTGATACCGAGATAGTTGGCCAGGTGAGGGATGCTGCGTAGTGGTGCATAGGAGAAAGTGAGGAAAGGAAATGAATATCGGAAGAAGATGAACGCGAAGATGTGTGCAGACCGTGAGTCGTCGAATTATGTTGATGGGGTATGTTGATGAAATTTGCGTCGATGAGATGCTGCTTCGAGCTTCGATGCAGCACGAACAGAGAGGGACAGACGGGAGTGTATGATCAAAGTAGGTAATGGCTACGACTGTTATTGATGAGCAGTAGGGGACCCTCTTTGATAAAAGACCTCGGGAATGTTCAACGGAGCTGGCAACGAGAAAATAAGGTATAATTGAGAAGAGGAGACAGAAGAGAGTAAGAATATTTAAGTAACCACCTTTGGGAAAAGTAATCGCAAGGATGTTACATCAAGATGTCCAGATGCTTAATCTGTTCCAGGACATTTTCTGCACAAAGTGAGATGAAAATCCGTCACTGGACACCCGGAACCATCACAAGTTATACAAACAGAGCGTAGATGGAGATGTTAGTTGAGGTTGTTGTCGGAGACGATATATCATGTAACACTGTTGATATTGATGTTGATATTTAGAATGGATATGCATGTGCCTCCACCGAAACGCCGCCATTATAAACACCGCGCGCTATGAAACGTAAAGAACCGGAGATAATGAGTAGAAAGAAGGATATCACTTGGAGTTGGTAGATTTGTGTAGCGAAGCCTTGGGTGTCAAGACCTGCCGCATGCGCCGAATCTTCGCCCACCATTCACGGTCAGCCTTTTTCTTCTTTTCCTCGTCCTCTTCGCCTCCGAATGTCTCCGCCGGTGAAGTACTCCGGGCTGTACGAGGCAAGTCCATGGGTGCTGTTGAACGAATGCGGCGACGGTGTTTCACCCGGAGCGCCTCTGACACCGCCTCCCAGCCGCTGCGTAGCTCGTCAGGGTTCTCATTAGGTCGGCCTGTTCCGCTCTGAGCAAGCCGATCAATCCACGGACAGTATTCCATATGTTCGGTAGCAACCTCCAGAGACGAGTAGACAGTGACGTCTCCGTTTTTCTTGGGCTTGTACATCCAGAGACCTAAGCGACGGAAACATGCCTTGCACCCAACCAGGCCAGCAGCCGCATCGGCTACTGCGTTCCAACCGAAGAAAGACAGTGTCAGTGCTGCTCGATTAATAGGATGGGTATCATCAGCAGGCGGCTTCGAAATTGCCGCTGTTGGCGTTGGTGTCGGTGGTTGCGAAGCTGGTTCCTGGTCACCAGCATTGTTTTCTTTCGATGCGTTCGTCTCCACAGATTCATTGGGATCTGTTGACCAGTCCTCGGGCAGGATTTTGATTAAACTTTCAATGTCGAATCCATCAGGGGTCTTTATGATGTTATCGGCCGGTAGTTTATCTCCCATCTTAACGAGGTTGAGGTAGCGTTCTCGCAGCCCGGCGATGGCAGTGTCTGGGTTGGCCAGTGGGAGATGTTGAATGGTCGCTGAAAACATAATAAGTAGACGAAAGAATGGTATGAAGATTTAGTGACTGACCATCGCAGCTCTTATTCCGCCACGGACAGTTCTCGCCATGAGCTTCTTTCATGAGCTTCTCATATTCCTCCACAAGTTTCATGCCTATTGCGATCCAGTTAGCAAGAGGTCTCACTCTAGTAAAGAAAAATGCAGTGTCAACGTACGGACTTGCTTCCTCTCCTGGACCTTCTCGACATCATATCCATCGAGCTCATCGATCTCATCTGGTACCTTTACCACGACGGAGCCGCCACAACCACTAACGCAGCTCACGCGCATGACATCTGTACAAATCCAGCCGCGCTTCGCCCATTGCACTTCGTTGATCGGTGGCGGTTTGGTGGTCCATCGGTCGACGCGGCGAAAGGTCTCGAGCCGCTCCAAGAATCGTTCGCGGTCCCAAGGCACGAAAGTCGGGCGTTTAGAGGAAGAGGTCGATGAAACGTGGACGGATGGGAGTGAAGTTTTGAGTATCGAGTTTCGAACGGACGCAAAGTCGGATTGGTCATTGCTGCTCAAGCGAACCTTCTTGATAGAGAGATCACCGGGGAGACGACCGCGCGCCGAGGCGGCTGGCGCGGGCTTCGATGTCGGCTGTTTCGCAGCATTTTCGGATATAAGAGGCTTGGAAATCGATTCCAGCACCCTGTGGAACTTTCGCTTCTTCGACTCAACGGCGTACGACATGGCGAGACTGCGATGGCGAAGCAGTGAAGTTGGCACAGATCAATCAGCCGTGAGGCCGAGAGCTGCGATCGAAAGCGCCGTGGTTGCCTCAGGCATTCACAACCAACACTTTGATTGATGCTTTCGTTGATGAAAGCAGATGAATAGAAAAGCGCATTCATCTTGATATTAAAATCAGAACAATCTCAATTGACCATCAGAATGCTATGCAATGCCGTTTTTCTAGGTTGCTAAATCCTTCGTCTCTGATTGGCCGCATGCCGTGATATCTTATGATCTCCCGAAATCACAACTTCACTTTTTCCCTTGTTCACCATCACTCGTTCGCCATGGCTTCCCTGGGGGCACCTCTGTCTGCATGGAGGAGCCTTGCTCCCCGTCTCTCTAGAGACCTCTTCACTTGTCGACAATGCCTTCGGAACCAAGGCTACGCCGCCAAATCCGTCCGCCGGTTCGCCGCAATGCCCTCCCCCCAGCCGATTAGGACCCGATCCTCCCTCTTCACCGATAAGAACCGCCAGTTCTTCACCTCCAGCCTCAAGCGATCAGCTGCCGTTCCGACCTTTACAAGTGCGATTGAGGAGGGTGCTACCAAGGCCAAGTCGTCGAGTTTCCCCAAGATCAGCGACAAGTCTGTCGCGTACTGGCTTCTTGGTAGCGCTGCGAGTGTCTTTGGAATTGTGATTTTCGGTGGATTGACCCGTTTGACCGAATCAGGGTTCGTATACATAACCTTTCTCTTGAAAGGCGGAGGTCCGGAAGCTGACGGGACAAATATTGGCGCAGATTGAGTATCACCGAATGGAAGCCTGTGACCGGCTCCTTGCCGCCCATGAACGCGGAAGATTGGGACTCGGAGTTTGCCAAGTATCGCGCTTCCCCCGAATTCAAATTGTTGAACCCGAATATGACTCTGTCTGAATTCAAGTCGATCTACTATATGGAGTGGATCCACCGTCTCTGGGGCCGATTTATTGGCATGTCGTTCGTTCTGCCTGCCGTTTACTTCGTCGCGCGCAAGAAGGTTTCTACGCCTATGGCGTGGCGCCTGGCTGGTATTGCTGGTTTGATTGGCTTCCAGGGCTTCATTGGTTGGTGGATGGTCAAGTCTGGTTTGAAGGATGACCTGTTCGCGCCGGGAAGCCACCCGCGTGTGAGCCAGTACCGACTCACTGCTCACCTTGGAGCTGCTTTCACTTGCTATGTCGCCATGTTGTGGAATGGACTTGCTATCCTGCGCTCTCACCGCCTCATGAAGGACGCTGCGTCTGGCCTGAAGCAGCTGGAGGCACTCCGGGACCCGCGCCTGGCAATCTTCCGCCGCTCTGTTGCTGCTCTGGCTGTCTTGGTCTTCACAACTGTCATGTCTGGTGGCCTTGTTGCTGGTCTTGACGCTGGTCTCATCTACAACGAATTCCCCTACATGGGCCTTGGATTGACGCCGCCTAGCACGGAGTTGTGGGATGCCCGCTACTCCCGCCATGAAGACCGATCCGATCTTTGGTGGCGCAACATGCTGGAGAACCCTTCCCTTGTTCAGCTTGACCACCGTATCCTCGCTATGACTACATTCACATCCATCATGGCCTTGATGACCTACACTTTCAAATCGCCCACTATGAAGCGCCTTTTGCCGCCTAGTGCCAGGAAGGGTGTCCACGGTGTTGTGGGCTTTGCCTGCTTGCAAGTCGCACTCGGTATTACCACTCTGTGGTATCTGGTCCCTACTCCCTTGGCATCTGCCCACCAAGCCGGTAGCCTGTTCCTCCTCACCTGGGTTATGATTCTGGGCAGCCGTGTCTGGCACCCGTCGCGCACCGCAAAACTATTGCAGATGGCGGTCAAGGCCCGTGGGCAGCATCTTTCTTCCACGGCCGCCTCCGGTATGAAGAGGTTGTAAGAGATTTCAGTCTCAAGTGTACGAATACGTGGACCAAGACGGATTGCTACGTCTATCGTCTTGGTGTTCTGATACCATCTCCATTCCCTTTTCCTCCTTTCTAAGCGGTTGATTGGAGCGACCCTGTCTGTATAAGTATCATCGCCGCAGCTAGACAATGTAAAAATATGAATTGATATTCAATTGAAATTGATATCCTTATTTTCCAATTTAAGTCCAGTCAATGCGCCCCCGACCATTTTTCAAATCTCTTGCAGTTATTTCAGTTCAAAATCGTCACATCATTCTCGGAATTTCTAATCACGAGAGGCTCCAAATGTGAGCCCCCATAGCCCTAGTCGCGCATGTCAGTCGGACGCGAGGTGCGGGGCGGGTTGCGCCTAAGCAAATCCAAGTGCTTCAAAGTAGGCTCGAGCTTCTCGTTGTCCTCCTCCATGTCAGAGTGCCAAGTAATGGTGGAATCCTCAGTCACAGTGCCAACGTCCGAGTAGTCATCCATGATGTGGTCTCTCAGATGGTCGTTATTTACGGAAGCTGATTGCACACGTGGACTTTCGGCGTTGATCTGGCTGTCGGTATGCGCCGAAGGGGAGGATCTCAGAGACATCAGTACCTCAGCAGCCCCATGGTCAGCAGCAGTGGGAACGTGGTCATCAGCAGTGAGTGCGTCGTCAGCAGCGGCGAGTGGAGTGTCCATCTCACTAGGTCCAGCGGCTTCCAGCGTAGAACCTTCGTTTTCGGGGGCATGCTGGCATCGAACAGTTTCGTGAGTCTTGTCTCCGCCTCGAATTGTCTGGCATTTCCGGCAGCATTGCCAACCGCAGGATAGGCAGCGTATCATGCCCTCGCTATTTCGATGATCACAATCATCGCATTTGGCAGTGTGTGCGGCTAGCTCTTCGAATGGGACGAGGACTTTTGGACGTGGCTGAATGCGGAGGGGCAGCTTGCCGTGGATGACATTCGCGCTAGGTGAGGTCTGTTTGGTCGAAGGCTTGTGAGTTGAAGGCTTGCTATTTGGAGACGTTTTGGTTGAGGCCTTATTGTTCGAAGCCTTGTTATTGTGGGTCTTTTTGGTCGGGGTCTTCTTGTTCGAGGTTCCTTCGTTGGAAGACTTGCTCACCGAAGATGCTCTCGGTGGAGAAGATGGAAGGTCAAATCTAATCTCTCTTGGTGTATGTTCCTTCGGGGTTGCTGGGGTCTCCATCTCCCCGGTTTCAGCCTCTAGAGACAAAGGGATTAGTTCCTTTGATGGGCTTCGTTCCCAGTGTTTCGTTCCCAATAACTCTATACTTACCATTGAAGGGCCTCTTGTGTGGCACCAGGGGACTAACGTTGCGTCCATTATTGGTGGATGGAGGCGCAGGCATTGGCGATTTCTGTGAAATATCAAGTTAGCTAAATGTACTTTGCTCTGACACACCCTCAAGTATGACTGGACCGAAGAATTATCAAGTGCCTGGTTACCTAGAACGAGGATTGTAGTCAGTATTGATGCCAAGACGATGTATATAGATAAAAGCCAACCATTTCGTCGGGACCTGTCAGGAAGACACTCGGTTCAATAGGACGTGGTTGGAAATTATGAGGGTTAGCGAAGATATCAACTCCGTTTCCCTGCTCAGCGTGCGGTAGAGGGTTATGATCCTGGTGGTGGCCGCTTCCCTCATATTCTGGATTCTCAGGATGATGAGGAGGGGTGGCAGAACGATAATGGCCCTCATACCCAGATGGAGGATTCTCAAGATGACTAGGCGTGTTATCAGAGCGATAATGGTGAGAGTACATGGTGAGAGATATTATTCAGTGATGGAAGTGCGTATTGTTTGAATGTAGATGAGTTTGAATGATTGGGAAGAGATGGTGGTTGGGAGGAGAGTTCGTGGAAAATGGGGTTCTTTTATACTACGTATTCTAGGTAACGAGCGTCTGATTTAGGTACGCTGGATTCTTCCAAAACGACCACACACCCTGTATTGAGTGCTACCAGACCTCAGGATGTAGTTGCTGTGATCCCCACTCCAAAAGCATTGGTTACCATTTGATGGTGAACTTATTTAGTAAACTCGTTGACTTTGATGTCCTTGTTGTCTTTTGCAACAGCTACTTTTCCTGGCATGGGACTTCTAATCTGAGGAAAGATGGCAACATGGCACCAAGTAGATGGAGTTGCTATCATAATTGAGCAGATAGATATCAAGTGTATGGTAGTCTTGTTATTTTGACTAGCTAATGCATTTCTTATAGAAACCACTGAAGCCACATGCAGAACCCAAAAACAATCATCACACACCGAAACAGTATCAACATCCTACTCTGAAAAGTATATTATTGACACCTCCCCAGAAAAAGAATTCATATCAATTATTTGTGGGCTGTAAATTTAAAGTTAGTTCAACCGGCTCGTGAAAATTACAGGAAAGCAATAACATACGAATTCCCTCCTCAGGTGAAGGCTCAATACCGGCAACCTCGGCAGCAGTCTTATGCTCGGCCGCGGTCTTGTCATCCTTCATCATGGGGAAGGCCAGCACCTCCTTGATGGAGTAGTTGTCGGTAAGGAACATGACCAGACGGTCGATGCCCATTCCCCAACCACCGGTGGGGGGCAGACCGTACTCGAGAGATTGACAGAAGGTCTCGTCAATCAGCTGGGCCTCGTCGTCACCCTGGTTCTTCTGGTTGGCCTGCTCCTCGAAGCGCATGCGCTGATCGAAGGGATCGTTCAACTCGGTATAACTGTTGCAAATCTCCTTGCCCATGACGAATGCCTCGAAACGTTCGCACAGACCGGGATGGTCACGGTGGTACTTGGCAAGAGGGGACATCATCTGGGGGTGGCCCATGATGAAGGTAGGGTTCTGGCATGTGTTCTCGATGAATTCTCCAACCAGCTTGTCCAGCATACGGGCGTTGGTGAGGGGAGGGGAGCAGTCCACGTTCATCTTCTTGAGAATCTTCTTGAGGAACTCGTTGGTCTCCTGGGTGTGGAGCTCGGTACCCGGCGGGAACTTCTCACCGGTGGCCTCCTCCAAGGCAGGGATCATCTCCACTCGCCTCCAGGGAGCCTTCCAGTTGACAGTGTGGGCCTCGCCAGTCTGGGTGTGGAAGGTGGTTTCATAACCACCAGTAACGTGCTTAACAAGGCCGGAGACAAGGTCCTCGGTCAAGTCCATCAAGTCATACATATCGGCGTAGGCCTGGTAGAACTCACAGGTAGTGAACTCGGGGTTGTGAGTAAGATCGATGCCCTCGTTACGGAACTGGCGACCGATCTCATACACCCGCTCGAGACCACCGACGATCAGCATCTTGAGGTACAGCTCGGGAGCAATGCGCATGAACAAGTTCATGTCAAGGTCGTTGTGGTGGGTGACGAAGGGCTTAGCGGTAGCACCACCGGCAATGGCGTTCATCATAGGGGTTTCGACCTCAGTGAAATCACGCTGATCGAAGTAGTTGCGCATGTAGGTAATGATCTTGGCACGAGTGCGGAAGATGTTGCGAGAACGGTCGTTCATGATCAGATCCAGGTAACGCTGGCGGAAACGCTGTTCCTTGTCCTGGAAACCGTAGTGCTCGGAGGGAATGGCGTGGAGGCAGGGCGACAGGAGGATAACCTCAGTAGCGAAGATAGAAAGCTCACCGTCGGGACGGTTCTTGGGAGCGGTCCGTCCCGGGAAGCCGACGATACCAATAATGTCACCACGGCGCAGGTGCTCGTGTTGGTCCTCAAAGGACACGCTGCCGGTAGCATTCTGGGCCTGGCACATCACCTGGACCTTGACACCCTCGGCGCGGAGATCGTAGAAGATCAGCTTGTTGCCCGAGGCACGCTTGGTGTAGATACGTCCGGCGATGCGGATGGGGATGTCGGGCTTCTGCTCGCCCTTCTGAAGGCCATCGTACTCCTTGAGGAACTCGCGCAGGTCATTGGTGACCTGGAACTTGTGGGGGTACGGGTTGGGGTTCTTGGTCTCGCGCATCTTTTGGACCTTCTTGCTCCGGATTTCGAAGTATTGCTGTTAAGCGGGGGCGCGATGGTTAGCCTTGGCATGGCATAAGTGCGCCAATGGTACTCACGTTGGGGGTGAGGTTGGCCTCATCATCCTCAGCGGAAGTCTTCTTCTCGGCCTTGGGGGGAGCAGCAGCCTCCTTCTCCTTCTTCTTGGCCTCCTTCTCGCGGAGCTTCTGGCGTCTCTTCAATTCGGACTTGGACACCTTCTCGCCGGTGACCTCGTCAAGCAAGAGGTTGGCCATGGAGGTCTCGGCCTCCTTGACAGCGTTGGGATCCGACATAATGGTTGTCAGGAAGGGATCGAACGTGGATGGTGGGATGAAGATGGAGGGGGGCGCGAAATTTTGGGCGGGTGACGGCGGGGCAGTCTGATTGGGCAGGCGCAACTACATAGCAGCTGCCTGTCTGTGACTCATTCCCTCCAAATGATGATCCTGTACGAATTGCACTATTCATTCCACGCGTTCTACGTTTGCTACTTCCTGTCATAGCAGCTGCAATTCCACTGGTTCAAAAAAGTCTGGTCATACTTGAGGTTACTCAATCGGGAACTAGGGCTTAGGGCAATCCTGTGGGGCTCTACCCCGCCGCTGCCGCTGCCGTTGTATCTATATCTATACGTCCACGGATCGGAGCGATCTTACGTTGGATGCTTCAAGAGGCCGTCCATGTAAAAGCTTTCATTTATACAAAGGTATTCATCTTGAAGGTGGATCATGGCAGAAACATGCAAATCAAATGAATGTCAGTGTCTCAAGATACATCATTGTCGACGTTGTTGCAGGGGCTCGGTGCTGTGAAACAGCCAAATCCCCAAACAAGTTCCACTCCCAGGCCTACCACATGCGCCGCTTGGTGTAATTGAGCATCGCGCAATTCATTCTCGGGTGAACGAAGCAGTGGTCACTCATCGAAAAGATGCATTTTCTGCCCATGTCGTGCTTGTTGTAGTGGTCTGCAAAGGCCAGAGCGTCATCCATGAACAGCTGTATGTCAAATTGTTCGGCCAGTCCGCCTTCCTGGAGCTTCATGATGGCCTCTTTGATCCAGGTGGTACAGTTCTCTCCGAATCGTTTGTCCGGAACTTGAATCGTTGGAGGACCGAGATTCTTCATAAGGTCGTCACGGGTGACCTGAGATGGAACCTTGCCGATCATGATCATTCCAACGAGGAGCGAAGAGGCGTCTGGATTGACTTGCTCCTCTCGGAATCTCCAGCTTCGTCCACGGTTTCCGTCGATGATGTGCACCTTACCCTTTCGGAGGGGACCGTTTGTCACTCCATAGACATGGCAGTCGCTGCCCGAGTGATCTTTGGGAGCAACGATTATCTCCCAGTGGTAGGCATCGTGGCCCAGGCGGCGTCGACTCTCTCCCACAGAGAGCTCCTCCCGCTCGTAAAGCGCGATGAAGACACGTCGCTTATTGAACTCACTCGGCTCAAGATGGTCGCTGGCATGAGAGCTGGTGGACAAGCTCCTGATTGCTCTCATGGTGATGAATTGGCCGACGTGAGATATGTTGAAAGAGGTGTAGCAGAAGATGCGGAAAGAGATAAAGAACGGGCGCAGGAAGAGTTGCAGCAGCAACAGCCACAAAGGAAGACGAGCAAATAGACGAGTTAAAATTGAAGATAAAGAAGTGTAAAAGCAAAAGCAGGATGCGCAAAATGATTTTGGGAAACAGAGATGATAGTGTGCACTGTTAATGGAGTCTCGCCGTAAGGTTCTGCACGTGTCGTGAGAAAGGGTGTAAGTAAGTATCAAAGTAGCAGAAAACCATGATTTTGTTACAGGGGCATCTCTGAGATGCTTCATCTCCAGTCAACTTCTCGCCCCTCGCCCCTCACTTCTCTTGTCTGTTCTGACCCTCAACCCATCATCCATCTTCCATCTACCATCTACCATCCCTCACCTGGAACCTCTCACCTTCCACCATCCGTCTTCCCTCATCTAACATACTCTATTCTCATTATTGCCATCCCTCTACCCGTCATTTTCTGCCTCGCGCGCAGAAAACACAACAAGCCAACCATCATCCGTCTCATCGGAGACATCGTCGAGACATTTGACTGTCTTGGTGACCCATCACTGGCATTTACCCATTTTGAGAAGTGTTGGAGATGACCATTACCCGGAGTACCCGTCAGCTGTCTGTACGCCCGAAGTCCGAAGCCGAAGGTATGTTGCGCCATATTCTCATCAACTCTACTGCATATGCTTATCTGAATCTAGAGCTTGCCGCTCCATCTCAGGCATCAAGCAGTATGAACCCCCTTCGAGATCCGCCCACTCAGGTGGGAAGTGAAGAAGACCCCTCACCTTCAACCCTCGACGTCCTCGCTCTGGACATGAAGACTCTAGTCAAAAAGATTCAAGACCTCAGCCATCTGGGGATCGAGGACAGCAAGATTGCCCTGCCCAAGATCTGTGTGGTCGGCGACCAAAGCACCGGCAAGAGTTCCCTCATCGAGGGCATCTCTGAAATCAAAGTTCCCCGAAGTGCTGGCACTTGCACTAGATGCCCAATGGAAATCAATCTCTCAGAATGTGAGCCAGGTGAATCCTGGAAATGCTCAGTCTTTCTGTCCCGGCGATACTGGTACGACCAAAACAAGAAGTTGAGAGCTAGTCTGAAGAAAAGCGAGCCCCTTGGACCCTGGCTCCCGGTTGGTGGTCAAGACGATGAGCTCTTCGTCACGTTGACCGACCAGAGCAAGGTCCAAGATACCATTTGGTGGGCCCAATTGGCAATCTTAAACCCTGGGTCCGACTCCCAACAGTATGTCCCAGGGAAGAATGCAATCACTCCGCAGTCTTTTGAGGTGAAATTCTCACCTAATGTGGTTCGGCTGGATATCTCAGGGCCCGAATTCCCAGCTCTGTCATTCTACGACCTCCCTGGCGTCATCAGCCAGGCCGAACATGAATCTGAAACCTACCTAGTGACGCTTGTCGAAAACCTGGTCAAGCAGTACGTTTCCGAGGAGAACTGCATCGTCCTCCTTACCCTGTCTATGACGGATGATGCCGGAAATTCCAAGGCAGCAGGCCTCATTGGAAAGATCAACGGTGCAAAGGAACGAACCCTCGGGGTGTTGACCAAGCCAGACAGACTTGCTGGGTTTGAATCCTTTGCGCAGTACAATGAAATTCTGGAAGGAAGGGTGTATGGCCTAGGCCATGGCTACTATGTCGTTCGAAATAACCCCGACCCGGATGTCCCGCATGCAGTCGCTCGCAGAGAAGAAGACGCCTTTTTCGCAGACCCATTCTGGGCTGGGCAGATGGCCGGGTTCCAAGAACGATTTGGAACTTGTCGGCTTCAAGTTGCGCTTTCGGCTATGCTGATGGAGCAGATCCAGAAATCGTTGCCATTAATCATTCACCAGATCAATGAGAGAGCCCATCGCATCGATGCTGAGCTCAGCACTCTCCCGGACTCACCTGCTGAGGATGTGCAACGAATTCTCATGGAAAAGACTATTACTTTGGGCCTTAAACTCCAATGGATTTTCGAAGGAGGCACTGGGTACGGAACCCCAGATAATGCCCTCCAAAAAGAATGGTGCGATTTGGTTAGGGATTTTCAGATGGCCTTGGAAAAGACTCGCCCAACATTGAGAACAACTGCGGACTCGGATAATATCTACCTTGTTGAGAAGTATGATGCCGATGCCGACATGATTATGCTATCAAGCCCCCCCTCTCGCAAGAGAAAAGCACCTATTGCTGAGCCGAAGACTCCTGAGAGCAAACCCCAGCCTGAGAATCAACAGGCGGAGCGTGGTGGTCCAGGATACAAAACGACATGCTTCAACGAGTGGAAGGGTCCTTTCTTTAGATTCACACTAGAAAGTATCCGACGCATCAAGGAAGAATCGCACCGGGCTGGGATCCCAAACCAAGTGGACCCTACTGCCATCGAAAAGCTGAACAAAGAGAGTGTCAAGAACTGGATCGTGCTCGCAAACGCTTTCGTGTTCGCCACTCACGGAATTGTGCAGAGGGTTCTGATCAACACCCTGGATGACGTGATTGCCCAGTATCGCCAAACAGGTCTTTATCGAGAGCTGTACCGGGTCATCACGACTTTCCTTCTTCGGCTCCGCTCTGAATACCTTCATGATGTAAAGACACACTATCAAATCGAAAGTGATAACCCTTTCACCATGGCCCAAGACCAGCACAAAGCTGCCTCACTGGAAGCACTTGCAAAACTGACTAGAGCTCGCCGGGCCTCTCGGGTCAGAACCTGGCGCACGCTCCGTGGTTACGCGACGGACGAGGAGTCAAGACTCAGCAAGGTCACTGATGAGGAGCTCGGCCCGGATCAATTTTCGCAGGAATTGGAGATGATGGCAGTAAGTGATCATGCATTATGAAGGGCTCGAGATTGATCAGAGCATGGTGCTAATTGTGTAGAGTTGTCGCGGATACTACCAGATTGCCAGCTCTCGATACCTTGATGTGATTTGTCAACTCGCTCATATCAAGATGTTCGCTAAATGTCGAAATGAGCTCATTCAAGTTGTCAATACCGAGTTGAATGCAAGCTGTAAGTCACTTCTCAACAACAAATTTGACATATTTGCCCCTTACTGACGATGATTTAGCGTTCGAGCGATGCATGGAGCTCATGGCTGAGGACCCCGAGCGACAGGCCCGTCGAAATGCATTGACCAAGGAAAAGGTCAAACTCACCCAAGCCCAAGGATGGCTTGCCGCAGTCCACCAGACCAAGGACGAGAGCTCTGACATGGGCACTTTCTCCGATGAGACAGTCAATGGCTCTGAGTGGAAGAATGAGTCATTTGCCTAGACAATGTCCACGTCGATCAAGCGCTTTTTTGCAGAGGTAGTGTGATGACTGTGGTGAACGGATACGCGAATTTGTGTCGATAATTGATGGACTATGTGTCAACCCTTCAGTAGCCTGGCTGGCAACCCCTTTGACAGTACACGGTGTCAATGAACAAACAGAAAAGCGGGGAAACTACAGAAAGAAATGTAGGAATACAGAAAAGCTGAAAACCCACTTTGAACAGCCCTATCGTATGTCTGTTAGAAACTGTACATGTACTACAGAATATGGAGTGGTGTAGAACGTTCGAAGTAGACGGCGGATGTAAATAAAAATGTATAGTTCGTGTCAGGTGAGGGCCCCCACCGCAAGCGTCAGTCTTGGCGCCAGGAGCTTTCGACGCTGGATTGGGCCACCTTTGTATTTCCCTGATCCATTGCCACTTGAACTTTCCTACGACTCTCTCTCTATTCATCATGCTTCAGGTCTCAGCGCGGGATCACCTCAACCCGGCCTCCACCAAGGCTGTAATCTTGGTAAGTACGCAATGATTGTCCCCCGTGCACACAGACTGACCGCTCAACAGGTGGGAGGCCCTTCGCGAGGCACTCGTTTCCGTCCATTGTCGCTTGATGTGCCCAAGGTAAGTGTTCTCTCGTGGTTCAATACAATCGGCTCCCTTGTGACAACCTGCGTCTGACCCGTCCACCCCACTCCTAGCCCCTGTTCGAAGTCGCCGGCCACCCCATCATCCACCACTGCCTCAAGGCGCTCGCCAAGGTCCCCGATGTTCGCGAAGTCCTCCTGGTCGGATACTATGATGAGACGGTGCTGCGGGACTTCATCAAGGACGCCACGAAGGAGTTCCCTCAGTTCCGCATTCAGTACCTTCGGGAATACACAGCGTTAGGCACTGCAGGTGGCCTGTACCACTTCCGCGATGCGATCCTCAAGGGCAAGCCGGAGCGCTGCTTTGTGCTGAACGCAGACGTCTGCTGCTCTTTTCCTCTGGGCGAGATGCTGCGACTATTCGAGGAGAGGGATGCGGAGGCGGTCATTCTGGGCACACGGGTGGACAACGACGCCGCCACCAACTTTGGCTGCATCGTGTCCGACTCGCACACCAAGCGTGTGCTCCACTACGTCGAGAAGCCCGAGTCGCACATCTCTAATCTGATTAACTGCGGCGTCTACCTGTTCGCCACTGAGTGCATCTTCCCCGCCATCCGCAGTGCCATCAAGCGCCGTACCACCCGCCCTCGCATGCTCTCTTACCCCTCCTCCGACAACCTCGAGTCTTCTTTCGTTGCGACTGGCGATGACGAGGATGGGGAGAAGAGCGAGGTCCTCCGCCTCGAGCAGGACATTCTCTCCGATCTGGCTGACAGCAACCGGTTCTTCGTGCACGAGACTAAAGACTTCTGGCGCCAGATCAAGTCCGCGGGCTCGGCTGTCCCTGCCAACGCTCTTTACCTTCAGAAGGCCTTCCAGGCTGAGTCGGAGGAGCTGATGGCGCCTTCTGCCACCATTGTGCCCCCGGTTTACATCCATCCCACTGCCCAGGTCGATCCTACTGCCAAGCTGGGCCCCAATGTTTCCATTGGTCCCCGCGCCGTGGTCGGTGCCGGTGTTCGTATCAAGGACGCGATTGTTCTTGAGGATGTAGAGATCCGCCACGATGCCTGTGTCATGCACTCCATCATCGGATGGAGCAGCCGGGTAGGTGCGTGGGCTCGTGTGGAGGGTACCCCGATCCCTATCAATAGCCACTCCACCAGCATCATCAAGCAGGGCATCAAGGTCCAGAGCATCACCATTCTGGGCAAGGAGTGTGGAGTTGGTGACGAGGTCCGCATTCAAAACTGTGTCTGCCTTCCCTACAAGGAGCTCAAACGGGTAAGTTCGATCACTTTTTCTGCTTTTCTTTCACTGGCTAATTTCGTACAAATCTAGGACGTTGCGAATGAGGTTATCATGTAAACGCCCCTTGTTGGTCTTTGGTTCTTGCTTCTTAAATACTACACCCATCTTGTCAATATCGAGCGTCATAATGTTGTCTTCTAATTTTGTCTGCTATTGGATGGTCATTTGCTTCTCGCAGCTTTTCCTCTGCATTAGAATGCAGCACACAGAAGAGTCATTAGAGAATCCAACCCTATCAAGCATCGATCCAGTCATCCAGGTCATGAATAAAACCCGTAACACCGCCGGTCCCATGCAGTCAATTTCGAACCAGAGCACCGAGTAAACACAGCAAACAAAACTTAAAAAGAAGAAGAATATCATGAGAAACCCGCCTGCTAAATAGCACGTTCACAACGAAATCTAGAAAAAAAATCATCACATAATCATATCCTCCGAATCAACGATACATCGCAGGATCATAACCCGTCTGCTGAGCCGGAACCCCATATCCACCATGATCATACGTATTAAATTTCACGCGCGATTCACCTCTGCGACTCCTTGCTGGTGCCGAATCATAATACGGCGCGCTCCCAGCACCCGACATAGGCGGCGGGACAGCATCGTACTTGACACTTGAGACCGACTCATTGCGATCGGCCAGCTTGACATCGGCCGGATCCTCGCCAACCGCAGCCATGCTTCCCATGGGATCGTAAGCGCCCAGACGGTTCGCGCGACGGCGCACGATGAAGTCCAGCCAGATGGAAGCGATGGAGGCGACGGTGCCGGTTACCGTGAATGTGAACAGGGCTTTGTAGCTACGGCAGACCGAGATGCCGGTCTTGTTGCCCCAGTATTGGGTGCCGCATGAGGTTAGGATCGTGTGGGCCATATTGTAGCTAAGGAGGGCGAGCGAAAGGAGCCAGAGGGCTAGGAGGAGGGCGTTTAGAATTATGGAGAGTTTGGTGGAGAGCCCGCAGGCGCAGTTGACGAGGGATGTGAAGACGACATTTAAGATGGAGAGGAGGGCGGCAATGAGGAGCTGTTGTGTTTTTTTGTTAGATTGGATACAGCATGGTCGTGTTGGGATATGCCTACGATCAAGAAGGCGAAGGGCAGTTTGTATCCGTCGGCATGGAGATGGTAGATAAACACGGCCAAGATAATGGCGACCACGGCTGCTGATAGGAAAATGAGGAAGCGGATGCCATGAAAGGGCAGCTTCGGGTATGCGGAGGGCTTTACCGACTTGGACCGCATTGTGAAGGTGTAGAGGAAGAAGGAGAATGTTGCCTCTACGATTGTTTTATCGGATGTAAACAAGATCGATGCTCCACTTGACACGTTGGGCGACTGCGTCACGCCTATTTTTATCACTTCTGGTAGTGGCTGTGTTGCTTGGCCGTGGGTCGGGGAGCACTTTTATTCATTACTAAAGCCGAACGACACTAAAATAAGCTTAGATCGGTCCCGGTTAATAGTTAAAATCTTCATAGACCACCCGCTTCCCTGTCAGCAACCCCAGCACCATCCTTTTCAACGCGTCTCCGGCGCACAGATACCACGTTTCAGCTAGCAACGGATCCAAGTCCCCCGCCTGCATTCTCCGTCGCACAACCCGTGCTCCAGATAGATGAATTGCGTCCAACTTTATTTGATGGAGCCTGTCGGGGTCCAGGCCCGTGACGAAGACTACGGTGGATCTGGATAACTCGGGCCAACGTTGGAAAGTATCGTGCACCAAGCCTATATCAGCAATTGAGACCGACCAGAATAGTCGTACGAGAGGAAGATTTAGGGCGGGGAGCTGTGCGAGGAGAGGTGTGATTCCAATGCCACCTGCAACGAATGGCACGATGGATCCGTTGTCCGTCGATACTTGGAAACTTCCACCGAATCCTTTCAGTGGGACTTCAAGACCCGCTCGCTCGTTGATGCGGAATAGATGGTTCGTGACGTTTCCGTGGCGGCGGATCGTCATTTCGAATTCATTTGCGGGCAGTTCACGGCCTGGATATGATGATACAGTAAATGTGCGGACGTAGTCGTCGTTCAAGCTTGCCGGATCGTCGTCGCGCATGTGGCTGTACCCCATGTCCAACTCGTCCTGGAATGAAAGTGTCGCATATTGACCCGGAGTCCAGGAGATTGGCCTGGGACTGCTGTAGCGAAACCGGAATCGGTAGATGTTGGGTGTTATTTTCTCTTTGTTGATCAGTGTTGCGGTCATCTCTGCATCTCTCTCTCCCTCGGTGGGTATGCTTTTCTCTGTCGTCAAGTATCGGACGGCAGGATTGTACGGAGAGGGTTCCCCGGCTTCGCCGCGAAAGGCCAGCCCTTTTTCCACGAAGAATGCTGCGGTGACGGTGACGCGGACTGCTAGATTTGACCGGGGAAGAATGGCAGCGGCAGCTTGGCCAACCAGTATTTCCGTGTGTCCTGTGACATAAAGAACGTTTCCAGTCTCAAAATCCGGAAACACGTAACCGGCCAGAGGTGTGGTCTGCAAGTTTCCCAAAGTCTGATAGAGACGATTGCCCGAGTATTCAGGATACACAAGAACTGCATTTGCATCGTTAGACTCGACACGAACAAATCCGGGAGGGCCGCCGCGAATATTGGTGTCCATATCAGATGTGCCGTGTCTCGAGGATACAAATATGGTGTCTGCGCGGGACAGCAGTTCGATCGCCGGTGCAGGAAGCTGAGGCAAGTCGGATATTAGCGTTGGGTTTGGCCGCACAGATACGATATGCTTTTTGTTAAGGTATTTGGGACAATTCCCAAGGCTTTCTTCGATCTTGACAACCAGTTGTGCCTGCCCCTGATCTCCATCCAGTGATCCCGCTACCATTCTACCGAAGAGCTTCCAACGTCGGCGATGCTCCAAGTGGATCGCAAGTCCTGAGATCATGTTTCCCGGAGATTGTAGCGGGGCCCCGGTATTATCGATAGCCTGGCTTCCCAGCAATTCTTTGACGACTGGGTCGTACGTGCTGTCCACCTGGGTCCTGAGTCCGATCATCGATTCAGCAATCGGCGCAGCGAAACCCTCTTTTCCACCCCAAAGAGAGGTCCACGGTCGCCCTTGAGCGTCGATTGTGCCCACTGCTAGCAGAGGAGCCTTCGTTAAGAAGTAGCCTCCGTTGGCACTGAGATATGGAACTGCCGGGTTGTCCATATCAGGAACCCGCAGTAATCGGTGCATTTTCTCTTCGCCATCATGCCAAGGGATCGTTCCTGCTAAGACCGAAGCCATCGTGAGCATTGATACTGTCCAGAGAATGAAGAACTGTCAAGATATATGAGTTGATGGTGAGTTGATGATGGCGTGCGCCATCAACTTGTCTATTATTAATCCACATTTCCGAAACCAAATGATTCCAAATAATCTTCTCAGTCAAATGACACGCATTTGGAATCATTTTCAACCCCTTGAAGTCTTCTTGAAAGCAATTGCATGTATCACCGCAGCGAACACGACAGCACTCGTTTACCTAAAAGCTCTCTGCTTTTCCCCACACGAAGGACAGTTTCCGAGCTCGGGCGCGGGGCATACCGCGGCAACGATAACACACCCAGATAGGTGGAAGAACTCGGTGATCTGCAATCACGGCAGAACTCCGGGAAACACTATCTTCGCATCGGCGAATCTCAAGAGGGCGAGTCGTCAAGTACTGGTTTATCCCGTTGTGAGGAGAAGACCGGCAAACTCGGTGATCCTGGTGAAGACGGTCTTCAGAGATAAGCAACGCTCTGCATTGCATGGTTTCAAGAATTTGCTGGAAGATTTCGTCTAATCTGATAGCTGAAATCGACTTCATTGCATATCAATTTTAAGATTTTCTTGATAGCAGTATTCTCATTTGGTCGATAGTCTCATCCTCACCTCCGGAGAAAACGGCGAAGACTGGAGCACCTATCCAAAAGGCGGGACCGGGACCTATCACGACAAGTTGAGGCCATTCGAAGTGGACAGGACGATTCATATAAAACGGCCAATCATCGAACCGTGTATCATGATCTGCTTGCAAGTGGGTTGCCACCGAAGGAGTTAGAGAGGAATCGCCTCCGAGATGAAGGTCTTAGAATAGTGACAGCGGGCTCAGGTACAACGTTAGTATCCCGACAAAAGCGTCAAAAGCTGAAGTCTGCGTTCTAATGTACTCTTCAATAGCGCATATGTCCTGCGGGAAGCGACTTATCATGTCTTCGCAAACCCGACCGTGCACCAACAACTATACAACCAGTTGAAAACGGCAATACTCAATCCATCTCCAGAAAGCCTTCCATCGCTTGCAGTTCTTGAAAACTTCCCTACCTTTCCGCTGTGGTTCAAGAAAGCCTTCGACTGTGCAACCCTGTTACACATCGAATGAGCCGAGTGTTTCCAGATAAAGCTCTGAGATATCAGGATTATGTTATCCCACCAAGGTCAACTGTTGGTATGACCTCAATGCTGATTCACGAAAATGAGAGAATTTTCCCAGAGCCCTACGAATTTCAACCGGAACGATGGTTAAAGGAAAGTCAACAGTTGGATCGTTATTTGGTGCCGTTCAATCGGGGTGCACAAGTCTGTCTTGGACTGAATCTAGCTCGAACGGGGCTGTTTTTGATCCTGGCATTAAGTTCGACGTTTCGCAGGTATCTCGAGAGCGCGATATTGACCTGACTCGGGACTTTATAATTGGGGCCACAGCCGCGGATTCTCCGGGTATTCTTGTCGGGGTCGAAAGGATGTCAGATTGACAACATAACCGGCTTCCCAGGGTCGGCTCTAGATCAAGCTCCATATTCTTTTTCACAGCTCTTGTTATCGTGTACTTCTACAGGAAGTTCGAGTCTTCTATACCGCCAAGGGGCCTCACCCGGCAGACATGATCCTGTCTAGCTGCATGTATCAGAATTGCAAATCCCTTTGAAAAAGCGGCTCGGATGAACCCACGTTTGCCCGAATCCCCAAATTTCGGGCTTGGCATTTGGCCACGACTGCATTCGATCGACCCGGTTATATCGGCGACTTCAGAAATTCTAGGCCCGGGGACCCCGAGGCAACCAAGCAGCTCGCAACTTTCTCTTAACTTAGATCTACCGTCAATTCTACACTTTGCAAATAGAGTACAGTCCTGCCAGATTAATGCAGGGTTAATCAGCTTGTTTCCCACCCCAATTTATGGGAGGAACACGTCGTTCTTCCCGCTCGGTTTTTGGAACACTGCTTAAACCCGGCCAAACGATGCCCCTCGAACTTCGGTCAAGTGCATCAACTGTGATAAAAACTGTCCCTGTCAGGCCATCGACGAGCTTACGTGTGGACTTTTCTCGTGTGGGGAAGTTTACTATAAATTCTCTTGATCAAGCTGATACGTCTTTTGAGTATATTGACTCCATGTCAAGGCCATTCAAAGTCTAGTTTGTTTCCTGAAGGATTGCAACACAATGGCAATCCATCAAAGCACGGATTCATGTCTTCCCGACTTCCAAGACCATGCTTTGATTGGTGACGCCGACCAAATCCCCGTCAGTGCCCCGACTCCCATCGTCTCCGTCAGTCCCATTATCCTACCAGCACCGGATCGCATCGTCGATTTGCATCTTCGCGTTACAGCCCCTGTTATTGGAGACGAGCTTCCAATCATTCTTCTCTCTCATGGCCAGGGAAAATCGAACAATCTTTCCTCTCTCAATGGCTATGGACCCGTCGCCAACTTCTGGGCCTCTCATGGCTTCGTCGTCATCCAGCCCACCCATCTGAGCTCCAAATCCCTGAATCTTGGACCTGACACCAGTTCAGACGCCCCTTTCTTCTGGCGCTCGCGCGTGGAAGACATGAAACTCATTCTTGACGAGCTCTATACCATCGAAGACGATTTCCCACAAATCCAAGGACGTCTCGACCATAGCCGGATTGTCGCGGTGGGGCACTGTATGGGCGGACACACAGTCAGCATGCTACTGGGAGCCAGAATGATCGATCCCGAAGACGGCACGGAGGTCGATCTCATCGAACCTCGTGTGAAGGCTGGGATACTACTAGCGGCCCCTGGTGACGGACGTGGCGGAGAGGGTCTGGGCGAAGTCCTACGAGATACATTTCTCAAATATCATAGTCATGCGGAAATGACAACGCCTGCTCTTGTAGTCATCGGTGATAGTGACGTGCCGGATCTAATCTCTCGGGGGCCGGAGTACCACGCGGATGCTTATTACAGCAGTAAAGGGCCAAAGTCACTACTTACTGTGACGGGCGGGAAACATGGCTTGGGTGGAGTTGCTGGGTATGATACGGCAGAGGCAGCTGATGATGAGAGCCCTGAGAGACTGGCCATGGTCCAAAGGCTTACTTGGGCGTATCTTCGCAGTCGACTATACCCCGAGGATCCTGCTTGGTCAGAGGCATGCTTTGTTTTGCAAAAGCTTCCTGGCTTGGGCAGGGCTGAAATGAAGCGAGTCTAATAATAACTGGTCTGGACTTGTCTCTTTTGGTGGCTTTTTTTATTGATTGGTTTGGTTAAGCAGAGGTATATCAGATGAGAATGTTGTTGACGTGGTGCGAGGGTCTCTTCCAGGAGGAGTATAAACTATCAAGCTCCAATGTTTGTAGCACATGCTGTAAGGATATATGCCCGAGGGTCTGGAAGTGCTTTCTTTGAATGAGTATTGAAGAAGGGAAAGTAGAAGTAAAAAGTCCCGAGGTTCTTGGTTATCGTGCACGGCCCAATGGCACTCCCCGCGCCGCGTTATCGCTTTGCTGCCTCCGACTCATCTCTCGCGTCATTCAAATTGCTCTCGCGAATCCCTCTTTCGTACACTCCTGTTCCTCCGGTCAATCTGAGTGCCACACAGACAACGAGGTTTCACAGACCGTCAAGCGGGCTGTCCCCGCCCAATCCTTCTCTTCACCTTCACCTTCACCTCGACTTGAACAGAACCCACCACAATGTCAACCTACGAAAGTGCGCACCCATTTCCACTCGTCTTAAAATTGGGGGAAAAAAACCTAATCACTGGCCTTTTCTAGTTGAACACAACACTACCGACCCCTCGGCGGCTACTCCAGCCCCGCGTCGCCGCCGCCCCGACCTGTCCACATTCTTCTCTACTCTCTCCGAGATCACCCCGGGTCCCGACCACCGTCCCCATGCAGTCCCCGTACCAGGCGACGTCAGCGCAGCTTTCTACTCGCTCGCCGAAGCGTTCGAGGTCATGCGTCGGGAGGCGGCCGGTACCCAGGAACGAGAAGGTGATCAGGGCGGCGAGGGTGCAGAGGATTTGTTGACTCGGATGATCCAAACCCTGCTCAGTGACGCAGACACACCACCCAGAGAAGTGGAGGGAGTCAGCGAGGAGTTTTGCGACAGTAAGGAACCCATTGTTATTCTCCACGTCTATAATCCCACAGATAACTCATTTTCTCGATGAACAGCACTTGAGCGCGTCCCCAAATCAGCTCTCGACTCCTCCCAAGTCTGTCCTATCTGCAACAACCCCTTCCTGGAGGATCAATACCCGCTGGTCGTCCAGCTACCCTGCCACCCGACCCACCTTTTCGACCTTGAATGCGTGAAGCCCTGGCTGCGTCTGCGCGGCACTTGTCCGATGGACCGGTTCGATTTCGCAAAGCAGCAGCGAGAAAAGAAGGAGGCGCTGAAGAAACTTGCGGATGACGATGAAGAGGAGGAGTGGGATGGCATGTACGGATAAACTGTGAATCGAGACGGAGTTCGCTCGGTTTCGGCGTTGATAGCGGATGACTTGAGATGACTGCATTTACGATGGCGATGAGCGAAGACGCAGCATTAATGAAGAGTATATGAACATGATCGTTTGAATGTATGCTTGAAAATCACGAGTTATCTGACCGTGATGGTCCACGGGTATTTAGGTAGAAGAGATCCCACGATTCAGAAGAGTTGAGAAAAGCTATCAAAAAAAGATCGAACCCTTCGCCGGTAGGATCAATTGAAATTCCGTAGTAGACTTGGTATATCAGACGTTTCTTTGTACATCTCGTCTCATGTTATGCAATCGCTAGATCCTTCGGGGATGGCAAAATTTCAAAAGCAAATGGAACCACAGCACCGCACGTTACTGTGACCCCTTGGGCCGAAGGGCAAGTTTGCCAGTCTGGTCAATCATAGCCTCGTAACCACTCTTTTCCAGTATGCCACTATCGTCCCTGGCAACCTCCTCAGGCCGAAGCTTTTCAACCTCCTTCTGATTCTCTTCATTCCCTTCCAGCAAAAACTTGAGGCACATCACGGCATGCTCCTTGATGTAAGGATTGTGGGCATCGAAGTTGGTGCAGAGGAGAATCGCATCGATACCACCGTACCCCCGGATCTGCTCCTGGACTTCGAAGGACTTCCACACCAGCGATGAAAGGACCAGAACCACCAATTTCTTGAGATTACGCCACTCAAACTCAGACGGGTCCTCGGTGATTGGCGGGGATTCTGGGCGAGAGTCCCCGCTGCCGGCATCGTTGTCGAGAGCGTCAGGATCGCTCGGGTCGTAGGGTCGCTCAACGGCCACTGGAGCTGGGGAAGCAGGCGTGGAGTTATCGTCGGGTGAGTGGCTGCGCGGCGGAGGCGGAGGCGGAGGAACAGAGCCGAAAGAGAGCTGGTTAAACTGGCCTTTGGGGATGCTGGCTTCCAACTCCTTGATGAGCGTGACCAGGTCGTAGACAATCTCCCACTTGACCAACAGGTTCTTCCAGTCGTTGTTCTCGGTAAGGACGGCGAAGAATTCCAAGAACTGATACACTCCCTCGTAGACTCTCTCCATGTCCCACAGGTTGAGCGGGAAGTCCTCAGGCAGGGCGTTTCCGGCGCGGATTTGGCCTTGCAGATAAATCAAGGCGCAGGTCTCCGGAATGATGTTACCACGGAAGATGGTGAAGATGTATCGGACGGTGAGAATATCCACACGGCTGAGTGATGCTGGGATTCGCGGGACACCGGTCTGAGAAGAGCCCGTCACCGAAGCCGGAGAATACTTGGCGCGGAAAATGTGTGTCAGGATCTTGATCACCACTGCCTGGGCTGGCGAGATGATGTCTTTCGGTTGGCCGAAATCCGTGTAGGCGTGCGACATCAGACCATTCCGAAGAACCGCTTCCATAATTTGAACCATCATCTTGAAATAGAGTTCGTCGTCTGGGAGATCCCATGCCGCAATAAAGATCAGCAGCTCACGGAGCAGGTTGCGGCCAGTCTCCTGTGTGAGAAGGATATGGCACCGCAGGGCTTGCATGTTCTTGGAGCCATTGCGCTCACCACCCTTGAGCCCAAAGCTATCGACGATACCTGCTTGGATGATCATCGGCAATGCTTCAATCTCTGCCGGGCCCAGCACAAGAGGAATGTCGGTAAGCAGGCCACGCTGTTGATCACCGGGACGACCGCGATAGTCATCGTCATCCTCCTCGTCGTCCACGTCGGCCCCGTCATCGTCTCGGTCAATATCTTCACCGTCATCTTCTTCGTCTCCTTCGATACTTCCATCCGCATGGCCTTCAAGACTGTGCGAGTCCTCGTCGCCCACCGTTCCAGCATCGCCAGTGTCATAATCCGCATCGGCATCGCCATCTTGTAGACGCCTCATCAACTCATTTTTGGCCTCCTGCAGGGTCTCGGCGGCAGATTGAGCTGATCGGGTCATACTTGTGTCGTCCTCCGTCACGGGTGCGTCCAACGCATAGTCGTTGGCCTCGGGCAGGTCAGACCAACACAGACGGGGGAAGCCGGCAGTCATGCTACGGTCAATCGTGAGAATTGTTTTCTTCTTGGGGGATTCATGTTCCTCTTCTTCTGGGAGGGCAGGCGGAAGTTCCCGGGCACGGTCTTGAAGGTCAGACCATCCATCAACCTTGGCACCCAGGATCGAAGTCAGGGCGGCACGAATGTACTTGATCTGCTCCGGGTCTCTACCCATCTCCTGGATATCCGTCAAATCCTTGCCAAGGATCTTCTCCATATGATCTTTAATGTTTGCCAGAAGCAGCATCGCAGCCTCTTCCTTGATCGTGGAGGGCTCGCGCGGGAATTTAGCGATGGTTTCCAGCAGCAGATCTTCCGCGGTCTGGTCGTACAGAGCCCGGATCGGGGGGTTTATCACACGCTCTCCGACCTTGACAACAGGCGCAACGCCCTCTGATCGAGCTGTTTGATCCAATGGCTCCTTGGGCTTGATGATGTTTGTGTCGGCTGTCGAATGATAACCGAATAAATCGAGCCAGAGAACCATTTTCCGCTGCTCATTGTGCATGATAAAGTTATGAAGGTACTGGAGACATGTAATCAGGAGTCGTTTGTAAAGGTTGACGACTTTCTGCCAGCGCTCTTCATTCCGCGCATTCGTCTCACCATCGAATCCTCTTGCTGTAACCCGCACACATGTGTCAATCAATGCGAGAATCCGTTGATCGAAGCCCTTCTCAGCAGCCAAATTTTGCGCCTTCTTCGTCGTTGCGAGTAGGTTCCGCGCAATCGTGCAAAGATCATTGAGGCGTTCGATATCTTTCACCAGCGAGAAGTAGTTGTACGCAATGAGGTTTGAGGATGAGTGCTCATATGTCGCAGCCGGACTCTTCCACGCAAAGGATTGCGATTCGAGGACCGGGATCGCTTTAGTGAGGACATCGGTGAGGCCTTGCCAGATGTCGGGTGACATGCCTAGGTTGTGTCTAGCAGCGCATACGGTCAGGAAAGATACAAGTATAAATTTAGACCTAGCAAACATACCGAACCTCACTCTCCTGGTGTGTCTTGTAGAGAATTTGCTTTCCAGCAGCCAGCATGTGCTCAAGGCGTTTGTCATCGATCAGGCCGCGGGTCTCATAGTGGCTGAGGGTCCCGGCCAGAATGACCTTGAGCATGAGCTCGGCGGGTGTGCATAATGGCTTCGGATCCGCCATCTTGCAAAAGCAGGAAACGCCGAAACAAATGCTAATAGGAGCTCACTCGCGGTGGGATGAAATTAGAATTGGCGGCGGATAAAATTGCGGTTCTTGTGGTTTTATCTTCACCGCTTGATCCACCGCCTTTTGTATCCCGAAGACCATTCTCACTTGATTCCATTCATGACCATTTTGAAGATTTAGTATATTTGACGAGGTTTCAGTTTCTCCACATTCCAGAGATAGATCCATTATGGTCAAGGTTACTTGATCATACATTCGTTGCCTCATTCTATTGGAACGAGCTGAAACTCAAATCTATACAATCTCCAATCCATTGGCAACAAACATATAACCTTGGGAGACATGCGAAAACCGTGTTCTGGACATGAGACAGCAGAGATATTCACCATTTCCGCCGTACTGGTAATCCAACGGAATCTTTAAGGTTGTTCCAAAATCCCAGGTCGTAGATGTTAACGATGTCGCCCATAGAGTCAGTTCGTTCCCATCCGTCCACCGGTGCACCGGGTCTACTGTGATATTTGATGAAGTTGGAGTCCGTAGACAGGATATAGCCATCCGCTGGCGGCTCGTCATCCAGTACAAGGATCTGGTCACTGTCTACCGGCCACGGTTGATCTCCGAGGTCCATATACCGGGGCGCTCCAGGGATCTGACTCCGTTTGGCCTTGAAGACAAGTTTATCTTCCACGTCGCATTTCCAGTCTGACCACTTCGCGCTCTCGTTAGTTGTCATGCCTGCCCAAACAAGATATGTATGGTAAACCAAGAAAGCCGCTGCCAGTGGAGCGGTCATCAACATCAGCAGAGTAACAGTGCCGATCTTAGCGTCGGCTGTAATGACGACGGCCCAGATGTTGAAATACATCTTCCAGCCCTTCATGGCTGCCTGATACTCTGATGGAACAATTTCTTGCAGCGTCTGGCTTAGGAGTGAATAGCCAAGCAAAGTACCATAGGTCAGTAGAACCGAAAGCGAGAGCAGCAGCGAGAGAAAATAAACATAGTTGTTGGCCCCGATGCAGTTCATCAACCAAACACAATGATGGTCATGACGAGACACACACGCCCGGCAGATATTGCAGTGTTTGCTGCGTGCGGGTTTGAGGAAGTGACATGTGCGGCATCGTTGTCCCGGGTGGAAGAGGACACGATCGTACGGATACCGTTTCATCTCTTCGTCGTGGTTCTGCGACGTGATGAAAGACTTGGTAACGACACACTTGTAAATGAGGACGAAGGGTAGGATCACAACCCCCGGAACCCAGAATTTGTGGATGCTTGACATCCAAGGCCATGCCGTCGGGAGAAAGAAATACTCGCCTATGGCAAGCAAGCCCAAGAAAAAGATCTGGCTCGCAAGTTAGGAAATGGCCCCCTCTAAGAAAATATATGGCACTCACCAGAACCAAGGGGTGGTTTTCATGTAATATGTAGCTGCCAGAGCGGTCCCAGACCCAAACCAGACGCCCACCAAAGAGGCGAGAGTCGATAAACACGATTCCATTTGGAATATGTACCCACAATAGCCGGTAAAAAAAGCGATCGGGGTATTCCTACCCTCCTGTCAGCCCGAATGTCATTCTAAACATTTGGTCTTGCCTTACCTAAAAACAGGCAGGCGCCCAAAAAGAGCGATGAAGGTCAGAGATGAGATGCCCAGGATCACCAGGACGACAGTGCGGAGAGGCCCCATTGTTATGACAGGCGAGCTGAGACCTCCGAATGACACCCGGAATCATGAAACCAAAGAGGGTGAAATTTTTATTCCGGGTCTCATTCTCCCAAGCCTCACACTGCTTCTCCCTTGAAGTTGTTGACTTCGTCAGCGTCTCGTCGCGGCCCGTCATTTATACGGTCACGTGGTACCGTCCCAATCTGAAGCGGGCTTCATTGAACCTTCAAATTCAATCAGGACGATGATCTCGCTGCTTTTGCGGTTGTCTTGACACAGCGAAATTCGTTGAACACGTCCTAATTCTTACATGCTCCCCAGCTTCATCGGCGATTTGGGGTTGAATGTGCCCTGGGACACGTCGACACGTGATAGCGCGTCAACAATAAAGCGACCTCGCTGTGTCATTCATCCCTGCCAAACTCAGCTTGAGCTTAGCAGATTTACCTCATGCTATATCGACAATGGCGAGCACGGAAGTTGAGAACAAAACGACACATCTCTTCACTCATGTGACAGAAAATGAGAGGAGACCTATGCGGTTCTGGCTATCCCAGAACGTCCCAGGCCGCGAGAATTACAAAAAGGACATAATGGTATGTTTTTCTATCTGAGAGAAGCTTCCTTGCGTATATTCAGAGCTGATAAGCATACAGAAATATGGTGGTGAACTGGTATACGTAGAGAAACATGCCGACGTCATGCTGGTGGACCACCTGAAGAAAAACCTTCCTCCTGGCTGGTACGGTCCTATTTGTGCTTTCATGGCCTACACCAAACTCATGATTACTGCAGCTTTTCATACAAATATGTGGACCATTCAATTGCAAATGGATGTCTTCCCGAGGGTCAAGATCTCGAAAAATATCGAGCTGGCCCTTCTGCGCCACGACCAATGGGCGCATCCCATATTCCCCGAAAGGCCACCAGAACGGAGTTCAGCTTGCAAGATGACCAAACGGTCTATGACTGGCTCCAGCCGTTGGAACTAGAAGGTGCGCCTGTCAGCGGTAACAAGATTTACCAAGACTTAGCCGAAAAGGTACATACTATCGACTCGGTGCTGCAAGCTACCGCTGATTAATCACAATTTTTAGTTCCCGGGGCATTCATGGCAAGCATGGCGTGGGCGGTATTTGAGGAGATTGCGCGGGAATCCTCGTCCAGGGGGTGAACTTCCCAGACCTGACCTACTACACGGTGCTACACCTGAGCCAGAAAGAAATCACCTCCAGCAGCTTCCCTTGACAAGTGCAAAGTCGAGGCCTTCGACCACATTGTCTTCACTGAGCTTAGCAGACCCCAGCATAAAGAGAAAACGACAATCGAGTCCTCAACCACCTATTGAGGGAGCAGCAGCCTCCCCGTCGAAAAGAATGAAGCCCGAGATCTCCAAGACCTCTACTATTGTGGTACAAAGGTCACCTGGCAATCATCCCCAATCGCCATCACGAACACCAAATCCAGAAACACCTTCACAAGTTATTCCTCCCACTCAGCATCCCCATACTACCATTCACTCCACACAGTCTTCACCGCATACCCAACCAATGCACGGTTTAGTACTCGAATCATCAGAAGAAAGCCAGGATCAACCGGATCCACTGTTTCTGGAGCTGCCATTTCTACCGCCAAGTCCAGAACCAGATGACCGCGAGGAAAGTGATGAAGAAGACCTTCCAGACGTCGATGGCTGGATCGCCAGGCAACTGGCGCGAGGAATAACAGATGAAGCAACCATTATTGATGTCCTGCGCTCTGCAACCATGGATCAAGACCTTGCTGACAAGGTGCTGGAAAATTGGGATCCCAGCACATCAATTCCCGACAACGTCCGTGGAATATGGACAGCCGAGGACGACAAATGTTTGGAAGCTACAGATGGCCGGGACGTTGAACGAGTGATCACCAAACATGGCGAAGATTTTACTAATACCAGGTGGGAATATCTCCGCATGGCCAGGGAGAGGGGTCTGCTTTGAGAGCTGGGTTAAATACATGGGACTACCTTACACAAGCCGAATACTATCTCAAAATACACCAGGGGAACAGAAAAACGAGTACAGACACAAGTTCATAATGTTAGGCCTCGTGAAAGTCCAGAATGTCTGACGGTCTTAACTGACCGTGTTAGAGTACAGACGTCGATTGGGGCACATCTTACAAGAAAAAAAACTGCAGGAAAATAAAACCGAAAGTTTGGGGCTCCTATAAACTCCGTTGGGAAAATGGTAATGACAAATTTCCCCAGAATGCGTCTCTCATCAGGCTGCAACCATCGCTCTGCCGTATAGAGCACCTGGGATTGAACAGTTTCAACACTCCTTGAAGACCCTGCGAAAGAGTTAGCACTTCTAATTGAGCATTTGATGGATTCAATGGACTCACAAATGGCTCTCGTAGAACTTGAGCATCTAAGCAAAACATCAGCATGGGGTCTTGTCAGACTCAGAATATCAGACTGACCTTTCTGGGACACTTCTCGTAGCAGCTTTCGATCGACACTCGTGACCGCTTGCCATTGTTCCAGAGGAGGAATGCATACAGGGCTCCGTCATCTTGGTCACGAATGATTGTGTCCACACTATCGAGTTCCTTATCCCAGTTTTGACCCTTGGGAACCCAGGTGCCTTCCTCGTCCTCGTCGGCCTCGGTCTTGGGCACTGGATCCTCGGACTTCGTTGATCGTCTTCGTTTCTTGGGCTCGGCCGATGCGGAGGCAGAGGTCGAATTTGTGTCTCCCATAGACTTGCGCTTCCTTCCGGGGCCAGACTTTGCTGCAGGAGTTTTTGGCCGGCCACCAATACGCTTGTAGTATTCCGCGAGGACTAGTTCGGCACCCTCCCTATAAACACATGTGAGAAAACACGCTGCATATGATTGAGTGCGATAGGTGTTTATGCACTCACTTCAGGTTTTCTTCCGGTTCCCACGTCTGGTCTGCAGGATCATCATATCCTTTCCACTTCACGAGAAGCTGAAGTTTGCCCTGTTGACGGGTTAGCGCGTTCGGCGAGGTGGTGTAACAGTAGGCGCAAAAGCGAGCATACATTTGGTAATAATTCGTGTTCCTTTATCAACTCGACGACGTATCTATTGAGTCAGACATATTAGTCCACCGGGAATGCGCCGAGCTCAACTTACACGCCCTCCTCATCCTCGTCATCCTCGTCGTCATCCTGGTTGTCGTCGACTTTGTCTTCAGCCCCATTGCCGCCATTCTTGAAAGGAATGTCCCCAATTTCCTCGTCCGACATTTCCTCGGAGACGGGTGCTATTCAAGGATCAGTCGAGGTACGATACTCCAGGCACGCGTCCGCGACGGATCAACACGCGCATTTCACTTACGTGGCATGTTGGGTCGTTGGGGTGAAACGAGGTTGATCAATCGAGAAAGCAGATTGACGGTGAAGTGGCGTAAGCCTTACGCGAAAGGAGCAAGAAGAAAGCGGCGGCGCAATGGAAAGCCGGGGCAAGTTGGGGATGCGCGTGGAAGCTGAGCAAGGCGGAAGGGCAGCGCTATACCGCTTTGGGCGGCCAGAATTTAATTTGCTGTGCTTCGACGGCTCCGATAGCTTTCACCCCCTCTACGCTCGCAGGAAAGAGAACCGGGTGCTGTTTTCTCCCTTCTCCTCTCCCTTTTACTCTCTTTCTATATTGATTCTCTGCCTGGTGGCAGTCCACCGTCAATATGGCGATGCGTACGAGTTCCCTTTCTTCCCAGATGCCCCTCATTACCCCCCGGTGCTATTGCTAACCATGACTTTGAATTTCTACAGAGCTTGACCTTTCTCAAGGTGAATAGCATTCGATTGCTCTCGTCTTCCGGCCCCGACTCACAGTTACTGACACTCATGGATAGCTCAAATGTTGAAGGACGAGAATGGTCGTCCGTTTATTGTCGTTCGCGAGTACGTTCACCGATATATCCTCCTATCCGCCCCGGCACGACGATTGGACCCTCGGAGGTGTGGAAAGTTGGAGCTGACCAGGTGAACTTGTTTCAAATAGCCAAGGAAGAAGGAAGAGACAGCATGGCACTGAGGCTGTCAAGTCGCACATTGTCGCCGCCAAAACAGTGGCCAACATTGTCAAGTCCTCTCTGGTACGGGCCTTCCCAGTCGACCGATGGAATAATGTCTAATGGGTTCATTTAGGGTCCCCGTGGCTTGGACAAGATTCTGATTTCCCCCGATGGCGATATTACCGTTACCAATGATGGCGCAACCATCCTCGGCCAGGTTCGATCCGACCCCTATCACCCCCGAGGCGAACCACCACGAAATTTGGGAAAGCTAACATGCGGAATAACTACAGATGGAGATCACGAACAATGTGGCCAAGTTGCTCGTCGAGCTCTCGAAGTCGCAGGATGAGGAAATTGGTGATGGCACAACGGGTGTGGTAGTGTTGGCTGCGGCCATGCTGGAGCAAGCGTCGGAGTTGATTGACAAGGGCATCCACCCCATCCGGATAGCCGACGGATATGACCAGGCCTGTGAGATTGCTCTCGCGGAGCTGGACAAGATCAGTGACGAAATCCCCTTCTCAAAGGACGACACCACCAACCTCCTCAAGGTTGCCAAGACCAGTTTGGGCAGCAAGATGTATGACCCAGTCACCCCGGACCAATGGCTTTGCTTTGTCTAACAGTTGGATAGTGTTTCCAAGTCTCACGATCAATTCGCCAAGATTGCCGTGGACGCTGTGCTCTCGGTTGCGGATCTGGAGCGCAAAGATGTTGACTTCGAGCTGATCAAGGTCGACGGCAAGCTGGGCGGTGCCCTCGAGGACTCCCTGCTTGTGAACGGTGTGATTGTCGACAAGGACTTCTCCCACCCTCAGATGCCCGACGAGGTCCTGGACGCCAAGCTGGCTATCCTGACCTGCCCCTTCGAGCCTCCCAAGCCCAAGACCAAGCACAAGCTTGATATTACTTCGGTCGAGGAGTTCAAGAAGCTCCAGGAGTACGAGCAGACCAAGTTCGCTGAAATGATCCAGCAGCTTAAGGATTCAGGAGCCAACCTGGTCATTTGCCAGTGGGGCTTCGACGACGAGGCCAACCACCTTCTCCTTCAGAACAAGCTGCCCGCTGTCCGCTGGGTCGGTGGTCCCGAGATTGAGCTGATTGCCATTGCCACAAACGGCCGTATCGTGCCGCGATTCGAGGATCTGACCGCTGATAAGTTGGGTACCGCTGGTCGTGTGCGTGAGATGACCTTCGGCACCACGAGAGAGAAGATGCTGGTCATTGAGGAGTGCGCCAACAGCCGGGCGGTCACTGTTTTCATCCGTGGTAGCAACAAGATGGTAAGTTGAATCGTCCGGTCACGTTAAGACTATCTCTAATCCAAAATACAGATCATCGATGAGGCTAAGCGGTCACTACACGATGCTTTGTGTGTGGTTCGTAACCTGGTTCGTGACAACCGTGTTGTGTACGGTGGTGGTGCCGCCGAGATTGCCTGCTCTCTGGCTGTGGAAGATGCCGCTGTCAAGGTGCGTTGTCTCTCAACTTTGGACGTGTTGCAGCCAGACTGATATTTATTGAATGATACAGAGCCCCGGTATTGAGCAGTACGCCATGCGTGCCTTCGCCGATGCTCTGGATGCAGTGCCCATGGCTCTGGCTGAGAACTCTGGCCTGAGCCCGATCGAGACTCTTGCCTCCATCAAGTCGCGCCAGGTCAAGGAGAAGAACTCCCGCCTTGGTGTCGACTGCATGATGACTGGCACCAACGACATGAGGGAGCACTTTGCCATTGATCCTCTGATCGGAAAGCGCCAGCAACTTCTGCTCGCCACTCAGCTCTGCCGCATGGTCCTTAAAGTATGCCTCTTACTTCGTCTGTCATTTGCACCTCGCTAACATTTATCCAGATCAACAACGTTATCATTGCTGGTGACGACGACGCTGAATTCTAGGTTACTCGCACATAGTCTAATGCCTTGTAGGCGCCACTGAAGTAGATCCCCTCGGTACGCCGGCTGAAAAATGATGATTCTGTTGGACTCCTATGTAAAACATGGCCCCTTACATAGAACTCTTTGAGTTACAAAGAGAAAAGGATTTATGATTCTCATCCCTACTCTCCAATCATTCCAACTCGTATCCAGTATATCGCAAGCCTTCGAAGGCTTGTGATGAGATTCAATAGTTCTATACTCTCGATCCAAGCAAAGCAGGTGACTGCCCTTCTATCTCATTTCAGCGCATTTACAAATACGTATCAGCTTTGAAACTATACCCATTTTTTGATAATCACAAATATTGTTTTGAGCCTATTCCCAGCTTTCCCATGGGAGTGCACCGAGCACCGTGTGACTTGGTATACGAAGCATGAAGCATCTGTACAACCTTCACCCACTTGACACACATAAACCCCCACGCAAAGCATACCTTGAGGAAGCGCTTGATCATTTTCCACCGGTAACTATTTTCGTTGGTCCACGTGTACCTGGGTGCACCTACCTTCACAAGGGTAACCCATCATGCCGAGGAACATGAAACGAAAACCTCGACACGCCATCTCCCTCTTCATCTGCCAGTCATTGCCTCGGATCTCCTGCTGTGCCAAATGACTATGATCTCCGGATAGAGTCAACGTTGCGCCGTGTTACCCGAATACGAGAGCACCTGTCTGTCTACATTCGGCCACGCGTTACGCTCTACCAGAATCCTACTTTTTCAACGCATATTCACTTGGATGTATAACATAACATCCCTGCTTGAGCCCCGTGGGGTTTGCTCGTGAATCTATAGCTGTAAAGGGGTACCTGCTTTTCGTCTGCGGGGCTCTGAAGATCCTGCTGTCTTCGAAGAACGCCCATGAGGTAATTCGTACTACCCCTCGTAGCAGAGGGTTCTGGGTATGGTGACGATATACAATTTTCGACGTTTGTTGTTGAGAGTATGCAGAAGGTGGATTCGGTTGTGTTCGACTGTGCTCGCGTACTGTTTTTTAGAAGTTTGATCCTCTTGCACTACCTCCGTCTGAAGATGACTCTATCGCAAGGGGCGTCCGGCCTATGGGATATCGTGGAATACAGCAGGGTGGTATAACCATAAGCTGTCTGTTGATCAATACGGCCGAATCATAATATCACCGAGAGCCAGTGTCCAGTAGTCTCGCCATGTTTCCTGGGATTACTGCTTTCCAAGGCTCACAGTGTCATTTCTCTCTCTTTTCTTTTGGCAGATATCTGCGAATGAACTGGGTTTTTTTTCATAAAGGGGTATTAACAGCAGGGAATCTACGGAGCAGGGATCCATGGTTTGGTCTAGCTTGCCGTGGTTTCACAACGCGTGGAAGTGAGACCCTAGTTCCCCGCGAGTCGTGGTCGACTGAGTTCGACGATCTACTGCGGCTCGACTATTTTGAGACAGACTTCTGCCTGTATGGTTTTCTTTTTCTTGATGGTTTGCTCTTACGGCATGTAAGAAACGAGCTATCCTGTTGAACTATGAGTGTGTCTGAAAAGAGGGTCATACGCCAAGTACATCCCAATTGGCTTTCCTTCTGGAACAAAAATATGGCCACTTGAGCCTTAGATTTCATTTTTCAGAAAGGAAGAACGGTCTAGATCCACTTCGGGTAGTAGAATGATTCCAAAGATCAGCCCACCCCTAAAATGTATCCGCAAAGGAAACCAATATCCCTCTCGTATCGCAAGACACGAGACTGCCTTGGGTAGCAGCCATATCGGCAAAATATCAGACTCATTACGAGAGAAACAATAATCGAGCCGTGTCAAGGCAAAAAAAAGCACTTTTTGTGGGTACCTTGACATCGTAGCTGCATCCAAATCGATACATAGCAGGGCAAGTGTCGGTAACTGCGGATCAATTTAAAGATGCCAGTCAGCCGTGGCAGATCGAGTGGTGGTGGGGGGTCCTCCCGAGCTCCGCTATCGGAAGGCATGCAGCATCGTCACAGCAGTGTGACACACACTGACAGGCATGGGGCTATGATCTGGTGTGCGGTTTCGATTTCCGTTGACGGGTGAGATTGCAATCCGTGAAACCTGATCTCCCCACAAGGTGGGGACCCGCCTAAACTGTTGATCTGGGGTGTATGCATTCAGGCAATATGGCTACAGTTAACATTTGAAACAGGGGTATTACATTCTGAGTCGGTAGGGAAATCCTGCTCGGATTTACCGGTTGTCGACATTAGCCGCGCTGGGCTGCGACTTTTCCCGGGCGACACAAACTGCGCTCAGACGATATGATGTCGTGCAAAATGGGAAGGTGAAACAGAATTAGATAAGAAGAAATAGAGAATCATGTTCCAGCCATGTTCGATATGGTCGGCGTGCTAAATGCTCCCTTCGGTCATCAGCCTCATCGCCATT